TAAAAGGCGCATGAGCTATATTCCATAAAAGGATATCTTTAAGAAGCACACTATGGTATATTTCAAGGACCCTTAGTATTAGGGTGAATTTGTATGTCGTCACCTTTCCTATTCTAAGAAGTTGGACGGGATAGGATATTTTATGAGGCTTACACTAGATGTACACGGGGTATGTCATTAAGGTAGGCTGTGGTCTATATGTAAGCTTGTACCGATTGTAAATGCCTTAACATAGTCTTTAAGTTATTATAGTTCTGTAGCGTTCTCGTAAACTTGGTCTTACCCCAAAGGTGCTTTTCACTGGCGATTACGCAGAGAAATGTTATAGAGTGCTTAACAATCCTTCTATTCTGGTCTACAAATTAGACCCTACAGTCACTAACTTAGAGCCAGCTATAGCTACCCACAGTATGGCAGAGCAATTAAACACTAAGGGATTAGAACGGCCAGCACTTAGTAAGACACCCTCTTGTAACTAAACAATAATAGAAACAAGTTTCAACACCTCTACATGAGCTAGCCGAGAAGCCTAGGTCCACTAGCACCATTTCCATAGGCCCGCCGGTTCAATCAATCTAAGGACAAACACGTAATCTGTGGTCTTCAATAGTTGCGGTGGGGAAGCATCTTTCTAGCTGTAAAAAGCTTGGCCTTAGACTGCTAGTACAGACTGTCCTCCGTCGCACGTGATTCTCCTCCTGATGCTAATGTTGATCAATTTGCTTGTGCCTGTGATAAGCTCTCCGCTTTCATGGCGGCCATATACTGCATTTGGCGAGTATATCATTGCCATCCCCGTTGTCAAGCTCTCGATTCTCCGCATTAGGCTTTCACGATCCTCGGTTGCAGTAGGAATATGACGTCTAATCGCCGACAGCCACTCTGGGCTAGAGAAGCGGTGGATCACTGTGATCGAGCAAAGTGCGATGAGGTCGGTCAAAAGGGTAGGTTCCTGGGTTGAGATGACAACGCGTGCACCATAGTGTCGCTGGAGGCGGATGGTCTGTAGAAGCGTTTCATTCAGAGACTTGGCCCCTGGTACGTTCACCATGTACTTCCAAAGGTTAACCTTGAAACTGAACAAATCAAAGTGAATGAGGATTGCATACCTTATGCGCTTCGTCCAATACAATCATTTTGCCATTACCCTTCGACTGTAGGTACAGCTTCAGCCCAATCCGAAAAAGGATGCATGCCGTGTTCGCATCCACAAATGGACAGGACATGTCCATTATTGTCACCTCCCCAAATTGAAAATGAGGCTCTACGCAGCTGGCGTTCAACTCGAGGAATGATTCAAGCAAGTCCAAACGCAGTTGAAGCATGCTAGCTTGCGCTGAGTTAAACTCTTTTTTCTTAAGCTGCAGCTTGAAAAGTTTGTAATTGAATGGTTCTCCTGCAGTGGACATCTCACGAAGTATCTGCGTGACTTGCGCCATGTAGAGAGGTGTCTCAATCGATTCGCTGACGTTCATCAATGTAAGTATAGTGTCAATGTCCAAATCCTGTGGCATCAGTTTGAAAGGTGTAACGAGAACGTTGGGTAATTGACGGTAGAGCTTCGATATCCGCACGAAGTTGGATGGCGACACTAGGACATGTACCCTCTTTACGTGCGCTCCTCCAGGCAGCCTTTGATCAGATGAAGCTAAGAATGCGGCCTCGCTAATGGTGAATCCGAAGCCATCACCGCTGAACTGAGCATAGCTGAAGACCAAAGCAGAAAGAGGATTCTGGAGCTTCCCAAGATGTCGAGAGGGTATCAATGCGTTTTCGAGGATGCAGGATGTTGTATGAGATTTACCACTCCCTTGGACCCCGCAGATGAACATGGAAAACGGGACGTTGGTATTCAAATAAAGTTTAGAGTTGGACTCTTCGGCTTCAGTGTGCGATCCGAGCAAGCCATATTGCGGAGGGCCATAGCCATCAGAAACGATCTTAGCGTCTATTAAAGGTGCGTGTTGAATCCTGTCATTTGCGGCGTCGAACTGTCTCTTTCCGGCTTCATCATCTTGGCAATCGTCAAAGAGCAACGAAGTCATTCCGGCGGAATCAATGCAAAAAGATGATGAAATCTCATCATCAGGATAGTCCCAGGTGCCTAATGTCCGATGCTTGTCCACATCTGGGCGATTCGAACGGTACGCACGACTCATTTTCCAGCTTAGCAGATCGATCACATCGCTTCCAGGATCTATAGAGTTGATAGCGGCGAGTTTCGAGGACACGAGAGAATGGACTGAGGATCTCGAGCTCATATCGGTGTTCTCTTTGCTGATTGGGGGTGATCGTGAGGACGAGGCGTGCGCGTCTGTCGACAATTTCTCCACCTTCTCTTCTTTGATCAGCTGGCTGATCCGATCAGTATGCGCCAAGCTGTATTTGTGATCGGGATTGAGAAGTCTGCTGCACATAAGTGGTGTACAATACCTGCTCGAGGATCTTACGGCTGCAAAGCTTGCTTAATTTGGGTCTTTGAATGTCCAGAATTAAGCGAACATAGGTAGTTCCTAAGCCAGGCGAAGCCTTTAAAAGAGCCATCTTGGTAAAAGGCCTTATGGCGATATTGCCAGTAGATCCAGGCTTCGAGGCCGGCTCGTGTAGAGGTGTTGAAACTTGTTTCTATTGTTGTTTGGTCGAAAGAGGGTGTCTTACCAAATGCTGGCCGTTCTGATCCCTTCTTGTTTAATTGCCCTGCCATACTGTGGGTAGCTATCGCCTGCTCTGGGTCGGTAATTGTAGGGTTTAATCTTGCGATCAAAGTGCAAGGATCATCAAGAACCTCAGCACCACCACATTGCCCACCACAAGGACTAAATAGACATTAGTCCTACTCCCTTTTGCAAAAATTGGGCATTCTTCGTAACAGTACTACGTACCTCCACCAGCCATGAGATAACAGTCTAAATCCTCGCTACACGTAGCTACCGTTTCTTTTTGAAGTAGCACCTATCTGGGTTCAAGGCATCCACCTTGGCCACATCTAGGCGGTGGGACAATCACTAGTAGCACAATCCCTTACTCTGTGTCTAAGACATGCAACGTCATGGACCTCAAATACAAGATTACACAGTGTCATTCCATGCATACATTAATTCATTCGCTGCGCAGCTTCCTTCTCCATGTCTTGGCTGAAAGCTGCACAATCACATCGTTCGCGTTAAGGTAAAAGTTGAATAAAGAGTTTTTCAGGTGCAAATTCACTCGGTCTAACGTAGATTTGATTTGAAAGTTGAGATAAGTCGGTTCATTTGAGGTAGTGATTCGCGTACCTATCACACTCGATTTCAACCTGCACATTCCACCTATGAGATGTTACATTCAATTGTGATTGAGTTTGAAGATTGGTTGTTCTATAGCATGCCGGATCCCGCTCCGGTCCAATTGGCTGGTAATCAAAGTAGCGAGGACTAACGCCGCTTTCCTGGGATGTAACATTCCAACGCACCTGACAAGGAAGGGCTGTGCTCAAGTAAGATTATGACGCAACGAAAGATAAGATGACACTTTTGCGACTAAATAATGGAGGAGAGATGCGGCCTAGAGACCTATATTCAAAATGGCAGGAGAAGGGGCCAGTAATTCTAGGGAGTACTGAGGCAGAGCTACTGGCTCTATCACTAGCTGGATCACAGATGGAAGAGTGGGCTTGATCTTCAGGGGGGTGTCGTATAAGACGGATACTACCCCTACACTCTAGTGTGATAATCAGCAGACAGTCAGGATTACTACCCAACAGGACGACAAGCTAATCACCAAGCTCAAGTATATTCATGTCCACTAGTCATGGGTACGCCAGGAGGTTCAGGCAGGTCATCTAAATATCAAATAGGTGGACACCTTTACGATGCCGGCCGACGGCATGACCAAGGTCCTCGGACGACAGAGACATGCCGAGTTTCTAAGACAGCTACACCTTGTGGATATCTCTGCTCGTCTTGACCGAATAGAAAGGAAATAGCTCTCTAGTATCCCCTCTCCGCTACTCACTGCGAGGTGAGGGTGTGTGACGGAACTGGAGCCGTTTGAGATTGATTGAGTGTACGCCAGCTGCTGAGGCGTACAAGCCTCTCGGGCCGATAAGCTTGAGCATAAAAACCATCTCATGTATCAGCTCTCATAGGAATCAATACAGTCCTTCATAGCTTCCTACTACCGCTACAGATACAGGTCCGTCGCTTCTGTCGTGGAGGTGAGGCATATATCGAGGGGATCCATCTGGGTAGGCCTCCCGTAATGAGTCAGAAGCCAGTCCGTCGAGTTGGAGGATTTCAACGTCGGACCATGTAAAGTCAAAGGGAATGTTGAGGACGTCGTGGGCGGGGGCCGTCGCTACGTGGTCGAGAGCTTCCTGCGAGAGGGCCGCATCGAGCGACTGTTCGCTTGCCGTTGTCATAGGATACGGATACGAACTCGCCAGCCCTTCCATGCTCGATCGTAGTCTTTTTCTGGACATTTGGGCTTGACTGGGACCGCGGTCTAGGCGCGGGGAAGCCAGCGTTGTGAATGAGCGGTGTCGATGCGAATTGAGCCGTGGGTGTGTAGGGAGAGATTCAGATCGATTCGTCCCCCTCGCGTTGGTCATCTGGTTCTGTGCGGCATTGGGTCGACCTTGATCTTCGATTTGATTTGGTACGCATTCTTCGTAGGTGGGATACGTGCACTTCGCTCCAGCTCTCGTGCATCTCTTACAGCTATCGCCGGTGCCTCCATTGGCGAACTCACACTTGAGCTTCTGTCCGTGGCAGCGGTCGCAGACTGTTTGCTTCATGTCGTGTTGTGCGATGACGAAAGGCGAGCAGTTCTCACCAAGTGGTGTAATAGACCAAGTATAAGCACGCTAGGGGGCCAGGAAACACAGCTGTGATATAGCCACTACTTCTGCCGCACATAGTACCTTGCCTATCCGAAACTCTGTGGTCACGATTCCCGAGACGTGATGTTCAAGAGGGCAAGCCAAAAAATGTGCCATATCGAGCAAGAGGTATATAGAAATTGCATTCACAAGGCAATGTAGATGGCAAATCCTGCCGCTCGAGGAATGCAAGTGAGCCGCAGATAATTTTGCAGGTTTATTGTGTAAGGAGTGGTTCATGTTGCCTAATACGGTAAGATGGACCGACTTCATGCAGATAGGTGCCGATTGTGTGACGCAAGCATCAGATACAACCGGAGGCACATGGGAGGAATGCATCCGCCACGCTATCCAGAATCTACGCCACAACAGACAAGGGAATAACTTCCTTTCTGAGAGCGGAATCGAGCATTTGGGGGCCACTATTGCTTTTGTGAAGAATGACACGGACACTAAAAGAGGTTTCCCTATGGAGAACAAGTCTACATAATACGTACCCATGTGAAGGGACCGGCGCGCTCGATACCCCTGCTGCAGGGCAACTGCAGGGCAGACATGAAGAGGGTGCATACACGGCCAATGGTACAGGTGTAAGGGGCAGAAAAGAGTGAGTGCGCCTAATTAGGTAGCTGCTGCTGGAGCGAGATCTGCGAGGGCGCTCTCGTCGAGACCGAAAGCCTCGATGATGGCCTTTTGGCCTTTGGCGCCAGCAATTTCGGCCTGTGCAATCTTACGAGCTATGTCATTCCGACTCTGCTCCAGCGCGACAAGCACGTGGGACCAGGAGAGGTTGCCATCAGAGACGAGATGGGCCAGGCTGGAAGAGGCGAGCAGCTGGGCTCCGGGCTCCTGTGCAGTGCATTCAACGTCGCACAGCTTGCCTTGTCGCTTGCGGAACGCACCATTGACGATAACGCAGTCGATGTTGCGCGTGGTAGCATGGCAGTCGGTGCACAACTTGGGACCATGAACATATCGTCGGGATTGGTGAACATGTTTCTGATCTCTTTGATCAGCTTTACATAGGCGCATCGATTATGCGTAATGTGGAAGAACAAGCTACTTATCGTGATAGACGTTACTCTCGATCCAACCATGACGAAGAGGTTCGCTTCTGCCATAGGGTTCTTTCAGCCAAAGGCCGGCTCGCCAGTGTCGGGGTCCTTGGCGCTCTACAGAAAATGAAGCATGTCTTCTCTTTCCACCGGCATACTGATTCTCTGATTCTCTTGTGCTCCCAATGCTCTTACAAGCTTTCTGCAACAATTTCTACACCGATTTTGTAACGATCGATCACCTTATAAGGAACCACGAGGCCAAGGAAATTGACCAGCCGTCGAAGCTTCAAACATACCAGGAAGTCAAGAAAAGGCAGTATTGCAATCCATTCTTTGGTTCAGGACTGACAGTGGACCCAAGGACCGCAATATAATTTTTGTCATCTACTAGATAGTTGAAGGCTACAAAGTCGTCAAATGCCAACGGAATATTCTTCAATTGGTTCTTTCCGGGTTCTCTTTTATTCATCGCAGCTCCAGAGCACAGCGACGATTTTCTAAAAAAAAAAAAAAAAAAAAAAAAAAGAACTGTTCACAGCCTTTCTACATGATTTGTGAACGGCAGATTCAGGAGATGTCTCCTCCTCGCGTGGAGGTCCATATTGAACGTCAGCAAAGCGTTGACATAATCTGGTGATCTGGATTGCGAGACCAGACATAAAACAACTTGGACCGCTTCACGTTCGCTTTGTATGAAAGATGGGATTATATGCATCGGGGCAGTTGAAGACCATATGGTTCTGCTCACCATGAAGCTCAGGGTCATATATCTGAAACTGCTGCCAAAACCAAACTTGCTGGTCACCTTTGACTGCATGTTAGCTGACTGTAAGGATGACACGCGACATAGCCATGGGCTGTGAAGATTGGGTAGAGGTTGGATAAAGAGATTGTAGACGGTGGTTGTCAAGGTTTTGATGATGGATAAGCACTTTGGTACGCATTACAGTCGCAGGCGTCAGTCTATACAAAGATATAATACAATTATTTTCTATTTCAGCAAGCAATCACAGAAGAAAAGCCTTGCTGGGTGAATGTCCGAGAATCTACTTGAATCAGGACTCGTAGGCGTGGGAGTGACACCACGTGCGCAAAATTAGAGTTCAAAATGGTTCCCGAACCCTGTAAAGATATTATCTAACTCGGGCGTATTAATGTCAACAAAAAGGTCTTCCAGAGTGGGTAGTTGCGTTGCCGATCCGCTGTTGCCAGCGGTCTCCATTCTGTCAACTAGCCCCGAGCAATTTGTCAGGCAATGTTCAGCTAGATCCCACCCAGAGTTCTGATGGTGCGCGCGAAGTGCGCTGATCATGTCTCTAGCCAACTTCAATGAGGTGTTGCGACTCATATCCGCCATGGAGGTTCTGGAGCGCAAAGCGCTTCGAAGCAGAAATATAGTTGCGGACGTCAGTGAGAAAGCATTTACCGGGATCCAAAAGCCACTGCACTGCGAATCGTCTAATTCTTGCACCAAATGCACAATTTCTTCCGCCACTCGTTGCGCTTGGAGGTAGTAGTGAGAGGTTGTAGCCTCCCCGCCTGGGGTATCTTTCTCCGCGTCTAGTTGTATTCTTCTGAGCAGCAGTTTGACAGCGAGATATGCTAGACGAAAATTCGCTGACCCAGGAACGTCAATTCTCGTGCCGCGAATGGCCAGACGACGAACGTCATCGCTGAGTGAGTCTTCCCAATCAGTGAGCAGGAGCTCAAAGTCCATCCCAGACATCTTGGCTGCGGTTGCATCTATCGTCGTGAAGCAGTAGACGTGTTCGAGGTAGCGGCCCAGAATTTCGGTCAGACTGACCAGGGCGAGGAAGATAGAAGCGGCAGCGGCCTGAATAGATGAGGATCCGGGTCTGCAGATGTCTTTAGCCGTTGGTATGGGTACATCGTGCTGTGCGCGATGGATCTGCAAGGGCGTTCCGTAGGCCAGACTGCACCTGCGATGGATATATGTTAGTAGAGTTCGACGATGCACTATATATGACTTAGCTTACCATCTATCATGTACGAGTACGAGCCACCAGATTCGAATTCTGAACACTTTTTCAGGGGGAGATATGTTCCAGTTGGATGGATCCCTGTTAAGACCGAGAGCATTGGACAAAGCGACGGCGATTCCGATCATTCCGCCGTTCCCAAAGATGGAGGTACTTGGCCTACCAGAAACATTCAATATGATTGATATTACCGCAGAAATTCCCGGTGACAAGAATAATTCAGAATTAAGAGCTTCATTAGCTTGTACCCAAATGTACCGGTGGTCTGGTTTCACCGTTCCTTGTAATCTGGGTGATGTGTCCCAGTATGTAAGGGCGTTGGCGTATAAATTGCACAACAATGCGGAAGAAATCTTCTCCTTGTGGGTTGAAAATATGTTGTTGAATGAGATGTCATCGAATATTGGAAAGCAGACGTTTGCACGCTCGAAGAATCTATATCTAAATATCAGGTACGATCCTTGTATCTGGGGTTTCTCCACTTACAGATCAATCAGATCTTGCACATGTGGTCCAATGAATTTTTCTATAAGCTCACACTTGCTTGAAGCCAGAGATTGGTTAGTCGTCACGCCTAGTGGGCGTCTCAGAACCGTGTCGAACAAGACCGGTCTTACCGATGGGTTCGGAGGCCGCACGTCAGACATCGCACGGATCAATCTCATGTTTCTGAGATCCGGTGTGCTCGAGAGGTAGCTTTTCAAAACGCTGTTGTCCTCGGCAATTGCTGGACTGACAATGTGCGTACTGTGATCTCCAGCTTCCGCGAAAATGCCCATGAGATGCGCCGGCGATTCCTCCTGGTTCGTATATGTGGCTTGCGGTTCATCGTGTGCATTAAATATGCATGAATCTTGCTGAATGTCCTGATTCGTATAGTGTTCAAGTGGCTGATCTGCTGATTCCCGAAAAGCCGGACTTGGACTGGGCGGTGATGCTGGTGCCGATCCAGCGCCTTGTCTCCCAGTCGACATCTCCGACCGATTGAACCTGGCGGTGACTCTTCGGGACGCTGCTGCGATCTTCCGTGGTTTTCTGTTGTCGACCTGCGGGAAGATACATTCGGTGCCGTGAACTTGACACATTGCACAAGTCTCGTTTGCAGCTCTCGTCTTGCAACGAGACTTGCGCTTACGACACGACTGACATGCTGGCTGTGCATGAGATCGATACGGCCGTCCTTCAGTGTCAAACTTGGTAGGGCCGTATTCCATTTCCATCTTTTGCTGTCAGGTTTTGGGAGTGATCGGATGTTGACTATGCGGTTATCGCTTACTGCAAGGGCACTTTATCGTCGCGCTAGGTACGCGCTAGTACCGAAATACGGTTTTCTCCGATCCTCGTCCACACAGTTAAGTCCAAGATGCCAGTCATAACTTTCATCAACAGCTAGGCTGTACAACTCACAAGGCTAGCTATGAGAAAAAATTTCGCGGTTTCAAAAGATGTTTAATTCTATCGGTATCAGATTTTGAACTCGCCGGGTTTCCTAGGAATGTTTGAGGCAACATGGACGATTGGAAGACAGAATCATGCAGCCTCTTTCTCCCATTTCAGCTTTCCCTGTGAGCTCAAAACATGGTTGAATGCCTCATCTAGAATCTGAAGTCCTTCATCAATCTCCTCTGCAGTAACAGTGACTGGAGGGGCTAGCCGGAAAACCCCGCCCATGCCAGGGAGATTGACAATGTTGCAGGACAAGCCAAGAGCCATAGCCTTGTCTGACACTGCAGCACCGATATCAGCTCCAGGCGCCTTGGTATTTGGGTCCGAGATGATCTCGATTCCCTGGAGTAGGCCAAGACCTCGGACGTCGCCAATAACCCAGTATTTCTCTTGAAGCTTGAGAAGACCGTTCCTTAATTGTTGACCCCGCTCAGTCGCTGCCTGGCACACGTTGTCACGCTCAACGATCTCGAGCGCCTTGTTACCCACAGCAGCAGTAAGAGGGTCGTTAAGATGTGTCGTAAGCCAAAGGAAGCCTGCATCGGTGCAACCCTTCTCGATCTCAACAGTTGTGCTGACAGATGCCAGAGGAAGACCGCAGCCTAGTGTTTTCGATAAAGCGAGAATATCAGGCACGATACCGTGATGTTCGAACGCAAACATCTTGCCGGTTCGACCGACACCTGTCTGTGCTTCGTCCATAATGATGAGCATACCTCTGTTCTTGCATTCAATGCTTAGACGCTTGAGGTAGCCTTTTGGAAGGTCGAGAATACCACCAGTTGAGAGGATGGGCTCCATGATGAATGCAGCAAGCGATCCAACGCTCTGTCTGTCAATCATGGCCCATGCAAAATCCATCTCAGTCTCCCAGTCATACGAGCCGTCGGCTTTTCTGAATGGCGAACGGTAGGCATAGGGGGCGGGAAACACGAGCGAACCGGGCATGGTAGGGCCCGCATTCTTCCGCCCGGCAGAATAAGTGGCGGCCCCGGAACCTTGGGTGAGACCGTGGTAGCTTGCGGAGAACGCGACGATTTCGAAATTGCCAGTAAACAGCTTGGCCATCTTGATAGCTGCTTCAGTGGATTCGGAACCTGTATTGAGGAAGAAGGACTTTTCCAAAGGAGCAGGGAGTAACCGGCCAAGACGCTCAGCAAGGTCCACAACAGGCTGAGTCACCATATTGCTCAAGAGATGGTCAAGCTCCGAAACATATTTTTTGACCGTCTCGACGATCTCAGGATGAGAATGGCCTAGCAGCGAGCTCATCTGTCCGCTGGTAAAGTCAAGGATGGATCTGCCTTCGGCATCATAGAGTCGAGTCCCTTTGGCCTTGGTGATGATGACAGGGGACATAGGAACGCCTGTCGACATCAAATGCTTCTCAGCTTTCGCGAAGAAAGCGTCTGAGGTGTTGTTTGGCGCGATCATGTTGGGGGATGTTGCCACGGAAAATGTGGAAGGGATGAGGTGTGTTTCTGATTGTGAGCGCGATATGAGTTAGGCAATGCTTTATCCTTAGATCTGAGTTGTATCGACAGCATCTTGTAACTTGGCCGACGGAAATCAAGTCGCCTCTGGTATCCATCGTGCCCTCATTGTCTTCGCCGCGGCGCTCACTATAGAGAGTGTATTTTCCCGCGGCGCACGAGATCGAGGCCGTTTCCATCTACATGATTGGCGCAGATGTTTCCCGTGGGGAACCGACGGCGAGGGAAACGAGCCAGGACTTGGCGCTAGAATTGTGACGTCATCCGGTCTGGCAGACGTGACACGAATCTGGACCCTTTACCTGCACGCCAATGGGAAATACGTCCTGGGGAAAAATGTCACAACACTACCGCAAGCTCAACATACCTACCATCCCTTACTAAAACATCGCCAGTCCATGACACTGGCTATGCGCGTCATACAGAAACCTCGAGTATCCCGGAAACACAAGCTCTCGCGATATTCTGATGTTTGAGTAGATTTTCGCAGAAGGCGACCACTCGGCAGAAGACCATTCCACAACGCTCGTCCTGGTGTTACGAGAATCCCTGACGTTGCACCAAGACGAAATGACGTGGTGCAATGGCATATGGCCAATACCGGACAATACGTATCCAAGATCTGCACATCCAACCCATGTACCCATACGTAGAGACTGTTGGACACGCGTTCGAATCATCGACATCAAAATCCGGACCTGTGCACGGTGGTCAATCGAAGCTCGGTTGCTCGGCAATCAAAGAGATGATGAATCGCCTAGGTTCGCTAACAAGTCCCATCGAGTCGAACACCTGAATTATCAGAGTGATAGGAATATTATCGTCGACATATCGCATATTTCTCCCGACTGCGTCAGGCAAGTCCTCTAACTGACGAGAGCACCTATAATGTTATCACATAGCAACGAAATGCGTGCTTTTGACGGCCCGAAAGAAATGCCAGATGAATGATGTACAAGACATGGTGCCCACCAATGGGTGAATCGTCATGGAAATCTATGTACCGGAGCACTTCGCAGCCAAGGGGATAGAAGTGAGGATGAGCACGGTTCCAAATGATATGTTCTACATCGCGATCCATATCCGTTGAGATCATGTTGGCTTGGGCTCAGGTTTCGACGGTATCGCCGCGGTGATTCCTGGTATGGACGATGTCAAATGCTATACAAATCTAGTCAATGCAAACTAGGCTTGAATTAGTATGGTGTTCATTACGAGGATAAACAGTAGTGTATGGCCACCTATTCTCAATATGTCATTGTCGCGAAACGTTTAATACACTGTATCGAAGATTTCTCTCGTAGATATAATTTTAGTGACATTGCATTTCTAAAGCTGAGGAACGTTATGAACATCATATGGCATGAGTGGAATAATCCTCTCCCGTTCAGCGATTCCATATGTATCTAACTAGACGGAAAACGTCTTCGCGATGTGACAACAATTTGAATGTTTCCTATTCCACTATCCTTCCCAATGTCGGAAAGGCCTTGAGAATAGAAGGAGTCGGAGAGGCCGTTGACTAGCATTGCTCACTTCACGGTGGAGAATGAAATCGCTCCATGTTGTGGCGCTACCTCAGGAGTAATGCAGAGACGACCCGGGGGCAAGGGTCGCTGTGAATGGTGCGGGTAATGAGAATGGAGATATATGTGGATAAAGAATGAAGGGCAGTCCTGCCAGTAATCCCGATTCATTCACTAATCGCGCCAGGCTGAAGTGCGAACCAAGAAGAGGTTCTGTAGAAATCTGCACGAAATACCCACTTCTCAAAATGCAGCTTCTATATTATGCCGGATCCGGTGTAGGAAAATTACCCCGCATCGACATTCGCGCCGATCTTTATAGACGGAGGATACACTTCCTTGCTTTTAACCGAACGGAGCTTTTCGATCGGTACATTTCCTCAACATATGCTGACATTAATATTTGCTAAGCTGAATGTTTGTTCAATTCACATTGATACTGAGCTATGCATCACCTGGAGTTTCCTTCTGTAGGATGGTATATCTTGAGGATACATCTACCGCTATGATGGGCTACTATTGTATCAAGCACAAGCGTTCACTATTCTGCAGTTACATGCTTCTGGCTGGGCGGTACGAGTCTCAATGGGGATATTTCAGCGAGCTTACATTATTTCCTCGCGATGTCGAAGGTGTGTGGTGGTTTCAATTACTCTAGACCGGATCGAGACAAGATAAATGCGCCGGAGAGCTTGAAAAAGTCCAGGACGCCTCGCTAGACTGGAGACCCGCGAAAGCCCCGCTTCTAGTGGCGGCAAACATTTGGCCAAAAACGAGCTTAACGTTACTTCCACCTATTGTAGAAGGGTAGGCTCGACCATCAACCGGCTTTAGATCAGGCTAAGGCTTCTTCTGAATGAACGATCGGGATAGTAAACGAGTCAATTGATCTAATGCTTCAGCGGACAAACCGGCAGGTGAAGAGATTAAGCATTGATCATATTTGGGTGCACGATGATCCCAAAGAAAGCGAGCAGGTACAACTGATGTTGCTGCTCGGCTGCATCGTCTGGACGTGTTCACAGCAGCTCATGTGTAAGATGCGTTGCCTGCACTTTACTTCAAGATTCTGTGCACGAATCTACGGTCCTCATCATGTTTCATAGTATTGCACAGCTAGTGAAAGGCCAAAGTCCCTTTATTACGGTGTTGCTGGATCTGGTCTTTAAGTCCTTGCCCGCATGTGCATCTCGTACATTAAATGGAAAAATGAATCAAACATATCAGCCACCGGCTCGTAATGTACGCAACCCATGATAGTGCGTTTGTACTCCTAGGATATAATCTTGAACCTGCTACCCATCTTACGATATCTCGACTTGTTTAAGAAACGATAAGTTCTTTGCCGTCAAAAGTCGGTTCACAATGGCAACCAGAATCCAATTGGTCGCCCGTCATGGACTGTTTTTACTAGCTCTATTTCTGTTCCTAATTGGATCGGCAAATGCGGACAACCCAATTGTACAAACCGAGTACACGGCTGATCCGGCTCCCGTCATCTACAAAGACAGACTTTACCTTTTCACAGGACATGATGAAGACAAGTCTACAACTTACGACATGCGCAACTGGCTCCTATTTTCCACGGTCGACATGGCAAATTGGCAGCATCACGGTTCGCCTGCAAGTCTGTCCACATTCAGCTGGGCGGATAAAAACGCGTGGGCAGGTCAAGTCATCAATCGCAACAACAAATTCTATTACTACGTGCCAATTCGGAACAAGAACACTGGGGGTATGGCTATTGGTGTCGGCATCAGCGATAACATAGAGGGACCGTACAAGGACGCGCTCGGAAAGCCGCTTGTCGAGAACGGGCAGATCGATCCGACGGTCTACATCGACGACAACGGCCAGGCTTACCTTTATTGGGGTAATCCAGACCTACAGTACGTCCTGCTGAACGAGGACATGTTATCTTACAAGGGCGGTATCAACAAGGTGAACCTCACACCCGCAGGGTTTGGCTCTCGCACCGGCGTACAAGGACGGCCCACCACGTTTGAGGAAGGTCCGTGGATCTACAAACGACAGAACCTGTGGTACATGGTTTATGCAGCCAACTGCTGCTCTGAGGATATCCGCTACTCCACAGGCACCAGTGCGACAGGACCGTGGACTTATCGAGGCGTCATCATGCCAAGTCAAGGCGCCAGCTTCACGAACCACCCGGGCCTAATCAACTACGGCGGCAAAGATTACTTCTTCTATCACAACGGCGCCCTCCCCGGTGGCAGCGGGTATACCCGCTCCGTAGCCGTAGAAGAATTCACTTACACCTCGAATGGCAGCATCCCTCAGATTCCAATGACTACTGGAGGCCCTAAGCAGCTGAAATACCTGAACCCATACAACCGTACCGAAGCAGAGACCATGGCGGCATCTTCGGGAATCGAAGTCGAAGTTTGTAGCGAGGGCGGCATGAATGTGGGCTTCATTGAAAATGGCGACTTCGTCAAAGTCAAAGGCGTTGACTTCGGAAGCGGTGCATCCAGCTTTTCAGCCAGAGTCTCTTCCGGTGGCAGCGGCGGGACCCTCGAGGTGCGCGCAGACAAGAAAGATGGTACTTTGCTAGCCACTTGCACGGTCGCTGTGACAGGAGGTTGGCAGACATGGACAACAGTACAGTGTCCGGTCAGTGGGGCCTCGGGGGTACATGACATTTTCATGGTGTTCAAGGGCGGATCGGGTAACCTTTTCAACTTTAATTGGTGGCAATTCACGCCGAAGACTACTTAGCGGAGATTTGGCACTTGCTCATCGTCGTCGGACTTCATGTCGCTAGATCTCGGCAATGGATGAAAGTTATAGTGATCAACGTCAGCATCAATCCAAGAGATCCTGGATGTCTATGTGAGAGACCAAAGTCGTAGATGAACACGCTCATTTCAAGTGCTATGTCTTTTCTCCCTACTCGCAGTTTCGCCTCCTTCTTGGCTCCTGGATGACGCCACGAACTTCAGAATTTTGGTTCGGAATATTCGAGGTCCCGTTTTCTTGACTCCTCGGAGCATTCTTTTGTTGCTTCCATTCATTCTTTCTAATAACCTTTTCAAGTGAGGTTCTTTGTGCGTCTCGGGCCACACATGGGTATATGCACTGAGGGAGAGGATGGGATGATCGCAAAAGTCTAGCGAGCGTGAAAGCTCTTCAATGGCCGCCAGATCATCGGCGTTGAGACTTATCCTCGACGGCCGGTGGGTGATAGTCTTGAGTGGTGCTCGGAACGACAAGTTCGAATGCGGCAACCCTGGATAGATTGTAGAAGACTGGACTAGAGTGCTGACACTGTCTTGCCTATCTTTGGCATTACGCTGTATTGGTTCGGTTGTCTCTGAAATTCGTGTTGAATTACTTCTTGATACGCATTCATTTGGAAGTGGAGGAAGAGGCTTTGATGTTACACCGGGAGATGAAGAGGCGTGTGTTTTACGCGTCGCAGCGAAGGATGTGTTAATCGAAGCGTCACTGGATGAAAATCCAGGTGTCCTGGAGTTATTTGGCATCGGTCCTAACATCGCGATAACATCTGCTTTGAGTCTGTCAATGTCCTGCGGACTGGGCGTCGGACTTTCGATGAAACCTTCCTCCCATAGCGGAGGAAGGTAAGGCTTGGAGATATGCCCGATATTCTCGGAGTAGAAATCCTCTGTAGCTTCTGTTTCGAAGGAATCATCGGACCAACTTCCCAGTACTCTGGTCGCTATTGGAAGCCTGTCAACTCCGTCGTCCCCCATTGATGGACCGGGTATGGTGAGTAAGAACTGGATATGCAGGCATCCATCAGTGAGAGCACATGACCTGACCGTAGGAAACGTACCTCTTCTTTGACATGTCTTTCGGTCCTTTCGATTCGTGTGCACATTATGCGTACTGCCGTACCAACTACATGCTCCTGTCCTGTTTCATCGCAAGATGACAATGTACTTCCTTCTTCAAAGTCGTTGTACATTTCCTCAACGTCGGCTATGAATAGTCCAGCCTGCGGTAGCGTAGCAGGAACAGATTCTGCCCCACGTCTCTCAAGCTCAATCTCCACAAGCGCTGCTTCCGGTGGCACCTTGTCCTTCAAGCCATCATCGTCCGCGTCGAAATAAATAGTCCATTTGTTGGTTTGGATCTCCACAGCACGAAAGCCCTCCCAGTCTTGAAATGTGAGGTGTTGATTTTGCGGTATGCAATCAAACGGTCCCGCAAGATTGCACTCACTGTCCTCGTGCACGCCGTATTTGAGCTGATATGAGTGTGCATCCAGATACACCCAGTTCAACGTGGGGACCCAATCTTGGATAGGTGCGACGTCTGCTGTTGTGGATGTTGCGAGCCACTCTAATGGCTTGCCTGAATCTGGGAGGAAGTGAGGCGCGACGCGGTGTCCGATATCTCCTGTTTCAATACATATCTGTGAAAGTCAGCTGCATGTGATGCATAGGGTGGATTGGATTCACCTCTCCATTTCCAGAGAGAACAAGTGGCTTCCCGTCTATCTCTCCAGAACGATGGGATGTACCAAGGCAGTGTACAATCAGTTCTTCCTGATGCTCTCCTCGATTTGTGGGTTGCAGTGGACGACAAGTGGTGTGCATGCTTCGTTAGTTGTATGCGTAATTGACAATTCAGTCTGTGGTAGCCGTGTGATGTTGGTCTAAAACCCCGTTCGAGGTGTGATCCACTCCATGGCAATTTGCCTTCTGCGCCTATAGCTGGTATCTGTCATATGTCACGTCATTGTGAGCTCCAGCCTATATCACACATCATCGCAAGGATATGTGCCTACACAGTTGTATCGAGCAGAATTTCCGCCAACAAGGCTAGCTCGCACAATTAGGGGTATCGGCGTTAGTGGCAAGTATCTAGAGCGAATAGGGCGCACGCTGTCACTCGTCTTTTGAAGATGACGTACGATGCGTCCTTCGTGGATGTACGTATATCTTATGTGCATGGTACACCCCTGCCTTTCAGCCCAGGGCATGGAAGATCCTCAAACCAGGGCCGCGGTCGTGGATGCTCACCTCTGACGCACAAGTTCACCGCTGAATAAACAGGGTGATTATTGAGGAGTAATTTTGTCCAAGCCTACATTGAATACTGGAACCACTTGAATCCTTGTATTATGAAGGCGTTCTGCGCGAGCTTTGCGGTTGTCGAGCCCTAGCGAGAGTTTGTACGTACACAATTACTCAACACCTTTACCCTTTAACTTCAGCTTTTCAGGGTCATGCTTGACCTTGCCTGTCTTCAGATCACCTGCTTCGCCATTGAGCGCGTCGGCGAAAAGTTGGCCCAATCGTCGGATGGCATCTTCTCCGATTTGGTAGTGCACTACAAGTCTGCCAGCCCTTACGACGACGCCGTACTGTTCACCCAATTCGATGAAGCGGTTCAACTCTATGCCACTGCCTTCGAGATCGAGCCAGACCATGTTTGTATCGACAGGATATGAAATCTTACCGCCCAGATCTGTCCACAGCTGCTCGATCGTCTTGGCGTTCTCGTGCGATTTGGTAAGCTTACCACCGAGGAAGGTCTCCTCCACAGCGACACGGGCGGGTGCTGCTACCACACCAGCTTGACGCAGACCACCTCCGATGGACTTGCGGATCCAGCGCGAGCGCTTGATGAATGCTTTGGTGCCAACGATGATGCTGCCAATTGGTGAACCGAGACCTTTGCTAAAGCAAAGACTCGCGCTGTCGAACTCAGCGCAAAACTCCTTGAGTGTTCCTGCGCCGGCCGCGACAGCCTCCCATAGCCGTGCACCATCCAAGTGCATTATGATGTCGTTCTCGCGCGCAAACGCAGATATGCGACGGACCTCGTCGAGCGGCATGATCGTGCCATTCAGGGTATTCTCGAGTGAGATGACGCGTGTAGGGCACGCGTGGACGTCGTCTGAAATAACCGCGTGGCGCTGAACCTCTTCAAGCGTGATGTACTTTTTGTTCTTTGCATCAATGGGCTGGACCAGGGCCTGACTCAAGCTTGCTACACCTCCAGCCTCATATTGTATGACGTGGCACCTCCGATCGCACAGTACCGCTTGCGGCGGTGCGGTAAGGTGTGATCGAAGCGCGACCTGGTTGCCCATGGTGCCCGACAACACAAGCAGCGCGTCTTCCTTGCCTGTGAGATCCGCAATGAAGCGTTCCAAGGACAGTGTTGTAGGGTCTTCCATCGTGACATCGTCGAGGAGCGAGCATTGCGCGATCGCATTCAGCATCGCGGCTGTCGGCGTAGTGTGAACGTCGGAGCGAAAGTCGTAAGCGGCTGGGTTCTTCTGCGAGCCCCAGGCTATCTCCCCTTGCGTAGGACCGTTGTTAGAGGTTGGCTTGGTACCATTGGCGGTATACTGTGCGAACTCCGACATGCTGGACAGTCTGGGAGATGTGTGAAGCTTATGGTGGATTGAGGGGTTGCGATGAGCTTGTCGACCCAGTCGGGGTTTCAATAGGTGTCGTACTGGGTGCGCGTGAGGACAATCGGGCGCGGCAGGCGACACCACGTACTGGAGAGCGTGGAAAGCGTTTGTATCCGCGGAGGCAGCATGAGGGGCAGCGCTGGGTTATCTGCACGTAGGTCCGAATCATTTCTGGGGCGCGGAGGAGCCATGTAGCAGGTCCGCCCTAGGCTTAAGGAGGAATGAGCGAGCGATTTCATTCCGAACTTCAACGCCGACGCTCTCGCACATTCGATCGCTCCAGGAATCACCACGTCGTTTCAACAAGGACCAAAGCAACGTCAGCCGACACCCTCAAAACATTATCATACTATCTGTGGGGTTGAGGTCTTCTACTGCACGACTTGGACATGTGTACAGCATGTATGCGATTCTTTTTGCGCCCGTATCCTTCCCACCCACCCCTTGACCGTGCGCACTCTTCCACATTGATGCATCAGAACCTAGGCTTTGGTGGAAAGGTGTACCACCTCACCTTACCGATTTCTACCTTGAAGCTCCCCATCCACGGGCACTATTGGTGGTAGTGTTCACGTCCGTGTGTTTTGTCGAACCTATCCACAGTGGACGGCGTACGCCCCGTGTCGGGATGAAGCCGATGAAGTGCCGTATTCTGGCGTGAATCAAGACAGAGCTGGCAATAAGAGCTTCTCTCTTTTGAGGCTGCTCACTCGCTCACCGTCAAGGACGTGGCTGCGTCATGGCTGATTACCTGTGTCTGAAGCTTGTTATTCAGCATGGCAGTTGCTTCAAGACGGATAATATGCCGGGTAGCAGACGACGCAATTTCCATCATATCTGTCAAGTCAGTTCTGGATCGTGCATGATTAATTCAAGGTATATTTAAGGCTTACTGGCTGAGATGATCTGAACAGTTGTGATAATATTTATTCGGTACAATCGAGCTCCCATAGGGCAACATTGGCCTTGGATCGCAATGCTGTTGATAGTCTCCTCCATATGCAGTATTGCTCCGCTGCGAATGATCAGTCCTGGGCTGGTTGTACGCGTCGTACGGTGTATCGGCACCGTTCCACTTCACCGGGCTGCCTACATCGCTGGTATCAAATTGGCGATTCTGCTCCCAAGAAGGCTGAATAAGTCCGTTGCAGTTATCCCTTCGAGGTGAGGAGCTTTGTACCCCTGCATTGTAGCCCGATGATGTTGTTGAATTGTGGTGCGGACCGTACGTTGAATGATATGGCGTATGCTTGTAGTCTGCTACAGGAGACGACGTCTGTTGCGGTGGAGATGATTGCGGTGTATATTGCAGAGTCTGCGGCGGTGGAGACTGATAAGTATATTGAAATGGCCCGGGAGTCTGCGTTGGGTTGCCCACATATGGAGTCGGGGCGCTGGATTGCGGGTGGCCAATGTAATACGAAGTACTTTGACCGTGTGGTGAAATCTGATGCTGTGCTTCTGGAGGAGGTCCTTCACTGGGTCGCGGAAGGCGACCTGAAGTATCATACCCTGCGGCCGGTTTTTGAGAACCGCCCCTGTCAAGACAGTCAAACGCCTGTACAGCCTCGACCTTGACTTTAGCCTTCTTCCACTTCCCGTTCATCGCCACGATAGTTTGGGGCAAAAGGCGCTGTAACAAGTAACTGACAAGACACAGGGCGGGATCCGCAGCGTTGGCTGTACTCAGCAGTGAATGGTGTTAAAGACGTGAAACCGGTGAAGTCACAGGCTGAAAGCTCATTATTGTTTGCAGCCTCCGTTTGTGTTATATTCGGCCACATGGCGCCATTCGCCCTCAACGAGGCAACTTGAGTCAATGGCACCAAGTCCCACGAGCGGCTGCCTCACAGATGTTGAGTTGCCTCAGGCCCAATCTGCGACCGTACTGGAAGCCACGAACTTTTCGGCTGATACGACGGGATCTCGGATTGGTCGTTTAATAATGCACAGGAGAGGGCGGCCCGACGCGTTCGGAAAGTGGAAGGCTCCCTCAGCTGGGCACAGCCTTGTGCATTCGTCACAAGACACCCTGCACCATGTGTTTCGGTGCCACAGCCTTGTGTATCGCGCCCCGAACTCAGACTCAGCCTTGCTGCACCACCAACAGGTTCCAGCTAAAGAGCAATCAACGGGAGCATCGGACGGAACAGCAAACATCATGGTCCTTCAAAATGACATACAATCACGGACCCGCTTCTTCGCACTCTCTTCCGGGCCCAGTAACCGCGTCTTCCTCGAGTCTGCCCAGCACGTCGCCCCCAATTCCCCTTCAGACCCTATCTCCGTCGTCCACTTTCACGACAACGTCGCAGGATAAACGCAAGGCCGCGTGGAAATACGAAGGATACAAAGCCTTCAGTTCGTGGATGGCTTCAGAGGACGACTTCTTTCTCTTCCGGCGGTTCGGAGACCTTAATTCCCGAACGATACTATGGATGCAAGATCGCATCACACGCGTAGAGAATGACCTCAGAAGGCTTGACGAGATGGTTCATAAGTCGAAACTGGCCGACAATCTACGAAACGATAGCTTCAGATGGGACGAGAAATGGATGACGCAGCGTCACGCGCACATGGTAGAATTAAGTCAGCTGTTACACCACTATAGTAAGTGCTTTCATGTTCCCAAGAATACAAGCTCTACTGACAGCAAAGATCAATTTATCGATGGCTACGCCAAAGTACGCGCTCGGCCCCGCGCTGACAAGCGTCTCGTCGAGAACGTGGAAAATTGGCTCGATCGGGGCGCGATCGATCCGGAAGAGTCGTCTTTCCTTAGACACACCGATGACCTGACTTCAATCCACCATCGTACGCTTCCTCCTCTAGGGCGCTGGTTAGAGTCATTCGCGCAGCTTCACCGCAGCAGCTTTTTCCGCGCAAAGCATGGCAACGACGCCGTCCAGAAATCATCTGGAACGACCATCTCATCGAATTCGCGATTCGACCTCGTCACCAATACTAGCATCATATTCGGTGGGCTCGTCATGTTGCTAGCTCCACTCTGGTGGCTAGAGTACGTGAACGATAGTGCAAAGAAGTTGGCAGTCATGACCGGATTCATATGCGTCTTCGTGGCGCTCGGGTCGGTGGCTACGGTGAACCGGCCTGCCGAAGTGGTTGCTGCAGCTGCAGCGTACGCTGCCGTGTTGATGGTGTTCATGCAGGTACAGAAATAGGCGGAGAATCCATCATGTCGGCATATGCTGAATACTCAGGAGATGGATCAGGTCGCGCATGTATAGTACGTTAACATCAAGAATGTAGGCTTCTTCCGATGTTCCAGAACTAGCTTATTCTAGGGCAGGCTGCCCATGCAAGCTCAGCCATGCTGCGTTCTTCTCTACGGTCTCCTCCTGCACTTCCAATATCTTTGGTGTTCTCAACACCTCCAATGGATTGTCTCGAGGCTTTGCCGTCTGCCTTTCCGCGCTCTGGGTCTTCAATGCACTCCCTTTCGACAGGCCGCCATTGACACATTTTCCATTCCCCCACGCCACATCTACAGCCTTTTTCCACACATTCTCCACATCAACGATCATGTCCTTGGTGTAGAACAACCGGCAGTCAGCTTCCTCCCTCACAAATTGCGCCGCGAGCCCGTCATCGACGTGATCCTGCTGGACGACGTCGCGGATGTTGACGCCTGCTGTCGCGGTGTATCCTATGTATTCTCGATGGTTTAAGAATGTGTTGTCCATCCAAACGTAGTCGGGATCAGACATGTTCTGTGTCTGCCAAAGGTAGAAAGCGTCCTGGTACACTCTTTGATACAGCGTATCCCAGGTGGCGAGCTCACCGCCTTTGACGCCACCAACCGCTTGCATGGGTTTGGTGTTTGGTAATCCTCCAACGGCTATGGATTTGACCTTTGCCTGCTTCATGAAGTCGCTGAAAAGAAAGCATGTGGAGGCACAAAATCCGTCGGTAAGCTGTACAGGTATCTGTTAGTTGTCGAATTGTCTTGGCTGAATCTGCATCTGTGGCAACTTACTATGATTATGTTCTCCGCAGCAAACGGCTGGGTGAAATTGGTCCTGTTGCCATACCCTGTGATCTCCGTCCCAAACGCTACCGGACCCTTCGTGGTCAAATACGGATCATTCAAATCCCACTGCAGCAGCGAGCTGTAGCTCGACTCCCCAACCTTGTGATCTGCCCACTTCTGCTCCGTGCTCTGGAATTTCTTCCCATCGATGTCCAAGTCATGTCGGTAATTCCAGCTCTTCTCGTACGCTCGAACTTCTTCCATGGCGCCCTTGCTTGGGTCAAATCTTTCGGGCACGATTTTCTGGTTGATCTTGATGGCTCTATCTTGGACATCATTATTTCGGAAGCGCGTTAGGCCGACTTGCTCAGTCTGCGGGAAGAGTTGCCGGAAGAGGTCGTAACCCGAGAGAATGTACCCTCCATTGTTGGCACTGAGGTCGACTACAAGCTTCTTCTTGCCGTAGCGTTTCGCGTCTGCAAGGAAAGTTTCGGCTACCGCTTGATATTCGACGACACTGCTGGGCGAGAAAGAAAGTACGCTAAGCACTGCGACATCATCCAGACCATCACCAGAGAGATAGTAGCCAGCCAACGTGCCATCTTTCGTTGCAATAACTGCCGTCGGGTATCCTGCAGGCTGATTGGGAATCTTGATGGGACTTGACAATTTGCTACCTCCTCCGGCGTATCGATTGATGAAAAAGAAGTTGTCTGTGGCTCCAGTGAAGTCCCACTTCAGCAGAGCGACATTATCAACTGTGATGGACGTGCCGTTTTCGAACGTGTAGGTTGTGTTCTCGCCCGGGTAGATATTACTTGTGCGCCCACCTTGAGCAAAGTAACCGCCGTTCGAAATATGGGCCGCCACATATGCCTTATTGTAAAACATGGCGTTGTAGCCCGCATCGGGATCTTGTGAGGCTGCCCGAAATACGAGATCTTCAATGAACTTCTGCGCATCTTGCCCATCGATCTTGGACAAAGGCGAAGCATCGACAACAGAGTTCAAGATATCGTCTATTGATCGTGATCAGTCGTTATCTTTCTTAGTTCGTATTTCAGTTGCCTTACCGCGGAAGAAGATTTCGGGCAATGCGGACCCATCCTTGCTGACCGATACCAAGGATACCGTTCTACTCCAGTACCATGGGTTTACGAGAAGGTCAGGATAGAAGATCAAATGTCCACTGTGCGCAGGTGCAAACACCTTCTCGAACAACTCCACTTGGAACTCGTAATCGTTCCCGTACTCTTTGTTCTTGACCCTAGACTTCACTTCTGCTAGCCTTGCTCGGAGATCATGCGCCGGATATGGCCAGTCAGCGGGAGGATTCTTCAAGGAGTCCAAGCCTGACAATGTATTAGTTGAATATTACAAACGTCGAGCATCGTGCCTACTTGTTTCAAAGTTGAGGTAAAGGTCCAAGTTTTGCAGCATAAGCTCGATATCATATGTCCGTCCTTGTCCAACGGTGATGTTCTTGAGGCAATCGAGCGTTGGCCCGATGGGAATGCTAACAGGTGCAGCTGCCAACGATTTAGCGACATCATGTAAACGCGATTGATTGGAAGTGTACCTGATGGATTGGCATCGTGCGACGACTTCTGTAGCTCTGCAATTCGTCCGCACACTTTGTCTTTCGTTCGTTGAGCGCCAGCGAACGGGTTCGACAGGAGCACCCATGACAAAGACACTGCTAGATTACGTCGATGCATGGTGGCTTACGTGTAAAACGCGATCCCTGGTGACAGAGTGACTGAGCAAACGGTTCTTGGGAGGACTTATAAGTTCAACGAGTAGTAGGTATCTACTTTCATTTCCTGATCCGATACTGGTCGGCCATGCGCTCGGCCAACGCACCCTGGAACATGCGAATATCCTCGTACGGACAAAAATGTCGTTTCTCAAGCCGTAAGAAGCAGCTTAGGATTTTGCCGCATTCGACATTCCCTTTTGCTACAGAGATAGAGGCTGAGCAGAATTACCGGCGGGGTGAGCGAGGGATAATCTGCGAGAGATTCCTCCACCATCCTACATCGGAACAAAAGGTTCATATCCTGGTCTATCGAGGTGTGATGTTATTGGCGGTCATGCATTAGCCGTGCCCGGGAAAGGTAGGAACAAATTGCGTGGCGTATATCCTTGTACAGATCATATAGCCGAGGCGCAGCGAGAACATGTCTACAGCGTTATGAGGTTCACGATTACATCTACTTCAACGCGCATGGTGACCAGTAAGCAGAGAGACCATTTGCCCATGAGACTTTCGGGTCAACTTGGATAAGCATGCAGTACAAGTAAATGTACGTCGAACGCATGTGAGAACATTGCAAGTGGGGCTTGGGGCCTTCATGTTGGCCTGGACCTTCTCAGTTAGGCGTGAGAGACGGTTCGTCAGCATGGATATTCGGACGCGCGGTCTTTCAGAATCGATTTCGCCGTAAGCGCAAGCCCGATGGGATCGCATGGTGTACATACGCAGTCTCCGAGCTAAAACTTGCCTTCTCAGCGATTCCCACTCGCAACTTATGGTGGTTGAATGCACCTGCAGAATAACTGCAACTCTTGATTCGCCCAAAGAGCAATACCGTGCAGGTTTAACTCCGGATGCACCCCAACAGCAAGATTGAACAGACTAATAACAATGTAGATAAGGTTTACGTACAGCCGAAATTATTGAAGTAAAAGAAGAGTTCAAAGATCCAGGCCTGCAGAAAAATTAGAGTGTCGTATACCGGTATGTAGAAGAGAAACATGCAGCGCAGGTACTGTGAACGTAGAAGAAACTGCATTCATTCGGAGGCTAAAGCGTTGAGTACCGCCCATAGCGCGGAAACGATCCCATCGAGTCTCAAACCATATCTGGACGGTATTCCGCCTTTTTCTCGTATGAAACACTGCTAGAGTTCTCCGTCTTCCCTCGATACATATAGTAGATGTACGCCAGGAAACACCCTTGAATAGCAATAGCTGCGAACTGCAAGGCCAAAGGTATTATTCCCATTGTGACGACGAAGTCCGTGGCCTCCGCAGTTGCACCCGTGTTAGTCATGCCGAGAACAGATGCCCATATTTGGAAGAGGGCGGCGAGACCAAGGATTACGCTTTCTCATGCGACGTTGACGGTGAGCCATTTTTTCAGTTTCTTTCCCGATCTTTTGTTTCTGATCTCTGTACCGTACCTTCTTACATCTGCCGACATTCAATGCCGCATACGGTGTGAAATTGCGTTGAAATATTCAAGATTCATTCTTTTCCAGAATTCGTTCTGCTGTAAACTCTTACATAGTGACCTAACTCATCAAGTAACTAATTTACAGTTTCGGCTTCACATCGTCAGGCTTCGCAACTTCGACGAGCAATTTACCTTCACATATTAGCAACTACCATGAAGCATGTCAGAGGTGAACTTACCAGTGTTTACTCCATTGTACAAATCGACGAGGGCCTGTTCCGCTTTTGTCAGACCGCCCTTGACAATCGTCTCCTTGCGCTTCAGTTTGCCTTCCGACAGCCATTGTGCCAGTTCCTTCCGGGCTTCAGCGTACTGCTTCTCGTAATCGAATACGATGAAGCCTTGCATGCGTATCCGCATGGATATGATCATTAGGTAGTTCTTAGGTCCCTGCGGCTTGCTCTTATTATACTGGCTGATGGCACCGCACATGACGAACCGTGCATGCGGCTTTGCTCGGGCGAGAGCCAGATCGAGGATATCTCCACCGACATTGTCGAAGTAAACATCGATCAGCCCCTTCGTTGCTTCTCTAAACTTCTTCGCAAAGTCCGCATCTTTGTAGTTGAGGGCATAGTCGAAACCCAGCTCCTCCTTCAGCCACTTTACTTTGTCGTCACCACCCGCCAGCCCCAACACCGTCGCGCCCTTGATCTTCGCGATCTGGCCAACAACGCTACCAGTGGCACCTGCAGCTCCCGAGACCACAACGAAATCCCCCTTCTTCACCTGTCCGACGTCCAGAATGCCGAAATAAGCCGTCAGGCCGGTCATACCCAACACGCTGAGCGCATCCGTTGGTACCGCACCTTCGGGAAGATCCAGCGCCTGGAGCAGCTTATCTTTGACAACTGCGTACTCGGTCCAGCCCACCGTGCCGCTAGCGTACGTGCCAACAGGGAATTTCTGCGACTTTGATGCAAGCACGATGCCGATTGCCGCGCCGCGCATCACCTCGCCGATCTTGACGGGCGGTACGTAGGAGCGCGTGTCGTTTAGCCACCCGCGCATTGCAGGGTCGAGGGAAAGGTATAGTGTTTGGAAGAGGACTTCGCCATCTTTGAGGGTTGAGGCGCTCGGAACGGGGTGCTGCTTTGCTGTGAAGGTTTTGCCGGGGAGAATCTGGTCTTTGGGGCGCTCTGCTAGGTGAATGGAGGTGTAGGAGGGCATTTCGGCGAATCTAGTTGGGGTTGGGGATGATGAATTCAGGATGCCGCCGGGATAGTGAGCGCTCAGTAATCAGCTCTTCTGGTCGTGATGCTGGTGAAGGAATGTTGCGACGCAGCAAAAGTCGATTCAAAAGCAATGTCGAAAAAGCGGTACCGAGGCTCAATGGAATATGTACGTCGGTGCAATGCACGGATTACGTTAGTTAGCGTGCCCGCGTTAGGGTGATGGCGTTTGTTAGGTGTGGGGTTCGGTGAGAGCGATGTTGGAGAGTTACCGAGGCACGCTGTTTCAGCCCTACGAGCCAGATTGTGAGCAGTCCGTCCCATACGAAGAGATCAGACATGCAGCCCATTATTGAGCTCGACTATTGAAAGTAACAACATAACTATCAAAGGATGGTCAAGGATAACTGCACGTGGGGTACTACCCGGCAAGCATGCGTGTTTTGGCCGCGCCTTGTCCCAGACATGCACACGAGAAGGCGCAGCCGCGGCACCGGGCAGCCTCCGTCTAACATACATCAACGATGCCTCGCATAAGCCCACAGCTTGTGCGACCCACTCCGAGGCCAAATCTGAATCTACTGGCGTCTATGAGCCATGAACGCAGCAGTTTACGATGACGGCCCGCTCCGAAACGAGATACGACTTGTACACCTCCTGCCAGGTGACTGGACAGACCCCATATTTTGCGAGCTACAACGAACGTTTTTTTGCGACCATCCCAAGTACTACAGTCTATCCTATGTGTGGGGATCTCGTAGGTCCCCAAGAGAAATATTGGTCAATGGGACACCGTTCGCTGTAACGGTGAACCTGGAAAGCGCACTGCTTCACCTGCGGCTGCAGCACGAGGATGGACTCGTCATGTGAGTCGACGCGCTCTCAGTCAAACAAACGGATTTGGACCAGAGAACGCACCAGGTAGAGCTGATGGGTCGCATCAGCCATGCAAGACAGTGTTCGTACCTCTAGGTGATGGACCGAAGGACAAGAGGGGCAACAAGGATGCACCCGAGATCGTACAGTCATGGCGACAACCGCGATATGTTACACATCGACGGTCACCTCGACCAGACAGCTTTATTACGACAACATTACGAGAACGGCTTGAGCAAGTCCCCGTTCACCACACGCGAGGTGTTCTCCTTCATGCGTGCATTAGGAAGTGACTCGCATCTCGACAGGCTGGGCAACATGTCCTCCTATCTGGGGCCTGGAAATTACAACAAGGACCAAACGAATCTATTCGAGGCCTTGCGAAGACTAATGAATCAGCCCTGGACGCCATGGTGGAAGAGAATCTGGACAGTGCAAGAGGTCACGATGCCTAAAGACGTATTGATGGTCTGCGGCTCAGTCTCAGCGCCCTTGGGCATGTTCGCAGAAGCAGCCTCGATGTCCATGCAACACAGCAGTACATACTGCGCAAGGATCGCTGCGTCAGTCCAACGTGATTTGTGGATGGTGCTCGTTGATTTCAGCAGCCAGGTGCGCGACATCCAGGACATCCGCTCCGCCTATGCGCGTCAAGAAGCCTGGTCCGCATCAGACACCTACGGAAATGTCCAGTTGAAAGATATGGCTTTACTACGCTTCTTGGAACGGTTCCGCAACCGAAAAGCATCTGATCCGCGCGACAAAGTGTATGCCCTGCTCTCCCTCGCTAAGACGATTGGAGGAGGACCGCACATCGTCCCTGACTACACGCTGAGTGATAGAGAAGTGTATGCACAAGCGACGTTTGCGATAATGCGGGAGTCAAAGTCTCTTGCGGTCCTGAGTACCGACACAGGCAGGAAGTTCCGGCAGGACTTGCTAAGCTAGGTGCCCCATTGGAGTGCGCCAGGTACACAAAGTAGCGATATCCGCGCTGATGCGATTCTTTCGTACCCCTTCCTAGGTCTGAAGCGGGCTTCCACCTTTCCATTCCGGATGAAGGCGGATTCGGTGCTGCAAGTCTCTGCTTCGCCTATAGACGTGGTATCCCGGGTTGGGGAGGTCCTACTGGGCGACAGTACGCTCGTTACCCGCGATACTATCTCTAACTGGTTGGATGTCTGTCTCATCGCTTCGTCCACTGGCATGTGGAAGCGGTTCTAGGAGCTCCTCTGCGCCGACATATTCTGCGAAGAACCGGCGAGCTCTAACATTAGCGTGCGGAGAACCACGTTCAAGGACGAAATCACCTTTATATCTTGGGCTATCGAGTCAACCAGGTCGCCTTTCAACTTATGCACAGGCCAGACCGAGGGCAAGGAGGCCTTTCGACGCGACACGTATTACAATAGACTCGGGGATGCAAATCTGGACTTGACCAGTTCGCAGGCTGCAGGGCTTTGGAAGAATCTGTTGTATCTCGACGACAGCACGTCGATGCCCAACATGGGATCGCTGCTGGAGGAGGTTTTGGGGAGGGGCACCGCGGCCGCTGTATCTGTCGGGCTGAATCCGTCAATGGAGATTCAGCACAGGTTCGCACCGTTTGATGGCGATACAAAGACTATCATTGAGAAGTTGGCGACCGAGCATGGGCTCTTCTGGGGTGATTCGATGGCGTTGGACGGTAAGATCCAAGAAGATGTGGCGTGGGCTGACGTGTATTTGGAGATGGAAGAAAAGCTTTGGCCACTTTTGGGGAGGAGCTGGTAGGTTGTGCTCGTCGGTATTCGAAAGCCGTTTGCTGATAGTGGGCAGCGTCTCAATACTGACAGCAAGACGCGACAAGAGCGTGTGGCAGCGATTGATGCGTCCATTATGGCGGCCACGCTCTCTCAGTGCCTGTTCCTCACGAAGAGCGGGGATGTAGGACTGGCCCCAGCCAGCACTCGTCCTGACGACCAAGTATTCTACGTTGCGGGTGGTGCAACACCGTTGATCCTGCGAACCACTAATGAGTTCATGCAAACCTCTGATGACGGTCTTGTCCAGCGTTACAAGGTCGTAGGCGACTGTTATGTGCTGGGGGTGAACGACAGAGCGCTACCTACCATCCCATATCATTCGATATACCCTGTTTAAACTACTCACAGACACCCCGTGCGATTGCATTCCTCGCTATCCTGAACACCGGCGGCCTCCGCCGTGCATACACAAATCTCACCAGCGCTAACGGTCAGCCGCGGCCCAAACAACCCCACCATCGCGTCCCGCCAAAGCTACATAGCTTCGGGAGGCCCCGCGCTCCTCCCTTTCTTTCCCTTTCGCCATGTCATCGCAAGCACCAGTCAAGCCAGTCTCTGCCGAACAGGTCAACGAGAAGGATGGGCTGATCCACGGCGTTTCGGCTGCCGAGCTGCAGTCGCTGTGTACAACGAGCTTAGAGGCGCGCGGGAAGGCGTACTGTACGTGAACATTGTAGCTATATCTGCTCCCCTCTCAGGACAGATCAGCACGCAGACAACCTCACTGACCGCTTCCACAGGCCCCTATTCCCTCTTTCGCGTCGGTGCCTCGCTCCTCCTGCACACCCCCGACGCCTCAGGCCAAACCACCATCACCGGCGCCAACGTCGAAAACGCGTCCTACCCCGTCGGCACGTGCGCAGAGCGCGTCGCCATGGGCACAGCCATTCACCAGGGACACAAGCTCGGGTCGTTCAAGGCTATCGGCGTGGTCACGGACATGGACGACTACTGCTCGCCGTGCGGCATGTGCAGGCAGTTCCTGCGGGAATTCCTGGCACTCGAGACCCCGATTTTCATGTTCAACAAGGGAGGCAAGTTTATCGTCAGGACGATGGGCGAGCTGCTGCCGCTGAGCTTTGGGCCCGATGTGCTTCCGCCGAAGGAGGCGCTGAGGAAGAATCTGAATGAGGCGGAGCTGAAAGGAGCGGGTGTGCAGTAGGAGAGTTGGAGGCGTGGGGCTGTTGAATGCGACTTCTGGAGTCTGGCCGGGGGCGTGAGGGAGTCGCTGTGAGGATGGATGTGTGAGGTAGGCCTGGGGGCCTCGCGGCTGGGCGCCGTAGACGGAGCATTAGCATCGTTCTACGACCATGAAAACCAATTGTTCAAGATACAAATAACCGAATATCCGAATATTTCTTGCCCAGGTGTAATCTCTTGCCCGTGCTTCTCCAACGACTGTTTGGTCTTGCCTTTCCACCTCCCCGCATGCCGCCCGCCGATAAGCTTATCTCAACCCTCTTCCCCGCCAGCCTATCTCCGCGCGCCGTGGATGTCGCAACTGCATCCACCAAACAAGCAAGCATGTCGCGAAAGACCTCCTCTCCAAGGCATTGTGCCTTCTTTCTCCTCCATCCTTGAAGTCTGAAGTGAGCATGGCCGAGCACATTGCGCCTGGCGACTCGGAGCACACGAACCCGTACCGGAGTGATGGGAAGCTCGTAAGTGATTATTGAACAAGTGATGATCGGGAGGTGCAAGTGTGTCTAACAGGAATCGCAGTATGGTTTTGTCTGCGTTGTGACGGGGGCCACGCAGCCAGTAGGGAAGGCAATTGTCGCAGAGCTCGCAAGTACGTCTACCAGAACGCTTCGATCCGATTTCCCTCTCTTCGCGTACCACTGCGGCGACAAAGTTGGGCATTGGGTGCTTCCCCCCGACTAAGCAAGAAGCAAAATATTCGCATGACCGTCTTGGAAAGGTCGGCCTCTTCAGAGCATGCTAAGACGTCCCAGCCCATGGCGCAGCCTGCATCTACGCGTGCTCGAGCTCCGAATCAGACCCCTACGACGCCCTCGTCTCCTCCATGGCCTCCCAATTCCCCAACACAAAAGTAATCCCCTACCCGTACCACGCAACTTCGGAAGAAGCCACCCTCGGGCTAATCGACGATGTCCTCAACGCCTGGGGACGACTAGACGGTACGCTACTCCCCAGTCGAGAACCCTCCCATCTCAAGCACATCCACCTCGTTGCCAACCCCACCCCTACACCTCATCTAACTCTGCATTGCGCAGTCTGGACGTCCTCCACCGGGCTGCTTGGCTCGCCCTCCATCACAGCCACCGGCCCCGCCGACCTGCTCGCCGCCTTCGAAACAAACGCCATGCCCGCCTTCTTCGCCCTCAAGTACGCCCCCGCCGCAATGACAAAAACCACCACCCAGCGCGGCAACTACCCAAACGCCGCGCCAAAGGACGTGCCGTACGGCTCCATCGTGGTAGTGTCCAGCGTCGCAGCTACATACGGCGGGTGCTGGGGCCCCTCTTTTACCATGTCGAGCCACGCCGCACTCGGTGTAGTCCGCGCGGGCGTCGCGGTGCTCAAGGGCACGGGGGTGAGGATCAACGCCGTGACGGCGGGGCAGATTGACGTCGGCGTGGACCTTGAAGCCGCGGGCCTGGAGGAGCTTGAGAAGGGGCAATTTCCGCCGGTTACGCTCCAGAGCGTGGAGACGCAGAAGAGGGTCGTGGGACTGGAGAGGGCGGGAAGGCCTGAGGAGGTTGGGCGGGTGGTGGGGTTTCTTGCGAGCGGGTTTAGTTCGTATGTGACGGGGGCTGAGATTCGAGTGGATGGGGGCGCGAGCGTGATGAATCCGCTAACAGTGCCGGTGTAAATAGATGGGTGTGTAAAGAATACTGCGCGCTTGATTACCGGAGAAGTTGCCAAACCCCGTGAACCATCTGGAACAAAAAGGTGCCCATGATTAAGATCACCCACGTCGGCCGAAACGACGCGTCCTACAGCTCGTCCTTGTACACCTCCTCGCTGCCCTCGTGCGGCCCGCCATCCTCGCCTGCAGCATCCTTCTCGCTACTACTCATCCCCTTCGGCTCGCCCCTCTCCTCCCCAGCCTTCTCCTTCTCCTTCCCACTTCCCTTTCCTTTACCCTTCTTCTCCTCGCCCTCCTCCGGCTCAATAAACTCAATAAGCCTATATTCCTTCTGCCCAGCCGGCGTCTCAATCAAATCGAGCCGCCACTCCTTCTTGCCCGCAATCTTCTTGCTATTGCGCTGCAGCTTCTCAACGTCACGCACCTCCATGCCCACCTTCTTCAGCTCCTCCTTGCTCATCATCTTGCCGTCGCTGGTCACCAGGGTACCCAGGAAAATCTCCTTGCCGCCGCCGGCGATGATGCCCTTCTCGATGACGCGGCCCTCGCCGCCGACGAGCTTCTGCGCGCCGACCTCGATGCCGCCGATGACGGGGCCGCGCTTGGATGCGGGGTCTGCGCCGCCGAGGGGGTTCGAGGCGAGGGCGGCAAGAAGGTCCGACTGCGCCACTTTGTCTTCGAGGCGGGCGAGGTCCCATTCGTCGATTTCGGAGGGCGCGAGCACGGGGTGGCAGGTGATCGGGTGGGCGAGGTTCTCTTGCGGCGGCTGGAAGGCGACGTCGTTGCAGAGGCGGGGCGTGTAGATGATCATGAGGTAGGAGCACGTGCTGACTTCTTTGATCATGGCGATTTTGTCCATGGGCTGCGGGTTGCAGTGGAACTGGGCATGGCGTTAGCATCTACATGGCATAGAGATCAGGTGAAGGTTCCCTACCTGTACTTCGATCTTGCGCTCCCTACCCGTGAGATCGCATTCGGTGCCGCCTGCCAGCCGCTGGACCATGTATCGGCTTGAGCCCTTGGTTTCCAGGCGCGGGAGATCGAGGCCCGTCTCCGGCTTGTTCTCGGGCGCGGCCTTGCCCGGCTTCGCCTCGCCCTCGTCGTCCAGACCCCGCGCTTCCTGCTCGCTGCCCAGCGTCTTCCTCTCCCCGCCCTTGTTCTGGTCGGCGTCTTTCTCCGAGAACCTGCCCAGAATGAAGCTGTTGACAGCATGGTCCTCGACGGGCGGGTAGATGGGCGCACCCCCGCGGCCCGGCGGCAGCTGGTGGAACTGCTTGACATGGTCCTTGTAGCAGAAGCTGTAGCTCCACCAGCCACTCAGATAATATATGCAATCGCCCTTCATGCCGTCGAGCAGCTCCCCGCCGCGGCTCGACGCACGCACAAGCTCCTTCTCCTCGTCGGCCTTTGCTTCCTCGGGCGACACGGTGCTGTTCTGCGGCACATGCTCGGGGAAGACGGGGATGCTGCAGAGGTAGCGGCGCCCGTCGAGCACCACGCGCTCGTACGCCAGGTCGAGTGCGTCGTCGCGCTGCGGTATGTCGGACGGCGGCTTGCCCGGCTTCGAGAGGTCCTGCGTCGCCTGCGACACGGGCGTCGCCGAGCTCGTGCTGCGCGATACCGACTGCGAGAGGAGCGCGGTGGCTTCGTTCTCCGTCATGTACTCGTCTGGAAAGACGACTTCATACTGCGATGCTGGTCAGCGGGGCGCGAGTCCAAGCCGTGGGCAGATGCGCACCTGCGGGAAGGCAAGCAGGTCCTCGAAGACGCTGAACGAGTGCGGGCTGGCAAGCGCAATGCGCAGGAACGCCGGGAGCGCCCAAAAGTGCCTCATGGCGGGCGCAGAGCAAAAAGGCGATACGTGGTTGCGAGGTAATCAAGTTGCGCTGAGGCGTGGCCGGGGAGCTTGGAGCCAGATGTCACTTGCGCCCGCCATCTCACCTGCCGCTGCCCGATCCGGCTAGCCTGCGGTATGTCTAGATACCCACCACGCTGATTCCGCGAATAATCTGCATGTGTCGATTGTTTGCATTCATCTATCCTATTTGATCACCCTGCTACCGTGCTAGCGCCCTCCGCCCATAACGCCAGAGGACGCACCATACTACGCTCCAGACCGTCGCGATGCTGGACAAAAGAGAAAAAGACCTCGATGGTCTCAATGAATGCAACGATGCCGCCAACGCCCGCTAAGATAATGTACATGCACACAGACGGGGATGTAACACCCGCGCACTAGTTCAACTTGGTTCCGAACTGCACCCTGAAGCTCTGCCCGGCGGGGCGAGGCTGTACGCTGTTGCCGTGGTAAAACTCGCACTTGAACTTCAGACACTGGCTGCGGTCCGAGAAGACCTGCACGATGTCACCCGAGTGCAGGTTGCCGTAAAGAGCCCGGCCCTTATCGTCCTTTTGTCGGAGGTGCTTGCCGTTGACCCAGAGGCCGGACCTAGCTTGCGTGTAGATGCCGACTTGCAGGTCCTCTACGTTGGTCCAGTCCTGTCCGTTTTGAGACAGCTCTTGCACCAAGTTCACGTCATTCGGGGACCACCAAAAGATGTAGAAGGCCGTCTTAGGAATGCGGATGTCCGTGGCATCTTCATACACAATCGTGCTCGTCTTCAAACGACCCCACGAGGTTAACCGCTGGTCAATGTTGAGGGTAAGCGAAGGGTCGAAAGAATCGGCCGTCGCCACCAGCTTGCCGACTCGGCGTGGCGGAGCTTTGAAGTCCGGCTCGGTGGGCAACTGTGGACTTGCTTGCACCTGGAGAGCTGCGACCGAAGCAACCGAAGTAACCGAAGCGTCGCTGTCCCCGTGGCCAGATTGTTGCATCGTGTCTGCGAGAGAGGCGACGTCTGTGGCATCCTGCTGTTGCGCGCCAAAATCGAACCCACTGACCTTCTGAGCATATTCAACGTTGTGCGTGGAAGGGTCAGCAGGATCATAGAAGAAGGATGGCGTCTTTGGAAGACTGATCATCCGGCTTGGAGGTGGTCGTGCCCTTGGCGTTGGTTCGCTGCTCTGGCTAGGGTTCTTTTGAGAATAACCGAGAGAGTTGTGTTGCGGGACCTCTGGTGTCTTGGGTGTGGCGGGTTCATTCGGAGTTTCTCTACCGGACCCGAAAGACTGCGGTGAAGCCATGTTCAACTCTCGTACACCAGATTCAGCACCAAATAGGCTCGAGGAGGAAATGTCGCGATCAAGCGTTGGTGTGTTGCCAGTGGATGCTTTTCGACGTCTACCATTCTCTCGATATTGTACACCGGATTCAGCGGATCCGGCATCTGAAAGGGCTTGCTTTGCGTGCACATGCAGAACGCCAGAGCTTTCTAGGGCTGACTGCCCGATTTCGCCAAACAAGCGATGCGTATTGGGTGCCTTGGGCATAGGCTGGAAGCTTTCATCTTCAAGAACACCTTCCATATCAGATTGGAAAGATGGAGCGGCGCTTGATTCATCGTCATGGTCCCGCAGCTGGTATCGCGGAAACAAAGGGTCATGACGGATGCGCTTCGACTGCCGTGCGTCAATGAGTTGTTCAAACTCCTCGTCAGACAAGACATCAGCTTCGTCGGCCTCATCAGATTCGTGCACCTTTTCGTTGATGCTGAGCTGCGACAGTTGATGTTCGGCCTCGTCCTCGCCTTCATCCTCTTCGACAATAGATTCCAGGGCTGGGTCTGAACGAAAGATCACAAAGTCAGCACAAAGTCATAGATGGAGGAGGGTGGGATGATGGCAATAGTAGCTTGGATGTGCGATTGGTGTCTGACAAGGGGAAACGCCCAGCGGCATTACATACCTTCCGGAATGTTCGCACCCTCTCGGAGCCAAGGGTGTTGCAGGCATTGGATTTCCGAGGGACGCTGGGATGGGTCGCGGCGCAGCATCTGCGTGAGCAGGTCGATGCAAGCGGCTGAGACGTTGCGCGCTTGTAGTGGACCAATATCCAGTACCGAATCCATGATATGGTCGAACATGGCGCGGCCTGTGGAATCTTGCTTGCCTTCGAAAGGCGGTGCACCGCAAAGAGCGTTCCAGAGCACGCCTCCAAGCGAGTAAATGTCACAAGCGGAGCTGTACGCCTTCTCGTTCCCACGTCGGCGCTTCTTAGACTTCTCGTAGAACGGGAAAACCTCTGGAGCGCAGTAGAGAAGGGTGCCACAGAAGGTCTTCAAGAAAGTCTCCTCGTGTTGGACCATCTTTGACAGGCCAAAGTCGGACAGCTTGACCTGCATGGGCTCGACTTCCGAGATGAGAATGTTGTCGGGCTTAATGTCACGATGCGTGACGTTCTGGGCATGAAGATGAGCTAGAGCGCTCAGGACCTGTTGGGCCACAAGTCGCATCACGTCTTCCTTCATCGGACCCTCGCCATCGGGACGCATGCCCGCCTCCATGTGCTTGCGCAGATCACCATACGGCGCGTACTCCATGATAATGTACAGATAGTCGCCTTGGTCGTGGTAATCGATGAATTGGACAACATTGGGATGCTTCAAGTTGCGCATGATGGATAGCTCGTTTTCGACCTTTTTGTCGAGCCGACCGTCCTTCATGAATCGTCGCTTCTCGAGCTCCTTGGCGGCCAAAACAGTCCCGTTCATCTTCTCAGCGATCTTGTACACGGTTGCAAATGCGCCTTTGCCGAGCTCGCCCATGATGGTGTAATTGTGTCCACCATTCCACCGCATCAAAGTCTGATACGGTTGTTGCTGGCGCCGCAGCACTTTATCCCGTTCCTTTCCCTGGAAGCACTCGCTCATGAAGTTGCGCTTGTTCTCTTCGTAGTTCCAGATTTGTGCCTGTGAGGATCGAGGCGGAATGCGCACGTGGAAACGGATCATCTCGTTGTCGTTCGCACTGTTGGCGATGATGATTTCCGAATTGCTGGTCAGCACGCGGGTCTTCTCGGCACGATGGTCTTTGCTCTTCAGGACGGTGTTGTCGACTCGGGTCCCGTTGGTAGAAAGGTCTTCGATCATTGCCAGGCCCTCCGCGTTGAGGTAGATCCGGAAATGCTGGTTGCTGATGCGCTTGCCTGTGTCCTGGCCGAAGACGATATCGACTAAATTGGCATTACGCCCAAAGACGAAACCCGAGAACTTCTGTTTGAGGTGACTGATGCTTGAAAAGCGCAGCGCGAGGTCGGCAGGTCGTTGAACAGACGTCTTACCCCGAGGGGTACCGTCCTCTCCAATGATAATGGTCTCCTGCTCTTCGATGTTGGTCACATATGACTCCATGTCGTGGAACAAGACATGGTAGCTACGAGTCAGGGCAGTCTGTTCCACAATTCTAGTGGCGGCCGGACTCCCTGCGATGAGCAGTAAAATTATATCTGAAGAGTCGTGATCGCCGACTCCGGAATTATCCTCTCCAACACGTCGCGGATCGAGTACTTGCTGGGTAGGCTGAGTGTCCTCATATTGAGATGCCATTTTCGCAACGAAGTGGAAGGTCCAGTGCAACTTCCGAGGTGCGTGCTGAAACGGTTGTGCAGCCTCGAGTGTACCGGGATGTTTATGGATATAGCCTTAGGTCAGTAGAGATGGGACAACGTTCAGGCAGAAGTTCGCGAAACTGGCGCGCGATCTGGAATCACGCGATCGACGTGGTGTTGGCCGGTGGTATGCTGAGTGAAAGAAACGCGGAGGTCGACGGGTGTCGATTCGAGACCGAGCCCAGATGAGATAAAAGCCGCGTCAATAATGGAATATGGGACAGACTGTCTCCTTCAGTCCGAGCCTTGTGTTGGCCAATCTAATGGGACACGTCCTTTACCAGACTATGGCAAGTCCTCTGCCGCAGGCTTCCAAGGCAGAAGTCCAGTACCAGCTTGCCAGCAGGGCCAAGCCCCGCTCCTCACGCAGCGGCTACGCCTAGGAGCTTCCTTACGCTTTCCACACCTTTGTTGCGCTTCATATAATAATAGTCGAGGTGACGAGGCCGCGCAGTGGTTGCGCTCGGATGCGGTTCCGGAGGAAGGAGCGATCGAAATAGTGAGCGCACAATGGATTCCAAGCGATGGTGAGTACGGATAGCAGCGCGAACGCAAAAACGAGGTCGCGAGTCTACAACAGCACCTATCCTTTGCTCTTGCAGCAGATTGGGTGGGGGAGACAGTGTTGCCCTAGAAACGGCTCTTCTACATCATTTGTCAGCCTCTTCTGCGCCTCAGGACAGCACTACGGCACGACAAGGAAAGGCAAGCAAGCGCACCTGTATCAACGGCGACTGCAAGCACCCTCGTTCGGGTCCTGAGCGCGAAGAGACGAGACTCGACAAAAGTCGCGGTGCTCTGAGACTTGGGGTGAGGTCTGAGCTCAGACCGCCCGAGCTCCATGCGCGGCGATTGGCCAATGTGGCGGCCCGTGGGGAACATGGCCGCTTCCCCATTCGCAAGGCAGCCGCGTTGCCACCAAGTCACGTTGGCCACGCGTGTCAGGGAACAAAGAAAGAAAGAAATGGATACTCTAATGAGTGGGGTCCAAAACGGAGGCACTTGCCGCGTGGAATAGCTCATGGGGGCGTATCAGTATCAACCATCCTTCGTTTCTGGGAGTGTGTCTCGTATATGCACTATCCAAGTCAGAGTCGGTGTCGATAGGAGTAGCAAAATAATAAGGCGTTTGAGCTTTGCCAATGCACAAATAAAGAGAAACATGAAGGCGACAAATAATCAGACTTTGTTCGGGCGATCGGACCGTCGTGGTGTGGTCCACGTGCGTCGAGTTGTAGCTTATTACAGTTCAAGAGAGGAAGTGGCTTCATTCCGAGTCTATCATCGACCGTCTTTTGTGCTGTGGGTATCATGCCGTCTATCTAGCTTACAACTCGCTTCAAAGCACGCCTAATGCTCCAGCACAACCGGCTTTCCCTTCTCCCAGCTGTCCAGACCCTCCTTGATGTTGATCCAATACCGCAGCTTCACCGCCTCCCCCTTCGCGCTCTCAACATCATCCTGCTTGAACGCTCCCTCGAGTATCCGCACACTCTCCGCAATCCGCTCGTCATTCTCCGCCTTCATCTTGACGAGCTCTTCCTCGCTCTCTGCCTCCTCGATCCGCTCCCGCGCCTCCAGCACTTCCATCAGCAGCTCTGGGTCGTCAACCGTAGCTGCCTCATCCTCAGCAACCTCGATGCCACGCAAGGAAAGCAGATACTGCGCGCGCAGCAGCGGGTTCTGGAGTGTCTTGTATGCCTCGTTTATGCGCGCAGAGAGAGCTTGCGCCTTGTTCTTGCTCTCCGGCGGATGCAGGTCCGGGTGGGCCCGCGCTTGTAGCTGCAAGAACTCGCGCTTGAGCGCCGTGATGTCGATGGTAAAGTGGCCCGTTGGGGGCGGTCCATGTGGAATGGCGGTCGGGAAGAAGTCGAAGTGTGTTTCAGGGATGGATTGTGGAGTGCTGCCGCGGCCATCGGGAGTCGCGGTTGAGGTGGAGGGGTTCGTTGCGGTTGATTGGTGGCGGCGCGATGGTCGGGATGGTATTCGGCGCAAGCAGAGGAGGCAGGGTGACGGCAATGCCGCTTGTCGCGATGGACTGAATGATGCCGGAGCGCGCAGCGCTGAGGCTATGGGTCGGATTGATCGCATGATGATTCTTCCTACGTTTCTAATTCCCCGAGAATAAGATTGCGTCGTTGTTCAAGTTGCAGGATATAGGTGGTGAGGTCTATGATTCTGTGGAGTTGCAAATCGTGTTCGGAGGCAAAGAAATTCGGCTCACTCTCGGCCCCATTACGTCATCAGTCGGAATATCCTCGCATGTCCGATAACTTTCCTCTATGCATCAATGCTCGCGAAAGAGCTTAAGTATCTTTTTCTTTCGAGCGAACGTGCAATCAAAACTTCGCAAAGTGAATTTTGAGTATGACGAGTGGTACGCGTCCGTCAAAACGGCTACAGAGCGTGTACGTACCTTGTGTATACTACAGAAGAGCGGTATTTGCTAAGTTTACTTGGAAATATCTTGAATGATCTTAATCCATTCGTGCAAATAATGGTTTATGATAAGCAGCCTGGGGAAATTGCGCAGAAAGATGCCAATAGCATAGGTGGGACCAGTTCAAGTAAATGGTGGCCAACAACCCTCGCCCTTGCGTGCCGAGAGGAAGCCACGCAGGCCCTGACCGCTTGGAGGGAGGCCCGGCAGAATGAACGTGTGCGTGAGAGCCAAAATGCTGAGGATGACGAAGCTACCTGGGATCGATGTGCTAGAGCATAGGAACGGAGTATGGCAGTCTAGCTGGGTCGGAATTGGAGTATGCAAGATTGATTTACGGGATCCATTACGCAGAAGATGACATGCGGGATGGTCATTTGTGATGCAAGTCTATATTTCCTTTCTTTCTCTGTAGAATACCCAGCCGATGCCGACGACCACGAGACGTGTTTTACTAGCAATCGAATTTCATACACACGGTGTACACGCAGAACGTCGAGCGAGTAAATTTGGGCACACGGAGCGAATCGAAGCATAGTATTTACTGCAATCACATTGACTTCATGATCTATATGGTCACGGGCTCAATATCGGATGCAGCGCCAATTACCTCGATGTGGACTCGCGCGAGAATATGGTGTTCAGCCCGCCAAGTGTAGACTACGGGGGATTTTCAAACAGGCTAGAGATCCCATTAGCGGCGTTCACTTGTTTCACGTTACATCCAGTATTTCTATTGGTCGCAAGCCCGTCATGCACTGTGGGCTGCACTGGCTAGTGGCTTGGACTTACCGCCGCCATCTGATCGAGTACAGATCTCCATGCCCCACCACGAGTCTCCGCCGGTGTAGACTACTTATGAAAAAGGATTATGGACGTCATGTACGGACTTCGGGACCTTGCGTAGTCTTGGACGCTAGCGGCGGGCACGAGCAGAGAACGCCTGGATGTTTACGTGGTATAAGAACTCTCATTGCATTGCCTACAGGTGCATTGCTCATCTCAACACCACAATTTCCTTCAGTCAACTCCACTGTTTTCTTTTAGTCACTCATTTCGACAATCGAATACTCTCGAAGTCAGATATGTACTTCACTACAGCCCTCAAGTTCGCTGCTTTCGCAGTCGCTGCAACTGCAGCCGCAGTCCCCACAACGCTTCTCACTACCCGCGAAGCTGTCTGCGGTGTTTGGTACGACAACTACCTGGGACCTGGCAGCGCTGGCGATGTCCTTGGCACCGGCCAGTGCCAACAAATCAAAAAATCTGGCGAGGCACCAAACGATCAGTCGACGTATACCTTCAAAATGAAGGGGGCCTGCATACATTGCAACTTTTATAGGTATGCCATGAAAAGCTCCAGTGTCATCGCTAGCACTGTGGTACTTGAGCGGCAACGTTCAGTGTTACGGTTCTCTCGTTGCATGCCTTGAACAACGGGCTAACAGTACCATAGCGATGAGAACTGTGGAAGTGGAGCTGGAACTGTAGGGAACAACCGTGGCGATGATTGGGAGCATGAATGGCCATACGGGGTCGCGAAAAGCTTCATATGCTGAGTGGTAAGGCCAAATCCATGGCAAGCCACATATTTTCGCCATACGCTCTGTTCGTTCTCAAAGCTTTCGATGTTCAGGCCCTCATCGCTAAGGTGTGTAGTTTCCACGGGCATGTAGCTGTGTTGGAAATTATCCTTTCTCATGTAGATGATTTTGTACAAAAATATAATGCTCTCACGGCTGAGCCTTTCCTCATCACCTAAGATGCATCCGCTCAGAACTGGCTCTTGTCCTTTGGGACGTATTCTTGTGTGATAGAATCAAACATAAGATTCGTGTTGTATGCCCCGCACATTTCCAAAGTCTATAGCCCATCTGAGCTCACTTCTTGGCCAAATTGTCGCCTCTGTGGCTGCAAGGGCTCTGTCGGCAGACAGTAAGCAGCACGGACTGGCCCCTGCTTCTGTGGCCTTGTCGTACCAGATTACAAATGAGCAGGCACGCCAATTCGTCTCTCTGTGGGACTTCATCTATTCTGAATACAGCCGGCAATTTGAGTGACCCCATCCGTGCAACCCATCAACTACCGAGGGTGGATGGCCAGAGCACGGACGTACGGAACTTTGTTTCCAAACATGCAGATAACAAGTCGACGCCATGTCACTGAGTTGGCTGCTTTCTGGTGTTTTCGTCCTCGTTTTTGGCTCTCAACATGCTGTTCCTGACTGGGTTGATGCTGGCGGCAACCGCTCAAGCCCACTGTGAGCTTTCACAGTGTCTACAACTTGAACAATGACTAATGTCGCTCAGACCGCTTCTCGAAGATCGTGATAAATGGCACGCCAGAAGCTCAAGAGTGGACCGCTGTGCGTCAAACAAAGAACTTTCAAGGCAATCAAGGTGTGACGAGCGTCAGCAGCGCGGACATGCGCTGCTACCAGAACAAAGCCGGCACCGCGACTGCGACCATCGCAGCAGGGGAGACGCTTGGATTCGTCGCAAATGCGATGGTGTCGCACTTCGGGCCGTTGCAATTTTACATGGCCAGAGTTCCAGACAGTGCGAATATCAATACCTGGGAAGCCTCTGGAAATGTGTGGTTCAAAGTCGCTTCAATCAGTGCTGTGCAAGGAAATGGACCTTTGACCAGCGACGAGCAGACGTGGCCAGCTTACAGTACGTCATTCACTCTTGAAGTTTTGTTTAGTGGCCATGTCGCTGACGGAGTACGCGCAGAGAAAACGGTCGTTGACTTCAAGGTTCCGAAAAACGTGCCCAGCGGTAAATACCTTGTCCGCGTGGAAAGTATTGCACTGCATCAAGCCCAGTCTGTCGGCGGCGCCCAGATTTACCTCAGCTGCGCACAAGTAGAGGTCACAAACGGCGGTACAGGTACGCCCGGCCCGCTTGTCGCGTTTCCAGGCGCATACAGTGCAAATGATCCCGGTTTACTATGGTCGTACTATCCGGTTGCGACGAGTTACAAGGCGCCTGGGCCAGCAGTTTGGACTGGGTAAGCGTGTAGTCTACCTGAAACGTCAAAATTGGCGGTATCGCCGATGTAGATAAAAGGAAATCGTCATGGTTGCCGAGTGACCCGGTTCGCTGTTGTCCTAGTCTACATTCCCCGCGTGCATGAGGTTAGCCTCGTGTATCGAGACTGAATTGGTCCTCGCGCAACGCTGCGCGGCGGCCTATGGAATGCAAGTGCTCCAATTCCGAAAACGGAAACTGAAAAGTCAATGAGAAAGCAATAGTTGAAAAGTCTAAGGCTGTCTTCATATCGTTACGGCATTCACTTCGATGTTTATTTTTATCAAAATGTTGTTTCGAAATCTACCTGCTGCTGCGGTCGCATGCCTGGTCTTGCCGGCTTTTCAAATAGTCGTGCATGCTCACTCAGGCAACCGTGAAGCTGTCCGAGCATGTGGTGTCATCCTTCGGGATATGCCAGAAAGACTCGCAAGCTCCTTTTGTTCGTCCTACGCTGAAATTCCGGATATAACGTCGACATGCACATCGACAAAGACTCGAAAAATCACAGTGACCAGCATTGCATCCTGTTCCGCAACGACAACTGCAAGCACATCGTATGTGGAGCGCACCACGTTTCTGAGCATAATCTAATGTTAAAAGAAAATCTACTGACAAAAGCTCTGCCAGGAAGAGCTTTTCCGGCAAACCTTCTTCCAGCAAGAGTAATACATCCACTCCGCAACCTGGACCCAGTTCGATCGTGCCCACTTCCACCCATTATAGTGAAACTCTCACAAGTAAATCAACTGATACGACGTGCAATGCTGTCTGTACGGCCACTGCCACCGAAGCGGTGACTTTATATGTGACGGAAACCGCTATCATGTAGGTCACCTGTTTCGAATAGTACTCTTGAGTCGCTGACCCAGGGAAGAACGTCAACAATCCAGGGACCAGGGGATCAGGCACCGGAACATCAGGTCCCGAAAAGACAAAAGCGTATACCAGCCGCGTTTTGCCCTGAGATTGGCGTGCCGTGCTTGATGGCTGGTATGGATCCGGCGGTTATTACTGAAGGCTGTCTCACTTTCATGAAGCCAAAAGTGGCACATACCGAAACTAAGGTCGTGAAGAAGACTGAAACATTTACTACCACAGCTGCATGTACGGAGGGGCAGTATGAGGGCATTGAACCCACGTAATACTACGAATAGAATAGTCGTCCTTCGTATGATCATTCAAATTGTCCTGGATCGTGCTTAGGGAGCATTGACCCGGTCGTGGGGTGACATTCAAGTTCATGCTATAAGTTATACGTACATGTTTCTTCTGAAAACTCACTCTGATTCGTGAACTTACACGAATGCACGTGTTCTGCCCCCAAAGTCATGACTCATGAACCGTGCCGACCCACTGCACCTGCGTGGTCTAACATATTTATATAATTTCGATATACACGTTTTTAATTTTCCGCTTTCTTCGCGCAATTTTTGGCAGCCGTCGACAACCATGGCGACCAATTTCTCGGCAGTTATCTGCCACGGCTATTACCATACCCCGGGACCCTACCAAAACATCATTGACACTTTCAATTCACGGGGGATTGAAGCATATTGCCCGCAGCTTGCCACATCAGATCTCTCTAAACTAAATGTCGGTGATGTAGCGCATCCAAACTTCGATCTTGGACCACCAACAAGCGGATATCCTACTGGAGAGGACGATGTGGAGATACTCTTGAATCTTTTCAGACAACTTATAGAAAAGGATGGCAAGAGAGTTCTGCTGATCGCTCATTCGGCGGGCGGCTGGGCTGCAACACAAGCAGCTATTCCCGAGTTACAAGCGAAGACACGGTCTGGGAAAGGACTTAGTGGAGGTATCATTGGTATCTTCTACTACGGAGCATTCATCATTCCAGTTGGAGAGTCCATCCACAGTTTCTTCCAGCCAAAGGATGCACCGGCTATCGTGCCGTCGTGGTTGAAATATCACGTAAGCAGACCACTTTCACTTGACTCGTGCTAGCGCTGACCCGGTCGCCACTCTTAGGCTTATGGCCCAGAGGGCCTAGGCACTCTATTCTCTCCAGAAAAGTTCATGTTCAATGATCTCAATCCCGAAGAAGCTGCAAGATGGACGAGGACCCTCACAGCATCGCCACCAGCCATCGTGAAGCTCACCAACGATGCATACATGTCACTACCATGCGCCTACCTTGTGTTAGAAGGGGACCAGACCCTTGCTAAGGAGTACCAAGAGGGTATGGTGATGCTCCAGGCAAGCAAGACGGGCGAATTCAAGATGTACCGTTGTCCAGCAGGACACAGTGCTCATCTGAGTTGGACAAGCGGACTGGTTGACACAGTGCAGGATTTTATGGGTAACTTAAATCAGCAATAGACGTCCAGTTTTACCAGTAAATAATGATGATAGACCATACCATTAATGTTAGTGGCCTCTTATCCCAATAGCAACGCGTTCGTCATGTTTGTCATGCTTTCACGAGTGAGCAAGGCAATGAGGGCCTAGACAGGGTCGGATGAGGCCTCCTTCCATTCTTCTACGAACTAATATAGTAATTCGGTAGCATATTGAATTTTTCGAGCTTCTTGAAAATATTCGATGACAGGATATACAGATAGTGTTTTGCCGCAGAGTCGCGATCCACCTCATGCTGGTCGATAAACGATAGAAAGAACATGTTTTGACAGGGCAGCCGCGACAACTGGAGCAAGTCAATCCACCAAAGCATGTCGGTCTTCAAGCCCCATGGGGACCCCGCATACGAAGTGTAGCGGGGCCACGTGATGTCGGCCGAAGTTACCGCCCGCGAGTCACGGTCTACGCGCTCCACCAATGACATGTTTTGCTGCTCTGTTGACGCAATCCTCGCGATGCCGTTTTGCGCTGCATCCTCCGAACGCCTTCCTGTATAGAGCTACCACAAGCATGACCTGCTGGATGCTTTACCGCTGCCGAAACTTCTCACGGAAACTAACAGCCCAGCTTTACTAACGCAGGATTTTCTGCGACGTGATGAACCTATCCCAGTTGCCGAGGCCGATCAAAAATGGAGTATAAGTGCACCCGTCTGTGTGTTTTGGTCCTGGGTCCCACCTTCTGTGCTCGCATCACAAAAATGTGGAACCTCGTCGTGGGTCTGCTGTCCATGACAGCGATTGTTTCAACGACGCTGGCAAGGAAGGAACCTACAGCTCGCGTGAAAAATGGCACCCTCGAAGGACTATACGCGAAAGCGTACCATCAGGATTACTTTCTAGGAATACCTTATGCTCAACCACCAGTAAATGAGCTGCGGTTTCGACAAGCTCAGTCGCTTAACACTAGCTGGAAAGGTCTAAGGGAGGCAAAGGAGTTTTCGAAGCTTTGTGTTGGCTATGGCGTATGTTCTGGTCCCTTCGTGGGCGTGACAGCTTCAGCTAAAGGTTTCAGCTTGATCAAACGTTCTACGAGACGTCTGAAGACTGTCTCTATCTCAACGTCGTGCGTCCGGCAGGCTACGAGGGCAAGAAACTTCCGGTGGGTTTCTGGATTCATGGCGGTGGATTCCAAAACGGCGGTGGTCCTGACCAACGTTATAATCTCTCTTTCATTGTGGACCAGTCTGTATCGATTGGAAAACCAATCATAGCCGTCTCGCTCAACTACCGGCTCAGCCTATGGGGGTTTGCCAGCTCTAATGAGCTCGCACGGGAAGGATCGCTCAATATTGGTCTTCGAGATCAGCGCCTTGCTCTTCATTGGGTGCAAGAGAACATTGCCGCATTTGGTGGTGACCCTAAGAAGGTGACCATTTGGGGGGAGTCTGCCGGTGCGGCTAGCGTTGGCTTTCAGGTATGCAATCCGACTTGGAGTAATGGTAGTCAAGTTCACTGACCGAGACAGCTCACTGCCTATGGCGGGCGCAATGACCATTTATATCGGGCAGCCATTATGCAGTCTGGTGGTCCAATTCTTTATGGCGCGCAAGGTGGCGCAAACAAGACTCAGGCGGCTTTCGACGAGATCGCCTCTCAAGTTGGATGCGCTTCATCTACTTATCGCCTCGAATGCCTTCGCAATGTTCCCTTTGATGCACTGAATGCGACAATGGCTGGAGATCTTTTCAACACCGCCGGATTTGGAGTAGTCACTGACGGCGACTTTGTTCAGGATTACGGCAGTATTCAGCTCAGCCGTGGGCAGTTCACCAAAGTACCTATCATGATCGGTGCCAACAGCGACGAGGGTGCCTCTTTCGCTCCATATGGCATTAACACCACCGAGCAATTCGAAGCTAGCTTATCCGCTCTTCCCGAAGCTTATAGAAAAGACATACTGAAGGCTTATCCCGATGATCTAGGCGTTAATATCATCCAGAGCCTTGGTGATCAGCGACCATCGCCTCGATTTGGAAACCAATTTCGGCGTGTAGCGACGTATATTGGGGACTACATCTTCATTGCGCCCGCGCGGCAGACTGCGCACACATGGGCGTCGCACGGACTCCCTACCTACAAGTTCCGGTTCAACGCTGACCAGAAAGTGTTTGCTCCTGAGTTGCGCGTTAATCACTTTAAAGAGATTCCTTACGTGTTCCGCAACATAGATGGCGAAGGATTTAGGCCGGATATCAAGCCTTTCACAGGAGCTGGGCAGAACTACATCGATTTGGCATACTTGATGAGCTCAACTTGGGCTAGTTTCATACATGATCTGGACCCTAATGATTGGAGAGGAAGAAGCAATAAGATCCCGGAATGGCCTAAGTATACTGTTGGTAGTCCACAGGACTTCGTCCTTGACGCGAACATCACCAGCTACCCTGAGAGGGATACTTACAGGAAAGAGGGGATGAATCTCATTAACAGCAACGCTCTGAAGATCTACTCGAGGTAGCATAGCAACTATTAGAAGTATATTGAAGTCAGCGTGAATTCGTCGGTTACTTGATACTGCTTTACCTGATCCTATTTTCCATACAAACTGAACGAGTCACATGCACAAGGCTGATTCATCTCAAAAACGAATTCTTTAAGAGCTTGTCAAGACTCACTATATACAGTAGCACAGAATTCCAACGGTATGCATACTGGTGGCTCCCCTCAATCTGACAGTGCAACCGATTTCTCATGCTGACCCCTCAAGCCCAAGAATGTGGATTGATCCTGTAGTGTCGGCTGTTACAGGTTCCCGCAATGAAATTCCACTAAGTTGAACATTATGCCACAGCCAGATCGGAAGATCAGCGATGAGGGTTCAGGTCTTGTCTTAATCGGCGGCTTTGAATGGCTACCAGGAAGATCTGGAGGAGCTCGGAGCTCCGGGTACTCTGTGTGTGACGCCGGTACTTCTGCTTACCATGGCCCGCTCTGCAAGTCATGACAAACGCCTTTTGCTGTGATACCATAGAGAAAGCCAAGGAATGGTGTTGTCATCTGAAGCAATCCTGTGATACTCCAGTGGGTCTTGTGTCTTGGGTGGCATCGGGGAGTTCGAGTCCCCTTGGAGTAGCATAGTCTCAAGCCTGGTACAGACCGAGGAAAAGCCAGCGGGACACAGACTCGGGACCAAATGCCAGTCTGATAACTTAGGTCTCATAAGTCAAACATACAGGGATGCACATGAGGATTCCATATGCTTATAGTGAATTTGTAGAAGACTTTGCGCTGAGGGGGCACAGCCCTGATGGTGAATTGCTGCAGGAACAGCGAAAAACGCCTCACGGAGTCAAGTGTCGCTACCATCCATAGCTTCTACGTAGGATGCTAGTCAAGACGTAATATACATTCTAGTGTATCAAAAGGGATGCTTCATACCCAGAGAACTGATCATCTCGTCAGACAGACGGCATCTCCTCGCTACTGCACAGAGCACCTCCTCCGCCCGTTCGGACCCCCAAAAGCCGCTCGTGCATGTACGGCATCAAGACTTGAAGCGAATTAGATCAAATTCATTGAAGTACGATTCTAGGACTGCTGCACTTGGCCAAAGGTACCTTATCGCGCAGTGACGGAAGCGGTCCCAAAAAGCTCAACCAAAACGGTCAAGACTCTTGGGCCCCCACTGCCCAAACGCCACGATATCTTGACGAAATTAGCATATATGATCGACATGAAACGTTACGGAAGGCCATACGCGGCCGGAGGCTCCGCTCCCGATGCTGGAACCCAGTGCGCGCGCTTGCTGCCTCCCTCTCCAGGGTGCACCAGCGAAGACCTTGGTGTCGCAACTTCACCTAGGCACTGTTGTCGTGATGGCAGCAGATTTGCATGCAGACATGAGGGGGGCAATCCGCATGTGTTATTGAAACTTGAGATCTAAATTACGTCTGCAACCAACGCATGGTATCAAATCTAGAATCTATAAGCCGGGTATGCAATTTGCCCTTCCCCCAAGCGCCAACGCTATGCAACGATACAAAGGGTCAGAAATACAGGACGTGAATGAATGGATATATGAGCTAGGCCGTACGGAGTCATCCTTTGCTTGTACAATACATGAGCCGCGGCGTCGTTCCCGAAAGACCGGCGCTGTGACGTACAGGAAATGGGCTGGAGAAGCGAAGTGAGCGAGGAGACGGCGCAAGGAACGAGCGTGGTGTTGAAAACTAGGAAATGCTTGTATGTTGTCTTCTTCGGAGAGCCGATATTGGGTGTTTCTTGGTGTTGCGCGGGGTGTGCGCGCACTTGGCTGATTGTCGTACTTAGTCCTCGACGTCTTCGTCGCGGCCGGGGTACATAATGTCTTGGACTACAACCGCTCGGATGTTGTGGTAGAGCACAAACACCCACATGCATAGGATAGCAATCGTAAGGCCGTTTGCGACGTACAATATGACCTCGTCTTTCAAGCTGTTACCAATGTTGATGGTTGCGATAATGAAGCCGGAGTTGGGGAACACCATAGCCCACCAACCGAGATGGAAGTATTCAGGACGGGAGTGAAGGACCTGATGATTATTTTAGTGAATGAGTTCTTTAAGTGATGCGAAAATACTTACGGCGATGAAAGCAATCATGAAGAACCACATGGCAAGTACCCAAAGGAAGAGCGCCGTTACAATAGCCAACGTCCGTAGCACATTCGCATCAATCAGGCCATCTCCCTGTAGGTCAAAGTCGTCCTCGAGAGCGTTCGCCATTCCGATGAAGGCCAGTGCCGTGAAGGAAGGCGGTCCCACACCAATGAACATGGCGCCTCTGTGCTCGCGGTTGGGGTAGCCAACTTGCATCAAACGACCGATGTAATGCGCATACATGATGATACTCATTGTGAAACCCAAACCTTGACAGCCCAAGCCCGCAGCAATGATGGGCATGCGTGTACTCACTGGTTGATCTTTTGCGATGACAGCCGCAATCGTGCCGCCGAGCATGATTGGGAAGATGGGAAGCAGCCAAGATGGCATGAATTTGGTGAGTAGGTAGGTGTGCTTCGCGAACAAGAACGAGTATTGGAAACTGGCAAGGCAGAAAGTCATGAAAACGTAGACCCAGAACGCGATAGCCATGCTGGTCACGATCCACCCGCGCATCGGATGATTTGCTTCGTAGGACTCGACAACATACTTTTGCGTCCCAGTAATGATCGTGGCAATTGAGAGAAAGAACGGACCCAAGAAGAGTGCTTCTCGCTCGTGAGTGACGGATTCTTTAAATGTGCCAGGGAACTTGGTGAAGCGAAGGACCATGCAGGCACCGAGGATGGCAAAGAAGAACAAGTTGACGATGTAGAAGATGGCGCCGATAGTGATCAGACCTGGAAATCGATGGGGTTGAATAGCAATGAGTGTTGAGATCCCTCCCGTGGCCATGGTCAACGTGTACCAGGCCCATGTGAAGTGCTTCAGTCTCGGTCCGAACGCCATCCATGGCTGGTTGGGGTCTTTCTTGTGAGGGTCGTGAGGTTCTGCTGCTGCTTTCTCCTTCTCCAGGTCGATGGAGTCGCGTGGAGACTCGTTGGGAGTAGGCATCACTGAACGCTCAGTAACGTAGGCGGCATCCTTAAAAGGATCTTTACCCTTCACATCCTCTGGGTAACCGTTGACGTTGACTGGTCCTTGGAAATAGCCTGGTTGCTGGCTGGGACCAAAGTTCTGATAACTCGGGTTCTGGTCCTGAGGGTATGGTCCTCCGGGCGTCTGTACCCATGTGTTTGTGCGTGTGGTCTGACCCGACAGGTTTCGAGCGTGATCGGGACTGGGGTTGGAACGGTCGAAATTAGGGTTGAAGTTGGGATTGAAGTTGCTGCTGCTCTCGAACGATTGATCCGTTTGTTGGTATCGGGGATCCATTGCTGGAAGGCGGAAGGTGTCCTGCACCACGAAGCGAAAGGAGCAAGAACGCCGCTAATAATGAACGCAAAAAAGGAGAAGAGAAATGAAAATTAGATCAGCACCGGGCCGCAGAGGAAGAGAATGGGCAAGTGGAACAGCGGGGGGCGAAGTACTGATAGACAAGAGCCCAAGCTATAAAGCACAGATTCAACTCTCCTCCGCGCTGTTTCATAGCGGGCATTGATTGGCGTTTCCGTCTGGAGTAGCGTTTAGTAGGGCGCCTGGGCAGCGTCCCGTTGTAGGGGTGGAGTGGGATCTCATCTGCCTTGGCGGAGGTGAGGTGTTACTTGGACACTGGTCGTGGTACCCACTGTGAAGCTTCAGATCAGGGCTTGTATCAGAATGCACGTGAAAAATGCCATAGCGTCCTTGTCGTGGGCGCTTCTCGAGAGCGGATTTGGTTTAGGGCGGCTCCGCTCTGTGGCTGCCAAGGTGTTTTGACGTCGGCTCCCGAAGTGGACAAGAACCTCCATAACAATCACATTCGCTATGAGCTTCATTGTCGCGTAGAAGGAAGTGATGTTCGCCGCTATGATGGCTGTGCACCTATACCACGCTGTGCAACAGTGCCGAACTGAATCCCATGGAATTCGGTCTTTGTTCATAACTCGGTGAGACCTCGAAAACGCAAAAGATCAACTGGATCAGGTAAACTCCAAGATGGTGCAATGCACAAGACAATGTGACTCCAGTTCACGATTCGTGGATAAGACGTTCACCCAACGGCGAGTGGCTGAGAAACGTCGTCGGCGCACTGTAGGGGAAGCGGGAGGCTTGAGTGCGCCAGGGTTTATCCCTCTGTAAAACATGGCACCCTGTTAAAGTCTGCGCGGCTTCGCCGCATTATTGTCGTGAAAAGCCCGAGATGTCCCGATATCACATCTAGGCCAATGTGGGTCTAAAGGCGGGAGATGGACGCCCAGGCGAGTTGGCTGGGAGGAGCTTGAAACCAGCATCGAAACGCCCTAAAAGAGCCGCTTGTGTCGTCGCAGATGCCAAGCATCCCACGTAAAACACGCACAAGAATACCCCCACATAACCCATACCGACTGAGCGCGAAAGTTGGCTTGGCTATCAAGGCTTTGGTCGGGGGCAACGTTGCGCAGAACGATGGTGGTTTAGCACCCCTTCCAGCATGGTCTTGGTAAGTCGAATGAAGGCGCCAAGGTCGATCGCAAGGTTGCCGCCCAAGGCTAATTGGAAATGTTGAGGACTCATATCAGTTACAGGAAACACTTCCGCAGATACGAGCATGACGCTCATTCGTCCTCTACCCGATTGTGCAGAGAAGCTTCTGCACACGTTCCATGCACAGGTGCAATGCAGCGGCCACGATTGGTGCCCAAACATGCAGGATTTGGATTTCAAATTCGGCGAATTGTTTACTACCCCTTTCCTACTCTTGCAATGTGGTTCTGTGAGGCTATTGACGGCGTCGTCTTATCCTGTGGAGCTCTCCCTGCGCATCGCAATTCTTGAGGCTGCGCCCGCCGATCGTAGACGCGCGCAGCCTCGACTCTTGGCAATACAGTACACGCGTCGGTACCCGTCGTTGCGCACGATCAGGAGCACGGTGTCGATGCGTTATGGGAGGAAAAGGATAGTTGGAGCCAGGACAGTTCGTGGTGGTGCAGGAACGGGGATGCGGACATAGCCCGCGCCTCTCGGTAGACTTGGCGCCTGGTTGATCAACACCTCCACCAGATATCCGCATCACGATCCGCAAAAGTTATACGGGATGGTTTTTGCATTGTCGCCCAGAAAAAGCAGAGACTTTCAAAAAGCTCGCCATAGCCACTTCCTATTACAAAAGTATCACTCTAGATCAAACACGCATAAGCAAGAGCAAGTACGCGCCCCCAGATTGACCTCATCTTGTGAGAGAGAATTAATCGTCGAACGAACGCTTCCACTGCGCACTTGGCAGTGTCTGCCCAGCTGCAGAAGTGGGTGTTTTCTTCCTATCGCTTGCGCTGCCCAACCTTCAGCAATTCATAACCCATCCAAGGACTCAGACTCCGTGGCGATCAAGCACCTTTGAAGCAGCGCGCACCCCTGTGGACACGGAGCTTAAAAGCATCTTAGCACAGCGGAGCGGAAGCGAAGGCGGCGTGTGCGACAGCTCCGCTCCGCCCCACTTGTGTCAGGCACCCCTGACAAGTGGAGACCTTATCTAGACGCTGGCTTGCGCGATCTCTTGGCCAAGAGGTTGTATTCTGGAATAACTGGAAGGTGGGAACGGAGCCCAGCGGCTAGATAAGCCTAAAATAAGAAGTGTCGACAACGAAGGCGCAAAGACAGTGACCCAATTGCGTGAACGATTGTGACGACCCCCAGTTCAGGATCATAAGAAAGAGACGCCTGGAGTTTACGAAAAGAGCCCTCTGAATTACAAATTGCAGTCAAATTCCCACTGCAAGCAACCCCACCTCACATCGGCATAGCGCCTGGAAGGTGGTCAAGCCCTGCAATGAAAATATTAGATCGCTTGTGTCATAGCAGCGGGCAGAGAACTTACATCCGTCCAGGTCATCGTTCACCGTATTTTTTATTGTGCACTTGTTGGCTTCTGCAACGCTCTGTGTCTTTAGATTGTTGCTAACCAAACTTGTAGAGTCCATCGCTTTCTGCAACGCGTCTCCTTTCCAGCCGAACATATAGTCACCGTGCGTTCCATAGCCGCGACGATCGTCGAAGCTCCATACAAAAGGCTGAGAGCCATCGGCGGGCCATATGGACTTGTCATTGAAAGCCGTCGTATTCCACATGGTTTCAAAGGCAAGCTGGGGCATTCGCACAGGATGGGAAGATGGGCAGGGCCCTGCGTTCTGAAATGCGCCTTTGACTGTGTTGTACATATGGTCTTGGTGGTTCGGGCCTATAAGAGTGAGCACGTATTCTACGAGGCTCGTTCATCCTGGGATGGACTGACTATCGAGGTTTTTACCATCCCAGCAGGCTGGAAAGTGGTGGATAGCCATAATACCTGCAGGGCATGGCTGCTTAGGAAAGTCGTTTGTTTCGCTGCCTCGTGTCATAATGTCCTTCAAACAAGTATATCGTAGGCCTGGATTGCTTCCAGAAGTAGTAGTGGGGCTACCGACGGTCATACGGAAGCCCTGCGCCCTGTTAGTGATATGTCCAGAGTACGAATGGAGTGACAATCTCACAGGTTTGAAGGATGTAATTTTCGTCTTGCCATTAGAGTTGAAGTCTTGCTGTAGGTAGTAGATTGTCATGCCTCCAGTCAACGAACCCAACAGGGCATTGGGGTACTGTGGCACACGCTTGTAAGTGCCGTTCCTGGCTTTGAAGTACATCACAGCAGTCCAATAGTTGCTGTTAGAGTCAGGAAGCCTGTTCGCGATGAGTCGAGCGGTAGCTTACCTAAAGTCTTCGGAGAAAGAGCAAGTGGTACAAGTGGCCTTTGCGCCGATGTCACCACTCATAGTAGCATTGAAAGCATTCCCTCCCACAATCTTTGATGAGAATACGATATGAGTGATTTTTCGGATGTCGAAGCATGGTGTGACTTGCCTGGTGTAGATGAGCTGACGGAATGCTTCCTGGCTGCAACAATAAGCGATGCTACCACCTCGACCGGTGTCTCACAGAGCATACCTCAACAACTGGATCTAGGCGTTGTACTGAGAGCGTCGCACATCCGAACCGTATGTAGGCCCAAGACGGTGCCGCAAGGGCGAGAGTGAGAAAAAGCCACTTCATCACGGCAGGTTCTAGTCGTGACGCTTTCGAAGGGCTCAGTCAAAGGCAACCTGGATCATTCGAGATGGTGTCTAGTAGAGTAGATATACACGCTCCTTCCGTGCAAGATGATGTCCATTTCTAAGAATCAGCCATGCTAGTCGTCAATGGCAATGATCATAGTCCGTTAACTCCAAGTGCATCTGCCCAATTATCGTTCGGTTCAGTAAAGTGCATCACGCTGTATTCACGATTCCCCCGCGTTTGTTCTTGTTCTGTGCGATCAACTAACATCGGCATCGTTTGATGACTGCGCAATTCATCTAAAAGGTCCGAGAGTTGTTACACGAGCTGCTCTGCCGGCAGTGCTGAGATTGCCGAGAGGTGGCGACCAAATAAACGTTGCAGGGTATGTAGCCATTAAGCCATCGATAAGGATCCTTGGCCTCTGAACTACGAGCCTTGGTTCCCTGGTCAGAGATTGGGATCATAGCCTAGCATGGAAGTTTCGCAAATTTGAAGCCGACCATCGAGAAAATCATGCGGTATTCCAGCATCTGTTTCAGGGTTTTGCGACATTGTCAACGACTGTCAAAGGCCTGCGCACGCGATGTGTCTTCGGCCACGATCAGCAGAAACCATTTCGACGCGAAGGGTGGCATCATCGATCTTGCAAACAACGCAATTGTTATTTCTTGAAGGTGAGGTTTGTGAAAGTGGACGTGCCGATGATCACTTGGCCGATGGCGATGAGATCGAGCTAGACCAATCGGCTCCAGTGGCTTGGCGCCGCATATCTCCCTGATGCGTGGTGCGATTCCACCAGGGCGCACACAGGAAGCCTTTGCGCGCTCATTCCTCATCTCAGATGGCTGATGACAGTCGTTGACCTGCTGTCGTGGTGCAGCATCGCTTCTCAGCGTTACGGCGCGTTCAGAAGCAGCTTATCCCGATTATCGCCACGCAATGTCTCTCGTACCCTCAAGCATGTCTGTGACTGCTTCCTACAGAATCAAGAGAGTTTGAACTGCAATGACTTCGCTTCTAGGTCCTTCCGAAGTCAATTTTGCGAAACAATCTCCACGAACTTAATGCAGTACATGTTGATGGGCGGTACCGACTTTTCCTTACGAGGTTGATGGCGCAAACGGTGGTCTGACCTTGTAGCAGACGAAGCCGACATTACATGAACAAGCCTGGTCCTTGGTCTTTGCGACGTAGGTTATGATCTACTCACTGACGAGAGTCCCTCGTTGCAGCCACGCAAACAATGCGACTGTTCGATTTTGATTGAAGCTATCTAAGACCCAGCGCGCGAACATCACACTCGACATTCTGACGTTTAATCGTTCTCACTCGCTAGAGCTTTCGATTCCACGGCGCGTGTGCAGACCTGGAGCACAGCGCTGTGGCCTTGGCGCCCGCCCTCACCTCTCACTTGAAGCTCAACCCGCGACCTCTCACTTTTCACCCACAATACAATTCATTTTAGAACAACATCTTCCATCAAACAGCCACTCCCAGCTTGGCGTCTGCTGAGATGGCCCATTTGTGATTGCAGGGAATCTGATTGCCTGTGATCCCTGGGTCAACCTGAGGGTGCGTGTTCGATTCCCATGATCAGCAAACCGTAGTGCTATTAGCACGAGCGATTTTTAAACGCAACTAGCCTCCAAAAGGCAGCTTTCCTTTTACAAATCGTCTTCTGACGTCGCCCAGTAGATCACGATTGTAGTGACGCGCTGGGCGTAGTTGCGTCGGAACACAACGACGCCCACAAATAACTTCCTATTCGTGCTCCGACTGCGTTGAATTGTGAGGTAGACTTAGGGCTGAGAATCTTGTAGGCGACAGCGTTTCCCTGTCCCTTTTTCTATCATCTTTTCCAGACAGTGGCGCGCTCTGTTGGTATACCACGCTTTCTTGGTGTCAGGGCCACTGAACCACATCTCTGAGATTAAATTACCGTCATCATGGGCACTATTTGTTTTCTGGTTGCAAAACGTGCAGGCAGAAGTATGCCCCGGCTCGACATATCACCCTATACCTTCTCATTGCCTCCAGATCACTAGGCTACAGTGGGTGCCGGGTAAACTCAATTATCTTCACAAGGGCTAAAACTTTCCCCGCGACTATGGTTTGATTTACTCGAAAATTCGATTGAGAGTGCAACGCCAAGAGCACGCATTTTCTACCAAATGTCGAGATTTTCTGATCTTGCGTGCTTAGTGAATGTTAGCAGCGTTTCAGCTTTTGGAATCGTTTCTGAAATCGGAGCGCTAAGCAAAGAAACGGAACATGACACGGAATGGCTTGGTTATCTGGGCTCTGACAGGACACAAGTTTCAATAGTGTTTCTGCCGAGATCAGAACATTACGCGAAGACACCGTGTTTCGCAAAATTTTGCGAGCATTCTTGGAATAATCTTTCTCGAAAATACCTGGACCTGACTGTGAATATGGTCTCGACGAAGTGCTCCCTTTCGAAGCGGCATTCCATGTCGGTCAATTTACTGCATGTTTGGTAAACACTTATAATTATGAGAACGTACAACATTATTTGGCTCAAGGAAAGTATTCTAGCATTTCAGATGACAGTTGTACATATTTAGCGTGGCGATACAGTCCCAATTCTCCACGTCACCGGCATCCATTGCAGTCCAGAGATGCCCCCCCCCCCCTTTCCCCCGGCCGGCTCCAGGCAACATAAGCGAGGCATCCCGCAAGCTGAGTCAAACTCGCGACTCCGATTATTGGAGGTAGACAGTGCACTTGAAAACAATAAAATTGGTATTTGGCCAACTCGCCATCGAGATAGAGATTTGATAGCTCAAATCCGATAGTCGAAGAGCCAGGACTGCATCACATCGTTGGTTTCAGGTCATCTTCTTAATTATGCATGGATTCCAGAGGATGTAAAGAGAAGAACAACAAAGCTCAGCACATGCAAAATTATACTGCTCTGTTCGTGCCAGCAGACTTTCACATGCTTAACTAGTTTCCTATTCTGAACCCTAAACAGGCAGAGCCGGACAACATCAAGCTGTCCTGTATGTCTTTTATTCATGTGATTCTAGTTCAGTATGTCGAACAGAGGAGATGACAGCATGTGTCCGTTCGTATCGTTTTTTTAAGTACAGACCCAACCCACATGCTGGTGTACCACAACATTTTCTAGTAAGGAAGAAAACCCGAGCTAGATCAGATAGATCGACTTAGATCGACTTTCTGCTTACAACTACAATTTATTGCGAGAGCAAAAATGCGAAAGAAGGCTAACCAGTCCGAGAACACCTGCATTTGTCGTGTACCACAATTGTTCGAGAGACCGCGATCCTCCACATCGCGTTGGTTTGGAGGTAGGAAACCAGAGCGACATTATAGCGCAGACGTTGGTCCGCTTCTAGGGCTTCATGCATTCTTCAGTAGGTGGGTGAAGCATGAAACAACATGGCCATACTTCGTATTCCTTTCGCGCAGGACACGCTTTACATCCAGGTTCTCTATTGACACTTTCTGACGCAACATTCCAACGCTAGGGACATCTCACATTGCTCAAGGAAGTTGTCGTTGTGGATGACTGGCTCCAAGATATCGATGAGCATGAGAAAGTGAACAGAACACTATCGCAGTTGTTGTTCTAATTTTTCGTACGAACATGCTGCATATCCACGTCCTACTTGAGCTTTTACACACTGAAGCACAGATCTGCGAACATGGACTTTTGTGATATGATTTTGCGTCCTGCACTGACGGACTCCTGAGACAGTGGAGGAAGAGTGAAGACCAACAAGACACCGTCGTGCGCTCCTGATATTGGTTCCGGGAAAGGGGTCTCCAGCATGTGGTCCTTTTTAGAAGGATATTAATCGCAGAGCGCAAAAAGCACCATGGAAGTCGCACGTAGATGTTCCAGTCATCCTCTAGATCATCATTTCAACGACAGCTCAGGTCGTGCACCACAATGTCGGTTGCTATCTGACATTCTTGTCAACACCTAATCTCACCATTCACGAGGCGTCGGGCAGACTTCAGACACAAAGCGCAAAGCTGACTCACATGTTGTCCTGTGCATCTTGTTTTAGTATGTCTCAAAAGATGCGAGGATGCCAGTAAAGACGTTGCATCAAAGAAAAGAACCGAGCAACCACATACAACTGTGGCAACTTCCTCTTTTGCGCGCGGGGAGGTCCCACATATCTTCAATACAAAACGAAATTCTAACGCAGAAAGTAGGCTGACAAGTCACGAGTAATTCTTTTGTGAGTGCTTTGAGATCCCGATGTTCCACCCCGCCCACATAACGAGTACCCAGGGTGGCTATATTGTTGTCGCTCTCCAAGCAGTGAAGGGCAGCAACCAGAAGAGTCGCTAGCTTTATTTGCGAAAGCAAAGTGAGACAGAAGCATCTGTTGATGGCGTGGGACTCTTTACGCGCAAGGACACCCGGACATGAATCTTATACTGCACAGGTTTAATAGGCAGAGTCGCAGGCCGGACACATGCGGCCAATCCAAGTGGATTTTTCATCCCCAGCCTCTCACCCAGCTCAAATTTACACCTTCCTGGTTTGTCGTTAGTCACGTCGTTCTTCCAAAAGTGAGGTGTGGAAGCCAGACGTGTCTTAAGCTCCATGCGTAAGAGGGAAGCAAGACAGGCGCATGGACGCATAACAATCACTTTTTGTCACTCCCAAGGCACTCTCGCACATGGCGTCTGTACCACTGATCGTTTGGACGCAGAGATGTCCGCCAGCCAGATGGTCCATGGCGATTATATTCTTGGACCTCGAAATCACACCGCACCCCCCACATGTCCAGTGGTTGAAGTGACTTTTGGTCATGTCGCTCTCTGAACAGTGAAGTGAAAAGGCCGGGAGTATGCTCAGCTTCAAGCTTGCGCAGAAAGACATGCAACAGCATAGCATCGAGGATTATCCCTCTTTTGCACGTAGTGATCTCTCACATCTTGGCGAATGCAAACATCTTTTGAGTGCAAAGACGCAGACCGAACACGTGGTCCATATCGTCGATTGGTTCGACCACAATCTCCGGCGTCGGGCACATGCATATTCTCGCAAACTTTTTAGACTCCCGCGCGTTCAAACTTTTGAGAATCAAGCGTTCTCCAGGTTTCCAGATGGGGGAGAAGATGCCATGGACAACATGGAGATGATGCATCTTGCGTTTTTGCGCGCGAGCAGTCCTCCACATGCTTCTTTTAATGCGCTTTTCCAACATGCAGAGACGCATACCGACAAATAGCTCGACTTATTGGTTGTTTTGACCACGATCTCCCAGCCCAAGCACGTGGATCAATTTTTGCCCGCATTTTCAGACTGGCACCCTTGTAGAGTGTTGGGAATCAAGTCTCCCCAGCTTCCTGCTTGAGAGGACAAAAGACGGGTGACGACATAGCGGCATTTTGAGTCGGTTACTCGCGCGCCGGGAAACTCGGCATTTCTCTTTGCTGAGATGGGTTCTAAACGTAGAGGCCCAGACCAAACACATTTCTCCTTTTCCTCGAATTTTGGACTCCAACCTCCCCCACCAAACCATGTCCACATTGTCCGGGCTTTTTGGATAACGTACCTTTTTTAACAGCGTGTTGAGCAACCGTTTTTGTGATGCCGTTGTCTTTATGCAACCCGGAAACTTTGCAGAGAGAGCGAACAAGACTGCGTGTGGTTGTCGCGCGTCATGTTGCGTTTAGACTTTTGGCCTCAAAGACTTCGACCGGACACATGCGGTTTTGCTGCTACTGATTTCAAATCCCATCTCCCGACCAAACCCACTTCGCCGTCTTTGTGGCTTTTTTTTTTTTTGGACATGTTCCTCTCCCGCCAGAGTGCTGGAGCAAGCATATGTTCCTGGCACCGATGTTCTTGTCCAAACACCGAGGAGACAAAGAACTCAGCAGCACGACGAGCATTGCGATCGTCTTCGGTACGCAAGGCACGTCCTCGACATACAGCACGCGCACTTCTGTTTTGGGACGCAATGAAGCAGACCAAATATGGGAACACATTGACGAGGCTTTAGACACCGTTCCTCTCCTTCCCCCGTACGGTTCTTGGGTCGCTCATTTGAGACACCACGCCCGGGCACCACCCATGTTCCTTCTCGGCGTGGGTTTGGACACTACTCCTCCATTCCTCCATACATCTTTGCATCCGCTTTCGTTTGTACACCACCCCCCCAACTCCTCCACACGTCCTTCGGCTTCGTCGATTTTCAAACACCACTCCTAACTCCCTCACATTGTCCTGTTGGGCCTGTGTTTCAGACACCACTCCCCCACCTCCCACATAGCTTGTCTTTTCAGACCAACCCACCCCCTCGACGGTGTACCGATCTTAAAGACGCAAAACCCCTTCTATGTATGCACTCCAGCCCGGCTCCCATCATCATCAACCCAACAGTAATGGTGATGCCGCACAGCGCCACAGTCACACCACAGTGCCACAGCCTCACCCCTCTATCCGCTTCCGCACTGCATCCCTTGGGCCCAACGCGCCTCCGTCTTCCACTCGGGAGCCACGCTACCACAGGGTCCACGGCAACGCAGGGTCCACGCGTGCATGCATTCGCACGGCCACGCTCCCAAGGCGGGGCCGATTCCGAGAGGTGCAGTCGTCGGCCTGAGACGGACTGCACACACCGCACTCGACGTCCAAGCCCGAGTTTCCCACCCTCAAGCCCCGACTCTGCGCACGTCGAATGGGGCGCCGAGACGCGATGTCTCCCTTCGGCGGTTCGTCGGCGCAGCCCTGTTGCACCCACCGCACTGCTGAGATGGCGGCTCGCTTCGCTGCCTCGGCTCGGAAAAACAGGGATGCAGTGGACCCTGGGGTAGATTGGCGGGCCGGGACACAGCAAGGGAGGGAATCCCATCGCCGCATGGGGTCCGAATCTCCGACCTCGTCGTGGGTAAAATGTTACGGCGAGGAGCTCGGGCTTGGGCCGGTAGGTTGTGTTCACCGTTCACGCATCGACAACCGTAGCACAGATAGGGATCGGGTTTCTCCACTGCACTGCACGACGCAGAGGAGGAACGTGCGTGGGTGCGTCTTCCATTACTCATCTTCCATCGCTCTAGCTAATTCCCCCTTTGACCTCTCATTTCTCTCCTCGCCCATCGGCGCCTCCTCCCGCCACGATAGAAAATAGATGCCAATCCGCTCGAGACAGCTCGCTCAAGCACCATGTATTAAACCCATAAGGTGATGTAAAAGGATAGTGAGGTTTCGGCCAGACAGATACATGCTGGCCATGCGAGGAAGGACCGACGAGACCCAAGCGACAGGGTATATGTAAGAAGGAAAGGACAGGAAAGCGACAGTAGACGTGCCGAGCGCTATGCATAAAGGACAACCAGACGTGTGGGATATGATGGAGATGGAGATGCAACCTGAAGCTCCATGCTGCAGATGCGAGACGCTCATAGCAGAGTGAGCGACGCGAAGATGCCGACAAGTGTGACGGCCATGCCGTAGCTAGCGCCGAAGCCGACGAGCGTGGAGGCCGCGCCGGCGGAGTCGGGCGAGGTCGTCTGGCCAGCGAAGCCAGTGGCGGGGAGGGTGGATGAGGCCGAGCTGTCGCTGTCGCTGGTGCCAGTGGGCTTGGAGGTCGATGCGTGGGAGGCGCTGGACGAGCTCTTGGTAGCGTTGCCCTTGAAGGGATCCTGGGCACCGCACGGGTGGTCCTTGCGGCAGGAGTCGGCGCAGGCGTTCTCCCCAATACCGCAGCCGGCGACGCAGTTGGTGCCCCACTGCTGGCAAATGTTGTAGGGGAGTGTTTGCGTGTACTGGGTGAGGTTGGGGGAGATGCCGTTGTCACACACGCACGAGGCCACGAGGGTGTCCTAGTGTTGGTGTTAGCTGGTGGTCCGGTGTGATGCAAACTGGAAGCCGCGACCCGACGGACAGACAATCAGTGGCAGATTTCAAGCACCGGCTCCAATCTGCAGGCTTTCCGCCCGCAAACATGAAAGGTGATTGTCTGATTTGAGTGCTGGCATGCCTGGATTGAGGGCGCCTCTGGCAAGGCTTTGGAGATGTACGTACCGAATCACACTCGTTGCTGACCGTGTTCATGCTCGAGACGCCAGGCTGCTGCAGGCAGATCTGCGGGCATGACGCCTTCTGCTGGTCGCACCAGTAGGACCGGGTCGACTGCTGCACAGTGTCCGGGTCGATGGTGTACTGCTCCTGGGCGGCCGAGAAGCCAGCGACGGCGAGCAAGCCGAAAGTGAAAGTTGAACGCATTGGAGCTGTAGAATCGAGGTCAGTGTGTGTTTTTGCAAGTGGCGGACGGTTGACAGCTGGAATGCACTTACAGTCGTTTGGAAGCAGGTGAGATGCGAGGAATTACAAAGTGTATTGTTGAAGCGAAAGTGCTGGGTAGAAGAGGATTGGAAGAAACAAAGTCTCAGCAGCTGCGTGTGTCCCAAAGCGAATGACGGCGATCGTGAGGAGAGCGAGCAGCAAGCATCCGGGGAGGAGGCCCGTTGATAAAGAAGGGAGAGGCCACTGCTACGCACCTACCCACTGGCACGGACCCGCACTTGGATCGAACATTCGCTAGCCCGGCGCCGCACCCGAGGCCAGACTCAACACCACCTCCCGTTTTGCGAGATTGAGGTTGGCAGTGCGGACGGGCGGGCAGCTGAGAAGGGCGGCGTGCAGGCCGCGTGTCTCGCGCTGCGCTCAGATGGAGCGTGGCCACAGACGGATGGATGGTGCATCTTGTGCGCCGTGGAGGAGAGACAAGCTCGCAGAAATGCTGCAGGGATGCTGCGGGGCGGGCAGACGAGGCTCGGCCGATTGGCCACTCACAGCGCGGGCAGGGGCCTCAATAACAGACGGCGCTGCACGGGACCGGCCAGTATTGATATCGCCTCGCTCTCTTCTCCTCGACCGCAACCACGGCCTGCTGCTGCCGGCGGCTCTTGCACTGCACTGTCTGCTCCCGTCCCAGTCTCCCTGCGCTGCACCGCCCCGCCAGTGACAGAACCCCGCCTGATGGATGGAGTCCCGTGATGCACCAGCCAGAGACGAACCCGCCACTGCCACTGCCGCTGCCCGTCCAGAGCGCAGCTCCATAGTCCCGCCCTACTGGCAGCGGCACGAGCGCAATGCAAGCCGCCAGAGCTCCTACTCGGTCGAGGCGCGCGACCCCATCCGCCTCGAGGACCACACCGACGAGGGCTCAGAGCAGTGCAAGGCGCTCTGGGCCAAGCATGTCACCATTGATGATTACGTCGTCGTTGGGAGCGGCACCACGCCTGCCCTGGGCGCTTATGTCGTCTGGAACATAACCGTGGACACACTAAATGTGAGTGCAGTAGTCGCCCCAAGCTCGTCTCCATGCTGCCTGGGGCACTCGACTGACCCGTCCTTCGACCAGGGGAGTCCCATGAAGATAATCAAGAGGTAGTCGTTACCGTCCAGCTGCATTGGAAACGGGCATGGCTGACCTTGCTCTCCAGGTACTCTGACTTTGACGACCTGCGGCAGAAGCTGGTGCAGACATTCCCCCACCTGGTGGGCGCAATGCCGCCGTTGCCACCCAAGTCTATCGTCTGTAAGTCATCGACTCCGGGCCTGCCGCACTGGCTGCAGTGCATGGCTGCGTGATGGCTGCACCCGCGGCCCAGCTCACCCCACTTGCCCGTTTCGGCATCGTCCATATATTGATCCTCTGCAGCGCGCTTTCGCTCCAAGTTTCTGGAGAAGCGGAGAGTTGGCCTCGCACACTTTCTCAAGTAGGTCCACAGTGCATCGCGCTAGCGCACATTGCTCATATTTTTAGCTGCATACTGCTTAATCCCGAGTTCGCCGGCTCGCCCGTCCTGAAGGAGTTTCTGTTCGAATAGCGTGGTTTTGTGTAGATATTCGTTTCTTCGTGTACATGTGGCACCGGACGCCTCCACCTTCTGTATTCATCCGCGTTTCAGATATACGCCAGCGACTTGCGAGATTAGCGGCATCTGTACATAGCATCGAGCGTTCTTGGTGAGCTGATACCTCTGGTTCTGCGTGGGACGACGGCGGCGTCCACATGCATTGTTGGGCAAGCTAGGTAGAAACTGGATCATTGCGTCGACGATTGGCTCCGTGGAGCAGCACAGTGGGACGGCAAACGCTTTGCCTGTGCATGCTCACGTCCCATGTCAAGCAGCCTTGGAGCCGTAGACTACATATGTCGCTCGCCTTCGCTGCGAACAGCCAGCAGTGACGTTATGTCTGAGGCGCGACCTAGCGGCGATACCCTTGCCGGCGCAAGGATTGGCTGCGATGCATCGTGGCGTCGTACCGGCCATTCTGTGCTCGGAAAATCTCCAGCTGTTTTGATATCGATATCGAAAAGTCGACGCTGCTAGCAGCCCCGGAAGCTCTCTGTCGTGCGCTGACCTGCGCTGGCTGCCGCAATCGCATTGTGACGCGCGAGATTCCCATCCTACAGCAGCGTTTGAGCTCGCCTGGCTCTGGCAGTCCCGACGGCACCCCTAACGCGAGTGCCTTCACCAAGCCGCGCGCGACACTCAATGGCAGCCCGCAATAGCTCGTGATTCTCTCCGCTCCGGTGACTATGCGCCAGCACGATGCTCAAGGCAATCAACACAATGGCCAACTTGATCCGGCCAGCGGCTGACCGCAGGACCACAACGCACACCCGATCGCGCTCCCCGCCGCACGAGGTCGCAAAGCAGGCCGCCATCCAGCAGCAGCAGCAGCAGCCGCCCGCCGCGCCCATATCCACGCGCCGCCCGTCCAAAGCCCTCGCGCAGCCTGCAGACGCCCCCAATGCAAGAGACGCCGCGTCGCCCGCCCGTGCCAGCGCGCGAAAGCGCTCCATCGCCGACGTCGACACGCCCGATGCGCGACCGCAGTCAAAGGCCAAGCAAAGACGCTCCTACGACGACCTGTCGACGTGGGCAGACGATGCAACAAAGAAGCTGCACGGCAATGTCGACGACGCCCCGTCCGGCGCGTCGACGCCCAAGCCCCAGGACACGCCCGCCGCCATGGCCGACAAGAAGAGCCTACGCAGCAAGGGCTCGGTTCGCAAAGCCAGCGTGCTGGCCGAGATCTTCACTCCAGACGGATACGACGACATCTTGGCGGGTTTCGGTCCCGTCGACAGCGCCGAGAGCAGTACGTCTCGGTCGAGCGAGGGCACAGGACAGCGCTAACCGTCGCAGATGCATCCTCGATAGGCAGCGACGACCAGATCGCGCTGGTAGACGAGCCGCTCACGGCCGCCCAGCTCGCCGCGTACCGCGAGACGCTCAGGGAAAAGGCCGCCCAGGCGCGTGCCAAAAACCAAACCGGCGAGCCAGCCCCCCACCACGTCTACAGGCCGCTCCCGCCCGAGGACTACTCGCCGTACGCGAGACTGCCCGCGGCTGCAGACCCCCTCGCAGATGGCGTCTCGCGATACGCGAAAGAGCACAAGCGGCACGAGCGCGAGGAGCGCAAGGAACGCAACTTGGACGTCGAGCGGCACCAGTTCCGCATGTCCAAGGCGCCGGCCGTGCTCGAGGAGCTCGAAGGCGACGACTGGCACAAGGTCTTTGTCATTGACAAGAGCGAGCGCAAGGCCTGGGAGCCGAAGCGCGCGCACGTCATCAACCTGCTGCGGACCGCGCTCGCGAGGCAGGACGCGTTTCGCGATATTGAGCTGAAGAAACGGCGGCGGGAGAAGGAGAGGCGCAAGAGGGAGAGGGAGGGGACCGAGGACGAGGACGAGAGCGAGGACGAGCGTTAGTCACAATTTCTTTCAATCATCTCCCCTGCCCTTCCACCTCACCCGGGAACACGAACGAACAACGAACTGACGGATGTGACTGTAGATCCCAAAAAACGCCCGCCCCGCCACCCCAGGCCCTCCAAGCCGCACCCCTCTCCACCGCCAGTATCACCACCCAAGCGCCGCCCGCCCCGCCCTCAGGGCTACATCCTCGACATTCCTCCCGCGCCTGCCGTCCCGCCCACCCCCTTCAAATCCTTCTACCGCCCCGGCCAGCGTCCCGCCTTCCCCAATCCCTCCACCCACAACTCCAACACTAACCCCTCTACCAACGCAAATCCCTCCCCACGCAAAGCCACACGCTCCGCCGCCCCGCCCCCCTTCGGCGTCCCCTTGCCCCGCATCTTGACCATGGTCGACGACGAGGTGTTGCTCGAGATGCTCAAGGCGGACCAAGAGTATGCGCGCGAGGGCCTGCCGACCGAGGAGGCGCTGCTAGAAGATGAGCGGAGTTTTTCCGTGTTTGTGCTGGGCGGCGAGGTAGTGCAGGCGCAGTTTCTGCGGGAGAACGAGAGGATGCGGCGGGTGCGGCGGAGGACGAGAGCGAGTGGCGAGAACTGAAAGGGTAGGGGAGCTTGTTTTTATTTTATTTTGAGAAGCCTATGCGGGGAGGGGATACCCTGTTCGAGTCGTTTGGGCTGTGGGTGAATGGAGGGATGAGGTGGATCTGTATACCACGACGGATGCTTGGCGAGGTGTATTATATCTGGTGTATCGTATCTGTGAAGTGGAGACGAGGCCGCATTGTGCATGGCTAGGCCTGGGTTATTCATTCATGCACTTTCTTCCTCTCGTACAGTCGTATCGAGTCGCGTGACACAGCGCAAACGCCCACCCCAGCCGGTCTCAATCTGACGTAGACTAAAGAGAGATGAGATGCAGAAGCGGCATATAAGCCGCGCTTCTCTCGCCCTGAGATGCCCTCTTTACGCCTCTGCGTCGGTTGCGCTGGGGAAGCAAAGCCTGATGTGATTAGAAGCTATGCGCGGCGTGCGGGTGGGACTAAAATTTTGAGAAGCAATCGTCAATGGAGGGGAGGGGAGGCAGTGCAGGGATCAGATCCACTGGACATGGAGGAGGTTGGACTAAAAGGGCCGTTCCGAGAAGCAATGGAGAGGAGGTGGGACTGAAAACTGACACGCCGAAATTCATGGGAGGACAGAGGGGTGCGGGTCTATCAAAACGGTCGTGCCTTCAAAGTGTTGGGACCAAGAGGATGGTCGTGGGGACTATCATCGCCTGCTGGCACCTCGATGGGGAAAGAGGAGGGAACAGGCTCAACTGGGACCCAAGGCTAATGGTAACAAGAAATATAGAGATGTATGGTGTTGTAGGATACCTACCCTTGATGGGATTGGAGGGGGATCGAGGACTCAAAACTTAATCCATATAGATGATAGGCAAGGGAAATAAGCTAGGAAACCGAATTAGTCTCGGAGACACTTGATGGCCGAGGCAAAGGGTGATCCGAACAGTAGAGCAAGACTATACATGAGTAGTTGTGGAGTCAGCGACGAAAAGAACATGAATTCGCAGTTCATGGGGAGAGGATGCGTGACTTAAAACTGTGGTAACTCCGCCCTATGGTTGTGGGGGATTTTTGAGACTCAAAATGGTACTGGTTCTGGGCATGTGGCATGGAAGTGTGTTGGGTTTTGAAAAAGACATACATTGACCCTATGGGAGTGGTGGGAATAGAGATAAAAGAAACAATGATAGGATGAGCTATGGAGTGGAGAGTATCAAGAGCCAGCATATTTTATTCGATGAGAAGGGCAGGGAAGTGCTAACTCGAACCATTACGACCAAAGTTCTATGTGAGTTCTCCTCTAGAACTAGATCCGCTAAATAGGCCATTCATGGGCAGGACAGAGAATCTCAGCTATCTCAAGGTATTCAAAACTCTCACGCGTGAACGCTTTCCCAAATTCTCTAAATGAATCCGACTCCCTTGGAGACTACTTTCACGCCTCTCCACAGTTTGGGTGTTTCAAAGCTGACAATGAACAGCTCATGTGCTGTGCGACTGGGGGAGACTCAAAGAGACACTGGACCGATACCACGGCGGAAGGATAGGAGTGATGAGACTTAAGTGATCACCAACAACTTCTCCCGTGATTCCCCCTGGGGACGAAAAACTAATTGACGTTGTCCATTTGGATGAGGTGAGATATGCCGCCCGAAACCGCGACGGAAACACATGAAACCCTTACAGAGCTCCCGATGTTAATTCTTTTCTCCTGCTGGATATGTTCTCACATATACTACACTGAGTGAGCGGAGAACATCAAGAACGAGGATTCATGCTGTATGGGTGCCAGGGAAGTAATAGTGCAAACAAGAGAGACGATAGGAGGGGAGGTGTCGAGCCATGGCACGAGCGGAGACGTGTAATGAGACGATCCTGTTCAGCACTATGAACGGTGAAGTGGATACACTATGCGCAAGTAGTGCCGATTGCTATGTTAATAGTCAAGGTAAAGGTAAAGTAACTGTGGGTCCAGGGATTTTTTGAGATATGCATGGAGGCACGTGATATGATTGGCTTATGTGTATAATTATCGCGCGTGGGATTGTACCCCTGTCGCAGGAGGCGGACTATACCAACGCCTTGCTTCGCCTACTCAAGTCACTGTAAGCAGAAGCAAATCATTATCGCTTAGTGCTTAGTTTCCAAGGATGCTTCCAATCTCCGCTAGTCGGACTTTGCGGTGGGTGGCCGCGTCGTGAATCGAAAATATGTACTTATGAACTATTTCTCCTGGTCCTTTCTGGAACCCTTGACTAAACTTATTTCCCTTGTCAGTAATTGTTATAAGATGCTGTAGAGGTGTTATCCACTATTCACTATCATTTTGTCCAGATCGGAGCAGGTCTCCCGGTTATCTGACCTACTACAGCCCCGTAACATCGAAGCAAGATGCGTTTCTCTAGCAGCGCAAGTCTATTTGCACTAGGCGTATTTTTCCTCAGCGCCCTCGGCGGTCCGCTCAATGGGCAAAGCGCTAGCTCTGACGCTGTGGATACCGTACTCCGCAGGGACGTGGCCACTTCCCATATCGAAGCAGTGTCTATGAACGTAAGGGCCATTTTGCCTGCAGAAATTGAACTCATACCTCGTGCGCGAGTGCGAAAAGGTAGAACCCGCGCGAAGTCCAAAACCAAATCGACAAGAAAGAAGAAACTCAAATCAAAGATCAAGCCACGACCCACAAAACCAAAATCCAGAGCAAAGTCGAAAGGGACAAAGACGAAATCCAAGAACGCACCAAAACCAAAAGCCTCGCAAAAGCCGTGGGAAAAGCCTGTGCCAAGCGAGGCCACCATCGCAAGATACTGCAACGTGCCCAAGGACAAGGCGCTTTTTTGGTCTGGAATGTGGCCCCAAGGCAGCACGTCTAATGGTGACTGGACACCCAAATTAGTCCTGCAGTATGCAGCACAGAAAGGACTAAAGCATGACGAGTCGGTGTATCCTAAGGGCTACGTGCGCAGATACACGAGGCCGAATGGGAAGCCATACAACAAGAAGAAGGAACAACTATTCGCTCAGCGATTTTCAAAGGTTTTTGCGAGGAAGTCGCGGGGCGTGGTACATGTGATGGTGCCGTGGAAGACGGGCCCAAAGGCGGGGAGAGTCTTTGCGAAGGACGAATGGCCAATTTTGAAGAGAGCCCTCAAGACGGGGAAGGTAACGAAGATTATACAGGTTAATCCGGCGGACTTTGGAGAGACAAGAGAGTATGACCCGAAGAGATACGGTTTGAGGAAGAGAAACGGGGGTGGGAGGAAAGGAGTTGATTTTGATATTGACTTGGAAAATGTCCCGTGGGATGTGAACCTCGATGCGTTGGAGGCGATGTTCGATAAGCAGGGGTAGGCATATAGAGAGCAAGTAAGGATGGGAAAGGCGCGATTCTATTCTCATCGGGCCCTGAGAAAATGATCGGTCATCGAACACCTAGGGTTAGTTGGTAGATGTGCTAGTATAACATAGAATGATGCTTTTCTTCCATATTAGGCGGTAGATTCAAGAATAATATCATATGCCCAAGCTTTACACAGGTATCCATCCGATGACAAGATCAATACTAGATACTTACTTTCGAGTCAACTATTGCCAGCCTTGATGTGCTCCATGCCCCAATCCCAATTGACTCGTGGAACTTCACTACTAGGCGTTATGAGAATTCTTTAGTGTCAACGGAAAATTTGATCATCCTGCATACTGTGTGCCGCAACAGTGGCAAAGAATAGCTTTTGCGTGTATCTTAGCTCCAAATTTTCGTGTGCTAAAAGCTTTCCACTTCCCTATACTTAAGTGAAAAGTTGCAACGGCAAGTAAAGAGTATGGAATCAAAGTGCCCTGAATGGCTTTAGGGTGGAGAGAGTGAGACTTTGTTTAAATATTATCTCCAGTCACCATGGAATGGGTTGGGGAGGAGAAGCAGAGATCTGGGGCGCAAGAAAGTCGTTCGAAGCCTTCTGAGGCGATGGGAGCGGTACGATCCGAAACGCAGATATTAACTAGAATGTGGTGGTACAAAATGCGGTGACCCAGGCTGTAGCGGTCCAGCAGAAAGAAGTGTTGCGGAGTAACAACAATTAGCGACGTATTTCATGGGGCAAGAGAGATTTATCATGCGCGAAGTTGTTTGCACAGAATTTCGCGCAACATAGTACGAGTGAAGACCGTAGGTCAATCAGCATTAGCGGATATGTTAATTGGCTTTCTTCTTGGATTCGTGAAGTCTCGTTGGCCAGAGCCTTTGTGCTCGTGAAATAGTACAGAGGTGGCGTCAAGGAACATTACACAAGGCGAGTCACAGCCACATGTGGGAGAGGAGCTGTCTGACTAAGCATCCAGCTGTACGTTGAGGAGGAAGGTCAAATTCATTGTCGTCTATGTAGACAAGCGATTATATTTTGTTGTAATCTTATGCATGCTGTGGCACTATCCTTCGAAGAACGCCTCGAGGCATGCTTTGTACCCATATATACTCGTGCTTGGTTGATGCTATCATGCGTGCCAATGCTTTAACTTAGCCGAGGAATGAAAGTTACTCTTATCTGAACACAAATGGATTTGACTCTGTTAACTCTGCGACTGTATGCCTAACGAGCGGTCGATGCTGTACCTGTGTGTTGCAGCGTTGCTCGCACAATGCGCGCACACAAAAACGTTTAGGAAGTTCTATGCTTCTTTAATAGCTCCATATTGAGGAAATATCGACTCTTAGGGTACTTTCGTTTTCTCTCACCACCAAGATCTCCGACGGTGCGGTGACGTGGCGTAGCCAAGAAGAAATCTGACTCGGGCAGTGAGAAGAGAAGCGCAACTAAGAAGACACTTGGTCCATCTTTTAGGTGTCTATGAAAACAAGGTACTATTGTTCGCGGATCCTGAGACTCGCAGAACCAGAAACGTATGGACAAAATGCCTCGCCAATCCTTGTGTATCTTGCCTTAACTAGCTCCTCCAAGTGCACTCCTTGAACAACAATTATATCCTCCATTATTTATTGATGGCTGCGTTTCATATTCCAATTTCCAATTTGCAGGTAGCCACGCGCGATCCACGATGCATTCATGCGTCTTGGGCCGCAGAACTTCGAGGTAAAAAAGGACTACCCTTCTTTTGATCAGGAGACGCATTGCCAGAAATCGACGGGGCACGTCTTGTCCGGGTCCGCGGACGGCCTGTATCTTCCTCCCCGAACGGGGTAATTCGAAGGCCTCTGCTGATTCGCCGGATCTCTTCATCGGCGGCATGTATTTGGGTTTTCTGGAGTACCCAGCCATGGGTGACAGGTTCTGGATCACCTTTCGTTCGCATCTGCACAATCTGTGGCACTATTATAGTGTCATCCTGCGCATCAGTAGTCGCGGGAGGTGACGAAGAGCGCTTCTGGGTCTCCACTGCAGCCGGCAGCCCGACTATGTACCAAGGGTACTTCGCAGCCGAAGGTCTTTCTTCAAAGCTCGGTTCGAGCTTCTCCTTTCCGCGTTGTATCTTTTTCCACAGATCTTGGAATTGAAGTAGAAGGTCGTCGAGCGCTTCGCAAAAGTTTTCGAGGTCGTCTTTGGTATCAAAGAGGATATCTACGCGTACAACGTCCCTCAAATCATCTATGATCTTATCAATTTTTTCCTGGTCAATTTCGTCTTGGTAGTCGTGCTTCATGGAAAGAATAATGCCTCTGGCATACATTTCTTTCAAGGGGTCTACCGTTGCTTGGTAGCGGAGCAACTGTCGCAGGCCACCACGCTCACCCAGCACATAGGTGGGCTGGAACAGGAACTGGACCATGAGATTCGCAAGGGCACCAAGGACTACCGCTACGCGCATCTCTTTAGCAATTTTGGAATTGTTTTGCGGAAGCGGAATCCGATTCTTGAACACTTTATTGTCGTTCAATTTCGACCAGTCATTCTGTGCATGCGTAAGCTAGGACTCCAGTCTGATGTGCATAAGCAACCTGCCTCAAGGACAATATCAGGTAGATTGCACCCGATATATCCTAGTATCAAGGCCGAAACAGACTCCCACAGGGCCTCTAGCTGACTTCTTCTGCGGGAGTATTAGCAGATTGGCCAGAACACACGATCGAGTACTTACACTGCTGGTAGGTTGAGTGACTCGATTTTCACGGTGAAACCCTTGTATTTCTCAATCTTCTTATTCGCCTCGACGGCATCCGATAGGTGCTTTTGCTTCTCGTTTGCCTCTTCTTGCAAGGATCTGTTTAGAGCAATTGCGTTGTCTTCCGCCTTTTTCAATCGAGCCTTCAAGTCGTTTGCTTCATTCACTGCAGTCTTCCGCTGCGCGTCCAATTCTGCAATCTGAACATTCTTAATCTTGACACTCTTTTTCTCCGCGCCATATGCCTTTTCAAGGTCAACAACTTGAGCCTGCGTCCTCTTCAGCTCCCCCCGAAGCGCCTCTATACTCTTGTCTTTCTCCTCTGAAGCTGTGTTCAACGCTGCCACCCCGCTTCGTAATACTTCGTTCTTATCGCTCCATTGCTGATGTCTCTCCTCAAACTTGTCGAAAAGCTCTTTATTGGAGGCACGGTGAGACGCTTCACACGCTGCCAGCTGGCTTTCCAGCGCATTGATTTTGCCGTCTTTGTCTTTGAGATCGGCCTCCTGCGAATCGACGCGTTCGACGAGTTGTGCGAACCTTCCGAACCCGTCTTCCCTTGAGATCGCATGGATGGCTTTCCAGAGGTCCTGTAGCGCCGGCATATCTTGCGATGCTGCATCGATGTTACCGTCACCTGGCTGGACTCCATTGACGCGAGGCACTGATTTTGTGGCCATTGTTTTTCCACTGATTGTAGCAGACCAGGAATTGGAGAATCTAGATGGTCGAATTTGTGCTCATGAACTTTTATAGAATTGTTAGCTTTTATGTCCGTAAGGCAGGATATCTTCAAGACTCGGCGAAGAAGCCGTCATCGCTGGCAGTCCGATAGACGCTGCATGATGTTGTTGAGACGTTTCGTAAAGGTATAGGTTGTATCCATCTTCGTGACCAGATGGTGTGGTGAGTAAATAGCTCATTGGCTTCAGACTGCCACAATGGTTCTCTGCGTCTATGGCCATTTGCCTTGCATAGGAGCACGACCCTATCAGAATGTCGACATACAAGGCTGTGAGTCTTCTGGCGGAGCTTTACCGGTGAAACCGCAATGTGGGAGTCGAAGATCATCATGTGCGTACAGCATCCGGCCGTGGGGTGACCCGATAGGTAGGCAGCAAAGTCGTGTAACGGATAGACGCTCGTGAGGCTGTCTTGTAACAGCGAGCTTCGGGCCGAGTCTATCTCGGCGCATGCAATTACCTTGGTATAAGGCTTTTTCACGTCCTTCGTCTGTCTGTCCGGCTCCGACATCTTGGAGGCATTCCCAGGTATGCCATTTTGTCAACGACACATGAGCCAATGGTTAAGATTAAGAGTTCATGCATTGTCATCGAAGGAATTACCGATCTAATTGAGAGGGGAATCGACAAGATCATCATGTTAGCGACAAGCCAGCGCGTATTCACCAGCAAGGGCTGTTGCCTAAATCATGCAGTATCTACGACTCGCCGAGCCACTCATTTTATCTGGCTTGGAGAACCTGAGTGCAATCTTGTGGACCTGTCGTACCATGACTTGAGCTGTCTACCTGCACTCGAAATCGATAGTACATATTTGGGGTTGATTGCCGATCGTATCAAGCTAGCATCATACGATCCGCGTATGTAGAGGCACGGCGGCAACTGACACGTCGCATGCATGAACGGGTCGTGATGCAAGCGACGCGCTTAGCGACGTCGGAGACACGGCATGTTGGGGCAGGCGGCCGGGAACGTGGCAGAGCATGAGTGGTTCCACCAAGGATCAAGCTATACGGATGGAAAGCTCGATTATTTGCTGGCTCGGTCCGCAAAGCTACCGTCAGAGGAGCACGGGAAGGAAACGCGCGGCACCACCGTGGCGTGTAGAGCCGGTGACAGGGTAGAAAGACCCCAATCACAGCAATGGATGTTTCCGTTGTGGGATCGACAGGCGCTACCCCAGCCGTTTGCCTGCATGCAAGGCACGTCAGTGGTCATGTATGGGTACCGATTTGGTGGGTGCGCGGATATTGCAAGACGCGATAGGTTGCAAATATCAGATTCTTTCCAGCTCGCTGTTCATATGCTTAGGTTGAGGCGATACGTAGTTCACAAAGTAGACTCGAACAAAGATAGCTGCCATGAGGATACTCACAGAGTTCCTCATGGTAAGAAGAGTAGCACGCAAGCGGTAGCAGATGACATAGATCAAGAGGTGCCATAAAGTTTTCAAGAACGAAGAAAGTGTGTTCTATACGCCACAGCCACCCGTCTGTGTCGGTTCCCCTCCCTCCCTACCTACCTATATCCCTTTCCCTCTTCATCTCCCCCTCCAGCCCCCACTTTCCCTCCCCATCGCCCCATCTCATCGCCGTCCCCACATATCCAAACCCCTCCATCCCCTCCATGCCCTCTAACGCGCTCGCTTCGCGCCGCAGACTCCCCGAGCGCCTCAACCGTAGTTCCCGTTCGTCGAGGGAGTCTGCGGCTGTGGACGGCCGCGTATCGACGTCCGCGACTTTGAGATGGTGAGTCGAGGTTGGCGGCGAAGGGATGAACGATCCCGGCATCTGCATCAGTGGTGCAAGACCAGGACTCGGCGGTGCCCACAGCTCCGGCCTTTCACTATTAACCTCCGCCGGATCGATACTGCGACTCGCCGGACACACGTCCATCAACATAGCCCACCACGGAGCCTGCGTGGGTGAATGCGAGCGGGATGGCGTGTGCAGTGCTACGGTGCTTGAATTCGCTGTCGGGGGCGGCAGCGCGAAGGTCGGGAGCGAGACGTGGGACGTACTTTCTACCGAGGAGAGGGAGGGCAGGACGCCGATGATGGAGGTGGATGGAGATGCGGCCTCTGATTGTTCCCAAGGCGCGACGGCGTGTCGGGTTGAGGTGCCGGCAACGGCAATGTCGGTGTACTTTCCGCTCCCACTGGAGGGAGGCCCAGTCCCGGGGCGCCTGAGGGAGTTGTGGCACTCATGGAAGCTGGACATCTCGGTGTTGGGATCGTGGACTGAGCGTTTGTTCTTTGGGGTCGGCGGGGGACTGTAGCCTATGATGCTGTTCCCAAAGCTCTGGAATATGGAGGGTTCGTCGGAGTTGATGCTTATTGCCGCGGCTGAGGCCTTGCGGGGCTTGCGCTCTGTGATATTGGGGTTGACGAGGAAATCTAGGCTGAAGCCGCCCAAGTCGCCCAGGGGAGACCTGTTTGGCGTACTGGCAGGTAGGGCGCCGCTCATGTAGATAATGTCGTCAGGATCCGAGGTGAAGAGGGACTGCGAGTGCTTAAGGGGAAAGCGCTGCCGCAGGCCAGTGGCGTGATCGTCCTCATCCAGAGGGGGCGCCGGGAGGTGTGGATTCTCGGAAGTTGCAGAGTCTTTCCGCTTGCCCCAGATAAACTCCATAAGGTGTTTGAGAGAGGACTTCCGCCGTTCCGCAGTCACGTGGCGTCTCTTTGCAGCGGGTTGCACATGTTCCTCCCGCTCTTGGTCCTCGGGTGTTTCTGAGAGGTGCTGTGGTGGGGCAGCAGATGAATTGCTACGGGTCCGCTGCGGCGTGAAGATGTGGAAGACATTGGAGGCCTTCCTGGAGAGCCTCCTCGTCAGTGGTCGGTCGCAGTCGTCTCCACTTTCCGAGGAATTTGAGTCGCGGTGGAACGTCCACGGATTCGTGCGTTTCCTCTTTGGGGGATCGTGCGTGTAGCGCTTGGATTCATCTAATTCCGGACTGATAGGCCGCGTGAATGTCGGATATTCGTCCGGCGCGACTTGGTCTGGTGGGACTGCCGCGCTCTTGCGGCGTGATTGTGCTTCGCGGCCGCTCCTGATGACAGAAGCAAGGTGCGGAGGGGTTGCCATGGTGGGAGGAAGGAGAATATGTGATGAGATGTATGAGTCGAGTATAGACGTCAGAGAGGCAGAGATGGAAGGAGGAATGTAGATAAAAACGATCGGAATGAGGTCAAAGGGGTTCACCGTTCACGAGCTCGAAACGAGGCTGCAAAGGGACTGGGGACTCATGCGACACCGAGGGGAGATGCTGGGCCACATTCTTGGGCTTCTGAGCTGCGCTGCCTCATGACGAATTGGTTGAGCAGATATCTCCCAATAAAGGCTGTTGCGATGGGAATAACGGCTCGAGTGGACACTGCGACAAGGGAGTGGGAGCGAGTGAGATGTATAGCATTGCAATTCGGACTCCCACGGCCATGGTGCGAAGGTAGCGTTGCATGGTAGTTGTTGAGCGGCGGTCTGGTGATTAGCTAACTCTGTGAATGGTGACCTCGACGATAGCCTGGCGTGTTTTAGGTCGATTGCTATAGACTGTGCCTGCATAATGTAACATTGCCGTAGCGGCGAGCCGAAGCCGTTGACCGCGTGGGGCATGGCGGTGGAGTGCACGATGGACGCGGATGGAGGACAAACACGTGAAGGAGCTTGGGTCCGAAGCTACCTGAAAAGACACTAGCGTGGTTTAAGCTCGTCATGCCATCATGATGGTCGCAAACGTGCAGACATTGGGCGGAACGTCGAATAGCCACGCCCAACGTTGCCCTTTCAGCACGACGCCAATTGCATTCTCCCCCATGCAAACCGTCTAGCCAGGCACGTGATGCCTCCTCGGATTCCCTGCAGAGCGCACCGGGCCGCCTGCCCCACACCCGCCGTGCGCTATGGAATACGGCTGCAGCGGAGACTCGCATCAACCTCTGCCAGCGCGCCCGACATATACGATGTAGTATGTGTTGGTGGTGGACCAGCCGGGCTCAGCCTGCTGGCTGGTCTGAAGGCCTCGCCCATCACAAACGGGCTCAAAGTTGCGCTCATCGAGGGGCAAGATTTACAGAAGAACCGCTTGCCCAAAGATGCGAGTCTGGACAGCTTCTCCAACAGGTGCAGCTCCCTGACACCGGCGTCTATGAGGAACCTTCAAGGCAAGCATCGAATATCCGCACTGCGCGCAATTGCTAATTCCAGAAGAAATTGGCGCATGGCGACACGCGAATGCCGCGCGCATCCAGCCTTACCAGGAGATGCAGGTCTGGGACGGCGTCTCTGATGCCCGCATATCCTTCGACTGGGACACGGCGCGGTCCCTCGGCCCTCGCACACCGACCCAGCCCACGACCATTGCATACATGATTGAGAACGTCAATACAGTTTCTGCTCTTTTGGGACGATTGGAAGAGCTGGGCGGCGTGGACATCTTCGCCTCTACGAAAGTAGACGCAATCGAGCTTGGGACAGACACAGAGCAGCTCGACCTGTCGTCATGGCCTGTCCTCTCGCTCTCCAACGGGAAATCACTGGCAGCCAGACTGCTCGTGGGCGCAGACGGTGCGAACAGCCCGGTGCGTACCTTCGCCGGCATCCCCTCGCGCGGCTTCGACTACAGCAGACACGGCGTCGTCGCAACGCTCAACCTCTCCTCCCCGGGCTGGGGCGGCCCAGACCACAAGATCGCGTACCAGCGCTTCCTCCCCAGTGGCCCCATCGCCATGCTCCCTATGCCCGGCAACTTCGCCACCCTCGTCTGGAGCACCACCCCCGAGCGCGCCGCGAAGCTCAAGTCCCTCTCCCCCGCCGACTTCACCGCCATGGTGAACGCCGGCTTCCGCCTCTCCCCCACCGACCTAGAGTACCTGCATACCCTGCCCTCAGGCCAAGCCGAGGAAATTGCCTGGCGCGAGAAGCACACCCCCACCAACGAGCGCGGCCTTCCCGTCCGCGTCACTGACGTCCAGGGAGGCAGCGTCGCCTCCTTTCCGCTCCGCATGCGCCACGCCGACACGTATACGGGCGAGCGCGTCGCTCTCGTCGGCGACGCCGCGCACACGATACACCCGCTCGCCGGCCAGGGGCTCAACCAGGGCCAGGGTGACGCGGCCGCGCTGGTGCGGACTATCTCGCATGCGGTGCAGTCGGGGCAGGACATCGGCAGCACGCTTGCGCTGGAGAGTTACAACGAAGCAAGGTATGCGGAGAACAACGCCATGCTGGGCGTGTGCGATAAGCTGCATCGGCTGTACAGCGTCGAGTCGGGGCCGGTTGTGGGACTGCGGAGCTTGGGGTTGCGGGCTGTGAATGCGATGGGCCCGTTGAAGGGGTTCTTCATGAGTAGGGCGGCGGGCGGGGTGTAGATCTATATCCTGTAACTATAACTGTACACGTAGACTGGTTGTAGACTGGCAATGTACGTGCAAATTCATCTGCATGGCATGACACAATTTGCTGCACTCGGTAGTCCCTTGAAACTTATTCTGAGTCTCGGATCGTTGTGCTACGCTCTCGCGCCATCGCTCGCCATCACGTCCGCGGCGTTCCTGCGCCATGATTGCTCGACTTCCTGCTTGCCCCGCCAGCGCCATCTCGAGCTAACCCCCCCACGACCACATTCGTAAACAACTCCCTCTCTCGCAACTTCTCTCTCAGTATCGCCAATCATGGCAACCGAAAACCATGCCCCGGGTCTCGCCACCTTCGGCCAAAACGACGACTTCTGGCTCTTCGGCTACGGGAGTCTGATTTGGAAACCCCCGCCGCACTTCGGTACACATCACACCAACCTCTGAAAACGCAGAGAGGATATTGACGGGACGCAGATAAACGCGTACCCGGGTACATTGAGGGGTATGTGCGGCGGTTTTGGCAGGTATGATTGAAGAACCACATGTGTGAAAAGAGTAAAGTGTGAGGGACGAGTGCTAAGGAGTGCCTAGGCAAGGTATGCTCTCGCTCTCAGAGGCTAAGGGAAGATGGGACTGACCAGGTCGGACGGGCAGTGAGGATCACCGCGGCACACCAGAAGCACCAGGCCGCGTGGTGACCCTAATCGACCGCGCACACTGGGAAACACTGACGGATCACGTACGTCCTCCCTCCTTCTCTCCCTCCCACGTAAATGGTACGGGGAAGCTGATTTTGTGGGTGGGCGATAGCACGAGCCCACCGAGCGCGTCTGGGGCGCCGCCTACCACATCCCGCGGGAGAAAGTCGCTGAAGTCCGCGAATACCTCGACATCCGCGAGATCAACGGCTACTCTATCCAATTCACGCCCTTCATCCCTTCTTCCGCGCCCAGCACGCCGATACAAACGCTTGTGTACATCGGTCTCCCCTCGAACCCCCAATTCCTCGGGCCCCAAGACCCGGACGAACTCGCAGCCCACATACTCAAGAGCCGCGGGCCGAGCGGGGAGAATAGAGAGTATTTGTTTCAGCTGGAGGAGGCACTGCGAGGGCTGGGAGAGGGCGCGAGGGATGAGCACGTGCGGGATTTGGTTGAAAGGTGTAGGGGGATAGAAGCTAAGGAGGGGAGGAAGGAGGTAGAGGGTGATGTGGTGGGCGAGAGGCTGAAGAAGGTGGGGAGTACGGAGGAGCAGGAGGAGGTTGAGAAGTAACTACTTGGCTTATTTGGGCAGCGAAGCGTCATACTGCACAATAGCTGGAAGAAATTAAGCCGACTCTAGCACACCTTAGCCTGGAGGCTCTCGTGGTGTGATACAGTTGTGGATGTGTTATCTGATAGTGAGTCCTGACATTTTATAGAGACACATGGGTTTGATGGGTACCTGCTGTGCTGCTGAGAAGGAGCTTTGCATACTTGGAGAGACTAGATGACGGCTTACTGGTGTGTACAACGAGATCTTTCGGAGAAATCGAGCAGAGTTTCCGCGAGTTTTCGGAAGATCCTCGATCTGCAGTGTCTTCCAGATTTGGGACGCCGTGTTTCCGCTCTGTGGACGTTTTTGGAAGTCGGCGGGAGGAAGGGTCGCCGTTGTGTGGTCTGTTGTGACGCTTGTACAAGGTGTGAGATATCACCCGTCCGGTAACGCGCGTTTGTGCAGTTTTGTTGGCTCATGATGGATCTTCTGGGACGGTTGTGATGTAGCAACGGTACAGGGCAAGAAGTTGGTATATTCTGTTTGTATGAGTGAAGCAGAGGGAAGGGCAAGGGGAAAGGAGGGTTAAGTGGGCTGGGGAGATGCAAGTTGAAGGGAAGTCAGAGTAGATATACCGTTCGTCCTCCAGTGTTTCGAGGAAGGTAACGCGTGCGGCTTAGAGTCAGCGAGTTTCGCGTGCGGTACTGGTTTGTCATGTCGTCGGGTTCGTCGATATCGTCGGAGTGATCGTCATCTAGGTGTTTGACTATTACAGCAAGTGAAATTTCTTGAAGAGATGCAGCTCGAGGACGACATATGATATGTTCGTTGACATGCGCTACGCTTCATAATCGTACATTCCGAGACACCGGCCACGTGCATGGTATTCCCTAGATGCATGCACGATGCTTAGATGTCCATGAATGTCTCGTCACCAAGGTCCTCGCCGAACTCGTCTTCACCGGTGGCGCGGGTAGGACATACGGGAAGGTTGATCTTCGGCTCGGTTCCAGCCACAGGAGCAAGCTGTGAGGGCTCAGCGACAATATCTCGAATTGCGCAGTCCAGGTCCTTTTCCATCCTCACATTAACCTCTCCCATCCAGTCCCATCCCTCATCACCATCTTCCCTCTTACTCAACGCGGCCCTGATACCAATCTCCAACGTCCCAAGCACACCCTCCCTATCCACGCCTGTATCAAACCCTTCCAGCATGCCATCGATCCGCAGCACCCACGCCCTCAGCAAATCATCCGTAAATCTCATTCCCCTCTCATCGTACGCAGATGCATCAACAGGATACCCCCATGCGACGCTATTGCCCCACATATCGAGCTTCAGCATAGCCACCTTGATGCCTGCAACAGGCAGCGGCAAGTGGAGCACAACGTTATGGATCCGGTAGCCATGCGGAACACGTTCAAGCGGGAGGCGTGAGGACTTGGTGCGTTGCAGGCCGTCGGTTGTGCGGTGGCGATTTGGCGTCATACACGAAGCAGGTTGGGGACGCTTCACCCCTGTGGGACGAATATTGCCAGTAGCATGATCTGGGGCGTCGCTGTACGCTGCGAACATAGCGGCCATTTCGTGATCAGTTGTTTTTGGGCGAGCGGTAGGTGCACGAGGGGTCTTTGCTGATTCCCCACGGCGGATAGTCGCGTGATCTGGGGACAGGATAGTGTTCGACTCCTGGAACTGTGTGGGAGTTTCATGCTCGGCGTAGTCACGGAGTTGCTCCACGAGGTCAAGCGGTTCCAAACCATCTAAGTTGCGTGAAAGCTGGTTCCTACCGCGTTGTGGACGTTGCGTGTGCCCGGCGGACGAAGCTCGAGAGAACGCTCCATAATCACCCGAACGCCTCTGCTGCACGTTCTGCTCCACTTTCGAGACCCTAGGTTTCCTGAAGGGCTGGTTGGTGGGCGCGAACGATAATGGACTAGGTGTCGGCTCGAAGGAGCTGTTTCGTTCCAGGGAAGGCCTATCTCGTTCAAGAAATTGCCGGATATCAGTATTATTGACGACGTCAGCGATCGGATAGCCTAACCCTTGAGCGCAGCTTGCTCGCCGAGGTCGAGATGACTTTAGAGGAGCTTGTCCACGCATGGGCCTCCCAAACCAGTCATTTCCGTCGGGACGCCCTTCGAATGCATGTAGCGACTGCTGGTCACCACTAGGCTGCTGCTTCCTTCCGCTATGACGTGGAGAGGGCGATGAGGAGAAATTCGTCGCGATAGGAAGAGTCAATCTAGTGCCTGGGGATGCTAAGCCACTTCCATTTCGTACATTCACCTGGTCGATCAACTGCTGAAGATTCTTGTCAGTATTTCACATACACTACAAAAGCCCAGATAAAGTACCTGATATGGTTGTTCCTGGATCTGTGAACTTCGCTTAATACTCTGCTGAACTGCCTGGTCTCGCAAAACCCGAGTAATATTGGCGCTCGAGGTCTCAGGCGTAAGGGGCTCCAGTGGTCGTCTCCGCTGACTGTTGGGTGCCGGCAAAGGGGAGGTCGAACCCATAGCCACATCGCCATGACCCTTAGCTGGTGTCATAAGCTGGGCGTTGCGAGGAGGCTGCTTCTGTTTGGGAGATGCATTCATCCGAGCGATAGTCCAGGGATTGGAGAAGCTCGTCGCTCCACGTCCCTCTTCCTCCTCATCAAACATACGAGGCTGGTTCTCAAAGTCTGGAAGCTCTAGATCATCTTCATCGATATCATACATGTTTGATCGCCAACGCGATGGGGAATTGCGGTTGGCAGAATGGTCGTCATGCTCGATTCGGACCGCTTCTTCCAGTATAGAAAATGCAGTCTCTGGACGCTTCGGTTGAACCATCATAGCTTCTTCGAGAAGCGAGAAGGCAGTATTGGGACGATTCACTGGTCCCCCGATATTGCCATAGGACGTTGGAGGCTCGGAAACCGACGGTCCAAGCTCATCACTCACATTGCTGGCAATGACAGCTTCAGGGTAGAATGCTGTGAAAAGTTTGGTCACAGCACTGACAACGACGTCCTCTCTCTCGAAGAGAACATCATCCTTGGCAGGCTCGATGTTCGCATCATAGCTTCCGGGCGGACAAATGATGTTGATACAGAGGAAAGGGTCCTTGACAGAATGGCAACTGGAGTTGCCCTTGCGCAGTCTCTCTCTGAAAACAGAAGCGATCTTCTTCGGAGTGCCTCGGTTGGTCGAAACAGGTCTGCTATCCACAGACAGGAAGACACCTACATTGGCAACCTTTGACCCAAGGGCGTCGGGCTTGGGCAAGAAGGCGTGAATCTCGTAGCCATCGGATTCCATGGCGGTCCAGTCGCATTGCAGGGCACACTCCTTGTCGATGACTTTCAGCACGGCGTCCTCAATGTTTCCATCATTTTTCGGAGCGTACATGAAGTTGCCTTTGCCCGACTTCGCCTTTAGTATGCGTAGACTGAAGCGAACGGATGGTCGTGCGATAGCGTAGGACTGCATGAGACGCTTGATCCTCGCAAGTATCTTTGCAGATTCCTTAAGCGCCGTTTCTCTCCGCACAGGCAGAGTCCGTAAAAAGTCGGAAACCTTCACTGTCGTCCCGACTGGTGCAGATGCAGGCTCGGTACTATTGAGGCTCCAATTAGACCACCGCAACTTCCAAAGATTTTATTACTTACGACTTCAGCTCTCCATCCCTTCCATACTTCAATCTCGCGGCCGCCGACTCGCCCTCAATCCGAGCAGTGACCTCCAGTGAACCACTCAACTCAGCCATGCTCGCGAGCGCCTCGCCTCGAAAGCCGAGCCACTTTCCACCAATCTCATCGAGGTCACGAAAGTCGCGGATCTTGCTAGTGCAAAATCTGCGACACAACAGCGGTCGATCTTCCGCTGAGATGCCATGCCCGGTGTCCTTCACCTGGATGGAGTCGAGAGTATTCGCGGAGATGTCCACGAAGATGGCATTTGCACGGGCATCGAGAGCATTGTCGATCAGTTCTTTCACTACCGAGCTGGGATTGCAGAGAACGTTCGATGAGCCAAGCTGTCTCACTGTCGTGGGAGGTAGCGCGGCAATACTCGGTGGAGGCGCGGGATCAGCCATTCTGCCCGGAATGAAGAGAGGCTGAGAGAACATGGTATCCCATAATAATGAGAGGCGTTAGACGAGCCATCTTAGCAGCTTAGTCCCGCCTGCCTCGTGCGCACCTACTTCGTTGAGAGTCGGCGCGTCTCAGGGAAGCCACGACGACGCGACCTGGTCGCGGTATCAGGTGACATATTCGTACGCTATCTGCAGATGCAAATTAACCTTATTATTTAACGCCGTGAAAAGTTGTGTATTGGAGTGCTCTCCCGTTGGTCGCGAATCTATGCGCTGACTGGTGTATGATGTGGTCTTCTGATGTACCAATTCCTCATTCTGGTGGAATCTTTTGCTAGTCCATGGTTACGCTGGACCGCAATTGTATACCTTGTGTGCGAATGTCTACCGTGCTCGCGAGTCCTGCGAAATTTTGTGGGTATCTAGTTGCAAGCAACCACTTCGGAGTCATCCCCACAAACGTCATCGGAGGATGCTGTAAGATGCTCACAAAGTGACCAATCAGCGTGCAGCATCTCCGCACCCAGCGCCTCAGCACCCTCAACTATAACTCGATAGATAAACCTCACATCCCCCAAATGTAGACTCATACCAATTTCACAAACTTCTGCTATTCTCCACCGTTCTCTTGATAACACGGTTCCCGCCAAAGGCGCTACCTAGCATCGTAGAGAAGCACTCCCTATACAGCAGCGAGAGCAACACCGCATACATCTTTCACCCTCACACCCACAATGTCCTACACAACCGACGCCTCCCGCTGGCGCGCCCTCTCCACCCGCGACCCCGCCTCCGCCACCGCCTTCGTCTACACCGTAAAATCCACACGCATCTACTGCCGGCCGACCTGTCCCGCGCGCCTCGCCCGCCGCGCAAACGTCGGCTTCTGCTCCACCCCCGCCGAAGCCTCCGCCACGGGTTTCCGCCCTTGCAAGCGTTGCAAACCCGACACCGCCATCACCGAAGATCCACAGGAAAAAGCCGTCGCGCGGGCGTGTAGGTTGATTGAGGAGGGGGTGAAGAGGGGGGAGGAGGGGAGGGAGGGATTGAGGTTGCAGGAGCTGGCGAAGAGGGTGGGATTGACGCCGAGGTATTTTCATAAGATATTCAAGGAGAGGATGGGGGTTACGCCGCGGGAGTGGGCGAGGGGGAAGATGGGTGGGGTGGACGGAGAAGGGCAGAGGGAGGGAACAAGTGAGACGAGGACGCCGAGCTTGGTGCTGGACAGTCCGCCGGAAATGGACGGGTCTAATTTGGATGCGTTCAACTTCAATGAGTTGGTGGACTTTGGGGGGAATGCGGGGATTGCTGGGGACGCGATGGAAATGGACCCGGCGATGGCCCCGATGGAGGGGTTCGGCGAGCCATTCGATGTGAATGCTTCCATGTGTGGTTGGGATACGTTCGCGCCTGACTATCTGGGAGAAGGATTCCGGCTCGATGATACACTACTAAAGTGGACGGACGGCAGCTTGGTATCAGATGCTGCTATGGCGAAGACTTCGACGACGTTCGAGCAGGACGCGGCCCTCCTCCTGGACATGAGCCGTGTAACGGACCTCAACGATACGTTATATGTGGACGCGCTTGGATGAGACATCCTGTAGGTAGACCGAATGATGAATTGTCTTGTAGTATGCAGAATATCCTAAGGCAGCTTGAATGCGAATCAGTATGTACAAGTATATCTATGCCCATGCGCCAACAAGTGCCATGAGTGCTGCTCCACCGACAACACTTCCACATGCCTGCAGGCGTCTCTTACCTTGCAGGCTTATATAGCTCTCGTCGCTCAAGAAATCTTCTGCGAGAAGCTCAACCAGACCCGCAAACAACAGCAATCCGCTGGAGATGGCGTTCATGAAGCCGACCATGAGCAGGCCGGTCTGACTAGCAGGGTCGTAGAGCGTGTGGATACCGAGACCGATCGCCTGTCCGATTGGAGTCGTTGTGCCGTATGCCAACGCCATCAGCCAAGGCTTGACCGAACCAGCAGGGAAAGCAACAGCACTGATTCGCGACCCAAGCGCGAAGCCCTCAAAGGTCTGATGGAACGTTATAGCCACTAGTAGCACGATGAAGGATGTGCCGGTTGCGACCGAAAGGGCCATGCCTATGAAGACGCTGTGAAACAAGATGCCAGCTTCCAATAGAAGACACTGGAGAAGCTGCTTCTTGCGCTGTGCTTCCGTCATATCCGGCATATGCTCAGCGTACGGAGAGGTCGAAAGATGGATATGCTTATGCGCAGACGGCTGCGAGAGCAATCGTGACTCATCTTCGGAGTCGTTCGAACCACGCGGCCCCAGCTCATCTGGATCTATATCGAGATCAGAGTCCTCCTCGTCCCCGTCTTTGTAATTTCGCCCCGAGTCTGCCGTCCGCGTACCAGGCTGAGGTGTCATCGGCGAGGAAACGAAAGAAGGTGATCGTCCTGCAACGAGGTTGTCCGATGACCCAGCTATATCATGCAACACGATATCTGGCGGATGATGGTGCCCGTTGGCTCGAAACCTGCTGTAACTGCTGGCCCTTTTGTGGCCGGGCCGCGAGTGCCCCTCGTGGTCATCTGCACCAAGAGCCTCGAAATCCATACCATGGCTGTGCCCGGCACCCTTTGAGGCAAAGAACATCTCGATGCCCACCACCACGAAGACTGATACCATGGCGATGAGGCCAGGCATGGCTTCGTAGCCCTTGTTCCAGAACGGCGGAAGGCATGGATCGGTCAGGGAGATGAAGGCCGTGGGTAGCAGGTGCACGAACGCGGTGGCGATCAATACGCCGGTCCCGAAGTGTCTCGAGATGAAGAGGAAGTGGTGAGGTACGGGGAATCGAGGGAAGCGCTTGGCGACGATAGGGAAGGAGCACGCTGGGCATGTTTAGTATGGCCTTGTAGCTCGCGTTGAAAGGGGAGCATACCGGCAGTGCTCACAGTGAGGATCAGCACGAGAGCGAAGACATGGAGCGGCGTGTTGTAGTAGCCGCGGTTGCCCTTCGTGCCGCACTCAGGGCGTTCTTGCTCTTGCCTGCGAAGCAGTTCGGCGCGCAACAGATGCGTAGGGATGTCTACCCACTGCGGGCCTGAGACGGAATTCAGTCATGCCACACTGTCGCGGAAGAGGCGTGGCCTACCAGCACCAGCCCGCGCAACCTGATTGCTCGCCGCCGTGTCCATTGTTGTGGGCGACTCCCCAGGAAGCCGCGAGCGGTCGCGCGATGTCGTCGAAGCTAGTTCGGGGCGGACCCTCTTTTCCTCACCTCACCCGTTGCTCCTCCGTGCACTGTGGCATTGTCTTTGCTGGGTGATCGTCGAACACGCTTGCTGCGTGGTGGTGTTTTGCGCGAACCGCCGTGAAACGTATCCCGTCATTCGCACATCCGTCCGGGGTCGCTTGGCGTAGCCAGAGCGCTGTTTGGGCCTGCCGCTGGCCCGCGAACGCATTGCTAACAGGTATCTTTAGAAACATGAACTCGACGACACGGGAAACCAGGGCGAAAGGACATTTGCAAGTCTAAAGTCGACATATGGTATCTGCCGTCATTGTGTCTATTCTTGAGCACCGCTGCATCGATCTGTTCGGCGTCCAGCGCCCAGTCCTTATACACAGTAGCACATACGGAAGCCATCGCAGCCTTGTTGGTCGGCATTTCCGAACACGCTTCAGCTAGGCCCCGTGCTCACCAACTCGGCTCACCCCAGCATAACGTCTGGTCAGATCGTCTCTCCTCTGTGAATCAAGATAGCCCATCAGTCAGGACCCCGGACCCTGCCCTGGTATCTTCTCCAGTGACCTGCATCAATAGTCCAGGAACGCTTCTATTTTTGCGACTAAAGTAATAGAAACACTGTGCATGGCTCCTGCACCTGTACATATACATCAGCGGCCCTCACAGCCATCTTACTGAACACCCTTCATCATCGCTGAAAGGAAAAATACACTGTCAGTTGGCATAAAGGCATCTACAACCGCGTATATAATCAGGGCCAAGGACTAACATCGGCTACAGCAACCCAGCGCTGCCCTGCCGCGGCCTAATACTAATCGGGTCTTTGATAGTTTTGGCATCGCGGACCCCTCCAGTTGCCTTCGGCGGCATTCGAGCACTCGCCGCTCCAGCCTACGAACAGCGGCGACCCCAGTATTGTTAGAAACAGAAGATGGTTCCCGTAACGTTCGGATCACAAGATTTTCGCACAGCCACTAGTCGCAACAAAATGATGGTTCTGTGCTTCTAAGCACCACCACCTACCGCCAGCTTGGAAACTGGGAACAGCAGGGCAGCAACGTCCCGGCCCGCCAGGTCTACGTGGGGTAGACTTCATGGCGAGCCAGCGGGAGCCCGCCACGGCGCAGCGGGGTTCTCCGCCCGCTGCTACCGTTCAGCAGGAGTTTCTCTTCGTTGACGCAGCAAAAGCAAAGAGCTCCAAACAAGGGCGCCGCAACGCTCGCTCTTTTGTTATGCAAAAAGCTCGAAGGGAGCGCCCATGGTCAACAAGTAAACACGCAGCAAAGCAGAGAAAAAGTCCTGAGAATACAAGTCCTACAACGATTGGTACGCCCGACCTGTCAACCACCCCGATAACTTCAACCCCAAGCCCACCTATCGTCTTTCCTGGAACGGAATACTTCCCACTGGTGGATTCGAGTAACCTTCTGGTAGTCAAGCAAGAACTGTGTTCTGAGTGCCAGATTTTCCTCTGTCGGCCTGGAAAACACCTTTGTCCAAGATGCATGCTCTTCCAACCGCCGGCGCCAAACGAAGAGCCTGACAATAGCCTCTTTGATCCATTCGGAACAATGTCAGTGGAAATGAATGGAGATGTATCGGTATTACTAGACTACTGTGAGTTCCATTTCATGTTGTTACCGTCGTGTAGATCCGACGACCCCTTACCAGTTGCGTTCCACAGTGGGGTCATGAAGAAGTGTTGTGGCGAATCTTCTCTGCATGGTTCATCATCTGATTTTCTGCACTCGCCAAGTCAGCTCTCAGCGCACAGTCGAGCTGATCCAATTTTATGGCATGTGCTAATGTCGCCTTCTAGTCGCCACCGAGATGGCTCCAGGAATAATCGCGGTCGACATTCGGAATACCTCCCATCTGATGAGGTCGCACTGGTTTGGCACAGCTATCAGCAATCAAGGTTTCATGCATAGCTTGCTTAGCACGATTGCGCTACATCGACATGTGTTCGGACGAGGGCCTCTTGATACCGCCTTGTATCACAGAGCACATGCGATAGCATCTGTAAACAGTGCTCTAGCCAACCCGGATATGGCCGCGGGAATCTCGGACGCAAATATTGGTGCCGTGTTCAACCTGCTCAGTGTCGAAGAAACCCTCGCCTCTCCATACTTTGGGTACCTCAGGCCAGACGGCGACAACCCTGATCAGCGCGCAATACATCTCCGTGGTCTCCTTAAGATGGTGGAGTTGCGAGGGGGTCTGATGGCGATGGATTCAAATCGTATCCTGCAAGCCTTTATACTATGGTATGTGGTCTGACTCTGGTGCGGTGTACGAGGGATAGCATTTTCAGCGGTGCAATAAATCATCGGCACCCAATGGACCGCAAGCCGCTACGCACTATTGGTGTCGTCGGGCGCGAGAATGACATGCTTCCCTGTTTGCATCTGTACAAGCCAGTCCAAACACGCTTAGCATCTGCTTACTGAGCCTAGGCATGCGACGGCACACGCGGTCGCATCCTTCGATACGCCCTACCTCTCTACGAGCGACCTCCTTCTCGCAGCATGCAATCCGCGCCACCCTCCTGGCTACCAGCCGCAGATATGTCGACACTTGCTAGACTGCTGTGCAGTTTTACACATTCAGGAGTCCCTCACTACCCTTGTCGAGTCTGCTTTGATCTTGATTGCTGACCTTAACGCTTGGTTCAGTGAAACAAATAGTCCACTTGATCCGCTAGATATGCAGAATTTCTCCTGCGTTCTAGAGTGTATGCTGCTAAAGTGGCTGCGCGATAGGGAACACATGGTCTGTCCACGCGAGGATGCCCTGTGTGTAGCGCTCTTGATCTTTACTATACGAGTGACCGAGGCTTTCAAAGGCCGCAACCACGTCCACATGCTTCACTTCCAAGCGAGCGACCGGCTCGAAAAGGCGCTCAGCGCCACAAGCTGCACCGATTGGCGGGTGTGCCCTGACCTCCTCCTCTGGATCTTAGCCATCGGTGCCATATCAGCAGAGGGTTCAGTGCGACATCCGTGGTTCGCGTATCAGGTATCTTTGGCGTGCGCCGAGTTTGAAATCCCAAGCGCAGAAGCGCTACTCGATCGCTTACGGCTTTGCGGTTGGGTAAGCTTCAAGCTCGACAACGCTGTGGGATACCTGTGGGAGCATGTCATTAATCTCAGGTTAGAGGACCGAAATTTCCTACCGATTCAAGCCTTTGCTTATACATGAGTTGGGACGGTAGGCTCGAGCCCTCGTTCGACTTTGACGCCGGCACAGCTGGGCCGCTGCAAGGCAAGGTTAATTCGCCAGACTTTACAGACTGGCAGAACATTGACTGGTCTACATTGACGAGTCCCAACGTCGAGACGATGGTTTCACCTGGAGGATTCATGGGTTCTCCAGTTGAAGGAAGCAGTGGGCTTTTTGACTCCGGAAATGGCTTTGTAAGTGCGCTTCGTACTACACTTGTGCGGGATTACTCAGTGCTTGCTGATGGCTGCTGACGCTTGGCGCTCCAGGTCTTCTCCCACAACAGCCCATTTTACATACGATAGCCTCGATATCGACACTAGCGACGAGCAGGGCTTCTGTTCAAGAACATGTCTATGTTGGTCAATCCATAGACGCCGCTTCGAGGTAGCAACGAGGAGTAGGAGGGTTCAGGTAGCACGATGCGACTCGAGTTTATCATCCAATGTCACACCTCGTCCGCGTTGCGTTGCTGCCATTTCATAATGAGCCCTATTCCGCAACGTATGACACCTCCATCACCATACGATCAGCCATCATGACCCACACGAAAGGCACATATTCACATACCTAGGCCATGCGAAAAACATGGGCACCATCGGACTGACGCATCGCACGCCCTGTGCGAGTGTCAAGAGAAAATACGCGACGGCTACGCACCCTTCTTGGTGCGAACACACGACACTTTGACTTTCAGCGAAGAGAGCTAGATCTCGTGGGTTGGGCGGTTCATAACAGAATCCAGCCAGCGAAGTAAAACTTATTTGGCTTCCATTTAGGAAGAGTATCTTTGCGATTGGTGGGTGGTAGACGAGCATAGAGTGCAGAACGCGCACATATAGTGATATTAGGGATGGATATGCAGAGCGCAGGGCTCAGCCTCGCTTTGCACAATATCTCAACCAAATAGACGGAGAGATGAGAAGGGTGAGTGGAGTAAAGTGTGAAGAAATAGATATATGTTGAATCATCTCCCGCGCAAGTTTTTCGAAGCGAGCAGAGTGGATGTCGCTCAAGCGCGACCTGGAAGGTGTTGCAGCACGTGAGTTGCGCTTGCGTTGGTACTCAGTCATGTGGATGTAATGATCTGGCTGGCAGCGTCTGTGCGCATACCATTTCTCGTGGTCGCGGTGGCGTCGGGATTGACGAGGTTCGCAGGCGCATTTCCTGCTTGAGCAGCATTAAGAGAGCCGCGAGGATACTTTGTCATCGCCCAGATTCGTTCATTGGGAACGGGGTGGCAATATTGTTCCGTGGACTCATTCATTGTCCAGGCGGAATGGAGGTGCGCCTTTGTTGCTTCAAGGTCGTCGGAAAGAGGGGTGTTGGGGCTGGGCCTGGTGAACGAGATCGGCGGAGAAGGGAACTGGCTTGAAATGAACAAGGAGGATGTACATGAATGGGGTGGTGCGGACGGATATGCACTAAAGACGTGCGGTGAGCAGGTAGAAGTGAGACTCGTGGGAATCAGGGATGCAGCATCGCTCGCGAAGGGATAGGCATGTCGAAGTGTGATGTATATCTCATGCAAGTCTATCATTTGCTCAAGGAAAGAGAAAAACTCCACCAATGCTCGCAGCACGAAACGCCGCGCGGAGAAGTATATACAAATAAATGGGTATCAGCGAAGCGAAACTCTCTCCCGTTCTACGCTACCTTCTATGCTCTGTTGTGCTGCACCATCCGCTTCCGAATCTCCCTCTCGCGCCTCGCCATCCGCGCCATCCGCGCCGCCGGCGCACTCGCCTGCGCTCCAGGCCCGTTCACGGTAACATACACAGTCTGCAGCACAGTCTGCTGCACTGTCGCAATCGGCTCCGAGCCGTCTCCGGCGGGTGCGTCCGTCGGCGCGGGTCCGACGCCAGGCACGGTGACTACCTGCGTCGTATAGATTGTCTCCCAGACCTCGGCGATGTCGCCGCTGCCCGTGCCGGTGGGGAGGACAGGGTATCCGGTCTGGTTGCCCGCTGGGAACGAGGGGACGGGTGCGAGACCAGATGAAGGCGCGCCAGTGCCCTGCGCTGCGCCGGGCCAGTTGAAGCCGCCGCCGTTTCCTGGCGCCGGGAGAATGGAGGCAGATGTCTCCACGGCGGGCGTAGAGATGGGTGCAGCGGGCGAGGGCGCAGTCTCAGCACCTGGGGTGTCCTCGGCGCCATTGTTGCCGCCGCCCTCGCCGTTGCTGCCCCAGGGGCCAAGCGGGATGTTCAGTGTGCCGTCGGGGTTCTGCTGGACGGGAGCGTCGGTCGCGAGGGGAATGTCAGCGGCGGTGGAGCTCTGCTCGATGATTGGGGGAGAGGAGTCGATGGGGCCGGTAGGCTCGGAAACAGGTGCAGACTCGATGGGCGCATCGGTCGCGGAAGGCTGCTCGACGGGAGCATCCGTGGGCGACGGCTGCACCTCGACTGGGGTCTGCGACTCAACGGGGGCAGCGGCAGGAGCATCGCCTTGCTGGTAGACCTTGAGGGCGTTGACGGTCCAGAAAGCGTTGGTGAAGGCATCCGGGTTGTCGCGGACGTAATCGTTGCAGGTTGGGGCCTTTGAGGCGCACGAGCTGGAGGACCACGTGTTTCCGGCCCAGTCACCGCAGAAGGTGGTGTCGAAGATAATGTTCAGGTCCTTGAAGATGCCGTCGATGTCGCACGAGTCCTTGACCCACTTGGCAGAGGGAGTGCCCCAGGTACTGGGATCGGGGTTGTCGCCGGTGACGCCCTCGGGGACAGAATCGCGCGGGAAGAACCAGATGCTGATAGCGTCGCTGGTCCACTCTGTGGCGTAGACACCGCCGCCGTTATCATTGAGACCAGCGCCGTACGACTTGTTATCCTTGGACTTGATGGAGCAGCCGGCGTTGTCGGGCTGGCCTTCAGCCTTGACGTCGCAGTTCTGGGTCTCGACAGAGCCGGAGAAGAGGCTTGTGTCGGAACCGACAGAGCAGCCAGTGCTGGTGTGGAGCGTGAGGGCGTTGGTATCCTGCTCGTGTACTCCCTCGAGGATATCGATCTCACCCTGATACGGCCAGTTCGGTCCGAACATCCAGAAGCTGCACTTCGTCAGTCTCCGTGTACCACAATATCAATCGAAGACTTACGCGGGCCATGTACCACAGCCAAAAGGCATGTGCTCGAGGTCAATAACAACAAGACCCTTGTTGTACGCAGTCTTGCTCTCAAGCCTGACACTAGCCCTACCCTCTGGGTCCTTGTTGACAGTGTCCACACCCCACTTGACAGGTACCGGCGGTCCTGAAGCATCAATCAAACCCGACGACCGCGCAGTCGCCTCATCCACATACTTGACGAACCCGTGCGTCGGATCCCCCTGGTTGAAGAAGTTGAAATGCCCGTAAAAGTCGGTCATGTAGTCATCCTGAAGCACGTAGCCAGCTAGTGCCGGGGCAGCAAACGCCGCTGTAGAAACGATTGTAGAGAAATGCATCGTCAAGATGATTTCGAAGCTGTTGAAAAATGAGTGACGGCGTCAAAGACGCAAAGCAAAGGAATGAATGGAGCAAAGAAAAAGAACGAATGAAGAAGCGAAGCAAACGGCTGCTGCAGAGCTCGATGTCCTCTATTGAAGAGATGAAGGGCGAGCATGGGCGTGGTCCACCTATACATATAGCGTCCGAGGCCCACCATCTAGACGGACTCTCCAGAGTCGCCATCAAGGACCCTGTTTCCAAACGTGGTGGTGGAGCCGTTCGTGGCTGATGTCCATCGTTCATTCAAGCATTGTCTCGCCTACGGACTCTAGTCGTCCACCCGCAAGGGCAGATGGCAGATCCTGAGATCCGCCCTCATTACCGTACTGTCCTAAAGATATTCAGGTAAGACGCATGAGCCACTAAGGTGCACGGGGCCCCGGAGCGGATAGCTGTCTAGGGCAGGCGATAGATGCCGCGGGTGTGGAGGGTAGAGGTGACCTGTTTCAAGGACATTGAGCACGGCTGACTTGAGAGCCAGGCCGGATGTAAGTGGTGGCTGCGTGAAACGAACACAGAAACGCTCGGAGAGGCATCCTAGGCGAGTTCCTGGGACCCCTGGGGGAAATCGGCCGGATTGTGTTGAAACAGACAGACGGCAGAGATGTCAAGGTCGCATCGGAGGTCAATTGGTGGAGACACGGTCGGAGGCTCAGGCCCGCGGTTCGTGTCCGGTGTAATTAATGCTCGTCAGCAAGACTGGCCCTTTCAGGTGGTATTCTGGAGACGCTAGCCGTAAGTTATCTGTATGTTGTCCAGCGGATGTGGCGAAGCGCCATATAGCCGTACACCTGAAACGCCAGGCATCTAGCGCGCCAACTATCCCCTACAACCTCCCTCGTCAACATCGCGCACCAGTACGCGCTGCCCAACTCATTTAATCTCACAACTCCCAATCAAGAATCTCCATCAACACTCTCTCATCACTACCATATCCCCAGGTAACGTCTCCAGCCAACGGCCTGCGACCGAACCGTCCGTCATCTCCCATCCGGACTTCACGGCCTAGCCACCCCTGCCTGCCTGCGCGCTCCGGACCACCAGATTGACTAATCCGCACCCATTCCCCCCATCGAGCATGATCTGCGCCAGGCCGTCACGGATTGCTGAAGCGTAGCGTAGTCGCGTGCTAAGTATACGAGCGGTGTCTCGTTGCAAGTGGAAGTCGAGTCCGCGGAGGCTTGTGCGCCATCGACGCCAGAAGGGATGCAGCTTCTCAATTTTCCCACTCGCAAAGCTCCAACAAGAGCAGAGCAAGACAGGTCGCAGCTGCATTCGATTTTGATGTGCTGAGGAAGGCGAAGTCAAGCTAAAGCTTGGTCTGCGCCGCTGGGGCGTATGCGCAGTATCAGCACCATAACGCGCCCAACGCCCGACGCAACCTCGAGGCACAGTGCAGCAACCTTAAACCTGCGACAGCTTACGAAATTTCTGTTTCCAAACAGTCCAGTTTCAAAGACTTTCGCGCGGGTCCTGCGCATAATGATGCCGACCGCTCAGCCTCGCGGACAGCATATAATCTGTATGATCCCCGCCCTCGCGCTCCGTCACGCATGCACGCTTCGGAGCGCCGGCACAGCTGCGCGCACTCAGCGCGAACGAGGTGCTGTCGAACGCGGCGCTGAGGACAGCAAGCGCGCTCATATGACAAGATTGCAGTGCGCATTGGGGCCGTTTTTGGCACGCGAAGTCCGCCGCGGGTCTGCGCACTGTGGACCAGAGATCTTGAACCGCCCGACGTGCGCACGAGGATACACAGTCTTGTACACTCGTGCATAACATACGATGCCACTTCTAGGTGTTTGCCTTCGACTGCACAGTTCCGCTCCCACATACACCAATGTGTAGTTTGAGTTGATGCCGATGCGCATCGCTACTCCACCCTGGACATTTTAGCCCCCACGCATCTGCCATGACACTTCCCTCGCTGCAGAGCGAACAACTCGCAGCCTGAAAATATGCCCTCTGTCTGATGAGTCTTCAGATGCTATCCACTTCCCATGCAAGCAAACAGCTCGCACCAGCCACAACCCCACACGTCGATAACCCCAATCTCCGTACTCCGACGTCGCGCCTCTTGACCACAGACGATTGAGGCTGAGATGTTTGACAGGCTCATGACAGATATAATGACTCAAAGGAATCGCGCTACGAACAATTCTTGACCAAGGATCATCCTGCGCTCCAGTTGTAGCTATCAACCTGTGCCACACCTAGAATTTACAAGCAACTCGCTATATGTTCTATTATATTCGCTGCCCCTTCCCACGCACTATCGAAGATGAAGCAGACCAAGCATACGACCTATGTGCCTGTCCTTGCGCGCCGTGTTCTACTCCCAGCGCCAGTTGTCCCAAAAGCCCTCAGGACCAAAACGCTTTATTCCCTCTGCAAAGCGAGAGAGCATAAAATTTAAATTAGTTGCGCAGTCCAGCTAGTCCATCACACTCAGAAACGACTGTGGTAAACATATCCAAGCCCACTTAGTACCAATCATACCCCGTTCATCCGGCACCTTCCTGCCGCTTCGTCTCCCATCTTGTCCACTCAGCAGACCATGCCGTTGTCATGCCCCGCTTCCCTGAGTCTGCGGCCTCAGGCCAAATCACATTCGATCCGCCCAAGCTAGATATTCTAAGTGTGCAGAAGTGCCACGGGACACGTAGAAATCCCCAGCCGTTTTGGGAGCCCAATCCTTGCGTACTACTTTCCTTATCATATTCTCCAATGCGCAGAGTGTCGAATTGGGCTTCCGAGTTTCGCGAATGTTGGGCCTTTCGAGGCGAAGCAGCTGTATCTTGCTCTTGCCATCGTTGGCGCCGTCTTACCACAAGTAGTCTTTGCCGTGGTCCGAATAGGCTGTGTTCGTGTATCCAATGTCCGTAAATGTCCTCTGGACTTTCTGGGAAGCAGAGTCGGAAGAGGAGGACCTTTGCTTCTGATTTGCATCCGCGATCACGTACATCCACTCTTCGAACGTCTTGTGGCCGATGAAGTTGGTCGGTGGGGGGTAGCGTCTGAAATAATCAAATTATTGAATAGCTCGGAATCGTTCTTATGTTGGAATCTTAGAAAAAATCTGTTGGAGTGTGCTGGGAAAGTTGGGGTTTTGAGAGACATCTCCATCAGCTAGAGGAAGATAGAGAGAGCAGACTGGTGCAGATTAGTGGAGGAAGAGAGGGAGAGTGCACGTGTTGAGGAGGTCCATGGACCCGGTAATGGTGAAATTCCTGTGTAGTCTAGCTTCGTCCGAAGAGGGGGAAGGATGGAGATCTTAACATCAAGGCGAAAGCAGCATATAGATAATAAGACGATTACTTCAAAGAGATATTTGGCACCTCATGAAGGGGATAGTGAATATTTTTGCGATGAGAAGGTATTTGTTCGGCTCTGGTCCCTACGGGCAAGGGTTTACTGCTGTCCCTGTGTTGAAGGTTGCTAGCGCAGCCATACATACTCCTGCTATAAGCGTGGTGGGCCCTCCTCAATATAGATCCAAATGACACCTAGAAAAGCCTCATGCGTCTCGCTCACATCCTCTCTCCAACGAAGCACGCTCACAATATCATAGCTATCCTTCTTAGGCCAAGAGTACGTCGACACAACAGGTGCTGAGCCTCACGATCATTTGCAATGCGTTCAAGGTCAAATCAAATTCAAGGTCTGTGAAATAGAGCGAAGAATGACAAACATACGAATCGCGCCCCGCCAGCTGAGAGCGCCAGCTCTCTTTGGAACCTAGATGCAAGAAAGTATGGAGACTACAAGAGGGCCAGAAGTTGCCGAAATACAGTGCGAGGAATAAACGAATCGCTGTTTTAGATGGCCATTTTTGTCGCCGTTTTGCAATTTGCAATTTTTTTCCTAATACGCTTACCGGTACTAAGATAGGCTGCGAATTCACAACCACTGTCGAACCTCTCTTCCAGCTCCTCTAAAGTGATATCCAGACAATACCTCTCTTCGTCTTCGAACGGCATTTCGCTCCATGGTTGCTCCCAGGTATAAGGGTCTTCCTGAGCCACCTGGATTGTTTTTCGTCTTCCAGGGAGATGGATATGTCGGCAATGCGTGCATGAGGGAGGGTTGACACGTTTGGTCTGCATACTGCCGACCCCACTCGAATCGATGCATGATCTATACGTAGCTGAACGAATTGAAAAGTTGCTTGCCAACCTTGCAAGTCCCGAGCGGGATAAAGCAGCGCCTACCCTCTTCTTCGGATCATCGATTCGCTGAAGTAGTAAACGTGTCGGGTCCGAGACCGTGGCGCGCAAGTCAAACATGTTGAGCAAATCTCACGACGCGCGGACAGGAGCACACCGTTATCGATGTCGACATGCGTGGGCTCACCGATGCAGGACGGAAGCATTCCCATGGTTCTATTACCTCTACAGATCTTCGCTAAATCGCTGTACTTTGTACAGCGATGACTGGGTGCTGCCAGGTTCACGTGAACACCAAACCAGAACACGGGCACTTCGCTACCGGCTGTGAGGCTCTTTTCCGGTGAGCCAATATCCAGGCACACTTGCCAAGGGATATGGACAGCACAGTTTTGCGGTCAGCTCCCTGTTCCTCCAGTAACATCAACCAGCATCCAGAAGAATTGGCGTGAAACGACAGTGCGTCCAGCAAATGGGTATATTCAACCACTCTCACGCCACACTATAGCATCGTATCCTATCGTACTTTTGCCCTCCCTTCATCGAACCATGCATATTCTCGACGCCATAACGCCCATATCCCCCCCTTCCCAACTCGCCTCCCTCATCCATCCATCCGATCTTCTATTGGCCACCCTCCAACACCCCACTCTCCCTCAACTGCCTAAACAGCTCTGGCTCAAGGAACTTGCTGATCGTCACATCCTCCGCGAGGCCCTTGCGCCGGCGTGTCTTGAGCACAAAGTCTCGTGCCGTCGCCTGCGCGGATGCTGGCTCGAGTGGTCGCAGCTGTGCGTCTTTGTCGAGCGGGTCGCCGGGGACGATGGACCAGCGGTCGAAGACGAGGGAGAGGGAGACTTGGCCTTGTGTATGGATCTGTGTGTTTCGTTAGTACCTCACTTATGATAGGAGAACAGGATGCTAGGGACTTACGCGCAGATCCGTCTCGAAGCCGAAAGAGTCGATGACGGGAATCAGGCCGCGGACACTGTACAGCGGCGTCCCCGCGATAGGGCCGTCCTGCAGCACATGGCCTCTCCGCCGTGAGAGGACATTGTACACGTCGGCCTTTGTGTTTGCAGGACCGACCACGCTGCAGCTGTACACAGGCTCCATGAGGCGCGGGCTCGCCATGAGGAAGGAAGAGTAGCACGCGCGACGAGCAGTCGGGATGATCTGACCGCCGCCGCGGAAGATGGCCTCGGGCGCGAGATCGACGTCTGTGATGCGGAACTTTGTGTTACGGATGGGCTCTTCGCAGAGGGGGCCTTCACGGGTAGCCCAGCTGAAGCCCTGGCGGATGGTGTCGCGGACGGAGCGGAGGGTCTTGGTGTCGACCTCCGAGGGGAGGGTGTCGTTTTGGAGGATGTTGGCGCCCATGTCGTCCGGGCCGAAGGCCCAGATGTTGCGGGACGCGAGCAGGTCGTAGCCGTAGTTTTCTTCGAAGAACTTGCCGACGACGCGGACAGGGTCTTTGATGGAGACTTTTCCGGCTTCGATGTCTTCTGCAATACCGGGGTCGAGCTGCTCTGCAACCATAGTGATCTTGTTCTTCTTGTTGGGGGTGAGGGCATAGCATTTGATGGCGGACATCTCGACCACGGTCTCGCAGAAACGGGTCACTGGGTCGGAAACCTTGATCTCCATGTCCGCGTATAACCTTCGCAAGTCGTGAAGCACGCAGTCCATGTACAATTCGCCAGTACCGAGGATGACGTGCTCGCCAGATTCTTCAACCTTGGTGGTGATGAGAGGGTAGGATTTGTTGATCTTGCGGAGACCGTCAAGCATCTTGGGAAGTTCGGAGGGGTTGATGGGTTCGACAGCGACCTTGAAGACGGATTCGAAGAAGTGGCGGATCGGGCGGAAGATGTAGGCGTCCTCGTCATCTGGCAGTTTTTGCGAGACAAGGGTGGCGGTCTTAACTATCGAGTTGTCGACACCTCCTAGGAGCACCCAGTTACCCGCAGGCACACCGCTCGTCGGAACGTTGTATCTTGACTCGGCGATCCAAGTGTCTGTGATGGTCGCGACCACCATGTCTTCCTCATCTTCGATGGTATAACCCTCTCCGAGTACTCGCACGGAGGTGGCCGTTGTAGCTGTGCCGCTCATGACTCGTCCTAGAGCGTGGAACGCCTTTGCATCTGTGCTGTTGTACAGCTTGGAGACGTGAACGACTAGCGGGCCGTTCTGGTCGCACTTTGCCATAGCTTCTGCTGTTTTGGAATCCAAGGGTCCTGTGTAATGTCTCTCGAGCATCCTCTTGGCGCCCTCTGCTGGTGATGGCACGTGCTGTGTGATCATGTCGACGAAGCCAGTCGAAGGTCCGAAGTACTGTTGGCACACCAGCCGCATCAGCTCCTTTGCGTCCGTCTTGTATTCCGATGGCTTCAACCGAATGCCCAGCTGGTCCAGCGTGTCCTTCAGATCCTCCGCGCTCTCGCTGAGGGTATGTGCGTAGAGCTTGTAGATGGGTTCTAATATCCAGTGCACGAACGAGCGTTTCGAGTCCTCCTCTTGCGCCTTGCGGCTGAACTTGCGGCTTCCAGGGTTGTAGAAGATATCTCCCCAGAGGCGCACTGCGAATTTCTCCACGTCGAGGTTCTTCATAGGCTTGCCGAATCCAGGCGCTTTCGCGGGTCCAGGGTAGAACTCGGCGTACATCTTGGCAAACGACTGCAGCGTGAAGCACCAGCGCATGCTTGAGCAAGCGAAAGCGACGTTGCCTCTTTCAGGGCTTACACGTCGGCGCTCGCCTCGGCCGGGGATGGTGTTCTCAATGACCGTGTTGACTTCCTCGATAACGTGCTTGATCTTGAAGTATGCGTCACGGGGCGGGAGTTTCAACTCCAAGATGAGGCGATCCATCTTGTTGACGACCAGGGTGAGGGGCAGATCTTCCAGAACAGCATGCTTGATGGCCAGCTCGGTTGTCACCTGCACGCCTTCCACTACGTCTACCACCAGCACCACACCGTCCACTAATCGCAACGAGGCGGCCACCTCGTCTACAAAGTTGACGTGTCCCGGGGTGTCTATGATGTTGAAAAGATGCGACTTCATCGACGTGTTTTGGAGGACCAGCGTCATGGGCGCGGCCTTGATGGAGAGTCCGCGCTCGCGCTCGACCACGTGCACGTCCGTGTATCGCAGCTGTTCCTCGCGCTTCTTTCCCCTCTTCGAATCCAGGCGATCCTGGATGTCGTGTGTCTCCATGACCAGCATGTCCATGAAGGCCGTCTTTCCGTGGTGCAGGTGTCCCGCAATGGCGATGTTCCGTATCTGGTCCGGGTAGTTCATCAGGTCCGTCATGAGCTCGCGCGAGTAGTGCACCGGCGGCAGGTCCTCCTCTTGCACGGCGAACTTCTTCTGCACCACAGGCGCAACGATGGGCTGCGACAGCGCCTGGGTATCCTCCTCGTGCACCAAGACCTCGACATCGGCGCCGTACACGTCGGATGCGGAGGGGTAGTACTGCTTGTCTTCGTGCAGTATGACGGCATTGGACGGCCCCTCGTCCACCTCCATCAGCTGCTGGTCGTGCGCCTCGTCTTCCTCGGCCTCGTCGTCGAGCACGTAGGCGTCTGCCGCGGCGCCGGTGGACTGCACATCGTCGTCGGACTCGGCTTCGCCGATGAAGTTGCCGAACCTGCAGCAGTCAGCATCGCGAGCCTCGGCACAGCGCTCCGCAGCGCACTCACTCGTCGTATAGGTCGTCCATGGCTGTGGGGTGAATTGGCGCAGGCTGCGCGCGACGCTTGCATGAGCAACCAAAAGTTCAAGGTCTTGGCGCGATCTGCCGCGGCGGCGGCGAAACATGGCGCCGGACAGGGGGGGACCCGCCAAAGCAGCGGTCAACAATGGCAAGGCCGCGCCCAATCGGAGAGCCGAAACCGGGGCGGATTCTCAGGCCAGGAACCACCCCACTCGGACTTTTCCTAACGGAGACGCCACGACGACGGCTGGACGATTAAAGTCGCTGCCCCTCGCGTGCTTTCTGCTCAATTCGCTCCCCTTTCGCTCGCCCGGTCTCCAGATAGCCCCAAATGTCTTCTCTTCCCCCCGTCTACATCGTGTCGGCCGTCCGGACGCCCACGGGCATGTTCTTGGGGTATGTTGATGTCGAGCGGGGAGCTGCATGCATGGGCTGATTGTTTTGCCAGCTCGCTCTCGAGCCTGAGTGCTACCCAGCTCGGATCCCACGCCATCAAGGGTGCGCAAGTCCAAGTTTCTGATCCTGTGAGAGCAGTGTCTGACTGCCTGTAGCTGCCGTCGAGCGCGCCGGCCTCAAGCCCGAGGATGTCCAGGAAGTTTTCATGGGCAATGTCCTCTCCGCCAAGTCAGTCGCCGTGCCGCGCACTCCTACCGCTCTAACAACGACTCCAGCCTCGGCCAGAACCCCGCCCGCCAGTGTGCTCTTGGAGCAGGCCTCCCCGAGTCCGTCGTCTGCACCACCGTCAACAAGGTCTGCGCCTCGTCGATCAAGGCCCTCATCGTCGGCGCCCAAACCATCATCACTGGCAATGCCGACGTCGTCGTCGCCGGAGGGGCCGAGAGCATGTCCAACACTCCCCACTACCTTCCCAACCTCCGCGCGGGCGCCAAGTTCGGCGACCAGCCCCTCGTTGACGGGCTCCTGAAGGACGGCCTCACCGACGCATACAAGAACCAGCACATGGGTCTGCAGGGCGAGGAGTGCGCCGAGGACCACGGCTTCGACCGCGAGGCGCAGGACGACTACTGCATCCGCTCCTACAAGAAGGCCATTGCCGCCTCCGAGGCCGGCTGGTTCAAGGAGGAGATTGTCCCCATCGAGGTGTCTGGCGGCCGCGGCAAGCCCGCCAAGGTCGTCGACCAGGACGACGAGCCCAAGAACGTGAGTCTACCAATGCCACAAGCGCCCAAGTGGCCCGCTCACAATTCATCTGAACCCTTCACTCATCTTGTCTCCAGTTCAACGAGTCCAAGACGCGCACCCTGCGCCCCTCCTTCAAGCCCAAAGACGGCACCGTAACCGCCGCCAACGCCTCGCCCCTCTCCGACGGCGCCGCCGCCCTCGTCCTCGTCTCCGAAGCCGCTCTCAAGCAGCACAACCTCAAGCCCATCGCCAAGATCCTCGGCTGGGGCGACGCAGAGCAGAACCCCTCCAAGTTCACCACCGCGCCCGCGCTCGCGATCCCCAAGGCCCTCAAGCACGCCGGCATCGAGCAAAGCACCGTCGACGCCTTCGAGATCAACGAGGCCTTCAGCGTTGTTGCGCTGGCTAACATGAAGATCCTTGGCCTGAGCGAGGACAAGGTTAACATTCACGGAGGTGCCGTGGCGTTGGGCCACGCCCTTGGTGCGTCGGGCGCCAGGATCACGACGACGCTGTTGGGTGTGCTCAGGGAGAAGAAGGGCAAGATTGGCTGCGCTGGCATCTGCAATGGCGGTGGTGGCGCGTCGGCGATTGTGATCGAGTCGTTGGTGTAGAGAGGACGAGGATAAATACCCTAATTTTGATGCATGGCATTTGCATATGATAGATGAAAATGAATGGATATGGCCTATTTTGGACAACGATCGACGTCCTTGCTGTGTATAGGGTGGGCGCACGCTCTTTCGGCGCTGGGTCGAGGTGGTGTTGAGCATCATCATCATCATCACTCCATTGCAGACGACCGGGCCCTGTCCCGGGAAGGTTAAGTGCCGCCTCGATTCCACTTCTGTCGTGCATGCGACTCCCAAGGACCTTATGACCTTGCCCAAAACAACAGCAACTTTGCAACAATGTCCTCTGTTGGGAGACTAACATGGCGTCTGCTACGCCCGTGAGTGTGTTGTGGGAGGGAGACTAAAATCTCCTTGGACACGGTCTATGTGTGCTGCGGACTCTTATTATGAAGAAGTGGAACCATGGCGCCGGCTTTCTGCACTTTCGAGCTGTTGTGATGGTGAGTATCACCTCCGGGCACTGCAGATATCAAACCGCGACGCCGGAGATGTATAACTACTACCTCTATGACTCCCTCATTCTTCACTCAGGTAGGGATCTTCTAGCCTCGACTGAAAAATGGCTAGGTGGCTTCCATCATGTCCTGCTCTGGGATACTAAAAACTATAATCGCCTTGGACCATGTGTAGTCCAGGGGACTAACATCGCGGAATCATTATGTCATGTGTGGTCTCCGAAGCGCAGTGAGGCTCGGGCGTTGGCGATCATTGTCAGTATTTGCGGTTGATGGGCCATCGGGTACCGTAGATTGCCTGTGGATAGCATTCATGTATACCGTCTCGATACCTTCTCAGCCCATGTACCCCTTCTCCTTCTTTAGCCTCAACTAGAAAGGACACCCTTTGCTTCACTTGTGAGACTGGGTGACTACAAAGGAAGACATCGAAGGAACCGGTGTCATTCGTGACTGGGATTGAATACTTGATACCATAAGGCTCCGTGCATTGTTCAACAGCAAAGATAGGCGGCTGCTACTGAGACGGCGTCGGCTTCAAGACCAATGCCTTCTAGAATGCAGGGTGGGTATGGTGATGTTAATCACCCTTGTTCCTGACCGAGTGCTACGTTGAGCTCACTTCTTCAATCATCTACACAGCTCCCGATATTTCCTGCAGTCACTAAAAAGAGCGAAGATAGCTGAATGGGTAGCCTGGGAGACTAGAAACTGAAGGCTCATATCCAGATTTGCGGCCTGGGCCTGGGTCTAACAAGCAAATACGACACGGCCTTATACAGGGTCTAGAAGCAAAAGATCAATAATACCATAGCGTCAGTCCTGAGTTTCAAGCTCAGCGTCTTTCGCAATGTAGTATGTGGATGATGAGAATCACTGTCAGTGCTGCTCGAGTTTGAAATATATACTACGTATATTCCTCTGCTATTTGTCAACACATAAAAATGGCGTGCCTTGACAGAAATGAGGTGGAACCTCTTCATGTCCTTGACTGGGAGACTTGCAAACTTCTCCCAAGGATCGCTGGTATTGTCACAAAAAGATACCTTGCAACGATCCATGTCCTCACTTGGGCGACTGCAAGGACAAGATGTCAGGCCGTATGCATGGTCAATAACCACGCTGAAAGAGTGTCCATGGTCCGTGTTTCGGGTCGCGAGACGCTTGGCCGCAATGATGGTGATAATTACTGGAGGGACTCGCTATCTGTGGGGACATTGTATAAATGCTACCTCAGCTTGACGTATACCTTGTGCACTTCCTTGAAGACCTTTACTTCTCCGGGCTGTTGAGTACGGTAGGACTGCAAATGCCGAGACGTCGTGTCCCTGACCGGGAGACTAAAACCGAAGACTAGAATTACATGATTGCTCCAAAAGCAGATCGAGAAAACCCTGTAACGTGGCTTATGTCTGTTGCTCGGACGTCATACTCTGGACCGTTGCAGGGTGATCATCAGCATCGTCACAAGCCTGTAGCGATGGCGACCTTGGAGGGAACACACAAGTACCTCACCGACGCCGCGAAAAGGGCCCACGCAATTTCCAAGGGTATTCGGGCTAAGCCTTGGAACACTACATCGGGTAAGTCATGTCTCGAGCCTTGGAGGCGACTAAAATCGAAAATTCCAACAAGAGATGAACTTTGAGAGCTGTTCTGAAGGAGGTCGATGGCAGCTGCTCTGTGTGTTGGTCTGAACCCCAATCTTCTGTGTTCCTGACACGGTGGATGCACAGGTGGGCATCATGTCTATATGTGGTGACAATCACGCTTATACATTTCGAGACTAGCGGGTGCAGTAGCTTATCGAATACGAGCTCCCTCGTGTTCACCACCTCTTGGCGATATTCTGGGTGCTTTGGGCTCAGCTCTGGGTTCCAGAGTCCAAAGGTTACCCGACAAGTTCGGCCTTGTGACATCGTACATTGATCTGTCAAAATGTCAAAGTTTGACTACAGTTCTTGTGCACTCCCATCGGCAGCCACACACATCCGCCTACTTGAACTTCGTCTAGCTCGGACGGCAACAGATCTCAAAAATGACGCGTCGCAGTCCAGCGGAACCCTTGTTTGTAACCTCTTGACCACATCGATAGAAACTCCGCAACCGTATAAAGCGCTCTCCTACACATGGGGAACCGAGGACAAGACCAGTTTCCTGGAGCTATCAGGAGCCCAACTCAATATCACACCATCTCTATACACTGCTCTTCTACATATCGCCAGCTGGCAGGAAGTCTTACATCTCTGGGTCGATCAAGTATGCATCGATCAAAGTAATGGCGACGAGAAGGGAGACCAGGTATTGCTCATGGCAGACGTATACAGCAAGGCTCAGCAAACTCTCGTCTGGCTAGGTCCGGCTGCGGATAGATCAGATGAGCTGATGGATCTGTGGCTTTATGTTGGTCGTCGAGCGGAAGCCATGGGATTCGATGGCTACTTCACCAAGGAGAAAAAGCATATCCTACTTGCAGTCTTGGACAACCATCCTGTGGACGATCCTTTATCAGAACCCTATCGCCAGCTTGTTGATGAAACCCGACTCCGGTTTGAGGATCTGATGCAGGCAATGGCTGATTTTGACGAGAGGCCCTGGTTTCATCGTTTGTGGGTTGTCCAGGAGGTCAGCTTGTGCCCCGACACAGTGTTTGTGTGCGGGACAAAGATGGTTCCAGTCGACTTCGTCAGACATGCAAGCAATGTTTTCACCTCGGCGTTGAAGCATTCTAGGAATTCCAATCGCGACCAGAGCTTCCATAATCTCCTTTTGCAAGCACAAGCGCACCGCATTATGCCTCTTTTGAGCACACGACGGCGTCGACAGAATTTCGCAAAGGGCTGTGGAGAGGGCGATGGGCTGTTCCACCTGCTCAGAAAGCTCTTTGTTGAGAGCGAAACGAATGCCACTCAAAATCGAGATCGCATATACGGGCTGCTAGGGCTAGCTGTTGACGCCAAACAACTGGATATCAAACCAGACTACATCAGTTCGGAAGCGGGTCCGATTTTTACAAACGCGGCGCGAGAAATGATAAAAAAGGGCCGTATTGAGCTCTTAAGCTTCTCCCAGTTCCCAAAAGAACATGGTCTCGAAGGTCTCGCGACTTGGGCCCCGGACTGGCGGCCGAACCTTGCATCGTCCTTCTATACCATCTTTGAGTTCGCAGAAGATCATCTGTTTAGTGCATCGGGAAGTACCAGCATCTCTCTGTTGCCTACCGATGACGAGAAAGTGCCTGATGAAAAAGAGCTTGCCATCCGAGGATACGTGGTGGACACAATCGAAGAAGTCGGGACTGTTTGGCATGCTTCCGATAACCATGTGTCGTATCTACGTTTGTTCGAAACGATCAAAGAATTTTGCACAAAGTCTGCTGCAAAGGACGAGCCCATCTACGAGAACTCGTTACGTCGGGCGGAAGCAACGTGGCGTGTGCCAGTCGGCGATCTCTACTGGACTCCCGAGTTGGACAATGTCCGTGCTACCAAAGAGCTTGTTGAAGACAAGTATCACGATTGTGTCAGGCTCTCCGAGGTCATAGCAGGAGGAAAAGAGGTATTGACGAGAGAAGAGGTACACCGGCTTCTAGCTGGGAGATACCGTGGTAACATGAGTGTCATGGATGGCAAACGCCCTTACATCACTCGAAAAGGTTATCTCGGGATGTGCCCTGGATTGGCGATTGAGGGCGATGTCGTGGTCATCTTCTGTGGCGCTAAGATTCCCTACGTTTTAAAACCACAGCCAGAAGTAGACAAGTATACCTTTGTTGGCGAGGCTTACTGCGACGGGATGATGGACGGTCAGATTCTAGAGCGTGGACAAGAAGCTTCTTTCTATATTCAGTAGAATGGTCTACACGTTAGAAAATGAGATCTTCTACAGGGCGTGATGAAGTTGCAGCCTCCTGAGCATTGAAGCGAGGCTACGAATATCTTGGGGGGAGCGCGTGCGCGGCGCCGCGATCATCCGCTACGTGGGCAAGTACGATGCCATGGGGACGGCATTGGCGTGAAACTTCTTCGAAATGTCATTGAATGTCTGTTGTTCTTGCTCAGGATCGGTTTAAACCAGATATTACTTTGAGGCTTTGCGGTTGGTTCAAAAGCAAACACCCGAGAAGGGAACCGCTTCAGGTGACCAATTCGAAATGTGCCTGATGAAATGAAACTAGAGTCGACCTGAACTACTGGTGGAAATGGATAACGCCCCATGTTGATTCGGAGGAACTTACTTGAAGTTTGGGACATGATCCATATTTCATGTTATATCGTCCACCATAACGCTTGTCAAACTCATAGCCACTCATTCCCAACATTCCATCTCACCAAGAAATCCGGTCGCGATTCCATGTCCGGTCGAAGTCACGATTATTCTATGTTTGGACAAGACAGCCAGGTTCCTGAGTACAATCAATTTGTCAACTGTCTTCTGCCGTATGCATGTGCTTTCAACAAACATGTGCCTGCACTACACCAATCATGACAGCGCTCTCATAAAGCCGTGCCCTTCTCAACGACCCTGGCACCCACACCGTCACTCCCAGTGGTATGACAATCTCTTTGAACGCTAACGCCACGGGGAACTTCAAAGAAAAGGGTTTATCCATATTGAGAAGATTCAAGAAAGGCACCCTGAACGCCTTCGGCTACCGCATATCCAGCAAGCCCGGCAATAAGCTGAGAAAACCCGCACCATCAAGGCTCATGGAAAGCGAACCAAGCCATACTTCGCCGTCACCGGAAGACAAACCATCTCGCGTAAACTCACCTCCATGTCGTGTTTTATCTGAGTCGCTGAGTCGTTAGGAAAATTTACTGACGCAAAGGTAGCAGGAACAGGACGGGACATCGACAATGGATAACCATCCGACCAAGGCCTCAAGATTTCAAGAAGAAGATGGTCCAGTGACTACAGCCGAATCAGGCAAATCGAGACCACTGACGCCTATGAAAGCTCCGCAGGGTCAGAATAAGGCCTCGGTGTTACCTGAGATTCACCATCCGACTCGACTCTCGCCTTTGCAAAAACAAGACAGTCCAGCTAAGACAGATGATGCCGGAAGGGCTGTCTCTCCAACGCCGATGAAGGCGTTACGGGGACACAGCAGGAGCAGGGACAATGTAGATGCGACAACGCCAGCACCACCGGACATCATTTCCAAGTCTGTTAGGATCTCTCCCAAGGTGGAGCGTGAGCATGCGACTGGAAAGAATTCTGTCTATGACGAAGCCATAGATTACCCTACCAGGGATCAGCGAGATGGAAGCGCCGAACGATCAAGAGCTCACGGGGGCGGAGAGGCGGTCGCATCGGGAAATGGCGATACTCCTGGAGTTCAGGCAGCTGAACGACATGGACTCGTAGAACAACAAGATTCAGCGAAGGAGGCAGAGAAATCAGCAAATCTACCTGCTGCACAAGAGGCATCGGCATCTAGAAGGCCGTACGATGTATACACGATCGGGAAAAAGGAAGCTAGCACCGGAGAGATTTTAGAGGGAAGACACGCGCACCAAGCGAAACGTGCTAGGGAGGAGCAAGAGCGATCCGATGATGTCAAGGGAGGGGCGATAGAGAGTAGGGAGGCTAATGTGCTGAAGCGTTGAACAGCGGCAGTGTATGGATGGTAGCCTTGGATTTTATTGAAGATAGTATAGGATTGTAAGCGGGCATGGCGAGATACCTAGGCGGTGTGAACAATCACGATAGTTCTCTGATGTCTTAATGACAGCAAGCGACCCCTGCAATTTTTTGTTTTAGGTATTTGTCCTATTCCTGCAAATGAAGGCTGGTACGACTCACAGCTCCTATAGACGAGCGTCAACCACGTGGCCTGGCCTTCACTCTCACCTTCCCTTCGCGTAACGTCTTGGTGTTAGCCCGACCAGCCCTCCAATCGACGTACACTCTACGAAACTCCAAATCTTCTTCGCTGTCCCCACAACGAATGTATCGCAGCATACAGCCTATCATGTCGGACCGGAACAGCTCTCCGTTTGCGGACGCCATACGCCGCTCCAAATCCTTCCTCACAAAGATCGCGCCGAATAAGTCCAAATCTAGGATTGAAGACAAGTCTATAACACCCGCGAGCGCCCACACTGTCGCCGTCACCGACACAGCCGGCAACAACCCCAACTACAAGCGCCGCATGCGCGTCGTCACCGACACCGAGCGCCGCGACAACCCGCTCAACCTAGGCGAAGCCGGCTGGGGCGCGCAATCCTGGAATGCCGCGAAGCAAGAGCAGAAGCAGGTGAAAGAGCTCGAGGAACTGTGGAGCGAGATGGGCAGCGTGGGTCGGAATTCCAGTGTGGAGAGTGTGCGCGAGAGAGTGACGGATCCGCGCGTGTTCCTCGGGCAGGCGCGGTTGTCGCAGACCAGCGTGGAGAGCAGGCACTCGAGGGCATCAGGATTGGGAATTCAGAGGCAGGGGCACAGCAGAGGAGAGAGCAGCGGGAGCCCGACACAGTATCATCGCCCGCTGCCGTTCAGGGTGTCTAGGCCGAGGGATCCGCCATCGCCTACGCCTTCACAATCTACACGGACTGCGGAGGCAGGAGCATTGCCGCCTGTGGGTGCCAGAGTCAGCGGATCGTATCTCTCGGCAGAATCCGCGGCGCAAGTGGAAGCAAGGCTGGCTGCTCGGGCGGCGTCGAATAACCTCCCGCGCACGCGGGTCGCGGGCCCGAGGCCGAACAACATGGTCAGGAGGAGTGGGAGTTACGCGTCACAGGGCGTAAGAGTGACACCGGGCAGCTTTGGGGATAATGAGAGGGAGGAGTATCTCGCTAAGTTGAGGGCAAGGGGAGGTGATGGATCCGACGGTTCGAGGGCGGGGCATGGGACGAGGAAGGGGGTGGGAGACTCGGTGTTTTAGAACGGAGAAGAGGACTGGATGCCTTGGTCATCTATTTGAAATCTCTTGGTTGAAGTGTAAGATGCGATCTGTGGTGCTGGTTGAAGATGAAGGATCTACGCTCCGAGCGGTCTTTCGGTTAACTCGTGTTCGCACGCACCCTGCGGGAGATCGACGCGGTCGGGCGCGCACGTCAACACGAGATCTTCGTGACTGTACATATACATAGAAAAGCCACGCTCTAATCCCGCAATATCTCTTCGCACCACCCCTTCGCTCTCCCGCGGCCACACCCAACCCAACGATGCCTCCCCGCACCCGCTCCCACCACCGCCACCGCCCCATCACCCCTCTCACCTTCCTCGCCGCCTCCTCCCTCATCCTCCCGATTCTCTCCCTTACACGCCTCTACCTTCGCGCCCACGCCATCCTCCTCACCATCTTCACCGTCGTCCTTTCCCTCGTTACCTTCCTTCTCTACGGCTACGACAAGATGCAAGCGCGGAACCTCAACTGGCGCGTCAAAGAGAGCACGCTGCATTTGTGCGCTGTGTTGGGCGGGTGGCCGGGTGCGCTGGCGGGGATGCATTACTTCCAGCACAAGACGCGGAAAGTGAGGTTTTTGATTGTGTTTTGGGGGATTGTGGCGTGTTGGGAGGGGGTGTGGTTGGGTATTTGGAGGGCGGACTACGGGGACTGGGTTTGAGGGTGGGTGGTATTTTGGTCAGACGTTTGTTTGGATACTGTATTGTTTTTGTTTGGCTTGCGGGATCGAATAACGCCCAGGTTGCATGGAGAAGAGTATGGAGAAATGCGAGGTCGGATTAGGTTCTAGAATAATCGCTAACTCCAAGGTATGCAATCGTGAACATCATGATGAGGCCTTCGTCTTCCCTATGCAAGACGTGAACTCATTCCTGCGCTGTGGTATATCCTTCTGCGGTATCCTTCGCCTTCTGCACCGTCCTAGACTTCTCAGCCTCACCCGCCTTCTTCACTGGCCCATCTCTAGCTTCCTTTGCCATCGTCGACACGCGCTCAAGAAGTATCTTCGAAAAGTCCTCCACGCTATCCCACGCCTGACTCACCGCTCGCCCTATATCACACATCAGATTAGCGACCGGTGAGCGGACTCGTCAAAGAATCCGCAGCTTCACCAGTAGCTTCTCCGAGCGGATTGCTGGCAAGGCCGCCAACAGCATTGCCAAGCCCTTTCTTGAGGTCTTTGACATTCTCCTGGTCCGATGCGGGGATCTTGGAGATTTGGTCTGCGGGGGTGTTAGCGACTGGTAGGGGGCTGTGTTGCACGGGCTGCAGGCGGGCGGAGGAGGCTCCTGTGGAGTGGAAAGGCTTATGCTTACCCTTGGCAATGTAGGAGAGCTTATTTTCACCCATGGTCTTGAGGGCGGAGCGTTCAAGCTTGCGCTTTACTTCTGGCGGGATGCCGAAGAGGTAGACTGCGAGGGCGAGGACGCTGACGATGCCTGCGAGCACGGTGAAGAACTTGGAGGTGGTCATGGTGTATGAATACGCTGATTTTACGGGAGAGATCAGACGAGAGGGTATCAAATCGTATCAGGATGATTGTTCGTAACGAGGAATGCTAGGCGTTGTTGTGGGAGTCTGAATTTATGAGGTCCTCGCTGAGTGAAGCTATGACATCATGCTTGCAACGCGCTTGCACTTCCAGGTTTACCTTTTACATCGGTGCACCACGTTGCAGATCCACTCGGCTTGGGAAGAGAGCAGACAGATTCGGGCATTGTCCTGTGCTTGTGGTTGCGACGCGCGCTAGGCCGCATCTCGCAAAACATGTGCTATCCAGTCTGACAGGGTGGTGTGGCTTTGTTTGATGAGCGTGAGTGACCTTGCACATCGCATGTGGCTGCCGCAACGGCGATGTTGATCGTACGTCCCGAGGCAGGTCAAGCTATCATCGAGGAATTCACCTCGAGGTCATACCACGTCGATGCCTGGCCTGATGCGAAGGGTGGTGGGCGCGTCCAGAAGCCCGCCAAGCATCAGCTGCTCAGCCTCAGGCCGCAAAGGAAACCGCAAGGCGGCCCCCACCAGCAAGAACGCCTAGCCGCGCCCCTCAAACGGCCATTAATTCTGAGAGCTGACAGCTGCATTGGCCCTCCTTCCACAATCACACCCACACGCACCTACAGTCCCTCCTCGCCGTTCACACTTATCGTTTGCCCTACGGTTCCGTATCTACCGCACGCTGGACTCGCTCGCCTACCCCTCCTCATAACCCCGCCAACCCTCCGCCGTCGCCTAACAGGCGCCTTCATCCAGCCTTCAGCCTCAAGGACAGCGCAGCGGTGCGCTGCGAGCGACACCTGCAACTATGAGTTGTGCGCCCTTTCCTTGCTTCTGTTCTCCCTGTGGAATTGTTGCTAACGTGCGCCCGCAGTGACCAACATGCTGAACAAGCTGCATGGCCAGCCCGACAGCTACGACCGCAAGTTAGTGCCCCGCGCGTACACCTCCATGCAGCCCACGTACTAAACATTGCCCGCCAGATCTCGCTACCGCTTCGGAAAGACGCTGGGTGCCGGTACCTATGGCATCGTCAGAGAGGCCGACTGCCCCGAGGGCAAGGTTGCTGTCAAGATCATCCTGAAGAAGAACGTGCGCGGAAACGAGCAGATGGTATACGACGAACTGGAGATGCTTCAGCGCATGCACCACCCGCACATTGTCAAGTTCCACGACTGGTTTGAGTCGAGGGTGAGGGTCTTCGTGTTTAACACACGAGGCAAGAGCTGATGAAAGCAGGACAAATACTACATCGTGACCCAATTGGCCACGGGCGGCGAGCTGTTCGACCGCATTTGCGAAAAGGGAAAGTTCACAGAGAAAGACGCCGCTGAGACGATCCGACAAGTGCTCGAGGCTGTCAATTACCTGCACCACAACAATGTCGTTCACAGGGGTATGTATGCACACGCACCCACGGCGCTCCCGCTGACAGGTCTTTAGATCTCAAACCTGAGAACCTGCTCTACCTCTCAAAAGAACCCAACTCTTCGCTCGTGCTTGCGGACTTCGGTATCGCCAAGATGCTCGACTCCAAGAACGAGGTTCTCACCACAATGGCTGGATCGTTTGGCTACGCTGCACCGGAAGTGATGCTGAAGAAGGGGCACGGCAAACCGGTTGACATGTGGTCCATGGGTGTCATCACATACACCTTACTTTGCGGTTACTCGCCATTCCGGTCTGAGAACCTGGCCGACCTCATTGAAGAATGCAAAAACGGCCGCGTCGTATTCCACGAGCGATACTGGAAGGACGTCAGCAAGGATGCGAAGGAATTCATTTCAACTCTGCTCCAGCCAGACCCGGCCAAGCGACCTACGAGCGAGGTATGTATTCACACATTCATCATAAAGGCTTTGGCGGCTAACGTCTCTGTAGGAGGCCCTCAAGCACATCTGGCTCAGCGGCAAGACTGCTTCCGACCACAACTTGCTGCCCGAGATCCGCGCCTATGTTGCCAAGGCACGACTCAGGCGTGGTATCGAGCTGGTGAAGCTGGCCAACCGCATCGAGGCGCTGAAGATGCAAGAAGACGACGAGGACGACGTGCCCGGTCAAGCAGATGTACCTGCGAATGCGACCGAGGCGGCGGGTGAGGCCTTGGCGGCAAATAAGGAAGGGAAAGGTCTGACGACAACAGAGGCTCCAGCGCCTAGCTCAAGCACAGGCAAAGGTCCTGGGCGCTTGAGCAGGCTGGCCAAGGGTGCCATCTTCCGCGAAGTCGTGCTGGCTAAGGTCCGCGAGATGAAGGAGACCGAAAAGCAGAAAGAGTTTGAGAAGCAGGCGCAGGAAGCCTCCAAGAAGGCTTGAGCAGTGTGCACAGTTGTTCTTCGTGTTTTGATGGCACTCGGGCTGTTCTAGGGTTTGCGCCTTCTCTGATTCGTTCTTCATCGTAGGGTGCCCTGATGCGCTATTGCTGGGGAGGGACTTAGACATGCTTCTTGTGAATGAAACCTACAGTGGCTGCCGTATTTCACCAGGTTGCACAATGTATTTCATCGCGCTGTGTTGGGCAGGTGAATGCGCGGATCAAGGTTGGTCACGTGCGCTAGGGGCGGCACTACCCGAGCCGGCTTGCCTCAATGCTGGGCAGTCGCGTCTGTAGCAGTTGGCCAGCACTCAACTGCACACCGCGCTGCACCCGCGCCAGACCTGCTGCCACAGGTATTATCTGTCGAAAACCACTTGGATACCCTACGCGACGGCGAATCTGCGCCATGGAAAGCGCGGCGAAACGTAAAGCGGGCGGTGCTGCGGCGCCCGAAAACGAGGGCCGGCCGTCGAAGCGCCAGAAAGTTCCGGTACGTGCACCTTCTGGTGGTGACTGCAGCCCTCTCGGCGGGCGCGAGGATAAGAGGACGGGCTTGCGTCGGATTGCGATGCGCGCGATGCGGGAACGTGGTGGAGGGGAGCGCGCGACGGCCTGGTTCGAACCGCGACCTGCCTACCCTACACCACCCCTCGTCGCCCGCAACAACACGCGCCCGGCCGCAATGCGCGCAGACAGCGCCGGGCCCGCGATGGCCGGGAGAGATGCAATGGACAATGCTGACGATGGCCACGTGCGCATAGGACTCCACCAAAGCGGCAGCCGACGCAGAGACGCCAGAGTCGACAACGGAGATGGGCTTGAAGTTCCTCGAGAGCTTGAAGCAGGCAAAGGACAAGACGTGAGTGCCTGGCTCGCAGCATGCGCTAGCCGCGCCCGAAACAGTCACTGACCAGCAGCAGAGGCCGTCCCATCTCAGTGCACTTCCTCACGCTCCCTGACAGGGTAAGCACCCACCTGCGCTCCCCGCGACAGCCCGCTAACCATCCGCCCGCAGAACGTGCTCCCTGAGTACTACGACGTGATCAAGCTACCCATTGCGATCGACACCATCGAGGTACGCCATTTCCGCGACATGTCTCACGTCGCTGCGACCCTGCGCCTGCCAATGCTGGCCTGCGAGCACACGCAGACGACGCACAACATACCAGAGTGAAGGCTAACAGCCGCACAGGACAGACTCAACGCCGGCGGATACACGTGCCTGGCGGACGTCGAGAGCGACGCCAAGCGCCTCGTCAACAACGCAAAAGCCTACAATGACAAGAAGTCTGCCATATACGAAGATGCCGAGCGTCTCCGCAAGACGGCCTCCAACTGGATGGTCAAGCACAATCCAGCCTACCGGAGAGAAGGCTACCAAGCCGTAGCTACGCCTATTCCTGGCGAGGAGCCTATCCCCTACGGAAAGCCAATCCCGCGCGTTCATCCTGCAACCCCGAGAGCGACCCCGTCAACCCCAGATTCTGCTTCCACCGACAGGCCGCGACGAGCCGCTGCGGTCGCGGCCACACAAGCAGTTACCCCTGCGCCGTCTAAGCTGCGACACTCGGCCTCCGCTGCCCCAGAAGAGGGCGATGCCACGGATTTCAAAGGAAAGAGCTTCCAGCAAGCACAAGAGCAGATCGTCAACGGCCTGATTGGTTATACCGAACCAGACAGCGGACTGCAAATCTTCCAACCTTTTGTAAACCTGCCCAGCCGTTCCATCAAGGATTACTATCAGATTATCAAGGACCCAGTCTCGTTATCGGGTGTGCTGAAGAAGGTCCGCGGCGTGATTGGTCGCAACGCGCCCACAGGGATCACTGAGCTCAAGAGCTGGGACGCTTTTGAGCAAATGATGGCCATGATCTGGAAGAATGCTCGCATCTATAACGAGGACGGCAGCGACCTCTACAACTTGTCGCTCGAGCTGGAGGAGATGTTCAATCAGCGACTTGCTGCAGCCAAGTCGAAAGTCGACGAGCCGTCACAACCAAAGCTCAAACTCAACATGTCCACTGCAGCACCGTCTCCGGCACCACAGCCAAAGCAAGCGTTGAAGATCAAGCTACGGCAAAGTCCAGTATCAGACCCAAATACTCCGGCTGCACGAAGCTCCGCGACTCCTGGCGTCATTGTAGACAGCGAGGCACTGATTAGGCAACAGAGGCACGTTTTGGACAGCATGAACGGTTCGCGGTCGTCAAGGCCTCCATCTGCCGGTCGAACAGGAACACCGACAACCCTTAGCAATCCGTTCAATGGACCGCGAGGCGCATCAGCCACAATCCCTTCAATACCAGCGGCGCAAACCAGGACAGCAGGATCGCCAGGGATGAATGGTGTCAAGAACGACGTACAATCACCAGCTCTGAACGCGATCAGGCCAGCAAGCAATGCTTCTGATAGCCAACGGATGAGCATACCGGCACACACACCACATCCAGCCATGCCTCCACCACATGCAGCATCGCGCACCAGTGGCAGTCCCCTTCCAAATGGACCCATTGGACAGCACACCGGAGGTTACGCGAATTCCTATGCGCCTCCCACTCCCTCGTATTACGTTCCGCCCGTGACACCGCATTTTGAGAACTTCCGCAAAGTGCCACTGAAGTGTGCGTATCTCTCTTGATTCTTGGAAATCATCAAGCTAACGAATTTGCAGGCGCCGATGAAGCACTCATCCCGAAGATCACACTAAACACCCACCCCGCGCTCAACCTCAGCAAACCCTGGTCCATGGCCATTCCAGCACACAAATCTAAGACCTCGCACTCCGTCACAGTTCCCATCCCCACAACACACTCATATCTCCAGATCGTACCGCACATCCCCATCGCGCACACCGCGCGCCTGTACCGCCTCTTCGTCATGGTTAACGGCAACAAGACTTTCGAGGTTAACCGCGTCCCCGTCACCGCCGGCATCAACGGCGCTGCCGTTGGTTCGTCGCCGCAGCCGGGCGTCGAGGCCGGAAAGAAGAAGGGCGAGCCTGTGTACGAGGCGAAGCTTGGCGCGGGGGTGAATCGCGTGGAGATTGAGATTGTGGCAGAGAGGGAGAGGGGGAAGGGCGAGAAGGAGAGCACAGTGCCGAAGGAGCAGATTGAGAGTGAGAAGTGTACGATTTTTCTGCATTTGACGCGGTCTCTGTAGTGTGGAGATGAGGACGTAGGGTGCTGGGGTGGGATAGGGGAAAGATTGAGCGAGGATATGAAGCCCAGGGAGAAGGTGAGCTTGAAGGCGAGGATCCCGACAGATGAGGAGATTTCGGAGTTGGACATGCTGGACTGATGGGTGAAGGGTGGCTTGGGTATACCTTTGGGCGGCGTGAGGTCGGTATGGCGTTCTGGCCAGGGCTGGTGTGTCACCAGGACGGAGAGCATTGCGCATGTTCCTTCCGCTTTTTTCATACCTTTACTTCCACTTTTCTTGGTTGCATGGATAGGATGGGATAGGATAGGCATGTACCAGCACAGAACAGTAGCTATGCCATGAGACTTCATTTGTTGCGACTTTGGAGGTAGATTGCAGTGTGCGTGCAACCCATCTGGTGGTTATACCCCTGTGTCGGAAGTTGCTGAATAGAGGCGCGCTTGTGGGAAGGATGAGAAGTGTGTTGGGAAATCCTCGAAGGGATTTTGCTGGGATTGCTGTGTGCCATGACATGCAAACATTGTTTTGCTTGGTGGGCATGTTTGTAAGCGGTGCACGAATTGGCGGGCTGGTGGCAGGGAAGGAGGACTGGAGGGTTCGAGGGGTCGGGCGTGATTGGCTTGTGTTTGGGGCGATTGTCGCAAGGACGGGACAGGGTATTCCTTTTTCAACGATCGTGACATGTTCATTCTTGGTGATATCCTCAATCCGGCGCGGAAGTGAGCAAGCTACAAAAAAAGATCGATATAATGCACGTAGGCCATTTGCTGCATCAGTGGGGCTGGGATACACAAGTCAGCACGAGCGATATCGAGAAGAGGAGGGAGTGGATTGAGACGAAGTTTGGATGCGCAATGTTAGCGGCTTCAAGGAGCTGTGGGATGTCGTTGGCAAATAGACCGGGACGAGGTGGGAGTGTGATGTCGATATCAGGCCGTAGCGGAATTGAGGGTATAAGCAGGAGGAGGTTGGGTATTTGAGAGACGACTATGTATTGTTGACATTTGCAGTGAAGAGGACGGGGTAGATCTAAGTCTTAGAACCGGAACTGGAAGAGGTATTGAAATTATACAGATACCCAATACCAAACGCTAAGATGCTAGAAACCGTCATTACCATGCCCTGATCTCGTACACGCACACTGTATCCATGCTAATGCATTCCAAGCCCGCAATGCCCCGTCCTATTATATGCATGTGCAAACCCAGAACGCCTCGCCAAAACGCAAAAGACCGCCAGTAATACATGACCAAGAATGCGAAAAATGAAAAAAAAAAACCGGAAATATGAGAACACCGAGCGCAAACAACGAATCAAAAAACAATGGGTTTGGCCCAGTAACAGGAGGAGGCAACGGCTCTACTCTACTCCTTGGCCTCCCCCTCCATCCCAGTAATAGTCGTATCCCACGTCCCTTTATCCACCTCACTACTCCTTCTCCGACTCTTCTCACTCCTCATTGAATTCGTGCGACTCACAGACGGACTCCCTGAAGCACTCGCCCCCGCAAGCGGACTATTCGGATACAGCCCCTTGATCGCCGCGCTTCTACTCTCACAGAGATATCGACTACTTCTTCCACTGCCCGGTCTCTCCGTGCTATCCGTACGCAGAGACGCCGTGTCGGCAGCTTCACGCGAGCTGCGCGTGCTGAGCGTGTAGCCGGACGTGCGACGTGCGCTGTCGGGGCGTTCTTGCTCGGCTTCTTCGGTCTTGGGACGAGACTTGGAGCGCGTTTTTTTGCCGGAGGTGTATTCGGTTGGCTCGGTGGTGGTGCGATGGAGGTCGTCTTCGGAGGGTTTGGAGCGCGCGGAGCGGCGGGAAGAGGAGGTGCGGCGGCTGAGACTGCGGTGGCTGGATAACGCGTCGATCTCGTCGATGGCGGCGAAGAGGGGGGAGACGGGGCGGTCCGCGGGTGTGGGCGAACGGGATACCGGTGGTGTAGGGAGGTTCGAGGCGGAAGGGTCGAAAGGTGGTATTATGGCGCTTTCAGTAGGCGTGACCTGTGGAAGCTGCTCCTCCGTCGCACTGGGTTCACCTTCAGGAGCATCCGGTGTGTCAATTTCAGTGGGGTTGGGATGCGGAGGAGTAGACGTGTCCTTCTCGTCGAACTCTGCTGCCAGGACGACCATGGATGCTGGAGGTGCGCCGAGAACACTTTCGGTGGCCGCCGGGAGCGGGGGAGCATCCCGAGGCGTGTCGTAATCGATAGGTCCGGGAGGCGGACGTGTATAAGGTATGTGAGAAGTTTCGGATGGAACGGCTTTTGGTGAGGAGGGAGCTTCCGATGGGTTCGTCGGTGGAGGTGGAGGTACACGTGACGGAGGAGGCGGCGGCGGAGATGATGATCGTACAGAAGACTTTACCGAATGAACGGACAAAGATGATTTAGAACGGATCGAAGTTCGTTTAGGCGGAACAGGTGGCGGCGTTCTCGAACGTATTGACGTTTTGCCCGACTTTATCGAAGTAGGCGATGCTGGACGGGTGGGAATTGCGTCCTTCGTAGGCTCAGGCGGTGGTGGCGATTTCGATCGAACAGATGCTTTCTCTAAAGCTGGAGTAGGCGGCAATGAGGTCCTAGGCGCGGGCAACAGAGGCGGCGGGAAGTCAGCAGTCGTCGGAGAAGCAGCGTTGGTGGTAGGTGGCAAACCTGCTGCTTGGAGCTCCTCCTTCCTCTGGACCACTAGCTCCGCGTCGTCGTACAAGGCGAGGCCATGGTGATAGATGCTTCCCTCGTCGGGATTCTCGTCGGATTCGTTGCGGAAGTTCTCGTGCTTGGGCTCGCGATATATGACAGGGAAAAGCCGTAGTAACATTTTAGGCTGTTCATCAGACGGCATTTCGGTACCGACTAGCGAAGCAATGGGGCTACCCTCGGGTCTGTGGGATGGCCAGAACTTTGGCCCCGTGAATTCATGATCTTCGTCAGTGATGGCGGGCATTGTGGCCGAAATCATCTCCCGCTCGAGGCGAGCAAAGCGCCAGGTTTCGGCCGCGAGTTTGACGATGCGCTTCACAGCAATCTTGATGCCCTCCTCTTCTTTGGGGTCAGCGAAATGTTTAATTGCATTGACGATCTCCTCGACTACGGTGCCAGCAGCGGTATTGATGCGCTGCTTAGCACCACTGCTCGTAAAAGCTGCGAGCAGTGTCTGCTGGCGCCATATCGCCTCTTTGCGCGTGCTCTTGTCGCGGATGTGGTTGCTCATGGACAAGAATAAGGAGTCGGCCTTATCGTACCGGCGACCCAAACTGAACAGGAACGGACCGAATACACGATAGGTGACAAGCTTGGAGACGGTGTGAGCCACATATGCGGCGCGAAGTTGTCTTTATAATGGTTATTCAACGTTGGGAACAAGACTATGCAACAACTTGCCTGGAGGACGAGGTATCTGCCAAAAAGGACGGCAAATTAGAAGGTATCTGCTGCAGCTCTTCTGGCGGAGGGATGACGGGAAGGTGGACGAAGTGAGTCGCAGCGAGGTCAAGGATCTGCTTTTGAAGTTGCGTGAAGGATACCAAACTGCAGAGCAGTTAGCGACGGCCGGCATGGAACAGAGGGGCAAAAGTACGAAGATTGCATTGCGACCGTGAAAATGCTAGCGACTTTTACTCCCTCATGACCCTACCATAACAGAAATGCGCGCAAAACAGGGATAACTTCCAACAAAGAAACATTAAACACCATGGCAGACTTACTAATAAGTGTCACCCTTGCTCTTAATCTCAGCAATGTCACCGTACGACTCCATAAGCTTTTCCAGTCTCGACTTCTCACTCTCCATGTTGCTCGCAACGCTCTTGATGATCTCCTTCTCTTTCTCATGCTGCAGCTTCAGCTCGTTGTACTGTCTGAGCAATTCTTCTTTCTCCTGGCTCAGCTGGTCTGCAACCGCCTTGTGCTCATCCGCCTTGCGATTTGCCTCTGAATGGAGCTCAATCCAAGCCTTGTCAGACTCATCTTTGATCTTCTTGTGCTGACCCTCAAGGAGGGAACGTTGATCTTCCCAGCTCTTACGCAAGCTCTCAACATCCTCCCGATGGGCTTGAACAAGCGTGCCTCTCTCCTTCGCCCAAACCTCCATGGTCTCACGCTCGCGCCTGAGTGCCTGCTCGCAGTCAAGTTGAGAAGCACTCAGCTTCTGCTCGAGCTCGTTGCGAAGTCGGTCGAAACTCTCTTCACGTTCTCGCTGTTGCCGCTGGTGTTCAGAACGGAGGTCATCCTTTTCCTTCAGATGGGCAGCTGACGCAGCCTGGCGCTCGCTCTCGGCCTTGTCATCGGCTTCCTTGAGCTTCTTGTCAAACTGGATGGCCAGAGCAATCTTCTCGGCGTCGTTCCGGGTAGTAGTGGTCGTCTTCCATTCCTCGAATTCTACCCGCGCTTTGGCGATCTCCTCGGAAGAGGTCTTCTCTAGAGTTGCGTGTGTTTCTTCAAGGTCCTTGTACTTGCCTTCCCAAGACTTCATCGTAGCATCGAGGGCGACTTTGAGCTGGCTGGCCTCTACTCTGAACTTCTCAGTCTCAACGAGTCGCTCTTTGAGGTCCTTCACTTGCTCCTCCATGTTGCCGACCTCGAGGCGCAACCTGCTTGCTTCACTGGAATGCTTACGCTCGATACTCGTAATCCTGTCTCTTAAGGCCTGGATCTCATCGTCTTTAGCACGCAGCTTTTCTTGATGTTCAATACGGGACCGGTGAAGCAATTCTTCCCTCACTGCCAATTGACCTTGGGCCTCCTTGTAGTTAGCCAAAAGCGACGGAAGGTCATTAATAGCCCGAGCTATGCTAGAGAATGCATCTCCAGTCCCGTCATCGATTGCAGACCCATTTTCAATAGCGGGATACCCGTTGCCATAGTCTCTGGGTCGCATAGGATCATGTCGTTGCGGTGGACTATGACCATTGTATCCATAGTTCGGTGGGACATGGCTCCAACTTTCCTGATACCCGTGCGGGGAGGAATGATGCGAAGGAGGCCCATATGGAGAGTAGTCTGGATACCCACTAGCTTGACTCATGCTGTGGGTGGGCGCGTGGCTAGGCGCGTGGCTAGGAGCGTGACTAGAGGGGTGGTAGTACGGTGGCGCAGTAGGAGGATACTGGTGCCTTGGATGGTGATACTGCGGCGGAGCTGACGGAGGTTGAGGATTTGAGTGATGCTCTGGCTGTGGTACACGGGATGCGAACAGAGGCCGGGAGTGGGCTGGAGGATAGGATCCGCGAGACGAATCGCGAGAGAGCGGGTCGTCCTCACGGTGCCTCAGTCGGGGTTGTATCAGAGCTGACTCGTAGTCTTCGTCATCATCGTCGTCATATACAGGTGCGCGTCGTGGTCGAGCTCTGGTTGGAGGTGGTGTAGGAGCTGGGGGTCTGTCTTCTTCGATTGCTTGGCTCACCGCTGACTTTGTCGGAGCTGAAGGCACCGACGGACGTTCGGTTGCTGTTGACCGTGGCGAGATAGGAGCGGGTTCCGCGATGGGTGGGGATCTCGATTTGACCGGGGCAGGTACAGGTGTTGCGACCTTGGGTAAGGAATGGCTCTCTGCTTGAACTGGGGCGGGTGCGGGTGATGCGACGTTGGGCACGGGAGAGCTTCTCGTTTGCACTAATGGTGGACTCGGTGCTCGATGCTTTGGGACGGATGGAGCTTCGATCTCCACAGATGCTGGTATAGATGGAGGAGGCGTTGGCATCGGCGGTCCCGGCGCTTCAACACGTGCAGAAGGGGGCTCTGGTGCAGGCGTAGGGCTCGGTGCTCTCGGTGCTTCGACGACCTCTGGTTGGGGCTCCGGCGTTGGATCAGGTGGAGAGCCTTCCTTTGTTGTCGGCTTGATCTCGGGATGTGACTCTATTGCAGGTTCGGGTTGAGGTGCAGGGGCGCTCTCTGTTGATATTTCGGGCTGCGATTCAAATACAGGTTGTGCTTCAACAACAGGTTGTGCTTCGACAACGGGCTCTGGTTGGGATACGGCTTCTTCGCTTACCGTCACAACTTCAGGCTCCGGAGTGGGAACCACTGAAGCCGCCTCTTCAGCAAGAGCAGCGATGTCCTTGCCTTTCTTTCCCTTTTTGCCTTTCTTCTTGGAAGACTTTGCAGGCGGTGTCCAGTCGTCAACAGCGGGCACTTCGGCCTTAGCAGATTCAGGGGGAGCCTCCCCGGCTTTAGGTGATTCAATCGGTACTTCGTCGATTTGCGGAGGTTCTGGGGTGGGTTCTACCGGGGGTTCTGGTAGGAGGTTCTCGGGATTGGTTTCGGTTGCTTCTGAGACGGGAGGCTCAGGCGCTTCGACGATTGTTGGTTCCGGGACTTCTGTTGGTTGAGGTACTTCAGTTCCATTAACGAGGGGCGCTTCAGGGGCATCCACAACTGGCGGTTCCTCTGGTATCTCGGGTGCTGGTGCTTCTGGCGCCTCAATGATCACTGGGGTTTCTTCGACCTTGACCTTCTTTCCCTTCTTGCCTTTCTTCTTTGGCAGAGGCGTTTCAAGGGCTGGAGGCTGTGTTTCGATAGTTTCTTCGACGACAGGAGTGGGCTCTGGAGCTTCGACTGCAATTGGCTCTGATTCTTCGACTGCGATTGGCTCTGATTCTTCAACTGCGATTGGCTCTGATTCTTCGACTGCGATTGGCTCTGATTCTTCAACTGCGATTGGCTCTGATTCTTCAACTGCGATTGGCTCTGATGCTTCGACGGGAGGGGCTTCGAGTTCTTCGACAGTGTGTGCTTCTGTGCTAGGCGGCTCTGCAGCTTCAACAATGGTTTGTTCCGAGGCCTCTTCGACGGCGGCTTCAGGCGTTTCAACGACAGGTGGTTCGGGGGCTTCGACGACTGGTTCAGGCTCGTCGTTCTTCGGCAGCTCGACCTCCGGCTCTTTCTTGCCCTTCTTCCCTTTCTTCTTCTTCTTGCTGCTGACTGCAAAAGAACCCCAATCGTCGTCTACCGGAGGCGCGGTTTCCTCAACCGGTTTGTTGGCCAGCTGCTCAGTATCGACTTCTGAACTCGGCTCCTTGGCTGCCTCGTCTGACCTGGGATCACTATCAGGCTCTGGTTGAGCTTCAGCCGCAGGCTCGTCCCATGCGCTTGTGTCGAATTCGGGGTCTTCTGTGGGCTTTTCTTCCTCTATGGGTGCGGTTGCTTCTTCTTTTCGCTCAGTGACAGGTGCGTCGTCAACCGCGGGCTCCTGGCTGGCTGATTCAGTAGCAGGCTCGTCTGCAGGCAAGTCGTATGCCTTGGCGTCAGTCGGTGAGTCCAACGAAGGTACGCTATCGTCGGGTATTGAATCGGTCGGAGCGGTCTCTGGTGAAAGTGGTAATGATGCAGGTACAGCGGGAACAGGCTCTTCTAGCACAGCTTTTGGGCTCGGTGGCGGCGAGGCCTCCACAGTCTGCTTCTGAGCCTGGGTCTGAGCCTTCTTGCCCTTCTTTTTCGCCATGTTCGCAACTGCGATACTGGTTGTTTATAGCGAGGGCAGCACCCTGCGGGCTGCTTGCTTAAAATGTTTGCGTCTTACAGATACTCGGACGCAATGTAAAAATGAGGCTAAGTGTAGCTAGGCGCACGCTTGCGTGGCACAATAGCGGGAGAACATGTAAAGGTGCACGAGACAGCGCAGTAGGGGCTATATACGGGCTGCTGCGTGCGCAGCTGCAGGAGGATTCGAGAGCTGTGCATGGCGACGACACGAACTGGAAACGCCAATTCAGCCAATGGGAGGGCGCCAGCGAGTAAGGAGATGCATATCAGAGTTAGCAGACTAATCTATGCGCTCCAATTGAAACGCGTCCGGCCTCCAACTATCGGTAGGTGTGCACGTGTGGGCCGCGGAAGAGGAGAGATGGCCCGCCCTGCTGCCGTTCAGCCACGATTGCGGTCAAGAATGGAGCGCGGTACCGAGCAAAGATAAATGCAGAGGTTGGGGAACTGCTCTAGTGGAGATCTGGAGGACTATTGACAGGCCGTTGGGCGTAACGTGAAGCTCGACATCGGGCTACCATGCAGAAAATGCATGGTGCGTCTGCGTGGAGGCGTTCCGTTGGTCGCACATGCATGAAGCGGCTGCGTCCCTGGTAGCCGACAACACTCGAACACGCCGCCGGCCTCGCAAGATTGCGGGCGGAGTCATCATCAGCGGCCGATTTGACTGCGTCGCCGATGCACGATGCGGTGTAGGAGTTGATGCGTTGTCAAAACGGCCCGTGCCTAGCCTCAGCTTTAGCCATCCCCAGCCTAGCCTTAACACGTGAATGCGCTCCACCGTCACTGCCTCGTGGAGCGCGCCAAGGCGGGAGCACTTTCCTCGCCCCCACTACGCACTTCACTGATGTCAACCAACTAGGCGCGTCCACGCCTGCGACCGCGTCCGTCTAACACGACCGAGGACCAAGAATGAACGTTTGCCTTGGTCCACGCAACCACTCGAGGCGGCATGGTCAAGCCGCGGGCAGCGCGCAAAAAGCCAGTAGTGGTATCGTCCGGCAGCGACGAGGATGATCGATACTCACCGCCTGCGAAGCGTCCCCGCAAGGGCACGCTACTAAGCCTCGCGAACGGATCCCGCGCACCCGGAGACGCGACGCCTTCCAAACCGACGCGACGCGCTTCATCGCCAAAACCCTCTAGCACCGGAGTCAAGAAGTCGCCAGCAAAGTCGCCAGCGAAGTCGAAGGTTATCTCGAAACCCATTACGTCCTTCTTTGGTGCTGCTCCGAAGCCTACCTTTTCACAGCCCACGCCGAGCCCCGAAAAGACCTCTGTAGGCACGCCGGTCGACGTTGACGATATCTTTGATTCTTCAGACGACGAGTATGGGAAGGCACGCCCGACCGCCCTACCGATGCGGAAGGGCAAGCCGCCTGCGGTGGACAAGGAGAGCGGCTTGAAGAGCACTCATCGCTTTCTGCGAACAGCCAGTGGAGGCCGGGCCACTCCCACGCCATCGCCGGCGCCCGTTGTTGAAACTATAGACAGACGCCCTTGGAACGAGAAATACGGTCCGACGTCACTCGATGAGCTGGCTGTGCATAAGAAAAAGGTAGCCGATGTTCGCACATGGCTCATCGATGTCTTCAGTGGTAAGGAGCGCAAGAGATTGCTGCTTTTGAAAGGTCCTGCTGGAAGCGGCAAGACCACCACCATAGCCCTCCTGTCCAAGGAACTGGGCTTCCATACGCATGAATGGAAGAATCCCGAAAGCACGAAAACGTCCGATGGCGGCTTTGTCTCCGTCACGGCGCAATTCGAAGACTTTGTCGGCAGAACTGGCACCTTTGGCAGCCTCACGTTCGACGAACCCACTGAGGATCGCCAGCAGACGCAGAATCTGACTGAGATAAGTCGAGAGAAGCAACTAATATTAGTAGAGGAATTCCCTAATACATTCACACGCACTTCTTCTGCTGTACAATCTTTTCGGTCCTCTGTCCTCAATTTCCTTGCCGCAGCCACCCCTTCCGCCACTGCTTTCTTTATGGGAAAAGCTGATGCTCAAACTGTAACACCAATCGTCATGGTCATCTCTGAAACCTTGCTATCAACAAACACTGCCGCAGCTGATAGCTTCACTGCCCATCGGTTGCTGGGTCCTGAGATACTGACCCATCCCGCGGTTTCCGTTATTGAGTTTAACCCCATTGCGGCGACATTCATGACAAAGGCACTGGATCTCATTGTTATCAAAGAGGCACGCAAAACAGGCCGAAAGAAAACTGTCGGTCCACAGGTGATACAGCGTCTTACAGAACTCGGAGATATTCGCAGCGCTATTTCATCACTTGAATTTCTCTGTGTAAGAGGAGACGAGACGGAAGGGTGGGGCGCAAAAGTGAATCTCACCAAGAAGAAAGCGCCGAAAACATCGAAAGACACCCCCATGACGCAGATGGAGCAAGAGTCCCTGGAGATGGTCACGCAACGTGAAAGCACACTCGGCATATTCCATGCTGTCGGTCGAGTAGTGTACAACAAGCGACATCCTGAAGATCCTAACAAGCCGGTCGTCCAGCCTCCCAACTTCTTTCCGGAACGGCGGAGACCAAAGGCATCCGAGGTCGACATCGAAACGCTCATCGACGAGCTCGGCACCGATACCCAAACGTTTATTGCGGCGCTACACGAGAACTATGTCCTGTCATGTGACGCAGGAGACAGCGAAGAAACCCTCGATTGCATCAATGGTAGCATCGATGCCCTATCCGACGCCGACCTTCTTTCGCCTGATCGCTTTGGTGCGTATGGATCCAGTCGACGAAACTTCCAGGCAACAGGTGCAGACAACCTTCGCCAGGACGAGATGAGTTTCCAAGCTAGCGTCCGAGGCCTGCTCTACAACCTCCCGAACCCCGTCAAACGCATCACACCTCCACCAGGCGTCATGGGAGCGAAAACAAAAGGCGCCGGTGCATCCGCCGCCGCAGCAAGAGGCAGCGCGTTCGTCATGTACTACCCCTCATCGCTACGTCTATGGCGCCAACAAGAAGAAATCGGAGGACTGCTCGAAGTCTGGATATCCCGCGCTCAACGAGGCGACCTTTTCGGCGCACACGGCCCGCTATCGAAACTCACGCCAGGAGCCACAGGCGGTGTAGACACATGGCGCAAGATTGCACCGCTTGCACCCCCAGCAAAACCTGCAGCTTCACCCTCTTCACAATCGAAGCCCGATGAAGATACGCAGATCCCGGTCCTCCTAGGCAGCGGCGGCTCCGCGCGCAACGAAATGCTCCTCGAGCGCCTGCCTTATCTCCCCATCATCCTACGCAGACATTCCACTGCGTTTCCATCCACAGCCGCTACAATCCGCGAGATCCGCAAGATCACCGCGTTCACGGGGTCCGGTGTATTCGCGTCGCCAGAGGACGATGCCGGCGACGAGCACGAAGATGTCGGCGTTCAAGAGGGCGAGCAGTGGGCGACGGACAAGCCGGCGCCAGATACGCCACGGAAGAAGAAGAGGGTCAGAATTGTGAGTAGGGAGAAAGAAGAGAGTGCGATCCCCGGGGGTGAGGCGGAGGGCGGAAAGTTGGTGCTCAGTGAGGATGATATTGAGGATTAGGACTAGGCGTTTGGGGATTAGAGAAGGTGTTGTAGGTGGGCATCTGGGCTTTACAGATGGAGGTGCGAAGGTCACTGGCTGTTAGGAGCGCAGGTGGCGATACGTTGATCGATCTCAGATATGCAAATATCGTGTAATCTTTGCAGATAGACGTCATGCCTCCGAGCACTGTTTTACGAATGCAAGGCCACATTAGAGAGGTTGGTGATGTTTTCATTGGGTATTCCTGACCGCACAACGAATCCCCGCCGCCTATCCTACACAATCTCGAGACTATCCCACGACGGGAGTGACGAATTTAATAAGAAAACCCAAAACTCCGCACGGATGCTGATACCGCAAAGGAGCAGCCGAATGATCGACGCCCACACAAATCCCAAACGCCATCCCGATGCAAGCTAAAACGCTCACCCATCGACACCGTCTCAAACCACATCTTCCATTTCCTCGTCTTCCTCGTCGTCCTCCTCCTCTTCAATCTTGATATCGGCTATGCCATCATGCAGAGACGGTCGATCGTAGGAATCGTCTCTCTTCCAGTAACTCGCGAAGGGGCCGCTCTTGATCAAGACGGCCAGCGACGGCAGGACCTCCTTGAGATAGGCCTCGGGCTGCTTGGTGTGCTGCTTGATCGCCCGCATGGGCCAGTACTTGTGGTTGTCGAAGGCGGCGTGCAGGATGTCGATGAGCTCGTTGCGGGGCAGGCGGGCGAACTTGTTCTGCTGGGACTTGCGCTTCTTATCGGGGCGCACGAAGCCGTCGAAGTGGTTCTGCAGGTTGTTCATGACGGTGACCTCGTCGACGATCTCGGTCATGATGTTGGTGCTCGAGTTGCGGCCCTGGATGGCTTCTTTGGTGCGCGCCGTGTTGAAGGCGATGAATTCGGCCGTGTTGAGCGGCTTCGCGAGGTACTGCGTGTTGACGCTGCCGATTAGGGCCGTCTGCTTGGGGATGGCCTTTTTGTATTTGCTCTTCTTGACGCGCGCTTTGGGGTCTTGCACCGCGCCGTTGGAGGGGTTGGCCTTGTTTTGTCCGGCACCGTTGTGCTTGTACCCGGGAAGGTCTTTCTCGGTGAAGACGTACGTGTTCTTCAGCAGAGTTTCGTTGACGGTCTGGCCCTCGATCTCGTAGGCGGTCGGGAGCTTGGTCACTTTGTTCCAGTCGCTGTTGAAGAAGATGCGCATGGACGGTGGTTCTGGCGGGCCTTCCCGCTTGACTGACGGCTTCTTTCCATCCTTCTGAGCTTTGTTCCGGTCGTAAGCGTTGTCCGGGGGCAGAGACAAGACCTCGCCGAGGGTGATCTTCTCATTGTCGTCGCCAGGTTGCGCGAGGAACTTGTCCCAGGTCGTGAGGTGGTCGTATAGCCAGTCCGGGATGCGGGCGATCATGACGTGCTTCTCGCCTTCACGCGGCAGTGAGAGTTCGCCAGTGTCCTCATAGAATTCGTCGTCCATGTAGCCGCCTTCGCCAAAGGACGGCGAGCCTCCCTCCGTCTTCATCATTCTGGGCGGGCGCTGTGCAGCTGTATGCGCGGAACGAGCGTGTATTCCTGCGCGTGGGTCGCGAGTGCGCGTTGGAGAGGCAAGTGTCCTTTCTGAGGGTTGAGTGGTCAGACGTCGGCTTTGAGAGCGCAATGGTCAAGAGCTGCGGTTCGATTGCGGGAGTCCGCCCGCAGCTTAGCGCCTTGGCTCACGCTGAGGCTCTGCGTGTCCGTGTAGGGTCTCGCTCTTACAATCAGGTGAGATTGTGATATCCATTTGGGAATAAGCTGTAGCCTGATTTGGACCTTGGGAGGCTCTTGTAAATCCTTATAAGCTTATGCTTTGATCCAAGCTTGAGTACGTGTATGTTTGCGAGCTCTGTTCGATGTAGAAGAGCTTATCGATTACGCTCGCGCTAGCGACCGCGGCAGTAACAACATGGACAGTACCTTGACCACCACTGAAGTAGCCTTGGCTTGAAGACTCACTGATCTCAAGGTCACCCACGGTGCTGTGAGTTAGTACGCGGGTCCGATATCCACCCCAACCGTCCGACCCGCCAGGCTCGCCGCCCGCTTCGGTCGCACCTTCCCTCTGCTGCCTGAAGCTCCCCCGCCTCCACTGCGGCAAACCACCGCTTCACTCCACAACTTCCACACCCAACCATTAACCCACAATGGCGTCCTCACAGGTCGATTCCGCTCTCCAAGAGATCCAAGCAGCTCCCGTCGGCGATAAGCCTTCACGATACTCAGCTCTTCTTCAACAAATCACCGCTTCGTCAAGCAACCTCGCCGCCGACCTCAATGCCTACTCTCGTACCTTGCTGGACGACAACTTGGGTGTCGTCGTACTTCGCCCCCTCGTCAGCCACTTCGTGGAGCAGTTCCGCAACATCAAAGACCCAGAGGTCAAGATCGAGGTTGGCGAGAATGTGATCGCACTTCTCCAGACCAAAGGCGTGGGCCAGTACGAGGAGCAGGACACATTAATCAAAGAGGCGGTAGCCGAAGCTTGCGAAGAGACAGACGACTACCGAAAGTCGGCGCGGGTGCTAGGATCGATCAATCTGGAATCAACACAACGCTCATTGACCAACGACGACAAGGCGAAGGTCTGGATCCGAATCGTGCGGTGCTACCTCGAAGAAGACGACCCCACGAGCGCGCTGCTCCACCTCAACAAGATCAAAAACATCATCTACAGCGTACAGGACAAGGAGACGAGGATACATTTCCAGCTCAGCCAGGCCCGCATCAACGACTCGCAGCGCAACTTCCTCGACGCCGCAAAGGCATACTACTCGCTATCCCTCGAGTCCAGCATCGCAGAAGAAGAGCGCCACCAAGCGCTATCCTCCGCCATCGTCTGCGCCGTCCTGTCTCCTGCAGGGCCCCCACGCTCAAAGATGCTCGCCACGCTCTACAAAGACGACCGCGCCAGTTCCGTCGAGAACTACTCGGTGCTCGAGAAGATGTTCTTCGACCGGCTGATCCCGCCCCACGAGACCAAAGCCTTCGCCGCCGGACTCCAGCCTCACCACCTCGCGCTTACCTCAGACGGCTCCACCGTCCTCGACCAGGCCGTCCTCCAGCACAATCTCGTCGGCGCGTCCAAGCTTTACAACAACATTGGGTTTGACCAGCTGGGGGAGCTGCTGGGCATTGATGCGGAAAAGGCAGAGGACTATGCGGCGAAGATGTTCGAGCAGGGGCGGCTGAGCGGGTACATTGATCAGATTGACCGGTGCATTTTCTTTGAGGGGGAGGGCAGCGGGGAGCGGAAGACGGGGCAGAGCGAGCGGGTGGTGGGGAGGGAGCTGCGGAAGTGGGACGCGAATGTGCAGGGGTTGGCGGAGGAGGTGGAGCGGGTGACGACGATGATTCAGACGCAGTATCCGGTGAGTACTGGGTTTGAAATTTATGCTGGGCTGAGCTAATTGTGTGTAGGAGTTCTACGCTGCGCAGACGGTGCACTGAGGAATGTGCGTGGGTGCAACAAGTCTCTAGTGCTCGTTGTACGAGCCCATGTCTAAGCTTTGCTGCCCTTAGCGAATGGACAGACAAAAGCTATGATGACAAAGCCGGCTCTGGATGACATACTCGGTGGATGAACATCGACAAAGCATAGCGAATGACCCACCATGACCATTCCGGACGACCTCATGGAATAAGAAGAGATGATGCGAAACGGCATGACCGCCGATGGATCGGTTGATATAGTACAGAAGCGCCCGTTTCCCGTCCATCCGTATATCGAGACAAGTCCTCCATGTAATGCGATCCTCTATCGTCACATATTGTACATCCAGTATACCCTTCGATCCATGCTTCCCCTCTTCCAGCAGCCCTCCCTCCAGATCCAATCGCCCACCTCGTCACGCATCCCCATCATTCTTCAACGCCTCCTCATACTGCTCCAACGTCTTGACCTCGACCTCGCCCACCCTCAACACGGTATACTTGTGCTTACTAAACACGTGCTTCACATGTCTCTGCCGCCTCTTCGTCTTCTCCATGACGCGCATCGGCTCGCTCTCCACGCCCACCACCGTCGCCCGGCAGGTGAACAACCTCTCATCCAGGTAGTGCACAATCTTGCCGTGGTCCGCAGTCCCCTTGATTGCGGCTGGCGCCTTCAAGGTGTAGTCTCTGGAGCCGATGTGCGTCGCGCGGTTGAGCCGCAGCACGTCGCCGGCTTCCACGTTGGGCATCAGGAACGGCAGACGCAGGGTGTCGCCCGGCGTGAGGAGGTAGGGGCGCCCGTGGATGTGGGCGGTGATGTAGTGCGCGGGTTGGGAGGTGAGGAGCGGCAGCAGCTGGCGGATGGACGGGGTGAGGTGCGTGGCGACGACGTCCTGCCGGGCGTTCGGGGCTGCGGGGGCTGCTGGGGACGGCGGTGTGTGTGGTGGTGCGGGCGGGGAGTCGACTTTCTGCTCGAGGTTCGAGGAGGTGTGCTGGTTGGAGTGGAGGAGGGCGTCAGGCACGTTGCCCGTCTCCAGGGTGTGCGATACGGTGGTGAGCCCTCTGGCGCTCTGCAGCGCGGGGCGGGCGGAGGGCAGCGAGGCGCGGAGGGTGCGAGCGAAGAGCGCCATGGTGGGTGTGCGGCGGCAATGGCTGGCCTTCGTCGTCCCGTTGATGTTGGACGGTCGAGAAGTTTGGCGGAGCGCTGCAGGGATCAGAGCGCGCTAGGGGAGCCCGCCAAGATTTCGAATGCGGGACTGGGACTTTTTCGCCGCCAGCCAGCCTCCAGTGTTCAACACCGCGAACAGAGCAAGTGCTCGCAGTACCACCTTTCCAGGATCCAAGCAGAGCAGACGCTCGCCCGCCGCCAAGATGCCTCAGAATGAGTACATGGAACGCCACAGTGAGTGCGGCCTCTGCTTCTCCCAAGCCCGCGTGTCTGATGGTCAAATCCAGAAAAACTCCACGGCGAGCGCTTCGACGCCGCCGAGCGCCGCCGCAAGCGCATCGCCCGTGAGGGCCACGAGGCCTCGCAAAAGGCGCAGAACCTGCGCGGTCTCCGCGCCAAACTCTACGCCGAGAAGCGCCGCAAGGAGAAGATCCAGATGAAGAAGCAGATCAAGGCCCACGAAGAGCGCAACGTCAAAACCTCCGAGCCCGCCGAGCCCTCCACCGAAGCCCTGCCGCAGTACCTCCTCGACCGCTCCAATGAGAAGAACGCCAAGCAGCTGTCCTCGGCGATCAAGCAGCGGCGCAACGAAAAGGCGGCCAAGTTCAGCGTGCCGCTGCCCAAGGTCAAGGGCATCAGCGAGGAGGAGATGTTCAGCGTGGTCAAGACGGGTGCCAAGACCAAGAAGAAGAGCTGGAAGCGCATGATCACGAAGCCGACGTTTGTGGGGCCGGGCTTCACGCGTAGGCCCGTCAAGTACGAGCGCTTTATCCGGCCCATGGGGCTGCGGTACAAGAAGGCGAACGTGACGCATCCCGAGTTGGGTGTTACCGTGCAGCTGCCGATTATCTCGGTCAAGAAGAACCCGCAGAACCCGCTGTGTGAGTTGCACTTCATACAAAAATGTGCTAGACCAATGCTAATTTCTGCAGACACACAACTAGGCGTCCTGACCAAGGGAACTGTCATCGAGGTCAATGTGAGCGAGTTGGGCCTCGTCACGGCCGGAGGAAAGGTCGTCTGGGGTCGCTATGCGCAGGTGACGAACAACCCGGAGAACGATGGATGCTTGAACGCAGTCCTGCTCGTCTAACCGCGTTGCCTCGCGCACGACAATGCATCATTACGGCGTTCGGGGGACAAAATCGAATCGAATCGGCGTTGAGGGTTTGAGGATATTCTACATGTTGGGATGCGCTAGGATGAAGACGAGAACAGGAAGAGGGGAGGAGTGGTTTCGAGCATCAGCATGAGGACGAACGATACCAATAGACAGACACGATGCACGCTGTGGCTATGAAGCGCTATGTCACGTTATACAAGTATCAACACAGCATACATCTCACGGCTGCTTGACATCCCCACCCGGCACCCTCCCATCCCGATACCCCCACAATCGACTCGCCTCCCTCGCCCTCATCGCCCTCCTTCCTACACCATCCTCCCTCTCTAATCCATCTTCAACCCCCTCACCCCTCACACTAACCCCCTCCCACCCCATCCCCTCATCCACCTTCCCTTGCTCGGTGATCGGAAACAAAGACCCCAAGTAATGCATATTCAACAGATGTCCCTCGCCCTCGCACACAAAGACTTTTCCGGCATACCGGTTCGGAAAAGAAGGAGAGGAGAAGTGCAGGACGCCCCAGCAGGCGACGAAGTCGCGCGTGTGGGCGAAGTGTTCCACATGTATAGGATAGGGGAGGGGGTTGTTGAAGTGATTGGCAGCGGAGCCGAAGGTGTAGATTTCGAGTTTTCGGAGGACGTCGCGGGGCACTATCATGCATCAACAGATCAGCTGTGGACTTCACTTTTCGTCTGGGAAAGGGGGGCAAGGGGAGTCGTACGTTCGCCCAGCAGCCAGTCTAGGATCATGCCTCCTTCGATGCCGCCCTGGCTGTGCAGGATCAAAATAACCTTTTCATTGCTGGGATCGAGCAGAGAGGCTTTGATGGTCACGTAGGAGCGCCGGATGTCGGTTGTGGCGTAGAGGAAGTCGCGCTCGAGGATGCACTGCAGGAGGTCGAACACGATCCCATACGTCCTGTTATGCACGCCGGTACTGCCACACATCAGCTTCCACTCCTCCACAAACAGCTCGACCATCTCGCACGAACACGACTTTGTCCGTTGCCACTCGATTGACCGGAGCTAGGGCAAAGCTACTTACACAGGCCGGCGAAACGTCATCGCCAAAAGATCGAGGTTAGACTGCAGCCAGTGCCGTCCCACCGACACGCCGTTGAGGTAGATCCAGCACTCGCCCCCATGTCTGTCCCCTTCTTCGCCTAGATCCACGCGGCTGTGTAGCACATCCTCGCTCCCGTTCAGCAGGAAAGCTACGGCGAGCGTGACGCTGTACACCCCAGCGAAATACACGCCTACAACCCATATGGGTAGTGCGATTAAGAACGGCAGACTCAGCAGGAATATTGATTGGAAGAGTAAAAGGAACGCATGGAGGAAAAGAGAATAAAGATTTGGCAACGAGGGATACAGCTCATCCAACGCGCCGGCGCGCCATTGTGTGAGCGGCGTCAAGATGCCCGAGAGGGTTGATGTGAGGGCGAGGAAGAGGCGGAGGTCGGAGAGGCAAAGGAGGAGGGGGGAACCGGTGTAGGGGAGTGGGGTGTGCGGGTGGAGATTATGGCGGGGTTCAGGGGCGAGGTCGACGTGCATATTTACAAGATGGGAAGGGGGATGAAAGGAAGCGGAATGCGGGGTTAAGGCAGGAGTAGGACGAGGGAAGGTGAGGGCGTGATATAGGATGCCATGTGAGCGGGCATGTGAGCAGGCGGACGGGGCTGAGATTAGGCGGTGGATGGTGCTGGGGACTTGAATATGTGAAGGTGCGGCTGACGATGAGCTTGGGCAGTGATCATCTTTTGGAGTAATGGTGGAAGGCAGCCGTGTAATTGAAAGGGATATCTGACGTACATGGTGTTTGAAGTGTGGCTGAGTTGATGAAGGGTGGTTACACGAGGGTTTGCCTGATCGTATTCGCGACCGTCGTCCCCGGTGAGATCTAGCATGTCAGAAGTATGGAAAGCGTCGCGAAATTGTCGGGATCAAATTGTACCTCGATATAACACTTTTTCGAGGTTTTGCGGATCGAGGCTTGTGTCGTGTGATTAAGGATGTCGTGGGTTGTGGTCGCTCGCACATGCAGGGTCTAAAATGGTCAGGTGCAGCTACCCAGAATGTCACCTCGCCGCGATTCTCGCGAATGGCCCTAAGCTAGTGACCGTAGTGGTACTCGCTCAAGTATCAAAAAATCTCATAAAGATGTACAACGAATCCGCAGCCATGCTAAGATGTGTTCACACGACGGTGATTGTGTAGTCTCCCTTGCTATCCGTCTCTTGATAGTGATGATCTGCAAGAGGTCTCTGAAGCGCTGCAAGCTGGCCATGAATCGTGTCGAATGTCGGATCCGCCTCGTAGTTGTGCCAGATTCTCACAATACCCACTCTTCGGTACGTTCCACGGCCTACCGTTGGCTGTGCTTGCAATAGTAGACCCATCACAACATAATTTCCCTCATTTACCGTGGTGTAACACAATGTTGGCATAATGAGAAGGTGATCCAGCCACTGTCTTTGTATGATATCTTGAGATATATCGATGTTGCCCCTTCCATCCCACTGAAAGTGCTCTCTGATAAACCAATGGTCTGGTTTGAGACGGATCGCGAGATCCTTGTTGTCAGATTCTCGAAAGTCGAATTCGGAATTATTCACAATCTTCGTAGCTACTCCTCGGTATTCGCTCGGAAATTTCATAAGTTTACCGCCAAGCTGAAGCAGTAAGGTCCTCGGGAAGCGAAGGAGATCAACAGTGCACAACCTGTAAATTTGACGTCCGTAGAGTCGAATATCCCAGATCACTGGTGCATGCAAGGCTGCCCATGTCCATGTAGGCGACCCAACCCACGTCGGCATGATGCATGAGCCAAAGGATTCTCTCATCTGCTCAAACATCAGCCCGCGATGAATGTCTCCGAACCATAGCCCGTAAATGCTCTCATCCTTGAGTTGGTCCTTGAATCCATTCGTAATTCCAGCAAGGGCGGGAAGACGATCGGAAGCGGATGTCAACCGACGAATAGAATATTCCTGTATGACTCGCAGCCAATCGTCATAAAGGGAGGCCTGGAGATGGTCAGTCCGGAAAGCCTCAGTGATGTCGACGCTACTATCACTGACGCGGGCGGTAATCACATTTCCGATGTTCAACCGTAGAATCCGGTCGCTGCTGCCTGCGAACTGGGGTTCTAGAGGTGTATTCATCCAGCCTCGAGGCCAGACTTCGTTGGCAGTAGTTGATTTACATACCCAGTAGACCTGGTCGTCACCGAAATGCACGGCGCGAGGTGCCTATTGCTCAGGTCATCGCTTTCTTCCGGATGATCAAGAGTAACCTTACCAATATCTGCTCTTGCAAAGTCCAGCCCCTGTAGTATATCGGGCCTTTCCTGAACTCCCACCATGGATATGATCGCATCAAATAGTAAGATTTCCAGAAATCATCCTGATTGCCTGACAGATCGCTTGTCTGGTGATGGCTCGCAACCTGAACGATCGGGACACCTGGATCAATACGTCGCTCGTAGAGTAAGAAACCCTCCTCCCCATTTGCAAATCCAGAAGCTGAAAGCATGCAAGTGCAGTTCCTGTACACTTCATGCATCAGATGAGATTCGTGTTTCCAGTCTTCCAAATCGTCCTGTATGATACAAAGAGAATCTATCCAGATATACTGAAATCCCATGTTTATTGTTGCAAACAGCGCGTCTTGAAATGTATGAGACAGCTCTTTTATAGGAAGCGACGCTTCAAAATAACTCAGATTTCCCCGAGTCAGGGTTAGGAACTTAGTGTTGCCCCAGCAGTGAGACAGTGTAAGGTATGGCGTATCAGAAGGGAGTGTATAACCATAACAGATGTTTGCAGCCAGCCTTGAGTCCTCAACGGATTGCTTGATCTTGACGAGTCTCGTCGGTATAGTTCGGCGGTCCTCTGAAACCAGGCAATCATTGTGCTCAGAACAGCACTCGTCAACCCATCTTCGAATCAAGGAGAAGGTCTCCGCCGACTTCAATGATGGATCTAAATTTGCGCGAATGAAATATGGATATTGGTCTGGGTGCATTAGTGAGAAGTCGTAAAACAGAGTGGACAGCCAGACCTGCAAGGCTTTTCTCAAATCCCCAGAAGTCGTCTGTGCGGTAAGGAAGCCTCTCTTCATTATTTATGGATTCCAACTTGATTCGTAACATGTTCTGATCGATACCCATAGCATATCTTGTAGCATGCACAGGTACGTAGGCGATGTATCCTTGCTGTCTAGACCAGCGCATGTCTCTATAGGTCCAACTGCATATATAGCAGCCTTCTTCAACTGCTTTGAAGAAATCTTCACTGTTAATGTGGTGCTGCTTCTTCATGCCATGTGTGACAACCTCTGTCGGTGGCTCTGAGAAGATTTTTTGACATGCTGCACACAGTCGGCCTCTGGCCATGATACCGAAATCCTGTCAGCAGACTTTTCAAAGATTCTAGATGATCTTTCGGGCTTCACATGATCGGACGGATTTTCCCGACATAGAGAGGACAATGCTCTCGTAGCCTGCAGATGTGCGCTAAGATTCAACAACCAAAAACAGAAGGAATCGTGACTCTTCGTATGTGTTCTGTCGTGATAGGCGTGGTAACAAGGAAGGGGAGTACAGGATGTAGGTAGTGTAAGTGTTATGTTAGTCGGGCTGAGGAAGCTGCCGATATTGAGACTGGCGAGGTTGCGCCTAGCAGACACGAGATGTGCGCCTTCGGCCAACACGAGCAACTCAGCCACAAAAAGTAAAGGTCTTCAGAGGAGCTTCAGGCTGCAACATCCCGAACCCTGAGTTCTTTATTCTACAGAAGTGACTTCGCATGTTATTACAAGGCAACTCAAGGCGATCCAACCCCTTGCGAGTGTCGAGGATTTAGCAAATCCTGCAACCCTACTATCCATGCCTAAAAAGGAGCAAGATTCACCCCTCATATCTTAGCCATAGCCTGTCTCTCCCCACCCTCCATCAATCCCTCAACAACGTCCCTCCATCTCCCCACCCACTCTTCACAAATCGCACTCTCATCATAGCTAACCCCAAACCTCACCCTTCCCTCCGCATCCGTACTAGTCCCCACCAAAAACTCCTCATCCCTCGCCCGAACCCCTTGTTTAAAATCCAATACGTCCGCCGCAAAGTCCTTATCCTCCTTCCCATCACCAACAATATCAAGTGAGTAAGTACCCGTAGCAAGCCACTGCGCCGTCCTCCCAATCGACGACACGCCGCACGTCGCCCTGAACTGGGAAGCCGGCGGTGCCAAACTGCCGTGCGGCGTGACACCCCACTTCAACTCCTTTGGTAGTCTCGAATCCGAGCGCTCAATGGCGTTCAGATACGCATTCGCCAACAGTCTTCTAAGATCATGCGGCTCCCACGCGCCCCTCTCCCTGCCCCCATCCTCCCCTCCCTTCCCCTTAGCACGCTTCTGATACATCTTCAACTCACGGTTCGCATGAGCAGCAACGAGTTTAAACCGCCCCTCAACCGGCAGCTCCGACGGGAGAAACGGCATCACTATCCCCTCCGAGAAGGCTAGCATACAACTGTCCGCGGGCGTGTTCCAGCCGAAGAATGCGCGGGGATTGAGCGGGAAACCGGAGGCGAAGGGAAGGCGTTGCGCATCCGGGATGTGCGGGAAGCGCTCTTCGTAGATAGCCATCATAGCCAGCCCCGCGAGCGCGAAGCAGCCCGCGCCGATGGAGACGTGGATGGAGCGGCAGAGGGACATCATGCGCGCTGAGGCGGCGGGGGAGAGGGCGGCGTTGAGGATGTTGGAGGTTAGGGGCGGCGCTAAGGCAGGGTCGTACTCGAAGATTTTTGAGAAGGTTGGGGGGAAGGTGGTGGGTTGGTGGAGGCGGTGGGCTCGTTTCAGCGGGTTGGGGAATGATTGGAGGGTGGGTTTGCGAAGGTATCGGAGGACGTGTGTGATAGCCCAGAACCAGCGTTGTCGCGCTTTGGTGCTGGCGACGCGGGGGTAGAGGTCTTCTTGTGCGGGAGGGAGCTTCGATTTTATCGCCTCTTCCTGCATGCCTGTAGTAATTTCGCTTTCTAGCTCTTCTTCGGATAGATTGAGTATGCGGAGGAAATCGCTGAACCAGTTGTACGATGACAGTCCATCGGAGATTTGGTGCGCCATCACGATCAAGAATCTCAGCTCGAAGCTACCGTCAGGGCTTCCCACCAAAGGCAGAACGTGTAATTTGGACAAGCACTTCTGAGGGTCGACAATACGACCCACGCTGAGGGCGTGGCGATACATCTCGATTGCGTCCACCTCTTCGTAGTAATCATCGACCCACACAACACTTTGCAGAACATCATCGAGCGCCTCTTCCATGTTGTCATGCACATCAACAACGAATCTTCGCTGTCTCGATTCTTCATCGAACAGCGTGCGACTCATAAGCATAACATGTCTTAGTCGCAAATTCGCCCACGCGAGCGTGATCCTCCGTCTGAAAGCTTCTTTTCCAAGTCTATGTTTTACACGCACCGAAAGCAGCGCCGTAATGTCTGCGCGACCGCCAAAATATCTTCGCACAAAAATCGTCAGTAGGGCAGGATACACGCATCTCATAGCAAAGACTAACCGTCCATCGGTATCGAAAGAGGTTTCTAGCAGTCCAATTGGGCGCTCGAGACTTCGTCTTCCATTCTGATCTGCTAATTTCCAGGCGTAGTAGCCATTGCCGTATCGATTGAGCCAATGCTCATCAGCCATTGCCATTTCGGAAGTCTATGTTGTAGGAAAAGCTTGGTGTAGGTTAACGTTGTAGGCGAGGTAAAATGCAAGAGTCATTCCTACACTAGTGTAATGCGTCGCTGATCTGCGGCCCTAAGCTTCAACGGGTATACGCCCAACTGTATTGTTGATGCTGTTGCAGTAACGGAAATGTTGTAGGAAACAATTAGCATCTAGTCATTTCTGGCGACGAAGCTGGAAGTTCTGCTCAACCTTGTTGGTTGGAGCGAGGTCAGGGTTGCGGTATTTATCCTCCCTGTGTACATGTAGCATTCTGCGGGTCGTCGAAGCAACCGGCTCTTCAAACTGCAGTGTTTTGGAGTAGCCGTAATCCACGATACAGCACCAAGACCCGTAAACAACGATACGAGAAGGGTACTTTGATAAGTAAACGTTGCTCGCGCGGTAACTGCGGATATCTCGTCCAGCTACATGACGCGTGATGCAATGGAAATGCTCGCAAAGGTACTTGGACCAAATGAAATTGACTTTGGGTAATCTATCCGACCCGATTGACTATAGCACAGATTTATGTAACATTGGGTGATGCTAATCGATGAGAAAGGAAACGTCGTAGGTAGCTTATGCCTTTTGCGACACAATCCCTGGGTATGGTCAGCGGAATAAATTTCAGGGATGCAGAGGGACGCACTCTCAACGTCGGCGACGCTCTGGTCGAGGATCTGCTTGAGGGTCTTGGGGTTCTCAAGCTCCTTCTCGATCTTGGCGATGATGCTCTCAGCAAGCTCGCGCTGCTGCCTCGCCTTGACCTGGCCCTCGTAGCGGACCCAGGAGTCGAGGACGGTCTTGGCCTCGTGGGCAATGGCCGTCTTCTGCTCGAGCTCGTAGGCCTGGGCCTCAAGCTGGGCGGTTTCCTATCTGGAGTCAGCCCCTTCTGTCCCGCGCATGTTCATCCATCTCCCATCTCCATCGCGTGCGTCGTACCTTGGAAACGGCGAACAGGTTCTTGGTGATGTCGATGACACCGCCGAGGTCCTGCACGCTCTCGATGCGCTGCTTGACGGCCGTGGTGTGGTCGGCACGGGCCGAGTTCAAGATGCCGGAGATCTTATCAATCTGCGACTGCGCATAGTCGGACCAGGCCGGGCCAGCGTACTTGGCGACAGCCCAGAAGATGGTGAGCAGCGAGAGGGCGACGATGGACTCCTCGTTGACGACGTAGAGCTCGTTGCTGATGGCGAAGGTGCTCACACCAGCGGCGGCGGAGAGGACGGCGGCCTTGGTGATGGGGCTGTTGCCCGGCACGGGGATCGCGTCAAGAAGCGACTGGGCCTTCTTCTTGGGGTCCTCGGGCACGTTGGACTGGTAGCGGGCCGGCGTGATCTGGGCCGTGATGCTGGGGAGGGTGCGGAGAGGGAGCGATGGGCGGAGACGGGCGGCGCCTGTTGCAGGTGAGTAGGGCGGTCAATGGCGTCGCAAGTGCGTCGGGGAGCTTGTACGTACCGACCGCGCTCCTTGCCAGACGAGATGCCATTGCTGCGGATGAGAGTGGGGAGGTGTGGGCGACGTCGTTGATGGAGTTGGGAGCTCTTGCCCGGTGCAGAATCAACGCGCTAACGTGATTAGCCGAACATGGCCCGGCGTCCTCGAAAAAGTTCACGAGCGCCGATGCCACCGGGAACCGCACTGAGAACACGCCCAGCAACGAAACACTGCCCAGCCGCCGCCATGTCGGGTGTAAAGGCTGCCTCTTTAGCAGGCGTGAAGAGGAAGAGAAAACCGGGCGAGCCAGAGCGCCGCGCAACCAAGTCGAAACCCCGCCCAAAGCCCTCTAGCGACGAGGATGAAGACCCCCAGGAGGAGATTCTGCGCCTCGAAACACAGGTTGCAGAGTCGCGAAAGCACTACAACAACATTGCTACCCTTTTGAAGCTTGCGAAAGCCCCCGAACCCGACAATGAAGCATGCGTCCTTGCAGCCGTCGCCCTGTGTCGAGTCTTCACACGGTTCCTGTCCACCGGGGACATGGTCAAGAACAAGAGGATGACCGAGGCTGAGACCATGATTGTGACGTGGCTGAAGCAGAGATATCAGGAATACATAGAGGTGCTGCTCAGCGACTTTCTCGGCAGCGAGCACCCGCCCAAGCAGTCGGTAGCGTTGACCCTACTGTTGCGACTGGTCAAGGAAGAATCGAAAGCGCAGAAAGACTTCAATATCCAAAATAGCCCGTTGAAACGGACTGTGGAGGCGCTTTTGTTGCTACCAGAAGATGATGGTTCCAGGGACGAGTTTGCGGAGAAGTTCTTTGGCACCTACGACGACGTTCGATACTCTACCTTCCGGTCGATCAAGTCTCTACTCCAATCCGAACTCGACGACGCAGAAAAGGAACGTGTAGCGCGCAACAGCTTGTCGCTTCTTCTCAGCCTTGAAGCCGTTCCATCTTCGAAAGACGACATCCAGAACCTATATACCGAAGTCCAGGGAAAGAGCCCCGTTCCCTCACTGAGTTCATACAAGTCGCAAGCGCAAGAAGCCTGGCTGGCAACATTGCGATCGGGCATCACAAAAGAGCAGCGCAAGTCCGTTCTAGGTGTCTTCTCGCACCAGATCGCGCCGTGGTTTGCGCAGCCTGAAATGCTCATGGACTTCCTGACAGACTCTTACGACGTTGGCGGTGCTACCTCTCTTCTCGCGCTCTCTGGACTGTACTATCTCATTTCCGAGAAGAACCTCGACTACCCCTCCTTCTACCAAAAGCTATACTCGTTACTGGATGACGGCCTGCTGCACTCAAAACATCGATCGCGCTTCTTCAGACTACTGGATACTTTCATGTCCTCTTCACATTTGCCCGCGACATTGGTGGCAAGTTTTATTAAAAGGCTCTCACGGTTAGCGTTGTACGCACCACCGGCTGGAATTGTCGTTGTCATCCCATGGGTATACAACATGTTCAAGCGCCATCCCGCGTGCACCTTCATGATGCATCGCGAGATACGAGACCCTGCTCGAAAGCAGGAAGTTGAGGAGGAAGGCATGGATGATCCATTCGATATGGAAGAGCGGGACCCGCTGCTTACAGACGCCATCGAGAGTAGCGTTTGGGAATTAGAGACGCTACAGTCGCACTATCACCCTAACGTTGCGACACTAGCGAAGATTATTGCGGAGCAATTCACGAAGCGGTCGTACAACCTGGAAGACTTCCTAGATCACTCATACTCCGCGCTCCTTGACAATGAGCTCAACAGAGAGCTAAAGAAGGACCCTGAAGTTGAGTTTGAAATTCCGAAGCGCATAGTCACTGCTGATGAGGGTTTGAATCCTCTCGGCAGCCTTTTGACTCTTGTATCCGACACTAGATAGGCAAGGACACTAAATGTGATTTGTTGCTCGATGCCCATCTACCTCTAACATGATCTTCATGCTGTAATCATCCATGTAGAACATTGCACTTGCCCAAAAGGCGCCGCTTGTCGCGCTGTCGATCACGTGATAGCGCGGGCGCGCACGAGCCAACCGCCGTGGACCCTTCGTTCTGCTTCACCCCGCGCCGGAACTCTCCTCTTTCTTCTACCGCGTCGCGCAAGCCACTTTCGAGTTGCTTCCTCCGCTCGCAGATCGCCGCTATACGACCCCGTTTTCGTTATTTTTGCGCCGTGATTAACATATCTCACACAGATACAGGTTTCGATCCACCGCAGAATGTCGCGTCCGCCCGGACCTCCACCTTATACCGCCGAGGAGATTGCTCTTCTGAGCACGCCGGAGGCAAAATTCAAGGCGCAGGCAGAGCTTCGAAGTAGGTAAGAGACGAAAGTACCGAGCGACTGGCTCATGACATTACTTCTAGGCTACATCATAGGCCACAAGCTGGCAGATCTTCGTGAGCAGGGTCTCTTGGGCTCTCCCAACTCCAACTTCACGAACACCAACAATGGTGCCACCGTCGGTTTCCGGCGCGATTCTACCCCCTACTTCAGCGACACACCCAACGCAGACTCGAGCGACGACCACCCGTCACCTCCCGGTGGCAATGTTGGGCCTCAACGTGTGCGCTCGCGCAATGGAGAGAGGAGGGGTCACACCGGTTACGAACCATACTCGGCTTCCCAGCATGCGAGGTCGAATCGTGGTAATCGCTCGGCCGCTTGGAACGAAATCAACACTGTAAATTCCAATCATAGTCTGGTCAAGACTACGAATAGCAGGCTGACTGTAACTGAACAGAGAAGCAACCGGTTCATCGGCTCGATTGAGCCGTGCCCGAACTTCACAGCAACAGGTATCTTCATTGATATTGACCTTGCGCTTCTTGTTTTCCAGCGTCTAATCCATCACAGGAAAATGCACTCGTCACAAGTGCCCTGATGTACACGATGTCCGCAAGGTAGCTCTCTGCAAACGATTCTTGTACAAAAACGTTTGCACAAAGGACACACTGTGCTCGTTATCTCACGATGCCAGCTCCAGCAACACACCGCATTGTCTCTACCACCTGGAAGGCAGATGCACCAACTCACCGTGCATGTTTATCCATGCCAACATCGACCCAAATGCTCCAGTTTGTGGGTCATTCGGGAGGCTTGGTTACTGCGTGGCAGGAGAGGCTTGCTCCTGCCTGCACGTCTACGAGTGTCCAGAGTTTGCTAACAACGGCTCTTGTGCCGAGGGCACTTCATGTCCTCTGCGGCACGTCCACAATGCCTCTCGCATGAAGGCAGCCACGCTTGGTTCCTCCGGCGTTGCATCACCAGAGACCACCGCGAATGACGAGGAATATATCGGAGACATGAGAGGTGGTGCAAGCTCTCCCGACAAAACCGAAACTCATGCGATCACACAGCAACACGACTACGTTGCTTTCGAGTCCCAGGACTAAGCCGATCTCATCGATTCCCAGGATTCTGCCGGCGCCCCTGTATACATGCTTTTGCGTTCCTGACTATGTAGGTGTCCGGCCCTTCTCATTCGGTTCTTCCTAATCTGTTGGTCGCGTTCAAGTTCCCGCGGGCTTGGTCTCTTCTAGTTGATGAAGGTAAGTATATCTAAGGACATTTCGTCGGATTTCATTGGTCTTGACACCCAGTCTTACCTGGCTTGAGGCGTTCTTACGGAGTCTTCGTGATACCCGTTTCAGCGTTTAGCTTCAAAGGTTTCGTTTTTCTTTTCAATATTGGTTGAGGTGCTTTGAGTGCATCTTGGGTATGAGATAACCCAGCACCTTGAATATATGCTCCAGTTATGCGGGGCAGCTCGAGCATCGTCAAGCCCCGCGCATTGCAGTGCCGTCTACAATGCAAATTCATATTGAATTATGAAGTCTTATTATGGAGTGCTTTTGAAACCATGCGCACGCATTGCCAATGTCAGCAACTCTTTCCACCTTCGCCTCAATTGAAGTAATGCTGCAGAGGCAAGCGCTGAGCTGATGTCGGAGGCTGAGGCGGCGGCTCGCACAGCCGCAGACCACCGATATCACAGTTGCCTACAAAGACACAGCAGCGCCTACAGTCGCCCTTTATGCATGTAATCAATACCCCTCGCACCTTGCGAAAATACAAGACATTCCAGAGAATTCCGTAACATTGCCCGACACCAGCGCATCAGACGGCGCATCCCAACCAGACAGCTACGAAGCACTACCAAGACGACGGACATCAGCCGCACACGCGCCGCATCGACGCGCCGCAGGCCGCAGACCGAAACCACAAGCCCACAATGACGCTCAAAGACCTGCTAAAAAAGAAAGACAAGGTCAGAGACGAGGGCAACGTGCCAGACAAAGGCCCCACTCTGAGCCCAGACGTGCCAGAGTTCCAGTTCTACCGCACCACCACCACGACGCGCGAATCCATCGAGCCTCCCGCCTTCCCCGGCGACCCCACGCGCGCAGCGCAACCGTTCCTCGCGCCCGCGCCAGAACACCGCGGCTTCAAGGGCAGATTCAGGCGGCACAGCAATGCCGCGGAGCCCGCGGGCGGCCAGGAGAGCGACAAGGGCGGGCACAAGCTGCACTTTGGGCGCGGCCGCAGCGCATCCAGCGTCAATGTGCCCAGCGACCTCCCCGCGGTCGGCGGCGACGGCGTCGCGCGCAACGAGGACGAGGAAGCCAACTGGGAGAAGCGCGCGACGGTGCTGATATCCGGCAACACGGTGCTGAAGAGCGGCGGCAACACGCCCACCATCGAGGTCCAGAATCCGCTGTCGCCCAGCGCGTCGCCGAGCGGACGAAGTAGACGTACCAGCGTCGGCGCCGCGCCCGACGACGCTGATATCCAAGAGGCGATCCGCCTGCACGAGGCTGGCGACTACGCGGCCAGCACGCAGATCTTCGGGAGGCTGGCGGACCCCAATGGCGCGAATAATGCGCTGTCTCAGGTGCTCTATGGTCTTGCCCTGCGGCACGGCTGGGGCTGCGAGCCCAACATGGAGCAGGCAGTGCGGTACTTGTCTGTGGCAGCGTCGAACAGTGCGGAGGTAGAGAGGCTAGCCCTCCAGGCTGGTATGAAGAAAGGGGGTGCGGCGAAGGGGGAGTTGGTGATTGCCATGTTTGAGTTGGGGAACTGCTTCCGGTATGCGTGGGGCACGAAGAAGGATCCTGTCGCGGCGAAGCAGTATTATGAGACGGCAGCGAATCTAGGAGACACGGATGCGATGAATGAGGTTGCGTGGTGCTATGTCGAGGGCTTTGGGACGAAGAAGGATAAGGTATGTTTGAGTTTTCTTCGTTGCATGCCTACTACCTCTGTCTATGGAGAGGTCACCATCTACGGGTGGAAAGAAGACGCAGGCGTCTCAGCTTCCCATATTTCAGCTTCGGGGTTCTTCCAGTCTCGGATTGCAACCAAACGACATCTGAGAAAGCCAAAGCGAGGCTTCAGAACGGTCCCTCCAATATGGTCATGACAATTCGAACGGCTCTACCATGCTTGGATCACCTTGGGTATACTCTAGTCCAGGATTGCAGGCCAGGGACGTCCAGCGAAGCGATGTTTGTTTTCAAGCATGACAAAAGGAAAGGCTTCAAGACCTCCCAACATGGCCACAACGATTCGAAAGAACCAAAGATGCTTGAATTACCATCGATGCGAACCGGCTTAAGGGCCGACGACACAAGACCACATCCCATTAAAATATCGTCATCCGCCGCCGCTCTCCTCCATCTCACCTCCTTCACCGGTCAATCGCTCAATCGGTCAACATCACCATATCACTATCGATCTCACCATCACGCGTCCCATCCAAGGCACGCCTCCATCTCATCTCGATATCTCCCCGGCCAGCCTCATTTGTTGGGCTGCACTCGCGGCGCGCGACGCATAAGGAAAGTCGTTGGCTAACGTATATACAGTTCAAAGCGGCGCAGTTCCTCCGCCTCGCCGAGTCCAAGGGAAGTAAGACATTGGGCAACACGTGGTAAGCAGCCCTCTTTTCTATTTTCCCACCTCATCCCCTCCCGTCTATCTCGTTGGGAGTAGAGCATCGCGATCCCGCACCGAGATCAGGAAGTCTCCCCGAGCGTATACTCGCTCCCGTGCATCTCAAGGCGAGCCAAGTATCGCATCGTCTCCAACGATAACCACGCCCTCGTCATCGCCCAATTTGGCACACGCACACACACCCAGCCGGCGTAGCGTTTCGCCTGCACCCCGCCAAGCCCCTTCCATTGGCCCTCACACACCCTCCCTCGCATCCCTCGCTTAGCCATACCACACCCCACCCTCACCTCGCCAACCCAGCGCCAGCCGTACCCAGCCGTAGTGGGGTGTGACTTCGCTGCTGCGGTCAGGACCGTACCGTGCGCTTGTCACATTACCCGTCTCTATCTCTCTGGCTCGGCTCGCTTTGGCTCGCCCGCGGGCGGGGGTGCACGCGCTTTGGGAGCGTTCCGCGCCGGCGGGCCCGGTGGTGCATACACGTGGCGAGCTGTCGCTCGCTGGTGCTGGCGAAGCAATTAGGGTGTGCGTTTGGGTGGTGTGGGTGCGTGGTATTGACGATGGGTGTGGAAGGATGGCATGGGATGGCGCGATGCTACGTATGGTGTGAATCAGGCGTGTGTGGAGGGGAGATGGGGGAGGCTGTACGAAGCACGTGTCGTGGATGGTGGCTAACGGCGTTGTGCACAGGATATGGAAGGACAAGTACAATCCGAAATGAAGTAAGCGAGGCGACATCTACGTGCCACCGAAAGCGGTCGTACACACGTACTGGCGAGGTATTGCTGTCAGATGAGCCCCCGGGCCAGGCCATCTTCATTCACGAGTGACGGCGGAGGAAGTACTACGTGCCGCTCGACTCAGTGGCCTACCTAACCCGTCCCATTTCATCCCGTCCCAATTCATACTCTTACTATATCCCATCCCGTCGTTCAAATCAATAATCTACCACTACTATCTATCTATCGATTCGAGGTGCCAGACCCAGTGCCGTGCCAGCGTGTCTCAGCCACGCCCTCCTCCGCCTATCGCGTCCTCTCCCCAGTCCGCTTCGCGGCCACGTACGTCGGCGCTCAGCCCTCGGTGTGGGGGACGCAGCGAGACAACCTGTCTTGCGTTGCGGGGAAGTAAGCTTTGCATGCCGCTGGAGTCGGGGCGGATGTATGCACAGGGGGATTGTTGAGGGAAAGGAGGCGAGGAGCTGGATGCGTGGTCGATGTACGGGGGTGCGAAGGGGGAAAGTCGCACGGCAGGAGCGAGTACAACGAACGTGCCGTGGAGTACTGGGTAGAGCCCGGTGGTGGCACGACAACACCAGTGTGCATTCTCTGCGTGGGGACAGCAATTATCGTGCCAGCTTCAGGGTCCGAGATGCTGCAGCGTCGATACTGCACTGCACTGATGCTCACTCCACTCCCTTCTGCAGACACACTTCCCAAATGACCTACCCACTCCACCGCTAACGCAGTGATTTCCTGCGCGCCAGCCTATCGGCAGCTCAGAAACTCGAAATTCGTGCGTGCATTTCCTAGCAGCGGCGATCCTGTTTCAGCGCACTGGAGATGGCGCAGGGAGATCTGGCAGAGTGGAGTGAGCAGATGACGCTGCTGCCTCCACGGCACAGTACAGCTGATCGCATCGACAGCGGCGGCGCCTCCCTGCCTGGATCGGAGCGGGGGTGCACTGCCAGGCACGCACGCCGGGTTCGACCTCGGGGACTTGTTGCTGTTGGAGTGCGGGACGAGAGCGACGTGACTTGCTATCCACAACACATCCACAATCACACCACATCGGAGGTACATCCCACCCCGGGACGCGACGCGTGCAGCGTGGTGTGCGTGCTTCACCCCCACAAAACGGCCCTGCCCTGCACTGCCCTGTCCTGTCCTGTCCTGCGACCCTCAAAAGGTCCCGTCGCGAAATGCAGATGCTTGGCCGTATGGTGTGATCGGAGGCAGAGAAGTACAAGCCTCCTATGGCCTTCCCCCGCGGAAGACGGAACGGAGGAGCGCGCGTCGCTTGAGCAACGCTGCGGCCAGTGGGTAGTGAGTGGAGTCTAGAACCCCTTACCTCCACAGTCAGTGCATGGCAGTGGCGATGCGATGCTCGAGGATGAGTTAAGCGCTGGCTGGACACTGATTGATTGAATGCGAGCCAATAACGGCACTACTATGTGAAGAGAACGAGCCCGTGTGGTATCTCCCTCCAATTCCAACTATCGAAGCCATTCCATTAGATAGGATTGTAAACGTATAACCATCGTGAAGTGTAACCATCGTGAAAGCGTGAAGTCGTCTCTTTCAAACCAAGCCAGGCACAGCAACCGCTGGCCGGCCGGTGAACCAGTCAAGTTCGTTTCCAACTAGTTACTAGATACTAACTCCACCAAGCAGAAAGCCAACTACCTAATCGCTGAACAAACACAGTAAATATATAGATAAACTTATCTTCAGAGCGTTCGTTCGTTCCATCGTTCGAGCCTCATGTACAAGCTGGCTATCGCAATCGCTTCGCTGTCGTAGCATACATGAATGGTCTTTCTTTCAATTCGTTCGTAGCAGTCGTGAGGAGAAAAACACAAGACTCGCTCGCTCGCTCGCTCGCTACGCTCTGCAAATCCACAAAGGAGACAGATAGATAGGAAAACAAATTGGGGTAAACACAAAAAGTCCAGTCAGAAACAAGGTCCCACATGTGCCAAATTCGCTTGCTCGCTTGCTATGCCAAAAACAAAACAGTAGGTAGATCGGAAAGAAAAAAGGTATAAACAAGGGTGGAAGGGGGTCACTCGCGGTCTTGTACCGCGGTGCCAGGACGAAAGGCATAGATAGGATCGATATAAAGCAGCGCTCGAGTGCGAGCCCGCGGGTGAGAAAAGTCCGCCCAGGTGCAGTGCATGCTGGAAAGCAGATAGGAGGTATGCTCGAAAGTCGACGTTGCCGTCCAGAGTGTTCAAAAGAGCCGGTGAGCCGGCGCAAAGGAAACGCGGATGACGAATGCGGAGCTCGGTGAGGAGCGTGCAGTGAGGTCGACGCGAAAACAGGTCCCCGGCCCACGATGCAGATTGTGTCCCTACGGGGCCCTCCAAGCCGATGGAGGACCGGAAGAAGCCAAGCGCTATGCTGAAAGCAGATGATGCAAGTGGTGATAAGGAAGGACATAGGGAAGGGTGGTGGGTGTTCAGCCGACAGTTTCAACCTTGGAAGGCTTGCCGTCGGATGTGCTGGGGCGGGAGGCAGCGGCAGACTCTTCGACCATGCGCTTGAACTCCACGACGACTTCGGGAGAGATCTTGTCCCAGAGCAGGCTTCGCGTGTAGATGTCGGCGGCGGAGTCACCCTTGCTCTGCTCACGCATGGCAGCGAGGGTGGCGGCGAGGTTGCGGCGGTGGGATGGTTGCGAGCCAGGCGACAGGGGATCACTGAAGTCGTCGCTGGCGATGCTATACCGGGTGCGAGTGAAGTCCATAGAAGTCATGCTGTTGTACTGAGCTGGGGTGATGGAGAAGAGTTGTTCGTGCTCCTGTTCTTTGCTGGCCGACGTGAGCTGAGTATGCAGTTGGTCGAGAGCAGATCCAGTAAGCGCGTCCATGTCACCAGACTTGGCCCAAGCCATGCCGGATGGGCCAGGTTCTACCATGGAGACGCGGTTGGCGACAACACCCTGTTCAGTAACGGTGGGTGCGACACCAGCGTCTTTGAAGATGCTGTCGAGCACCTGGGTAGAAGCGGCGCGGACCTCATCAGGCATGCGCGGAATCGGCGGGGCGGCAGAGCCGGAAGACTTGCTGGCGACAAACGCGCCGCAGAGGAGCAGCATAAGCAGAAGACCGGATGCGACCGGCTTCTCCTCATCCTTGGCACGCGGCACAACAGCGAGGGACTGCTCTTGGGGTTGTTGGCCAGGAGTCTGCTCATCAAAGTCATTGACGAAGATGTAGTTGTCCCACTCGCTGTTGCTCATGTTCAGGTTGTCCATGTCGGAGGTGAAGTCCGTGAAGGCAGAGCTGGGCGCCATGGGAGCAGAGCTGTTTGTGGCACACTCAAGCCTTTCGGTGAGGACGGAGACCTTCTTGCGGAGCTCCCCGGTCTCAAGAGTGTGGGTGCGGACGAGTTCCTCCTTGTCGAAGTGGAGCTGGTTGACGAGCTGGTGCATCTCCATCTGCTCGCGGTGCCAATTCTCCTTTTCGGAGAGAAGACGGTCATACTCAACCCGGAGGTTGTTGAAGTCGTCCTGCAGGCCGCAGATCTTGTCGGACCACGTCTTCTTCTCTTCCTCAAGCTCTTCAGTGTGCTTCTTCTTGCGTTGCCGGGAATCAAGACTACAATAAGTTAGCGAATGAACACAATGGGAAACGCAGACCAAATGGTGTCCAAGACCAGATGTGCGGAAGCAAAACCAAAAGAGGTACGTACGCGGCCTGCCTGTTCCGGAGAAGTCGTTTTTGTTGCTTCAGCTCCTTGAGCTCCTGCTCGTCGGTGCAGCTGTGGATGAGCTGGTCGATGTTGAAGAGGTTCCGTTCCGAGGGGATGTCGAAGCGAGCGTTCTTTTTCCTGATGCCGCCGCCTCGCTGGGGAGTGAAGGAGCGGGGCGGGGAGCTGGCCCTCATACGCTTGGGCCCTGGTCGAGCATCCATCTCTTGCTGGTTGAACGCCATCCATTCCGAGTTGGTGTGCGGCGACAGCGGTTGCTCGGGGCCTGCCTGGGGGAAGACGGAGCTGGGCCGGACGTTGCTCTGGACGGGGAGTCCGTGGAACTGCATCTGCTGGGGAGGGTCGGAGACAAAGGGCGGTGGAGCGGCACCAAACTCTGAGGGGGCGAAGGGGTTCAAGGGCTTCGAGGCAGTGGGCGTCTGGGATCCGGAGTGCTCCTGGACGGGCCAGGAGGTCTGCTGGCCGTAGCTGGCGGCCTGGTTGGGGGGCAGACGGGCGAAGGGGTTGTTGCTCTGCTCGGTGAAGAAGGGGTTGTTCGCGTTGGTGTTGACGACGGAGCTGGTGGCGGTCCGGTCGATGAACTGGCCCTGGTTGGAGAAGTCCTCCCAGATGGAGGTGTCGGGCGAGAAGATGCCCTGTGTGCTGGTGGTGGGCGACATGAGGACGGGCGTGTCGAGGATCTGGTCGTCGAAGAAGACGGAGGGTTTCCGGTCGACGGAGCTGAGTGTGCTGGAGGGGCGATGGAAGTCCATGGCGTTATTGCCTGCGAAGTCCATGGGGACTAGTGACTCTTGTAGCAAAGTACCGGTGTGGCAGCGGGACTGGCGGTGTGGGACGCCTGTTTCGGCAATCGCGATCTCCAAGCGTGGACAACGGGCAAAAAGCGGCGACTGCGCTGCGTCTGCGTTTTGCAGAGGATGGCAATGCCAGGTGGTGTTGCTGGAGCGAGAGGCTGCGCGCGCACTGCCGGGCTGGGGCAGCGGGTGCAGGGTGAGGTGAGTCTGTGGTGGGGAGCGAGAGCAGCTAGCCGGCGCGGGCTGGGCCTGCTGATAAGTGATTCCAGGCGGGAGTGGTGGGGTGTGCGCTTCGGTGCGTTTAGGCGGCCGGGGTCTGCCTCTAGCTCTTGGGGCCTTCACTTCCGTGGGATTCAGCAAAGCACCAGCACGCCCTGCGATTCGGCGCCCCGGCGTGGTCGGGTATGCCTGCATCACGGCCGCATCGTCGCGCAGATTGACTGGCTGAGCGCTGCCCTGCGCGCCGGCGCGCGGCCAGAGCGCTGCGAGAGGCCCCATGCAGCCAGCCATCGCTTCACCTGTCCACCAGCCTGTTTGCCTGCCCGTCTGCTCCGACGCGTGCCTCTGGTCGCGCTGCACCGCCCAAGTCGCTGCCGTTTGACGCCCTGATGGCTCGCCGCTGCCACCATCGTGTGCTGCCAGGCCCGGATCGCATTCACACGCTACACATTCACTGCCGTACCGTGCAGCGCTAGCAGCCTGCGGAGTCTGGTACGACAGCCGCGCGCCCGCCGCCAGTGCCAGTCCATCTATCGATACTAGATAGCACGAGACGCTTGCGCGGGCCGGCCCTTCTTGCGATATTCCCCCGCCCTGATTCGTCTGTGCCAGCCTGGGCCGCCGCAGTCACCGAAAACTCTGAAGCCTGCCTCGCGACTGGATTCCGCGCATGGCGCCGTAAACGTGGTGGAGAGTCGCCCATTGTGAAGCGTGCTGGAGCGTGCTGCTGTGTCCGTCAGGAGACGCTCCCCAGGTCTGCTGAGGGATGCCCCCGCAGCCTCAACACCATTCGAGCCTCCTGCCGCATCGCCATCATGGATCCGTCTTCCGTACGTCAGCCGACGCTGTTCCAACTTCCCACTTTCGCCGAGGCCTGTCAGTGTGGCTCGCCAGGTGCACCCTCTCTCCTCGCTTTCCATGCTGTCATCTGCCAACTTCCGCGAGCACGAGTCATCTCACCGCTTCTCGCCGATGCGCAGGGAAGCCTGCTTTTGCTCCCCTCACCCCTTCTGTGCTCCTTTTCATTTTCGTGAGGACCGCCTGGTGTAAGGTACCAAGCACCACCATCTCCATGCGGCTGGTGCAGGCCTGCCTGGAGGCGATCCGACGCAAACACTGCAGCCACTGTGCAATCGTTCTGTCCCACAACTGATAGTCTACTCGCAACTCACGTCCCAGGCAGACGGTATTGCACCATGCTGCTCACTCCGCGCAGCACTACCTGGTCCCCTAATTCCCTTCGATCTGCTTTTCGGCCCTACGCAAATGCGACGGTTTGCATCTGGCTCCGCCTGACAGCCGTCAAAACCGTAGTCAGAAAATGACAAGCAGACAGCCGCTTTTCGCTCGCCAATGAATTATCCTTCCGCCTGTAGAGGTTGCTTTTCCTGTTTGTAGCCGCTATCCGCAATGGTGTAACGAGTAGTAGGGCGACTAAGACAATCCATCCCTAACCAACGCGTTACGCCAGAGATGCGGTCATTTGAGCTTCGGCTACGACGCCATTGTTGCTCTGGGACATCAGAGGCGGCGCCAGAACGGTGGAAATGCACAGCCGCTGTTAGAGCCCGCGTGCGAAACGCTGCTTGCTCTGGATCAGATCGCCCGTTGCTTGTTGATCCTCTCTGCGCGCGTACGCGTACAGACAATGTAATGCCGGGATCATTGTCGGAGGCTAGAGCTGAGGATGCCTCAGTCCACTCACTTCGCTCAATGGCTCCTTGGTGAACAGAACCGAGACAGCAGCGACGTTGGCCGAGCGCCTCACCGATCCGAAAGCAATCACCCAGTCTTCATGCGCCGGAGAGAATTGAGGCCCAACGTGCAAGGCGAGAAGTTACAATGTTCCATTTCAGCGCTACAAGTGTGGCTGCCAAAAGTGTGAGGCGGTAGTGTGAATGGATCGCTTAGTGGTCCCGTCTTGCCGCAGCGCACTTCTGCACCGCGCTTCGACTTACTGCACGCTCGCGTGGTTGCATACGGATTCGGCCACTAAGGCTGCTAGAACGAGCTGTCATGTTGTTGGATGGAACTGTAGAGAAATCTTCTTGGCTTGGCAAAGTCGTACACGTTGGTTTTCTTTAGGATGAGTCACTTCCATGCTCTCAACAATGCTCAGGAAATTGTTCACGGCCTAAACTTGGAGCCGGCAAGCCACGGACGGGCGCTTACCGTCATCGCTCCTGCCTTCTATTTTCACAAGCCGGTGGATCCCAGGTTTCAGGCCGGATGTACGGTGAGCGATCCAATTGATTCTTGCACCGGACGCTAAGCTTGGACTTTTGTTGATGGTCCGAGCAACGAGTCAACATTCGACACAACATCGTTGGATTCGCTGATCCATTGTGCGGTGAGTGATAGTCAATTGTCGATGGCATGTTCTAGCAACGATCAATTGTTCTAGACATGTGAAGAGTTGTAATGGGAAATGGTCTGTTGGGCGTCAGGCCCCTTGCGGTGTGTTTGAGACAGCTGTACGCATTAGACGACTTGCGTCTACAATGGGCCGACGGAAGGGTAGCAGCGTGCCCTGCATTGTCTCGTGCGACCGCTGGTGGAGTAGACTCATGGCATGCTGGCCTCATTTGGGAAGCCGTGACCTCCCCGCGCGCACGTAGCCGCATGGCAGTGGACAGACGATTGTACTTCTCCCACTGCCGAGGCGGTATGCTCTGGCGGTTACCTCTAGCTGGCTTATTTTCGTTAGTATTCGGGACATCAGCAGAGATTAGACAAGAGACGTAAAAGATAGACGTGAGGAATGCGCTATGAAGGCATTTGTCAGATTGATTGTCAAGGTAATGGTCCAGACACCATGAGGGTGACAGCAATGCGAAGTGCTGGCGTTTTGCCATCCCTTTTCGCGAAGCTGTGCCGTCTGGGGCTCCTTCGGGTGCTGATGAGACGGGACCGAGACGTTTGGCTAGCTCTTGTACCATGGTAAAACGCACGAAGCGTCCTTAGTCCTCCCGGTATCTGTTCGAACGTTGTCGACGGTCCATCTACCGTACGACTTTCTGAAAATGAAAGAATTTTTCTTGGGGTATATGCTCATATTCCTTCGTTGTCATCTCTCGCCCACAACTTCACCGTGCGGTCTTTCCCGCCGCTGACGATCCAGTCCGCGTTGCTGGTGACGTCGGTGCTGAATACCGCCTGCGAATGGCCTTGCAGTGTCCTGCAATGCGCCCAGTCGTCGGCTGAAAAGATCTGAATGTTCTTGTCGAATCCTGAGGAGATGACAAAGGTAGAAGCTTTCTTCGGCACCAGCTCTCCATCTCCGTTGTCTTGTAATGGGACACCGTCCAAAGGACCGTCAGTGCCCTTATACCATCGAAGATCCGTAACACCCCCGGTATTTGCGGCAATGGCATTTGTTTCTCGCATGGCTCGTACATCCCAGCACCTCATAAAACCGTCTCCTGAACCTGACAAAAGTCGATGCCCATCGGTGCTCCAGTCAAGACCGTAGATGGGCTTGATGTGGCTTTCCATCAAGAAGATGACGCGCCCGCTTCGAACATCCCATACCCGCCCAATGCTGTCCAGACCACCGCTTGCCACGAGTGATCCGTCCTGATTGAAACTGACGGTGTAGACTTCCTTTGAATGACCCTCCTGGATGAGTACTTCCTGGCCGGTGTTCACGTCCCAAAGGCGCCAGGTAGTGTCGTCGGAGGCGGATGCAAGATAGCGTCCAGACGGGTGGAATGCTACTCGACACACTCGGTCGGCATGGCCTTCCAGGGTTCGTAATGGCTTGTCATCGTCGAGCGACCAGAGTTGGACCTTTCCGCCTGCTCCACCAGACGCAAAATTGGCGCTTGACGAGGAAACGACCGAGCCAGGCAGCGTAGCACCTGGCACCCAATCGATACCTGTAGTTCGCTCGGTATGACCGCCCCGGTACGCTTTCTTTTGGTCCAAGCTGGGCACCTCAAGTAGCCGAACCTGCCCTCCCCAATTTCCATAGGCGACATATTGACCGTTGGGCGAGAATCGCACGATGCTGACTGGTCGATCCGACGTCTGCGATCCGTAGAGTTCGAATCCTTTCAAACGGTCCTTGATCTTATTGCGAAAGTCAATGTGCGTCTTGAGTGGTATGGTTGACTCCCGTCGCTGGAAGGCAACTCGGTCCTTTGCGCGCTGTAGCGAGTATTTGGCCATGTCTCTGCGTACGTCCAGCAGTAGCGCAGTACCCTGTGTGTAGAACTCCTCATCGCCCTCGCCCGGCGCCTCATCCGCCTCCTGCATCTGGATGTCCACATCTTCGCCTCCAGCTTCCAGCTGCTCAAACAAGATAGCGCGTAGTCGGTCGCGGCGCTCTGAAGAGCCTTCGCCAAAGAGGGTGATAGGCTCGCCCAGGGAGCGGAGTTTGAGTTTGATGTCGCGATCGGCGGTTGGGACGAGAATTTGCTGCGCTCGCTTCTTGCGCTCGAACTGGCCCAGAATGTCTGATGCTCGCTCGTTCCCGCCGCCAGGTGTGTCCGATGGCATGAAGTGGTTTCGGTCGATGGGTACATTGGCCAGATCGATTCCCTCCATAGGCACATCCTGTATCATCCCCCATCTGTCAGCTTTAGCCTTTCCATTCGACTTGGATATGAGGAAGGAGCTTGCGCGACGACAACTGCCGGCTGGCGCATATGCGAACTGCGCATGAAAGGCTGGGGTGCTTACCTCTGCGCCCTCCTCCACGTACGCCTGCCGCGACGGGTGCATGCTCATCTTGACTGGGCTCTCCGGTGAGTGGAGAGGCTTGTGGAGGCTACGTCGTGGGGTTAGAGCTGTGATGCAGTTGCCAAAAGTTCCTAGCGGGCCGGGGTTTCCCCGATAGGGCTGCGTGAGACATGCGAGGTGCGATATGTGCTTGCAAGGGCCGGAAGGCTAGAAGGGCCAGATAGCGGATCTGACGAGGGCCGGGAGCGCAATCGAGCTCCTGTCTGTGTTCGGCCAGCAGTCGTGCAAAGCATGCTGGACATCTTCATTGCAATTGTAAGTCAACCCACGCACAGCGGTCACTAGCCTCGAAGTAGTCCCTTTCACGATCCGCAAAGGTACACTACGGTGCCCGCCCCTACCGGCTCATCCTACTTACATCGCAATCGCATACTGACCCTGCGACTCTAGGCCTGGGCTGCGGCCATGTCATCTGCCATAACCGGCGCTGCGGGTCTTCCATTGCGCGCCTCACGTCAAGCCGCATCAGCACGTCTGTTCCTCCTTTGCGTCTCGACTTCTTCGCTCCTGGCACCGGCCCACGCTCACCGGAGCTTCTCTTCGCAAAATACTCGCTCCTCCACGCTATACGCACCGCAAACATGCCCATTGAACCGCGATTCTTCGCCTGCCACGATCGGCTTGCGCTCGTTCCACTCCTCGTCGCATAATTGGCAAAGCACGCCGCAATTCACCTTCCATGTCGCCTCGTCGTACTCGGCCAAACAAGACAGATTCAGTGCCAACAGGAACATCTACACAAGTGACGTCTACGACCCCAGCAAGATTGAGGTGACCGACCTCAGGCAATGCAAAACGGCAAAAGCAAGGCGCTCTCGCGCAAAGAGTGGACAGGATGCTTTCTTCTTCAGCCAGGTCGGAACCTCAAAGAGCACCGCTTTCGGTGTAGCAGACGGAGTGGGCGGCTGGGTTGAGTCGGGCATCGATCCTGCCGATTTCTCCCACGGCTTATGCGAGTACATGGCCTGCGCAGCGCGCACATGGACACCCAGGAACAAATCCTCCTCCACTATGCACCCGCAGAGCCTGCTCCAGGTCGGCTACGACCATGTCATAGACGACGATAGCATAGTCGGAGGTGGGAGCACCGCATGTCTGGCTGTCGCAGAGCCGGACGGCCATGTGGAAGTGGCCAATCTCGGAGACTCTGGCTTCATGCACTTGGGCCTGAATGCCGTGCGACATTTTACGGAACCGCAGACGCACGGCTTCAACACACCGTATCAGCTGTCCAAAACCCCGCAGCGCATGCTCGTGCAAATGGCTGTGTTTGGCGGGCCTAGCACGCTGTCAGACCTTCCCAAGGTGGCGAGTGTAACGAATCACCGTGTCCGCCACGGAGACGTGCTCGTCTTCGCCACAGATGGGGTGTGGGACAATCTTAGCCCTCAGGACGTGCTTGGCATAGTGAGCCGCAATATGGTGGATATCGGGGGGTGGGTGGAGAACGATGGTGCTATCGAAGTTGGAAGCGAGCTGCGTGCTCTGGTGCAGGCAGGCAAAGAAAGCAAAGCAGATGCCACTTCATTGCAAGCAAGATTGGCCATTGCCATCGCGAAAGAAGCAAAAGAGACGGGCTTGAATCAGCGACGAGATGGGCCCTTCGCGAAAGAAGTGCAGAAACACTTCCCAGGCGAGGCATGGCACGGTGGTAAGCCAGACGACATCGCCGCGCTGATAGCATTGGTCGTGGAAGAGCCGCAGGAGTAAGAGTAAGACATTCGTATACGGGATCGCAAGAGTCACGCATTTGTACGCATATTGTGAAGTTGGTTGCATGGGTCGGCGTTATAAGAGAAGTCACGATTCGCCCACGGCACGCGGTAGTATCGGCATCTTTAGGAGGTACCTTGAATTCTAGTAGGCGGCGGAGTTTTCTTGTACATTACGGGTCGAATCTACAAAAATTCAGCAGCTGTCGTGATTCTGGTTCTTGCGCAGTCCCGCTCCAGTCTTGGCTTACCGTGACAGCTCAAGTATCCCAGCACTCACGTCAGGAGCAATGTGGAAAAGGCAAACAGCAATTGGGTACCTTAGTGTGGCCAGTATCGTCAGATGTCCGATCGTCGTATGCATGATCTCACAGTAGCGAAGTAAATGGTAAGCCTCGAAAGTAAGGAAAGTGGCGAGTGCGTTGTACACCTTCAACCTCCTTCCATCCTGGCCCACGATATCCTTTAAGAACTGCGCCGCCCGCACCTCTATCTTCGCTCACGTTGATATCACTTTAACCAAGACTTTCTTGACACGTCGGTCCGGCTCCCGCTGCGATGTTCGCGATTGGTCTGTTAAATGAGGGGTTACCTGCACCTGCAAGGTACTCACCCGCGTTTGACATGATCAGTACGAGTACCCTGCGATATGTTCTTCGTCCGCTGAATAATGGAAATGGAGTGAGGTTTTTCCTGCTCCGTCACTTTGCGTCCTCGAATGAAAGCAAATACTACTGGCGCACCGAAGAGTCGTTCCAATGCTACACTCGGTCCCAGGTCAAAGAAGTACCTGGTCTCATTTGTATTGCCTTGCAATTGTGATAGATCCACATCCACGTCGAAGTTCTTCCGATAAAACGCACCCTACACAATGGAACAGCCAACTATTCGTCACCACGGGGATAATTCCGAACACAGTGGGCCTGTGTAACAGCAAAAACATGAGTCGAATAATATCAGCCTAGCACCCGTCTTCTCCGCTTCCTCTCACTCTTTACCGGTCGGTGTCTACGTATCTTTCTCAAGACCCTCAGTATGTTGAAAACGTGCTCAAGATTTGTAAATCACGGGCTGATAATCTGCGATCTTGTAGAGAAACATATACAATCGAAAGTTGATCGGCATCATGGCCGAGGGTGACCTCGTCAATGGTGCAACCAGCACAAACATGACTCTCGTCGACAGAACGAGCCATGCCAGTACTCTCCTTCAGTCTAATGACACGCGAAATCTACTTGACATTGTTGACAACCTTCGCTCTCAAGGCATTAGCAGATACATTGATCTTCCCGAGATCGTTGTGTGCGGTGAACAGTCGTCCGGAAAGAGTTCAGTCCTGGAGGCGATTTCGGGGGTGACTTTCCCTAGCAAGGACAACCTTTGCACCAGGTTTGCGACTGAGTTGATACTCAGACGCGGTCCACCCTCGCCTATCAAGATAAGCATCGTGGCTGGATCCAATGAGCAGCGTTCCCAAGAGGATAAAACAAAGCTTTCGGATTTCAAGCATGAGATTTCAGTCTCTGCAGAAGCTCTACAGTTGGACGAAGTCATCGAGTCCGCCAAAGCGGCCATGGGTATCGATGATAGTACTAAAGTATTCAGCTCCGACATCCTTCGCTTGGAGCTTTCTGGTCCGGAACAACCTCATCTCACCCTTGTCGACCTTCCGGGTCTGTTCCAAGCTGGGAGTCGTACCCAGTCCGTTGCAGATAGCGAGACTGTCAGGTCACTTGTACTGTCTTACATGAAAAGTCCGAGGAGCATCGTCCTTGCGGTCGTTTCGGCGAAGAATGACTTCAACAACCAAGCCATCACCAAGTACTCGCGTGAGATTGACCCAAAGGGTCTTCGAACGCTTGGACTAATTACCAAGCCTGACACTTTGGACAAGGGCTCAGACAGCGAACGTTTCTATGTTGAGCTCGCACAAAACAAGGATGTTAAATTTCGGTTGGGATGGCATGTCCTGCGCAATAGAGACTACGCCACAAGGCATTCCACCTTACACGAGCGTAATCTGGAGGAGGAGAAGTTCTTCGCTTCCGGTGTATGGACTTCGCTCCATCCAACCCAAGTAGGAGTACACTCTTTGAAGCCTAGGCTCAGCAAAATACTCAAGGAGCAGATTCTGGTCCAACTTCCAGATGTTCTGGCACAGATACAGAATGGCATTCAAGACTGCAATCATCGATTGGATGTCTTAGGTGCTTCTCGCACTAGTCTACAAGAGCAACAGCGATATCTTCTGCATGTAAGTCAGTCGTTCAGCAAGATGGTCAAAGCCGCCGCCGATGGTCTCTATTCCGACCCCTTCTTTGGGGACGCATCTACAGAGATTGGCTACCGAAGGCGCCTCAGAGCGATCCTCCAGAACACCTTGACGGATTTTGCAGAGACTATGCGAAAGGAGGGACACACATACGCTATCGTAGATGAGGTATTGGCAAACCACCCTAGACAGATCACACGTACAGCCTACGTGGCGAAGGTCAAAACTCTTCTGAAACGAAGCCGGGGGCGTGAACTGCCTGGAACGTTCGATCCACTCATCATCGGACAGCTGTTTCACGAACAGCGTAAGCCTTGGACCAACCTAGTCAATGACGCTGTGGACAAGGTCGTTCAAGCGATTCACTTCGTAGTACGGTCAGTTTTGTCGCAGCACTCCAATGCCTCCACGCTGGATGCACTCCTGAAGCACTTCATCTACCCTCGACTGGAGGGTCTCACCAGGGAACTGCGCGCAAAAGTTGAAGAGCTCCTCACCCCGCACGACACAGGCCATCCTATCACGTACAACCACTACTTAACCGAGAACGTTCAGAAGGCACAAGACAAACGTCGCGCGCGTGATATCAAGAAGTCCCTCGAGAAATTCTTTGGTGGTGATTACACCTCTGAAGGAACTCATGTCATGCATATCAACGTCAACGAATTGATCCAAGTCCTCGTCACAAAGACCGAGGCTGACATGAACAATTATGCAAGCTCTACTGCTACAGACTTCATGGAGGCATATTACAAAGTAGGTTTCTCGCTGGTCTTCCACCTAGTAACTTTATCTCACTCAGAACAGGTTGCCTTGAAGAAGATTATCGACGACTTCAGTGTGCTGGCCGTTGAAGCCTGTTTCATTGAGAAACTCCCAAGCTTGTTTTGTCCGGAAGACGTGTTCGATCTCTCCACTGAGACAATCGCGATCCTAGCTGCAGAGGATGAAGAGTCCGCTGCCGAGCGAGCCCGATGCAGCGAGAAGCTCAAGGTGTTGCAGAACGGTCTACGGGAACTGAAAGGTGTGCAAGGAATTTCGTCGGCGGCGTATCACGGTACGTCAGCATGAAGTACTCGACCGAAGTAATTGCTGAAATCCAATAGATCAAGCCGGCACAACGCGAGGCTATCAAGGTGTGGGACGGCTAAGGGAAGTTGAGTCAGCCGATGCAGGCCTAGAACTATCTACGGAAAACTTATCCCTCAGTAACGGGTTCAAGTTCGAGAAGGATAGCCTTCCTGTGGCAGTAGTGGAAGCTCCGGAGCCTTGGCCACCTGAGGAACCAGCGATCCCTGAACAAACACGAGTAGAGAACTGGATAAGCTCTTCTTCTTGGGTTCTGAATCACCCAGCGACGAGTTACACAGGCAAGAAGAAGAAGGGGAAGAAGGGAGCAGCGGCCCCGGCTCTCGCAGAGGACCACGAGTACATGATTTGATACTAGTTTCTGGCATTTATCAGAACGCTTGAGAAGATTGGATAACTGTCATTGTTTTTCGGTCAAAGACAATCAGTTCTAGGGGGGTCCAAAGTGCACACTCCGCTTCTTTCCTACCAAATCAAGGACACGCCTTGATCTGTGTGACCTTCCGTACTCGTATAGGCCATCTACGGTCCATCTAACCTATCATGCCTATTGTCCAGCCTGACAGCCAGAATGAAACATGTATCTTACTTTTGCATCACATGACGAGGTGATAGTCGAGACTTAACTTTCAGATTTATGCGAGATTCCTCTCTCATATCATAAACCAAATTCGTGAATGCCCTAGTCTCCCGGATTCCCAAGCTAAATGAGTTGAGATTATCAGAGCGGAACTCGGTACGTTGTTGGTCGTGTGCGTATGGATAAATTGCCCTTGCTTATGCAGCATTATTCCTCCCGAAAACGTGACACAGAGCTGTAATCACTATGAACCGCCACTGGTAATCACTATGAATCGCCACTGGTAATCACTATGAACCGCCACTGGTAATCACTATGAACCGCCAGGTAATCACTATGAACCGCCACTGGTATTTTTGCACCTCGATCGCGAGCGATGCCATGTAGATGGGTGATGCACCGGCTGTACCTACAGTGCGACTAGTGTACACGCAGCTAGCCGCTCGTCAGCACTGCGATGTCGGGAAGACAAGTGCGCGCATCAGGCAATTAGTCAACGGATAATACAAAAAGCCCTAAAGACTTATAACCTCGGTTGTGAGTGGATGAACATAGTATGTACGACTTCCAACACGAAATTGCTGACGGCGGCGAATACAAAATCGCTCAAGATATGTGGACTAGTACTGAGAAATCACTCAAATTGGGCGACTCAATGTAGCAGCTGATTTTGCTGATTCTGGAATATCCACAGAATGCTTACTCCTCACACGTTTCTGCTTAGTGCAAATCTGGCCTCCACTTAAGACCTTCTCTGTTTTGGTTCGCCTTCAGTCTTCGTCCGAATTTTGTACGCAATACTGGCAGTTGGTGTGGGACTGCTGACGCTGCATCAGTGACACCAAGAGGTGGAGACAACGGCCACGCCGAGGCAGGAGCACCCCTTCGACGGCAACATCGTGACTTCGAGGAGGAATATGGCCAGACACGCTGATGAATCGGACTCCTCCCACCATCTTCTTCGGCGAGCAGACTTCCCAGGCAAAGGTATATAAACCCACCCCATCACCACCAAGCTTTTCCACCAAGCAATAGCATCGCCTCGTTTACTAGCAAGTTCAAGCCACTCATCTCAACATCAGGTACATCTCTATAACACCTCTCCGGAAGAGATCAATCTAAGTCATCCACAGCAACAATGCAGTTCACCACCGCTCTCATGGCTACTCTCATGGCCGGCACTTCCCTCGCCACCATCAACTTCGGAAAGGCCCGCTACGACAGCGGCAACGTCGACGTCGCTATCTGGATCGATGGCGAGAACGCGTGCACCTATGTCTACCAGGGTCACAACAACCCGTGTGACTTCAACGGCGGGAAGTTCCAGGCGCAGAATGGGTTCAAGTGTATGTTTGTCTCTGTCTTAACACTCTGGTCAAGGTGGGAGGAGAAGCTCACTCGATCTACATCCGTTCCCGCAGTGGAAAGATTCAGGCCGTCATGCAGTCCGCTAACTCAGGCAACAGACACCGTCAAGGACTGTGGCAACAGTGCCTTCCATCTCGAGAACGCGGATGGAAGCTTCAACTCTTTTGCGCACTTCAACCCGTACAACAACGCGGGTAGTGGCTGCGCCAACAGCCAGGGGAGGTACCACGTTGATCAGGAGTGGAGCTTCTACTAGATGGTAACGTTACTGGTAGGCCGGGGGCTATCATGGAGGTAGTAGGAGGGAGCAGTGTCACTCTTTAATGTTCGTTTGACTGAAGCGGATACACAATGAAGGAGAACTAGTCAAGTTGGAGGATAGCTGTGACTAGTTTCTAGTGGGATAGAGGACTCCGGATAGCCCTCGCGGCTGCGCGATGTCTGATTTGACAAGCACGAGAAAAGTCAATTTGAGGACCATCAAACTTCGTGGTGTCGTGAGGATGTATGAACTTGCCGCCGAAACTTCAGTCATAGCATTGATGACGTAATATGTCTAGTGGTTCTCGTAGTTGTAATTTGCCAAACCTCGTCCACTCCCAGAACATTCAACTTTCGCGGCCTCACGCACCGCCCATTCCTCAACTCTGTACGGCGTGCACGCTTCGTCTCTGCCGCTCAGACCGAAGTTGCAGAATTTCGGCAGCTGGATTCGGCGACGAGGCAAAAGCGACTCAAGAACTACTCCAGAACCCAAGCCACGATATAATCATGGCAAGTAAGAATAGGAGGGGCACCCCGTGGCACCCCCAAGGCGCAGCGAACCATGCCCGGCCGCGACATGAAACGATAGAGTCGTTGCGGAAGGTCGCTCACGGCTTGTCGATGAACCACGGGACACCATGGTGCACGATCCTGTGTGCGAACCTCACCGCCAATAAAGAATCGTCTCCACCCAGCACTCGACTGGGATACCCCTGAGCACAGACGCTGTTCTCGTGTCTGTTCCTGCAGCGCTCAAATTCCCCGACCTTCGGCGCAGCGAGTCGATACCTGCATTCGTTAGCCTGCGAACCACTCGCATTACTGGCGCGTGGCGAGCATCACGAGGACCGTCTGAAGAGTCTCATTTCACGTCTTGGTTCCCTAGATACGAGATTGTGCCGCGAGATGACCACAGAATTTCGGCTGGGAGATTGAGTGCCGAGGACCCCAAGCTCCCAATTCGCCCCGCCATGAGGCCCCCATCACAAGGCTCTTCCTATCGATTACGGGCAAGTCGCTTGTTCTGCGAATTGTGACGCTGTTGTGCGGTGTTGTGCAGCTGTCGGGCTTGTCAGGGGAGCTGAGGCTAACGATAATAGCGCCGTCTAACCGCATCCATGAACGTCTAGGCTAAACTAAGATGACCCTAGTCCTTTTGCCCCGGACTGCTCATTTCACAATGCACCCGACATGCTCATCTCGACCTCATTTGAGCAGTAGTTTGGCGCCCTCCAGACCCAGCTTAGGCCACTTGTGGCAATGCGTTTACTGTGCCTAATTTACGGCTCCATGGACCCCTAATCGCGGCCATAGCGCTGCTGGACCGATGCGCTATCAAAAGGAACCCGTCTGCCCTCGATGCGCTCCTTTGCGCAAGGCTTCTGTACGTCGACAACCTCGCACGCCCCAAACCTCCCGGCCTTTGTGCCATAGTCACTCGTTTTGCGTTACGCTCTCTTACTCTAATAATCGTCACTCGCTCACCTACCTATAACGAATAATCATTGCTCCGGCACTCTAAACATCAAGTAAACAAGACAAAATGAAGGGCGCAATTGTTGCAGCACTCGTTGGGTCTGCAGTCGCAGCATCCCACAAGGCCCACGCCGGTTTCCACCTTCGTCGCAATGGTGGCTACCCCGTAGAGGAGGGCGTCTGCAAGACGGTGACCACCACCGTATACGTGACAGCCAGCGCTCCCAGTACGTGTGATCTGATCGCAGGAGGAACGTCATTCTAATCTTTGTTAGCCTCATCGGCCCCGGCGCAAATTTCTTCAGTGGTCGTAGTGCCGTCTCCTGTCCCGGAGACCTCGACTTCTTGCACTGAGGAGGAGCACTCTTCGGCTGCTTACACTCCGGCTCCTGTGCCCTCGACCTCTGAGAAGCCTGTAGCGCCATCTTCCGCCTACGTCCCTGTGGCACCGGCACCATCTTCTCCTGCGGGTTACGTTCCGGCTAAGCCCTCCAGCTACCACGCTGCTCCCCCGGCATCCACTTCTAAGGCTGCCCCTAAGCCCAAGCCCAGCAAGCCCAGCACCCCCTCGTACGGTGCTGGTACCTGGAACAAGCCCAATGGCAAGAAGTGGGCCATCACCTACACCCCCTACACCAAGGGCGGTGACTGCAAGTCCCAGACGGAGGTCAACACCGATGTTGCTAAGATCGCTGATCTCGGCTACGTTGCCATCCGTGTCTACAGCACCGACTGCGGTGTCTTCGAGAACGTCATCCCCGCTACCCAGAAGTACGGCATGCAGGTCATCTACGGCATCTTCCTCGATGCCGCAACTGCCCCCGGCTCCCAGGGCGCCAACGAGCAGCTCCAGGACATCATTGACAACGCCCCCAAGGACACCGTCTCCATGCTGATTGTTGGTAACGAGTACATCTCCGGCCACGGTGGTGATGCTGGTTCCCTCGCCTCGTACGTCGCTGCCGTCAAGACCAAGTGGATTGCCGCCGGCTTCACCGCCCCCGTCACCACCACTGAGACCGTCGCCGCGTGGGAGCAGTACGGCAGCGCGCTCTGCGACGTCATCGACATCTTCGCCGCTCAGGTCCAGCCTTACTTCGACGGTGGCAAGACCGCCTCCGAGGCTGGTGACTTCGCGTACTCGCAGCTTGAGCAGGCCGCCAAGGTCTGCCCCGAGGCCGCTGCTAAGGGCAAGTTCATCTCCGAGATTGGCTGGCCCGCGGGCGGCTCCCCCAACGGCGTTGCCATTCCCGGCAAGGCCGAGCAGAAGGAGGCCATGCAGAGCATCATCGAGAAGGTCGGCGACCACGCCTGCATCTTCTCGTACCAGAACGATGACTGGAAGAACCCCGGCGCGTACAACGTCGAGCAGTACTTTGGCTGCGCCGACAACTTGTAAGCGCCTCTTTTGTCCAGGCTTCTGATGGCGGCGCCGCTTTTGACCCGCCTGCGATCCATCGAATCAATTGTTTTACGTGTCTACGCTTTGCATTGTTCGTGTGTGTGTGTGTGTGTCTTGTAGTGACGCTACCTAGTATCTCTAGTGTTTAATTTCCTAGCTCATATTTGTTGTCCTATGGGTACGCTCCGACTGTATCATAGCGTCTGTCTGTATGTAGCAATGACAAGTCTCGAATTCGACCTTGCACGCCGGGGCATTTCGGTCAAATTACGTGAGGTTATTTACGTGAGATGAGATGGCGCGATGGATTGATTGCGCAGTAGTAGGTGGGAGCTGGGTGGCGCGGCTCGGATATGAGGCAGTCTCGGGTATAGCGGGTACCGGTAAGGATGTTGGTTCCTAGAAACCATGGTCCTGGACTCGCGATGAAGTGAACTCATTTCATTGCTGACTATCAAAGTGGAATACGTTACACATCGCGTGAAAGACCATGTCGGAACCTGGATTTAACGCGTGACCTGCGCCTGGGGCGTTGATCTCGCGAAAGCATTCCGCGGTGTGTATAGCTTGTATGGAATATGGATTTAGACATGCAGAACCTCCAGCTACCTCAGGCGATTTTACTTGCGGGGGAAATATGATATTCTAGCAACTTTGTTACTCTGGACTTAGACTTTCACGCGCTCGTGAATAGCCTTATCGGTAGCCGCACTTCGAATGTTTACTTCTGTCTAAAGATAGGTATACATTCTGAATGAAACTGCACCGTAGTCCACTTGACAGATTGTTTGTCGGCTCCAACACGCTGATACAATCATGCGGTCATCATCCGGGAAGGTGGCTTCCGCTGGCAGTAATGAATTGGACCGAGCTTTGGAGGGATGCTATAGCGGGCCTGCGGAGGGAGTGTAAACGAACTGGGGTGGTGAAGAAGAGAAATCTAGGGAGACTGTTCGGCTCGTCATGATGCGTTCCTCAGAGCAGTGGGACGAGGTTCGTGCATTTGCCGTCAAGGTAGAGGGGAAGGATAGAGCAAGCGAGGGATGAGAGATGAATGCGATCAACGGCCGAGGGCACACTTAGCACGAAGTATGTTGGTCACTGAAAAAATACGGAGACGTCCCACTGGCTGGTATGTGGTCCCGGAAAGTTAAAGGCCCGTAGTAATCTCACACATACGATCCTTACTACCGGAATGCACTACTGACTGCGGCATTGGCGTCGTTCTCTGGTGTATCATCCATTTCGTGATTACTCGCGATGTTACCTAGTACATTCGACTGTATGATGGCCGAGTACCTTGGTAAATTAGAATGACTTGCTATTCGCCCGTCTAATATCACCCAACAGCTGTGAGTGACCCACTACCGTGCTCAATAGCTTGGTGTCAGAAAGGTTCCCAGAAGAGTGATTGAGTGTCTAACGCATGTCCCTTTTTGCGCAAGTAGTTTGCCGTTTTGATTGCTGTCAAAAACCTTGTGAAAACATATCGCTTGTTGCAAATCATCCAAAAAGACATGGCATGCGCCAGATATCTCCCTCCAACACAATTTCCACGGCTAGCATACCCAACTCAAGCCAGGCCAACAATGCCTGCCCTGGAACAAATCCATCAAAGCCCACTAGTCCGATATCCTGAAACATCCCATCAAATCGATGCACTTCCTCCTATCCCTCATCGCTCAGGCAGAACCCAAGTAACGACTCATCCACTCCGGAAGCACAAGCTCAACGCCATCCTTGCATCCACCAAGCAACATCTCCCGCACATCAGGATACACGGATGAGGAAGGCGCCGAGCGTCGAAGAACACGTTGCCCCCTATTGCGATGATATTCCGTATCGAAGTCTTCCACCGTGACTGACTTCAAGTTCGGAAACAATTCGGTGAGCGACATATCGTCGAACAAGCGGTCGTTCCAGTTTTTGTGGAGATGTTGGCGCCAACACAGCTCGCTAACGACTTCCGAGGCGGGGAACTCAAGGTGTCGAAGTGCCTGAAGCTGCCCCTTGCGAAGGCTGTCGGCGAGAACTCCCACGACATCACACCCAAGACTCACACAAACGTGGAAGTTGTTCCGAGCGCAATGGATCATCGAGGCCTCGTTGTAGATCTGGCGACATACACGTATGAAGGAGAGATGTGTAGCGTAAGAGAATCGACAGGAGCCACCATGCTTGAGGCAAGGACACTGTTGGACACCAACGGTACCAAAGCGTTCAGAATCATAGTTCCAATCGACCAGTGCAGCTTTCTTACCAACAAGGACGTACTCGTAGATCTTCGTACGGATCTCGTCTGGTAGACGGAGTAAGGGCGACCCTGTTGAATCGAAGTAAGTGCTGGTAAGCCAGTGTTAGCGGAGTTGGTTTCATCAGCGTGGCGAGACAGTTACGAGACTCGAGACGCACTGAGGATTCCCAAAGAGAAAGAAAACTACGCCGTACGCTAACCAATTTGTTTTCCTTCTGGCGCTTCGTTGGTTTGGTCTGTTTCTGAACGCCGCATGCTGAGGAAGCCGGCTTTGGTTGCGCGCGGAGATTGTAGCGAGCCATCTCGACTGTGTTTGTGTTGATCAGACTCGATTAGTATTCGGTTTGCGTGTTTGAAAGTGAACAACAGGACAGGGTCGTCGAGGGTCTGATATATCGGTGTTCTTGCTATGTCACAATGCCAAGATACGCGCAGTGAACGCTAGCGACACACTGACCATCATAAAGCACGAGCCAACGAGTAGTATCTCATATATGGTGAGTAAGCTGACATTGTCCTTGAAAATGATACTCGAGCCAAGGACAAGCAATGCACAGTGGCTGGCACGAAGCACTGGCTTTAAGAGCACCCATAAGTCATCTCGTATAAACTTTATGATAAGATCACACAACTCATATTCGACAGGGTATCCTGAGATGTTATAGCTACCGAAGTCTAATTTTTATTGTCAGCCACTGTGACATGATAACATTTGTGACGGCGCTTGTACCGCTTCGAACACTGATGTCAACTCTCAAACCTTCCAACAAACCCATCGACCACTATCCTACCTTCTCAACTGAAATCACAGCACTGCGCTAACGCACGAAACCCCGCCAACAGACCATCTACATTCAAGGATGCATCACCACTCCCGCCCAGCACTCTAACATTCCCGCATCTTCGCAATCGATTCAGACAGTAATTGATGGTCCAGTGAACCACGGGCTGATATCATGGCTGTTAGTTCCCAGCGTCGGGAAATGGACCCAACTATCACCGTTATCAGGAGACCACGCTTCGTAGGTCAGCTGACAAAGCTTCAAATCCCGCAAAAACCTGATAGATATCTTTGCTCTAGCTCGTGGTTCGCGTGAGATAGGCAACCAACCAGTCTTTGCTGTGGAAAATTGTAGTACAACACATCGAGAGCTTGCTTTTGGTCGACGCATCTCACAGTAGAGACATGCGTAGCGGTCTACTTACGCAGATTCCAGGCGCGGGGTGGTCTCACGTAGAGACAGAAGGCCACGTTCCATGTTGATTGCCTGCATGTCCTTCTGGCGCTTGGACTGCTTGGACTGCTTGACCCGCTTGCGAGTGTCGTCGGTCGGATTCGCCGGCTTCGGGTGCGGGCGCAGATTGTAGGGAGGCATGATGAAACCACCAGTGGTACAGCTAATCGCATGGATTTCGGCGAGTGGGAAGGGCAGTGCGGTGCAGTGCGTGGAAAGGGTGGAACAGCGCGGGTCATATGTTTTATAGCCAACAACCCACGACGCCAAGACACGAGCGGTGCATGCTAAGATCAAGGCTAACCACTTCGGTGCGCACAGCTCCATATACAAAACCTGCGGACGCTCGCGAAGACGCGAACACCAGCGCTACAATATCAGCTAGAAATATGGAAATGCATAGTAGCTTAAGTCTTTCCAGGCTCTACTGTTTTCTTCACTCTGTACGGTACCAGCTTAGATACGGTCTATTCGTTGTAGGGAGAGACAGAGAAGTAGCGACCCAAATGATTTTGAGATCACTTTCTCACAGGCTATATTAATAGCGCCTATTGTGTGAAAGAATCCATTCCGTCTTCCGTGAGGTCGCAATTTCCTCTTAGTCGTCTTGCCGTTCGTACGGAGTGAAGTATCACATAGAAACCTTTCTTCGCGCACCCAACGTTTTCAAGCTCTGATTGCTGCGCCCTCTGTGTTGAATGAGCAGGGAGCGTCTTTAGTCGACTGGCAGCTCCCAGTGCCCACATATAAACGAAAAGGAGTGAGAGTAAGCAAACCCTGCATTCTCACACGAACCCCTGTAATCTGAAGCGACATTAGGATTCTGTATGTATCTCTCCCACTTCTTTCGCACCTCTACGCCATCTCTGTGGCAGAAACGCCCAGCAAGGGTCCGGCGGGAGACATGCACCTAGTTAGTTAGCGGGCATCCACCCATGGCCATACACAAACAATGCCATACTATATCTGCACATCCTGCCTGAGTCTCAGTGATTCACAATGTACATTTCGACGAGAAAATCCTGAGATACGCCATCGATAGCGAGCCGACGCAGGTTTTGCTCAATGAAAGACCCGGTTTCTAGTAGCGTCCCTCCCTCTCTAAGCCGCGATAACATGGACGCGCAGTCGGAGTGATGCAGGAGACTGGGTGTGAGAGACTTCGCGAGGTCGGTGCAGGGGTAAGGCCGGGGATGGAAGGCTTCGTGCCGTGGGTGCGGTCAGGTGATGGCCAAGAGACGTTCGGCTCTGATTCGTACGTTGGCTTGAATATGCGCATCTACTTGGGTGCGAGGGATGTTGCTGTATGTTTCGAGGAGGGTGCGGACCTGAAAGAGTTAGTGGGCGGGTGGGAAGGATTCAAAAGGGCTTACTTCGGTGGTGATTTTGGAGTGGATATTGGTGCTCCGCCAGCGTAGGTCTTTGGACGGTGGGGGGATGCGATGGTGTCGGATTCGGAAGTCATCGCAGGCTAAGGTTGTACTTTGGTTGGGTTCGATGGCAGTCGATGGACGTTTGCTGATGTCATGGATATCGTCAAAGGTTGATAATGAGCTTGCGGAACGCGCGAAGCCGTTGTATCGTGGTATAGAGCGTGAAGTCACGGTCTAGGTCACGTCTGATAGCAAAGTCGAATTAATGAAGCGTGAGAGGCGACCCAAAATGCCTCAGGTGCGGCGTAGTTAGGCGGCATTGATGGTGATAACGATGAGATGCCAGCCACGGTACCGGTAGTTGTCAGCGCTTACGTTCTCTCGACGCGTCAGTCTCGCGTTGCTGCTGCCCCCAACTCCTCGTCGCCCACCAGCCACCTTGCTTAAAGCTAGATAGTACCAGGTTGCAATTTTTCGATTCCATAATGCTCTGGACGTTCATGTAGCGAAGGCGGAAATTAAGTGACGACAGCCAATAATTCCTCCCGCAGCACCACCTAGCCGTGTGCTCCATGTCTCAGATGCTAATGCCGCACCCAAACCCGACGATCTTCCGTGTCGCTCACGAGTGAGTCTTTTTTGTTCACTGGAGCTGTTTCACAGCCTCGTATGCTCTCTGGTACCGCAAGCGTTCTATCTGTGAACGACGCGACGACCGCGATGACAATGCGTTTTTCCTCCCACCCGACAGCGGCCACACCAAATCCCAGAAGAGACTTTTCTAGAGCTCTACACGTGTAATGGTCAGACGAGTGACTTGGTTGCTTTTGAAGCGACTCAGTGAGTCCTCTGTATCGCGCTTGCTTTGAAGGACCACCTGCTAACAGCTTGTTGGCTCTTGTAGAAGTATGAAGCTATGCAACGTTATTGGTCTATAAGGCCTTAGTAGGCCTGACGCCGCTGGGCCGCTTCGATGTCATTCGCACTGAATTCTACCCATCACCGATGCGCTATCCCGACATAGCCTACGCACGACGCGTCCGATCCTAGTCGTCCGGTAGATTGCCCTAGGATCCCATGCATGGACTGATCGATCGACCCATGAGATTCCACGATGGAATACTAAAAGCTTGATTTCAGACGGCCATCATAATTTTGACGTCTGTTTATCACATACATCAAACCGCTGCGATACTTGATACTGCGCATTGGCACATTACATCGCGACGCTTTTATGCCTCTGGACGTGTGCAGCGCCAGGAAACCTCAGATTTCAACCAAGGCGCGCCTATTGAGAAGATACATCCTCTTATAGCCCGATAGCATAGGTGGCTTGCCTCTTGATTGAAACATAATGATAGTTAAATCTGAAGTTGAGCAAGGCATAAATGAGCGAAATGGCCAACATCCTTTCATCAGTGCACCACATCATTGGCCCCCGTAGTCATGTTATGAATTGGTAAAGGATGAGGGATCGCAGGTTGACTCTGAACGGTTCCTTCCGAGGATTGTTCTGGACTAATCAAAGCAACTAGGGTTGATAATTTATATAAGAAAATTTGCTGCTCCACTTGTAGCGAGCTTTTCTTGTCGAAATGTTATCCCTGTATTCGTATTCACGGTAAGATGGCGTCAGAGGAGACGAGAGCGTGTGGACCTACCCAGACAGACAGACAAGGCATTATCAGTCCCAGGTCGGAATTGCCCACTAAGTTTGGTGAACAACTGATCTTTTCGAATGGAGCAGTGTAACGTGGACGCAGCCGGCACCGCCCTAGATACACTCAACACTCTTCTACGCGTACTCCTGCTGGCTGGTCTTCTCTCGCTAGACGGCTGAATATCCCGAACATTTCGCCCGACGCGTCTGTGCTGTCTGTCGCTTCATCCCCAGGATGCTCAAAACACACCTTAGGCGAATCCATCCCGATAATGATCCGCACCCAGCCAGTGCTCAAAAACACCAGCGCTAGCAGTTTTGGTATCCGCCAGGGCTGATTTGCCACGGTCTGGGGGCTGGAACCATCCCGACTTTCGATCAAGTCCACCGATTACGTTCATCTTCAACAGAATTATTGTATGCAGAGTGTCTTGAGCAAGGCTAAAAGAGAAGCCAGCCAGTATTTGACCGCCTAGACGCCGCCGTGGCCGTATCCTGGCCCCTGTGTGCCAACAGGACGCAAGGGCACAGTGGCGCACCTGAAGGCCGTGCCGACGGTTGCCTTACCCTGAGACAGAAAACAAAAAGCCTTTCCATTTCTCCTCTCCTCAACCAGTCCCCGCAAATATCTACCCCGTTGCTCGTTTTTTCGCCTCGCTTCTCCTTTGTTGACGACACGTGCAGCTGACCGATGACACCGCGCTCTGGCATCCACACGTAGACGGTGAGGCGATGTGCAGAGGAGACTCATGAGAAGCGCGACTCGCGAAATCGACGCGCCAGGCTTCTTAAAGCTTAAGGAGTAATTGAGGGAGCTCTCCTTGTGCCTTCCACTTCTCAAGAACTCCCAATCGGTCGCGTAGAGCCACAGGATACTACGCTAATAACGGCAGGTAGTCTTCTAAAAGACATTAGGCGCGACATCGTTAGACAACTCCGAGTTCACCCGCGTCAAATCGTACCATACCCTGCGCCTGATGCGCTGTCCACCCACGTCCCACGCACAGAACGCTCGTCTCCGCTTGACGCTCGGCAGATCAATATGGGGTTCTATTGGAATGGGGCGCAATTAGCTCATTGGAGCCAACGATGCTTGTTCCAATGACAATCCGCTTTGTTCCAACGTTCCTTCATAGAATGCTTGTGACGGCAGCGATTCTGCGCAAGAACTATATCATTCACGGTAATGCATAATAAGTAAAGGTGCATCTCCCCGCGCCTCTATGCCTTGCGAAGGCTTACAGGATGTATTGTGTTGGGTGTAGAATGCATGGAAATATTCGATGTCACATACTAAAATCGTCGGCGATGAGATCTTGTATCAAGGCCTCGTTATGAGGCTTTGAAGTACAAAAGAGAGTGATTTGAAGCAAGCCAAAGTACCCAAGGGCAAAATAGTAATACACCACTTATCAGGGTTGTTTCATAAATGAAGATAGTAGCACGTCGCTGTCAACATCATTGTGGGCGTAGGAAAGCAGGGATCTGCGCCCATACGGTTGATATCTAGGTATTGAGGGAATAGTAATAGACTTGAAACAGCTCACAGTAATACATTCTGAGGGCTATACTGTAGCGATGGTTCAGTGGACTTCACTGTCGCGACAGAAATCCTCTCAAAGGTTTTTTTTGCAAGGATTCTCCGTAGCGCGTCACGAGTAGTATATCCTTTATGTCCTTCATATGAACAGTCCAAGTCGTGAAGACCTGTCTGTCTTGAAAGGCTTGACAAAACTTGAACTGTTGGTTTCCTGTGATCGCCAACGGAATAGATGCAGGCGTGAAAACTGTGTGCACTGGGCACAGCGAGATCCAGTCTCAACATCAGTAGTATTCTCAGGGCATTTGATTGAGCCTGCGCCATGGTATCTATTGATTCAAGGCGCGACAGGCGCAGCATAACGGTCAAAAGCTGGCAGCGCCGCGCTGAGCACAGTCATCGCGCTCTACGCACCGCACAATTTCTGCCCAACCTTCTCGAAGATTCCGCGCACAGATCGAATTTTGTACTGAGCATTCCAAGGAATCGGCGACTTTGCATAGCGTAAGGCTGCCACTGAGCATATGACGCGACGTGGCGCGTGAGAGCTCGCATTTCGACTGTGCGCATCCCCCCAGCCTTCTAAACTCAAATCACCGGTGTGGATCCGCAATCTCGTTGGCAGGATTCATTACTTTGGGGCCAGCGTTGCCATCGCCAAAAAGCTTCCTCCTAAACATGCCACAGTCCAGAGCGCCATGCATCCAGTCGCTCTTGCGGTTAAGCCTAAGGTCCGTTCTTAGACATGGGTCTTATTGGATGTTCTCGGAAGGTCATGTCAGATGAAGGGCTCGCTCATTGGCAAATAATCCCTGTCGAGACCAATGTTGAGGGGAGTCAGGCTGGACGCGAGAGGATGCTGGGCGCTGTGAAACAACCGTCTCGAAGCACTTGAAGCCTATGGGCCTTATCCCCAAACAACAAGCAAGAAACTAGTCAAGCTCTCCATTTGAGATAGAAGATGGAAAGCGGGGCAGTCGTGGATTACCTCAATGTGGATGTTTCTCCCTTGGCCAATACAATTGCACAAGATGGCCACTTGAAGCATTAGATCTCCTTATTTTTTGATTGGATCGGAACGACCCGTATGGTAGACGACCGTAAGGCAGACTAATGCCAGGGTATCATGCGGCTGTGGTGGTGCCGCTTTCCCCGGCCACCCAGAGATCATCAGAGCGTCATTGACCGATAAGCAGACCTTCGTGCAGGAAGCCAGTCATGCATTCACTTCCAGTCTTGAATATTGAGCCTCACCAGCAGTCCGGAACAGGGCTTTGCTCAGTGCTTGACGGAATTTTTACAGTAGCGGTGTGTGCCATGGGTGGAAAACTCCCAGTGGCACGGAACATCTGTGAAACGATATTCGGATTTGGGCGCCTTCTAATTGTAATCCTCGTCTTGGGCACCCGGAGCAAAAGGCGGTGAGGATTTGCGAAGAGGTTCTCTCTGCGTGCGGTCAAGATTTTGAGGACTCACTGTGTACGACGGAAGCCTATGGAAGCCAGCGACGCACTGATAGAACAAGCTCAAGTTGCATACATCTTCCATCATTGAGGAAAGAGTAATGGTGTACAAGCCGGAGATAAATCACATATAGTATGCTACCGATCGGTGTCAAGAAGCTTCAGGATCGCCTTTTCGACAGCAGCGTGGGCGTATTCACGCCTGAATTACAGTGGAGTGCCCAACTTGACACTGTAACGCATGCAGAGCGGCTGAGATCCATTCAGGACTAAAGTCTACGCTAATGCCAGCCGTAAGCATGTGAGATATCGTCAAACTTTCTAAGGGTTGGGGCCATTAACGCGCGCCCTGTTGCTGGGGTCTTTCACCTAGCCACACTAGTTAACCGATATTCTTGGAACGTTCATAAAGGACTAATCCTGCGCACAACTCAGGGCATATTTGATAGGATATTCTGTGAAACACTGGGTCCGGGGTTGATTCGTGGTAACCCTAGATGCCCCTGCCAACTTGCAACAAGCCGGCACACAATGTCGGACACCCCACACATGCCGAGGGCCACTGATCTCGAATCATCTCCTAGCAGACGGTTAGAAGGACGGGCGCGCTCTGAAGTTTGTTTTGATCAAGGGCTTCTATCCAAGGAATTCAATTCTTCCAGAGGATAACCACGGTAAATGTGGTAGAAGGGAAATCTCAAGTCTCTGTCCGAGCCAATGGTTTCTAAGGAAATTTCAGAATTAAATTCGAAGTGACTGTATGATAGACAACGGGATACTGTTACGATATCAAGAATCTTTGTTGATATATGATAGCACCAATGGTCGCTGTAAACCCTAGCCTGGGGTAACACGGGGATTGTGTTTGCAGATAATACTTTCCTCCGCGTATGATAAAGCGAGGACTATGACGGGCCGTCGATGGACCACATAGTGCAATCCTCAGAAAACAACGCATTCGATGGCGCCGGGCATATGAAGAAAACAATGGTACGCTTACACTTGGGCTACACTTATGTATAGACTCAAAGATGAAATAGCGGGGGTTGTAGTATAGCGTATATTATCACAATGACAACGCTACGGCAGAGAGAAGATATCAACTTGACATAAGACCTAGTGGCATAAATTCTCAAATTAATCGATGAAAGTTCACGTAGGCTCCTAAGATAACGTCCCGCGTACACCAAAAGACCTCGCCTTCAGCTCTAAGACCTGTTTTCTTGGCTAGTAACTTCCGTAGCGATCCTCCACCATGCCCATTCCTTGGAGTAATAGCAGTCGGTCATGGAGACATTGAAACTGGGGTTGAACCCTGCGGCGGGGAATCAGATGCGGTCCTTTCTCGTCCTTCTGGAGGATCGGGGGCGATGGTTTCGTTTCCTTCAGACTTTTTACTACCCTGACCTTGGGGTACCTCGGGAGATTCGGCTGGTGCTCATCAGCAGGCCGTCGCTGCGCGGTTCAACATACTCACGCGGCCGCTTCGTGCGGAGGTTTGTCTTGTGTTTTGGCATATTGAGATAGGAAGGGACGTACAAGATCTCACGAATATGCGAGCTTGGAACGAAAGTGGGATGGGAAAGGTTGTTCTGAGGAACCAGAACGACCGCGAAAGCAATTTATACTGCGCAAGGCGATTTGCAAGGCTCTCAACTTCGCTCAAATTGTTCCTCGTAACAGCGTCAGAAGAGCGCTCTGGCTCTGTTGCAGTATACCCCGCCCTCCTTGACTCATGTCCTCGCATACGAGTGCAGAAGGGGCGCAGAAAGGTAGCAAAACGGGTCTCTGCAGCACCACCTGTGCCTCTTTACCAAATGAGTTCCCGGCGGGCTTCGTTATCAAATCCCCCGCCTTGGTGGCCGGTGAGCCTTTGGAGATCCGTCTTCCTATTCGCTGGTGTGTTGTTTTGGGCCAAGATCTCTTCCGGGAGCAGGGTAGCGTGTCGTGCCGACGCGCATCATCTGCATATGCGCAAGCGACGACAGGTCAACGGGGCGTGAGAGAACACCAACGATTACCGGCCGTCCCTGGAAGTTTCCGTGGCAATCTGTACAGATCCTTACTATTCGCCCGGTTCCAATTCTGCTCATGGGCAGTACCGGCCCTCTTGTCCCGAGCGTTGTTGTACACACTTATCCATGGCGGTGTAATACGCGCCTGGACGCGACTCCCTCTTGATAAAATGGTCTGTGACGACCGACGCCGAGATATAACACAATGCAAAAAGCCACGGCGGATAGTTGTTGCAGCTCTTCGGAAGGGTTGGGGGGTCTGGAGTGGACTCGATAGCCTTTGCTGCACTGGCGTAGTCGCATTCGCAAAGCGCGTGAGCCCAGTCGCTGGCGTTTGCAAGCGCCAGCGTCCTACGACCTTCAGCGTTGATCCAGATCTGCATTGAAAGCAGCATCCTATGGCATCCAGCTTTCTCCGAAGTGATGACCCAACGGCGTTCAGTTGGATCGATGATTGCCTTGGTGCCTGGCGTGGAAAGAGTGACCCGAAACGGTCAAGTGGGTACGTGCTTCGGTGCTAGACGCATCGTGCCGGGCCGCCATTACCACACAACGTTCCTCCCCCACAGGCTCCGCGGAACGCCTAAGTCGTCTTGCCAGCACCATCAACAGCTGTCGACACGAATACAGACGCGACAGCGAAGTAGGCAGCTGTCAAGGAAAAGATCGAGTAGCGCGACAGACCTGAGAGCAGCTTGGCCGATGCCGTAAAGATAAGGCCGAAAACCCCTACAACAGCAATACGGACCATGAGACGTGATATCCGGGCCAAAGCAAACATTGTTGCCGTCAGTAGAACGGGAACAAACATACAAGCGATGATGTCGAAGAAGGTGCGGAGCGTTGATAGCCTGATCTGACCAGACCCTGCGCTCATACGAAACCATCGGCGCAGCCGCTCCAAAATCTTCTGGTCAATCCAACCGATATTCTTGACCGCTAGGTCCATAAGAAAATCATATGAACCAACATCCACGACGGCGATAAATTCTGGCGACGCTGGATCTTGATACGCTGCGGCCCCCCCGCTCTCGTTCGTAGGGCAAAAGATGCCATCCTTAAAGAGCTCAGAATTGTCGTTCAATGTCGCGCCTGCGTACGAGCCATGAACAGGTAACTGGTACAAACTGTTCACTAGACACTGATCTTGAGCTGACCACCATCAGAGACTGAATCATCGTAGTTATGTTGGCAAGACTGACCGTGGGCTCTCAACTTGTTTTCATACCTCATCCATTTGCCATAGAGCCTTCCATCTCTTTTCGAAAGTATACGAGGGAAATCGAGTGTTGTCAGAGGGCCCTGGCCATCCTGATTTCGCAACTCTGCGATATCGACGTTGAGCTCTCGTTCCATCACAAGCAGCTCTTCCTCATCGTCATAGAGTTTTTTGAACCATTGAGGACCAAATTTACGAAATTTGAGTTGCTCAGGATACTCCGCGCTTTCTCTGTAGAATCGTCCGCAGTCATAAATAGGTCGCGAGGTTTCTTGTGCTGGCATGATGTCGGGCGTTTGTATGCCGAGACAGGGATCCTGCAGGATTAGCCGACCAACAGGCGAACTCGAAGAGTACTTGAATTGTGAAAGATCTTTCGAAAAAGGAGGAATAAACTGCGTTGTAGTGGACTCCAAATTGTAAGTTCAACCTCCCACTTTATATATCGCCTGAGTGGGCTGTACCTTGCGCGGCGGCACCCCTTCGGCCCATCACGGCACAATATCTAGCATTGTCACGGAAGCCCAGCTCGGCGCCCTCTACAGAGCATCGAACGAACGGGACCGGCCCGAGGGGGCACTGCATGCAGTCAGCCTTCATTCAATCAGTTGAATGGAGCAATCTAACAGGGAAGATGATCACAGAAGACGTACCGCGAACTGCACACGAACATCAGGTCCTTTGATGATAAGATGGTGTCATTCCACGGCTCGAGATCTCCATCCATGCAGGCGCGCGGCAACATTCCCATTAGTGTTCATGATTGAGGACCTTGTCTTAGTTCGGGCCGTGTTCGATGGGCTCCTGTCATCTGTATCAGTCGTCAATGGAACTATCTGCAGATCGCGAATCTAATCCTAGTGGTCGGACCTCGCGTATATAGGCGCGTGATGTTCGTATCTCGATCATCCGAAGCGTGGCAACAGATATACTCCAGGATCTGCGCAACATCAGCCTCTCGCAACCCACCCACAATGAGCATCGTCTCGGCGGAGATGCGGCACGGCCGTTTGATCAAGCAACATACCGTCGCACAGAGCGTTTGAGTGCGTCGATGTCGGCCATGGTGAAAATAGATGTAAGCGCAATCCCTTCCTAGCGTGCGCAGATGGGTTTTAGGGGGCCAGGCTACCTGACATCTTCAGAGGGAAAAGGCGTGGGTGGTCAGCTTTATACAAGCCTTGCGATGGAATTGGTCAGAGTCGGATCTCACCCCTGCGTTTGGGAACACAGCCTTGTAGCGACGAGCCCTCGGCCCTTCGAGCGATTCCAACAACGGGACCATTTTGGCGATGGTAAGCACAGAAACCTGATTCCCGCATGAAGGCCTCCCATAGAAGACTGTTCCAAGACATCTGGGCCGTCAGCATTGAGATAGCGCATGGTAGACGTTCCTAGCAGATTCAAGCGATCTGGTGGGGTAGAAGTCAAAGCCGCGCGGATCTTTCCTCCATGTTAGACCAAGAGACATGATTCTCAATAAGGAGGCCGGGACTTGAAAGTATGATGTTCAAGATCTTGGGAAGAGACAGGGCCAACAGGACTGTGCTGGGACTTACGGGGGCTCTCGTTTCTCAACGAATCACGAAATCGCCCTCATCCCATAGCTGAGCATTTCGCCACCACCCGCCCAGAAATGTTCCACACGAGCGATTCGCTCGTATGTTCGCATCAAACCTCGGGGCCTATCCCGATGCCGGAAGAAGCGCCAGGACCTCGTCGCTACGCTGGCTTCGCACTATTGAAAGTTCATGCCGATGAGGTCCTCCATGCACGCGTGGAAGGTGGGTTGTTTCTGCCTGGCCATCAGGTTGAGCCCAAATGTAAGTAGGCGCGCTTTCCACTCAAAATATTCTGCACGTGGCTAATACTAAGCAATCTAACTCGTTTCTCCAATTGTCGTGCTCGCGCAACACTTGTGCTCGCTGAGTGAAACTGAGCTGAGCCAACCGTGGATCTTATTGGATCTCGAGAGATGCTACTCCCGTTAGTGTCCACTCACCGTTTGTAGCCTTCCGTGGTCGAGCGGAGATTATGGCCATATTGCCGACAAGGCAGTTGAGATTTCGGCTTTCAGCGTAGCCTGATGGAAAATGAATATTCGTATGTACTCGAACAATCAATAAAATAGTGTATGATCGATGTTCACGCTAAAGGCACCAGCACTATTTACACAGTCAAGGTCCTGACATTGAATCCACGAGTCATTAGAGTAGAGCACCTAAGTAGCCAAGCCATCGGTTCACTTAATCTGTCGCATGTAACAGCTGTCCAGATACGCATTAGGTCCATCCCGAACCTATCCTGTGTAGCCTCCACGGTCCCGAAGACGTTTCCGTGCATTTCTCTACGGATATTTGCACTCAAAACGGCCTGTCGACTTAACGAACACCAATTTCGACAATTTAATGCAACAAGGAAAAGGCCATAAAATCCATTAATGCTCTTAGTACGTTTCGATGCCACAGGACTGCGTCTCAGGCTGATATTGGCACTGCGCGAAACGAAAGAACGATTAGCATCAGGGAAGGAATGTGTGCTCATCATCTCAACTACGCGTCAGGGGAAAACTTCCGATAGTTAACTACAGTAACATGTGAACATTACACAGCAGTCAAGTTTCTCCTCACTTTGTGACCACACTATCGCAAGTCAGCGTCTTGCTTGGCAGAAAGCCTCGATCGATTTCCGAGACGACGAGAGATAACTCGACAACAAGTATCATAGGTTTTCAGTTCCACACGTCAGAATTCTAGTAAGCCATTCGCAACGTCGAAGGGTATCGGCTGCGTGACGCTGTGCCGAGCGAGTCCGCGAGGGCTAAGAGATGGGGTTGCACCAGCCCAGCAACCTGGCGGAGTTTGTGCTACCTGCGACATCGCTGCTCCAGAGACTACGGGGGTGCGGGGGCCTACAGTATAGAAAGTCTATTCCCAACGGGGTGAAAAAATATTACGATCGCTTCGTATCCTTTGCAAAACATTGTATCAGTAACTAGCACCGAGCATCACATCAACGCTGAAAGACTCCTCCTACGCAAAGCACCATCTGTGTATAAGATCCGATCATTTCGCAAGTCGTATCTATGGCCTCTACGAGGCCTCAGGAAGTTAAGAGCAAGGGTTGGACGCGGCCTGGTTGTAAGCATAAAGTTGATGTCGAGATTATTCCAGGCACCGAGATCATGAAGGATGCGGGCGGAGTGCACTTTGTGCACGCACAGAACTCTGCTGAGTTGGTTGTCCTGATCCCTCAGCCTACAAACAGACCTGACGATCCTCTGGTAATTACTTTTGCCAGAATTTAGTTTGCTAACCTTGACTGATTGCATCGCAGAATTGGAGCCCATGGTGGAAGTTCATTGTTATCTTCAATCAAGGCTTCTTTGTGATTTCGAGCATCGTTCCAGCCTTGTCTATCTCGCCTCTAACGCAACTCCTTATGGACAAGTGGCAAAAAAGTCTGACCGAGATTGCGTTGCTGGTAAGGACCCAAATTCCAGAGCTGATAATGTCAAATGGAGGTGAGACTGTACTAAGGCAAAGGTCTAACAATTTTTTGGTCTACCTTTTGCCCACGATATGGTAACACACTGCACCAAATCTTCGCCCGGGGACTATGGCTAGCAGACAAAAGATGACGAAGCTGACGTGAACGCAGACTGGAGTCCTCGTGATCACCGGGGGTTACTTCAACTTCATTATCATACCTTGCAGCGAGATTTTCGGAAGACGCATCACGCTCCTCGTATGTGCAGCACTCAGTCTCGCCGCCTGCGTTTGGTCGGCCACAGCGACATCTTATGGTTCTTTTCTTGGTGCCCGTGTATTGACAGGCACGGGTTCTTCCGCAAACGAGAGCATAATGAATGTCGTTGTTGCGGACATGTTCTTTTTACATGAGCGTGGGCGGTACATTGGATCATACTTGTAGGGCACCAGAATCCATCAATCGTCTGTAACCCCCGAAGTCTCCTGAGCTGACCTTTAGCCTAGCTGGTGCTATTTTGTAGGGGTACTCTTAGGTCCTATTCTCTCTGGAGCCGTTGCGGAACAAGTCTCATTTCGCTGGTTTTTCTGGGCTTGTGCCATCGCGCAAGGACTAAATTTACTCTTGCTGATGTTCTTTTTCCCAGAAACGCGTAGACTCCACGAACACAAAACTACGCACACACCGACGGGGATTGTGAGCGAAGTTGTTCAACGGTCGGCAGCGATGGACAGTAGCAAGCGAAACGAAGCAGTATTGAGCGAAGATGTTATCGAGTCGACCCCAGAGCATACCGACGCGCTCACTGTAGTTCGGGATGGCTATTTGGGGAAGGGGAAGCCGAGTCGAGCCCAATTTGGGTTGCTACAGTCCGTCGATGGCGCTGCATTGAAAGGAATCATGCGACATTTCTTCTTGCCAGTCCATATTCTGTTCTTCCCTATCATACTTTGGGCATCGATGTCCATGGGTTCAGCAGCCAATTCTCTTCTGGGAATCAACCTTCTTCAATCTCCAGTATTGTCTGCCCCCCCATACAACTTCAATTCGGCTCAGGTCGGATACGCCAACTTTGCGCTTGTGGCTGGGGGAGTTATCGGCCTCGTCACGGCGGGGCCGTGGTCTGACTGGGTCTCGGCTCGAGCAACAATGAGGAACAACGGAGTTCGTGAGCCGGAAATGCGGTTGGTCTCATTAATTCCGTTCATTGCAGCTGCTCTCATTGGACTCGTGGTAAGTGAAGACCTGCTCAAGATCGTTGTTGCGTACTTATACAGTGCCTGGTCGGCCTACATATCGCCGAGTCTAGGGTAATTCACTGTGCTTAACCTTTTTCGGTACTATATGCTGACTGTCTGCCAACCTGTAGGTGTCCGGGGTAGGCATGCAAGACAAGTGGCCATGGCCTGCAGTTGTGATCGTAGGCTTCGGTTTCGTTGGACTGCAGGTTGTTACCATTTCAACCATAACCATCACATACGCAATTGATTGTTACAAGCCGGTGACCGGAGAGATCATGGTGATTGCTACTGTATGCAAGAATACATTCGGTGTAGGTTATGTCCCAAGCTATTGTTATGTCTCACGACATGTTCCAACAATTCTAATTCGATGATCAGTTTGGAATGACTTATTACATGAACGATTGGGCAACTAAGAGTGGTTACATTCCGCCGGTTATGCTCCTGCTGGCAATGAATGTAGGTATTACCCTCCTTGGCACAGTTGTCTTTATGTTTTTCGGGAAGACTTTCAGGCGTTGGACGAAAGATTCGAAAATCCATTCACAATAATTGGTGACTTAGGACTGAGCGTAGGAGAGAGCTGCGTATCTAGGTTTGAGCCTCCCCTGGATGTGATCGCTGGCTTTCCGGATGTGTTGTAATATTCACGGATTGTTCCATCACTTAATTGCATCAGTCACTTACTGAAGCACACCAGCTACGTCCGTAGTTTATGAACGGATGTACTTGCACAATTGCCTTTTGGTGCTGGTACTACCTTCTAGAACAGCTTGAAACGTACCATACCGTTGGTGTATCTCGTAGAGATGTGTAGGAGGCCCAGTCTTCGCACGCGCATGTAGCTTGCGCAACCCCAGATTTGACTGTCGAGAACGCGATGATCCTCGCCTCGTGTTTACCTGGGCAGTCTTCAGATCGATACCTGAGGCAAAACATATTGCACTAAACCGACAGTAGCTTAGCGCTAACCCGACTTTCGTGTCTCTCCGCCAGAAGCGAGTGTTGCGCTGTCCATCCCATCTCATTCATTATCGCGGCCCTTCTACATTTCGATATGAGTACTTGTTAACACTGTGTTGCATTTGGAGGAGCACTCATGCGCATGTTTATTGTCAATTGCGCATAGGGCGAAGCGATGCCGGTCGATCGCGGTCGCGCGTCGAAAGCGTGTGCAGCGTGTCGCAAGCAGAAAACAAGGTGTTATGAGACTACAGCGGGTAAGTCATTGTGAAGCACAAATTTGCAATCAGCTTACCCTGAAGGGCGAGCGTGTCTTCGTTGCGATCGCATCGGTCAGGAGTGTTCACTGACTGCTGAGACGCCGTACTCCCGTCCTACTTTTAGTGGCAATCCTCTTGGCGACAGCAGTGACATAAATGACGAGAGAGTTGAGCGCCTCGAACGGCTCGTAACTGCTCTAGCGAGACGGCTAGACGATGTCGAGTCCGAACTTTATAGCCAAAACGGCGAAAGGAAAAATAGGCAAAATTCGCATCTGGAAGTAAACTCTCTTCTAAACCCCGAATCGGAGACTGGAGAACAAGTTCGCGCACCATTATTTGTTCTTCGGGACGTTACTGCGCAGTCTGGCGTTCGGCGCGCAGATCGCGGCGCAACGAACACTCCATCACGGGCTATTTCTGACGACATCATTTTGAAAGGGCTACTCACTGAAGAGGAGGCATCTTCGCTGCTTGCCCTTTTTCAAGAGAACTATGGCAGGTGGGTGTCTTTCAATGCGACTGCATCCACAGCCCGCCTACTTGAAGACGTCAGGAAGTCCCCACTGTTGCTCACAGCCTGCTGCTTGATCGCCGTTCGCCATGTTTCACAGGAACTAGCATCCCGCCTCGCTCCGAAGCTCTTTCAAGATGCGAAGCTATTGCTTTCACAAGCATTGCTAAGCGTTCCGCAACCTATCGAGTTTTTCCAGGCTTCACTTGTTCTTTCAATGTGGTCAACCACTATCGGACAACTGCCGCTGGGGATCGACAGCTGGCTGCTCAGTGGATTTGCCCTTCAGCACAGCATTGCAAGTGGTCTCTTTGCCTTTGCCCGAGGAACTCGCAGTACTGCTTTGGAACAGCAAGATCTCGATCGTTTGTGCATCTGGAATCATTTATGCCTCGTGCACCTCCACTATTGTGTCGGAACGCGTCGCAAATCAGTCCTTGATGAAGAGGACATACACAGAAGTAGGCTCATTCTTGGCTCTCACAACGCCACAAATTTTGAGTCGAGAATGGTGGCAGAGGTCCATCTGTATTGGGTGATCTATCGAAATTGTAGCGAAGCACTCGATCTACCACGGACTCAAGAATCACTGTCCAAGTGGAAAGAAGAATGGGGCTGGCTTCTGGACCAGCCTCGTTCGCAATTTGTGCAGATGGGCTTCTATTTTGCGCAGCTCATGGCCTACGATCAATCGTTGAAAACCGGGTCATCTGCAGTGCGAGAATCTCTTCTTTCCGAGATGGTACGCCTTTCTTCATCGATTATCAATCTCGCGATGAACACGACGGACGAACGAACGCGGCATCTCACGGACCATATCTACCACATGATTAGTTTTGCAGCAGTTACTCTGTGCCGACTGTTGAGCAATTACGAAGAACAGCTCTCTCTATCACACGACCTGAGCAGGCTGGACGAGACTGTGCTGTCTCTTGTATCGTGGCTACATGCGATAGGCTTTCCCTGTCACGTCGCATACACAATGGGAGATGTTGTCGCTGCTTTCCACAAGAAGCTACGCCCGAACACAGGACCTAGCCCTAACACCTCCTATCTAGGCGTGGATCCGGCGATACAAGACGATTTTGCGCTGCTCTTTCCTGAATTCTATGGTAACTCGTCCTTTGATCTTATGCACGGCTCGATACTACCTGACTTTCAGCCTCTTGTATGAAAGAATTTAAACGTAGGGATATGAAATGCCATGACCAACAGGCGGGATCGGAAAGGTTCCGAGTGAACATACGACCATTCACGATTTCGGCCTGAACGGTCATCACTCTGCAGCACTGGGCAAAATCTGCGCGTACTATACCACACCTCCTGGGGTAATATATAACATTCAAACTCCCAACGAGAGTCTGAAACACACCAAGATTGACAGTGTGTTATGGAACTACTATTGCTTGAACACGCATCGACAATCGAAGATTCTCCACAGTGTTCGACAACAAGATTTGGAGTTCTTGTGGCTGTGATATATCGGTATAGAATATCATATGATAGTTCTATGCGTGTCGACAGGAAGAGGTGTGCTCTAGAAGTCCATTTTTTTGTGTCAGCCACTGTGCACTTCCTCTTCTCCTTCAATTCGGATGGAGCTATGGAATTTGTTCCGAGGTGTACTTGTACGCTCGGAACAGCGCGTTTGGGCTGGATAGGGAAAACGTCCTTCTATCTCCTTTGCATCCAGCCCTTGTAATCTGCGAAATTCCCAAACGAGTTCACCATTTTGAGTTACCTCGAAGATCCTGCCAAACGCCGCTTCGGTAATCAGAGTATCACCGCCTGGAAGCCTCTGCACACCGCCCATGAAAGGCGTAAAGAACGTCATCGGATGCGGGTCCTTGTATTCCCACGTGAGCGGTTTGTCATTGCGAGGCACCTGGATGACTCTAGAGTAGGTTGCGCTCTCATGATAACGGAAAGTGCCGTTGTCGAAAATCAATATCCTGCCGTCTTCCATCTCGCAAGTGTCCTTCCTTCGAGAATATCATTGAAGCCAATGTCCCTGTAATGCTTCCCTTTGATGGAAAGAGTGAGCTTCCCACATGCGGCATGATGTAACGGAGAGCTTCGGAACGGAGAGCTTCGAAGTAAGTGAAGTAGTCCAAAAGGCCGAAAAAACATGGCCACGTAGAAACTCTCAAACACGCGCCCAGGCATGCTGACGGAGTCTCCAACGGACCACTCAAAACGCGGATCAACCATGATGTTGACGTGAGCCCCTTGAATGTTGAAGACTGGTAGAGTATACCTTTCCCAGTCATGTGGGACCATTAACATCCTGACCGGGCCACTCCTGACGATGTGCTTCGTCCGCTTCGTCCACAACTTGCGAACATTATTGGAGATAATATTGACGAGGAATCCAATTTTTCAATTCACGATCACATCGATATATTCTCCAGCCTCTAAGTTGATATCTACGTACTGAATGGGAGAGTTTGTAGTCACTACAATGGGCATTGGACGTTGCCAAGCCAAACCTCGCTGGTAGTTGGCTGTGAACGGTGCATGTACGTTCATCTCTTTGGCGCGTCCCATGACTTCGTGCTGAAGCTGATGATTAGCAAGCGCCAGATTTAAGGCAGGGTTACGTGGCGGTAACGGTACATCGAAGAAGGGTTTCGGTTTAGCCCTAGAAGCCACAGGCGAGTCTCCGCTCGAACTCTCCACCTCCTTCTCACCCGCTGCAGAGCGCAACTTGCTTGCTAGTATATCGCAAGGCAATAGTAGAACTTGATCATAGATCTCGGTTCAAAGCTCGCCAGGCAGATCGAGTAGACGAGAAGGCGCCATACTGTTAGCTATAGGAGGTAAGCAGTTGGGTTCGATATTGTTGGCTTGGAGTTTGTCGGATTTAGTGGTGAGTTGTTCCAATGCTATTGTTTTCGCAGCTCGCATCCTACTCTTTCACAGCGCGCACACTACGCAGAGTCAAAAGACGCTCTCCCATTCTTTATTAACGATATGAGCATAAGATCTAAGAGAATCAGCCATCTGCGCTGATTCGCCGCAGGCTTGGCACAAAGCCAAAATGGACGTCAACATTGTATAGTGCGACCCAACCAAAGGGGCAGTGAGCTCCCAGGCTGAGCTACCAGACTGTAAGTTGACTAACGTATGATTGACTGAGTCTACACAGGATGACGTATGCGCCACAATGTTCAATTCTTGATTTCATTCGCTATTCGCCATTCCTCAATCCTTAATCTTCCTTACAACTTACTAACAAACCCCCCAACATCCTTCGTGAACAACACCTGCATCGGCTCGCTCACTAACTCCTCCTTCTTCAGCGTCTGGCTCAACTCCTTGTAATGCTCGCTCGAGCCGTGCGCCTGCAGCGCCGCCATGTCTTTGTACCTGTACACTGCATTAGCACAACCTACCGCCACCCACAAGATTAACACAGGAAAGAAGATCATGTCAAGAGTGTGAAGGAGGGGAGGGAATAACATACGTCTCCAGCATCACGATGCACGGCGCATCGCCCTTTGTCTCAAGATTGATCTGGTATTTCAGCGTTCCGGGCTCTTTCTCCTTCACAGAATCTGCGGCAGTGCGGAGAAGCTCGACGACCTAGTGAGGTTAGGGTTGCGCGGTGAGCAGGATGATGGGTGTGTTTACGCGGTCGGCAGAGCCGGCTTTGGGCTTGATGATTGCGATTACGTCGAAGGGGGCGGACATATTGGCGATATTGGTCAAAGTAGATTTGATGTGAGGTGAGAAAGATTGAATGTGTTAAGAATGGTTTGGGGATGCTGTTTGAGGTTGGAAAAGCGGTGATGGTGTTGTGGGGGGGAAAGAGTGGGACCGAGGTGTGCCGAGGTACGTTTCGAGCTTTGCAGTAGCTCTCATCAACTAATCACAAATACGGTACCATGAGGGTAATTTTTGTGTAACTTTTGACGAGGAATCTTGTAGGTGACAATGCCTATGAGTAGTAAAAGACAGAAGAGCGGCCTTGCGCGTTAATTAAAAGGTTCTGTTTGGATCGTCTAGGTCTCATCTCGGAGGTTGCTATTCTGGGTGTCTTCCGTGCAGTATAGATCAGATTTCTCTTTGACGTTGGTCTTGTTCATACACAAACCATTACGAACATACTCACCCAAGGATACGCCATGTAACACTCACGTGGCTTATGATTTATCCTTCGAGTCAACTCCAAACCCCACAAATCGCAAGTCACGCCCATCTCGACTGCGCCATCCTCAGTTCCAGATTATCGGCATCATACACCACATATGCACTCCTAATAAACGAATTACCTAGCAAAAATATCCCCGACCCATTATTTGACAGCACGCCAAAATAGCACAGCTCCGTTCCGTCCTCGCCCCTCACCTCGCCTAGATTCGCCGGCATGCTAAACGGGTAGATAATCTCGCTATACGGCACCCGAATCTGCGGCCCATCTGCACCGTCCTTGCCGGCGAAGGTAAAGTTGAGTGAATCGGGCGAGGAGCGCAGCGAACACGGCACGTACGATGTGTTGCGATACGTGCGCAATGTGACATTGAGCGGTGCGGCGATGGTGTCGTAGAGGTATTGCGGGACGTACATGTTTGGAGAGCCGGTGTCGATGATGGCGTTGTAGGTTGTGCGGAGGAGTGATTCTTCGCTGCCGGCTTGGCCGATCCGTCTTGCGAGGGAGGTCAGGTTTACAGACCATTCTGTGAAGTCGTCGCCGTGGGGCGTCTGTATTATAGAAGTCAAAGGCACCCTTTTCATAGCTCCGCGTGCTTTGTATTTGTCCACGCCGCCGAAGAGAATGGTGCCTTCTTTTGCGTCTTGGTGGTTTAGCCAAACGCTGAAGAGACGCTTTCTGATATGGCCCAGTCTATAGAGGTTTTCCCAGAGGATTACGGACGCATTGACATTGCGATTTTGCAGCTGGCTTCCCAGGCCCACGATGCCCCATGTTTGCGCGTCGTAAATGGTGTCAATGACATCGACAAGCGCAACGGGGAGCTGAGGCAGTGCGACACCGCCGATGCCGAATGTGTCGTTGTAGAACTCTCCGAACATGATGTTGTCAGGTGTAAAGCCGTAAGACACACTGAAAATAGCGTGTATGTCGACGGCAGTCGACGAGGCGTTGGGGTTCCACACCGGTAACGGACAGTGTGGTGTACACGCTGGGGACGCAGCAGATGGGACCCAGGTGAAGGGCGACGCGGTATCAGGCATGATTGAGAACTTGCGCGGTGGTGTTCCGACAACTACTTCGATTTCAAGGTGCTAAATGAATAAGCATGTGAGACGGGCGATCCAGAATTGAAATGACCTACTTGTTTGTCCAATCTGTTGTAGACAGGCACTTCGACGGTGCGCAAGTGTTTTGCATGTCTGTGTACAACGTTTCCATGGTTAGCTACTTGCTCTCGTGTGCTCAAGCTCACGGCTTGTGCAAGAGCTACCTGTGCGCATATGAGGCTGTAGACTAGAGATGTCATCGTTCCGCGGATGCAAGTAGCAATGTGTGACCCGGAAGGCTTTAGTACTTTTCACCTTTCCTCTCTCGTTTGTAGCGAATGCGGAGGATCTACCTCCCTGTATTATTCCATTCGCTTGCCGTCCCATCTGACCGGAAGTTGCAAGCTCGCAGGGTGCCTTGCATAGCGTTCGCATGGTGCTGACCAATGGGAAAGTTAGAATGACACGCCAGCTCGTACACAGAGATCTTTTGTGGTATGCACGGATTACCAAAGTGGAGATCTTTGGTAAACCCGAGAGGCATGCGGTTCTTAGCGGACGTGAACGGTGCGAATGACCTCATCAGCACTAGACTGCAACATTATGCCCAGCTGCAAAGGTGCACTTTATTGTGTAAAATTATTATGTGCTGGCCAAAATGCTATACATCTCACCCTGAAAAATCAGTCTCATGTTGAATGAGCTTGCCGGGTAGCGGCACAATCTCTTCATATCTTCATATCATGCTGAACCTCGCGCATCTGCTTCGCCCCGCTCTCTTCTACAAAAATTCGCCTGCCCCACCCATTACCACGCTGCAATGCTTCCTCATTATCCGCTAGATGCATTGAAGTGATTCGTGTTTCCTGTAAGTCAGCAAACTAGAATAGAATAGAATAAATACCAAAGGTATACAGACCAAATTGACCATGATCACCCTGGTTAACATTGCCGTAGGTAACGCTGGCGCCTTGATAAACATCGCCTTGGTGTTCGACCGGTTCGATGTGCGTTTCTGGTTTACTATGCTCTATGATGATATCACCCTCCATGGGGCTTTCCTTTTCATCCAGACGAACATTCGCCAGCTCAGTGCAAAGCCCGTGAGCATTCTGACTTAGGTTTTCGATGGAAACCATATCAAGAGGTTTCACCATATTTGCGTTATATTTACCATGCAATGATACGATCATTAGGAAGATGATTGGGCAAGAGATCTTGTGGCCAGAAGCAGTCTTGCTCGCTGGGGCTTGTCCCGAGATACGTCCAAGTGTTCCGCCGATGGCCTTGCAATCCATGAATAAATAGGATTTCAGCACTGCGACATATCATCAATGGTAGGATTGGAGAAATTCTAGTATCAGGGCATCCGTTGATGCAGCGTAGCGATCCTTCTCACATCAGATGCCTGCGAGCTCAATGCTCTGCCCTGAACTGCCCTGAATGGTCTGTTCGTCGAACATTCGATTACTTTGCTACATGTTGCAGTTGGCTGGGGCTCAAGGAAATCGTCTTGCACTGTTTGTCCCAGCAAGGTTGCGGAGAAGATGTCAACCTCCAGGACCAACTTGGCCGACCTCCTTTGTTTTACGCAGTTTTTAGAGAGCACTATGAGACTTGCGAGATGCTCACAAAAAGGGGTGTTGATCCAAATGTTATGGATCATATAGGGCAGACTTCTTTGCACATGCGGAACGAGCAGTGAAGCGATAGTTTCTCTCTTACTCGACGAGGGGGCCAGAATTTGCACTGAAACATCTGCCTTGGAAATTTCTAGTGCGCCTTTCGCAAATTTTGAGAGTCCAAGAAGTATGTTGGACGATGATCTGACAGACGAGGAGGACTCGGTATATGCGCGAGATGGGAGAGACCACTCGACTCGTACACCACTGCACATCGCCGCCGAGTACAGCTGGGGTGCTCTAATCAGAGTGTGCTATTGAACAAGAATCGTTCTATTGTTCATGCACTGGACGTCAACAAGAGAACTGCGTTGCATAGAATCGTCCGAAAATATTGGTACGATTTGAGAACCGTTGAGTTGTCGCTCGATGCCGGTGTTGATGCCAATTTTCTGGACAAGGATGGACTCATCGCGCTTCATATGCCACATACGAGCGCGATTGCCGTTCAGGTGATGGAGATGACATCTTCGGCCTCCTGCTACAGTATACAGTTCCTGTAGACCTTCCGACGTCCAAAGGTCCGGAAGCGCCTAGCAATGCAACTGCTCTTCAGAGTGCTGCGGGGAAATGTCATGAAGAACTCATTTGAAAGCTACTCGATGCGGGTGCCAATGTTGACCACGTAAACGATGATGGGTGTACAGCGCTGCACTGGGTTTGTGCCAAGGTTCCGGACCTCTTCACTGGGAACCCAACAGCCACATGTCTACTTTTAGTAGAGCTCATGAACGAAGCAATCATACCACTACAAAACCATTATAAAAAAAAAAAAAAAAAAAAAAAGCGTCAGAACTAGCAGTTGAGATCGACCAAGAGTATCGCCAAAGACAAGTTCACTTTTCCCAAAATGATACAGCGTCTATGTGGAACCGAAATGTCTGTTACCAGCCTCTGCAGCCGATTATTGACAACAGGCTCCAAATGATTCAATCAAAATCTTCATCAGACCATTCAGAAGAAAGAACTAAGAAGCTGAGAAGATCAGAAGAGAAGAAAAATCCGGCACCTCTTGCACGCTTCGATCAGTTCTCTGATTGAGCCTGAGAGCAGAGAAGGGATTACGTAGCACGAACGCACAACGACTCTAAGGTGTCGTCGTAGACTCTTATGACATTAGGACTTGTTAGAAACAAAGGTGGAAAATGAAAGGGAGAACACATAGAGAGAAAACTGGTGGTATCAGTCGCTTGAGTGGGTAAAGCAGGTATCTTTCCGAGCTTTTGGAGCCGCTCATCTTCCAATCATTTCCATGGACGTGAAGAAGCAAAGATAGTGTTGAATAAGGACGAATGGAATTCATCATCATATTTTGAGTCGGACGCGTGAGGTTTCCAAGGGTATCGCGTGTTTTAGCGTGAGCGCCAACACGCGACAGTGCGGATGACATCATCGATATTTACGGACTGTGAACGAGACGAAAGGAACATATCGAGTGCTCATCAACTGCATTTCAACAAGCCCGATACGCAGACACAAGCTACATCTGGTATTGTATGTTGGAACAGAGTACTTTCTCCGAGCGGCGTGGCATTTCAACCCTCCCCAATGAAGATGAAGCGTGGCGCGATAGACTCGTTCTTCAAGCCGTCAACACCGAAGAAACTGAAATATGAAGCAAACACAAACACTTCGAACCATCCTTCTTACCCTCACGTGATACCGCATCTCCCGACAGATTTCCAGGACCAACTAGCCTTTGCCCCCGCCGAAGAAGGGAAACCCATCAACGACCGCCTCCATCTCGATCTCGTCTACTACCAGCCATACATCCCCCCGTCCATAGCTCCAGGCGTCTTCGACTTCCTCCGCCAAGAGCTCCCCTTCTACCGCGTGCAGTATAACATCAAGCGTGGCCCTGTCGAAACGCAGATCAACACGCCACGGTACACCACCGTTTTTGGCGTAGACGAAACGTCCCGCTTCAACGAAGCCGGAGACATTGTGGACCCAAAGTCGGGAAAGAAGGTGGAGATGGGCAAGTACAAGTGCAGGCCACGCCCTCTGCCGCAGTGCCTCGATTACCTGCGCAAACTCACCGAGGGGACGACAAACGAGACGTACAACTTCTGCCTCGTGAACTACTACGCCGATGGAAAAGACTCGATATCGTACCATTCGGACGACGAGCGCTTCCTAGGGCCGGATCCCGCGATTGCGTCGTTCTCGCTGGGCGCGAAACGGGACTTCTTGATGAAGCACAAGCCGATTGCACCGGGGCCTGAGGCGGTGCCTGAGCCGAAGCAGGTTAAGCTGCTGCTGGGTTCGGGAGATATGGTGTTGATGAGGGGGAAGACGCAGGGAATGTGGTTGCATAGTATACCCAAGAGGGCGGGTGACGAGGCAAAGAAGGGGAGGATCAATATTACGTTTCGGAAGGCGCTGGTGAAGGCGGGGACGGAGAATTACTACCAGTACAATGTAGGAACTGGAGGTGTGTTTCGGTGGAGTGCCAAGGAGAACATGATGCTGCCGTGGGTGGAGGGTGCTCGAACTGAAGCTGAGAAAGTTGTGGCTTCAGATGCTACAGAGACGGACAGGGCGACACTGAAGGACGAGGAGATCGGTGATGTGAAGGCTGCTGTTGAGGCATGAAGAACGGAGAAGATGGACGTTGAGGTGCTCGCAACCTTCTGTCAACTGTTTACAGCCCAGGTAATTTGACTATGTTACTGGGTCGAAATGCATGAGATGCCTTCTCCTGTTTGGACTCAGTCTGTCGTTCACTGTAGGATTCGGTACGCTGCAGGTTATACATATTGGAAACATGGGAAAAAGAAGACGTCCAGCCTCGCGCTGTCCTGGTCTTGGAGAAGCTTGCAGTCGATGCAGGATCCAGTGGAGACGATGGGTAGGCTCGATATTGCAAGTCTGGGTCGCGATGGGGTGATGGAGCCGGTGGCTTGTGCGTGACCCCGCCCCGCCTCGGGCCTCAGAGCAGTCGATGGCACCCCGAACGCTGCGAGAATCAGTGTTGATCGAAGATTGTGTCGCCAATGTGTGACTCATACAGTAAGTGCGCTATTACTGCAGGGATTAGTAAGACCGGCCTGCATAGAATTAAGCCTGGTGACGGAAGGGGGCTATCGAGATAGCACTCGAGGGCGCTTGGCAGTCGTGCCTCTGAAAGAAAGGCAGGCGGGCGCAGGCGTTATTAACTCCGCGTCCTACCCTCTGCCTCGCGCAACTCTTCGCATACTCGACGACGCCCTCACCTCACGCCCGAGCGCGCACACGGCTCTTCTAGGACGTCATTGACTGGCTTCGCTGGTTGCGCATTCCTCTCCGCGACCAATCCGTACAAGGCGGTGAAGCCGACCGAATTGTTGTGCGTCGGGCGCATCACCATTCCAACCGGCAGCGCGAAGGCTTATCTGAAGAGCGCAGGCTTCGGCGACCGCAGCGCATCGAGTAGACCCCCTGCGACGGCCGCAGGCCTGTTCACCTGGCCACGCCCCAGCTTCAGAGCCCTTTTCGAGCGCCTACCCGACGAGGGCCCTCCACGCATCGTGGCTGTGACGAACTCGCCCAGCATTCACAATCACTGCTTCTCTGCGGTCTGAGCACACAACACACACGGACAACACACGCGAGCGCATACTTACCGGGAACGAGCTTGCGACGGCTCTGCCGGCCATACAGTCGACCTAGGAGGGGCGGACGACAACAAGGACTCCGCCAACAGCTGGGAGCACCACTCTTAAGTGAGAACAATACTGGCTTGGCGCTGGAGATACGACTATATTTAAGGCCGCGCAGCCCACAATCCAGCCGTTGCAGTTCAAGCGACCTTTTCGCACCTCTCATCCTGACTGTACTCGCTGGCTATTCGCTGGCGCGACGTCCTGCTTGCTTTAGCTCCGGAATCCGTCCACCAGCAGCTGCTGTAAATTCACCTTCCTCGGACTTAGGACACTAAAGTCCGTTTGCATCCGCACAGTGACGAGGATGCCGCCGACTCCGCCGTCGACGACCTCGTCGAATTCGGGTCACTCGCCGCCTGACCCCCAGTTCAGGGTTGTCCGGAAGCGCAACCGCGTCCCTCTGTCCTGCGGGCCCTGCAGGCATCGAAAGTAGGCCTTCATCCACGTGCTCCAGTATCAGGACAAAAGTCTTAGTACAGTGTGTTACCCCAGGGTCGGCAATATCAAAGCCGAATGTACTCAGACTTTTGTCCTGGTACTGCATTGAGACGCAATGCTGATGCTCGCAGACTGAAATGCAATCGTGGCCACCCGTGCGATAACTGCACCAAGCGGGGAGATACCGCATCATGTACGTACGCAACTCCAGGCAACCGCAAGAAGAGCGCGTCCAGCACTGGCTCCGCCACTACTCCAGATGACATGCAAAATCGCATTGACCGTCTTGAAGGATTGGTTCTTTCTTTGATGACCAATGGCGCCCAAAGTGCTGGACCAGCCGCCGCGCAAGCAGCAATTGCCGCCAGTATCAATGGTAGCAATAGCTCGGTCGATCAGCCCTATGACATCAGCCCCGAATCAATACCTGAGGAAGATGCTGGCGACGAAAGCGAAGTCGAGAATGTCACCAAATCAATTGGTGTCATGAAGGTTGACAACAACCGTGCGATTTTCGCATCAGAAGCGCATTGGTATGCGATTTTAGGAGAAGTACGTTCTACAGCGCAAATGGCCGCCTAAGCTAACGGGCAGTAGATTTCGGAGGTGAAGAACTATTTTCACGATCACAAGAAGCAGTACGAAGAGCAGCTCAAGCGCTATAAAGCGACGCACACGGACGACATGAACATCGGAACCGCCTTCCTCTTCGGCAGCCAGAAGCCCATGACCCAACCCGAACTACTCCAGCGGTTCCCGCCGAAGCAGACCGCCGACATCCTAGTATCTCGATACTTCAATACATACGATCCGGGAATCCACATCATACATGGGCCGACCTTCCAGAAGCAATATGACAACCATTGGATGAACCCCAATGACACGCCCGTCATATGGCTTGGTCTGGTGTTCGCCATGATGTGCATAGCGCTGCAATCGTACACACGGGCAGGTGATGAGCCTCCAGAGTACCGTGGCCGATCGTGGGCCATGTCGAACGAATACCGGGAGTACACGGCGCAGTGTTTGGCTGCAGCGGATATCACATCGCCCATCACAAACATGCTGGAGACGATGATTCTACATACCTACGCCGACTACGCCCGCAGCAGGGACTCCCAGGCCGGCATGATTGTCAGCACAAGCATAATCGTGCGACTGGCCATGCGGATGGGGCTACATAGAGACTCGGGACCATACGCAGGCATCACGGCCTTCCAGGGAGAGATGCGGCGAAGGGTCTGGGCAGCCATCCGATCCATGGATCTTCTGTTCTCTGCGCAGGCTGGGTTACCGCCAGTTGTCCGACCGCGCGATACGAATACCGAGATCCCGCGCAATATCTTTGATGACGAGCTGTTCGAGGACATGAGCATCTTACCACCCTCGCGGCCCGAGGAAGAGGCAACGCCGACATTGTTCCTCATTAACCGGACGCGTCTCATGTACAAGCTCGGGGAAGCTGTTGAGCTTACTGAGGTTCTTACGTGCGCCTCGTATGAAGAGGTCATGAAGCTTGATAATCAAGCGCGAGAGCTGCACGACAGGATATCACCCCATCTCAAAATACGTTCAATGGACGAATCCGCGCGAGATCCATCAACTCTCATTATGCAGCGCTTTACGCTCGAGCTGCTGTTCCTCAAGATTATATGTGTGCTTCACCGAAAGTTCATATCTGCGTCCAGAGTCAACGCTCGGTTTGGCTATTCACGACGCGCATGCATCGATGCGTCAATGAAGATGCTCCAGCACCAGGCTACGCTCCACCGTGAGTGCCAGCCAGGCGGGAGACTACGTAACGTCAAGTGGTTCATCTCTTCGCTCACTACGGTCGACTTCCTACTCGCGGCGATGATAGTATGTTCCGATCTGTATCACACCGCACGACAAGAACGACATGGAAGGAGAGACTCCACGGACATGTACTACTGGAGCGAAGACCGGCGGAACGAAATGATTGATGCGATCGAGACGGCTGTCGGCATTTGGGATGGTCTGAAAGAGCACTCGATGGAGGCTTACAAAGCGCATGCAACACTCAGCGTCATGCTAGGCCAACTGAAGGGAAGTCATTCACGATCACAGACGCAGAGCTTCTCCAATACACCAGCCTTCAACACGTCGACTGCGATGGACGATGCCAATGTGGCGCCTGAGCACTCGGCTGCGATGACGCTGGGCATGCTTAGCACGGGCGGCATGACACCCAACTCGGCCAACATGTTCGAGACACGATACCCACCGTCCATGGCGAACCTGCTCAACGATCCTGTGCCGCAGCAACCGACCGGCTTGACGCCCAACTTTGGAGCCGCTCCAAATGGCGCGAATGGCGAGATGCGCGCTCCCAGTCCATTCTCCAATCTCTTCGGAGGCGGCTTCCAGAACATGGACTTGCCGAGCGCGGACAACATTGACTGGGTCAGTTGTACTGATGATGCCTTCTAGATGCAGCTAACGGGTAGCAGAATGCATGGGACTCGTACATCCAGGGGCCGAGCATGGACGCGACGAACTCGTTCTTCCCCATGGACTTGGGTGGCATGCCAATGCAAACGGATGGGTTGCCCAACAGCGTCCCGACGAGCGGGCAGCCAAATGCCAACATGTTTGCTGCAAATGGCGGACCCTTCATGGGCGTGAGTATACCTGCAAATGATGTCGACACGTTGTCTTATGACCTCCAGGCACCGCAAGATCCGAAAACGTCGTCAGGGGATGGTTACGTGATGGGCTTCGCGCTGCCAAAGTCGTCGTAACGAATATCCCTGCCTGGACTTGGTAACGGGGCGGGAGTACAGTGGCAGTGAAGGTAATGGGTGCATTTGTCGGGCTGGATTCTAGACGCTCATTGCGGTGGCCTTTGCGACATGATCTTATTGACGAATATGATGGGATGAAGCGATGCTGGTTTAAGTAGAATACCTGTATCAATACGCACGAGCAGGCGTCGGCGAAAAGTATGATATCCATTTGTTGCTGGATGTTCGCGCTCCGGATGTGGCATAGTGCATCTGCCCCGCATCATGTGCGGGTGCATCGCGGAAGTTCAATCGCTGCTCAACGTAGACGGTTCAAGACTTGTCTCGAATATACTCTCCCATTCAGCCCCTCAGTCACATCGTTGCACTGCTTGCCGCTCATCTGGGCCTCCTTTGCGGTCGGCCTCTCACCACGCCACGCCGCGACCCACTGCGTCCAGCATCGGCTGCTACCGCCGCCCCACCTCCATCCCCCGCCAGGCCTCCCGTGCGGACCCTGAGGCTCTTGCTGGAGACGCGAGGCGCTCCTGGCGACTTCGATCCGCACGACATCCCCTCTGCGGCGAGTGGGCTCGCGCGTCGGGCGGGGGCGCATACGTCATCCGTCGAGCAGGGCTGACGCCTCGTCGGGCGTTTGTTGGACCGGGTCGCGGGCTGGGCTGGGTCGCACGATACGACGCAGCGGGGCGTACCCAAGGCCGCGCGGGACAAGGCAAGGCCAGGCTGCGGTGCGGCTGCGCCTGAGTCCAGCTGGGCCGGGCTGGGCTCGACTTTGCATCTCGTTTCCTTTGTTTGTCCATTCGACTCGCCGCTGCTGAGGCGTGCTGCCTACACAACCCCGAGGACAGAACACGTACTTGACGCCGCAACCATGTCCACACCAACGCCCATATCCCCGCCCTCCTCCGCCCCCGCAGGCTCGTCGAACGAGCCCGCAGAACCCCCCGTCTCCCCCATCGGGCAGACTGGCTTCCCGCACAAAACCAGCGCCGCCGTGTCCACGCGCACGCCCTTCATCGACACCGGGACGCCGGCTATCAACGCCGCGCCCGTGGAGCTCGACGGCGTGCCGACGAGTCCGCCCGCCGAGAAGGGGGGCAAGAAGGGCAAGGTAGTAGGGCTGGGCGAGGAGGACGAGATTGAGGCGGAGTTTTTGGGGGAGGGGGGGAGGAGTGCCGGGGGTGTGGTTAGTGAGGTATGTCTGCATACGCCTTACCCTTGCGCTAGAAGGTTTGGGCGGGGAAGTGTGGAGGGCAGCGAGGCTAATGCAAAACAGAAGCGCAAAGCAATGCTCGCCCAGCGCGGCCGCGATCCCGGCGTTATTGTGGATTTACCCACCGAGCCGACTGCGGAGGAGGTGCGGGCTGCGAAGGCGATGGAGGGGGCTGTTACGCCGGGGGTGGAGAGGGAGGAGCGGTGACTGGCATTTGGAAACTGAAGAGATAGTGGTGTGGGTGCGAGTGGAGCTTTGATTTTGGAGCTGGACAAGGGAGTTTGGTTTGACTTGTAAGAGATGACGAGTTGAGATGGATAGGCTGCGTGGCGTAGGTCCTGCCACAGTAGCGATGATGACCTCCACCATCATCATTCATCTATGTTTTGGGGCTATCTGGAGTTGACTTGACCAGATGACAGACGTCTATATAAGCACTTCTCTTTCCGCCTGTGCGGCTTCCTTCTTCGCACTTCACTACTCTGCTCGAACACTAAAAGTAGTATAGAAATAGCTCACGTATTTCTACCGTGTGCGGGACGAAAGCTGACGAAGAAGAGATCATGTCGTCTCTCTGCAGCATTAGAAAACAAACGCCAAAAACCTCATGTCTTCTCCTTCTGCGGGACTAGACCACCCAGAAAATCGCCTACCAATGGTCTGCCGTTGTTGCACCGTTCCAAAAGGCGGGGAGCCTCGAGTTGTATGGTTTGGTCCCTCTGCGGTACCAAAGCCGCAAACCTGAATGATGGTGTGTTCTGCCGCTCATGACACTTTTTCCTTCGACATGTCACGGCGCTTCTTCGTTCCCTCGCGTGGGGCACAAATCCACCATGGGAAGCCCACATGAGGTTCGACTTTGCGTCGCATACCTCAACCGTCTTCAGACAAAAGCACCTGGATGTCGATAAATGCCCGAGCTCCCGTCACACACTTTCGCAGAATCGTAGCCACAAATACTATGGGCTTGGGGTCTTATCTACCTCAGCCCCAGCGTTCAAAATCTTGACGACTCGACCATGTTCAAATGCTGTGAGGGGAGGGGTGAAGGGGGTGGCGACTTGGAGGGTTGACCCGGGGTTCTTTGGGGTGGACCAAACGGTTGCCAGTCGTAAGCCTTGGGGAGGCACGACGGTGGGAGCCTGTCCAGCTCTTGACACAGCATTGCCCACGCTGCAGCGAAACCAAAGCCTGTCTGGCGCCATGTGCAGTCTGCGACTCCAGAGATCTGGCATGCTTTGACAATGCGAATCTTCTTGCTCCGTTCTCAAATGAAGACCAAAAGCTGCTATGTGAGTCTTTAAACGGCTTGCTCGACTGCTTGAGGTGGTTGCCGGATATATCCACTGCAGAGTCTCCTGGGGCAGAAGTGCCACGTTTTATACCAAATTCGTGGCTTCCGATTTTCATGCGGTCTTAGTCCTGACATCGGATGATTCGCATTGCTACAAATGTATAGCTATTCTGAGCGATATTTCCCTTGCTATAGCTAGTCGCACCCACTCAGCTCATCCTAGGTATATCGATATCACTTTCTGCAGGGCCGTCAGAACAAGGTGTAAACCATGATGTAAAGCTGTGTCAGAATCAGGCATTCAGCGTTCAAAGAGTGCTGTGGACATGTGGTAGAACGAAGGGCCATTTGTGAGCGAAATGCTGTGGAGCTGTGGCAGGGTTACAAGAGTGACGAGGAAACATGGCTGTGCAGTTGCGGTAACGCGTTGAAATGGGCTATAGTCTTATATTTGCGAACATACGAAGCTAAGGTCAAATCCTAAAGTACAACGTGAGGGAAATGCTGCCGATCCGCCGTGAAAGAATTACTGCAATGCTATGGACCGAGTCGAACAGATTTCTAGGATTAGGCTGAAAAAAAAAAAAATGCTGTGTATATGTGGCAGAGACGCAAGAATTCCGCGAGAAAATGCCTGTGGTGCTGTAGTGTTGTGGTGCTAAACACTCCGCTCAACCATCTTGATACCTTCTTTCTCGACCAAATTCCGACTCACATCGCACATGTCCCTACTCTAAGGAGCATGAACACCTGGTTTGCGCAGCGCAGGCTCTTCGTCAAGCAACAACTGCGTCGCAATCCCACACGCCGCAACCACAGACAAGGCCATGGCTGAGTAACCCTCTGGGTCTCCTAGGAGCTCCAACGTAGGCGTAGATGTCTCCTACAGCTTGCGTTAATTATGAGCCGTAGCCAAAGATATGGGGCCACGTACCTTCCGTCCGTCCTGCCACTCCGCCACGAACTTGTGCTGAAGCATGACCAGATCGCGCTCACCTCAACACCAGGATCAAAACCAACTTCGTTGAGCACGGTGATGCCGGCGCGCGTAGCCTCTTCGTCCTACTCGCGCATTGCATCAAACACGTAGCTCGTCGTCACGACCTGGGTGCCGCTTCTGATTGCTGATCTGATGACGGCTACGTGATGGGTGTAGGGGATGAGTGAAATGACGACTTGGTGGGCGGCGATGTGCTTGTCGAGGTCGGCTTCGGAAGATACGTCCAGGGCGATAGGCTGAACGTTGCGGAACTACGAGGCAAGCTCCTTAGCTGTTTTGAGGTTTTGAGATGCTTTTGTGCGTTAGTATGGCTCAGTGTCTGGCTAATGTGTACAGCTCACCCAGTGTAACACGGTTTTTAGGACCTACTCCAGGCATGGAGGTTCGCCTATGCCGCTCCCAAGAATCAGAATCTTGATGAGGTCTGCTGCATGCATGGCGACGAGAAGCTACTAGAGTGGCGGAGGGAACGTATGAAGGTTGCCGTAGTTGTGTGGCAGAGTACTTAAATCAAGAAGGGGAAAAGAAAGCAGAGGTACCGTGTATTACCCCAGGCCAGGATACCTAATGCCTCAAAGTACCTAGAATTTTGACTTACTGCTCTGACAGGGGCGTCGTTGATAGAGGTGTAGGGAGTGTTCGACGCGTCGGTTATTCCGAGTCATGAGAATGTTGGTCCAACGCTCCGAAACCGAAGCATACTACGAGGACGAATATGAAGGCGATGTTTTACCCTGAGGGATGCAACAAGAAGGCCAAATGTGATGAGGATTCTGTCTTACAACTTCATGACTGGTATGCTTTGCCCAACGGACGAAATTGGCGGGCCGTACATTATGGTGCACCGACAGAACCATGTCTATCTCAAATCCATCTATAGACCGTCTACACTCTTACGCGGACAGTGATGCTTTCGCCTTCGAGCAGTTTTAGCTTCTCTATGCTAGTGTAACGCTGCTGCTCGCCGTGTCCTCGACAAAGATACCTCCATAAACCACACCTTCCAAAATCCCGCTTTCCTGGAATCCCGACCTCAAGACGTCTGTTCCCGGATCTGTTGGATTCTTGTTCACACCGAAGTGGAACTGGCCGTTGCCCGTCAAGTCATTCGGCAAGGGCTCAGTGGCCTGTACAAGCGGCGCACTACCAGAAGATTGGAAAACCTGGATGGTGTTCGCGGTGAAATCCAGCTGCAGCGCAAGGTTGGTCCATACGCCTTCGGTGAAAGGCGTTGTGAAAAGCGTCTTCGTCCCGGCAGCAGTGTTACCTTGAAGCACGAGGTCGTTTTTCGTGCCGCCATTGCTGCCGAGGAGAGTACCGGTGCGAAGCATGAAAAGGTTGGCACCGAAGTCGGCGCGCTCAAGAAAGACGAGTGAGTACTCGTGGCTGATGTTCAACGGATGTTGCGCGCTGGGCTGGAGGGAGACATGGAGGGTCTTGACACCGGTTGTTGTGTTGCCGCCGCCATTGGGATTCAGCTCCGTGCGACGCACGGCGGTCTGCGCATTTGCAATGTTGTTCCCTGGGACGAAGATGGATTGGTCGCTAGACCGTCTCAGTATGGGCTGCTGACTGACGTGAAGTAGAAATGCTTACTTTATCTGTACCTCAATTGCCTTTGCGCCAACCTGAGCATCAAAATTGGAAGGCTCGACGCTGGGGAATGCGACTAGTTGGCTGAAGGTCAAGTCTCATCTCAGTCAGTGATCGAACTATGCGACGGCATGATGAAACACTGACTCTGTCCTTTGACGAAATCCTTGCCAAATGGCCCGGTAGTCGTATCAAAGTCCGCCTTTGTCGCATTCTCTTTCACTCTGCCATCGTACACGATAGTCGCGGCCGTCTTATCAACCGCAGTAGAATTGCAATCCTGTTGAGTTACGGCGCGAGCCCGCGCGATCGCAGCAACAGCCAAGAGCAAGATCGACTTGGCAACCATTTTGAAATATGAAAGAGTGAATAGAGTGAGTGAGGGCAATTCGCAGCCAGGAACGAACAAAAAAATCTAAATCTTGCAAAAAATAACTTCTATCGAACATAAATATAAGGCACCCAGTGGGCTTATAGTCATAATGGTGTTCCGCGTACATCGGTGGTACTATGGTCAAACCGGTCCTATTCGTTTCAAGCTATACAACGGCATATCAAAGTAGCGCCGAAAGGGGGCTCCACGTGTTTCGCGGAAGTCGTCGGAGCATTGGCATAAACCTTTGCGAACCACTGGAGTGCGACGGAGCAGAAGTTATAATAGCCATCGGCACGGAGAAGTTTGTGATTCATAATAAGGTCGCAGGAACTACGTTCGATGCATCGAAGGCATTAGACAGGGGTTAACAATCTTAGGGGTGTGCCGTTACAAATGCAGGGAACGCCAAGCTTGCATCGGGTCCAAAATTCTTTCGAGCACTGCGGATGGGAATTTCGAGACTAAGATGGTGGGAGTAATGCGGGTGAGGCAGATGGCGCATTCATGTGCACAGGGCATCTGCTCTGATTATCAGTTGGCAAGCACAAACACTCAATAATAGTGTGGAATTTTGAACTAAATGTTGTGAGGTATGCTTGCGTCGCCGGTACTGCGCTCTATCCCCCCCCCTTCCGGGGACAACCCTCATTCATCTTCTACAAAGCTCGGCGGTGGCGCAACATGCACCTCCCAGTACTTTGCGACTCTCTCACCCATCTTCTCCATCTTTTCCTTCTGCAGATCCGTCCTTGTATCGTTGCCATACGACTCGTGCGTGACGCCCACATCAAGCACACCATCCCTAGTCCCATCTCTGAGATAGTGGAGGAACTCCATGCTCACCCTCGTGTACTCCCTCAGCCCCTCCTTTACATCAATTGTCGCGCCTGTGGTCCACGACAATAATAACGGCTCGATGAGAGGTGCATCAGTGATGCTGGGATGCGAGGTCTGTAGGGACGTCATGAACCAGGTCGCTCCGCAGCGCTTGAGGACGTCGCGCGCTATGTCTCGGACCGTGTCGAAGTGTGGGCTACCGTAGAAGATAGTGTATTTCTTCGACCAAGAGTCAGAGTGGACGATGAGGAGAGGAACGTCGATGTCGGTATTCAGGCGGCCGGATTCTTTGCCCGGGTCTAAGATAATACCACCAATGGCGGGATTGCGGTAGATGCTCCTGCTTTCGCTTGCTGCGGTTTTGTTGGCGCTCTTGAGCGCTTGCATGGCTCCGGTGGCTCCGAACGAATGCCCAGCGATGACGGTCTGGGATATATTCAAGCGATCCTTCCAAGCATCTAGGTTCTTTCCTTCCTTGCGGTAGTTTTGATTGAAGATTTTCGCTCCGCTTCCAGCGTTGAGGGCTTCTAGAACAGTGATCGTCTCCTGGATCTCAACGTCCCGAAAGGCCAACTTCCTGAATCTGAAATCGTCGTTGGAGACCTCCTCGCCTGGGTTCTTTGCCTCCAGCTGGTTTGCTCTAAAGAAGATTACATCCTTCTTTCCGTCAGGCAGATGCACCAAAGTGCCTGGGCCAGACCCGTCTCTGTGTTCGATGGCGGCCACGACTACTCCGCGACTCGCTAGCTCGCCACAATACGCAGTATAGTCTGTGCGAGAGCTTACATCGCCATGAGACAGCACGACGATGGGAAACTTGTCCAGGTGTTCCTCATCGGCCTTTTCGGAGATACCGAGCAATGGCACATCGACCTTCGCAGGAATATCAATGCTCGATGCCAAGCCCCAGAGCGCAAACGTAAACAATGGCCTTGAGAAGAAGTTGTTGAAATGCGCCGCGGTAGCATAACCCTCCGCGATCAGGCTGATCGGCTTGGGAAACCACTTGTGTTTCGGCTTGGAACTTTGAGATCCTTTGACAGCAGGGTAGTAGAGCGTGAAAAGCACTGTGTCGAGCTCGAAAGCTGGCTTTCTGTCGGATTTGAAAACTCCGTCAACAATTTGCCGCGGGTCCTCTACTGGAACTTCAATGTCAATGGCACCAACATCGTGAGGGCCGGTATACTGCGGGAGCTTCGAGGCGAAAAGGGGAGACCAAAAGATATAGCAGTACAAGATGTAAATGGCTACGATAGCCCACAGGATGTATGCCACCGTAAACCGAGGTCGAAGGAAGTGCGCAATCCGCTGTAACCATGAAGATTGGTTTTGGTTCAGCCATCGAGGCAATGTTTTTGTGCTATCAGCAGCCCTCTGGATCCATTTGCTCCCGAAAGACGGCGTGTTTTGAAGCCATCGTGGCTGCGTGGACTCCGGCGTTATTGAATCGTCAGAATCCAAAGGTAGGGGCGAATCCGGCTCTTCCGTACCAGGCGCGTCGTCCTGGTAGGAGTTCAGCTGAACGTTATCGTGATAACTGCTGGGCGGTGTCATCATTGATGAGCATATCCGTCATGTACTTAATTTTGCAGAATAAATGGCAGCAGTGTTTCTGGGAAAGCGGCCTCTAGGAGTGACGTCGTGGCAAGTGGAGCGTGCCGTGTCAAGGCGCGTCGGAGTTAGTGACAAGTCAAGTCCGAAAATGAAGATCACGTGCCTCAATCCCATAGATCATCGAAGATCTTTCACAGTCAACAGAGCTTCAGGAGCATATGCAAGAAAAGTTGTAGAAGATCGTGAAGAGGGTTGCACGGTTGATTTACACGCAGTGAAAAGTGCATGCGATAGCTAAGTGATCCACTTCAAAAACTCTAAATGACTGCGATTCCAATGCTAGTCTGGTATATACATGAAAGTAAAAGGGGTCTCGAGCGCTATACAAAAGTCGTCCCACGTAATTAGTCTCAATCCGATTTTGCTAGATTTTTGACTCGATGTTGTCCTTGAAGTTGTCCTGGTTGGCGTTGCCCATCAAGGTGGACGCGTCCGGCTTGTACTTCTTGTTCAACAGACGAACTTCGTATTCCACGTCGAGAACAGCACCATTCTTCTCGTCTTTAACGGGCTTGAAGTCCAAGAGGAGGTCGTCCTTGACTGCGCAAACAGTGTCTGTCTCGAGGTACTGGTCGTCGTTAGGGTATAGCTGAACAGTCACGGGGATGTAGTCGTCGTGTGTGATCATGGCGTGGATGTGAGCGGGACGCCATGGGTGGCGGCCCATGATCTTGAGCAGGTCGGCGGAGGGTCCAGAAGTGTCGATAGCGTACTCAGTAGGCTTCAAGCAGTAGAACCAAAATTTTCCTTCTTCGTCGCTCTTGAACTTGCCGCGGAGGTTGTGTCGAGTCTGGTTCTCGGGATCGAAGACATCGTATTTGCCGTTGGTGCTCGCCTGCCACATGTCGAACACAGCACCGGGGATTCCCTTTCCTGTATCAACGTCGCGGATGACACCGTGGAAAAAAGTAAGCTCTCCCGATCCATCCTTGGGCATGTCTTGAACTACACTGTCGCCGTTCTCGCGGAAAGGTGTCTCGGGCGACCAGAAAGGTCCGAGGATGGTAGAGGGGGTCGGGGTCAACTTGTGCTCGACATCGGTAACGACAGTATGGTTGATCTCATCTACGAGCCTGTTAAAAGCGTCAGCAGCGGTTCATTCAACGCGATGGTCGGCACATAATCGGGGGGGGCACTAACGACTCGACACCAAGGATATCGCACACCCTCCAGGCTTCGTTCCGGTTCTTCTTGTAGGCTTGACCGATGGCATTAACGTAGTTAACGCCAATGATCCATTCATCCTGTGTGAGCTCGACCTCGCGGCAGAAGTCGTGCAGATGTGTGATTAATGAGGTAAGGATTTCTCTGTGGCGGGGCTTTGTCTCGGCGCTCATGAGGTTGATGACATTTTGTGTGAAGTTGGGGTCGAATTTGCTTGTGTTGCTCTTCGCACCATTGGTGCCGTTGGTACCGTTTGCTGCCATTGTGAAAATAATAAAGGTTCTTTAATGCAGAGAAGTTGGAACAATTGATCTGGGGTTCTTTGAGAGAGGAAGTGGGGGAAGCAAGAGGGGCGACGTCCAATTTAAACCTGTTGCTGGAAAGCGCGGTCCCTTACAACTGATAACTTACCTAGCATCAGAGCCGACAAGAGCTGCGGGTCATGCGGCGAATCGTACGTGACGGCTCCGGTAGTTTCGGTAGTTGACTATGGCAAGGCCACGATTGGATGCCTGTCGCGGGGCAGCAGAGTTCGGATCTTCAACTCGCTCTTTCTGCCCTCCATAGCACAACAAAAGCGTTTTGGAGAAACGTAAATAGTGTAGAAGAACTACCTGAAAATAGAGAGCATCACTGTGAGTTTCTAGATTGCCATATGCTTCTTCATTCTGTCATGTTGCGACAAAGGTGTGTGTAGCTGGCTATTTCGGCGTTCCCACCCCCGCGCGCGCCTGTGCCGCGGGTCTCAGACCAGGTGGATAAGTAAACAGCCGAGGGAAGAATATTCACCCTCCACGCTAACATCCCTAGCGGTGCGCCATGGCTTCCAGCCAGCCGCTGGCGCTCATGGTCGGCATGCAAACGGTTCGCGGATATCTGGGGAAGCGTGCTTGACGAATGTCACTTCCGGAACAGCTCATTGGTCGTGGTGAAGTTGACGTCCATGCATACATGCATATATCCCAAGACATACGCCTTTCACCAAGAAGCCGATGTACTTCCCCCGTCTATCCCACAAATGAAACGAATCAGGAACACAAATCAACCGCTTCAAGCTTGTGGCCGTTATTCTCGAGGAGAATCTGCAATACTTCCTATGCCTAGATCTATCCCGGTCTAGAGCGATACGGCGTGAAGGCAGTTGTCGTAGACGAGCTTCGCAATCCCAGACTCGCTTGGCCCGTGAGATGATTCTGGCCTTGGATGTAGCCCTCGTGCAGGGATTGCAAAATGCAGCAGGTGCACTTGAACACTTTAACCAAAGTCGATTCAAACGACCGCAGGGGATCTTGGACGACGTCGTGGATGTCTCGGTTGATTGGGGTGAAGTGCGAAGAGCAGAGATCTGTACTGGTTGGTTTTGGATTGAATAGCGTTTAATCGTACGCGATTGGTCTCCAACACTGGCGCCGTGGTCTCAGTGCACTGTACTTCTACAAATGTGAGTACTAGCTCGGCCGTTTGTACCCTGGTCTTGGACTATTGCCGTATATCTTTGGAGTCTGCAATCACCCAACCCTGGGATACATACGATCACGTGCATCACTGAGCGCGCGGGTCCCTGCGTGATTGGCCATCAGAAGTATCGTTCCCATGATTGACCCCGAGACTAAAGAGAAAAAAAAAAGCAACCATGAAAAGCATCCAACACAGCGGGAGTAACAGCAACTGGTTTGATGAGCGTTCCGACGGTGCTGGGGCGTTCAGTTGCAGCCTCGCGTTCCAGCTGCGAAGAGAGGCTCGGGCTTCGCGCTTGCGTCATGGCCGAGGCGCAACCACGCCGCGCCCTCGGAAGGACGGTCACCACAAACCTGCACAGTAGCGTCGGATGCAATGTAGCATTATTACCGCTGACATTCTCAGCCCTGCAAATTCTAAGCAATCGGAGCCGGGTGCTCACCAGGAGCTTGGAGCATGCTTGCACAAGCAGCTAGCGATGCGCTAGGCCGCAAAACATCTCGGTATTTCGCGTCATTCTTCAGTGTAGCAAGGCGAGTGATAGATGATTTATGAGCGACCGGAAGTAGACCAGGCCTATCCGACTACAATGAGAAATGGAAGTAAGCTATACGAGGTACGCCCGTTGGCTTAGTGATTAGCTGCAGGTAGTGTCAGCGTTTGCCGTTTGTTTCCAGGTGCATCGATGAAAACGTGATTTGCGTTGATGAATACATAAAGAACACTCCCAGAAAGCAGAGGGGGGTTTTTTTTTTCTCATAAACACAGCAATTTCTTCACGTACGGTCAACATCATCAGAGCTTTTCGCCAGCCTCGCTAACTCCTCTTGCAATCGACATTGTTCGGAAATCGATTTCAAGCAAAGACGACAGTCAGATCCAACATGTCTATTCGCGCCGCTGTCGTCAAAGCCTGGGGTAATGCGCCTGTATACGACAGTATCGACCTCCCCGCGCCCTCTGAAGACCAGTTCCGCGTCAAAGTCCTCGGTGCTGGCGTCCATACCCTGGTGCGGTCTCGCGCCGCTGGAAAGCACTTCTCCATGGCCGGCAAGAACCCACCTCATGTTCCAGGCACTGATGGCGTCGGATCCATCGATGGAACCAACCAGCTCGTCTATTTCAATGCTCTCTTGTCACCCACAGGATCGCTTGCGAAAGAGATCAATCTGGGAAAGCGCGACGTGTTTCCCCTGCCCGAGGGCGCGGACCCTGATACAATTGCTGTACTTGTCAATCCAGCCATGAGCTCGTGGATGGCCCTCACAGCCCGAGCGGGCATCCAGCCTGGAAGCAACGTGAAGGTGGCAATCATCGGTGCCACGGGCGTAAGTGGCCAAACCGCGGTACAGATCAGCAAGGCATTTGGAGCGAGCGAGATCGTTACTATCGGGAAGCCAGGACTCAAGCTGGAGAAGACAAAGGAGCTTGGAGCCACTGCCTTGATCCCTCTGGCTGAAGACCTGACCGAGACCAACTTCTCTGCTGCTGCCGATGTCGATGTGGTTCTGGACTACCTCTGGGGAGATGTTTCCTCAGCCGCCTTCGCCGGGATCATCAATGCTCGTAAGAACAAAAGCCAACGGCTCAACTGGGTGGAGATCGGATCTCTAGCTGGCGAGACACAACCCATACCAGCGAGTCTTCTGCGTTCGGCAAATGTAGCCTTACTTGGCTGTGCACCCGGCAGCTGGACTTTCCCGGAACTCTATGGTCAGCTGCCAGGGATGTTGGAGGCGCTTGTGAAAGGAGCAGTCAAGACGGACTTCGAAGTGAAGAAGCTTGAAGACGTGGAGAGCTGGTGGAACGAAAAAGGTGGCGCTAGACCGCTCGTCAAGCTGTAATTGATGGATGCAGGTCTTCATTCATTGTCCTCTTGTGGGTAGATGCGTACTAAGCTGTCCATGGTCATAGAAAATCACGATGCACGATGAGATTACCAAAATCAAACAATGCACCCAGATCTGGGAACCCAAGAATCCATAACCCTCTTAGCAGTTCCTTAGCTTTATTTGAACGTCAAGGCTTTGGACCTCCCTTGACGTATCGCGTGTTCGTGATAGACGCCGCGTCCCTCACTTTACGTGGGCCAGACTTCCTGCAACACCAGCCATCGCAAGCGATGCGGCCTCAAACGATGAGTCACATCATTTAGACCATTGTCATTTACGTACAGTGGTACGCTTGCGTCGTATAACTCGTATTGTAGAGCGCTACGGAGCATAAGTGAACGCCACGCACATGATCGCGCGACATGGACGCGTGCCGATTCGTCGACGCGTGCCGTGTGCGCCTCGTTGAGTTCTGGACTTGCTGGCTATCTTTCGTACCTCGCCAATTCGTGTCAATGGTTTAAGATAAATCTCGCGTTTTGCTCGTTTCGTAAACACACATGTAGGATGCAGCTGACTAGCTGACGGTGTGGAGAGGTGGCATGTTGGTACATATAAAGACTGTTGCCTGCGGCGCAGAACCTGCACCACTCTTACAATGTCTTCAGCTGGCATCGCAGACACCTCAGACCCACCCAGTGCCATCTATACAGGCTCATGTCACTGCGGTAGCTTCACGTATACCGTACAGCAATCTCCCCCTCTCGATCATCCGTCATGCGAAGTGAAAGAATGCAACTGTAGCATGTGCGCTCGCAACGGGTACCTGTTCATTACCCCAGCTGAGAAGAACGTAAAGTTTACGAACGGTGAGAAGGACGAGTTTAAGGTACGGTAATAAGTCAAGGCCACTTGGCGAGATTTTTCCGCGTTAGCAACATAAGATCTGACTTGTCTTCAGAAGTATACATTCGGAAAACACATCTTCGCGCATTATTTCTGCGGCACCTGCGGCGTGAGCTGCATGGCACAAAGTTTGGATCCGAATCTGTGGGCGGATATTGTCGCGGTCAATGTGAGGACGTTGCAAGATGTAGACTTAAAGAGCCTGAATGTTAAACTGGCTGATGGGAAGCGTCTGTGAAGGGTACATCGCAATTGCAGGGCCTCGAGGAGTCGAACAAGGGGCCGAAAACATGTGGGGCTCGAGCAAGTGCTGTCGGTATCATCTATCTCGCATAAAGATGAGCACTTCAACGCTATGCAACTTATTATGAAAAGCTGCCAAACTAGATCGAAGAAAATAGTATTATGACTCTGCAATGTCGCCTGATTAATCTAGTTCCCAGTGGTATACGCGTGTTGCTCCCCTAATCTTCCCCAACTCTTTCGCATTCTTGCAGAAGAGTGCACCTGTTCAAAAATTGCGCCCTTACTGTTCGTCTTGCTCTTAATACCTTGTCGCAGCCCTCGCAGCATTTCGCTCCGTTTGCGAGATGATGTACCAAGCATGAAGTACGCCCGGAATCCAGCCTAGAATGGAAAGACAAATGTTGATGAGGAAATCAGCGCCGCAGCCCCTCTTGAGGAATACCGGGACCGGTGGGAGGAAGAGCGCAAGGAAGTACAGAAGGACATCGCTCTGTTGATGCTGTTAGCAATGACTCTTTCGCATGGGAAGAGATGCGTTACTGTTGACGATGGTGGGCGAGACATGTTGGTCGTGTTGGTAGTAATTTCAAGGTTCGGTTATGGCTAGCGTGGCTTGCTTTCAACCGTTGCTCTTGGAGTGCAGCACTGGAGATGTTCTGTGGCGGAGGAAAAATTGTGGCGCTTTGAAGCCAGAATCGCGGTTTATAAGTTCGCAGGCTGGCAACCCGTTCGCAGCTCAGTATTCAGCCTCCTGATGACGTGGTTTCGTCCAAGATTGGGGACCAGCATCCCTGTTTCTGGAACGCTCGGAAGCACTAAACCCGCCACGCTTCATTCAGCTTGCCGGGTGCCGATAAGTTCCCACGAAACTTGGAACACACGGCGAACAGGAATGTTAGCTACCAAGGATTCGCCGCTGTAGTCGACAGGGCTAGTTGGAGCTAGAGTCGCTGCGTGTAGCACAGCCATATGAACTTTTCTTCAGCCTCCTTCTGACGCCACGACTTCGGTAATGTTATTCCAAGACTAGAGAGTGAGTATGAACTACTGTCTACATACGTGTTGCCTGCTCAGGGGCCAGCCGCACACACACATCAAGGGTCGTACACAAAGTGGCCTTTCGTCAGCGGATTCCAGCAAATATCAACCAACCTTAAAACGGGCCGAATCAAGGCCTAGGTAATTGATTTGGCAACTCATGAACATGCGCCAGTTCTTTATGGATGCTCTTCGGGCTTCCACCCTCGCATGCAACGAACAGCAGCGCGAGGAACGCGAGAAACATATCAAATTCAATCTCAATAAGAATTGTTGAGCAGTCTTGATATATCAGGTAACAACTGATACAACAGCTGCTCTATGTGACATGTAGTGATTTCTCCCCGCCAAGAGTGCTCGGCCCTGATCGATACAGCCCAGTCGGAGGGTGTAGGTGCTCCATTGCTCCTCCCGGGTAAACACAGTACACTCAAACCTTTGAAGAAGCGCTATCGGTCTGAACCCAAGCTTTCGCAAAATCCTCATCGGCACTTTCGAACTGACTATCGTCTTTCGTAGTAGTATCCTCCTCGAGGAGATTACCATCTTTTGCAACAAGGTCTCCCTTGAGCTGAAATTCCACCTTTAACACGTCCTGCCCCGCGTCCACCTGAATCGGAACGAATATTGTCTCCTCGGGCTTCTTAGTCTTGATCAGTTGGTAGAGTTTACGGCTAGTGCAAAACTTCTTCCGAATGGCCAACCCGTACTCGTTGGCATACTCTTTATCAAAGTTTATGCCGACGGGTCCAGGAGTGAGATTTGCAATTCGGACAAGGACTGTATATTGATGCCATTGGCCACTTGTTTTATGCCAATGAAACGATCTTGTGATAGTGGTAAGAAAACGTGATTCGTACGCGCGCAAATTGAATTGGTTCGCACTACTAGGTAGATCAGTCCAGAGTAGGTGCTTGACGAGCCTTCGGTAGCAGTGGTTATGATTTCCGTTCTCAACAACGTTCTTTGCACCATATGGAAAGGTGGACTCCCGAGGTGCCCAGCGAGGCATTGTCGCTTGGTCTGAGCGCAATCACATCAATTAGCAACTCATTGATATATCCTGTGAGACGGTGGTTCGCACTAATGTTCATTTTTTATTAGGATTCTCGGGTATTTTAGATCTCTCCCTTGGATTTCGGAACTCAGTAACGATGCGAGAAAGACAAACTCAGTCCCCGGGAGCTCTCTTATACGATCTTCGCAGCTGCATTGTCGATATCTATGACTACCTCTTACGGGAAAAATTAATTCGCTTGTGTCATTATGAGGCGTTGTATGAAGACTTCGTCATTCAGGTGCCTCACTAGACTCACGAACAGGTCTGTGTTGGCTGTTTGTAAATAATTTGTTGGCTTGCAACAGTGATGAATTTGTCTGACTATTGGAGTGCTAGCTTCTGATAGAGCCACACGGGATACTTGGAATCGTAGCGTCGCTATCTGTTCGGCAATGTATGGACGTGAACCAGCTCTTCTGAGTGATTTTAGGTTTCACACTCGCATCTAGAAGATCACTGCTCAGAAGACGGAAAAACAAATAATTTTCAATCTACATAAGGAGTACGTTAGTGAGCATTCTCGAGATAGTCCAGTCATATTTTCCGTCCCTAAGCTTTCTGTCCTAATGCATACAGTACTAGCTTGAAACTGCTGGTATCATCTTTCTCGTCCCAAAGAGACACAATTTATCTGGAGAACACGCCGTCCTATCGACGTAACTTCTAAATGATCTCGCCTAAGTACTAGCGATCGTTCGGTAGATCTAGATGGGGTCTCCATCCACTGCATTAATATACATGGGTTTTTCGAACCAAAACTTCATGCCCTCCTCCTCAGTTAAGGAAAATCCGAATATTATTGGTATGCTAGATACCCTGAATCGGCAGATAATTCACATTAGATTCGAGCCGTGTCAGAGTGACGGATCGATTGTGGGCTTGGGGCCACTGTTGGAGGGTTGTAATGGAGGGTAATCCAAGATTTCAGCCAGCGACAGTGAGTTGAGAAACTTGAGGTCTGTCTCTCTCAGACCTCTTATACAACCTTTGAAACCGCCTCCGCCACCCGGGACGACAAACAATGCCTAGTGTGATCCAGAGGCCCTGTACGGAATCGTCGCTATTGATGTGCCTCACTTAAATATCAAGGGGGTTTGTTTAGCTGCTTGTCAACTGTGGGTGGCTGAAACCTGCGATGAAGCATGGCTTGTCGAGAATGCGATGTTCCATACGATTCCTAGAGCTTCTGATAACAAATTTTACAACCCAAAGACGATGATGGAGAGCTTTAATCCCGTACTCAAGTACCAATGACTCACAGCGCTTCTGTCATACATACGGCGACCTGTCATGACAAGGCGAGAAGAATGCTTTGCTTTGACCCATGGAGTGGTCTCTGAATGCTGGACATCTTTATTACACTTGACTCACTGGCCACTAAAAGCTTCCCGGCTCTTTTTGACATCAAGCTAAGTTACTTTATTGATCTGTGAGGTGGTAGTGTAGATTCCCAGGTCCATGTTATCCACTCCAAATGTCAATCTTGTGCCCAATATCATCCAGCCACTCAGCCTAATCCTTGAAAACCAGCCACCAATATTTAGACTAATGTACGGTATTAATGACCCAGTTCCAAAGTTCGGGGTTCATTTTCTAGGGTTTAATCCTTAAATCCACATGAAAGGTTGACCCTGCAGCAAACTGGTTTCACTTGTATCCAATTTGGCCAGTCCAAGATGTCATATGGATTTTATCCCTAATCTCGTGTCCGGGAACATAGTCGCACAATGACTCAGTTGTGAGACGCATCAGCCAAAGCAACCATAGGTAGCTCCTAATTACTTTTGCATCTCCATAGCCCGTGACTCCTCGCAATAATTCCGCAACACCACTCGTCAGATGTTGGGCACATCGTTTTGACCCAGGCTGAAGGTTGAGGTACCAAAGCTTCTGACGTCGTACATTGCACCTGCAGCTGTCGCTGGTCGTGCCACTCTAATCTGACCAAGGCACGGTACTCTGACAATAATTTGAGTATCTTCGGCCTAAACATTACCCACTTTTGGGGTATCCTTTAGTAATCAAGTGTCTATCCTGACGCTATACCATTTAACCTCACTGTCTTGGCTTCGGGTTGCTCGAGTAAACTCGCCACCTACGCCTCAACTTTTCCCGCAAAACTCAAAGAACACCGTCAAATGAGTATCTACTTGAAACCTTTTCGTCTTCATATACTGCGCCGTGCTGCCCGCATCAAGCTGCTCGCGCATATGGTTCCTTATATATTCCAGAAGAACGGTGATAGACGGATTCGGTATCGGCACTTCAATGCGTGCAGTAGTAGAAGACGTAGGATCTCTATATCCGCCGTGAGTCGAGCGCCCGCCATGGCTGGAGCGCTTGCCTTGAAGTGTCACAGTCACGCTGGCAGAACGTCGTTGATCGATTATTTTGTACTCCCCGTCAAGCTCGATGCCGGCGGGGTACTTGGAGGACAGGCCTTGCACGATGTTTTCGCAGCGTTCCTGGAACAACACAAAGGCTTGCGCAAATTGTAGTTGTTTCTTTTCGCTGGTACGGACGCTGCCCTGCGCTGAACGATCGGAACCACTCACTGCGGAACCTTCGCGTGTTGTATCGCTCATGCCCTTCCGCGGCTTCGACTTCTTGTTCGAGACGTCTTGGTATGATTCTGTAAAATTGAAGTTCGCGATGCCGAAGTGGTGCACGAGACGAGTCCAATATCGGCAGGTACGTAAGGTCGCGTGGTTGGACCCTTTCTTTATCCCCAGGTGGTGTCAGACGCCCCAAGCAGTCTTAGTCTCGTATTGAACAGGCCGCGATTGCCTTTGAAAAAAATGCCTACAGAAAGATGTTTTTGGATTCGTAGCCAGCTACCATAGGTACGCTGTCCTTCACGTGTAGTAAAAATGTTCGAGACGTCAAGTCTTGTGGAGTAATTTTGATGTCTATCGGTTGGTGGGTGAATAACCCGGATATATGGTAAAGGGCACTCATCATGCAGGGGTAGTTGCGGAGGCGAACAAAGCGACGAATTAAGCTTTACATTTTTGAATGCATCTGCAGGCACGGTCTCTTGTCCCTGGGTGCTATCGACTGTTTCTCCACGGGACCCACAACCCACCGAAAGCTCTAGCACCGACGTAGTGGCGGAAGGCAGCGATTGTGCCACGAAGTAAATGCTGCCTGTTGCGGCGGTGTGCAACAGCTTCCGCGGAAGCCCGGTTTGTGGTCACGAGGGGATCGGGGCGTACGTGTCACCACACAACACTGGCAGTAGGTTTCGCTACGAGGTGGCAAATATCGCGGACGACATTATTATGACGCCCCGTGATCAGATTTCTGAAATTCCTAGTCGACCCATAGCGCTTGTACTGATAGCTAGCGTAGACTCGGTATTTTCTCGGTCTTCGATCAACAGACCTCAGACACACTTCAATCAATCGGCGAGAGATTTTCCAATGATTGTTGAGGTACAGCTTTAAAGAGCGTTCTGATATGCTCTTCAGGTTATCTACCACCCACGGTGGCGTGTATGATGTCCACAAAGGGGAAATGTATACATACGCTAGCACGAAACAGGCGCCGGAATACGAAACCAAGATAGGACAGGAAAACCACGATAACGTCAGTTTTACGTCCAAAAGTCGATATTTAAGACTTCACAAGAAATTCTGTATCAACTGAATGCCTGGACAGTGACATTGAAGTTTCATCTCCGGTGTTCACATGGTTCCAGCACTCAACAGCTCCCCTCCCTACAAAGCCATCAAGCCCCACCCACCTGTTCCCCCTTTAACCTCACCAAGGCCGCGAGGTCCCTGCTCTCAAACGCTATTTTCTGACATACCCATGACCTCCAGACATAACCTTTCCTCACGGCATTCGATTTCTCGAAGATTTAACATTGGGATGGCTTAGCCCAGCATCACTGCCCAATCTTCACCCCAATCCCCTATCACCAATGTCCACATATCTCCTCATCGCAAGCAACTCAAGAAAGCAAGACGAAGGTCACCAAAACCCATACACAATGTCCCTGACGCCCCTCGGATCAACATAACACCTACATAACCCTCCAGACCTCCTTCGCTGGTGCACGAGAGCATTTTTCGGCCTCGATACCTGTACCTTAACACCCTTTCCCACCCTGCTCCCCCACAGCTCGACAACCCCGCGACCTTAATTCCTACCTCAAGATTCCCGCCCAGCTTCTACACCCAACCTCCCCAGTACTGGCCGAGTTTTCACACAAAGAGCCTAGGATACCTCGAATCTCTATTACTGCCCAATACCCCAACCTAACCCTGTACCACCTATTTGCACATCTCCCTCCACTGTACACAGCCATGAACCCAGCACTCCGAAACCTCGCCGATCGACCGCGCAACAAGTGACCAGGAATGACTCAGTGTACCATGCATGTCCGCAACAACGCCCTACCACTATCCTCATACCAATCCCGGAAACCGACAACAGAAGCCCCAGCAACGCATCACACGCATCTCGTCTCCTCGCTGGAAAACTCAGCCCGCCGCAACCACCATCCTCGCCAGAGAAGCCTGACTCCGACCGCGCAATGGGCACCGCAGCGAGCTGTGGAAGAAGATTGGGATTTGTCGTTTGAACGCTGGTACGATACTGTGCGCGAAAGTCTGGAGCTCGCTCAAGACGGCCACGCGTTGTTGGATGGATAGGAGGGGACAGAAAGGGGTTAGGATGGGAGGAAAGGTTGGAAAAGGGGTGTGTGTCTTGGTAGGCAATGATCACCGAGTCTTTGGATTGGCTACAACATCCCCACACCATCCTCAACGAGATGAGTGTGCTCTATCCTCTCCTACCCGACCTTGTCACGCTCACGTCGCATTCGCATAGGGCGATTGCAGCACCGCACGCATCCCCGAACCCCGAAGACACACATCACACATACCCAGATGGCAATTTCTGAAGAAAGAAAGAAAGAAGCTGTTGTATGTTCAAGCGAAGCCCTCCATCCCCACCGTCTGCAGATGTTACCTAAACACCACACGCAGGTTAGAGTACATAGCAGTGCTGCACAAGAGAAGAGGTATATAGCAAAGCACGAAAGCGCTGCAACGAAACGAAGCGTATGGACAGCCAGTAACGCCAACGCAGAACCAATGCAAAAATCCCCAGTTCCCATAATTACCCAATCATCCAATCAACAGTTCCCATAAGTCATTCCATCATACCTCTCCGTCCAACCCATATTTTACCTCTTCCAAAACTTCAAACCCTTTTTCTTTGGTGGCACGAAACTCACTTCGCTCTCGTCGTCCCCAGTCCGAAAACTCCTATCGTCCTCCTCCCCCTCACTGCTAATCTCACTATCCGCATAACGTCCCCGGCCGAGATACCTTGCTCCCACGCCCGCCCCACCCCTCTCCCTTTGCGCGAAATATCCATCTCCACCCCCACCCCCGCCGCCAGTGTCGTCACGGGCCTGCATATCCCTCCTGCTATATGGACTCTCCGGCCCCGCCCCCACGATTGCGGGGTGCGGGGGGTAGCTGTCCCTCTTGCTATCCCTCTTCGCATTCGACGCAGAGCGGTGCGCAACGACATGCGCGTCGTGCTCAAATCTCGCGTCGCGGTGCTGATTCAGGATACCGCCCATGCTGCGACGATGCACCTTCTCCTCGTCCAGCGGGACGTCCTCCGAGCGACGGTGCGGTAATTGTGACGAGTGGGATGCGTTGGTGTTCGGGATACGCCCGGAGGCCGCGCGCGAGGGGAGCGCCGCGGTTTGCGTCTGTATTCCGGTGTAAGCGGGCACGGGGGCGCTGACGTGACGATTCCTTTGCGCCGCCGCATACGATTCCGCAGACGACGGCGGCGCAGGACGGCCAGCGCCGATATCGACGCTCTGACGGCGGTTTTGCGGGACGCCGGGCGCGGCGGGGGCGTGTTCTGCGTCTGTGGGGGTGTGCGCGTCAGTATACGGCGGAGGTTGGGACTGGGAGGAGCTGCGCTTGCGGGAGGTGAAGCCTGGGATGATTATCCTGGGGCCCACTTTGTACCTTTGGCGGGTGCGCTCCTCTTCGTCCATTTCCTCTTCGCTGCCGCTCTCCGACTCGGAGCCTTCGGTATGGGAGCGTCCGTCGTCGCCGATAGTACGGCGAGGACGTCGCTTCCCGAAGACTCCGAAAACACCGCTAAGGCGGGATTTTCGTCTCTCTTTCTCCTCCTCCACACCGTCTTCGGGAGGCGTGTAGTTCAGTGCAGGGACGAGCAACCGGTAAGGAGTTGTGATTCCAGCAGGGTCATGTTGTGATACTTCCAGATTGAGACAGATATCGAGACCTCCTGCTAAATTAATGTGCTCTCCTTCGCGCCGCACTCCCTTTTTGCTCAAGATACTTGCACGACGGATAAAGTTCGGTGGACCACCGGATGCATCTCCACCAAGGGAAGGGCGTCGGGCTGGGACACTGTGTGACGACCCAGGAGCGTTGACACTGTCGACCGAAGCCCTCCGTTTGAAGAGCGATGTGAGTGAATTTCGCCGAGAGCGAGGGCGTTGTGGTCGTTCGGGAGAGAAGGAAGACTGAGGCTCAGTTTGACGATCATGTGCGGCCGTATTTGCTGGGTTGTTGTAGTAGGAAATGGGAGGCCCCCGCTCCTTGCGTCTGCCAGACCCACTCATACGGCGAACCATGTTCCCAGGGGTGTAATCAGACAGCGTCCTCGTCAGCCGTGGCCCATTTGCACCGGGCGAGGCAGGTGGCGTATCCGGTGGTGTACTTCCTGGGTTGTACGCGCGCAAGCTGCACCAGTTTCGGCGTTGAAGCAGGTGGAGATTGTTTCTCTTCTTTCCGTCCACATCGTGAGTGAAGAGAGGAATCATGTTTTCGTCTGTCTCTGGATCAAGATGGTGGATCTTATTACGCTTATTGATGATGTCCGCCATAATCTCAGGAGGCGGCGTGTTGACAATGGCGGAAGAGATGACGTTTGGCATATAGCGATGGTCCTTGTCCTTCGAAATGCCCAACTTCTTGTTGGAAAAGAACTGACCGACAGCAGCTAGATGAACGTCGCCACCAAGAATAGTGACACGGACTGACTTCGTGCGTGCAATGTGTTGCAGCTCGTGTATGAGCCAATTGCGCTCATCTTTATGGTGTTTTGCCGTCCAATGATCGTCCAGGTCGTCGAGAATCTCAACACCACCATCAAATTTGTTGACGAAACCGCCCAAAAGACCCATACGACCTAGCGCTTTGACAGGATCCATAAGTCTGCTGGTGAGAACATTCTCGAGGAAGTTCAAACGAGGATACGCGATGGGTACACCCAGCAGGACTATGAGGTGCTTTGTTTCCCCTTGAACGAGCTCTTCCTCCAGGCGATCGAAGATGTTGTCGTATGTATCTTCTGAAATAATTTCGTCCCGTTGGCGCTCAGTGCGACAGTCCAGCCCGAGGAATGCGACTTCTCTGCCGAGCTGCATGAACAGACTTCGGGATTGCTCCTTGATGTAAGGCCCAGGATGAGCGCCAAGAACCCATGAGGGTTCTGTTGCCCTTGTCTCTGCTGGAACAGACTGATGCTGGAAAAGCATGTAGTATTTGAAGGCGACGGCGCCAAGCCCGGTAAATACAGGTGTTTCCATGAAGTGGTGTGGATAGGAGCCGTATCCCTGAAGAAGTCAGTAGTGTATTTACTCACGAGCGAGAAGGCTACTCACATCGATAATGTCGTGATCGTCCCAGATGTTGATCATTGGGATTTGGGAGTTTGCCAATCCGAATAGGCCTTGCGAGAACCACATTGCGTAACGGTCCAGGTAGAACTGCTCGAGCTCGTTCTGTAGCTCTTCCGAGAAAGGAGTGCGATGTTTTTGCCAGACGTTGTTGCTCTCGGTCCACTGCCTAAACAGTGTCGTGTCGCGCATCGCGGCATCGTTATAGATCTGATCACCGCCGCCAATCATCACATGGAAAGGCCGGGTTTGATGATTGTTCAGCACATCTCGCCACATGGGGTCCGGACCGCAGAACTCTTTCGAGTCGACGCTCAGCGAGAATCCATTACAGCTGTGGAACATGATGTTCATAGTTTCACCTCGGGCAGGAACCCAGAAGCCAATGGCAGGCCCGCGGTTGATCCTGTATGCGATGCGCGCTTGCCTCGGTCCAAGCTCGACTTCAAGACTGAAACGCCAGAAAGTGACGCCCCTTTCGGCATGTAGCTTTACGGCAGGGATCTCCTTGAACTTGCCCAGTTTCTCGCCGTCCCGCTTCTTAATTCGTGAAGACTTCTGCGGGCCTGCACTCTGCGGACTCATGGAGCTTTGGAGTTCCGAGAATAGTCCAGTATCATCTTCTCTCAGAGAGAGATCGGCATCCTCCGGAATCTCATCAATGGCTTTCACGTAAAGGGTCTTTCCAGTCCGTGACACCTTCACTTGGCCTTCCAGTGGATCAATGTATGCTGGATGCAGGTTGTCTGGATCTACGTCATCAGGCGGGTGCGGTAGCAGATCCATAGGCTGAGTGAATAGACGTAGCGTGGGCGGCTTTTGGTACGAGGACCCTTCGTCGGTGGTCACAATCATCACGCTTCCGCGCCATATCTCCCGTTCTCTGCCTGGTCTACTCTTGTCTCGACGAAGGCCAGTGTAGCGGAGGAGTGGCCCGCATTTCAAGTGCAGCGGTGGGTTGAATGTGGTCTGGGTTGTTGGAGGATCCACGTAGCCGTCGTAGGTTGGCTCCGCATAACTGCCCGAACGTCGCCGACGTGTTGCACCGCTCTCCTCCCACCACGCTTTATTGCCTCCCGTACTATTAGGTCTCTGAGGAGCATCCAGATCCAGATCGTCCTCGACGAGCATACCCACTGCGCCCTTTTTCCACTCGTCTAGCATTGGTGGGGGAACGTAAAGTCTGTCAGGATCATGTTCCTCGGAGAAGACATCTCCGACAGTCTGATGCGATGGCGGCGCAGCATGGACTTCCGTGGCCGACTCAGAAAATCCCACGCTTCTTCTGTTTGCCACTGGGGCCGACGATGTGCCATGAGCCCGAAGATGGTCCTCTCTGTTCAGGGTGCCCTTCTGGTCGATTTTTTGCTGTTCCATCTGTGCTTCGAAAATGCCGCGACTATCTCTCTTCCTCTCGTGCTTGGCTGTCTCCTTCGGAGTAGGAGGTAGATCCTTAGACAACCTCCTGCTGTCATACCTGGCGACACCACCGCCTACGTGCCGCGATGCATTGGGTGGTGATGCGCTGGGCGGTTCAGCAACCCCAAACAACCCCAAACCGGAAGGTACAGGAGCAGGTTTGCGTTCCAGCTTTGCCACAGATTTCTCCAGAGCTTGCACTGGTCCTGATCGGTCCCGAAAGCTGCCCGACCCTCTTGCTACCCCGACCTCCTTTTGGTTCGCACTGGACGAGCGCGCGACGATAGGTCTGTCTGCAGGACCGACGACCTGGAGACTCGGTCCAATCGAGGCACGTTTGGATTGAGATGGAACTCGATGCGGCCCAGTTCCAGCGCGGCTTCCCGAGGGATCCCATGGATCAGACAAGTCGTAACCATATCCATCTTCAGATTCGCTCAGATCGTCCGGCAGTAGAGGGGACTTTGGCTTATTTTGCACGGGCATGGAAACATGTCGCCGATTACTCGTTGAGCGAGCAGGAGTTGGATCTGGCCCTGTCACCGGTCCAGACACATTCCGCTGCTGCTTTGCCGCGGCCTCACGCTCTCGTGCGCGACGGGCGCGCATCTCCGCCTCGGCCTTCTCTTGCGCTGCCAGCTCCATCTCCAGTATCCTTGCCCTCCTCTCCTCCTTGCTTATGTCATCCAGCTTGCCCTCTAGCTTCTGGAGTGGAGACCTGTCCGGCACCGAGGGTCTACGGCCCTTTGAGTTCTTCCGAGCCACCCCTTCGGCTGCTCCCGAGAGCGACTGCGGCGGCGAATATGGTGGTGAGCGCAGCTGTTGCAACCGCTCAGCAGGTATTGTGATGGCGGGCTGCTGGCGACTCGCATTCATGTATATCGTCGGGTCTCGAGAGCGCCCCGAGTGGGAGCGACTGGGCACTCTCGAGGTGCTCTTGGGTGCGTATGGGTCCTTGTACGATACCGGTGGTGGTGCTCGGGGGACGTCTGGGGCCGCAGGCAGGGTCTCGCCCGTTGCGCCCGTGGTAGGAGGCGGAATATGCTGGCTCTGTCTGCGACGATGCGACGCGGAGCGCGTGACGCCATTGGCATCTGAGGAAGCAGCGACAGGCCGTGCGGAGTTGCTGGGCATGGCGGTCGTGGTCGTGGTCGTAGTCGTAATCGTTGGTGCATGTGTTGTCTGGGCATCGACTGGCCGGCGATAGCTGGCGCCCTTCTTCGAGTAGCCATCAGGGAGCGGCTGCTGCGAACTGCTCGCCGTCTGCGCGACATGGGTGGCGTTGCTGCCGCGGTTTTCCGTACTTGGGCGCGCCATGGGCTCCGACAGTACGCGGGGAGGAGCAGTCCTCAGCAAGGGACTGCGGGGATCTGCGGCGGGGTTACACTATTCACAAAATGCCATCTGCTTTGGGTCCAATTGGACTGGGGCCGAATTGGTGGGCCACTAATGTGCCAGTGTGCAGGTAGCAGTAACGTGCGTGGGCGGCGGGATGCGGTGCAAGAGCGCGGGACAAAAGACGCGCCACTGTACAGACGCCGAAATCAGCAGATCAATTGCACGCGCAACAGACAAGACTGCATGTACATGGATGCAGCAGAACGAGCGCGCCGGCCGTCTGATATCCACGGCGCGGCCAGCGCATCACCGCGAGAAAGATGGAGGCGGGAAAGCGTGGCTGGGGAGGCGCGCCAGGCCCAACCGGGCTAGCGCCTCCTGTCTTTGGGGCCACATCTTTGCGGCGCCTACCGTTCAGCCTTACTCAGGTAGGGAGCATCTGGTGCTCAATAGCACGTCGCCGTCTCCGTCTCCGCCTCCGTTTCGTCTCCACCAGCGCCTCTCACCACGTTGCTGACGCCAGGCGCGCGCGCTTCTTCACCATCCACCGCCGTGTGCATCGCCATTGCTATCCCGACCTGCTTGTCCGAGCCTAGCTATCTGCGACTGCGCCGACCCATGCACCAGCGCGTCCAGTAGTCTTACCCGAGACCCTTCCCTCACTAACTCCTTCGCCGCCGACCTTCCCCTCTCCAACAACACTTGCCATCGAGGACACCGTCGCTCGTCCCAACACCTGCTACGCTCTACACTCGACGGGCGTCTTCCGCACTTTCATACCTCGCGCCCCGTTGCATGATCTAGGTAGTCCTAGCCCGTCGCAATGCGCATCTTCGGCTTCCTGGGCCTGCTTTCAGCGGCGACGCTGGCGTCTGCAACCCACCTTCCCCCGCGCAACTACACGAGCCACGACTACTACGCCGTCCACGTCGCCTCGTCCACCTCCCCGGCGGAGCTGGCTGCCCACCTCGGCCTGACGTACGATGGTCCCTTTCCCGCGCTGCAAGACCACCACGTGTTCAAAGCACCCAAGCACGAGAACGATATCGTCGACGACGCAGTACAGGAGCTTAAGCGGCGACGACGGAAACGTGAGGTCGGCATAGAATACCACATCCTCGACAGCGTGCGCTTCAACCAGAAGCAGAAGCTCAAGCCGAGGCACTGGAAGCGCAGTCGGATCCCTGAGCGCCACGATGTCAGGGCTAAAGAGAGCAACGCTGTGAAGGCCCAGCGCGAGATTGCGAACAAGCTCGACATAAAGGACCCCATCTTCGAGGAGCAGTGGCACATTTTCAATGTGGCCACGCCTGGAAACGACATCAACGTCACCGACGTCTGGATGCAGGGTATCACCGGCAAGAACGTGACAGCCTGCATTGTCGATGACGGCCTCGATATGGACAGCAACGATTTGAAGGATAATTTTTTCGCCGAGGGCTCTTACGACTTCAACGACCACGAGGACCTCCCTGTGCCGAAGCTTTCGGACGACCGCCACGGTACGCGATGCGCCGGCGAGGTTGCTGCGGGAAGAAATGATGCTTGTGGTGTAGGTCTGGCCTACGATTCGAAGATATCCGGCGTGCGCATACTATCGGGCGATATTACCGACATGGATGAATCGCTCGCCATCAACTACAAGATGGACAAGAACGACATCTACTCCTGTTCTTGGGGCCCGCCCGACGACGGTAGAACCATGCAAGCTCCTGGCATTCTGATCGAGAAAGCAATGATCACTGCAATCCAGCAGGGCCGCGAGGGCAAAGGCTCTATCTACGTCTTCGCCGCAGGCAACGGCGCCGCTGCTGATGATAACTGCAACTTCGACGGCTACACAAACAGTATCTACAGTATCACGGTCGGAGCTATTGACAAGGATAACAACCATCCATACTACTCCGAGGCGTGCTCGGCGCAGCTCGTCGTCACATACTCTAGCGGAGGTGGCGATTCTATCCATACTACCGACGTCGGTGCGAACAAGTGCACTGCTAACCACGGAGGTACTTCTGCCGCTGGTCCCATCGGAGTGGGCGTATACGCACTTGTCTTGCAAGTTCGTCCGGACCTGACTTGGCGTGACTTGCAGTGGCTCACCGTCATGACGGCCGTTCCTTTCGACCAGCCCAGCGACTGGACCCAGACGCCTGGTACTGGTCGTACGTTCAGTCACCAATTCGGTTACGGCAAGCTGGATGCATGGGCGATTGTTGAAGCAGCCAAGACTTGGAAGGTGGTCAAGCCGCAGGCCTGGTTCTGGTCGCCATGGATGCACGTCAAGAAACCCATCCCGCAAGGCGACAAAGGTCTTGCGAGCGTTTTCGAGGTGACCGAGCAGATGCTGAAGGACGCCAATTTTGAGCGACTCGAGCACATCACATTGACGATGAACGTTGAGCACCAACGACGCGGTGACCTCAGTGTCGAGCTTATTAGCCCAGAGGGCATGACCAGCCATCTCTCTACCGCTCGCCGTGACGATGAGGCACCCTACGGTTATGTGGACTGGACTTTCATGAGTGTGGCTCATTTCGGCGAGAAGGGTGTGGGCAAGTGGACGGTTATCGTGAAGGACACGAAGGTCAACGCCCAGGTCGGCACCTTCACTGATTGGAAGCTCCGCCTCTGGGGCGAATGCATCGATGCATCGAAACAGAAGCTCCGACCCATACCGACCGAGCACGACGATGACGATCATGACGTTATCGATGACCATCCGGCTCATACGACCTCCGTTTCTGTTCCTGCTTCTGGTACCAAGACTGCCTCTGTCAACCCTTCAGACATGCCCACTCGTCCTGTTAACCAGAAGCCCTCTAGCAAGCCCACTAACACGGAGCAGGCAGCAGGCTCCCCGACCCCTACTACAACTGCAACTGTAACTACAACTTCTGGCTCAACGGCCTCTGCGACCGCATCGCCAGAGTCTTTCCTGCCCTCCATCTTCCCGACGTTTGGTGTGTCTAAACGCACACAAATCTGGATCTACGGTAGCATTGGACTGATTCTTGTCTTTTGCACTTGTTTAGCCGTGTACCTCTTCCTTGCGCGGCGCAAGCGCCTGCAGTCAAGCCGCGACAGCTACGAGTTTGAAGTCTTGGACGATGCGGAAGATGACGAGAATGCACGGATGCTCGCTGGTGGTGCAGCAGCTGGTCGCAATGGCAGGAGAGCGAGGAGGGGCGGTGAGCTCTATGATGCATTTGCAGGAGAGAGCGATGAGGATCTTTTGAGTGAGAGCGAGGATGGCGATGCGCCGTATCGGGATCGCGATGAGCCTTACGATGAGAAGGCGGCGCACAAGGACGATGGAAGCGATGCTGAGGGCAGCAACGCAAGTGGAAGTTCTGGGGGCAAGAGGCAGTAGAGGGGGCCTTTTTAGTATTCCTACATTGGGCGGAGTTTCTAGACATCCTTGGATTCATGTTTTCGTTGCTCTGCACTGAAGCGTTCAATGTTTGTACATAGGCAGATGTATGAATACGGCACCTGCGCGTGGGCGGTGACGGCTAGCGTGGCAGAAAAAGTTCGGGTACCTCATATTCCATCGCGACCACTTTGCGACATATTTGCGCCGCGTCTATTCACCGCAGAAACTTCGACGCGCCCGAAAGCATGGCCGACGAAACGGTGCAGCCTCTTCTCCAGTTCGAGGGCCATCGGCACCTCACAACGCGCCTGCTTCTTTCTACACTCACCGGTCGCCCAATTCGCATATCTAAAATCAGACCCTCGTCAACGCGCCCAGGTCTCACGCCGTACGAAACGAACTTCATCCGCCTCCTCGACTCGGTCACGAATGGCGCGCAGATTCAGTTCTCCATGACCGGTACCACACTCGTATACCGACCCGGGCTCATAACGGGCAGCGCGGAAGGCCTCGGAGCCATGGGCGGAGTGATCAGGCACGAAATACCACGGGAGTGCAGCCGGCGAGGCGCAAGTTGGTGGTTGATACCGCTCGCACTCCTCGCACCTTTCGCAAAAGACAAACTGAATGTGGTTCTACACGGCGAAGGCTGCATAACGAGCAGCACCCCGGCCGGCGACATCAGCGTGGACTCTGTCCGGACTGCCATTCTCCCGCTGTACAAGAGCTTCGGCATCGAGCGTAACATCGAGCTGCGAGTTCTCAAGCGGAGCTGCGTGCCCGCGCAGGGCAAGAGCGCGGGCGGCGAGGTGCAGCTTGTGTTTGGGCACCAGGTGCGGTTACCCAAGACGCTGCATGTCATGAACAAGGGGCGTGTGAAGAAGATACGCGGCGTGGCGTATGCGGTCGGGGTCAGTGGATCGAACAACGCGCGCATGATTGAGACGGCGAGGGGGGTTTTGAACAAATTCGTACCGGATACGTATATCTTCTCGGATGTTTCGAAGGCGCCGCTCATATCTGGCATGGGCTCGAAATCGGATCCGAACGGCAAGACAAAGGGCGCTGTGGGTTTCGGATTGAGTCTTGTAGCGGAGAGCTCCACGGACTGCATTTACTCGGCGGATGTAGCCAGCCCGCCGCAGGGAGGCGTGACGCCCGAGGACCTGGGCAAGCAGTGCGCATATCAGCTCTTGGAGAAGATCAGCGCAGGGGGTTGCGTGGAGGTCACGAGCGCGACGACAGTGCTGTTGCTCATGGCGATGGGGAGTGAGGATGTGGGCAGGGTGTGCTTGGGCCGGGATGTCCTGGGTACTGAGGAAGTCGTGCAACTGGGGCGGGACGTCAAGGTTTTTACTGGGGCGGCGTGGGGATTCAGGAGTAAGGGAACCGCAGATGCAGAGGATGAGATTGTGGTCAGTGTTGTTGGGCGGGGCGTGGGCAATGTGGGGAGGAAGGTTGCTTAAACGGTGCATAGTGCCAGTGGCAGGAGTAGAGTCAAATGATACCCATGAACGATTTGTAGATGCTCGGATGGTGGTCGCTTTCGGTGCATGTATGTCCAGTGTGTTGGCAATCGAGGTGCTGCTGCTTTGGATTGCTTCCATAACCAAGAAAATTCGGTCACTTTTTTTGTACTCCGTAAATGGCTCGAATTACACTCATCACATGCCCAGGCGTGGTCGCGGATCCCTGCAACCTACAGACGCAACTTGTAATGATACAACACCTTACCAAGACCTTGAAGAAATGCTTGCAGCTCTAGTCAAAATACTGACAAGGGGTTTTAACATTAACAGGGCCTTGCGTCAGCTGTGAATATACCTGCATCCCACGTATCCACCGCACGGTTCGCTCCTTCCCGACGCGTCTCTCCGCACACGCGTCGAGTCCACTTTCACCTTCCGCGCCAGCAGCCCCGCACCCTCCCCTCGCCCTTCCCTACTTGCCGTCCGTCCTGCCTCCTTCCACCGGGCGGAGTATGCCAATCCTATCACGCCGCAATGCGCCGAAACTGCTACGCTCCGTGAACAACCGTCCGCACGCGAGCGAGGACGACCACCAGGATGCACCGCGCAAGGCAAACATGGAGGGAACACGCCAGCCGATGAAATCTCGCGCGGACGTCAACCTTCTTGCCGACCCTATCTCTTCGAGCGATGGGGAGGAAGCAGCGGCACGACCACTACTGCCGAGGAGGAACGAAGCTCTCCCGCGACCATCGATGAGCCAGGACTCGAATTCGAATGCGCGGAAGGGAAAGGGGGTCCAGGGGAAGAGTGCGAAAGGCAAGGCAATGCGTGTGCCGCAGCGGGGGACGTTTGATGCGGGGATCAAGCACAAGGATGGCTTGGGAGAGGAAGGGAAGACTGAGCTGGAGACCGTGTATTTCGACATGGGAGACACGCCGCGGAAGAAAGTAAAGACGAAGAACTTACACGCCGCCCCCGTCAGCTTCAGCAAGAAGTCCTTTGGCAAAGACAAGCGTAGGCGGATCCCAGACCTATGGTTCAGAGCAGTGGTGCTGACAGCCATCCAGCGAGTAGCGCATTCTCCATACCAAAGACACGCGACCTCAAGCACATCGAAGACCTCGACAACGCTCTCAGCAGCATGCTCGACGGCCACGAGAAGTACGTCGAGCTCTCCGACGACGAGCCCTCTCCGCGCCCGAAGAAACGCATCCGCACAATTCAACGTCTGCCACCGGGTTACGCGACATCCTCGAATCCCACGATCAACGACTCCCAGACCAGCGCCCCTAGTTCGCCCCTCACATCCATATCATCCCACCTCGACATCGACGACCTCCCCTCAGCGCATTCTTCTGCGTACTCCCCAATACCAGACTCAGACTCCACATGCGCCCTCTGCCAGGACCCTGTCGACCCCCAAGAACAGCGCGACTTCTGGGCCACCCACCCCACCCACACTGTCCGCGACCAGATGCTCTTCTGCAAGTCACACAAGCGTTCCAAAGCACAGCGAGCCTACACCGCACGCGGCTTCCCCGAGATTGATTGGTCCACCTTACCCTCCCGCATCCGCGGCTTCCACAACGATCTGGTCGCCATCCTCCGCAACGAGACGCCCGAGGAGTCTGTCTACCGGCAAAAACATGCTGCGCGCCTCGGCTCCGGGAAAGCCGCTGCGTTGCCATCGAAGCGCCGGGGACGCAAGGACGCGTCGCAGGTTGTAGAACAGAGTTTGAAGGAACGTATCGACGCAATGTCCTCGTCAACGGGGTACTACGGTCCCCGCGGCAAGCGCGTGATGATGGATGTCATTACGTCTGATCTGTCTGACGAGATTCGGCAAGTCGCGGCCAAGGATCCTGTTGTTGGGAGGAGCGGTTTCGCGATGTTCTTGCAGGCAGTGCTGGTACCGGAGTGTGCCGTGTTGCTGGTTATGCAGGATTTGGCGGTGGGGTGGGAGGATGCGAGGGAGGTTGTGGAGGAGAGCGGAGGCGTGGGGGAGAAGGTGAATGAGGAGGTTGAAGATAGTGTGGAGGGGAGTGAGGATGATGGGGAAGAGGAGGAGCAAGAGCTGGTGCATGGTGAAGACGAGGAAGAGAAATTGTGACTGCGGGACAAGTGTTATTGGGGATGTGGCGTTTTGGTGGATCTATGTTGTATTCAGCCGCCTGGGACTGGCGAGCTTGTGCATATTGGGGTATTTTTACTGGGCGTTACTACAAGTGATACCATGTCTGGAATTGTGGGTTGGGTTATTTGACGGGCGATCGACGCTATTCTGGCAGTCATACATTCTTTTCTAATGTTTGCTCGGCTATTCCATCTGGCTCCGGTGAAAATTCTCTACATATATCCCTTCCACTGAGGTTCTTCTGTCTCCTTCACACTTCTCGTTTCCTCATGCTTAGGGACTAAAGTTCAACATTCCAGCAATGACATGTGTTTGGTGGCGTGTCCTAAATCCTTCGTTGCACAGATTAATGTGCTGGTGCTGCGTGTTGAAACAGAAGATACTTCGGTACATGGTGTGTGTCTGAAGATTTCCAAGAACTCATCTCAACCCGGTCCAGTCAAACTATCTCATATATGCCATTCTTCCCAGCGGTCTTCTGTGACCTTTACACTTCACACATCTTGGGGCCTGGGACTAAAAAGGTAATGATGCTCAGGTCATGTGTCCGCTGGCGTCTCCAAAAACTTCTCCACTCACTCATCATGTGTATGGCGGCGTGTCCACAATCCGATCACACCTAGACCATGTGCCCGGTACTGTGCTCATAACCTGATTACACACCCCGCATGTTTCTGTCTAGCGGAGGTGTCGAGAAGAAGCTACATCGGGAGATCATTCCATCTCTTTCCACTCAGATTTCTCTATACATTATACATACCCGTTCCGTCGGCGTTCTCTGTCTTCTTCACACTTCGCCGTTCCTCAGGCTTAGGGACTAAAATCAGCAGCTTGTGGAACAATGTGCTGGTGGGATGTCTAAAAATGTGTCTACAAGTAGTTGATGTGGCTGGCGAGGGGTCTGATAATCATGACAGCATTTCGGAATCTGCTGGTGCTGTTTCCAAAATCCACACTGCACACGAGACATGTGTCCGGTTTCATTAAGAACAGGGGATATCCTCCCCATGTGTTCGTCCGGCGGAGAGTCGAGAAGAACCTACATCAGGAGATCGTCTCAACCTGGTCCATTCAAACAGGCCTGTATATACCCACTTTCCCGGGTGATCTATTGAATTCTTCACACTTCTATCTTCTCACATCCTCTGTGCGCGGACTAAAAGCAAACGTTCGGAAGTATGATGTGGCTGGTGTTGTCTAGAAATCAGCGAGCCGACGTCGCAAATGCGTAATGTCATCTGATAGCGTATGTCTCAAGGTCTTGCAGATATTCCAAGTCTAGTAATAGATACGTTGTTCATATTTCACCTATAATTCGACACGGGGAATTGAAACAGATCTCCTTATCTACTTGTGTGCTTGGTGTAGCCTGGTGTAGCCTGGTGTAGCATCAAACACACCGCATGGCAGTTTCATGTGTCCGCTTGATCAAAACGGCAGCAGGGAGTCCATTTATGTGAATCATTCTTTTTCTTTCTCATACAGGTCATCAAGAGATTGATTTTGCTCGACGGGTCTCTAGGTTCCTCGCACGTGCATGAGACGGCATTTCGTAGCATTTCCTGGTATCTCATCACTCAGGAGCATGTATAAAACCACGCTTCTGGGATGTAACTGGTCTTCAGTCAAGCTTGACTTCAACTTGGGCACTAAAACGCACTATACTGGAGTCTCTCGTCATGAATCAGAAAGCACGAGCCGAATTGGAGACGAACATTATGGGAAGGGCAAATGAATTGTCAGTAGAATCATCGTACACTCTGAGAGACCGTTGCTTATTGATCTGGATACTTATGGATACAACTGATAATGAATGAGCTTGCTAAAGGAACTGTCAAGGGAAAGATTCTAAATCGTCTGCCAGGTGCCAAGCCAGGTGCCACGCAATCTTTAGAGACACACTATGTCAAATGCATGACAAAGATTGAAATCTCTCTGAACAAAAGAAGAGGTTTGTCAAGGCCGCTTTGGCATGGGTTCTGTTAGCAAAGAAACCCTCAGAAGAGGCGGAACTCCGACATGTACTTGCAGTAGAGTATGACTCTTCTGGGCTGGACCGAGCTAAAATCCTGGATGTCACACAAATTATGACTTCACGTCGGCCTTTCTCGCTGCCTGCTTGAATAGAGATGGAGTCCAAGTTTGGTTGCTAGCACATCATTCAGCAGCCGATTACCTACGGCGGAATCTCGATACTTGGTGTCCGGATGCTAAATCTCTCGTCGCAAAAGGCTGTCTGACTTATCTTGCTTTCGATAAGTTCAGCGAAGGTTACTGCAAGAGCAAGGAGCAACTTAAGTCAAGATTCGAAGGCAACCCTTTCTGCGGATACGCCGCTCAATGTTGGGCACAATATCTCAGTAGCTCAGCCAAAGGGAGCGGACCTGGTTCTACATCTTGCGTCATGCTCCTTCATGTTACCGTCTTCCGTTCTCTGTCCGACAAGTATGGCCTTCAATCGGAGAGTTCTACTTATCAACAATTCTAATGTTCCTGTAATCACCGTGACTCCAAAATGTTCTCAGTCTGTGGCTTTGGCATTTAGTACCTATCACGACTCTGTGTGACATTTTCCATTGGTACGGGAACGTTAGAACACGTATAGCACTGGATCATAAGGTACCTTCTCTCATCCGATATTGCCAGGGAATCTTTTCGATGTCTTATGTTGCTCATTTCGATGTCACACTTGAGGTTGCCCCAAAAAATGGAAATTGGCATTCTTGCGGTACATTCCGATGGAAGAGTTCCTGCATCGCGCGGAAACTTTCAAGCCTCATCAACAGATCTTGCTGCACAACTCTCACTATTCCAAAGGATACCTCGAATACTCTTTTGCAGTATCTATCTTCGGAAAATGGAATTAGCAACCCTTCCCCCTGCTACCGCCCGACTAGCGGTCGAGCTACAGCTCGAAGACATCAACTACATCATGCAGGATTTGGACGCTGGAGACGCTTACGCAGCCTTCAACGCAATGGAAGCAAGCCTCAAATCCGCGTTGTTGCTTCTGCAAGATCAAACCTGTGCCATGGATATTCTCCGAGCCGATCATAACGATCGTGTCGTCTTCGAGAATCTGATTCAAGAGGAAAGACAGGCGGAGCGCGACCACCGAATTGCGCGCGGAATGTGCGATATCACTGCTGGTGGGACGGAACGCTCCACTCCAGGATCGGGAGAGTGCTTCGAGGGGCAGGACTCCTGGCTGGGCGATGACTTTCAAGATCTTGATGCGAGGCTTGGAGATGCTAGAGTAGACGATCCTCTGGTCAGGGTTATGACGGACACGAGTGCCACCTATCGCGGCCATGAAGTTCAACTTATTCAAAAAGTAGCGGGCGACCCGGCAGCCAGTTATGCCGAATCTTCCACTCGTCCCTTAGGGAAAGGCAAAGGAAGAGCCAAAGAGGGCGTTCTCGGCGACGAGCATGTGACACACACTTTCTGCTCTGCCTGCATGGAACCGTATACCCGCTTCGACGCGCTGGAATTGGGCTGCAAACGCGAGGACGACGACACCTACCACGCATACTGCAGGGGCTGCCTCGTTGATCTCTTCGAAACAAGCTTCACCGACACAACACTCTTTCCCCCACGATGTTGCGGAAAGTACATACCGGTGTCAGCTTGCGTTGAGCTTCTCCCACTAGAGTTGGTAAAGCGATACAAAGACAAGCAGCTCGAACTAGCATCGCCAAATCCTGTGTATTGCAGCAATCGGTTCTGTGCAAAGTTCATAAAGCCTGAAAGCGTCACCGCTGACGTTGCAGTATGTCAAAGTTGCAACATGGAAACGTGTGCTATTTGTAAAAACCCCAAACACAAAGGGCTATGTCCGGACGATCCAACGTTCCGGATGCTGTTGGAAGTGGCTGGTAAAAAGCGGTGGCAACGATGCCCCAGGTGTAGGACCATGGTGGAGTTGCTCACAGGTTGTTATCATATGCGGTACGCCTATCCAGATGCTCAGAAAGCACAGATGTGGTTTTTATACTAACGAACCTGCAGATGTCGGTGCACTGCAGATTTCTGCTATCTCTGCGCAAAGCCATGGAAGACCTGCTCATGTCCGCATGCGCATGGGAATCGTCTTCTAGCTGATGATCAGATGCCAGATGAGCCCGAGAACCGTGTTGCAATGCCGGAAGAAGAAGAAATCGTAGAATTGGACCCAGCACTCGACGTATTGAACGACATACAGTTGCGGCTTGCGACTGTTGCTGGAGGATTTGCCGTTGGCAATGTCGAGGAGGAGGCGGAAGACGATGCTGAACAGCCAATTGATCTATGCCAACATCTCTGGGAAAAAACCTACGGGGAAGATGACAAGCTTGAGGTCTGCGGAATCTGCCATCACCATTTGAGATTCGTCAATTCTTGCACAGCTTGCAAGACGAAGGTCTGCAACCGTTGCTTGAACAATAGACTATGACTGGAGTGCGGCGCTGCGGACTCTCCCAAGGCACATATATCGAAGTAGCGATAGGAACAGTAAGAATACTTCACACAACTTACCAAAGCAATGTTCCCGCCCTGTAACAACTAGACGTGTGCATAAGAGAGAATATATTGGAATGAAGATCAGGTAATAGCAAGTCAGCACACAGTGCATTAACTCGCAGCATCAACCGGGTATCAAATGAAGCAAACCATTGCAAGAATCGAAATCATCAAGGTCACTCGCACATGCACCCCCAAACGACGAGCAGCGCTGGGCTTCAGCTCCTCGGCCTCCCCTGCACCCCCTTCCTGACTTCCACCTCCCACCGCTCGTCCGCACCCCTAAGCCCCTAGCACCTCCTTCGCCTTCGTCCAGCTCGGGTCGCGCGCGGGATCATGCGTCGTGCCCACACAGTTCTCAAGATACGCCCCCCAGCCCGCCGACGTCCCAGTCGCAAGCCCGTCCTTGATACTAGCATCGCACTGGGTAGTCAGAAACCACGCCGCGCTACCAAACGAGTCTTCATCCTTAGCATTCACCAGCGCGAGCACCGCGTCGCTAGGATCCTGGCCGTTCGGCGCGGCCTTCGCGGCGGAAACTGCGTTTGCGCCGAAGAGATCCGTGGCGTACTTCTCGTTGAACGGCGCCATCTGCATGTTGCGCGTGCCCTGGCCCGGGCGGCCTGGCGCGGGGTAGTGGTTGTGGTTGTACTTGAAGGAGCCGGATTCGAAGAGCATGAGGGCGATGAGAGCGGCTTGGACGCCAGGCTCGTGGATCGAGTACTTTTCGAAGGCAGAGGTAATGGCGGGTGCGGCAGTAGAGGCGTCCGCGCATTCAGCCGCGAAGGCGGCACCGGAGCAGGAGGCGGTGCTCGGGTCCATGGCGGTGAGCTGCTCAGCAGTAATGGTGCAGTGGGCTGCATCGGTGGTGGTTTGGGGGGTGGGGAGGGCGAGGGTGGTGGAGAAGAGGGCACAGCCCATGATTAGAGAGCGAGTGGAGAACATTTTGTTCGTAGTGGTTGTAATTGTGGATATAATGTTGTAGGTTGAGGAATTGGCGTATCAGTCGAGATGCTGAGGTCTCTCTTATATAGAGTTTACACGACGGCGGGACTGCGTTGAGTAGAAAGTACGAATATAGGTGATGAATCACAAAGGAATGTTCATATGCAATGCTCTCTTCACCTGCACAATGCTGAATGAGAAAATGAACGAGATGATGGAAGACGACCGTAGGTATTGTGCAGGCCTCGTGCCTGATATATCTTCACCAACAAAAGAATGTCACAGCATTTCACTCCAACCCCATAACTTGCATCCTTTGTTCCATAATGGCTACCCCTTCAGGGCAGAAGGCGAGAGATTATGTGAGGAGCTAGGAATGAAGAGGCAATGACAGCCAACGAAGAGTCGACGCCAACACGTGACGAGCCCCTTGCAGGCTTTTGATTGGCGGTGAGGTAGCGCCGAGTTGGAGATCGGCGCCGCGAACGTGTTTCAAAACATTTACCCCTATAATCAAGCTTTCCTGTGTATCCTGTCAGTATGGATCGCGTGTTTGGCATTGCTTGTGTGGCTGTCACTGCTGCATCTGGAATGCCACAGTTCAAGAGACGTTTGATGACGCGGCAAAGTATTGGACGTGTGCTTGCAACCGCAAGCCCGGGCGACAATGCGAAGTCTAGCGTCCAACGCTAAGTTGCAGAACATTCTTTCGTGCACCAACAGACATGAACGCGTTCATTTGATAGTCATGGAGCCGCACAACGCTAGTGCGCTTATGGAAGGTAGGCGGCGCGAAGTCAACCCGTGGCTTATCAACATGTGGCGATAGAAAGGGCGGTGGTGGGGCATCACTGTGTTCGCGCTGCCTCGGTTGTGCTGGCAAATGTCCCAAATCACGTGGAGCGTGTTGGCCGTGTTGTGTGTCACAACAGACGCTGGCTCGCGTGTGAATATGTAGGCTGACAGCTGGGCTGAGACCTGTAACTGCAGCTCTTGGCTCTCGTGACTGTACAGAGCCACATCTCGCAGCGGCAACTTGATCGAATCTGCCGTGCCGTGGCTGTTCAACGTTGGGGAAGGAGGGCGGGGAGGCTTTCTGTGCCCCTCAATTTTCTCGCTTGTGTATCGTTATGACGTAACGATATGAAGGGCTTTGAAATCGCGACATGAAGGTACCCCTCTATATAGAACGGGCGGCACGACCCCACTATGAACGTTTAGCATTGACACCCAACAATCCACTTTTCGCACCGAGATAATCGAACAAAATAACCGTCAAAATGCCTGCCGTAGAGTCCAAGTTCAATCCCAAGGACATGGAGTTTCGTCGCCTCGGACCTGCCGGTCTTAAGGTCTCAGTCTTCTCGCTTGGTGGATGGTTGACCTATGGAGGAACCCAGAAGGGAAGCATCGTCAAAGAGTGCATGGAAGCTGCCTGGAGCTATGGCATCAACTTCTTCGACACCGCTGAGGTCTACGCAAAGGGCGAGTGCGAGGTGGAGATGGGCAATGCCTTCAAGGAGCTGAACTGGCCGCGTGACGAATATGTGCTATCCACAAAGGTAAGCTATTCCCGGGCCCATACAAGGCGCAATTACCAACAGCTGCAGGTCTTTTTCGGAACAGGACGAACGGAGCCCAACACTCGGGGACTGAGCAAGAAGCACATTGTCGAAGGCTTGAAGAGCTCGCTCAAGCGTCTCCAGCACGACTACGTTGATGTAGTGTTCGCGCATCGTTATGATCCCGAGTAAGTCATGCCGAGATGTTGTTCTACGGCCTTTTAACGGTGATTAGTGTGCCCATGAAGGAGATCGTCGAAGCGTTCACACAAACCATCCGCGACCTCAACCTCGCATACTACTGGGGTACCTCCGAGTGGCCCGCCGAGAAAATCCAAGAAGCCGTTGACATCGCCGAGAAATACAACCTCATCGCGCCCATCGTCGAGCAGCCGCAGTACAATGCCTTCCACCGCGAGCGATTCGAAAAGGAGTATGCGCCGCTCTTCAAGAGCTACCAGATGGGTACCACCATCTGGTCTCCGTTGGACTCTGGTATCCTCACCGGAAAGTACGACAAGGGCATCCCAGAGGACTCGCGCTTCGCCACAAACTCCGACTTCTTCAAGGGCACAATCGAGAAGCTGAAGTCTGAGGAGGGCCAGGCTAAGCTTGAGAAGGTCAGGAAGCTGGGAAAGATTGCCGAGAAACTTGGTGGCAACACAACTCAGCTCGCTCTGGCCTGGGCTGCGAAGAAGTAAGTCATGCCCGATTGAGTTATGCGAGAGTCGCAAGTATCGGTTAGAAAATACTGACCGAGATGCAGCCCTAACGTCAGCACCGTCATCCTCGGTGCGTCGAAGGTCGAGCAGATTCACGACAACTTGAAGGCGCTGCCTCTGTTGGCCAAGCTCACCGACGACGTATACCAAGAGATTGAGGACATCCTCCAGAACAAGCCCAAGGCGTGATCATGTGAGCATGTTTGTGTAACACACCAGAAGCCGCGTAAGAAGGCGGTGATCCACACTGCCCCGAAGCGAGCACAGGCCGAGCGGAGGTCGATTAGAACGATACACGTCTTGTGCCAATAGAGAAATTAAACTTGGATTTCCAGTCCACTTTTCAGCGTGAACGAGGCCTCGTGCGAGGAGAGTACATCAGGTGACGTTGGCGTTCCAAATCATCGCATGCGGCATAGGCAGTACCAACCGCTGCACTCATTCCAGTACGATGCAGCAATACGGAACTGCACCACCGTTGATTTCCAAGCCGGGACTCGAGCCAAATAAGTTGTTGTCTATATATGAACTGGTTGTGATTGGGCGTCCCCGCACTCAAGACCTCGTGGGGGACGGAAATAGCATCTGAAGCTCGCGCGTGGTGCAAAGGCGGATTCACGAAGCGGAGAGACTGATTGAAAGTGCAGATAGAAACAGAGTAGCGGGTCCACGCACGCGAGATGTGATGCATGGTGATGGTCTTGGTGATGGATGCGGAAGGCGGTCAGTCGGTGGCTTCCATGATCTCCGCCAGGGCAGAGAGGCACAAGCCAATGGGCATCCATGGGTCCAGCCTCAGCGATGGTGACAGCATCTCAGCCGGAGCGCAGCGCGGAAGATAAAAGCGCTCGCGCATCCGCTTCCCATCTGCACTGCGTTGCGCTGCTTGACTGGGCTGGCTGTCATCTCGTCCGACGATCCTCGGCCTCCCTCATTCGCCTCGTTCACCACCGGATCCCACGCCCGCCCCGCACTGACGACGGGCCCAGCCGTTAAGTCCGGCATACGTCCACCGTGAATCCAAGGCATCTGCATGGAGCTTGAGCCTCTAGGTCGACACAGTTCGGGCCCTTAGCTTGCCCAGTCCAACATTCCAAATCGCTTCCGAAGGCTGTGCAGACTTTTGCAATTGCACCTCCCGGCTTCTCCACGCGACGGAGACACCGCCGTAGCCAGTCGTCATCCAGTGGCGCTTAAAGATCGCTGGTAAGCATCTCCGCCGCGACCCATCCTTCGTGACCGAGTGGCCTCGACCTGCGACGCGACAAGCACCACCGAGTGTCTCAATTGATCCCTCGCCACAAGACGCGCCGTGGCTCGCGCCTCATCACCGCCAAGTCCAAGCGACGTCTTCAAGACCACTGCTGATTTTCAAGCACAAGAACGTGTTGCCATTCTTCTGCTATTGCATAGCGCTCGGTCGCGTATGTTTCGCCAATCTACTTTCCATTGACCCGGAACTGACGGGCGCACCAGTTTAAATAGAACAAGACTGCTCGTGCCGCGGTAATCTCCACGTCCACCTCGCAACAACTGCGAACTGGCCGCGCTTGAGTTCGTGCTCGTCGATCAATGCAGACCACATAGCATGGCCAGCCTTTCTCCAGACCCTTCAATGGAGGACGTAAAGTTTCCGAACGGCTCCAGTGAGTGCACACGTTTCTTGGCGTCCCTCGCATGGCCTGAATTGCCTGGTGTTTGAAGGCATAACTGTTTGGTCTTATTTCTGCTACACTTGGGGTCTGCCCCGTGTTCACTGCACCCACACATCGCCCTTTCTGATTGGTCTACTTCGTCATTTTTGTTTCCTCGGCTCGCCATCCGTCCAAAAGCACGCTGCAGAGACGCCGCGAGTCTCGTGCTCGCAGTGTCGTCTGAGCGACCACAATGCTATATCGCCTGTACTACGGCAACCCCTCCTACCGACGCTGCCGTCACCGCATTGACGAGCGCAGCGACCGCTGCTGTTGTTACGATCCCACCGGGGTCCATCCTCTTCAGCCTACATATACAAGCCCGTGCAGTCCTCACACAATGCAGCTGGTCTCGCAAACACGCTTATTGTAATTTCTGTTCAACCCAACCCTTTCATTTTACATTATTTAATATCTACTTTTCCTTTTCTAGCAGCCATGTCGCATAATCGTTACACGTCATGGTCGTCGGATGTGCTGACCATGGCGCCCACCTACCCTCCTGTCGGCGCGCCTGTCGACTACCCTTCGCCTGTATCCCGCCGCGCCTCGGAGTGTTTTTCCGAGGCTCCGGGCAGTCGGAGAGGTAGTTCGGCATTCGTGTCGGACATGGAGAGTAAAGGGCATTGGCAATCTATAGGCAGTAATTCAGATACCAAAAGTCCATTGGCAAACTTTGCCTTCTTCAAGAACCTGACCGAGAAGAAGACAACGCGAGGTAAGTGCTTCCCAAGACGAAAAATGCTGTGCTAACATGGAGTAGATGGGCAACCTGCGAAGAGAAGAGGGCCGAAGCCAGACAGCAAGCCGGCCTTGACTCGCCGGCAGGAGCTGAATCGACAGGCGCAGAGGTATTTTTACTGTCCATGCTAAAGTGCATCTGTGCTAACTCTGTAAAGGACGCACCGAGAGCGGAAGGAAATGTACATCAAAGCACTGGAGCAAGAAGTCCTCCGCATCAAGGATTCTTTCACCAACGTCTCCAAGGAACGAGACGCTTTCGCAGAAGAGAACCGCCGCCTAAAGGAACTACTAATGGCTCATGGCATAAGTTTCGACAGCCTGAGCCCAACAAACGGTCTCCAAGGGTTCAATAGCTCCTACGGAGGCAGCTCGTCTGGCAGCGTGTCAGGTGGATACGGCACCGGCACGAACTCGACTGGCTACACATCACCACCCACCGTTGGCCACGCGCACCGAGGATCCGTCTCCCAAGATATGAACATACCCATGAACCAGACGCAACACATTCCCCACATGAACAGCGGGCTCGACTACGATCAGATCGGGATAGACTTCGTCTTAACGTACGACCACCACACGCCTTATCTTTCTCCTCCACCCCAGCAATAATGCACTGCACACATACATCCTCAGTCCGTTCTTCAATCTCCTATCCATTATTCACTCGCCGTACGTCTATAATTTCTGCAATCTAATGCGCTCCTTCTGACTTTGGTCCGCTCATCGCAGTCTCGAGCGCCCCTGCATGGACCACATGCAGTACCTCATGGTGCGCGCGCACGATGCCGAAGAGACCATCTCTGGGCACGCGCTGATGGCGAGCGCGCCTCCAGACTCGCACATTGCGAACCACCCGGAAGAGACATATCCGCACCAGATGCCGGATATCGCCATGCCCGACCTGATGAAGCTGCTGGATCTGAGCAATCGCCTTCCCTTGGACGGCGAGATCACGCCGATCATGGCCTGGGTCATGGTGTTGAAGGAACCCAGGCTGGCGGAGCTGAGCAGGGCCGACATCGAGGGGATCAAGGGCGAGCTCCTGGCCAAGGTGCGATGCTATGGGTAAGTGACCTTGTCTTCACACAAGAATGATGATCCTAACGACTCCGCAGCTTCGGCGCTGTCTTGGAGGAATTTGAGGTCAAAGACGCAATGATGGCGGCTTTTGCGAAGAGGGGGACTGGGAACACAACGACCAACAACACAATCTCGCAGCCGTTGCCACTGGACGCAATAATGCAGTAGTAGGGGGATGCCATGCAGCGTATAATCTATAATCCGCTCGTTCTACGCACATAATTAAGAGCTATTATCAAGTTGAACAGAATCTGTGACTTTATGACGGAGTGCTTGATCTGGACTGATGCGCGGCTTTAGGGGTTAGGGTCTTTCCCTGCATACTCGCCCAAGCGCGCCCCGCAGCACGTGAATCTAGCCGCCTACGTCCTTCCGCATTACTCCTCTCTGTCTCGCCTTGCTTCACCATAGCTGCCCGCCCGCTTCCGCCGCGTTCTCTCTCCTTGCAGCATCTGCCTCGGCATCCTTGGCCCCACCGCACTCCTCCTGTCCCTTCTGCGAGCGAAGGCGTGTCTCTCAACTCCCACCCGGCAACACCACCAACACAGCAACAGCAATGGCCGAACTCGCAGTCTACGACAACGACCCCACGCTCTACCTCTTCACCTCGCTCACCGCGGGCTCCTCGCACATCATCACCGCGACCTCGCGTATCGAGACAATCCTCAAGGCGAACAAAATACCCTTCAAGGGCGTGGACACGGCGACGGATGAGCTCGCGAAGAAGCTGTTCCAGCGGCGCGCGCGGGGAAAGAAGCTGCCGCTGCTCGTGAAGGAGGGGTTCGTCATTGCGGTAGGTGTGCCCTTCCCCTCCGATCCACCCAGTCCAGCTGGAAACGACCGGAGTACAAAAGAAATCCAGGCTAACGCGCGGAATCCCCGCCACAGGACCTCGACCAAGTCGAAGAATGGAATGAATACGACGAGCTTAAAGAAGCCCTCGGTGCACCCGCCGTTCCCGCGCCCGCCGTCGCCGTGCCCCTCGCCGCAAGCAAGACACCTTCCGCACCAGCTGCGTCGGCCGCCGTAGGCTCCGCGCCAGGGAAGGAGAACACACCCAAACAGACCCCAGAGCAGAACCTCGCGATCCGCCAGCTGGGCGCCGAAGCCGCCTCCATCGCCGCAGCGAAGAAACACGTCCCCGCCAAGATCTCCACCACGAACCCGTTGCTCACTGCTAAGGCGTCAGCATCCTCCACTCCCACCTCCGCCACTACCCCGAGTAAACCTGCGGTCGCGTCGCCGAGTGCGATTCTCAGCCCGAGGAGTATACCGCTGCCGAGCACGCCGGCAAATGTGGGCAAGGCCCAGGGGGAGGTGGTGAGCGAGTTTCACGGCAGGAGGGTGCAGAGTCCCGGGGCCGAGGAGATCAAGATGGTGGAGGAGCAGACGGCGATCAAGGAGGTGAGTAGTAGTGAGGAGGAGGATTCTGAAGAGGAGGATGAGGAGGACTCTGAAGAAGACTCTGAAGAAGAAGAAGAAGAAGACGACGACGAAGAGGAAGAAGAAGAGGAGACGGCGCAACCTGCCAAGATACCTGCAAAGGCAGACGCGAAAGACGCCGCGAACGAGGCCCCAAAGCCAGATGCAGCAGCGGGCGTGAAGAAGGAGGCGCCGACGCAAGCGCAGCCCGCAAAAGCCGCCGACAAGGCTGGCGTAAGCGTCGAGGACTGAGCCCTTCTCTCCAGCCGCGCTCGTTTCTTCTCCCCCATCGCCAGACGAAGCATTTCTTGGGATACCACTTTCCGCGGCGCAAGATGCGTGTACAGCTGCGTCACTCAGTCAGTTGGTTGGAGTTGTCGTAGCGTTGGCACCAAGCGCATTCCACTTCCCCGCGTGTCGGTCTGTGTCATCTGCCGTGACTGTATTGCGTGACTGTATTGTCTGACGGTACATGGCCAAGGCGAATGGGCATTGTGCATCACCATGTGTCGCAACAGGCCTCGGAATGACGTGACAGAACGCTAGCTATTTGCTGTGCTCTGCTGTGCTGAGTCGCCGCCAACGCCGACGCTATGCAAAACCATGGCAACCACAGCGTCCTTACCCAGGCTGTGTCTGCGCCGCTGCCGTACTCGAAACGTCGCAACCCTGCTAGATAAGGTGCAGTATATACGTAGCGTTCCCGCGTAGAATTCAACACAATGATCCAGTCCAGCGGCACGAGACGCAACGAGCGCTCTCACTCCGCGGCACTCATATCCAACCCGGCCTTCTTAAGCCCGTCTAAAAACTGCTCCTTGACATCGCCCTCCGCCTCTCCCTTCTCCCCGTCCCTAACCAACTGCCTCATCAGCATCTCCTGCACCGCCTCAAGCCCCTTCTTCTCTGCCGCATCCAAGCTCGCCACCTCATCCTTCGCGTCCCCCTTCTTCCCCTTTCCTTTCTTTTCTTCCGTCTCCTCCCCCGCAACCATCTTATCCAGCTCCAGCTTGCTCACGCCTAGCGCGTGGATCTGCTCCTCCACAGTGCCCCGCGTAACCAGCCTCACCACCTCGACGTCCCTCGTCTGCCCCACCCGATGCGCGCGGTTCTCGGCTTGAATGTCGTCCTGCGGGTTGAAGCTGCTGTCGAAGATGACGACCTTGTTCGCGCAGGCAAGGTTGATCCCTGCGCCGCCGGACTTGGTCGACAGCATGAAGACGGGAATGCTTTCGTCGGCATAGAAGACGTCGAGGAGCTGCTGGCGCTCGGTGATGGGCGTGGAGCCGTCGATGCGGCAGTACCCGATGTCCTCGGCGTCCAGCGCCCATTCCAGAATGTCCATCACAGAGGTGAACTGCGAGAAGACGAGAGCGCGGTCGCCGTTGGCTTTGAACTTGCGGAGGAGCGTGATGAGCGTCTGTACCTTGCCCGAGTCCATCCACTCGCCGTTCTTGAGGGCAAATTTGCCAATGAATTTCGGATACTGTAGGCAGAGCTTGTGCGCTTCGAAGTCACGGTAGGGTTCGAGGTCCTGGTAGATATACTCCGGAACGCTCTCGCGGAAGGTTTCTTCTTTTGGGAGGACTTTGGACATCTTACGGAGAATACCGTCGGTGTAGCGCTCGCGGAAGAGGAGCGGGTGGATGGCCGCTTGTCGGAGGCGCATCATAACGTTTGCGGTTTCCTTGGGGAGGAGGCCATTGGCGCGGTCAAGCAGTATTTTACGCTGCCGCTCAAGCTGCTCTGAGTAGAGCTTCTTTTGGATGGGCGTGAGCTCGCAGTACTCTACGCGGCAGGTCTTCGTGGGGAGATGCTTCAGCACTTGAGCCTTCTTCCTGCGGAGAACAAACGGCGTCATCATCGAGCGAGCGCGGTTGATGCGCTGAGTCGAAAGCAGCGTCCCGTGGGTATCGCTCTCGTTGACCTTGGCCTTGTGCTTGAACACCACGGCAACGCTCTCGCGCACGTCCTCAGTCTCGAAGATATCCGGCATGAGAAACGCGAGGATAGAGGCCAGCTCCTGCAGACTGTTCTGCAGCGGAGTGCCGGTAAGTAGCAGACGCACCTTGGCCTTTATCTTCATCAGGTCCTGATACCGCTTCGTGTTCGAACTGCGCAGCATGTGTCCTTCGTCGAAGATAGCCATTTGCGGCTTGCACTTGCGCAGAAAACTGTTATCCTCCCTTCTACCACAGAGGTCGTACGTGGTGAGAACAACATCGATCTGGTTGTTTTCGATCTTGTCCAGGATCTCATCCTGCATTTGGAAGCGCTCATTTTGTCCGCCATAGTAGATGTGGAAGTCAATGGCTTCGGAGAAGTGCTTGAACTCGCGTGCCCAATTCTCCAGCGTGGAACCCGGGACCACGATTAGATGAGGGCCCTTAACACCGGATGCCTTGAGATGGGACAAAAATGCGATGACTTGGCATGTTTTCCCGAGGCCCATGTCGTCAGCCAGAATACCAGAGATCTGATTCTGCCATAGCAAGTTCAGCCAGTTTAGTCCAACCACCTGGTAATCTTTCAATTCGATGTTGGCATTCATGTTTGCCGGTTTCTTCAACAACTTCCTCTTTCCAGAAGCGCGATCTGCCACCTTGCGCATATCTTCTCGATCCGAGTCGCTCCCGACGGTGTTCGGGCTCTGGTATCCGGAGTCGCGGTTGGAGCCGGTATCACTGTCATCCAAGCTCGTTGCTGCAATTTCGCCATCGGTAGAAGCTCCAAAAATATTGATGCCCCAGCGAGCCATGCCGTCCACCATGGGACGGCCTCGTTCCTCGCACTTCTTGACCACCTCGTCAATCGTAGTGTAGGCATTCCACATCGCCCTCGCAGCGTCCACAAGCCTCTCACCGAGTGTAACCTTTGGTTTCCGCGCTTTCTTCCCAGTGTCCGGTTTGCGCGAGTCAACGTGTAATTTCTCCACCTTCTCCAGTGTTATGAAAGGACGATGTTCGAAGATCAACCGGATGTCCTCAGCTTTATGGCCAGATAAATCAACCATGCCCTCCACGGTGCAGTTGTTGAAGAAATCCAACAATTCCCCGTCATCGTGGAAGACCACCTCTTCCTCTTCCTGAACGTCAGAGTCATCGCCGTCGGAGATAATAATGCCCTCGTCGTCCTCGTGCGGAACCCTCTGTTTCGGCTTCTGCTGCGGACGCGGCGGTGGCGGTGGTGGAGAAGATGAAAGCGTGATCGGTGATGGTGAGCGATTCCGACGCCCTCGCATGAGTTTTCCTTTCCGTGCTGGCTTTTGCGGGCTCTCGGCGATCGGCGCACTCGGCTGGCTCGTGGTCTTCGCATATCGGTCCTGCAGGCTCACGGAGGGCTTGCTAAGCACGCGCTTCGCAGTCGTTGTCTTTGTTACAATAGGTTCTGGTGAAGACCGCACCACAGCCGTGCCTTTAGGTGCGCTTTGCTGTTCTTCTTTCTCTGGCAGGGTTGCCATGTAATCTATCGTATCGGGGTAGTTTCCCTTCTTGAACATCAACGCGTTGTATGTCTCATCAACCGTCCGGTTGGGGTAGACCTCTCGTAACCGGCGCACTTTCGTCCTCAGATTAAGATCGGTGATGTCTTCCAACCTCTCAAGCTTCGCTTCGTCCGTGAGATCTATCGGCATCGCTCGCGACGGCCCAGTCTGACGAATCGCCGGCCTCTTAGCTGGGGGAAATGAAGTTGTAGCATCCGCGGGCCGCTTCCCATTCTGGTTGTGCGCAAATCGATCCGACAAATCGAACCCAAACGACGAAGCCTTCTGCGGTGTTTCCCGCACGCGCTGCTGCTCGATCTTCGACATGGGTATATTAGACCCCCTATACTCCTCCTCATCTGAATCTTGTGCAACAGGAGGATCGTCCGAAGTGATGTCGATAGTCTGGGGTCGCGGCACTGCGCTCGGAAAACGCGCTTGCGTGCCTGGCGGGGCCATCGCGCTGACCATGCGGTGTTGCGACTGCGGCTTGTTCAAGGGCGAGGTAAAGCGCTCCGTGGCGGGCGAGGAGCGAGGGACTTGGACCTGCGAAGATGTGGGATTGTACATGCGATGCCTGGGGGGCGTCAACGGCTGTGTGGGCTGTGTCGTATGCGGCGGGAGGATCTGCGTAGGCTGCGTGACGAAAGCTCCTGATGGCATCGCGAAGTGTGGCGAACTCTCCATGCGATCTAGGGGTTGCGTCGGGATAGTGTTGTAGTCGTCGGCGGTGTCCTCGCCACCAAAGCGCGGCGGCGAAGACGTCTCGATTGGGTCTTTGCGGTACGCCATGATGCCCTTCTTTTCTTCAGTGTAACGGGAAATTTGCCGCTTGGAAGTGGTACGGGGAAGGATTATAGAAGGGTGGGTGGTGCGCGCAGAGAGCGTGCCAAACAAAGGGAGAGGCAAGCAGGCAAAGCAACCACCCGCGCCTTCTAAGGATGTCGCGATAAAGAAAGCGGACAGCGAGGTGTGGCGGGGGAAAGTGCTTCGCGTTCTTCACGCGTTAAGTGGTAGGCGCACGGACCGCCTTCCTCCATGACATCGTTGTGCACCAAGCCAGCCCGCACGGAGCCGTACTCGACGAGAAACAATTCTCCGCATCAACCACTTCAAACAAAGAACAGACCTCGAGTTTCACACCGAGAATAATCATCTATCCGATCCGTCAAAGACTCAATCACACCCACGCGACACCCACACGACACCTACACACATCACATCCCAAAATGGCAACACGAAGAATCATATCCAGCACCAACGACCCCCTCGACATCGACGCCTCGGGGACACCGCACGCCCCCGGCCCTTCGAACATTGCGCCCGCAGTACCCTCGTCCGTCCCTCCCTACCTTCCCGTATTAAACTAAGTCTCCCAGCTCCGTCCTCTTCAAACTCCTCAGCTTCACCTTTGCCATGGTCACTTTGCCTATCGGGACCTACTTCTTCATCACCAACTATGTCCTCGTCGGTGAGTCCTGCAGTTGATTTATCTGCCCGGGAACGGTGCACTAACGAGACGTAAGGGAACAACACCGTCGCAGGCGCTCTAGCAGCGGTGATGGCAAATGTGGTGCTGATTGCGTATGTCGTGATGGCGTACCAGGACGACCAGGCGGAGCAGGAGGAGGCGGCGGAGAAAGAAAAGAAAGCTATCTGATGTAGCATCGTATGTGGAGTGCGAGGGGATGGGGAGGACGGAACACGTGATCACGCGAATGAAAAGTACCACATTTCAAAAGTTGAAAAAACCGTGCCGGTAGCAAGGTCTCACATGACACGGTCAAACGGGTCTCGCCGTCCTCGCCCATGCGCAAAAGGCGCCGTCTTGTGACAGCAAGTACACGAACGCATCACATTAAAGATTACTACCTAGCTTTCTCGTACACCTACACCAGCAAAGCAAACTCTGCCATCCAACCGGAAAAGAAGGGGGTATAAAGAGTGAAATTGTGGACTTTTTACCATCCAACCCTAGTTCCACATCGTAAATCTCATCCAGACTCCGCCGAAACGCAAAAGTGCCCTAACAGGCGCCTGCTTGTGCCGCTGCGCTGAAATCGTGATGTTACCCAACCGTGACCCCCCAAACCGCATCGCGTCGTTATCGTGGCAGCTACACAGCTATGTCGTTGTGGTGGATCGTCTCCTTCGCAGCATCCTTCCACCCGTCTGAAACTAAATGCACAAAAGCCCGCCCTACATGTCCTGAGCAAGAGCCGGTGGCTGAAGCCTAGGAACGCGGTAGCAACTCTCAATCCGATTCACCAGACGAGATCTAAACGCCGAACGTGACCCTCTAGTCCTTGCTGAACCGCCTCTTAAACCAGCTCTTGCGTTTCTCAGTGCTCTGGCGCTGCAAAGGCGCCGGTCTGCTTTCGGCGGCGCCTGCGTCATTCGATTTTGTGAGTTTGATGGGTTTGTTTGCATGCACCGGCGGTGCTGGCGGCCCTTGCTTCATGGGAACGGGCGGCGCGCCGTAATTTAGCGTGCCGTTAGGACGTTGCACAGCGTAGCCGTTGTTCACAGGACCCAAGCCGGTGTGGAGTTCCTCTTGGATGCGACCTCCGCCAAAGCCATTGAATCCGTACTGCTCACCCAAATCGGGTTTCATCCCTCCTGCGGGGCGCTCAATCGAGCTGTTCTCGCTGCTGGGATCGGTGGAGTAGGGCTCGCTGTGGCTCCCGTTAGATCCATTGGTGTTCACTGTGTCGCGTGACTGCTGGTATCCCTGGACGGGGTAGACTCCGTTGCCGTGCGGGTAGCGATTCCACCCAGGGTCGGACTGCATGCGGTTGTAGCGTGTTCGAGGAGGGCCTCCCATTCCGCCGACAGGTCCGCCCATACCGTGGCCGTTATCGGGCCAGCTTTCCCGCGCGACTTGTCGGTTGCCGTAGTATCCGCTAACTTGTGAGAAGCGCCCTTGGTCGTAGTTGCCTCCTCCGCCATAGTAGCTGCTCCGTCGGCTGTTGTAGCCGCTCATCACCTCTGTGGATGAATCTGTGGTCTGTCAGCATAGATGCATGGAGTCTGGAGAGAAACGGAACATACCGCGGATTGTGTGTGCTCTGCGCTTGTACTCGCCATCAATGGCCGCCTCGAAAGAGCGGATCGTATCGAGCGGGCGCTCCCATCGTGAGCGTGTGGGGTTAGAAAGGTCGGGCTCCGCTGCGGGTCGTCAGCTCACTGATCGTCAGACGAACAGCGTCAAAGCAACGTACCAATTGGAACACCATCCTTATCAGTGTGCTGGAAGGAGCGCAGAGACTGCAGTGTGGGCTTCTCGAGCGCGGCGGCGACTGCATATCATCAGCAAGCGCAACAACAACAACAAAGCATCGCGCAGCGCACTGGGTTGGACCTCGTTCATGGCAGCATTCGGATCGGCCTTGCCGGTAGCAGTGAGGTGGGGCTTGTAGCTGTCGGAGACCTTCCTCTCGTGTCCAGATGCCGGATGCTTCCTATCGTGGCGGTTGGGGTCGCTCGTGTGGCTGTTCTGGCTCTTGAAGCTGAAGGTGGACTTGGAGCGCGGGCGGGTGTGCTGGGCGTTGTTGTCCATGGCGACGGACATGGCTCTTATCAGGTAGATTAATGCTGAAACAGGGCGGCTGGCACAATGCTAACTCGCGTGCGGCGTAGTGTCCGTGGACGAAGGTGAGATGGCGGCCGTTCGTGCTCGGTAGGGGCGGCTATGGGTCCTTGCGTTTGCCCTGGAATCAAGAATAGGATGAGGATAGCGGTAATGATGGAGCTGCCGGCGAGTCGGCACTGCAGCGCACGGTGAGGATGGCAAGGCTGCGAGGCGCTATTCGTGGGTCGAGAGCGGGGCCAGGAGCTTAATCGCAACGTCGATGCTGGACAGTGGAGCGGGAGGCTAGTGAGATTGCAGCGTGGAGTCAGGAATCGTAGCGAGTGCAAGGCCGTGCGAGACGACGGGGCAGCAGGTGAGGATGGAGGTGAAGGCAGCGGGATGGCTGGGGAAGAGACTGGTTAAAGAGCGGGCACGGGCGCGGCAGCGGCAGCGGTGGGAAGCTGAGCAATGTATTGTTGTTGAGTTGCCGCAGCGCCTGTAGCGTCCTCGTCATCCGCGCGGAGGCTGGTTGGTGCTGGCGGCCAATTGGGATGCGTGGGGCGCAGGCGATCTTCCGGGTAGAAATGCACCAGCGACGCGAAACGCAGAGCGCGGCGGATGCTGAACGACAAAGACGCAGCAAGAGACGGCGGGCGGCGGACAGGCACTCGAGCAGCAGCAGCGCGCCAGGGACCAAATACGGCCTGCGCGCACGCCGTCGCCACCAGTTGGTTCCACGACGTGCTCCAGGGCTGCCTCTCCCAATATTTCGCGCATTCCTGTTTGCAGCTTGCGCTTCCTCCGGCTTCGTGCCACCACTGCGAGCATGCCGCGAAGCACCGAGCCCCAGCCACACGCCTAACCTCACCAATGCCAGCACCCCGGGCATCCAGACGCACGCCTGCTCTGCTTGGGACCTTTGCTTCAATAGTTTTCTTGCAAGCCTAGCCGCAGCGCGCCCACAGTAGTGCCCTCGTCCATTCCTAGCCCGCACGCCGGTCTTCTGTCCCGGGTCGCCATACGCTGCAAACCGCACCCCTCCCGCATCCGTAAGCCCTCGAGCAGGCAATTGACCGCGCTACTTCGCAAGCTGCGTGCGTACGCTTCTTGGCAATCCTGTCCGATTCATCGCCCTCCTCCCCTTCTCGGACCCAGGTCCTCCACATTTAGACACGTAACAGCACCGAGAGAAAACTGGTCCTCGCATGCCTGACATCAGCGACTGGGTTTGCTCTGACCCTAGCCTGGGGATCGGCGGGCCGTCAAGCTGTGAACGCCCGTAGCCACCCCGGGCTTTCCACAGTCGCTCGATTGATCGCCCAGCCGTTTCAAGATGGCTCGGCGCTGCAGCGTGTAACGGTCTGCCGTGTGCAACCCAACACCACATGCACCCACACACCCTTATTTATCCTCGCCTCGACCCGTTCCCGCCGCCGTGCGCCTTTGCACGATGCGTTTTCGATTTTCGCTGCTCACGCGAGGGCGCACGCAGCTGCAAGACAGCCGCAATCCTATCTTGACTTTGCGCCTCGCCGTTGTGTAGTCGCCGACTAGACCGTTCATGCATATCTATCAGTGGAAACACTCACTTTCACTTTCTGTGTTGTCCTCGTCGCGGTGCCATATGGTCGTCTCGAGCTCGCTTGGTGTCCCACCATCGCTGATGTCAAGTTACCAGCCACTAGCTGTGCCACGGATGGTCGACCACAAGACAGCTGTCAAATCCACCCTAAGCACCCGCCAGCTCAACTGTAAGGTCACGTCCCTGCCTTCCAAGCTAAAAGCATTGGAACCCCTTGGCTACCACAGTCCGGAACTTAATCTCTGCGACTGGGACCTGCATCCAATACATTCCTCGACAAAGCGCTAGTACTACACCTACTTTCAATATTCCCGCCAACCCCCACATTCGGATTTCCACGCACAACGTCCAATTAGACGACCGCGCGAAGTCGTACACACAAATATCGAGCGTGATTTCGACCTCGCCCCATCCATTTGAGCCGTCTTCCGCACGCAGCTTAACGCATGCCAGAAGACACCCCAACTACAGCACCACGGCAAAAGTCCCCATAGAGTACTACACTGTGTTGACACTGCAACTGCCGACATTTTGAAAACCGCAGATGCTCTGCCCATCCGAACATTGACAGCATCCTGGAGCCACGGTGCCTGTTGCAGCTCTGACCAACGAAGCTTGATGTGCTTTGCATATCGTGCACTCTTCCGGCATTCATCTTGCTAGTTATACCCACCCCTATTCCTCGATTCAAAGCACAGTTTCTCCGTTGTTATTCACTGCCAGAGAATTGCAGCACACCTGCGCGACGCCAGATCATACTTTTGCTTCCCCGTCGTACACAAAGCCATAGCCCTCCAAATATAACATTCATCCAGAGCACTTGCTCTTCCTCCGCATACCAAATCCATGCAGAATTCACGCCCGTCAGACGGCACTTGCCCCAACTGCATGACCACACACGATATGGCTTTGCCAGGACCAAGGCGACTGTTGCCCGGGGCAAGAGGCTGCGATGGAAGACGTCGAACAACCCGCGTCCTGCCCAAAAGGTGCTCTGCTGTTCCCATGCAGATCCTGCCAGCCTAGACTATTTCAGTGCCAAGTCGCCCGCATCAATACATTCCTCGATCTGCTCAAGGGCCCCGTACCACATGCGACCCGGGCGCTCGTTTGCATCTCCCCGCTGTATCACAGACCAAGCGCTGGCTAGTCTTGGAGTTGACGGGGGATATGAGCGTGAGTTTGAGAATGTACAACACCATCGTCGTCAATTGAACGTGCGTATATCGAAGTATTTACATCGAACGACAGTCCGTCATTCCGTCTCTGCCTCCCTCGATCAATCTGGCCCTTTGACTTTTCCTCAACCACCCTCCATCCAACGCCCCACCAGCCTCAATCTGAACAATTTCCTCACCCCTGAGTGCTTGGGCAAGCATCTAGCTGTGCGTCGGCATGTTCACACTCGCCTTAGTCGCAACGGCGTCCTCGCTCCGCCACAGACTCGTCACCGTCTTCTGCTGCGTGTAGAACTGCAGCCCGGGCTTGCCGTAGAACGTATTCGCGCCGCCGCCGGCGATGGACTTCTTGTTGCCGGTGAAGGAGAACATGGGGAGCTGTACACATAACATTAGCCTCGCTCCTTCTTCAGACCACACGCAGATAGAACTGAGTATAGGAAGGGGAAGGTAGGGTTCAGCTTACCGGCACAGGAATCGGCACATTGATCCCGATCTGGCCCGCCTCGACCTCCTTCTGGAAGCGCGTAGCCGTGGACCCAGAGCGCGTGAAGATGGCAGTGCCGTTGCCGTACTCGTTTGCGTTGATGAGGTCGATGGCTTCGTCGATGGTGTCGACGTTGAGGCAGACGAGCACCGGGCCGAAGATTTCTTCCTTGTAGCACCGCATGTGCGGTTTTACATTGGCGATGATGGTGGGGCCGACCTGGTTGCTTCTGTTAGCTGTCTGTCTGTCTGTCTGTCTTCGTATCCGTATAGAGTAGCGAGGGGGTGATGGAATTGGGATGCGGCTTACCCAGTTGCCTTTGGGGTACTTCTCGGGTTTCTGGCCGCGCCCGTCTAGAAGGATGGTCGCGCCCTCCTCCTCCGCGCTGGCAATGAGGTCTTCAATGCGCTTCTTGCTCTCGGGCGAGATGACGGGGCCCAAGTCCGCGCCCTCCTCAAACCCACCGTCCATCTTGATGTCCTTCGCGCGCTCCGCAATCTCAGGGACCCAATCTTTGGTCTCCCCAATCATAACGAGCGTGCTGAGCGCCATGCAGCGCTGGCCAGCAGCACCGAACGCCGCACCCGCAATGGCGTTCAGCGCGTGGTTCTTGTTGCAGTCGGGCAGAACGGCGGCGTGGTTCTTTGCGCCGAGGTTGGCCTGGACACGCTTGCCGTTGGCGGAGCCGCGCGTGTAGATGTACTCGCCGGCCTTGTTGCTGCCAACGAAGCTGATGGCCTTGATGCGCGGCTCGTCGATGATGAAGTCGACCGTCTTCGCCGAGCCGTGCACGATATTGATGACGCCGGGGGGGAAGCCGGCCTTTTCTGCGAGCTCGGCGAGGATCATGCACGCGCCGGGGTCGCGCTCAGAGGGCTTCACGACGATGGTGTTGCCGGTGACGGTGGCGATGGGGATGCACCAGAGGGGAATCATGGCGGGGAAGTCTGGTATCCATATCAGCACTGCGGCACGCAATCGAGACTCCTGATCATGATTTGTACTTACTGAATGGGCAGATCGCGGATACAACGCCCAATGGCTCCCTGTAGCTCCTGGTCTCCATGTCCTTAGCGACCTCGAGCACCTCGCCAGTCATCTGCGTCGTGATACCGCACGCCGTTTCCGCGACCTGCAGCCCACGCAGGACATCGCCGCGCGCATCGGCAAACGTCTTGCCCTGCTCGAGCGTGATGCTCGCCGCAAGCCTGTCCCAGTTCTCTCGGATCAGATGCGTATATTTAAACATGATGCTCTGCCTCGCGAGCAAGCTGGTCTGACTCCAGCTCTTGAACGCTTTCTCCGCGCTGTCAACCGCAGCAGTGAGCTCCTCGTCGGTGCTCTGCGGCACGCGGGTGACGAGGTTGTTGGTCGCGGGGTCGTGCAGGTCGATCCATTGCGAGGCGTTTGAGGCAACAAACTTGTTGTCGAGGAAGTTCTGCGTGTCGGGCGGCGACTGGATGCGCTCGTGGGTTGTGGGGTAGCTCTGAGCAGCAGCCGCGGCGGGCTTGAGGTGCTGCGCCGTGGCGTGCAACCGCCTGACAGCCTTCTGGCTGGAGCTGTAAGGCGTGGACATCTTGGTGCAGAGAGGCGTGATGCGGGGAGCAGAGGCGCGGGTGGCTATTGTTGCGATGCCGCGGATTGTATGGCGAGCAGCCATTCTTGTGGAGGCGGACAAGTGCCGGCGATGTGGAGGTGGGAGGAGGGAAGAGGACAATCAAGCCGACTCAACAAACCGACCAGCAATATCAGGACGGTAACCAGCTGCTGTGTCTGACAATTGCAGAGGAGCGTGGACGAGAGAATATGCTCCACGCGCTGTGCGGTCAATGCTAAGTGGTTTCGGAAAAGCTGTCCCTTTCATAGCTCGCCGCTGCCCCAGGGCCGAGCAGCTATGACCTCGGAAACCCCACATTGGGGATGAGCCCGGCTATCACCGCTTACACCAACACTAATCGTCTGAGCGTCTCGGGCGTCTCCGCCGTTTCCGCTAATTCCGCTTACGATCGGGCAATGCATTCCGAGAGCCTCAAATCAACAAGATGAAAATCGGGCATAGCTGCATAGTGTTAGAGATCAGTTGATACTTGTCATCACGTCCGACTATGGTAAGACTGTCATCCTCCAGTAAAGTGGGTACACAGCTACGATAACGCTTGCGGGGTGCTTGAGCATAGACAATTTCCTGGAGTATTTGATCCACGAAAAGATTCCGCTTTCTCCCACAATCGCATCGAATCCAGCACCGCGTAACTCATCATTGCACTCGATCTCAATTCAAGACCGCAATAAGATTCGCGCCTAACCGCTACCTCCACTGCAAAGAAGTCCACTGAATTTGGTTTCATCATTTCATTCTCGAGCCCAAGGCTGTAGTACCGTATAATACACTCGTAGCGCCGTGTCACCCAGAGCAATATGAACGAAGTGAAAATCCAAGAAATATGGAACCATGTGGGGAGCCATTGCCCCTCCAAAACTTTGAACATCGCCCTTTTAGTAATGGCCAGAGACCATCCATTGACTTTCTCTATCTCTCCTTTGCCCCGTGTCTTCCTGCATTGTCATAGCTAGCCAGCTGTATTCATGCCGTCACCGTCATGCAACTCTGCGCTTACGAAGCGGTGGAGCGGGTGGTGCGCTTGTTCACCTCAGCCTGAGCCTTCTCGGCGCCAGTAGCGGCCGCCTCAGCAACTTTGTCCTTTGCGTCAACAGCGGCCTTCTTGGCCTTCTCAGCCTGGGCCTTAACCTGCTCCTTGGAGGGAGCAGCGCCGCTGCCGAAGAGAGCGGAAACAAGAATAGCAAGAACGGTGACGACGATAACACCAAGACCACCGGCAACCTCAGGAACAAACTTGACGGCCTCGACGGGGTCACGCTGGAAGATCTCGATAAAGAGGTTGACCTTCTCCTTGATGTAGAGGACGGGGTCATCCTTGAAGACGAGATCGGAAGGCGACTTAGGGGTGTCCTCAACCTTGGGCTTGTTGGCGGCCTCCTCGGCCTTCTCAGCGGCGATCTTGACGTCGAAGGTCTCCTCCTGGATCTTCTTGGCATCCTCAATGGAGTGGCCAATGTAAATGTTGTCGAAGAGAATGTCGTTCTGCATGGTCCAGATCTCGAAACCGATGGCACCAATGGGCTCGAAGTTGGACGGAGTTTTGTCCTCGAAGTAGTCGGGGTTCTTGATCTTCCGAGGAGCCCAGACGCCCTTGTAGGCCGGGTTGTCAATGTACGGCGCAGTCCACTTGCCCTTGTAGTCGGGGTTCTTCTTCATCGGGGGCTCCCACTTGCCGCAGCCAGAGACCTCGTCACACTTGGGGTTGGGAACAGTGGGGGCGATCCAGTCACCGTCCTCCTCGTCATCCCAGTCCTCGGGCTTCTCGGCCTCAGGGTCGGGGATAGTGGTGGGCTCATCCTCAAGCCAGTCCTCCGGCTTGGTAGCCTCCTCGTCAACGATTTCGAATGGCGCCTCCTCATCCCAGTCCTCGGGCTTGGTAGCCTCAGGATCCGCGATACGGGCCTCGTCAACCCAGTCTTCGGGCTTCTTGTCGTTGGGGTCGTCAATCTCCTTCTCAGGGTTGACGGAGGGGCTGAAATCCTCAAGAAGAGTACCGTTTCGGATGGACTCGCCGTCGATCTTGATCTCGAAGCTGTTGTCGGGTTTGACGATAAGAGTGTAGAGGGAGGTAGTCTTCACGATGCGGGCCATCGGGGGGTTCTTGAGGTGCTTCTCCTCGTACTCGCCAGTCTTGGGGTTCTTGTGGCGGAAGATGAAGTGAACCTGCGATCGTTAGGTTGAGATTTCTCCCAAGAAGAGATGCGACATACCTTGTTGGTGGCACCGCACTTGTCGGGACCGAACATGATAACGTAGGGCGAGCTGTTCGAGAACTCCTCAGCGTGGAGAGCCTTGTTATCCTGGAGGAGCTTCATGTAGGCTCCACCGCACTCAAGACCATCTATGGCAATGTCAATATCGCGCAGGAGCTCGATTAGTACAAGAGCACCTACCCTGAAGCTTGACCTCATACTGGACAACGAGAGTGTTCTTCTTGTTGTCGATCTTCTTGGGGAATTTCGCGGAGATGGCGTGGTGGGCAGCCTTGTCCTTGAGAACCAGACCCTTGTCGCCTTCAATGCCCTTAAGCACAGAGGGCTCCTCAACAGACCAGGTGCCGACGTACGCCCATTCTTCCTCGGTGGACTTGTCGTCCTTCTTTGCGTGCGAAACCTTCCATCGCGAGTCCCAGTCGTCCGTGAACTGTTCAAAGAACGGAGCCTTGACGCTGGTGGGCTGTTGCGATTGAGGTCAGCAATGTTCCGTAAGGTGGAGGGGCTGGCGCGGGACAACAAACAGCCCAGCTGGCTGCGTAGCGTGGTCGCTCGCGATGATGTAGCCGTAATGATACCTCTAGGGGTACACTACGCTTCTCCCATCATCCGATTGAGCACTTACAGTGAAGGTAGACTTGGCTACAGCAGAGGTAGCGGTCGAAGCCTCAGCTTCAGAGCTCGACGCATCCTCGGCGCGCACAAAGGCGGCGGCAAGCACGGTAGCTCCAACTGCAAAACGCATTGTGGTGATTCCTGCTAGCTTGCGGGAGCAGGGAAGACCGACGACGGCAAGAAGTAGAGAAGTGGGTGTTCGAGAAGTGCGGAGGCTGAACTGGTCGTATATAATGGCGGCGGGAGAGCTCTAGCAAAGGCCACATTGACAATTGCGCGCGGGCCACCTAGCGTCCAGGGTGACTTGCCGGCGCACCGCCGTTAACTAACCCACATCGATTCTTCGAGAAAGCTTCAGGATTGTGCCAGCTGGCATTATGCTGAAGCTCGGCGGCCTGGAGGATTATCAAGTTGCCTATAATGCCTCCATTCCGCCTGAATACATGCGCCATCTCCTGGCTATGGCTTCCTGCCTGCCCGTCCCCACGCCTTCCCCTCACCCGTCCCACCATCATGTACGACATAGTGGATAGCAGTATCTTTTAAGAGTGTCGTGATGTTCGACTGCCGGCCTTCACGTCGATTGTTTGAATTGGCTTACTCATGAGAACATGTCGTGAATGCGCTTAAACACGGACTCTGTGCACACAGCACTTTGCTCGTTATGTACACCTCGGTGTATCCTGCCTGGAATAGGTGATAGAAGCGACGTACGCTGTACTGTTCCGGAGCGAACAAAAGCACTCGCTCTCTCCTAGTATACACCTATCACACGAACAACGTGCTTGTGTCTATTTGTTTTGTCTGTGCGCTACGTATAGATAGTCGATTTTTGGTCCTTGGTACGTCAGCGCGCAGTCCTGACCAAAGTCACAACTGTCCTAAGAACGGGTTTGTTTTCCTAGTCGTGTTTCATGTCAGTGGACCAAAGATTGCTTTCTTGCACGGTTGATTTGGTGCTGCTGTCAGGCATATGCTTTGTGGTTCCTTGGAATAGCTACTCGCACGTGGCCTCCACATCCAAACGACACACAATTCCATACAAATCTGACACCAACGCAACCCACCGTTGCATCGCTCGCTACCATACCTAAGACAATACACAGCATGTCAACAGTCACCTATCTTTAGCGGGTCCCGCCCCACTCGGCAACGACAACCCAGTCAAACTGCTATCATTCTCTATCTTTCTTTGTTGTGCACAACGTACCACACCGTTTTCGGTCGTCTCGCTCTAACACATGCAGACGCCCACCCCTCATTCATTCATAGATCGCGACGCTCCCGAGACATGTGGCGGGTTAACCGCACCGTAAACACCTGCTTCGCGCATTGGAGATAATGCCGTGCTTGGTTCATACTGCACTTGGTGCATGCTGGATGCAGAGTCTGAGATCATGTGACAGCACCTCGACCGCAGAAGTGATACATTTGCTGATTGGCTATTCTCATGCGTAGCACCACCACCCCCATAGCACGTACCACGCAGGTATCTCACGCAGTCCAGTATGGAAACCCCATTGAAAGCGCCCAAACCGAGCCCAATATCCAATCCAACAAAAGCACAATATGCCAGCCCGCCCGTGTCCGACCAGAACCCGGGCCCGAATACGAACGAAAACGCTATGTGCGCAGTACAACCAGAAAGCCAGTAACAGTGCTTATGGAAACAGCCGCCCTTGTAACGCCAAAGCTGATGATGATGATGCACAATAATCACTGTCCGCTCCTCCACCCCACGTTCCATATCACGTGGGCTATGTCCCGCGCTGTGTTCACTGTGTCTACAACCTTGCCGATGAGGCCAGGTGCTGGTGGATTCTCGTCTTCCTCTTCGAAAGGCATAAACATGCCGGATGCCGTGCGTCGTAAGCCGCTAGAACTTGAGTTCGATGAGCCAGCTAAAGGGGGTTCATTTGGGGATATTGAGTAAGGATCTGAGGGTGTCGGAGTATGCGGTCTTTGGACCTCGTAGGCTCCTGCAGGGTTGAAAGTGAAGTCATCTTCGCTATCGTCTTCAGGGAGGAGGAAATTACTAGACGGGTGGGTGGGTCGGAGAGTCTCCTGGGATGGTGATGGTGACAACCGGCTCGAGCGAAAGAAGCCCAGAGAGTGTGTGGGATGTTGTTCTGTGACGTCTGGAGAGTCTGTTCTGTACTTGAGGGTTGTTGGCTCGAGCTTGGCTATTGTCTTGTTCTCTCCACTTATGCTCGTTTTCGAGCTGGTTCTTGATAACGGCCGCTTCCGTCTTGACCGCCTCATCATTACAACTCCTTCGTCTGACGAGGAGTCGTCGTCGCGATACTTTGCCCAGGGATTGTGGTTATTCTCATCGTCTTCGTCATCATCTACACCTTTGCACTCCACGGCAATGCATTGCTCAACCTTTTCGTCGAACCGAATATGCTTTTTCTCTCCATCGCCGGGTGTCAACAGACCAGAGGTGGACTGTGAAGAGAAATAATCCGTTGTGTCCCGGCTGATGGTCCGCGTCGGAATCAGCATGGTATAATCCGACGCAGTGGCTCGGCCAACAAACGGCCGTCGTCTCCGTCCATCGAAGTTGACATGCGTGTTTTGCTGGGCTTCCACTGCTGCCGCAGCTTGACTGACTAATGATGATGTCGAGATTGACTTTTGCAGCATTACTTCCGACATACTTCGCTTCTTCAGAATGGGCTTCTTGGCAGCAAGAAACGAGTTGGTTTTGGATAACCGGCTGACCGGTTCCGAGGCGTGTTGACTGATGTGTCGATTCTCAGAGGGCTGAAGTGGCCCATAGAGCCACGTCACGTCGCTCTCCTTCAACCTATCGAGTGGTTAGCCAATGTCATGCGTCATTGTCGGCCACGTTCCGCTGTCATACCAGTTTAGAGACTCGGGAGTGACGGTCCGAAGTCTGTACTGCAATTTGGCCCAATGCCTCCACGACGCGTTCTCCAGGCGCGACCGCTCGCCATACACGCTGCGGTGCTCGACGATGTGGCGCCATGATGACCAAATGTCCTCCTCCTTCCAATCGTACGAGAGATAGTCGACATGCTGTGAGGGCTCGGGCCGTAGATTTGTGTCGTCTTCGGATACTGGGACGTGGTCCGGGGTAGACGCGGGCTCGTCTGAAGGCGAGGGCGCGACAGGGGCAAGAAAGGGGTTCGAGGGCGGCGCTGCGTCGACCTTGTTGGACCTGCTTGCCGCGCCGTACGCAGGGAAAGCCAGGCCCTCGTCATCGCTGCTACCCGACTCGTCGCTGGAGTTCTGGCCGAACGAGAGGCTGCTCGCTGGCGTCGACTGGACCGACGAGGAGCGCGACGAGGGCAGGGATGGGGAGGAGCGCAGGTCGTCGAGATGGGAGCCGAAGCTGTTGCTCCGGCGCAGGGCAAAGGGGGCCTGGTGGGAGTCGAAGAAGGACGTGTGCGAGGTGGACGGGCGGAGCGGGGCACGCTGCGACAGCATCTCGACGGGGGGCGCCATAACATCTGTCATTGCGTTGGTGCGGGCTCAATGGCCTGCTAGAGTTGTGTGTGTATCTATCGACCAAGACCTTCCTCCTCTGAGCGCCAGGCGGCGAGCTCGTCATGCGCCCGCGGGCGGCGAGAGCCGTTATGTACAGGGCGGTGCGTGGGCGCTTTGGGAAGGCGCGGGGCGGGGTGTTGTTGTGGGTGTCGTCGGAATGGGATGTGGGAATGGCGTTGGAACAGGACGCAAGGGGCGCCACAGGTGCAGAGGCAGACGGTGGAGGCGTGGAGCGACGTTGGGATGGCCGCTTGGGCTCTCGTCGGCGGTATGCACACTGCGCTTTGGCCACGGCAGAGGCTTTTGGCCTGCAAGTGAAGGGCCTAGCCGAACGCGTGTAGCACTGTCACCCTGGGCTCCCCGCCTTCTGGGCGCGCGCTCATCGACTGGGTTGCTCCACCGCTCTCCGCGCCGCTGGCTCGGTGGGGGGCCGCTTTCAGGCCTGCGAGTCGCCCACGGCAGCGGCCAGACACGCCCGCCTGCCAGCGCGCGTGCAGCGTTCGCAGCAACCCCCTTTCACCCGCCCGACAAAGCAGCGCGCGCAGCCCCGGCGCAGGCCAAACGGCCGGCTTCATGGCTACGCCCGGCTGATCGGCGCACCGTGCAGCAGAGGCCCAACAGAACAAAGCCTGGGCCCGCGCATCTGCCAGGTTCTGCACGACCTTCTTTGCAGGGCTGCGGGCGCTAGAAAATTTCAAGGACCGCCGCCGCGCAGCAGCGCCTCTCCCACGCTCTGAGCAGCCTCGATAGCGCGCTCTGTCGCCACGGAATGCGCTAGACAAACATGCAGCGAGCCGAGCTGGCCCCAATTCTTCAGTGCGAGTCTGCAGAGGCATGTGTAGCTTGCGGCGCTGCGACTCGACGACGGACCTGCACGGCCCGCTAGGTGCACGTCTAGGTCCTCAACACCAAAAGTGCTATCTCGATCCTCATGACGACGGCCTGCGCCTCAGCAGTCCGCGCGCTTTCTGGACCAGCATCTGCACGGGGAGATAACGGAAGCCCAGGGTCTGCGCCAGGGTCTCCTTCGCAGCATCTACCAGACTCTGCGGGGTATGAGATCATGCTCACCGTTTGAGCACTTGTAAACACTAACAACACCACCGCGGGGGGCGTGAGGGGTCCATGGCTCGAAAAGATCCGAGCACGTCAGCCGCCGTCTCTTCTTGTGCATGTTCCCAATCCCAACCATCAATTGATCTTAGCAAATAAATCGCTCTCGCATCCCACGCACGCGCCCACTGCGCGAGTTGACTGGTATCCCTCCGTCCGCGAACAGGCAGATATCCCTCATCGTTAACAGATGTGACACAATATGCTCCCTAGGTCAGCCGGTCGAGGAAGGGTCTAGTTAATAATGCGATTGTCTTCATCACGATCAACCTTACCTATTCGTTCGAGCTTGTCGCCCTCGATCGCGCAATGAAAACCAGAAAGTAGCAGGCGTTATGGACAATTGTAGGCTTTGCTTGAGCTTCTCACGTAGAGCGTTCTGGCACTGCTTCCATACATAGGATAGAGATATCCTGGCCTCAATACCCAAAAGTTGATGTCCAAACCCAAGTGCTGTGGCCCTTCGTACAAGAGGCGAGTACAATCTGGATGTTGTACGACAGCATCGCACTCTCACAACATTTCATTTTTCGAGCACCTACCGTCAAGCCGCCATGATACAGCAGTTCTCAGGGGCGTCTGTGCTAGCCGATATTTCTCCCTTGGAACAGCCCTATATCTCAATGGGTCTTACAGATTGGCCTAATCTCGTAGCCAAGAAACCAAGCTTTCCTGCGCGGGTACAGCCGTCGAGTATCAATGTCAACCCGCTTGTCTCTCAGATTCTCTGTCTGCGAATGGGCGGGTTGTTTAAATTTATGCTTCCTGGCTGCACGATCTGGCGGACAAGAGCGCAGATTGTGATGACGGCATTTCGGAGATCTCGTGCCCCTGCGCCGATGTGCGGGGCGCATCGAGTCATTCCACGTCGGGGCGTTCACTTCTCCGAGCCGAGTGCATTATCTCATCGTTTGTTGCAGCCAATTTTTGTACGAAGCTGCGAGGCTGAATTTGCTCATGATGCATGATTGTTCTCGACAACAACAGCCCCTCGCCCTGTTTGAACCACGCCCACCATGGCATCGCATACAAAAGACGACTCTCCGGCGCCGACACCTGCGCCGCTCGTAAACCAAGACATCGACGCCATGGATACGCCCGCAAGCAGCTCGGCCTCCAGCCGTACTGCTGGACGCCCTGAACCATACCTCCCCTCGAACGAGGCTACCGAACCTGCGACTGGTGAGAGTAATGCAGCAAACAACAGCGCAGATGCGCACAACGAAGCGCAGATGCCAGAAGATGGGCAACCTCAAAGGAGCAAGCTCAAGATCGCGCTCATCATGCTCTCCCTAGGAATCGCCGTCTTGCTTGTGGCCCTTGACATCACGATCGTGACGACCGCGCTCCCTACCATCGCCGAACAGTTCCACTCCGCCTCAGGATACACCTGGGTTGGTTCCGCCTACTTGATCGCGAACTCGGCGGCCACACCCATATGGGGCAAAGTTTCTGATATCTTCGGAAGGAAGCCCATTCTGCTTGTCACAAACGCCATCTTCTTTGTCGGCTCGCTGTTGGCAGCGGTCGCGGTGAACATGAACATGCTGATCGCAGCCCGTGTGATCCAAGGTATCGGTGGCGGAGGCCTGATTGTGTTAGTCAACATCTGTATATCTGACCTCTTCGCCATGCGAGAAAGAGGAGCATACTTCGGTGTCATCGGCGGAGTTTGGGCTTTGGCATCCAGCTTGGGTCCCATCGTTGGAGGCGTTTTAACCCAAAAGGTCAGCTGGCGCTGGTGTTTCTACATTAACCTCCCTTTCGATGGCCTCGCGTTCTTCATCATCATGTTCGCTTTAGACCTGCATACACCTAAAACTCCTCTTTGGGAGGGGCTCAAGGCTGTAGATTGGCTGGGCTCACTGACTATGGTCTCTGGCACGGTCATGGTTCTCCTAGGACTCGAATTTGGTGGAATCACATACCCTTGGAATTCAGCCACCGTCATCTGCCTCATCGTCTTTGGAGTAATCACCATCGGCCTGTTCTTCCTCGTTGAACACCGCGTCGCGCCATATCCGCTAATGCCGCTCACTCTTTTTTCCAAGAGATCGAACCTTGCCGCCCTTGGTACCTGCTTCTTCCACGCATTTGTCTTCATCTCTGGATCTTACTTTCTGCCTCTCTACTTCCAGGCAGTGCTTGGTGCGACACCCATTCTCTCCGGCGTGTACCTGCTCCCAACCGCTCTATCACTGTCGTTCCTGTCAGCGTTCACAGGTGTGTTCATCCGCAAGACCGGTCAATATTTGCCATGCATATGGTTTGGAATGATATTCATGGTCGCCGGCTTCGGTACATTCATCGACCTTGGGGTGCACTCGTCTTGGGCCAAGATCATCATCTTCCAGATTATTGCTGGAATCGGTGTTGGCCCCAACTTTCAATCACCCCTCATTGCGCTGCAAAGTTTGGTCCCGGTATGTATCCCGCTTCCCCGTTTTATTCCGTGTGTTTGCTCTCTTTCTGCACGCGCCTATGTGGCTAGTATCTAGTCTCCGGATTCCACCGCACGTGCCAAAGTCTAACACCTCAACACTCCACATCTTCGATATCACATGCTAACCAATACTACAGAAGCGCGATATTGCGACTGCAACGGCAACATTCGGGTTCGTCCGCAACCTCGGCTCTGCCATCTCTATTGTCGTCGGTTCGGTGGTGTTCCAAAATGAAATGGTCTCCAAGCAACCGATGCTCCGAGAAGCATTGGGCGATCAAGCCGCAGCTGCTTTTGGTGGTGGCTCAGCCGGTGCCAACGTTGGCCTTATCCAAATCCTCCCTGAAAACGAGAAGGAAATCGCGAGGCAGGCTTTCTCTGAAGCGCTGTCCACCATGTGGATCCTGTACGTCTGTTTCGCTGCAGCTGGTCTGGCCGTCAGCCTTTTGATCACAAAGAACGTACTCTCAAAGCAGCACGAAGAGACCAAGACTGGAATCGAAGAAGAAAAGAAGAAGCGGGTGGAAAGAGAAGCCGCGAGGGAAGAGAAGAAGAGGAGCAAGCGGGCTAGTAGGGATCTTGCAGCGAGCAGTGGAGATCTGAGTACGGACGTTGAACAGGGGGCCGAAGGTACCGTGCCCCCGAGCGCCGAGAAGCTGTAGAGCTCGGCTTAAATGTGGACTGCATCATAGAGCACATGCGACTCATATCATAATAAGCATGCATAATCTAATAACTTCACTTCTAAGCATAATTTGTTGCACATTGGTCGTCAGTGATGCATGGCAGTGTTCGCACGAAATGCGTGGTCTGTTGTATACCAGCCTAGTTGAGGTGGCATGAGACCGGACACGGATTGCTTAAAGTCGACAAACCAATGGCTAGGCTTCAATTATTCCAGAGATATCATGCTAATCTAGATAGAAGCAACCTACTTCTACTCTATCCTCCCAGCTTACGCCGGCTGCATTCGCATCCCGCTGTCACGCAACCACGAGTACTTCTCTGTAAATTATACTGCATGTCTATGGACTATACTCTCTTATCTGGCTGTCTCCATATCTTTCTGTTCTACACATTCGTTCATATACCGTGCTTGGTAACGTCCCAGTTGTCCCATGGTCGAACAAGGGACCATCTCGGACCCTGTCCACGCCACCGTGAACGGACATCTCACTTCGCCCACCGTGGAGCCGTCAACGTCTTTCACATATCTCTCACTACCGCTCGGCGAAGCTTTTCCACGTTCCTCAGGATGAAGACCACAGATAGAACAAAGAAAAAGCACCGGGTCATCACGGATACATAAACACTTGGTCGCGCTTCTATTGTTCGATTTGGGTCTCACACAAGTCTCACATACGGCACGGCTCGGCAACCGCACGCTCTACACCATGTGCTACTACCGTCTATACATCTTCCTCGGCTGCGGCCACACCACCTTCTCCGCGCGACCCGTCCGCCCCTGCGCAGCTGCACGCTCGAAACGAATAGCAGCATCGCAGCACCAGCACACAGACACAGCGCAAGGAGTCCCTCCGAATGCGCCTCCACAAGCCTACCAACCTACCTCACCGATCGCAGCCACACATGCCACAGGCATAACCACATTCCACACTCTCCACCCCAGCACTCCCCACCCGCACGCGGACAGCGCAAACATCCCACAAGACCCCGTGACATCACGACTCCCCGACACACCAACTCGATCTGAAGAATGCGCAGACGTCCTCACGCACCCTTTCCAGACCCTCAACATCCATACCTCGTGCGCGCTCTGCCTCCGCCAACGCGCCGCGCTGCTGCAGCAGCTCGAGGAAGAGACAGCAACATCGGCAGTGCGCTTCGAGGACTGGCGCTGGAAGGTCAAGTACCTATCTCCGACGCCCGAGGAGGCGCGGTACGCGGCCGAGTGGAAGAACGTGGGGAGCGTGATGGGGAGTTGGGTTAAGGATTGGAAGGTCAAGGGGGATGAGATTTTGGGGGTGTTGAGGGAGACGGTTGGGGAGGGAGAGGAGAGGAGGAGGGATAGTGTGGGTAGTGGGTTAGGATTGGGTTTGGGGATCAAGGGTGTGTTGGGGACGGGGAGGAAGAAGGCGAGAGAGGTTTAGAGGTGGAGTCGGGAGTAGCTGATGCTGCTGGGGGGCGCAAGTGTATGTGGGAAATGTAAGGCAGAGATAGGGAGCTGTATATGCCATTGATACATAGCAAAGACTAGCATTGGAAACGACGATGGCGCACAAGTGAGCCGAGCCGCACGTGACATCCCACGCCAATCCGTCCTAGCGCCGTCCGAGCTCTTGCTCCGGCAGTGGGCCATCATCACTTCGACGCCGTGCACACGTCCAGCTCCCACACCACGCCCACCACCCAATTGCCCGCCGAAACCCCCAGGCCGGCGCCCTCCACGCTCCCACCGGCAATCGAACTTTCTCCCCGCGCCGAACCGGCAGCCGCGCCCCCGCAATGCCGACCCCCGAGTCCGCCGCGTTCCTCGCGAAGAAGCCCAGCGTCGCGCCCACGTTCGCGGGCGTCGACTACGACGATAACCAGGCCCTCAAGGCGGCACAGGATGCGATTATCCGCGAGCAGTGGGTCAGGAGCATGATGGCGAGGTTGGTGAGGGAGGAGATGGGCAAGTGCTATCGTCGCGAGGGCGTTAATCATTTGGAGAAGTGTGGCCATCTGAGAGGTAGGTGTGATCAAACTCGGGGAGGGGCATGGGAGTGGTTGAGGAGGGGCGGAGGACGGAGGGGGTGTTGAGCGCGGCTTGGTAGATGTTGAAAGAAGGTGAGCTAACGTGCTTTGCAGAGCGGTACTTTGAACTTCTGAAAGACGCCAAAGTCAAGGGATACCTATTTGCGCAAACGCACACTTTCGAGAACACCTTCGAGAAGAAATAGAGGGCGACCGAGACAGTGGTGTGGAGGTTATTCGCTGTGCGCAAGAGCAACACGCAGTATGGGCTACGGCAGCTTCGAGGAGCATGTACGGATCGAGAGTAGGCGTTCAGTTGCGCGGTCGGAAGGCAGCGGCAGCAGTGGTGAGCTGTAAACGTGTACATATGCCTGCCATTGAGCAGGCCAGCTCGAGTAGCCAGCCCTGTTACAAGGATCATCTTTTGCAATGCGGCGGCTCGTTTTTGTCTTTCATGTTACTCACCATACTTTGCTAGATGCGAATTCGACTTGCTCGGCGCCCTTGTGCTGTCGGATGCATGGTGCCAAGCTATGACAGAGTGGGGTCCGTACCTGCATGTGCATCAACAACGGGAGCTCGCCCGCATACCCCACCACCACCTCGACATGCCGTTTCCCTTCGTGCTGCCCACCACCTCCAGTGTCTCATTCACCGACTCCTTCAGCAGCAGCACGCACCCCTCGCTCCCCAACTGCGCCACCACCGCGCGCGGCGTCGTCCGCGATGTCCTGAAGCGCTACAAGCGCATCCCGCCCGCCTCGCAAGCCTCCACCCTCTCGACCGTCCTCTCCGCCCTCCACGACTACATCCCCTACCTCTTCGCCCTCGATGCCGGCCTCAGCGGCACCAGCTGCGCCGGCGAGGAAATCGACCTTGTCCTCGTGAAAGAGCTCGAGGTCGAATGGCGCTCGACGCTGTCCACTACCGTTCCGGGACGGGAGCCCGCCCGCGTGAAGCTCAAGAGCCTCGAAAGCGAGCTGTTCTTCACGCTGTCGACGCTGGCCTACGTGTACAGTCTGCAAGCCCGCGCGCAGCTACACACGCTGTACAACGCCACGCTACCTACGCGTGAGCAGCGCGCCACTGCCATTGCTGCGGCCATGAAGCACTTCCTCGACGCAAACGCCATATACACGTTCCTCGTGGCTCGCTCGCAGCAGTGGCACGCGCAGCCCGCCGCCATCGACATCTCGAGCCCCGTGCTGGGCGCGCTCGCCGAGCTCACTCTCGCCGAAGCAACCCTCATCACCGTGCTCAAAGACGACCCGTACCCCGCCGCCGTCGTCGAGGACCGCAACAAGAACAGCAAAGACTGGATGTTCAAGAGCGTCGAGATCCCCAAGGTCCGCGCGCACCTCTTCGCCCGCTTGTGCCTCTCGTCCGCCGAGCACGCCGCCAAAGCGCAGGCGATGCTCGGCCGGGCGGCCAGAGTCGACGAGGGCTTCGCGCGCTACGTCGATGACTTCCGCCGCACCGCGAAAGGGAAGGCGTGCCGGTTTCTCGGGGTGGATGCCGAGTTGGCGGCGAAGACGGGCGAGGGAATTGCGTGGCTGCGGGGTGCGCGGAAGGAGCTGGGGTTCGCGGCGCTCGATGCGGATGAGGAGAAGAAGGCGTCGGGGCTGGCGAAGCTGAAGAAGGGGTGGGCAGAGAAGAGGGAGGATAGGAAGGTGGAGAGGGGGGGCGCCTGGGGGACGGATGCGGGCAAGTTCGAGGAGGGGAGGGTGGTGGATATGCTGTTGAAGAAGTGGGAGAAGATGAATGACACGGTATGCATAAGACGTTTTTCTATCGTGGTGAGGTCTGCAGCTACTAGAGTGTTGCTCAGACGCCCGTATCACATGCCGTCTTGTCAAGGCTGCAGCTCTTCTAGACTTCACTTGCAGATTCACTGACTCCATCCAGATGTCCATCCAGATCGTCCCCTCGTCCTCCGAGCTCATCGCCACCATGCCTTCTGGAAGAGAGTACCACACACCCAAACCGTACATTATCCCAACGCTAGAAGAAGAAGCCATCATCCGCATGCGGGCGCCGCCAGACCCCGGCGACGCCTTTGAGGGCGAGGAAGAAGACAGTGCAGACGAGGACGAACGCGCAGCTGCAGCACCCGTGGGCGCATTTCCCGGCACTAAAGCCGAATACTCGGCTGGCTCGAGCTACTACTGACATGAACAATATAATGACTTGGTATCTTGCTACTCCTCCACTTTGTCGCGTGCAAACAGGCTACTGACACCCACTCCTTTCCTGCCCTTGCATTCAATTCTCCCCAACAATCTTGGTCTTGTCCATACTCCCGACCCCCGTCAATTTTGCCCCAATCTCCCCCTCGCTCTCCGCCCCCTCCAGCACCGCCCCGTCCCGTCCCAACATCATATGCTCGACATTGACCTTCGGGCCCTTGAACCACCTTCTCGCATCCACAACCCACCACACCAGCACCCCCAGCATCAACGTCCCGTACACAAGCGCCGTCCAGTTCATCAGCTCCGCTGTCAAATCCTTCCCCCTCACGCTCGGCAGACACAATATCGGGACCATCAGGATCACAAAGCCCGATGCTACCGCGCCGATGGGGAGGGAGAAGCGCCCGAGATTCCACGGCCCCGCGCGGAACCGGTCGCCGACGAAGAAGACGCGGATGAAGATGGGGGTGGTGAAGGCGACAAAGGCCGCGATGGCGCCGATGCTGAACAGCGCGCCAATGGCCACGCTGCCCCCGAAGATGAGCAGCAGGCTGAGGATGCCGATGCCGCAGTTGAACCAGACCGCATTCACCGGCGTCAGCGTCTTGGGGTGGACCTGCTTCCAGTAGGAGCTGCCGGGGAAGCAGTCGTCGCGCGCGTAGGCAAAGGTCACGCGCGACGCGGCGATCATGCAGCCCTGGCCCATGCTGAAGCCGGCGATGATGGTCAGGGCGAGGATGGCGAGGACCAGTTTCTGGGGCAGGCATTGGATGAGGTAGGCAGCGAAGGGCTGGGTTGTCAGTTAGCGCTGTTGTCGAATTCGATAAAACTGGATATGAAATGAAGGACGAGGGGGAAGAGGGGTTCGGGAAGAGCATACCTGGCCCAGATCACTCCCCAATACATCATCGATGCTCACCACCGTGTACGCGACGACAAGCTGCAGCGCCCACCCAAACGTCCCGCCCACGGCGCTTGTCAGCACAATCGCGCGCGGGCTTGCAATGTTCGCATTGCTGCACTCCTCCGCCAGATGGAACGGGCTGTCGTACCCGCTCATCGTCCAGATGACCGCCACAAAGCTCATCAGCACGCTGATCCCGGGCGGAAACTCTGTCCCCGCATAAATATCCCCCCAGACTTCCTTGCTCGAGGTGAACCTGGGCAGCCCGCGGGATTCGCGGTCTGTACCCGCTGGGATGAGGATGAGGACCACGATGAGGGCGAGGATGTTGAAGGTGGAGCCGATGGTGTTGATGCGGGCGAGGGTTTTGGTAGGGAGGGAGGACATGACGCCGTGGATTAGCATGATGAAGGTTGTGAGCAGGAAGGTCTGGTAGTTTGTCGGGACATAATCCGGGTTCTGGATGGAAGCTGCCGCGAGGATCATGGCGGCGGTGCCGTAGTTTACTGTGCCATGCCATCTCGTCAGTCAAGTTTCCGTCTTTCCATGTCGCACAAGGGAAAGCATACCACTGGGTGCCGCAGTGACCTGCCCTAGCCAATTACTCCACCCGGTAATCCACGCCGCCAACGGCCCCCACCCCGGCGGCGCCAGCACCGCAGCCGCATAGTACAGGCCTCCGCTGGTCGGCATGGACGAGCACAGCTCCGCCATGCTGCACGCCACGCTCTGTATGCCCACCATGGCAATCACCCAGCCCCATGTCATGCCGGCCGTCCCGGCGTACCCCATGCCGTAGAAGAGCGTGGAGGCGAAGCTGGGGAGGAGACCGAGGACCGCAAAGGACACACAGAAGGTTGTGAAGAGCGAAAACTCGCGCTTGAACTCGGACTTGTAGCCCAGCGCGGCGAGGACTTCTTCGTCGGCGGAGAACTCATGTGTGGAGGAGAAGGGGATGTCGCCGCCCGGGAGCACCGAGGTCACGGGCTCGTCGGAGACGTGCTTCGCCATGGTGGAGTGAGTGGTATGGTATGGTCGTGGTCATGGACTGAGGCTATGGAAGCGTATGAGGAATGCTCACGTCAACAGACGTCCAAAGCCGGACGTCTATCGTCAAGTGTATATCGTATTGCACTGCGAAGAAGCAGAGCAGCAATACGCGCAAAAGCTATGCAGCACAGAAGGACATGCCCGTGTAACAGCAGGACGTCGTCCTCACATATATGCTAAGCATCTCGTCGTCCATGGGACACAACGACGCCGATCCCGTATGGTCCAAATAGGAAAGTCCAGCCTGGACACCAGCAAATGAGCTGCCGCGCGCGGGGTGCGGGCTGCACGTTGCGACGGGACGAGCGCGGTAGTCTTATCGCGAGCAGCGTTTGCGGGCCCTGGAGGACGCTGCTGACCCCTGGCAGCGCTACCCCGCAAATCTTGGGTCGCCCCGGCCCATTCCTCTAGACGCTGCAGTCGCGAGGGCTGGGGGATGCGGAACTGTTGCGCTGCTGTACTGTGTTATGCGACTCGGATACGCGATGGACAGCGGGGGTGACGATGCCTGGATAAAGTTCAAAGCGTTGGTGATGGTGATGGTGAATGTGATCTCGGATAAGCCTTGGAGTGTGGAGCCAGGGCCGCAAGCCGCGAGATAAGACTAGGAACAGAATCACGATTTGTGGATACTGTTCCGCGCCACAGTGATAGTGGTATCGGGGGACGATGGAGGTTGGAGGTATCTGTGACACAGTGCCAAGTGGTAATACGCGCTTTTCGGGCTGTGCCAACTCCCTGCTATCGCCATGAGATTGCGTTCAAAGGTCTGAAGTTGGCGACCTCAACTTCATCGAAGGCAAGGAGAAGTGAGGTGTATGATTGATGGATTGACGAGCCGCAGCGAAGCTGCTATGTACAGCGAGAGCATATCTGCCCGGAACACGCCTTAAGGCACATTCAATGTTGAAGGCCTTGCATCCGGTCGACCAGATCTACTCCCTGAGGAAACCGTATACAATCCGTCACCTGAACAGGGTAATCACTGCGGGTCGGCCTTCTTCTCCGCTAACACTGGTGATATCAAAGGAACCTTTCGTCTCATGTAGGTGCATATGCCGTGTCGAACGTTCAGTCGGAGCGTAGCCAGAAGAACAGCCATGCTACATAAACGCGCAATCCATAGACTCAAATTGTCTGGGTTGATGTCTTGCATCACGTTTTAGAAAATGCATGTGTCTTGTAGCAACTCGCAGGCTGAATACGATCTAACAATACGAATCCTCAGCCGCACGAAGCGGGCACCAGACCTCACAGAACTGCCATGTGCACGAAACGCTCAAAACCAGGCAGTATTCATGCAAAGCTACCTTCGTGAATGCCCTATACTATGGAGCCCTACAAATACGAACCACTGCCGAGTCCCACCTCAATACGCCGTTTGAAGTTCAATCCAGACGAGAGCGGCGATCAGCCTCTCACCTGCCATTTTGTCATTGTGGACACGAAAGACCCTCCTTCATACATTGCACTCTCATATGTTTGGGGAGTTCCATCAAAAACAGTTCCCATCACCATCAATGGCAAAGCCATAAATGTCACCCAGAGGCTCAATGGTGCTCTTCAGATCTTTCGCACTACGCCAGCACTACTATGGGCAGATGCTCTATGCATCAATCAGCAAGATATACCCGAGAAAATGCAGCAAGTCAATTTGATGTCAGCAATCTATCGGAAAGCGGCCAATGTGACCGTCTGGCTGGGTCCAGATGAGCACGAAGATGCCAGTGATCTCTTCGAGGATATCAAGTGTCTGGTTGAAGGTTGTGGAATGATTGTCACTGTCGGTGGTCAGTTTAAATTCTTCGATGAGAACACTGGAGACCTTCATTGGAAGCTTGAAAATGGGCAAGACTGTGTGTCAGCACTCCCAAAGGCTATCGTTGCCCCCGATGAAACGGAAACAGCCCGGCTAGTGAGATTTTCAAACTGCCTTACTTCACGCGGACCTGGACGCTACAGGAAGTTGGCCTTGCCTCCGATGCAGCTGTCCTTTGGGGTAATCTTGCCACAGAATGGAATGGCATCGGTTTGACCGCGATGTTCTTAAGGAGACACTGCAGAGCACTGCTCGACAGACTAGACCTGATGAGAGAGATGGAGCAGGTGTATCATATCTACACAGCGTTCTCTCCACTCACCCCGATGGCCACTTTCCTTCATCTTATCAATAACGTTCGAAGATTTAGCGCGACAGATCCCAGAGACAAGGTTTTTGCTCTGCTCTCACATCCCACAGCGCACACAATTAGCATGACGGATATTTCATTCAATTGGCATGCGATCAAAAATGCACTGCCGATCGCAGTTCAACTCCTCCCAAGCCTATCCGATCAGTTCCTGGTCAAGAAGCTTGCGGAGAAAAGCGCAAAATCATATTCCCCACCAAGCGAACTCCCACCACCCCTGATACAAGCGGACTACCATAAGACGGTCGATCAGGTCTACCTCGACCTGGCGTTGGACCACATTAATCGCACCATGAGTCTCGAGATACTTACGGCAGTCCAGCACGATCCCGAAAGCCCAGACGGGATGTTCACTCCGAGCTGGGTCCCCAGATGGGACTATTTCATCGACGCGCCCCCACTAGGATGGTACACCAGCGCTCACTTTGCAGCCGCCAACAAGGACGCCATTCTGACTCCGCCTCCAAGTCTTCGAAATGCGCTTACCGTTCGCGGCTCACTCATCACAAGGATAACGCAGCACACGGGCCTCCTAAAACCTTCGTCCTTTGATCTGCCGCTACCGTCGCCCGCGGGCGACGAGCCCTCGTTCGGTCCATCCTCTCCGCACGTCCAGTCCTTCTGGGACAACAACCCAATAGCAACGACATGGCTCTTGCACCTGAGAGATCGAGATCCCGAAAGCTACCTAGTGCTTCCCCACATGAGTTTCCAGAATGATAACGGACCGTACGCCATATTCGACACTCGTGCCACCAACGTCCACAAAGCCTACATGAAGACCTGGGTAGCTGGCAAGAATTGGGACGATGTTGACGGCTTTAATCTCGAGACGGATTCGGAGGCGTACTGGGAACGGCTATTCTGGGGCACGGAAGTGTCACCCGAGGTCTTCTTCTCACGACGGGCCGTGGGTGAAGCAGAAGCTAGACAAAAGGAATCAAAGGATAAGATGCGCTGGCAGCGGTATCGAGATTCGGCTGCGCTGGTGTGCAATCAAAGGAAGTTTTTTATTACGAAGAAGGGATTTTTCGGACTGGGACCTGGTGCGCTGCGCCCAAACGACTTTGTGGCTGTTTTCCTGGGGGCTGATGTCCCGTTTGTGGTTCGTGAGGTGTTGGACGAAGACGAGGCGAGTATGGAAGAGCGAAGGACGCTGAATCTGCCTATTCCGATGTATAGGAAGTTTCGATTGGTCGGGGAGTGCTTTGTTCAGGGATTGATGCAAGGTCAGGCAACAAGGGCGCATGAATTTCGCCGGCATATAACGCTGATTTGAAGACTCGTACCACTCTACTGCATTCTTCCGAGCAGCCTTGCTCGCTCATGGTAGTCTAAGTCATGTCAAGATTGCTTCTCGAAGAGCCGACTCAGGAGAGTCAATATCCTTCATGCATGTAGTCGACCGTCTTGACTCCCAAATCTACAGCTTCGCGCCCACCTCTCTCTTCGCCATCTCCCTCAACTCACCTTTCAATATCTTCCCGCTAGCGTTCTTCGGAATCACATCCACAAACTTCACACCTCCCACCAGCTGCTTGTAGCCTGCCAGCCGCTCCTTCATCCATCTCTGCACCTCGCTCTCATCCAGCCTCGTGCCTTGCTTCCGCACAACGTATGCTCTCGGGACTTCGCTGCCCTGCTCCCCGGCGCTCGATCCAAAGCCACCAGCGGGTATACCGATGACACCAGCGTCACTGATGTCCGGGTGCGATAATAGCACGCCTTCAAGTTCCGCCGGTGCGCACTGAAAGCCTCGCACCTTGATGAGCTCCTTCTTGCGATCCACAATGTACCACAGCTCATTCTCGCGCTTACGAAGTGCGACATCTCCCGTGTGAAAATACCCCTCGGCGTCGAACGACGTGCGGTTCGCGTCCGCGTTGTTGTAGTAGCCCTTCACAATCAGGGGGCCGCGAACGCACAGCTCGCCCGCGACGTCGTAGTCCGTGATGTCGTTGCCGTCCTCATCAACAAGCTTTGAATCGTGGTTAGGCAGAAATCGACCAACGGAGCCTGTAGGATCATGCTCGGGGAAGTGTATCATTGTTGCAATACAGCTCGTTTCGCTCATGCCCCAGACCTGGTTGAACACAGCGTCCGGGCTGAGAAGCGCTTTCATCCGTGCTTGGGGCTCTGCGGCTAGGGGTGCGGCGCCGCAGCCTCCGTTTTTCACAGCTTTGAGTGAGTACTTTTTCGAGAGTGGGGAATTGATGATTTGGATGACCATAGGTGGGACCATGTTGAGCTCGGTGATCTTGAAGCGCTCCATGTTCTGTAGGAAGGGCTCGAGGTCAAAGCGCCGCATGATGTAGGTTTTCGAGCCGGAACGGAGGGGTGAAGTGTACGCGCGTGGGACGTTGGAGACATGGAAGAGGGGTGTGCAGAGTAGTCTTGAGAGCTACAAACACATCAGAAATATGCTAATGAGCCATTATCCATGACCATACCTCGTAGCCACGTGGCTTGTAGTCGTAGACCAGCGTATGCTGCGTTATAAGGTTGTGGTGCGTCATATCCACTGCCTTTGGCAGTCCAGTCGTGCCACTACTGAACAGTCTTGCGGCTGTGGTTTGCTTGCTCCTTCTTTCATCGTCCCAACTCTCCCAACCCTGCTCTCCATATTGCATTAAAGACCTCCAACTCTTCAGCTCACCTCCTGGTCCCTTCAGACTTGAGGTTACAGACCAGCCTTCTTTTCGGTCGTACGGGGATGCTAAAGGGGTGTGATGATCGAAAACGAATATTCTTGACCAGGGAATTCCGGCCTCCTTTGCTGCTTTCAACGCATTGGGCAAGAGTTCGGGCTCTACTACAAGTCCCCTAACGTTGGCGACCTTAAATGCATGCGCTAATTCAAATGCTGTGTGAGACGGGTTGGTGCCAGCGAATGTACCACCGAAAGCTAGGACTCCGAGAAATGCCATCGAACACATAATCTTGATTCCTTAGCACAGCTGTCACTCATGCAGCCAGAAGGTATATATTTCTTGTTAAAAAAAAAAGATGCTGTCTTACATCATTGAACGAGAGGAGACACACGCAGTCTCCTTTCTGGAGACCTGCTGCTTGAAAACCCGCACATAGTTTTCTTGCTATACTTCTGGCCTGACGAGAAGAAATCGTTCGATGAGGTTGCGCTGCATCTATGTAAACCTGCTCAGATTTATCGAAATTAGATACCGTGGGTGAACGCGTGTTTCTAACCGGCAGCTTACCGGCTGATCAAGATTGTATTTCTGCTCATCGAACATCCAAGACATCAAGTCATTGTTCGGTATGCGGACGTATTCTTGCGCTAGGAACGGCATCTTGTAATAGGGACGGTGCACTCCTTCGGGCTTCTTTGCACGAGGGGTGGCGTGGGTGGCTTGGTTATCCGTATTTCAGAGTCCCGCACCGAAAGGTAAGAGTTGCTGGAAAGTCCATCACATCAAGGTTACCAAATATGCAATGACTCGGCGTAGTTCTGTCAGCACCAATTGAAGTGTCGGGGATTGAGCGAGCGATGCTTCGGCTAATGCGAGTGCGAATGCGGGGTATTGGTAGCGCTTTGCTCTACGGGTCGTGCCTTCCTCTATAGTTGTGCGCCGTACACGCGCCAACGAAGTCAACAATTTTTCGAATGTTCAAAAAGACGTAGTGGCACAAGGGGGCGAAGCTCGCATCCAAGAACCCGAAGTCCACGCATCAGTTAGGGAACTAAAGAATCACGGAGAGGAGGACGAGGAATCGATGGAAGCACCAAAAAATCCCGATAACTTGATCAAGAGAGTGTAAAGTACAGCAACCGTCCCTATATGCTGCCAAATGTTCAAAGAAGACAAAATCTGGAACAGCGGAGCTGGTGGCAGGTGCGGGTAAAGGACGGAAAAAGTATATCATTGATTGCCATTCCACGATAGTGGAGACATGGAGATCCACATGTCAGAGGTCACTGGTATCATCAATGACCATTCTCCTGAAGAGAACATAGAACATAGCTTACCGTGGACGTCGTAGAAGGAACAAATTCAAGCGAAGTCGTAGCCGAAGGAGTCCGGTTCAGGCCTGGTCCAGAAGTCCTGTGTGCTTTCCGCTCGTGATCGTCCCGCTTGTCTTTTCGTGGGAAGCCCCTTGTCGCCCTTTCGCATCCTGGCTTTGTGCAAAAGAAGTCCTGGCGTTTGTAATGAACACTCCTTTCGTGACGGTGAAGCTCATGGATCCTTCCAAAGGTCCTGGTGCAGGCGCTGTGAGTACAAGTGTAATTGCCCCGTGTGCGTATAACAGAAGAAACAGTACAATCAGAAAAACGTATCACGGACGTATGGTTTGAAGTATCTCTCGAGCTGAGATGATGTCTGGACCTAAGGATGGGGTGATACCGAGGCTTAGAATCTATCATTTTGTTAGCAGTTCAATTGGAGATGAAAAACTGGGCCAGTCATATCCCTAGCACATAAGAAATAGTGGCTAGAAAGCCGAAAAGGGGGTAGAAATGGAAACCCGGATCATCGCGCATGGACGCCCCCCTACCAGGCTTACGATGTGTGTATTGTATGTAGTGTGTGTATCAGTCACCCGCATCCGGATTCGTTAGCCCACTTGTCCAAAGATGAAAGCAAGATTGATGTATTTACTGCAGATTATGGGGAGTCAATTCACCATCCATAGGCCCTGGGAAGACCCCGAGGTCCTGGAACGTGGGGATAAGGTGTATGGCATCGATTGATGGAGTCGAAAGTCGAAAGTTGTAGTCAGGCTGAAGGAGGTCAGAAGATGCCTGCAAGCGCGGTAAGATTAAATTTTGCATGAATCCTGAGATTGCCTCTACTAACATCGACAGGCTCCCAGGTTAAGGGAAATTCTGAAAATATTGTGTCCGACTCCGAAACCGCCGGCATATCGAATACTTCTCCTGGATCTTGTCCATTTCGGCCGCACATGTCATCGCGAGCGAAAGGATCATCATGCAAAACTGATGTGCAAGAGTCTCCGAGGGGAAGATTGAAGTCGGCGAATGTGAAGTCGAGCTCAGGCGTTGAGAATGATAAGGTATCCATGACTCAAGACTGAGAGTGTCTCCTCGGAAGTAGGCTGCGCGAAAATAATGACTTCCAGTGCTGGTACCTTCTGAATAGCCTCGACGATAGTCTTGGATCTGGCTCAGTGGTTCAAACAGTAGTAGAAAACCAAGCCACATCCGCATGCAGTGGGAGCCGAGCCGCGGGTTTTATACGTGTGGTAAGAAAAAATCCATCAGGAGCGTCAGCGTCGCCCCTCCTGCTAGCTTCATGTGGGAGTTGCCCTTCGAGGCTGAATACGAGCCGCACACGCATGTTATTGGTGAATGCTGCCGTTATCGTCTTGGCCATTTATTACAGTTGCCAATCAGACAATTGCTGAATATCTGAGCCGTACGTGAATTTTGCCTTTCTCCATGTTCACTGGCCTGTAGCATGACGGAATTGTGGCATCTGAGATCGTTTCGTTCGAAGGCAGATGGAGAAACTTTCGGAACTACTCACGACGCCGGTCACATAGTTCGATGTTTGCCTTCCAAATCTCATATAAGAGAAGTCTCGTATGTTCGGGTCGTTCCATGACGGTCACTACAGGGCCGCAACGAAATCGCTGAGAAGAAATAATAAAATTAGAAGAGCCTGTCGGCCATTTGCTCCTCTTTAAGTACCGTGTACTTACAGAGGAGCAAATGGCCACCGATCGCATACTCGTATATGCGATTTCGAATCTCCCCGGGAAGCTTCAAGAGCTAGCAATATCGTCGATTGTACTCAGTATTAGCGTCGCTAATGGTGGTCATTCCAGCCTCGTCACTGATGAAGAGACTCTGGGAGTGATAAATGTCAAGACGAGAGGGGAGACCCATCGGACATCGATCCGATGGTAGATCATCTTGAAGCCCATGCTGCTGTTCCGCCCTGCAAAGAGTGTGAAAAGTTCGTATGCAACTTTCCTTCAAACTTACAACGTTTGACTTATTTGGATGGACAATACATTTCTTGGACGGGAAACATTTGATCCGAGACATCCTCGAAGGTCCTGTTCTCGCAGCTACAGACAATTAGCAAGATTTAATCGTAACTATTATTGTAAAAAGACCTGCCAATGTAGCAAACGGCGGACGAAGCTCATCGCAAGATCAATGTTGATTTAAGGGTGGATCTGATAGAATGGTCTTTCGTGTTGCGCAGTTCTGTCTTGCAAGTAGAGATCGCAAAGCTTCTATACCTAACGTTACGCTGGCAGACATCATTTCCAAAGAATGCAGGCCTGTGCGCCAACACTAATCAATGTATTGAGCCAGCTTGAGTGGAAGTCACGTTCCTGTTGGATTTCTAAGGCCCCTAGGCTTGTGCCACGTCGTTGGTTAGGTGAAGCAGCAGACTCTAGGTTTCAAGCCTTTGGTCTTGTCACGGGGTGTGGCACGAAATGGCAGTCATAAGCTACTGCAATACAAACATTGAGCAGTGTATAATCTCAACTTTCACATCCAAAAGACGTGGAGTGCACATTGAGTTTTGCGCGTTTTCTTCACACTGAACACCAGACATATAGCACAAAGTCAACCATGCAACGACGAACAAAAGATGATTATATTAAAAACCCCCCTGAGCACTCCTCTGAATGAGACTTGTGGGATTTATACCAATCTGACCAGGTTTGCGCCCACAGCAACGAATCTAACTCAAGCTATTCCTTGAGTACATTGTTTTACAAATCGAATACTTGATCCGACAAACAGGGACTCACATTCCAAATGAAAGCAACGAATGATTCGGATGACTGCTACAGAAGCTGTATTCTCTTTCGCATTTCGTACGCTTTCCAAAGACAATGTATTTTATTAAAGCCATGAAAGAATCATTCCTGAGGTACTGAAAACAATACCATGATTGAAAATTTTGGTTCAAAGACCTTGCTCCCCAGCTTCAACGGTCAACAGCTAGCGTCCTCGTCTTTGATTCAGTTGTATTGCACCATTTTATCCGCTATAAATTTGAATAGAACTACATGTTGAGACCAGACGGCGACCGCTCCTCGAAGTGGTAGCACGAATCTTCATTCAGACGCAGGAAGAGGCGAGAAGTGTACAATAATTGTGTACATTCTGCAACTTGCCCACAAAGATGCCGCCTCTGGGCGTTGTGCAATCATTCCATATCCATATCCCGTTCTTGAGTCATCCTTTCGATTGAAAGAAAAACTAACTTCTATGTCGTCTCTAACGTCCATTGACTTGTAACGGAACAACCACCGAAGCGGAACACCAACAGCATTTCCTCCCCTAACATCGCCAATATTGATCGCATAGCTTAATACGCTCGGAAAAGACCCTTTAGCCCCTTACCTCTCCGCAGACTTTATGTCTGTGTCGTGACTTTTTTTACTTACCTTATAATACAACAGGTTGCTGCTATGCTGCTAATCGCTACTGCCTCAGACTGCTTCAGGCCTCCTTTAACTTTCGTGCATCTGTCTTAAAGCCTACCCGCCTAAAGAACATTATAGTGAGATGGTATACCGAGCGATTTACTATACCCAACGAGCTCGTTGCGCTGCAGCAATGATCTGTTGCTTGATCGAGTCGGAGAGCCAAACCGACAGCCCCACTATACAGAAGCGGCCTAGCTGTACGAGTAGTGGCGCGGGACGGTCCGCGCGATCGTTGACGTGCCCGTGCCCGCCAGGCCGCGCAGCCAGAAGATGCATCGCTCGTGTATCTCGTTTAGGAGGTCGATGCGCGTGTTGGCAAGGCAGGGCGGGTCGTGCCGCTTTGCGTACGAGTTGAAGGGCGCGTCTTTGGCGTACGGTAGACGAGCGAGGGTGTCCTCATGTCCTGTTTGAAGCGTCTGCTTAGCCTTCTGCTCTCTCTCAAGAGCTTGACGGCCCTCGGGCGACCCTGCAACGTATCAAAATGGACAGAGCCGGTGAAGTTGTTAGCCTGCACGCTGGAGTATGCGTCGCCGAACGCTGGATGAGATGTTGTAGAGGCCATGGCATCGCAGCAGAGCATGCACCAGCAATAGCGTCAACGGGGAGGGTGTGTAGCCAGGTTGGAGTCTGCGGCGCAGCGCCTGCTGGGCTTCAGCCTGGCGGCCTGCAGCCTGCCGCCCGGCGGCTTCGAGCAATCACTCGCGAGGCCTGCGGCTGGGGCCAAGCGTGCATGCGCCCGGTCGTCAAACCGCTCACCCCGCTATCGTCAGCGTGATCGATGGACTCGTACCTCCATCGAGGACTTCCGCGCGCCATGATGGAGAAGGGCAAGGTAATTCGGCTAGGCAGGTGTCCATTCTATGGGACCAAGAGAATACACTAATTCGATCGATCAGACATCACGTCATCTCAGTCATGCCAGTCTCATGAAATAACATGGGATGAGCTGTTGCAGGCAAGGGAAGCATTACATGTGCGAGTATAGGGCTAATGGGTACAGGGCCTTCGCGCTGCCCCGGTTCAAGTCATGTAAGCCGTTAATGGGGGACTTTACTCGCAATCTGACACAATAGATTCACGTCTACCAACTCCTTCTTAAGCACTGTGCCAGGGTTCCAGAAGGAGCTCAAAAGTACTTTAAAGATCCACCAGTTCTTTTTCGATAGGATCTATCTTCAATCAAACGGCTTTTGCGGACACGAAGTCTGGCTGGATGATAACGAAAAGGTTGAGTGTTATAGTATGTAACCCTGGATAATCCAGAGGGTTGTCAGTTGTTGCTCATCGAACCCCAGCATATTGGTCCCGCTTCACCGTCAAGCAGACGTACGATAAGCTCCGGGCTAAAAGGACGTATACACCACATATATCCAACCATCACTCTGGCGCTGGCGACTGGAACGCTGATGTTGCAATACACGGGCCGCAGAGTGTACGGCATGGGTGGGAATGGTACGAGATGGGATTCTTCGCTAGCTGGACACCGTCTGGGTCGATCACGCTCTTGTGCTTCGATCTACCTGTGACGCTGGAAAAGGATATTCAGTCGATGTTTTGTTCGCAGGGTGTCTCTCGTTGGTGTCCATACGCCGTGTTTTCGCTCGTCTCGGATGCGCTGCTTCGATTGTACGATGACTCGGTTTGGACAGTCAGGAACCATATCAGTCAGTGGGAAGCCGTAAGTGTCATTCTACGTCCTGGATGGCTAGCGGCAGTGAGGCTCATTCGCGACAGAGGAGGTCACAAGAGGCCGACTACATCCTCTTGCACGAGATCGCGAGACATGGGATTCACATCAGCGAGACTCTCAGCGTGGCTATACGGTCTCTTGATGCCATGCAGCACCATCACGCGAAGTTTCGTACATACAACGACCTTGTCCGTAGTAAAAAGGGATGCGAAAACTGGGATAGAGTTGGGACTCACTTTGAGTTCCAGCTTCGCTTTCTCCAGGGCTTGTTCCAACGGTCTGAAGCGAACAATGCTCGAATCCAGAATGAGATCACTCTTGTAAGCTCAGCCCACGATAGACGGTACGCAGTGGCCTCCCGAACTTATAATGATAGGCTTTCAATGTGGCAGCCCAGAGAGACAGTAGGATTCAGCTGCAGATAGGAGAAGAAGCGAAGAGAGAAGCGTCGGCGATGAAGGCAATCGCTGTAGTCACGATGACTTTCTTGCCAGCCACATTTATTTCTGTGAGTTTCTCGAGCCTCATACCGACTGTAAGAGGACTTATTGGATAGACAATATTCGGTTCCAACTTCTTCTCCTTCGAACCCGATGGAGGCGCGGGACAACCATCGTTCACCGTATCGCATCAATTCTGGATATACTGGGCCCTCTCTGTTCCGCTGACTGCTGTAACGCTCGCTCTGTGGTTCTGGTGGAGCAGGTGGGTTGAGCACTTACGACTCTCTAGGTTCAGAGCTGTTGCACCATAGGAATAAATATAAAATGTGCGGAGGTTTACATACATATGCCGCTTGGTAGAGAAAAGCTTGCAGCACGAATCAAATATCGATTTAGTTTTAGCAGTGCCGATCAGCAGTTGTGTGGCTAGAAAGCAGCCCAGCCCTACTGCCTAGATCCCGCTGTTACACTGCCAGTTGTTATCATCACCAACACCCACCATCGACATCGCTCTTTGCCTTTGACAGGCAGGCAAGTTTGTGACGAGCATCGCGGTGCAGCTTGCAGACAATATCACCACATGTCGACAGCATATCCGCGACGCTATTGCCGAGCGCAGCAATATCGCACAAACATCTCTACGAGACCAGTGGCAGCACCTCGTTCTCCGTCCGCTGTCGCAGCTGCACAAGCCAGGGCCGTTTGTAATAGTCATCGATGCGCTCGACGAGTGCGACAACGACAACGATGTCCAGATTATTGTGCGGCTGCTGGCTGAGGCTCGTTGGCTAGATAGAGTTCGAGTGCGTGTCTTTCTAACAAGCCGGCCGGAGGTGCCTATTCGAGACGTGTTTGGACAGATCAAGGACACGGAATATAGGGACTTTGTGCTGCATGACATCTCCCCATCAATTGTTAACCAGGATATACGCCTTTTTCTAGAAATGGAACTTCAGTCCATTAGCTAGAGATGGTTATTACGCGCTGGCTGGCCTAGCGCACTTACCATCATACAGCTAGTCCAAAGCGCTAGTGGTCTATTCATCTGGGCAGCGACTGCCTGCCGCTTTATCTGTGAAGGGAGGCACTTTGTAGCTAGAAGACTAGAGACGATCCTACGTGACAACAGCAATAATACTAGGGCTCTAGAGAAGCATCTTGACCAGATCTATACAACTATGCTGTAGAGCTCAGTACCTGTATATTATATAGACGAAGAGCGAGACGAGTAGTGCAGAATGCTATGGCACGTTCTTAGGAGCATGGTTGTTCTGCTCTCTACTCTATCTTTATAGTTGTTGAGCAAGCTGCTCCGCTGTGCGGGCGAAGAGGCTAGGCAGGCACTAGAGGATCTGCATGCCATTATCAATATCCCTGAGGGTCCCGCCCAGCCACTTTGTCTATATCATCCTTCGTTCCGCGACTTCTTGCTTGACAGGCAGAGATGCAACGACGACAATTTCTGGGTCAATGAGAGGAGAATACATGAGAAGCTGGTAGCTTACTGCGTAGAGCTCATGTCCGCTCCCTATGGTCTTCGACAAGACATCTACAAGCTTTCCAAGCCTGGGATACGTAGAATTGAGATTGACGAGAGTAGGATCACGGCCAGCCTACCTCCCGAGCTGCAATATGCGTGTCGCTACTAGGTGGATTATCTGGCGCGCAGCCAGCGTGGTATCAAGGATGGAGACGCAACGCATGGCTTCCTTGAGAAACACCTTCTCTACTGGCTTAAAGCTATGAGCCTAATGAATGAGACGAGTCTATGTGTGCGGCTAGTAGCAAAATTATAGAAACTAGCGATGGTATAGCTCTCCTAATAAAGTGATTAAAGTTAATGCTAATCCAAATGTAGCCATCTAATAGTAGTATTACTAAGTTCCTCCGTAATGCAAGCCGATTTACGCTGCGATTCGTACCAGTACTTATAGAAGCGCCCCTGTAGATATACGTATCTGCTCTTCTTTTCTCGCCTGAAGCTAGCATTGTGCGAAAGATATTCATAGAAGAGGTGCAGCCACAGGCAGTAAGAGTGCTTTCAGAGAGAGATATAGAGTGGGACGCGTGCCGTAGCGTGCTAGAGGGCCATTTAGAGGGGGTTAGCGCGGTGGTGTTCTCACCAGACGGGCAGCTGGTCGCCTCAGCATCCGAAGACAGCACAGTGCGGGTGTGGGAGACAGCGACGGGCCAGTGTCGCAGCGTGCTGTATGGCCGGCCGTCAATTTTCCACATCGCTTTCTCGCCAAATGGTCAGACACTCCAGACCAACACAGGTGATATCTCTCTACCACCGGGCCTTGCTACTGTTCCAGCTACCCTCCACACCAAGGAACCCTCTTGCACTATAGAGGATGAGTGGATATTACGTCATAACCGGGCCTTTCTATGGCTTCCTCCGGAGTGCCGGTACTGCGCTACTGCGGTACATAGGCGCATGGTGTGTCTAGGGTGTATTTCTGGACGTGTAACGCTGTTTAGCGTACAGTAAGATAGGGGAGGCTTAAGGAGACATTAGCATGTATGAATGTTAGCTGCTAAGGCGCTGTGATTGCTGCTAAACGCTTTTCTAAGTATAATATGCTTTAGTTGCAGTAGAGCAAGAAGATCTGAGGTAGTCTAATGTAGTATCGTCATGCAGGTCAGCGGCCATTTGTAGTATTGTAAAGCCAATATGAATTTTACAGCAGATCTATTACGTGCATAAGAAGACGAAGAGCTTAGGTACCTATTCTGAGAGTATTCAAACTATGCGATTGTTAGTGGTGTTGTTGTGGTAGAACGCGCAACCAGCGTTCCTTCACGGCGGGTATTCCGTTACACTTGGATGGACGTTACCAAAGCCATAGAACACGGCTCTCTGTATCAATCTCCCATAGTCTAGCCGTTTTCCGCTAAGTAATCTCGTGGCTCGTCACCCCTGAGACCTCCCAACATTACCTTGCCTACCCCATCAAGATCTCTGAGCGCTGGTCTCATTTCTCTCAAAATCAGATCGAAGACCTACCTGAATACGGACGGTCGTCTGAGGTCAGTGGAAATGTGAGCGATGCGATCATACAGAACACTCCAGAAAGACAACTTTAGCACCATTGCGGCTTTTTGGCATCGCCTCGGTAATGGATCAAGCATTTGAGGTCCTCTAGACTTTCTAAGTCAAAAACACCGTGGCTGTACTCGAACAGATGTGTTTCGTGGTGTTGCTTTCGACAAGCGAGAGGTAAAGCGTGCATCTTGTGAGAATCTCATCCGATCCGTCCGCGAGTCGGACATGACTACACCACGTCTCGAAGGGCGTATTCGTGAATAGAGTTGCGCAATTCGGCAGGAACGCTCAAAAGCGGATACTGATTCTGGTCAAGCGCTTCCCCTAATAGTTGCATCTCTTTGTCTGCAGTGTTCTGGACGATGTAGGCGAGAGCAAATAACATTCTGGCCTATTTACTGACAGAGTATGGGAGTTTTTTCAACTAAATTGAAGCGTAGGAGATGCTTGCCTCTATACAGTGAGTTTACGAGTGCTAGAGCCACGTGGTTATGTGTTTTTTGTTTAGTATGGCTTTGAAAAGTTTCAATACTTGCAACAAATTCTATAGCAAGTGATACACAGTTGCAAGCATGCTGTGAGAGATACCATGAACTATCGGCTTCGCATGAACCTGACGCTTTGCCCCTGGCACTCAGGATCCACTGTGCTTGACAGACCTCAAGATCAAGCAGCGTGGTACACAACTCTAATGTCACCCCTCTCTGACCGGCGAATTTCGAAGAGACCGTACTTATACACCTACCAAGGGCGTGCTGTCAGTTTGAAGACTGGCCACGTATGATAGACTCGAGCTCACGAGCAAGTGCGTCTCCTGACATAGTTGCCGACATGCAAGCGGGAGATCGTGCATACTGCTGTCCGGCTCATACATCATGGAAGTAGGGTACTGGAAAGCCGGGTGCACGAGAACGCAGTCGCTGGGAGCGTCCTCATAGATGCGGTTCTGATTTCAGCAGGCAAGCGTAGAAGCGGGGATTCTTGTTGCGTACAGAGATAAAGTGCGCATAGAGCTGAAGCGATGTCAGCAAACATACAAGCAGACTAGCAGAAGGTGGGAGAATGTTTTTACATGGCGTGGTTGAGACGAGCCGGGCTCTTGTTCGGTTGTGGCTCTGAAGCAGGTTTCGTACGCTCAGTTTTGCTCTGACGGCATCCTTCAGGTCAATCTCGTAGTTGTCGCGCTGTCAATAAGGGTTCGTTGATGAGATTGACGAGTTAAGCTCACAAGACGTCGTTATGCGCAGCTGGGCTCTCAGTATGCTTGGAATCTGGACCACATTCTTCATCATCTGGATTGTTAACGTCGGCCATCGCAACTGCTGTAAGCGTGGGAGTGCCCAACAGAGCCAAATCAGAGGGCGTTGGTGGAAGAGAAGTTGCGGCCGAGTCGAGAGTGTCTTGATAGAGCAGAGAACAAGGAAGGTGCTCGAATCCCTTAATTTGTAGGCATTTCTGCTCACGGCAGGTACGCGTGCGGCGGCCCCTACACGTATCACCCACCTTGGCGACCTCGCGGTCCCCACTCCCCACCAAAGAGTGAATACCAACCTCATCAACAATTGAAGGATGATCTTGCTCGAACATGGCGGGCGACGGGAGATCAACACAACTAGTTGAGCTAGGAAGACTGATGAATGAAAGATATGTCAATGAACCAAGGTCTCACGTGCATTCAGAAAGAGCAGGATGGAAAGGTCTTCAGTTGATGGTTCGCATGATTTCGAGTCGGACCTTGTTCGCTATATGTGGCCTTCGTACGCATCCTAGTCGATATAAACGGGTTCTTGTTCTGACGAACCAAAAGACTGTCGATGCTAACACTGTACGATCGCACAACGGTCTTCTTTGTTAGAGGGAGTCACTCACAACAGCCAAATAACATGGATATGATGTGGAGAGATTGGGCACATGTTAATACAGCGTCCCTTGTTTTTCGGGAGTCTAAACTGTCGATACTATACTTGCCTCTACATCGGTCTCGATGCAAATGAACTTTCTCCCCGGGCCTGCAGCCAGCCATGAGGCGTGCCCTGCGGGTTCCCGTTCTCAATTCACGGAGACGTGCTCCCAAGAGCCAAACGGCGTCTTCCATTAACAAACAAGGTGTTCGTCCACGAAAGCCAGTACAGCTACTTCGCGAGAGGGATGTAGTGGTGAGAGGTAGACCGTGGAAGTTCCTAAATCACGTGACCGACGATGCACCTGGTTCCTGAGGCCGCAGCTTGTCGTCTCCCCGAATTCCCAACGCGCTATGATCCGAAGACTTGAGATAAGAGAAGCATCTCGGAGAAACAAACAGTATCTTCGTCTGATGGAGTATCGGGTCATGAGCGGTGTGAGTGTGGAGGATGCGCGAACCAGTGGGCACAGAGCAGCACCCTGATCGCCTCCACTGCATTTGCGCTAACTTACAGTAGCGCAGCGCGCCACCCGCCCACGTTCTTCCTCCTGCACGACATGCGCCTGCGCATTGCTTCTATCGATACCCCATGATTGAAAAGTAGCTCTCTGTACCTCATATGCCAACTGTTGCTACGTGTCCTATGCACCGTTTAATCTCGCTGCCTATGTCGCCCCTTTTCCCGTAGCCGTGCGGTGATTACGTCCCGCTTCGGTTGCCACTTTCCTCCTGACTGCGCCATTCCTTAGCAGCCTGGGGTGCGCAGCCGGTGGGCACGCTGCGGTCAGAGCGGTGTAGCCGAGCCGCCGTTATTATAGTAAGTAGGCTGCCGTGCGCATCTCGAATCCGTCTGTTTGTTGTACGTGTACTCTACTCTTCTGCGCCTTCAAGCCAACCCAACATGTTTCTCAGTGTCAAGGAACGCGCGCGCCAAATCGCACTAGGCCAATTCACTGCGCCGACCACAAGCGCGCCTTTGATCGATCTTGCGCCTGAGCCAGTACCTGCACCTGCGCCACCGAGAACGACGGGAGCAAAAGACGCGACGCAGAAAGCTGCCGCCGAGTCGAAGAAGACGAAAGGCTCCAAGGGTGCGCCAACGAAGGAACCTACGCCAAAGGTTGCGCCGCCACTGAAAGCGCCTGCGAAAGCTGCACCACCAAAAGCCACACCCGCGCCGGCCTCCAGGGCGACACCCTCAAGGACGACCACAGCACCCCCGGAAGCACCGACACCAAAGAAGGCGTCTTCAAAGTCAAAGATAACGAAGGAGCCACCTACACCCACCACAGAAGCACCCCCATCGAAGAAATCCTCTTCAAAATCAAAAACTACCAAGGAACCCTCCTCCCCCAAGCCTGGCTCCTCAAAACCAGCGAGGGAACCCCCGTCCCCCAGATTCGGCTCCTACATGTCCCCATGGTCATCCTCTGCCAAACCCCCTCCCTCGCCAAAACCCGAGTCACAAAAATCCAAATCCTCTTCGACGTCCAAGTCTAAATCCTCCTCATCCTCCAAACCCAAACGCGCCAAATCCCCACCCAAGCGCGTCGACTCGCCCCTCGCCTCCTCGGACGACGAAGACGACGATCCCCTCTCCGCGCTCAAGTCGGCGTGCCTCAAGCAAATAACCGCCGTTCCCGGTCTCGGCAACCGCCAGCTGGTCGTCGTCTTGAAGCAGCGGTCGTCGGGCGAGTGGTACGCTGCGCTGAAGGATACCGGGGCGGACAAATACCTCAAGTCGTGGATGAACCGGGAGAAGACGTTCAAGACGCGACGAGAGGCGCTGGAGGCATACCTGGGGTTTGCGACGAAGATGCGAGAGCGGAGTAGTGGGTCGGGGATGGGGATGGGGTGGTTTCCCATGAGTCCGAGGACGAGCAGTCCGAAGGGCAAGGGGCGGTGAGAACGGGCTGGATGTGCATGTGGAGATTGCTAGGAATGTGAATGTGTCTGGACAGGACGAGGAGTGGACGTTCTTTCGGTTTGGATTTGGATTTGGGTTTGGATGGATTCGGACTTGGACTTGTGTTTGGGCGCCGAGCGTGGTGCTTATAGCTGGCTGGCTGGCGTTGTACATATACCCTGGCTGGACTCTAGGACTGCGGCCGGACCAGAGTGCCGATTGCTGCACTAGAAAGAGACGTAGTAGTATATAATCTGTAATTCTAATCGACAACGCGACGCGGGTAACAGCGCTTCTGTCTTTCTAAACGCCTTCCACAGACGTCAACATCCAGGGTTCAAACGAGCCATTGCATTGAAACATAGCATCTATCTCAGTCTTCAGCCTACTCCTTAGGACTAGCCGCAGATATCGGCAGCGATCACAGTAAAATGCTCGGCCAGCGCGGGGGCTGAACGGCGCCACACTCTAAACCAGGTGAGCTTGCGTTTCGGCGACGAAGAGGTTACGTACCGATGGGTCTGCGGGCAGCCGCCCAGAAGCAGAAGTGGAGGCCCCGAACCGCCGATACGAGAAGGTATGTCGACTGGGCCCGATGTCGAGCTTGCGACGACTGAGAGGTGCTCTTTAAGCCTGGGAACGCGTCTGAAGACATGATGTACGTTGCTGGGATCTGGATTGAGATGTCGGGCGGATTGGATCTCTTGCAGTCTGGGTGGCACTGTCATATATGTACTGCAGACGAGAGACGTCGGTGGTACAGCGGAGTCGGAGTTCATAGCTTACCAGTGAATGCCATGGTCGCATATCCGAGCCATGTTTGCAAGATGGTACTGCGTTCCAGTCGCGTTGCAGGATACCTACCACAGGTGTGGTAGTGAGTAGCTTGCTGACACAAACTGACCCAGATATGTAGTATCGACACTGTGGAAGTATGGAGGTAGATAGAGCATTACTAATTACGGGTTCCACCGTAATAAAGTTAACATTGTCAGCAGCACGCCTATTCCACGCAAAGTACACTCCGAACAACCATTCAAGATACCATTCTCAGCCGGTCCCCTGATCTGTTCAACTGCAAGCGAGACCCAAATTCAAATCCAGACGCATCTTCAAAACGCTGAGCGTAAAAACCGGGTATCATAAATCTAATCCACACGACCCGCACGACGTCGAACGCTCAAGCAATATCACAAAACCCAATTTGTTGGGGAATTACTGATGCTCCTTCGGCCGCTCATTCTCCTTGCCTTCCTTCCCGTTCTCCAGCCCCGTAAAGTGGTCCTTCAAGAAATTATCAACCCACTCCTCCGCCCCTTCCGCAAGGTGCGTCAGCCCCTGCCACCAGGTCTCTGGCGCGTGTGTGCCAGTTGGCGCAGCGCTGGATGTTGGCGCAGCCGCTTTGCTGGTTTGTGCGGGCGATGTGGAGCTGGGCGGGTCAACATGTATCTCAATAGCGGCTGCGCTGGGCGATGGCGACAAAGAAGATGAAGGAGACGGAGACGGGGAGGCGGAGACAGGGACGGGATCAGCGGGCGTCTCGTCCGGGAGGTTATCCTCGTCGGAGTGCAAGCCCACGGGCTTCAGCGGGAGGCGCAGCGTGCCATTGTTCGCGAGGGGCGTGATGCCAATGGAGTCGCAGACGATGTTGTAGACCTCGATGTTTTCTGTTGCGCCATCTCATTAGCAGCTTTCCTCCTCGCGCTCTATCGGGCTTGACTTACGAAAAGGTTCCACCCGGCTGTTCGGCGTATGCGGAAACGCAGGGCCCCGCGCAATGAAAATCGCGCGCATGAGCGGATGCTCGTGGTCGTACCCGTGCACACCGCGGGGGTGGTACGCGTCGCCGTTCTTCAACATCTCCTGGACGTCGCCGTCGGCTTTGGCGATGACGGCCCAGCCCGCTTTGGGAATGATCCACAGCGGGGCGATGCGCTCGTTCTGGCTGAAGTGGTAGCGCTCCGGCATGTCTTTGTCGCGGAGGTAGACTTCGAGGCCGGTCATGTTTTGCGCGCGGTCAACGATCTGCTTGTGCAGACGCTCGAGGTCGCTGAGTTTCTTCGGGCGCAGGCCGAAGTGTGGCCAGCCATCGATGTGCTCGATTTCGGTCGGGTCGACGAGGTCTTCGAGCTGGATGAGGCGCGAGGTGTCGGTTGTGGCCATGCCATGGTCGGAGACGACTACTACATTTACGATGTCTGTGAGATTGCGCTCTTCGAGGCCTTTGAGGATGTCGCCAACCATCGTGTCTGCATCGTTGATAGTCTGCCGGATTTCCGTACTGTTGGGCCCGTACTTGTGCCCATCGCTGTCCACGTTTGGAACATATGCTGCGATGAGCTGAGGTCGCGGCTTGTCCGATAGCGCGCCTACGTCCATTGGACCAGGGAGGTCAAGGAGCTCCATGACGCGGTTAACCTTTCTAGGCAGAGCTTCCGAGCCGTTGTACTTGTCGACATAGGCGGGATGGAATTCATTCGAGTGAACTTCTGACCCAGGCCACATGTGCACCGCAACCCGGACATGCTGTCGCTCAGCCGTGCGCCAGATAGGCTCACCACCCCACCAGTATGGCTGGAGAGACCGCTCTGGATCCGTGTAGTAGAACTCCTTCTGCAGCTCTTCGTCCCAGAAGGTGTTGCCCACGACGCCGTGCGCTTCAGGGTACAGGCCCGTCGCCAGCGTAAAGTGATTCGGGAACGTAACGCTGGGAAAGCTGGGGCGCATGTACTTGGGCGAGATGCCCTCTGCAACGAACTTGTTCAGTGTAGGGGTCAGCCCGCGGTAGAGGAAGTCTGCACGGAAGCCGTCGAGGGATATGAGAATCGTCGTGGGAGCGAAGAGGTGCGTGCCATTGGACAGCATGGCCGCAGCGTTCTTCGGGTGCTCTGATTTCGAGGCTCGGTATGCGGCGAAAAGGAGGACGAAGAACAAGCCTACAATTCCTCCATATATTCCTACACGGCGCCATGTGCGTTTTCTCCTGGTCTTCTATTTGTTAGATCCGTCCCGTCCTATGGAGCTGTTGCATACCTGTCTATGCGCGCCCGCAGCCTTCAGCCTCCTCTCATCGCTCTCGGTCGAGCTCCGGTCCAGCGTGGGAGTCGATATGCCAACACCTTCTTCCATTTCGTACATGAGCGCGCTCGACTCGTCATTGTGTCCTCTCTTACCCCTCTTCTTCGTCGGCGCATTGCGATCCTTGCTCCCTATCCGCACGCCCTTCTTATTGAACATGGCACCCAGCCCATTCTTCTGCGTCAATAGCCGCTCTCTCTCATCTTCCGACTCTAGAATGTCGTGATCGTAGTCGCCGTCGGACACCTCGGAGCCATAGCGCTCGTCGTCGGAGAGCGGGTCGATCAGGGTGCGTTCGTCGGCGCTGTCCGAGTCGCGTCGCCGGCCGATGGTTTCACGTGCAGAGGTTGGCATTTTAACGGCAAGGGCACGTTCACATCGTGGGAGAACGGAAGCGTTGGAGGCGACTCGACGTTTGGGCGTTGCTGATCAAAGCATGCCGCAGTCCGCAGTTGCTTGGCGGCTATTTACGTTTCACGCGGCGAGGGTCCAGGTCCCTGCATGCGAGGCGAAGTATGCACATCATTGCTACATTTAATGTGGACCACATTCCCAAATGTTTCAAACTCCGCTGGTTCTATAAGAATTGGAAGAAAAACAAAACTGAGTACATCATGTGGCCTACAGGATGAGCAATGCAGCGTTCAAGCTGTCCATGGTTCCATTCATCATGGTAGTCGCAAAGGTGTCCCCAGGTCTTGATCATGCGAACTCGAATTGAAGTTGTCATTCGTGACCACTTAAGAAGGACCAAAGTCAAGATCTATACTAGGGTACCGCATGGTCCGCAAGCTTTTGCTACTTCACGGAATGCTCAGTACCTCAATGTCCCCACCGTCCAGCCATGTAGCGCCCGTACTCCACACTCGCCCGCCCGAATGCAACCACAGGGCCAGCCAAACATGTTCGACAGTCTCGCCCCAGCAGTAAAACCGAACAAGGCCTAGTCTCATCTTCATAGGATCCCTGTGTAGAGTCACGCCCCATCCGAGCCGGCCACTTTCAACATCCTTCTGCAGGAAAGTCCAAAACTGGTGCTGTACATGCTTCGGCCAAAGTCGACAGTCCACTCGCCAATGCCCTCTCTCGTCCGCTTCCAGCGCCCTCAGCACCACCTTCGTCTTGAAGCGTCCTGGATTCTCTTGCTTCAGTTTATCGAGGTAAGGCGTGATTTGGGAGGGCAGCGTGCTTGGAGTTAGGATGGTGATCTTTGGAGGCGGCGGACAGACTGTGGACGCGAGGCAGTCGAAATCAACGCGGTGACCTTGGGTCTCTGGTTGTCTTGTTTGGCTGGTTTCCTTACTCTCCACATCTACAGGAACGATGGAACATTGCGATGAGGGTGCCTGGACAGTCCTCTCTGGAGCATCCGTTTTGTGTGACTTTTGAGTAGCCGACTGTTCCTCATCCGGGGAGGCATCACGCTGCGGCTTGGTTTGCAAATTGCCGGACGATGGCCCAAACGGAGTACGGTCAATATCAGGTCTCGCCACCTCAGTCGCACCTAGGGTCACGTCTTGGTCAACAAACTCATCTGCATCATCATCGGAAGCCTCTTCCGAAGTGGTCGACATATCATCTGGGAGTTGGCTTTCCATAGCCAGGATAGCTTGTTGGGTGTCTTCAATGAAAGTGCTCTCCTCGGCCGGTGCAATCACAGTACTGATGCTCTGTCTGCGATCTTTTGCTAGGCTTGATCGCGGAGTCCGTTGCTCTTTCCATCTGCTCTGCATGCGCTCCAGCCGCTCAAGTCTGCTGATGGACACACCCTCCGCAGACGACGGCGTTTCATGGTTGTCAGAGTGAGTTTGATCGCTAGAACGGTCTCCTGAGTGAAGATGCGATGGAAAACTTCCATAGGAGTCCATGCTGTTGAGGACCGAGACTGCGGGAGCAGACCCTAGTGGCAGTCCTTGGCTCGGCTGAGGGCGATTCGATTGGAAACTGACATGTCCTGGAAGCGATTCTTTATCTTCTGCTTTTTCGCTTGGTCGATGCGGCTCAAACGCGAGGTAGGCGTCGGCCAGCGATCGATACAGGTCATCGTTTGCTCTTGTTGCGGGGGTGGATACGTGCGCAAGCACCTCTGGTTTGTCCATGGCGTCGGATGCTCCGGACTCGAGGGTGCAGCACAGGCTCCATGGTATTCCAAGTCCCGCAGCGCAGAGCGAGGTTGTGCAGGGGTCACGGGCGCTTGGGTGATGGAGAGGCGGAGGCGAAACAAAGAGGCAGCGGCGCTCGGATAAACTAGCGCGCGCCAAGATTTTCTCCCACTCGTCGTTTTCAGAATTGTGTTGCGCGCGAGCAAAACTGCCCCACGTTAACTCACCCACACATCATGGCGCCCGTATCGCTTCTCGACCTCGTGTCGGCGCTGCCCGCGAAGGAGGCATGGGGCCCCGAAGTCTCCAGCGAGACGATGCTCGACGGCGTTCCGTATGCGCCCTACTCCAAGGCCGACAAGCTGGGCCGCATGGCAGACTGGACAGACGGCAAAGACCGGGACCGGGGCGGCCGCCAGAACTATGGCGGACGCAACTACAGAGGTAGGTTCTGTGCCATGGCAGCTATGCCCAAAGCAGAGAAGAAACATGTCTGACGTGCCCCGCAGACCAGCAGGTGTACGGCGCGAACCAGACCACGAATCCGTTCGCAGTGCAGATGGCGGAAGAGGAGGCAACCTTCTCCGTCGTCGACAACTCGCGCACATCCGCCCGTGGCAGGGGCTTCGGCCGGGGTGGCGGCACCGTTTTCGGCCGTGGACGCGGTCAGCGGGGTGGACAGGCTCAGCGCGGCGGGCGGGGTGCCTTCCAGCGCGTTGGCGGTGGCCGTGGGGGGCAGCAGTACGACAACCGGGGCGGACGGGGTGGACGTGGAGGCCGCCGCTTCGGCCGGTGGGACGACAAGCCGCAGCGCAACCGCGATGCGTCTGTGCAGGTCAAGCCGGACTGGCAGGTGCTGGAAGAGATGGACTTTACACGTCTGGCCAAGCTGAACCTGGCCACGGGCGACGGCGAGGACATCGACAGCTACGGCTTCCTCTACTACTACGATCGCAGCTACGACAAGCAGCCCGGCGCCGTCACCTCGCAGCGCAAGCTCAACGTCCTCGAGCGCGCCGCCTACAATGTCACCACCTCCAGCGACCCCATACTGCAAGAGCTTGCCGAGAAGGACGAGGCCACCATCTTCGCCACCGACAGCATTCTCTCCGTGCTCATGTGCGCCACCAAGTCGGTATACTCGTGGGATCTCGTCATCACAAAGAGGGGCAGCAAGCTCTTCATCGACAAGCGCGACAACTCAAATCTGGACATGGTCACCGTCAACGAGAACGCGACCGACGCACCGCTCGAGACGTCAGAAGGCAACAAGGACACCATGAACAGCCCCAGCGCCCTGATGCTCGAAGCCACCCACATTAACAACGTCTTCCCGCTCCAGGTCGTGAACGAGTCACAAACCAACAAGGTCGAGATGCCCCACGAGCACCCTTTCTACAACGAGGAAGTCGAGAGCGACCCCCCAGCCTCCAAGGCCTACAAGTACCGCCGCTTCGACCTGTCTCTGGACCAGGACGAGGACCCGCTGCACCTCATCGTGCGGACAGAGTTCGATGCTGTGGTCAAGAACAACATCAACGGCGAGGATCAATACCTGATCATCAAGGCACTCAACGAGTTCGACAACAAGGCTCAAGGCAGCGGTGGTGCTCTTGACTGGCGGACAAAGTTGGCCAGCCAGCGTGGTGCCGTCCTTGCCACTGAGATGAAGAACAACGCCTTCAAGCTGGCTCGATGGGCGACGCAATCCATTCTCGCAAAGGCCGACTCCATGAAGCTTGGGTAAGAATTCTACAATCACGATGCAGAAAGAAACTAACATTTTCAGATTCGTCTCCCGCGCCAACCCCAAGAACAACAACGATCACGTCATCCTCGGCGTGCTCACCAACAAGCCCCGCGACTTCGCCAACCAGATGGCCCTCAACCTCAACAATGGCTGGGGTATCGTCCGCACCATTGCTGACATGTTACTCAAGATGGACGACGGCAAGTATGTGCTTGTCAAAGACCCGAACAAGTCCATGCTGCGCCTGTACTCTGTTCCGGAGAATACTTTCGAGGAGGAGATTGAAGAAGCTCCTATTCAGGAGGAAGAGGAGAACGACTCTTAATTGCTGGGCGTGTTACGATTTACGTGCATGATTGATCCGGGTGGTTTTATGAGGGATGATGGGTAGACAAAATACCACGAGCAATAAGCTTCCTGTTGGTCAAATCCGATTTTTTTTTCTTCTCAGCCATCTTGCACTCAGCCACGTTTCTGCTAATACGTAAACACTGCTCAGTCAGGCTGGGACAAGCGAGTGGCTTGTCTTCAAGCTCGAGCGAAACTCCATCCTAACTCGTACCCCGCTACGATGGAACACCTCGACTTCCCAACCACGTACAGGTATACTTCTTTACCGTCCCCTAGCCATATCCGCCTTTTGTACATACATGACTATGGGAGTGAGGATAACACCGAGACGGCGACCTATGAACTTCACGTCGTGGAGTTACCTTCTGACGACAAGCCGTTCGCATTCGAAACCCTCTCATACACATGGGGCGCGCCAAAGCGCGTGGCCTCCCTCTCCTTCTGCAACGAATCTGGCGTTATTGGCCTGACGCAGAATCTGTCCCAAGCAATCCCACATCTAGCACGCACTTCACAGACGCGATACCTATGGATCGACCAGCTATGCATCAACCAGAATGACCCACAAGAAAAGTCCCAGCAAGTCAGCATCATGGACCAGATCTACAAAGCCGCCTCCCGCGTCATCATCTGGCTCGGACCCGCCGACGACTCCTCCATGACTGTGAAGGAATGGCTAGGAGAATTGAACGAGGTCCTCGCGAGCCGCGACGACGCGTCTAGAACCATGCCCACTGGCGAGCACTACAACGCCAGTGTCCGCATGCTCCTCGTTCGCTCTACCTGGGTCGACTCACGCACGGATACCAAATACGCCCCCGCAGCCCGCCGTTTCTGGGGCCGCCCCTGGTTCCGCCGCGGCTGGGTAGTCCAGGAACTGTTATTGTCACCCGTCGTCCTCTTTCTCGCTGGCCCTGACGCATTTACCATGCAGGACCTGTCGGATATCCAGACGCTACCGCCGGATATGGCGCTGCCGCCAACTGTGGACGACGACAACAGGGACAATACCCCCGCGTACAACACACTGCTGAATCTTAAGCGGTTTCCATTCACCGACATCCAGCCGCGCAGGTTTCTGATGTATATGGCTGAGTCTGCAAGCGATTTTGAAACCACCGTACTGGTAGACCGCCTGTGCGCTTTTCTGGGGTTACTGGAAGGTTCAACCTTCCGGCCTGACTATACGCGCAGTGTGCGCTGGAACTTCACAGCCTTTGCGGCGAGTCTCGCAGCGGGATTCGGCAGTCTAGACTTTCTGTCGCTGTGGTCTGCCAACATCGATGCCAAAATACCATCTACACCAGAGGAACTGAAGGGTTTTGCAAGCTGGGTGCCGTCCTTCACGTGGCTGCCGCTAATCGCGCCGTTCCGCTTCGCGACGGGAGCCACACGTTCGTTTTTCACATTCACAGAGGTGAAGTGGAACGCTGCGGCGGGTCGGAAGCACGTACACTCCCAGCGCGAAGACGCAGCGGCCACGGAACGCCTGCACGTCCGCGGCCAAATCATCGACCGCATCTCCCTCATCAGCGCAGCCAAAATCGACCGCTACTTTGCCGACGCAGACACCCCCTATCTCTCCTCCATCGCCGCGCATATCGCAGCCGATCTCCCTGCCTCACCCTTTGCCACCTGGACAGTCGTAGACCTCGTCGCCTTCCTGAACACCATCTCCGCGAACGGCCATTCGCCCAAGGAATCCGCAGAATTGATTCTGGGCATAGAGAAGAAGCGGATGAGTACCGGCCTAATTGACAATTTGGGGTACAACGAGGCGCTGTCGTCGAGGCTTAGTATTGGGAGGGGGCGGCGGTTTGCGATGACGGAGGAGGGGAGGATGGCGCTTGTGCCGTTCATAGGGAGCCGTTCACAGAGCGGCGAGGAGAAAGGTTCGGCGATTGCGGTGCTGCATGGCTGCATTGTGCCGATTGTGTTGGAGAGAGTTGGGGAGGGGAATGAGTGGAAAGTGGTGGGGGATTGCTATGTCGAGGGTGTTATGCATGGAGAGGTGGTGTGCTGGGATGAGAATGAGGGCGAGGAATTCATTTTGGTGTAGGGGAGGGATATGGACGGCGATGTTGCGGCCTAGTGCTGCGACCCAATTCTCAGGGCAACGACCTTCGTTTGTGACGAGAGAATGTTGTCCACGAGACCAGGGTCGCAGCCCAGCTACATCCCTACCCATGCTCACATCCTTATTTCCCCGCACGGCGCCAGCCGAGATACGCACACCCAATCTATCTTTGTATTGGAACTTCCCGAAACGAAAGAACAGTGATACTATTTTCGCGGCTCTGGCGAGCCATCTTCAAGTGCAGGGAGATCTGCGGTAACCTACTATCGATTTGCAAGGTACCATAGTCAGGCGTACCATTTCGTGATGTCGGTATTGGAACAGCTGCAGCACCTGGAAAGAGGTGCGACGCTGTCTATAGTCTGGGTAATATCACAGAAAAGCGGAGGGAAACGTATTTAAGTTCAGCTTCACTCCACTTTTACTCCTTTCTCTACCCAGCATCAGAGAGGCCCAAAAACAGTCGCTCCAACCTCCAACTTCTCTCACTTTTTCTTCGATCTACACCCACGCTCGCTACATCATGTACTACACTCTCGCAGTCCTCACTGCGCTCGCCTCCTCTGCTGCAGCAGTGGGTAACGCTGTCGTGGTGAACAAGTGCAGCAGTACTATCTACGCATGGTCCGTCGGTTCGTCTGTCGGTACCAAGCAAACTATCGCAACAGGTACACTCCACCCCGCCATCGAGCCAAGGGTCCCTGCTCATAGTTGCCAGGCAAGAATTTCACCGAGCCACTCCACAGCGATGCCAAATCCGGCGGCATCGCCCTCAAGATAACGACCGTGGACGACGGGCTGTACAATGGCTCGCCTCAGCAGATTTTCTCGTATAGTTTGGATGGGGCTTCGGTTTGGTACGTGTGCTTTCTTTTCCATTTCCCAACACGGGCTATCTAACGCCATCTTTCTTAATAATTTACAAATTAACGTTGCATTAGGTACGATCTTAGCACTGCCTTCGGTGAGCCGTTTCTCGGAAAACGTATTACGGTGACGAGTACTGGGAGTCCGTCTATCGTTTGGGCGAACGGGTCAAATCCGGGGGGAAGCCAAGTCAAGGTTGGAGTCAGTGGGGTGGATGTTGTGTTTACGGGCTGTGCTTGATTGCCACTGATGATATGGTAATATTACGGTGCGCTATGGGATGTGGTAGGGTTAATGGTATAGGTGATAGGGAGGACAGCCACTCTGTACCGCAGAGTCAAAATTCCTATGCGACGGAAACACCTCACTTGAGTTCTAAATGTTTCTGAGTGCCTGGAACTTACCCTGAGAAACATAGCAAGATGTTTGTATATCGTGGATCGTCTGTTCTCCAGGTATTGCCTCCTTGTCCGTTCAGCATTGTCCATCGTCGAACCTTTCCAGAATGTGTGCGGGATGTGAGTCTTTCAGCTCCCGGTATTGTTGTGGAAATCGGCTTGATATAGTTTTGAAGATTTTTTTAGTCAAGCATTCAGAACGCAGTGTTATCCCGATATAAAGATAGCTTCCATGTCCGACACACTAACTGATTCGGTGGAACGACTATCGAGTCCCACATGGAGCATCGATACCCGAAGACTCGAACCTGGGCCTCGCACAAGGCCCCAGATTGTATATAGATCATAAACGTGACTCTCACATCAAGAGAGGTGTCAGTGAGGTCCTGTGTGCTCCATAGGGAAAACTGTCTTTGCCCCAATTCACCGCACTAACCTCCTCGAGTCTACGGTAGAATTTAGAGCACTCTAGCCCATTCATGACTTCTTATACAGAGCCACATCCCTCTTACCTTCGCTCTGTACTCTCTTCATCATCTTCAACACGATGAGTAGCATACATGAAGAAACCGAGCGTTTGCGCCACGCGTACGAATGCCCTACCAGCGACCAATGGCGCGAGTTCGTGGAGGGACGACAACTTCGAGACGAAATTGTGGATATGGCTAAAGACATCGGCTATGAGGGTGTACGCCTTGAAGACATGTGAATACCACTGAGCTGCTTTGTAATGTGCTTGTGGAACAGGACACTAATTTTCGAGAAGGAACGATGAAGAGATTGGAGAAGTGAATAAGGCGATATTACTCCCTGAGGAAGAATTACGTATGAAAGCAGACTCGATAATGCGATATAGGTGGGTAAAGTATGAACCCTTTCAGCCTTGACATTCGCTAACGTGGCTCCAAAGGTGATGGTAGACAGCCCGAAAACTGTTTACGTGTGAGTCTGTCCAGCCTGGGCGAAGTCATCTAGAACAAACTTCCACCGGAGCTCCGCGAAATAATCTACCGTTTCTAATTTGAGGATTATGTCCCAGTTGCTCCACCAAGCGTTCTTACCTCGAGAAGTCAAGATGACTTTCATGAAGAGATACTGCTCAGGTACATGCGACGAAAGATTGTAAGACGACCAATACGAGGACGGCGAGACAGCTTATGTACGTTTGCCTCTTAGATAAATCTACACCTTGGCTCTGGGCAGTTGGCGTGATGAGATCACCAACAGCAGTGACGATCCTGAGGAATGGCTGTTTGAGACATGTTCTTGATACAAGGTATGCCTGGTTAGCTCAACCCGGCAAGCCAACTCTGACACAGTCTGAAGTGCTTTCAGGATTCCTGGTGGTGAAGTCGTTCCAGAATTCCATTCCGGTTGTATGATTGCTCTCTTCTTGAGAATATGGTATTACATGATGGCGAGGACTCTGCACCAACACGCGGCAGCATCGGGGGAACGAGAGACGTACCTGCACTATGAATGATCTAGAGTTGAAGTTTCTCATGTATCTAGGTGCTTAGTACAAGGTATCTGAAAAAACATTTTGGAGATTTTTCAATTATTCACTATAGGCAGCAGCTTTACCCGAGTACATCGTCCAGTCCAAACTCCCGGGCGAGAACGTCAAATACATTGCTCAGCTATAAATCTATTGTAATTTCGCGCGAGATTGATTATGCGAACTTTTCTCCCGAAAAATGACAGAAAATGGGATCTTTCATCGTTCGCTCCCGGGTGAGCCTACAAACAGCCGTAAGCACTGATCTCATAGGCGAAAAATGTTGCTGCCTGATAAGGCAGACGCCGCTCGTAACACCTATAAAGATGCCCACGGTTACACGACACTTTAGTTCTCAAGTTGAGTTTCTTCAAAGTCTGTCTTTTGCGCATCAAATACTGGTTCAAGGCACTGCATCGTTCGATTCGTTAAACAACAATTTTTACAAACCAGTCAGCATTTCGTTCGCGATTTGGTGTACATTTCGACTTTGAGCAAAATTTTATCGATCCTGGCTATGCCTCCTCTTTCTAGAGATTTCAAGGACGAGCTCAGAGCCAAAGCCAATGCAAGCCTACAGCGACACTACAAAAATCTGGACGATGAAGCTCGAAGCATCAAGCATGAGCCCCCCTCTGCAGAGATGCTCGCCTCATTCACGGCTCATCTTAATTCTTCAAATCGGATTCTCGTCCTGATCGGGGCTGGCCTCTCAGCATCTTCTGGGATCCCAACATACCGTTCCGCTAGTGGGTTTTGGCGCACCTTCTCCGACCAGCAGCTCGCGAAGAAAAGCGCATTCGAGGAAGATCCCATTTTGGTCTGGCAGTTCTACAACTACAGGAGGCAGCAAGCCAAAGCTGCGCTGCCGAACCCAGCACACCATGCGCTTGCGGAACTTGCCGCACGGAGACCGGAATTGTTTTCGGTCAACCAGAATGTGGACGAGCTATGTCAAAGAGCTGGGCATCCTATGGGACAGATAGTCGACCTTCATGGGTCGCTATTTCGGGTCAAGTGCTTCGACGATGCGTGTGGATACGAGGAGGAGAATCACGAAATACCTATCATCCCGCAGTTGTCAGTCACTGAGCCACCTGGGGTCCTCGATTCCGCCGACTACAACTCCGCACAATCTGGAGTCAGCATCGAGGATCTGCCGCACTGTCCAAAATGCAAGGTCGGCTTGCTCCGCCCAGCTACGGTGTGGTTTGGTGAAAACCTTCCGGAAGCTAAAGTTCACCAAGTTGACGAATGGCTACGTAGCAGCAGTTCGGGTGTCGATTCAGGCGCGAATGATGCAATAGAGGATGGAAAGGTTGATCTGATGCTTGTTATCGGAACATCAGCTATGGTGTGGCCTGCGGCTGGGTACATAGGTCGGGCAAGGAACGCGGGCGCTCGTGTGGCTTTTTTTAATATGATGGAGAAGGCTGCTGGTGTGGCCAGGCCAGAGGAGAGCGACTGGATGTTTCTAGGAGATGCGGCCGAGCTCGTCCCCAAAGCTTTTGAGGGTTTCCTAGGTGTCGACAATTAGTGGTGCTGATTTAGCGCCTGCCCATGGTGCATACATTCGTACTATGCACTGCCGGATCGTTTTTACGTTTGACGGATGCTGCGCTGAAAGATTCATCGGTCGATGATGGTTATATTTGGAGGTGTTTTGCGGTCGAATGGGTCAGGTAATCCGCATCTGTACCGGAGATGACGTAATTTCTGAAACCGAGGAATGTCTGTATATGTTGAACACAAGAGCCCGATCTAAATCTCTGTGAGGATCCTTCGCACATGTATCGGACCAAATACAGTGTTATTCACTCACGCCCAGGTGGATCGGTTTGCACGTGATATTGTTTGGGGACTTGGCGGGTGGGGCCTTTGTGACTCGACAGAACCACCGTCGTTCTCCATCTCGAAGTCAATTTCATGCATCAATGCCGCCTCAGAAGACGCCACGTCGGGTTGGTAAGCTTGATCACGGCCTTCAGTACGTCTAGCAATACGTGCTCATCCGCTCCCAGATCCGGTGTGTGGAACATGCCGTAAGAAATGCCGAAAGTGCGATAGGACGAAACCTGAATGCAGGAGATGTGTTTCTCAAGGCCTGGTCTGCGAGGGGTATCCTTTGAACATCAAGATGTATGGAATGGAAGGAGGGACCCTGCGAAAGTCTCGACCTCGAGCACGACGAGAAGACGCCCCGACAACAGTCACCACTCGACAAGCATCCAGAGCAGCACCTCAATCGGCACCGGCACTGTTGCCAGTGCCGGAAAAAATCGTAATAGCTTCTCCAGATGAAGGACCGTCGACCTCAGAATCGTCTTGGGGCACTGAGCTGCACGTGCCTGCGGAATATGGCGCAGGGCTGCCGCTGTCCACATCTAATTTGAAGCTTAAGGATGATGATGACATTCATGGACTGCTGTTATATTGTACGCGCTCTAAATCGATTCTCTTTCAGGTACTGATGTGAAAGATAGATGAGAATGTGGTATGTCCGAAGCTTTCCGTCACCTCAGAGAGCACACCTGATCCATTCAAAACCTACATTCTCCCACTGGCTCTTCAAGATACCGGCTTACTAAAAGCCGTATTGGGTCTCACAGCCTGTCACTTGGCTACGCAACAGCCAACACCTAATCGCCGACTGAACACAGCTGCGTTAGAGTACCGGGTCGCTGCTCTACAGTCTTTAAGTGCACTGTTATTGAAGGAAGAATGCTTCGGCCTGAGCGAAGCCGAAGAAGAAACTGCTCTGGCGATTGTTCTAATGCTTGTACTTCATGATACATTTGAATGCGGCAGATCGAACCATGGAGCTCATCTAAATGGCGTAGCTTTTCTGTGCTTTCGTCTCGCCGAGCGCTCCGGTACGCTGAGCCCGAGCCAAATGTTTTTGATATCTTCTTTGACTTGGTTTGATCTTCTACGCGGCTTCAGCGGAGCCGAGAAACTTGCATTCCCACAAGAAGTTCGCCGCTTTGTTGCGAATTCTACAGACTCTACTATCAACTCCTTGGTGGGATGCCCAGCTGAGGTGTTCCTCGCAGTCGGCGATACCCTTGCTCTAGGAAAGGACTATCTAGCGCAAGAACTGAAAGAGAGCGATTTCAAGACATCTCTAGACAGTATTCTGCTACAACTCCAGAAATGGGACCCTCTCGGTGGCCATTACCCCAACACAGATCCTGAATGGATACATCTTGCAGAAGCCTACAGGCACATGGCAATCCTCCGCGTTCTTCGCTTTCCAGACCCTTTCGCCACACCATGTAGCAATTCTCGCATACGTGCTTCGGTCGAAGCGATCCTCGATGCGACAACTCAAATATCTCGACGCTCTGCCTACTTCAAGCGACTCCTGTTTCCGCTCTTCGTTGCCGGTGCCGAGACCGCCTCACCTCACCAGCAGCAATACGTCGTCATGTGCGTTGAGAATATTAAAGACATGACCGGGGTCACATATCACAGTGTCACGGAACTGCTTGAGAAGACTTGGAAGGACCGCAGGGCATCCGATGGCTCACGGAATGTACCATGGCACGAATACGTAAGTTCTCTGGGCGTTACTATCTACAAATACTAATGAGAATAGACTTGTTCCAAACATCTTCCACGACAGCACGACTATCTCTTCTTTTGATAGTTGTTTTCGAGCCGCACCCGGGAGTACCAACAAACGCAGGTCGAGACATCATTTTTTGGCCCGACACTGAGCACTACTCTACTTCTTTGGGATCATATTCTGAAAGTCTTCATGGGACCATCCGTCTCTCATGAAGCTCAGTTACCACAAGTCCTGAATCGATCGTGTCCCAATCGATTTCTGGTCCTGCGAATTTATGACCCAACGTGAACCAGAACATCATGATGATGGTCAAGAGACCAACTACGCTGACGCTTGTATAATTCATACTGTTCAACTCGACTGGGAGCTGTGGCGGGATGCAAACACAGACCCCTAGGATAACGATCCACAGGATGGAGAACCCGTTGCAAAAGTATCCGATGTATCCGAGGCGTAGCCAACGTGGTGGAAGCTTCTTCCTACCCTGAACCAACAATATGCCCTGTGGAACGACATAAGAGATGATGAGAAAGAGCACCGCCGACGTTACGATCGAATTGAAAGCCGTTCTGTAGAAGAGTCAGTCTAATCATTGCAAGCAAGGCAAGGAGATGATCACGTACGTGGATGCAAAGTAAAGGAGTCCGTAAAGGCATACGAATACGAATGCGGTAGATGTAGTTCGCATTGGGAACTCCCTCTTTTCGTCCACGTGTGAGAAGTATCCGGAGCATGGCAGTCCACCCTATCGATTGGTCAGCAAGGATAGGCGCCTTGTCGGGGAGCTTTACATCTCGCGCAAAAGCCCAAGCTAATCTCCCGACAGTGAGGAACTGTGCGGACAGACACACTGTCTTTTTAGCATTAGAAGTAGCCAGGTAAAGCACATGCAACCTACTGATGTACACAACGAGAAGCCAGACCGAAAGAATCGCTGTCGACGTTCGACTTCCAGTGCTAGAGACACTTAGTATTGATCCAGACGCCTGCTCTGGAGACTAACGCCTGAAAGATGATCTCTAAGCTCGGGAGCGGGGACGATGTGATGGCGTCGAGATCGGTTATGCAGAACAGTAATGCAATGATGAGTGGGACGCTCGAGAATAGACCGATCCACACGGTTACATTCATAACCTGTGGCACCCCACGGCCTGGTGAGGGCATTTCCTCGCTGATATGTATTGCTAAATACGTCAGAGATCCCTTTACGATTGAACGTACGAGATACTAACCGCCATCGGTACCACCGTACGCATACATTGCGTTGCTGATCCCTAGTAACCACGCCGTACTATAAGACCAGCCGCTTGTACCGTATTCAGTGGCTGTAATGAACGAGCCCGGTTGCGTGTGTTGTTTCATGGCCAATGTGGTGATAAACCAAACCAGGCACCCAGCCAATGAAGCGTACAAGGTGATTTGGACTGTCAGAGGGATCCGCTTTGGGATCATGTACAACGGCAGTACTGGAAAAATTAGCCAGAACGCCTTTCCACTCAGTTGAGTGAGAACTTTACCAGTGATAAGGCAATGGCGACATAAACGAGCCAAATGTGGTACGCTTGCGCAACGAATCCTGGGTGGAAGAATGCCACAATACCAAGTGTGCTGACTGCGGCCAGAGAAACGCCTGAGCAGGTGACGAGGCACATGCCAATACGGACATCCAGCCTGTGATGTATGCAGCGAATCGTCGAGTTTTGGGCGGTGCGAGAATGAAGCAGTAGTGGTATTGACCACCGGAAGACTGATTGGAAGTGCATTTAGTATGGCTTGGACCTCGCCCAGGATTCATTTCCGTAGCACTTACTGGATACGCAGATGCCAGCTCACTGAGGCCAAGCGTGATGGTGTATTGCACAACGAAAGCTACAATGAGCCCGAAGATCACACTGTTTGGCCCGCCATACTTCAGATTCTGCCCGAAACAGCTCTGCGGGACCGAAATTAGCAGAGAATTGTCAGTTCCACTCTTTCGTCTGCTTACCAGGTACCCGACCCAGGAATTGGTTATCGAAAAGCCCAAGCCTAGAGCCGAAAGCCAACTGAACTGGCGCTCCAAAACCGCGTCGTGGCCGTTTCTTCTAAGAATCTCATCATCTATATCAGCAGGGGACAATTTGTCCACTTCATCAGTTCCTGTAGCATTAAAGGGGTCGACAGTGCCATTTTGGACTGTTGCAGCTGACGCCGACTGGACCTTCTTAATGTCACTGTCGAACATGGGCGTTGTTGAGTAATGTTGGCAAGACTGGACAAGCGATCTTGAAGAGGGATTCACAGTACGAAGACTTGGTATATAGGAACTGCTCTACATATACCACATCGGCGTTAGACCCCTTACTGCATGCCTTGCGGATGGTCGTACACCCCATAACACATCTGTGTGCCGTACGTATGGACCTAACGCCTGTCTTCTGAAAGAAGCTACCTTATCAGTTGCGTTTGAACCCCCCTCCCGAAAACAGATTGCTAGATGGACCTGCACAGTACCATTTGTGTTGCGATACGTGCTGTGCATGAACGCAGATGGAACTACCTTAACGATTGGACGCAGGCTGCTTTGCACCGGGGATAGATCAACTTGAACACTAATTGACCTTTCACCAAGCAATTCCTTGGTTAGCGATATTGCTTGGCTCGATGGAGTAGCATCGCGGAGGCGTACGACAGTATGCTGCAGGCAAGTAGAGATCCGGCCCGCGAAGTTACCTTTTCTTTCCCGATGGAATCTAGCGTGGTTGCCCGTTTTCCTTTTAACGGTTAGCGCAGATGTTAGAAAAGTTGGTCAAACGTCTCGGTAAGGTAAAGATCGGCAGTGCCAATTGCAGCTTGCTTCCAGGTGCGCACATTACTGAACGTGACGTTGTCTATCACCAGCTTCCAAAACCCACGACCGATGATAATTTGAAACAGAACAGCTAGAAATTTTAGTCGATTGAAGCACAAGAGTTGAATTGCGCAACCATCGCCAGCGACCATCATCACCTGATCAATATGCCCAGCACCATCAATGAGCTTCCCTCTGGCGTTCAGTCTGTGGCCGCAGACGCTCCTTTCGACTACATCATTCGCCTGCTGAAGCGCGATGGAGGTGTCTTCATAAAGAAATTCGTCTCGGAGGAAGACGTCGACCAAGCGTACAGCGAGTGCCGCGACCGCATCGACAACGATATGGAATGGGAGGGTGATTTTTTTCCGAGTGAGTATAGCATCCCTTAAAGCTAACACGAGATACTGAAAGCCATCAGAGGAGACACAGCGAGCGCCTGGTCTGATTGGACTGAGTCCGACATACACAAAGACACAACTCATGCATCCTCTGTATCGAGCAGTCTGTGATCACTTTCTTACGACAAGAAGCATGTTCTGGTGGGGAAATGAGAGAAAGGAGTCAGTATCGAAGCCTTACGTACATTCGGCTGTAGCCATGAGGATTGGACCGGGTGGAAAAGCACAGCCGTTGCACCGGGACGACTACATCGCACACAATGTGCATACTGAAGTCTCGGAATGGGATGATGCTCGAGACATGAATCGCGAGAGTGCTGTCGGGTGTTTTGTAGCAGGATGCAGAGTGACGCCTGAAAATGGCGGAACAAATTTTATTCCCGGCAGCCATCTATGGCAAGTCTTTCATTTCCCTGAAAGACCAGCATGCTAACCCAGGTCACAGGGGAAACGATCGCAAGGAGCCACCAGACGTCAGTATGTGCATCCAAGCTGACATGGAAAAAGGGGATGCATTCTTCATGCTGGCTTCTGCATTTCACGGCGGTGGAGCCAACAGCACGAAGGACGAGCAACGTCTTGTCTTTGGAACTTTCGTGACACGAGGCTACCTCCGTCAGGAAGAGAACCAGTTCCTTGCTGTACCTCCTGAAGTGGCGAGGCAGTACCCTCGAGACGTATTGGAGTACCTCGGATACTCTATCTCCGACCCGGCTTGTGGAACAGTCGACCAACTCGATCCGATATATGCACTTTATCCCGAGTGGAAAAAGGACGCCAAGTACAAGGATTTCTAGGTCAGGGGGAGTTTCAAGCAACATATCGTTTGACGCCTGTATCAAATTTTTCTCTCCCTGATCTATGTCAAACCCTTCTGTGCAAATTACCGAAGATAGTCAACGTTCGATCTATGCTTGGGGCTCCTTTGACAAAGTAGAACCTCATTGTTCAGCCAGAATTCCGTATGCCGATGTTACATTCTATGCATGACCGAGGACATTCACCTGGTAGAATGAAAACTTTCCAACCACCAAAGCATTCTCAGTATACGCACAGAGTGCAACCCAAGATCACAATTTCGACACAGAGTCGCCCGTGGCGATAAGCACGTTTTCGGCAATCGCGCAGGTTTCATTATATCATTTTCAAGAAGATGAAGCGAGATATGATTGCCAAAGCGTACGTGTTTAGCTCCAGGATGATGTCCGCTAGGAGCGTTGACGACCCAGAATTAGCGTGCATGAACCTAGCTTGAAATAGCGTTCAACACTCATTCCACCTTTACCCCGCATTCGGTGTAGGCATCCCGATTAGGCATTTTCACCAGGGGAAATAGTGATGCTACTGCTGAAGTGCTTCGGGTGGGTTGCACTAACTCTTCGCGATAAGGTGCCATGGACACCCCCAGAACGTGTACACCTACTCAAGCTACATGCATCCACTCTAGCCAAAAGAAGGAGTTTTCCCAGAGGGTTGGACCTGTCAAGTTATTCTCGTCCTTGCTCGTGCATGTTAGCACCTGGGAGTGGGCCAAGAGAGGCTTTGGACATCGTCGCTGTCGGGTTTAAGTGTCCAAATGTCCTGTTTTAGTGGAAGCTCTTTACTTGTTGAGTTTTTTTTTTTTTGGTTATTTGACTTGTGCCGTGCTTTTTCTAGACTCAGAGAATACTCAACTACAGACCTCGACTATATCCGCATCGCCAGAATGACTCAGGACCAGAACGGTCGTTCGAACGCTTCAATGGTGGAGCCTCGCAAAGTATACGACTTAGCAGGCTTGACTTCGATAGTAACGGGCTCATCGAGGTGCGCAAGTCTTATCGTGGCTCATTTGGAAGAAGTCGCTAACATTTTGTGTTTAGAGGAATCGGTGCTGGCATAGCACTTGAGCTCGCTCGTCGGGGTGCCAGTGTTGTCGTCAACTACACCTCATCTAAGAGTCAGAATGCGGCAGAAAGCATCGTCAACACCATTGAGGGCTGTGGATCTGGTGCACGCGCCATCGCGATTCAAGCCAACGTCGTTCTGCCAGATGATCAGAAAAAGGTGGTGGAGGCGGCGCTAGAGCTGAGCGGAGATAACGCCATACACATCCTCGTTCACAATGCGGGAAACGGGGACGACTGCCATTTGCCTGACATTACGGAGGAATTTTACGGCATGCAGACTGATCTAAATGTCAAAGGTATGCGTCTCAGTGACGAATATTGAAAGAATCATCCTGATGAAGTTGTTCGCGCAGCGCCTATCTTCCTCACCCAGAAAGTCATTCCCCACATGCCCCATGGCGGCCGCATCATCCTCGTATCCTCATGTTCTGCACGCATGGGTGTCGCTCAGCACACAGTTTACGCGGCCAGCAAGGCTTCCAACGAATCTTTTGCGCGTGTTTGGGCTACGGAGCTTGGTCAAAGCAAAGGTATCACCGTGAATTGCGTCAATCCTGGCCCAGTGGCAACGGATGGATACTTCAACAGCACCCAAGAGTTCATCGATGATTTAACGCCACTCGTAAACTCAACACCTGCGGAGGCACGAGTGGGAGAGGTGCGGGATATCGCGCCTATTGTGGGATTTTTGGCAAGCGAGGAGAGTAGATGGGTGACTGGAAGCACTGTGAGTGCTTGCGGAGGCCTCCTCTTCTTCTGATTATATTTTTACAAAGGCCAAGTGTACTACCCAGAGCCAATCAAGCGATGGAACGTTCTACATACCTACCTCCGTGTCTCGAAGTGACATCGCACATCGCCACCATCAGGGTCGGATTTGACACATGTCGACTACAAGCAAACTTCTGGTAACTTTTCATGGGTCCCACGCAGATTTCCATCGTCCGGTGTGCGTTCACCGTAATGGAGTTCCTTGTTCTAGCTTTATAGTCTTACAGCTCTAAAATAGTAAAACGGGGCAGGAGGGCGGTCATATGCTCCATATTAGCCCCGATATCATCACGACTGGAACAAAGGCTTTTTATATGTAGATGAATACACCAGATCCTCATTGGTACACAAGCTTCACAACAGCACTGCCTGACAGAGTGTATCATCTACTGAGCACCTGCCAAGTCCGTCACGCATTTTGCCAATCAAATACGCAAATCATTCCTCTGGCAGCCACTGCAATCAGTGAGCCTCGACTTGTTGAACTTCTGGTTCGACCGCGGGACATCGTTTGATGGATTGACCTCGAAGAAGCTTGTAGGTTTCAGCGAGACCATCATCTTCTCAGCAGGCATGACCGGGAAGTCTAAATCAATCAAGTCAGCATATGCGATCGGTCTCCAGATTGTGATGCTGTCATAAACCTACCTTCAGGTCTTGTCACGTGTGTTAGCCCAAATGTATGCCATAGCACTACATCTTCGTTCTCGACGTTCTCCTTTCTCTCGCTCCAGACGGCTAAACCTGTATCTTCGCGGCTCTGATTGGTAAATTCCCCGGCAGCGTACAGTTCGTCGTCCCTATACTTCGTGACCCAAATTGGCCTGCTAGCGAAAACGCCTCGCTTGTAGTTGAACGTGGATGGACCCATCATGATCATCTGGGAAGGGATACTATGCAGCTTGTACCCGACCGGTTTCCCAGAAATCTGGTTGATGTGATCAGGGTTGATGATCTTGTAGACCCGTGATTTTGCGACATCCAGCTGATAACCTCCTGGCTGTGTAATGGTAGTAGGCTTTACACGGAAGGCGTTCCCAAACGGATCTAGCTCTGGATCTGAACTGGCGACAGGAATACAGTCCTCGTAAATGATGCTATTTCTCTGTCCATCAAGTGCCGGGTTAATCCTAACGTTAAACAAATGCTGATGATTGGCAGCCATAACGCCGGGAGCTACTGTGGTGCCCCATTCGTGTTGGACGCCCTGCCTCGAAGGCATAGTAGACACAATGCCCGTGGCCTTGACTTCAATATGCAAGCTGGCGGCTTGATCGAAGATGAAGGCCAGAATGTATTCATAGTTAGCAACTGTAGCTGTGTATTGAAGGACGAGTTGCCGGTCCCGGACGACCGAAGAATTGTTGTTGCGGAAATTTGTGTGCTTCCAGCCAATGCCCTGGTCGACCTCATGCATACAGACAACATTGTTCATCAGCACTGGACTTCCTTGCGCATCGCACCTGAATCCGTCAAAGTAATGGATGTGCCCTAGGCAGTCGCAGCCCAGTTCCAGTGTGTTGGATGTCAGACCAAAGCCTGAGTCACCAAGGTCAAAGGCTTGCTTGCGGTGGTAAGGCGTTCGTGGATCGCCATAGGGCACAGTCATCTCACTCATTGAGACGCAGTAGAATAACGATCTACCGCCGTACGTGACATTGTTTAGAACTGGACCTTCTCGTAAGTTCCAGCCAAGATGGAAGTCCCACTTCTGCCATGCGATGCGATGGCCTTTGACTGTGAACGAAGGGCCTTCCGGTTGCAATATCTGGAGGGGTTTTAGATCCTGTCTGAAGTATTCGCTGCCCAAAATCCGCTCCGAGTACTCGACAGGATGAGCGGCGTTCCAGGGTTGTGTCTCGGTAATCTCGCTGCCAGTGCCTAATGGGAGAAAATCGATCCAACAAAGCTCGAGGGTGTGAGCGTCGAAAACCGGTGAGAATGGCGCAGGGAGTGAGTAATGGTTCGCTTCAGGATCGTCATTCAACACGATGTACATGTAGCATTGGAACATGCGTCTTCTCTCTTCACCGTCGTCCGTACCGTACGACCAGGGGTCATTGACAACTTTGGCACCCTCTGGGAGCTTCAGCTTTCCGATCTCGGTAAGCACATCGGGATGCGTATTGCATGCATTGTGGACACGTTCCCACTCGGTATAGTCGACTGGTCCTTGAGCGTCACGAAGCTCTTCCTGCGATACAACAACACAACGGATGACGTTGATAACCGCTTTCCATAGGTGAGGTGACGTAGCCACATGGTAGTATACCCTCGCACACCTGTCGACAGAAATAGCACTGTTCGCTATCCAGGCTAGAACCTCGTTCTTCGGGGGTTCGAGTAAGTCCACAACTTTGATCCTGAGTGGCGCCGGATATGCTTGTTGTCACAGGATGTTGGAGGCTGTGCGAATTTCCGTGGGAGAGATGGGATCAAGAGGATGAAGCAAAGTAGAAGCTCCCATAGCGAAAGTGTTCAAGGCGTGTGCACTGGGATGAGATTATGGAAAAGAAGAAGCAGTCAAGTGACCCTGCTGAAAGAGCTCTTGTCACTCTTGTACCTCTGTTGCACCTGTTATCGCACGACTTCAAGTAGAGCCAGTCAATGTTGTTACAATGACTCTCGCCAAGGAATGGCTTTCTAGGCACTTCTAAGGCATAAAGTTGCGGGACGATTGCCAAAGTGGACATCTTCGCTGCTGCACTGGATGCAAGTATCCACGAGGGCGGGCGAATTGTATGCGTACTACAATGCAGCACGAGATTGAGGTTGGTATGTTTCCTGTGATAGGCAAAGCGTTCAATGCACTCGAAAAAGACCCACTTGTATTGTCTTTGGTTGGGTGGCCAGCATGGACTAGCTGGAGAACAAGTGGACCGAAAGAAGACGAGCGATCTTCGCGAGAGGTTATCTGAACAGCCCTCTAACCCAAAGAGGTGATTTCCTCCACTGGCACCCACGGTTGGAGAACGTTGCAATTGTTCCTTGCACGGTGTAGAAACAGTGTCATTGAGGCCAAGCATCATTGGTTGAACGTGTATGGCCCAGATATCGGTAGCGGCAAGTGCCTCGCGTATTTCCAAAGTTCTTACGCATGACGCGCCTTGGGAAAACCTTTGGCCACCTCACGACGCTGTTTCGCTCCTCGTCAACACACGACTTAGTGCGTCGATTTTATTTTATTTCTTGGAAAATCCACGTTCATCTCGAGAATTTTCTCATTGTACATTACAAACATGGGCTCAATCAAAGATGTACCAAGCTACAAAACGAGCATTCCGGAACTCAAGAAGGCTCTCAGTAGCGTGGATGAATATCAAAAGATGCTCCGAGGGGAGCTATACTACTCCTTTGGCCCCGAAATGACCTGGGCAAGACGTCGATGCGCAATAGCTTGCCGGAAATACAACGCTGCCGAGGATCCCACGCGAAGAGAACAGGTAGCAATGTGGAGAGAGTGCGTCAATGTCTAAAATGCGGCTTTCAATGCCTACTGACCGCCAAGCAGCATTTTGGGAAACACAGACCCATTGCCACCACAGGCCGCCATCCAAGAAGAAGACGATGCTCAATTTGGCCGTGATCCTTGGGTCGAAGGCCCAATGCGCATCGACTACGGAATCCATATCACAGTTGGCCGAGATTCTTTCATTGGACCCAATTTCATGGTCTTAGATACTTGCAAAGTGAGTATTGGTGCGCGCGTGTTGATAGGTCGAAACGTGTCCCTCTACACTGCGACGCATCCCGTGGATCCAGCGATCCGGCAGGGCATCATTGGCCCAGAGATGGGCAAAGAGATACATATCGGAGACGATTGCTGGATTGGTGGAGGGGCTTATATTTTGCCAGGTGTGAACATCGGGCGAGGCGTCACAGTTGGAGCCGGGTCGGTGGTCACAAAGAGTGTGGACCCATTCACTGTGGTTGCAGGCAATCCGGCGCGCGTCATTAAAAGGTTGGAGAACAACATCAAAGAGGAGGAGGAGGAGGGGTAAACCCAACGGTACAACGTTTTCAGGAATGCATTGCCATTCATGAGCTTTCCTTCAAAGACTAAACTGGACGGTCATTGAGTAGTGATCTAAGCTTCTTGAGAAATTTTGATGGTGGGAGTGTATGCCTTTCCAGGTTTCTTCGTCTCGAGCAATGAAGTTTCAAGGCTGTGAAGGCCGCTGGGCGGCATTATTACCTAGGTAGAGTGAAAGACAGATAAGTAAAGGAGGACTGGGACTCATCGGGCAGCTTTGTTTCCTACAGAGACATGCGTCAACAGTGGTCCAGAAACCCCCGCCGAGCCTACATAAACTCTCCGCACTGCGTCTCTCACATCACCCACGTTGCAATAGACCTCTTCCGAAGTTCCTGCCAACTCCACACCTGAGACACCCGTACCAATGGAAGCGGCCTTGATGGTAGCCTGGAGGGTGATCAGGTCGTCTTGGCCAACGCTGCCTCCCACCTCCAGCCGCGACATCGCAGCGATTAGAGAAGCAGTGCAAGTGCTTTATTGTTACTCGATGACCTTAATTAATTTTTCCACTAACGCATACGCTGCACAGCACGTAATTGGAATGGCTCGCCACGACTGCGCTTTCCAGGCGAGATCCGGAACGAAATATACGGCTACGCCTTTGAAGACACCTAGATCTGCCCCATAAAGCTCATAAAGCGTGGAATGCCCTCGACCGGCTGGCAAGGAAGCCCTTCATTGCTGTTCGCATGCCGCCAAGTCATGGCCGAAGCAAAAGCTATCTACATGAGCAACGTAACGATCCTGCTATCTATCGCACTACTGGTTAGGTACACAATAAGATGTAGAATCTCATTGTTGACTCTGGCAATGTTTCGTCGCACTCGTTTATCTGCATATGTTGTTCATGATATATGTCGGTTGCCCAGGAGCTCCAACGATCATAATTTTCACTACGGCTTCTCATGCTTCACTTCTTTGGAATTCATTGAAGCCTGCGAGCAGGAAGGTAATCGTGGCGACCAATTGATGAAGACAAAGATAAAACGCAGCAGAGCTCGGCACAGAAGGAAGGTCTACTCGAGAGCTAGGTTGCCTAGCCAAGATGCGTGGCATTGCCACATGATTTTTTACGATTCGCTGCCAGTATGGGAGTAGAACACGAGGATCAGGAAGTTGTTGTTAGTCTTAGATATAGAGACTGCCATAGACAGATTGATCTGATATTGGGGAACGTTACTCCTTGGAAAGTCCCGTTGTTAAATCCCACCCTATCAAGCTATCCTCACTGTGCTGTTTGTCCATTACAAACAAGATCAATGAACACCACCAGAATACCCTTCCATTCATATCCCGCACATCGCAACCAGCGGCTCCCTGACAGCCCAAAGACAGCCCAATTATCCTGCTGGATCCTCCACTCAATCATCCTGCGCCGCATAGAATTTCCTTGGCCATATATTCATCCCAATCTTCTCACCCTCCCCGACCGGCAACCCCGCGTGCACGACCCTTCGATCCCCCACCCCATCCTCCCCGATATTAACCCAAAACACCGCACTCCCCTTCACAGGCTTAAATGTCACACCCTTCCCATCATCACCATCGTCCTTTCCCCTCCTCACCCTCCCTCCGAGCCCGACCTCCTTCCCATCCTCAATGCTGACGCCAGGAAACCATGTCTCTCCAGCCGTGCAATTATCCCTCAGAAATACGAAGAAGCTCGCCGGCCGATTGAACAGCCGCCCGCTGCCGTCGGAGAGGCGCTGGTGCCGCGGCCAGAAGTCTGTGTGCAGATCGTAGCGTTGGGTCTGGAAGTAGCGTACGAGTTGGGGACTGTAAGGGTTAGCGAGGAAAGCGATGAGGGGACAAGGAAAAGGATACAAAGAGGAGGAGAGGGGGATGGGAAGTACGTACGTGCTGAATGGCTCATGTGCATGTAGCATCGTTCCCAGGAAGGCGCGGGCGCGGTCGACGACTTGAATCAAACCTTATGTCAGCATTTATTTACAATGTCTCTAGGGGAGTCAAGCACACTTACTACAAGCAACAAGCGGCTCCTCGACCGCGAGTGGCGCACTCTGACTCGTCCTCCCACTGACCTTCTGATTCCCACCGCCAGACCGCGAGATAAAGCTGTCTTCGAAATCGTCCGCGCCCAGCTTGATGAGAGCTTCGGCTTCGGCGCCAGAGGTAAAATTGTTGATGTATATCATAAGTGGGTCGAGGGATACGATCTGCGTGGTGTAGGTGTGTGCGCGGCAGGCAGTGAGGAGAGACGGGGAGGAGGGGTTGATGGATGTGCTTGAGTCATTTTGTGGGGCGTGGAGGGGCGCAAAGTAGGGGCTGAAGTAGATGGTGTAGAGGGTTTGGAGAAGGAGAGGTAAGGTGAGGAGGGTGAAAGAGAAGCTTAGGAATTGTGCAGTGGACTGTCGGGGGCTGTTAGCTGTCACCTGGCTGGCATGAATATAGAGGTGTACTCACAAGCTCGAGCTTTCCGGTATTGCTTGCTTTGCGCGAAGGAGGTACTGCGCTCTGGGATTGAATCAGCTTCGCCATCTTGGCGGTTGTAGAAAGAGCATTGCACGCCGGAGTCACAGGTCGTGAATGGCAATTTGGTCTGGTGGTTGTGCCTGGCGCTGGAAAGTAGACACGGTGGGATGGTTACACTGCATATACAGCGGTAATATTATTTCCATTAGCAGGCCAACGCGGCGCGCAGAATGGTTGCAGGGCACTGGGACATTCCCTCTTATTGCCATACAGAGAGCAGGGATCAGAACAGCCTGAGCGGGGTGCGGCATCCGAGCAATATATGTTTGGCGGGGTTACTGCCGCAAGTTGATGAGGACACGAGTAAAACACTGGTTCCGAATTCCACCATACGAAAGCACCGAGAGCATCAAACATGATATGGATAGTATCTCAACATATCTCGCTTCCATTGTGGTATTGGTATCTACTGTCATGAAAAGAGTCTCGAATTCACTAGCCTTGTCACCATACCTAACCTCTGGAAATCCCTAGGTATTGAATTGCCATCTCGGGTGCTTGTCTCCTAGCTTCAGATCCTCTTCTGAGTCGTGAAACCCGTTGGTCTGAGGGTTGGCCGCAAGATACGCCTGCTTCTGCTCATTTTCCCTCGCCAGCAACCACCAAAGCGTACTGACTACGATTACATTACCAATCAGATATCCCAATGCGACCGCGTGGCCCAGAACATATCGAGGCGCAGTAGCTGGACGATACAACTGAGTTCCGATGACTGCGCCCAAGTTGCCGATAGAGATTTGCATGGCGTTAGCTGTAGCTCGCTTTGTCTGCCCCGAAACGTTGATGGCGGGCCAGGACAACACCAGCGCGACCGAGGGATAAATGCCCATAGCTGCGAAAAAGGTCCCAACATAGGATACCCCAGGTTTCTGTGTAGGATGCTTATTTGTGAGAAGGATAATATATCCAATGATGGCCAGCGTTGATGTGGTAATTGTGAAGAGGGCGCGACGCTTGTACTTTTCAGCAAGGATTGCCCATCCAATGGTGAAGAGCGTGGCTGCTGCGTAAGGGGGAATAGAAAGAAGTTGCGATTGCGCGGATGTGTAGCCCATGTCCTTGATGATAGTAGGCTGACACTGTTAACGCGCGTCCTTCAAACTGAACGGACAGTCGGCTTACCAAAAATAGTGACAGAGTGTACAAAGGCAAACTCATTGTATGGAAGCAAGCACCGTATAGCCAAACTTTTGGATCCTTGACAGCGTTGAGAACAGATGCCCAGGTGAACTTCTCGTCGTGTGTTGCATCGCTGTCGGCTTTGAGACGAGCGTTGATGTAGGAGCGCTCTTCCTTGGACAGCCAGCTCACAGTCTCCGGGTAATTTGAGATGAACAAGTACGCAAGGGCCGCAATTACTATTGTAGCGAGTCCTTCCTGGACAGTGTAAGGTTCACTGAATGCCAAAATGCTGACTGAACATACCAGAATAAAAATCCACCGCCAGCCAGCATAACCGCCAACTCCTCGCATGTGACCAATTCCATATGCAAGGATACCTCCAAACGCGCCTGCGAGGGAAGCGCAACTGAAGAAAAGAGAGATGCGATACTGGCGCTCATCTCTTTTGTACCACATCGAAAGATAATACACCACACCGGGAAAAAGACCGGATTCAGTGACACCAAGGCTGCACACATGTCAATACTCTGCTACAAAAAGTAGCCGATACAGAGTGACCCACAAGAACCGGACCGTGAGGAACCCAGCCATGTTTTGCGTAACTCCCATTAGAGTTGCGACAATACCCCATGCGATCGTCAAAGTCGGAAGCCAGAATTTCGGCGTCGTGCGCTTTAACACAATGTTGCAAGGCAGTTCAAAGAGCACATATCCAATGAAGTACAGCGTCAGACCAGTCAGGTATTGATTTCCAGTCATGGGTTTGCCGTTAGATTGCTTTAGGTCATTGAGTAGACCTTCGATTCTCGCGTTGGCGACTAAGCTCTTGTGTCAGCAAAGTCCACTAGGCGATGAGACGAGATCGCAAAACGCACCATTGCTGCGATCCAGAAACGAAAGCAGATACAAAATAGAGACCGCCGGGAGGAGCCTCAAGTCAAGTTTTCTGAGGAGTGCCTTCTCGTTGACAAGGCCTTGCGCAATGCCCTCCAGGTCTGAATCAGAGTTGGCTGACGCACCAGGTCTCTCGAGCTCATCCTTTTCCGAAGCCATGGTTCCGGAAGCCGCAAGTGGTGAACGATATGCAGCCGAAATGTTGTCGTGGAACGGAAACACCTCCTTAAGAGTACTGTCCACTCACATACCTACGTCAGTAAGTATTCCACATCTCAAAACGCCCGCCGATGACACCATCCGGTGGATTTGAAGCGAGCGGGCGAAGCCCACCCTCCAGGCATAGTCAGCCGGCGCCCTGGCAGTCATTGGGACGTGCTATTGGAAGGCGGTTCGCGATGACAGGGGATTTCCTCCGCGGCTGGCTTATCGGCAGGCCCAAGTCGATGGCGGGAAGAGAACGAGCCATGGCTTTGTGTTTGGTGTTGGAAACGAAATCCTGGGGTCCGATCACGACATTCAGATCTGCATTAGTGTGGAAGGAAGCTAGCCCGCGTGGAGTGGGACATGAACGTCGACACTAGACGCGTGGGAAGATCGAAACACGGCGCATCTGGCGATTGGCGCGACCCATGTGTTTGTTTTGATTCTCCTGTAGATTGAACTTGGATCGATGAGATCTTATTGCCGATGCAAGGATGAAGTAGAGCGTTGAGTAGTCGGGTGGGGACTCGAAGATCTGAGCACAGACCCGGACCCCACTTGCGACTTCTCCCACAGGCCGCTCCTGTACCACATCCTACATCTACGTCCACGGACAATGATTAGACGTATAAGATCAGAGTTAGTACGCTTGCCGAAGCTCGCCGATACTGCCAGAGTCGCTAGCTCATGGTCGTGACAGCTACTGAAGCCATAAAGAGCCTTTCCATACCGTCGGCCATGAGGGACTGTCTTATCTGGGGCGATGGGGTATCTCCTGTCCATTCCGCGATGCTATCAACGCTTCGAGTTCAGTCTAAACGGATACTGTCACACCCGAAGCATGCTAATCACTAGAGCCGGGAAGACATTGCGATTTGTCATATGACATGCATTGGTAGCAGCTACTGACAGCTACAGATGATACTCGAGCCAAAATTCCAGAAGACCAATGCGCTGATCATGGCGAACGGCACCATGGTATGCGGCTCAATTTCCGTCAATGACGCCAAATGCCCCTTGGAATCATGCCAATAACTCCGTGAGAGAAGAGATGTAGCCCATATCAGCAGCCAAAGTCTTTTGAGCGTTGGAAGAACGGCGGAAAAGAATCAGGTTGCGTCGACATAGCGGTCACGGACACCGCACCTAGATCTCCTCCTGAGCGGGGGTGGCCTCAGGCTTGCCATCGTCGACATCCTCCATCTTCTCGTTAACCTTGTCGTCAGCGGTAGCCTCGGTCTCGACGGCAGCTGTCGGTTGGTTAGCAATGCATAGCATAGCCTAGCACGATGTAGGCTGATTCATTTACCGGCCTCCTCCTCGTCGGAAGACTTCTTGTTCTTGGGGCGGGCCGGGCGACCACGCTTCTTGGGAGAAGCTTCCTCGCCATCCACCTCCTGCTTCTTGGGAGTGCGCTTGCGAGGCGTGGCCTTCTTGGGCGCTGGAAGCTGTTAGCATCGAGGGTTCAGCCAAGGAAATTGCGATAACACTTACTCTCCGGCTCGCCATCAGCGTCGTCGTAAGTCTTCTCGGCCTTCGCCGCGGCTTTCTTCTTCTGCGACGTCTTTTTGGGCGTAGCAATAGCACCGTCAGTTGCGGCGTTGAGCTTGTTGCGAATCTTTGCCCAAGCGTTGCCGGCGGAGCGCGGGTTGGTCATGCCAGCGTATTGAGCCAGCTTCTCGTAGTCGATCTATCATAATGAATTAGCACAGGGTGCGCCACTGTTAGAGGAAAGACTTACGTCAGGAGGACCAGACTTGAGGGACTGCATGGCCCATGCCAGCATCTGCATTTCGCGCTCAGTGAATGAAGGACCGGAGCTGGAGCCGGAGTCGCCAGCATCGTTGCCAGAGTCGGACATTGTGGTAGACGTGGGGCTTGGAGGCCTAAAGGCTTGTGGTGGACAAAGTAGATGGAGGCAAGAGAAGCACTTGGCTAGGAAGTCAAACTATGTCGTGCGTGAGGAGAGAGATTGTGTCGGGTGTCGACGTTTTATATGCAATGGGGCACGATGTTGCCCAGGTGAAGGTGAGTGCACGCAGATACTACGCCATGGCGTGCAATGCGACAAACAGCCGACTTCACCCAGGCAACGCAATGTAAAATGAAGCTGACGGGCGGCGAGCGAGAATCTATCACCCAGGTGCGGCAGGACCGTACATGCGTGCATGCGAATGGGTGGTTTCCGCCAGTTTTGCAGACCATGGATGCAAAGATATTCGCGGTCGAGTCCCGAGTCGCTAGAAAAGACTTTTCTAACGCTGGTTACACACGCCATATGAGTCAAATGGCCATCGAGGAGGACATTTAGCATACAAAGGTACCATTGCTTTCCATTGTCCGTGCTGTGGTGATACAGAACTGGCCTTCAGATGCAACATGATATCACTTCACCCGTATCAGGCCAATTACCCACAAAAAGTAAAGCATTTCTGCAGCTGCTTGGTCAATACATTGATTTTCAACCATGCAGTGCTGTCACCATGAACTCGAGCTGTCACTTTCCGATTGCTCAACTGGAAATGAGGCCTTAACTATTCTGTAATTTGGCAAGTCTGGTCACTGAAGATACGGGTGTGGCAGCAAGGCTGTGTCAATGATGGACTCGAATGCGTACTTATGGCTCTTGCTGGCGTGAATGTGAAACGGTCGCAAGTCAGGCAGTGGAAGGTGCAGCCCGTCAAACATTCGCTATCAACCAGGAAAGCGAAGGACGTATAGATAGAGCTTGACACTTCCCGATCTAACATACTGGCTCTGTATCTATTACAACGTCTACACGCTCCTCGAACAGCGACATCGTCATTGAGTTTCCACTTACACGAGGGAGGTTTCGGAGGTCGCGCTATACCGCAATGGGCGACCCCCGGCGGCCTGACTCGTGCAGCTCCACGCTGCTGGAGGGGTTAGGCAAGGCCAAGCACACACGCCACAACTCCGCTGAGCTGTACCTCCCCCAGCACTACATTGGCCACGGAATCAACATGGCAGAACCCATAGATAGCGCGCTGTCAGCATCTCTCCTCCCCCAGCCTTTGGGCGCGTCGTTGCCAGCTAATACGTGCCAGCGACCTTCTGCGACGGCTGAACCCCAAAGATGTCAAGCAGAACGTCGACAACATCATCGAACTGAACCCCTCCCTGGAAGAGGAGCTGCTCGAATCTGTCGATATCCCACTGTCGGTGAAGAGGTGCTCGTCAACGAAGCGCGATTTCCTGTGCTGCGACTATAACCGAGACGGCGACAGCTGGCGGAGTCCATGGAGCAACAACTTCGAGCCGCCGATTGACGAGGGCATCACGCCGAGCGAACGCATACGGAAGATGGAGATCAAGGCCAACGAGGCTTTTGACGTATACCGGGAGTTGTGAGTGGTCTCAGCTGGAGGAAGACCGGTAGCACCGTGGAGGCACAGCTGACGGGGACAGGTACTTTGAGGGTGGCATATCGAGCGTCTACCTCTGGGACATGGACGACGGCTTTGCAGGCTGTGTGCTGCTCAAGAAGTGTACGTCTGTCTGCGCACAACCGCGCAAAGCATGCTGACAGAGACAGCCGTCAAGGGTGGCAGCTGGGACTCCATCCACGTCTTCGATGCCCAAGACCGCGCGCGCACTGCTCACTACAAGCTCACCTCCACCGTCATACTCTCTCTCGGCACCGAATCGGAAGCACTCGGCGGTCTCGATCTGTCCGGCAACATGGTTCGCCAAGTCGAGCAGGATATGGCTGTCGAAGACGATGGCTCGCACGTCGCCAACATTGGCAAGATGGTTGAAGATATGGAGCTCAAGATGCGCAACTTGCTGCAGGAAGTATATTTTGGCAAGGCCAAGGATGTCGTCGGAGACCTGAGGAGTGAGAAACTGACATGCTGCGTGACTAACTGACGTTCGCTAATGAAACCCACAGGTATCCCACCGCTGAGCGTGACAAATCGAGACAGGCAGACACAGCGAGAGATGATTAGTAGTATGAGCAGGTAGGATGGGCTCTTCTACGACGACATAAAGACGGTCCCAAGCTTAACAACACCCACGACGAAACGACTGATATCTTCATCTGGGACTCCAGTCACCAGCGCCGTGAGGACCGGGCTGCTGTGCGGATTCTCACCTCGATGTAGTTAAAGGCAAGCATACAGCTGGTCGCTCGCAGCAGCAATGGACACAAACGCTCCCAGGCTTGAAAGTCTCTTAGCCGACAGCTCTACATCATTATTGATCCTAAGATGCAACTTTTCTGGTCCATGACACTTCCCGATTTTTATTGACAATACCAACTAGTCTGGTGCAATGTGCTCGTAAGACAGGATTTGAGTACTGTGTATGATTGCGCTTGCCGGCAGCTAGACCGGGGTTAGAACGCTAAAGCGGGTGGCTCCTTCTCCCGGATATCCACCCCTCTTCTTCCATAGATCCCCTCCAAGAAGAGACAATGTCACGCTTGACACTATGTTTGTTGATGACGCACGAAAACACAACCATAGTTCAATTGCCGTGCATCAGTTATAAGGTCACGCTGCGCTTTCCCTGGACATTACCTGCATTACCGACTGCGCGGCTTCCCAAAGCCGGTAGCCTCACATCCAATATGTCGCAAATTATCGTACACGAGAAGTGCCCAGACCACCTCGATTGCTGATCGACATTAAGTGCAATGCGCTATTCACTGACTTCGATTTCTCGTCGACATACTGCGCAGGACTATGAGAACATTTGCTATTGAGAGGTTTCTCCATTGACGTGAACGATGACTACTCCGGCGTCCCTGCTGTAGTCCTTTTCAGCCTAACCTGCATGGTTGCTCCGCGGTTTCATCTATACAGTTACACAATCTCAAAGCTGTATCCCCACGATGGATCCACCCACCGGACCTGGCAGAATGCCTGCGCAGATCTCCGGCTGACTTGTATACAGCTCCTATATTGGGGTTACCATACAACGTCAACGAGCAAAGATTAGCGCTAGGACCGTCTCTTCAAGTCCAATGACACAGTCCCCGGAGGCGACACTAAAGTATCCCAAATTTCTAACATGCTCACTTCAATTTCAGGGGAAACAGTCCAGAACGAAGCGGACCCGAAATCGAAAATCGCCACCCATGCGCTGCATACGAGGTTGGTTCTTCGTGCTGTCGGTCCAACATGGCGTTTCACTACAATATTGATGAGCGCTCCACCTTTGACCGCGAGCTGTCCCGGGTTGCACTCAACACTCGGACGGTATGACCCGCCTTTGGGTTTCGGACCTGACATCTTTCCCCTCTCGAGCTGAGAGCAGAGCACTGCGCCTCTCTTGATGAGCCGAGTATACGACACAATGTCCGAGCAAGTACGACAACAATCGACATCTGTACAGAAATCCCCCAAAATACGCTTGAATAGGTAAACTGTTGTATTGATTCTCAAACCTACATTCTGCTGTATGACTTTCGCTTTCGTGAGCGGAGATTGTCTGGGGCCATCCCACTCTTACACACATGAGACATTCATTCATTACCTTCACAATTTGACAAGAATACGACGTCAAAACACTCTCATCGCTTTATCACGTTGAACGAAGCTTTTCCGTTAAAAATATGAAGGCTTTCTTCGCGATACTCCTTACCGGACTCATTGGGTCCTGTGTCTCCGGTCCTATCAACGATCTCGTGGGCAGAGGAACGTCCATCATCCCAAGCGCTGCTCCCACACCTACTCCTACACCCCAGCCAGCCGATGTTTTGCGTGTCGACAAAAACAAACGATCCAAGAATGTGCATAACTTTTTCAAAGCTTATGGCTGGTTGAAGAAGGATGGGACCATTCCAGACTCGAAGCTGCCTGCTGCAATACGTAAGATCCAGAAGGTGCTAAAGGTTCCGGAGACGGGAGTATACGACGTGCACTTAGACACAGTCATGAGCAAGCCACGCTGTGGAACAATACCCCAGTACAACCCATCTGAATCTCTGGACAACAGTACCTTGCAGAGTCGCTATGTCTTGTGGGGGCCCAAATGGGACCATACTTCGATCACATATCGCTTTGTCAACTACACGGCCGACTTGCCTCCTGCACAGCAACGTTCGCTTGTCAGGTAAGCCACCCTATATCCGCGGACTCTTTTATCTACTTCCCATCTGAGATCGCATGGCCCGTTCACTAATTCTTATCAGTGCTGCATTTGCTCGTTGGACACAAATAGCGCCACTAACTATCACCGAAGCTCCGTCAAGCACACTACGAGCTGACATATACATCCGCTTCATGTCAATGGGCCCTACCGAGGATGTCTACGCGTTCACAAACATGATAGCAGATGGTCTGGCTCTGTCGTCCGGTCTGATAAATATCACATTCAATGACGACTTCGCGTGGAATGACGACCGGCTCTTCAACTATACCGCAGTTCACGAAATCGGCCACGCTCTCGGGTTGAGCCACAGCAAAGTTGAACCAGCTATCATGTTTCCCTTCTTCGAGGGCGTCATTCGCCCCATCCACCCCGACGACCAAGCTGGCATCCACAGCGTCTACGGCTGGAAGAACCCACGGTGGAGCAGAATCGACAGCAACGTCGCGAGTAAGGGCGTCATCCAGATCTCGTCTGCTTCTGGTGCGGTCAGCACCCTCGATGGACTCTACCAGCTGCGATCCACTGGTCAGATCCTCCGGTACAATCCCTCTGGTACCTGGACGTCCGTCGATAACAATAAAGACACGATCCAGATCTCTGGCTCCAACAACTTCCTCTACCAGCGCCATACAGATGGTACGATCTGGAAGCTCACCGCGGGCAGCTCCACCTGGCAGCAGATCAGCCCGGCCTCCTCCAACGTCATCGACATCTCCGCCGCCGCGGACCAAGTCTATATGCGCCGCAAAGACGGCTGGGTCGCGCGATACTCCGGCTCCGGCCAGACCTGGCTCACCATCGCGCAGCCTTCCGCGCCCGGCTCCCGCCAGCTCGCCGCTTCTGACTCCGCAACCCTCTGGAACCTGCTCGCCAACGGCGACGTCGTGCGCTCCGAGTACCCCTACACGTCCGACGGGTGGCAAGTTGTCGACTCAAACCCGTCGAACATCGCGATCGCCGTTGGCGGGGAGGAGTTCTACAAGCTGCAGAGCGACGGGAGCGTCGTGTGGCTCGACTCGACGGAGTGGTTTTGGCGGACGATCGAGGAGGGTGGGAGTGTGGCGGTGTACGCGGTCGGGAGCTTTGTGTATAGTCGGCATGAGGATGGGAGTGTGTGGCGGTATACGGGGTCCCCGGGGGTGTGGGAGATGCTGGATGGGCGGGCGGATGCGGTGGTTGTGGTTGGGGATCGGAAGGGGGGCGTTTGGGAGATGGTTAGTGGAGGAGATATCTACAGGCTTGTGTCGTAGCGACAGGAAGGGCCGTGCTGTTCCACAGATTCTTCAGGGGACGCTCGGAGGGTTATGTTGCTCGTCTCTGTATCGGCTTCAAGACGTGCCCAAGGTAGTGTGTGCGGAATCGCAATGCTCTGGCTTAAGGTAGTATTGAGTAGTGGTGCGCGCGCCGGCCAATGGTGCTGGGGATGGAACCATGGATCCGGGACACGGAGGCTCGATATTCTAGTCTTGGAGTTCACCTTGTCCTAAATCTGGCTCTGGGTGCCGTTTCCTGTCAGGTAGATAAGGCCCATGAAAACATGAAACAGCATTGTATTGACAAAGTTTGGATGTTGAAGAGTGGGTCTTGATGTTGCCGAGGTGAGCAGTGGAGCCCATAACGGCCGCTTCCGCACGGGATGTACCGTGGGCCTGGCGCCGCAACTGGAGTTGGGTCACGGGTCCGCTCGCCGTCACAGCACGGGCCATGCATGAACGATACCGTGTGATGATCTAAGTAGAGTAAGTATGAAGATGCAGTTGCCAGCCGGCTTGCGCCGGCTAGGTTCTAAAATAGTCAATGCAGCAGAGTTTTCTTTTAAAAACCGTGTAAGTGTCGTTCGTCTGGAAGCCATAGAAGAGATTACCTGCTCGCTGCCAGGCGGAGTGACGCCATGCAGGTCGTCGCCAGCACACCACGGGACGGGCGCCGTCTTGCAAGAGATTGACAGGCACAGCAGGATTCTCCAGACCACCGGCAAGCTGCCGAAGCGAGGGTGTGCTGGAAGGTTTAGGGCGGCCGCTTTGTTTCAGCCTTGGGGTCTTTGGATGATGCGGGGCCCCGGACTCGCTATTTCACCGGGTCCCAAACTTTCGTTATCGATTGCAAATAGATACCTCGCAACTGTGGCTCAGCATCCGACTTCGCCGAGCGCTTCAGAGTATCATACTCCAGCTTGCGGCAGTCGAATGCACCAGTTCGCGGGTATGCGAGATGCGTTTACCGAGAACAACATTCGATTGATAAACAGATTATGGGACGAAGTGGCCGTTGAGTTTGCTCTGGATAGCCTTGCGATGCATACGCGCAACAAGCCGTGTTTCGCTCACATCTGACAAAACTCAATCAGGGCCTTCCTTTGTGGCAATAAGTGCTGGGAGTGGCCAATCCCTTACAAGATCTACTTCCAGGTGAATATCAGCTGCACGCTTCGCCCATTATATTCGGCCCGGCGGATACGCAGCATCTTGTACCTGCTTTACCAGTATCGCGCCACTGGTCGATTTAGCGCAGCGTTAGTCACTGACGACGCACGTACGTGCATCCTGCTTGCATACCCGTAGGAGGTGGACTCATGGCACTCGGGGAAGTGCCCTCTTGAGTCTGCCCGGCCCTGCATAGAGCGAGAAAACTCTGCACACGCTGCTCCAGTCCCGCGTCTGCTGTTCCCGACGGCCTTGTGTGCACCGGCGGCCTACAAGACGTGGCCCCGTTTCGACAACTGGTCCACATGCTATTAGTAAAGATGTGAATGACACGCTGAGATTGGTGTGCCAGAAATGGGGCCATGGAACGCGTTGCGCGGCGGCACGACATCTCACCTTCGTTGCAGCAAGCTGTGTTCAAGTTTCCAGCGCCTATTCTTTTGAGTTCTCGCAAAGCAGTCGGGTTTGCAAGACTCTTCCCGGAAGCCTCACGACCACAATCTCACTAATAGTCTATCAGGCACCACTGTTGAAAATGGCAACGCAATGTTCTTCTGTCACTCCCTATGATATGGTGTCATACATTGACATCAGTTCTTGCGCTTACACAAGGCCCGCCCTGACTAGTAGCCACAGAATCTACCACACTAGACTAGCTCCCGGCCACCTTGACGTTCAAATTTCTGTTTCTCACAAGGCGCACTACGGTATGGAAGAGGGTCGTGTACCTGCATGAACTCGATTACCCAGTTCGGAAAAGGGACGAAGTAGCGAGCCATTCTGCCTCAACCAAGTATGCAAGCCAGCCTGGGTGCCATCTCCAAGTACAAATAGACCTTTCGCTCTCACAACTTGCCCATCGTCTCACACCAACACTTCTCATCACTCCAGTCCCATCGAGATACAGATCGACAGTCAAATTCCGTCAGGATTGATTGACTTAACAAATCAATATCATACTCGCACCAAATTCTGCCCTTCTAATATGGCTCCAGTGCTCCCATACAACATGCACCCAATCACAACTCCCACCATCTCCTACAACATCACTTCAAATGCCTCCCACAATGGCAATCTGCCGCCAAACCAACAGTGGGGTCCGAACGGGAGTGACTGGATCAATGTTGCGATTGGTGCTGCCGGGATCTCAGTTGCTGTGTTGGCGGTGGTACTTGACCACAGAGTCCGAGGTATCTTCGATCGTCAGTCTCTGAACGTACCACAGAAGGTATATAGCTAAGATCATGGATAGCAAGTCCAGTAACGGGGCTAGGTGCGATGATTCCGAATGCACTGTGTGCCATTTGCAAGAGGAGCGGAACCCGTCCAGACGAAGACGAGAATTGAAATTGATCGAGCGGTATTTCAGGATCTACCAGTATGACAAGGAGTGCGGGTACAAGGCGTTGGTCTCATTTTTTCCAGTGACATTCTTTTCAGCGATGTTTTATCAGCAACTATTCTTGCGATGTCTTCTCCTCCTTTGCGTCCTTCGGTTATTGCCCAATAGATCCAGTCACAGCCGATCATGTCTACGTCGTCCCTTGTGCGCAGTTGGTCAGAAAGGCCCGCCGTACCGCTAGCGTCGCCGCTCGTGCATTAGCGAGCCCGCCTCGTCCGCCAGTTATCCCTGCTATGACCTACAGAACGCCTATCAAGCATGTCTTTTGTAAGCTTTCTTTCATCGGATGTGCGGGGACGAGCGGGCTCGGGGTACGCACGTTGCTCAGACCCGCGGTCGTGGAGTTAAGCACTGAGATGTGGTGATGATGGTGGTACATAAGACAGTGCGAGCGCTGGTAGGAGGATACATCAATCCATTCAACTCATTCAAGTCTAAGTTCAATCGCAATCAGCTCTTCAATATCAAATACACTCACACATCTTTTAATTCCAACACCCTAACAATGGCCCACCCCAACCGCCTCCAAAATGCCCGCGTCCTCGTCTTCGGTGGAACCTCAGGTATCGGCTATGGCGTCGCCTCCATGGCCCTCTCCAACGGTGCTATCGTCACCATATCCGGCTCTGCGCAGCCCAAAGCCGACGCCAAAGCGGCAGAGCTACAGTCACTGTACCCGTCGGCCAGCGTGCGCGGCGTCGCTCTCGACCTCTCCGACACCGCGAACCTCGAGGCCAATTTGAAAGCCCTGTTCGAAAAGGTTACCAACGGCGGTGAGCAGAAGCTTGACCATATTGTTCATTGCGCAGGCGACGCGCTGTTCCTCCCCAAGATCCACGAAGTCAGCGCCGACAATGCACTTCAGGGGTTCAACGTGCGATGGTTGACTTCGGTGCTGATCGGAAAGTTACTCGCTACGGGAACGTATATGAACGCGGCTACCAGTTCGTCCTTCACGCTCACTGGTGGAACCAACACCACGAAGCCGATGGAGGGGTGGTCTATTGGGGCCTCGTGGGGCGGCGCGTCGGAGGGCCTCATGCGCGGCCTTGCCGTGGATCTGAAGCCCATCCGCGTGAATCTGATGGCGCCAGGTGCGATTGACACGCCGCTGTTCCAGAAGTTTGTAGACAACGTGGGGAGGGAGAAGGAAGCGGAGATCAAGAAGGCGTACACGCTATTGCAGACATGGGGGGATGTGAGGGATATAGCGGAGGGGTATGGGTGGTTCATGCGGGACCACTATGTCACAGGGACGATTGCGAGTTCGGATGGTGGAAGGCTGTTGAAGTAAATGGTGTCTGTGCTAGGGGAGTTGTCAATATGAGCTGAAAATAGAATCGATATAGACATATTTACTTTGTTCGTCTTCACGACATTGTCATGCCCAGCTTCGCGACTTCGTCCTTTACGAATCCCCACTTGGAGCAGTCGGCAAGCAATCCCCTATATCCTCTTTCTCTCAGACTGAGGAGCTCTTCCTGGCTCCTTTCTCTGTCGCGTTTCAAGGCTATGGAAAATTTCAGTCCTATCACACTGAAAACGTCATTCATTCTCTCAAAGACCAGCTCGAGGAAGTCGATATCGTTCTTCAAGCTGTCATCGTCTTCTAATCGGTGATGGATGATCAGAACGCAGCATGCTAACTCACTCAATCAGTAATCTTCTTTGCTTTTTCAGCTACGAAAACTTACCCATGTAGAGCGATGACGCAATATGTACATTGAGTAGCAAATCGATGGATGTTCGAGAGGCATTTTTAATTGTTTGAGAAGTCGTTTTAGCAGCCATTACGGTCTTGCTGAAGAGCTCCTTGATACCTTGGGAATTCGAGGATGGGACAGCTCGATAATGCAATAGCAGCAAGATAGTGTTTAAAGTAGCATCAAGCCAGACCACCTGACCTCGGTCTTCCGGTGCTGCCTCTAAGACAGAAGAGGCGGCACGAGGCATACTGAGTCGCAACTTCAGAACATGGGTGTCTAACTCCTCGCATTGTTCCGCGTATTCTGGGCTACTAGGGTTGTCGTGAATGGAATGTACGAGATCTGCAGTACGACCGAGCAAGACGTACGCGATGATGAGGTAGTGAAACATGTTGAGTGGAGTTCTGGCTTGCGATGCAGTGGTCAACAAGCTGTTCACACTTCTAGTGAACGGAACATTGACAACACTATCCAGGTTCGTTTCGAGGCTCATGGCCTGGAACACAGAGTCAGCAACGGGAATGTCAACCTTGAACTGCCTCTCATCAATTGCGCCCGGCCAGCCTGTAGGCCACGACTGGTTTTTGTCCATGAAGAAAAGTATCCAAAGGACTCGTCGACATTCTTCTTCCTCGATTGCCTAAAACACCGCTAAGTCATATTCTTCGTAGGGTTGATACAAACGTACTGTTCTACCTTCCCATTCCACTCGATTGTAGAAACCACGACGCTCACTTTCTATGCCATCTTTCAACCCTACAGGCATTACTACAGCATGCTCAGAGTCCATACGATTCATGCCAAGCGCTGCAGCCTGCCTCCACGCTTTCCCAATGTCAAGCCAACAAGCAGAGAAGTCGCCACAACTGTATGCGTGATACACCAGAAAGACTACGGCTTGTAGCGTGCGTAGCGCAGGGTACGGGTCTCGTCCGGTGATGTCGTATAGAAATTTGGCTTGGTCGTACCATTCGGTGCGGCGGGCTTTGATGGAGGGGTCGCTGTGATGGCTCGCGGCCACGGAAAGCATGGAGTAAAGTAGAAGAGGTGAGTGTGCCTGTATATGCCCACTCTGAATCTCGTCCATTAATGTGTCTTTGTGGAAACATGGCAGAACAAAGTAAATTTGATTGAAGAAAATCTCCACCAACTCGATGATGACGGCGTCCGATGGAAGGCAAGCTTCTGAAAACATTGCAGGCTCGCTATATTCTCTGGTAGGAGTGCGCATAACATCGATATTGGATACAGGCGTAGGATAGACATCTTGGGAAACGGTAATAGGTTGCAGCACGTCAAGCCTAAAATCAGGAAGTTGCAATGGAAGGGTTGGGTCCCAGGTAGCAAACGATGAAACAGGCTGCCTAATGCTGTCGATGCTCTGGTAGTTAGGAAAGCGATTGTCGCCGTCCGTATGAAGTGATGCTGGGACAGCGTATTCACAACGAATATTCCATTTTCGGCATAAGCCGCAAGAAGGTCGTTCTCCCTGACATGAAGTCAGCATCATCCCCTGGAAGATTTTTAAGGCAGATATCGCTCACATCGCACCTCCTTTTACGTTGGCGGCAACTCTGGCATGCTTGCTTCCTCTTCGACACGGACGCAGGTACCATTAGGGATTGCATGTCAGGCTATAGAAATAAGCGCATCTGTCAGCTGGCAGTGTAGACTGTCATGTCATACAGTTCGTTCCAAATAGGACTCAAATGGCCCGAGGTAGGAGTCGCTCAGGTTGCGATAGCTGACAATACCTGGTGTGGAGAGAAGGTCATTCTACAACATTGTGAGATGAGGTAACGGTGCTGACTAATACGGTAGTCATTTGGGTTGCGAAATTAGCGCACTTCTTAGCGCCCCCCACCGCGGATACCTATAGTATCTTCCAACTTTCAACAGCATTGAAAACCAAACAAAATGGAGCACCATATCAACGAATTGGGACAGGATCATACCAGCCACTTAACACAAAATGAATATCTTTTCATGTACAAGGAAATGCTTTCTTTCCGCTGACCTCACACCTGGGAACAACCACTGCGCGTACGTCCCATGCCTCACATGGCTCCGGCACGGAAACGAACCAGAATGAGGGTATACACTACTCTGTCTTAATTCACACCAACTTTATGCCCACGCCTTCAACGTTGTTATCTTCAAGAAATAAGTCGTACTTGGATGTCGCTCCAGACTTTTGAAGGCCTGTTTCCGATACACATGGAAGTTGATGATTTCGAAGCTTCGTAAGCCCTTGCTCCAAGGCTTCCAATCACCATTGCTGTGAGTTTGTCAAAGCCTGCTTTGCCGGAAGCTTTGTTGGAAGATGCTCTGATATCTCCAAGAGTCGTTGCTCTAACATCCTCGAAATCCGTTGCTCCATGGCGACCAAGATTGGTTTTTCCATGGCCGCCAATAGCTCTTGCCTTGGGGTTCCCGATAGACGTTGCTCCATGACTTGCAATAGCCACTGTCCATTTGTTCGAGGTTTTCTGATGCTTGTTGCTGTAAATTTCTCAACTGTTGGTTCATATCTGCCATCATATGCTGTGCCAAAAGTTCCAATAGTTGTTTCACCAAGGTTTCCAGTGGTTGCTCTTCGAGCGTGTTCAATAGTTGTGCTGACGTGGATTCAGAGCTGAGATTTGAACTCAGGGCTTTAGTTGCTTCTGTTTCCCAACGCTCGAACGCGAGCTCGAGGGTTTTCAGTCGTGTATTTAAGGCACGGAGACAGCTCCCATCCCGATTTTTCTCTACAACCTTGTCCAGCGGACCTGAGTTCTCCGAGACTTGGCAGTTCCTCTATAGATCCGGAGGTGAAACAGAGCGTATTTCTTTCTGCGAGGGGGAAAACGACTTCTTTCTCAACCCTTTCTTGGAGTGTCGTAACGCTGGCTTTCATCTGCCCAGCCTCTTGGGCTATGTTTCGAATGTTCCTGTTACGGTGAATGTGGGCGAGCATGATCAAAGCTGGGACGAGTACATGGCAATCACCTGTGAGTCTCATGTGGTCGGTGGCCATCCAGGAGCGCTAGGAAGTCTGGTGTTGAAGGAAGCTGGGAACACTTTATTCAGGATGCGCGACCTAATGAAGAAGAAGAAGAAGCAAAAGTAGATGAGTATACGTGTCGCAGCGTACCAGGCCTAAGAGTGTTGATGCGTAGTCAGTCAGAGCTAGGTGGTTCATCGCATAATAGTGGCGGTGTTTCGTCCTTCAGCTTGTGCAGGGTGCACTCACATGAAAGGTGCGCTTGAGAAGTCTACTTTATTGTGTCAGCCACTATGCGTCGCTGAGTGTGAAAAGACGCGACGCGTCAGAACGCTGTCGTCATTGGCTCGACTAGCGTCTCACGTGCTCACGCGCGTTCTTGGCAGGCACGACCCGTGAACTACCATTTTGCCTCCCGCTTCCTGAACATTCATACACGCAAACGTTGCGGCGATGTGACACACCAACACTCGATGTTTCGAAATCCACGTGAAAACCGAACGCTCCCTTTCACGTCCCACATTACGCCTTCGACAGGCCGCCCTCCTTCGCCGCCCCGCACATCCACTACCGCTCCTCCGACGATGGCTGCTAAAGCGACACCGAGAAAGCCTGCGGCCAGACCGAAAGCTACCTCCTCACAGAAGAAGAAGGATGATTCGAAGCAAACGACCCTGGTGCCGACCGATTGGGGAAAGAGAGCGGCGGCGAACAATGCACGAGTGAAGCCAAAGGCGACACCGAACGGCAACATCCTGGCCTTCTTCAAGAAGGCCGAGGAAGAAAACAACAAGATATTCTTACCGGACCGCAAGCTTGACCCCAAGATTCTTTTGAACGACGCCGGTGAGGTCATTGGATGGAGCGATGAAGCCCAGGACAGTGTCATGAACACAGATAGCAGCGCGGAACGGTACAATGAGAACGGCGGAAGCATCAAGAAGCGTAAGATGAGTGAAGAAGCTCCAGAGTCAACATGTTCACTTACGCCGCCGGAAGCGGATGTGGCGGCAGCGAAGCCTCCACCAGTCAACACGGTGGAGAAACCCATACAGACGCGTAAGAAGATTGGTCCTTTTGCGGACGATTCAGATTCAGAGGCGGAAGAGGAAGCCCCGTTTACGAATAGAGGTACGATTACGCGAGAGGAAACAAACGATTGCGATGAAGATTCTAAACCTTTGGAGGATCCGGAATCCGCAAATAGCCTTTCGCTACCCATCAATCACGTACCGCCGCTGCTCAAGACCGAAGAAACTTCGCAGTTTGGCGAAGAAGATCCCGAGGATTTTGAAGATCTAGAAGACGAAGATCTACTAGAAGGCGAAGAGTTCGACGAGCGGCGATGGATGAAGGAGCAACAGAGACTGGAGATGGCTGAGGCCGGCTACGAGGGCGATCCAGATGACTTTGAACCGCCTTCACTGTTCCCAGACGACAGTATGCTGGAGAATGAAGACAACGATGCTGATGCACCATCATGTCCGTTGTGCAGCGCACAGTTGATTGGCTTGTCGGAACAGGATGTTTCTCAGCACGTCAATGCGTGCCTAGATGGGAATCCACTTCCGCTACCTAAACCAAAAGGGCCCGCAAAAGAGGCTACCCCAATAGTGACCAATGCGAAAGCCTTCAAGCGGCCTGCACGTCCACCAAAACCTGGTCAAGAGAACCCTTTCCAGCTAGGCGAAGCGAGCGGTGCACCCAAGTCAGCGTTTTCCAAGCTGATGTCTGGTCATGCTGAAGATACTGCGTGGGCTAACGCTGCTGATGCCGAGAAGGCAGCACGGGGCAAACCATCCTACCAACGGACTTGTCCTTTCTACAAGATCCTTCCCGGCTTCTACATTTGCGTAGATGCATTCCGCTATGGCGCCGTTAAGGGGCAAAATGCATACTTTCTCAGTCATTTCCACAGTGACCATTATATCGGACTGACTGCCTCATGGAGTCACGGCCCAATATATTGCAGTAAGGTAACAGGAAACCTAGTTCGGCAGCAATTACGCGTGGATCCAAAATGGGTGGTAGACCTGGACTTTGAAAAGAAAACCGAAGTGCCTGGGACTGCAGGCGTTCATGTCACGATGATATCAGCAAACCATTGCCCTGGAAGCTCGTTGTTCCTTTTTGAGAAGGAAATTGGAAATGGAAAAGGCACACGATTACAGCGTGTGCTGCATTGCGGCGACTTCAGAGCCTGCGAGGCCCACCTGGACCATCCACTGCTGAAGCCTGATGTGCTCGACGCTGTAAGTGGGAAGAACAAGCAGCAGAAGCTCGACGTGTGTTATCTCGACACTACCTACCTCAACGCGAAGTACGCTTTCCCACCACAACAGCAAGTCATCCAAGCATGTGCAGATATGTGCGTAAGCCTCAGCAAAGAGAAGGTCGACGAAAGCGACGCCTTCGAAAAGATGAAGAAAGAGCGCGCCGGTGAAGGTATGGTCAAGTTCATACAGAAGGCTAGTGAGGTCGGAGCCGGCATCGACGGCGTCGAAGCGGCTTCAACGAGTCCTACGAGGATCGGAGGAAACAAGCCACGAGGCAAACTTCTCGTTGTAGTGGGGACCTACAGCATCGGCAAAGAGCGTATTTGCATTGGCATCGCCAACGCGCTCGGCAGCAAGATCTACGCCCCAGCCAACAAGCAACGAATTTGCCGCGCGCTCGAAGACCCTGAGCTCGACGCTTTGCTCACGTCCAACCCACGCGAAGCGCAAGTCCACATGACCCCACTCTTCGAAATCCGCGCGGAAACCCTCGACGACTATCTCCGCGATTTCAGCGACTGCTTCTGCCGCGCCGTCGGCTTCCGGCCGTCGGGCTGGAACTACCGCCCACCCACGAGCCGCTTCACAGAGTCCCCCTCCGTGCAAACTGTTCTCTATTCGCAGAACTGGAAAAGCCCGTTTTCGATGCGAGACCTGACCCAGCAACGCGGCAGCACGAATCGCGCGAAGTGCTTTGGCGTGCCGTACAGCGAGCACAGCAGTTTCAGGGAACTGACCATGTTCTGTTGCGCGCTGAGGATCGACAAGATCATTCCCACGGTGAACGTGGGGAGCGCGAAGAGCAGGGAAAAGATGAAGGGGTGGTGCGAGAAGTGGGCTGCTGAAAGGAAGAAGAATGGGCTGTTCACGCTGGGAGAGGGTCGCGGTTCATGGTAGCAGTCCGACCATGATTCAACGAAATATCAATGTGCCAACTACGTTATCTTATCAATGAGAAGTGCACCGATAAAGAACACAGCTATTCGAGTCTCAGTTCTGTCTGAACTCTGATCCAAGGATGTTCCTACTCCTCCCATGCCGACCTCGAGTGCGTTACGCAACTACGATTGAGGGACATCCCAATGAGCCTAATGCAAGGTATAATCATTGCCACCTGACACCATCCCGCCCTGCGTTGTAGCCTCCACATGTTCCCGTTACAGTCGACCTAGTGATAAGCGACCTAACCAGAAAAAAGGCATCGATCGTAAAAGTGGAGTGTTCCGAAGATTCAGGACAGGTGATTGGTGCTCACTCTTGGCCGGCCGGCCATCGCAAGACTCTACGATATACGCTACTTCCCGCATTAACGGTCTGGATTAGAAAATCCAGCTCGGTTGTGATGTTTTCACTAATCATTGTTAGTAACTCTTAACTTCTCGGCTACGACTCGGTTCATAACAGCCTCGGTACATCATGAAAGTGTACTAAAGGTATGCGAAACATATCGATTGCCTCTACATAGATTATGTTACTTACGCAATCAAGACTTGCAGACCTTCCGTTCTCTACCATTCTCTACTAAAACAAGGCAACACGTGCGCCAATCCCACCGCTGCAATCACCATGCCAGATTTCGCGGAAACTCTGTCTGATCAAGTTGCTGTGTCCGCGCTCGAATATGATCGCTTTGTCTCGGTTTACAAACCCGAGAGCATGGGCAACACAGCTAAGATCGCGTATGGTGGTTGCGCCATCGCTATCGCCATCTCAGCGGCATACCAGACCATGGATAGCCAATATTCTCTTTATACTGCAATGGGTCATTACCTCGGGCCCGCATTGGTTGACCGGCCGCTCTTCGCAGCTGTGCGTCGGATAAGAGACACCAGAACTTTCGCAACGCGTCAAGTGGAGATCAGTCAGATACAAGACAATGGGAGCGCGCGAGTCTGCATGATAGTCTCAGTGGATTTTCACACGAAGGAGAAGGCTTCTCTACTCGAATACTCTGCGTCGCCGTCCATTCGGTATCAGTCGGTTGAGGCCCTACCAACAGTGAAGCAAGCGAGTGAAGTTATGATCGCCCAAGGGAAAGTGTCGAGGACCACTGTTGATTTCAACGAGAAGCAATACGCGTTGAGGGAACGGCTTGTAGAGTCGCGCCCTTGTCCTGAGGGGATGGCGTATCAAACAATGAATGGCGAGATCAAAGTGCCTACTACCCAAGACAACCTACCTCTAGTCGATAGGTTTTCAGGCGACTATTTCAAGGCCAAGCACCAACTCGCGAATCAAGCTGAACAGATGGCCGCATTGGGATTTATCATGGACGGAGCTCTGTCTTTTATTCCGCTTACACATTCTTCGATGTCGCTGAGAGATGCCGCCGCTTGTTCGAGTCTGGATTTCGCGTTGAGAATATTTACCCACGATATTGATATCAATGACTGGCATTTCAGAGAATTCAAGACTGTGGTTGGTGGCGAAGGCAGAACGTACTCAGAGTCCAGACTTTGGGATCGGGCGGGCAAAATGGTCGCAAATATGACGCAGCAATCCATATTGCGGTCATTCGTACTACAACCGAAGGCATCACTGTAAAACAGTCTATGACACGGGCTTCGTGAATCATCTCCACTTTATACACAGCCACTCTGTACGCAGGGTTGTTTTGTAGGCATTGGAACACCATGCCATTACAAGGACCACAGAAACAGAATCAAGTCTCATTGAAACCGACCTACGCATTGCCTATGCCGGAGTAACACACCGTACTCAGACTTTTGTCCTGGTACTGTAGCTGGTATAGAGCAGTGTCTATAAATAGAGACGTTACTTTCTCGTATTTATTTGATCATCGAGACATCCGATACAGATGCATGGCCAACTGCTCTAATGTTGACCGCGTCTACTCGGGTACAGTTGTCGTTGATTGCACAAGTGCAGAAATATGGTCCCGCACCCCTACTAAAGTGGAGTTGCCGCCATGACAGCGCTGTCCGCCGTTCCGCTTCCGCTCCGCTTCCGCTTTCGCTTCGTAGAACTGACTCGATTGTGCGGCTGTGATAAGCCTGTCTGGATGAACGTTTGTACTGTTTGCAAGCTGACGTTCGGCTCGCCGTGACAAGGGGCTGCGGTCGAGGAAACGATGGCGAAAGGTACTTTCCATAATTCGTGTATCGGATTATGACGTTTGCGGAAGTGAAGACCTCGCGATAGTGCGACGATGAGCAAGTTTTATGGTCCGAAGAGACAACTGATCGGGGCCATTTGGCTGAGTCTCTCGACTGCGGGTGTCAGCGTAAAGCTCATAGCAGACAGAAAATATTAGTGTGTAGCTGGACGCCTTGGGAACCTGGACACCAGCCTGTGCGATCGACTCCGTCTGTTCACTGTCAAGTTGTGTACCTTGTAATGATTTCACATTCACGATGCGCAGCTGTGACGAGCATCGTGAAGGGTTCCGCGCGGAGAGACCTCCGCTGGGCGATAGCAGAGTCTCAGAAGCCGCGTATGGAAGAATGAGGCAGTAACAGCACCTCTCACGATGCTGTTGTCGCCCACGTGCTCACCTTCCATAACAGTCCGCTTAGCACACTTGCAGCTAGCGCGCGGCTGCGTTACGAAACCGGTCCGCGAAACCGCCAAGTGCGCTTCAGACACTCTGCTATTCCTCACACTCTTGGTATATATCCTGCGCAGCGCCTGTACTCGCCGTGGAGGTGCTTCGCGCTCCGCAAATACGAGTGCTCAAAATGTCGCGACAGTTCGCCAGCTTACGTTCCATCTCAAAATGATATTATCTCGCGAGAAGTCGCAGACAAACGTAGTCAAGGAACGCAGGTCAGAACAAGCTCATGTTCAGCCAAGGTACGTTGGTTCTCCTGCGCGCTCCCACCCCTTCCAAGCGTTTCTCACGAATGCTAAGCCTCTTGACAGCTGACAATCGCTGCCTGACACGTCCGTCGCGCTCGCCCAAGAAATGGGAAGCCTGGGACAAAACATCCGGGCGGACGACGCCTGCGTGCACTCACAGGTTCGTCCCGCAAAAGATCCTATGGTCGCTCGGCATGATTGGCGCCCACGGCTGTTCGGCCCCAGAAAGGTTCACCCAACCCAAAGGTCGTTAGAGGACAGCCGAATACAGGGCGCTGTAGCGCGACCCAAGAGAAAAGCTGCCTGGGGACAAAACGCCTGGGCATGTTGTGGTTCATGTGCAGCCACGGCTTGATCGACTGAGACGGTTAACCTATCCTGTGTGATGGGTGACAATGACCATCAAGCTGTATGCTCAGTTGTAGAGCTGTTACAACGAAGCTGGGCAGCTCTGGGCGTCGAACGTGCACGTTTACCCCTCGCCTTAGAAAAGAAGGATTCTCGAAAGCGATACGAATGAATATGTGGGTATATAAGAGCTGTGCCTTAGGCGGAGCAGAACAGCACGCGCAAACAGTAGTTTCAAACTTCACTTCAAATCAACTTCCTTCGTTCTTCGATTCTGCGACCGGTTCGCTATTTTATTCGCATCTCTCTTTTCTGGCTCCTTCTGAGGTCACCCAAGCCACTTAACTTTATACATTCACTTCTCCGCAAATATGAAGGTTTCTCACATCGGTGTGGCCATGTGGGTCATGACTGGGTCTCAATTTACTACTGCTGCACCCACTTCTGAACTCCTCAACGTCCTTCAGAGCAGAGGACATCAGGACTTGAGTGCTAGAGACCTCTCGGCACTGTTACAGAGCCTTACCGGCGGGTTGGCACAACTCCAAGGACAGGGGGCTGCCGCCGCGGGCCAGCGTAAGAGTGCTCAAGAAGCCGATGCGGAGTCACAGGGCAGCGCAGACAGTGCAGATAGCAACGCAGGTAATGCTGCGCAGGGCGGACAAGCTGCGAAAGGAGGCCAGGCTGCAGAGGGTGGCCAGGCTGCAAAGGGTGGCCAGGCTGCAAAGGGTGGCCAGGCTGCAGAGGGAGGACAAGCCGCAGAAGGTGGAGAAGGAGAAGGCAGTAAGTTCTCCAGACATCGATACCTATTCTCGTGAAGCTAAATATCACCAGATGAAGTCGAAATCGCCGGCACATTCGGCACCGCAGTCGCTGTTGAGGGCGGTGACCTCAAGCAGGATATCCTCTTCACAAAGAGCGTACGTATCTTGCCCGTCTCTCCACCCACGCACAGCCTAACATCCATTCAGACAGTCGGCGCCTTTGAATTTGAGTTCCAGAGTGCCACCGCAGACACTGTCACGGTAACGGAGAATAAGACGCCCGCAGCCCCGCCTACAGGCTTCGAGCTGCTCGAAACGAGTTCATACCAGGTTGCGCTGGCGACGAGCAAAGGCGTGGGGCTAACCCTGTCCAAAATCGACTTCATTTTTGACGCTGCTGGTGAGTACACATATGGTTTGCATCAATGATTGCGTCCTTTCTGACAACATCACCAGCTGCCGGACTCCAGGGCAAAGACGTTACGAAAGCACAAGTCGGAAAATTGTGCGCTGAGACCGGGGCGTTCACAATTTCTGAGACACTGGGAGAGCTGGAGTTTGAGGTCGAGGAGAACGAAGTCACGCTGAACTTGAACAAGGACGTCACTGCTGAGGGCGAGTGGGGTGAGCTTTTTCCTATCATTGTATGGTGATAGTGCTAACAACCATAGGAATCTTCCTCCCTGTTGCCGCCGCGGGAGCTGCCACTGGCAATGAGACAGCCGCTCGGAACGGAACCGCTGCCGCCGGTGAAGGTGCTAAAGGCGCTGCTGGGGACGAGGCCGCCAAGGGCGGTCGGGCCAAAGAGGGCGCCGCTGCTGAGGGCGCGAAAGGCGAGCAAGCGGCCGCCGGAGCAGAGGGTGCCGCAGGGGAGGCCGCCAACGGACGGCAATCTGCTAAAGAGGGTGCAGCTGCTTCAGGCAAAGCCGGCGAAGCCGCTGCCAGCGAAGAGGCGGCGGCTGGCAATAAGCAAGCCAAGGCTGGTGCTGCTGCCGCTGCCGAGCATGCGTAGGCAACTTTGCGTCGATAACGTTTGGAGATACAGGGTGTCGTGGTAGTATTCTCTTTGTAGATATTCGTTCGAGTCACGCCTTTGCCAGAATGTCGAAGATCGCTGAGGTGGCAAAGAAACCAACAAATGCAAATTCGCTTGCCGGATTTTATCCTGGGGTTTTGAAATGTGATGAAAGGTTTCCAGTCTACTGCGCACATTGTCGAAGTCTCGTACATGCCGTGCAGCCACTTACTCTACGACGGTGCCGGCTGCCATTGCAGCAGGCGCTCTATCTCGTCGTCGACATCCTGCTTCCTCTTCTCCCTCCCCTTAGCGTAACCCTGATGACAGATCTCCTCCATCACCCAAACGTTCACGAAGAAATTCTTGAGGGCGAGTGCCTCCTCCTCCTCCTCCTCCTCCCCCATCCACACCACAAACTGGAAATCCAATCCATACCGCTCCAACATGCAGTGCAGCACCCACGGCCCCCTCCACTTCTCCTCCTCCTCATGTGTTTGTGGGTATTTCGAGGCGCTGTAGCTTCTGTCGTAACATCATTTCGATACCCGCGTTGCCTGGCATTCCAAAGTCGATGTCTGCATGCTCGGGGGACGCGAAGGGCTGTGCGGAACGCGCTGGCTCTGTTAAAGTCGGCGACTTTCCAAGCGCAAGTGTGGCGAGATTCAAAAGAGAAAGTGTATTTCATCCTTTGGAGATGAACGAGGGCGGATTCGCGGATGGGTGGTGGCTCCGGTTTGGCGTCGCATGCCTCGATTACGAGAGGTGGGATCGCGGTCGACCTGGGTGTTATTGGTGAATTTTTGATGATGTGGAGGGAGTGGATAGTGTGCGGGGAGCTTTCAGTAGAGAGGGGGATTGAGGTTGTGCGCGAAAGGGCGAGGCGGTAATTCTCCATCTTGTGTGGTGAAGAGAGTGGGACCTATCTTCGAGGCGGGACTTGTAAGAAAAGATTTGAGGGAATTCCTCCGCTTGCTTTCAAGATGAGGAATTTTTCTTTTGTATACGACTGCACTTCAACAATTAACCACCAACCTTGGTACAATCCACGCGCGGCTCCACAATTTGCTCCACAAACCGAGAACCTCCCTCTCATTAACTTGAGTTGCCCAAGGCTCTTTTTCTTTTACAGAACCCCAGATTTGTGGATTAGCACCACATTTCGACGCCCCTTCAACTGTCATGGGTATGTTCTTTCCCCTACCCAGCATACGCCCCCCTTGCACCCACCATCCACCCCAGCCCCACAACTGTCACGCACAACGGCACCACTACATCACCCACCCTTACCGTCCTTCCCACCACCATCTCGCTTCCAAGCAGCCAAATCACGCCCACATACGTCCCTAGCGCGAGGTCATACAGCGCCATGTTGCGGATGTCCCATGCGGTGTAGGCGCGGATCGCGCCCATGGTGATGTTGAGCACACCGTACATGTGCGCGAGGAGTGGCGTGTGTGGGGGGGAAGATGGGCCGGAGAAGGGCTTGAGTGAGGCACGGGGAGAGATGTAGCAGATTGCGCCGTGGAGGGTGGCCATTACGGCTGTCTGTGTGGGGGTTTAGAAGTCAGTGAGTTTGCAAGGGAGACAGAGGCGCATACAAAAAGAATAAAGTATGCGAGGTAGCCGTCTTCTTGAGCCATTATTGTCGAGTTTCCAAGGTCGTATGTAAAAGGCGGTAACTATGTATCGGAAGGAGGTGACTATAAAACCATGAAACAGATCGAGCGAATTACCTCGTAATCGACATTGAAGTGCCCCGATTCACGATGTCGAAATAGAGGTCCGAGCTATATCACGGCCTCGGGAGGCTGTTTAAATATCATGTTGTGCGCCCGAATAAGCCGTAGAGGCGTTCCGGTCGGAGAGCCGTCGTGTGTAATACATTCCGCTCAACATTGTTCCCGTCCGAGGCTGACGCCTCGATAAAGCGAGTGCCCAGTCAGTTTGAACGAGAAATCATTCGTCGTGCGATGAAGGCGTCCATGGACTTGCGTGGCATTCCATGAGTTTAATAGGTATGGTAGCTCCGTAAATGCGGAAGGGGTGCAGCAAGGTCCCAGTCTGCGAAAGTTAGCCTACCTCTTGGACTCAGCGCGAGGCTTATGAGTATGTTCATATCTCTTGAGCTGAGCGCAACAAGAGCACGTTGATCGCGCGAATAAGTTTGGCAGATTTCCATGGTTTCTCAACATCCCAAAAGGGGAAGCCTGCGGCATCCATCGATTGCGGCACCCCTTGGCACATCTCATCCGCCCACTTCGTTACCCGCACCTTGTCATCGTGCCCAACTGAACGACACACGACCTCGGAGCCAGAAAAAAAAAGCCGACTTCGCGCTTCTGGTCCCTTTTATCTTTTCCCTACAATATCATCTCATAACATTCGCGAGAAATGAATTTGTTATTCGAGTTCTGGCAGCGTGTCCTGGTGGCGTTGCCCGTGACAGAGGGCGCCGCAACCAAGCACAGCCCAAGACACGGCAGCGAAAATAGCACCGAAAAGGGTCTGCTCTAGATCCCAAGGCCCTAGGAAAGCTTCAACGTCGTCTTCATGCCGCAAAGGGCAACTGTTGAATGCAGTGGCATGTGCTTGGCGATTGTTCATTCGTTCAAACGCTGCTTAAGATTTGGAAATGTTAGGAGCACCGAAGGGTCCGCCCTGCAACGCACTCGCGCCACCGACAGAGGCATTTAGGGTTCAGTGTGGGAATTTTCTTGACGAGCTGCGACAATAAGGAAGTGCATCTCTCAGGGGAACGATGCAAAAAATTGATGTGAGCAGCGCGCGCAAAGAATTGTACATTGTGCGAGTTCACGCGACCAATCAGATCACGTCTAAAAGGTCTCAACGCTGTGCACCAATCAAATCCCGGAGAACATGCAATTACCACGCCTTCTCGGCCGCAGTCAGCAGGACAGAAGTCGTCCCGCAGCATACTCCCTTCCCTTCAAACCAAACACTCGGTGGTCAGCAAAACATATGATCATGTAGAACTTTGCTGCCTCGCCCCCAACCCACAGGCCGACAGTGACATTCCCCGGTGAGACAGCCCCGCCAGAGCAGAGGTCCCCAGCAACGACCAGATGCAACTGCAACGTGTAGCCCACCACGAACTGCACCGCCTTTCGTGCGTATACGACGCTCTACCAGGCCATGGTTGCGAAAAGCGACAAGCAGCTCTAGCGGGACGCCTGAGTGGTGACGCGCTTGCTGGGGGCCTCAAGCTTTCTTGTTTGCGGGAGGGCTGTGCATGCGGCGTTAGGGCAGCGTAGGCGAGGCTTGTCTGGCACAGTCAGGATGCCCGAGGTGGGTCTTGCAGCGATGAGGCTGATGTGCACTGCTTACCGGGCTGCTGGGTAGGGTCGTCGAGAGGATGCTGGTTGAGGCAGGAGGTGTGTTGTCGTGGGGCCACGATGTCATGAGTGTAGACGATGGGCACGGAGTTGGACTTGTGTGACGTGGACAAGACACTGAGTACGTTTCATTCTGTCGTGTACTGGGACGATCGGCTGTGAATCACGGCCTGTATGACGAAGTGTTTGATGGTACTCTTTCGCCAAAAAGGCAGTCGTGAATTAAAGCACCTGGGCAGGGTTCCCCAGAGCCGCAAGCAACTACGTCCGGGATTCTACATGGCCAGAACAACCGCGGGATTGGTATTACGCTCAGCTCATACTTAACGTTTCAGAAAATTGAGATGGAAATGGTAATAGCCTATGGACTGAGTGGAGCCACGTGAGGCACGGGTATTCGTGGTTGCTCGCTCGGCGAAGGTTTGCAAGAATGGCCATTGTAAGGCTGCGAAGGATGGAGGGAATCCACCAAAGTAATCAATCGCTGACACGCATCCGCCCGCGCCGCTCATCCCAATAAAGCGCGACCCTCACTGCGGCTCCCACAGCAAGGGGAAAGGAGGCACAAGCTTACTCTCTGACCACGTTCGCGCGAGGACGTTCGACGGTCGATTCCCGACCATGCATGACTTTTCGGGCACAGCATGGCAAGCATTCCTCGTGGCTGGGGTTACGGCGGGGGCTCAACGCCCGTATGCTGACAGGCGGCGCATGATTGGGTCGCCAAGGTGCTTGCGCCCCCTAACAAGCCAACCTCTTTTGTTTCATCGCCGCTCGCGCCCCGATTCGGGCACGCTGAAAGGGAAAGGCGTGCGGTGGAGCAGTGGAGCCTCCCGCTAACCCTGCTGCTGCTATTCCTGGGCGGGCTCTGCGGCGAGTGCAATGGTTGGAGGAGGATATAAGGGTTGCGAGTTTCGCTGTGGAAGGCCATCATCACAAAACAACAATCCAGCACATTCACTCCAGCTTCAAACGCTTCGAACATTCGCTGTTTGCTTCTAGCTCGGTTCTTCTGCCTCTAAGTCCTCAACTCCCTCTCTAAGCTTAAGCAACACACTTCCTCTTTCGGAAGACTACAACACCACCACAACAATCTTCAATACCCCACACACCACATCCACAATGAAGGGTTTCACTTTCGCCACTGTCGCCGCGCTCGCCGCCACCACCTTCGCTGCCACCGTCAAGCTCGAGCAGACGGCCTGCATCCAGGCCAACGCCACCTCGCTCTCCCAGTTCGACGTCGAAGTCGACAAGCTCACCGTCGTCAACCTCGACTCCGTCTGCGGGCTGAAGCTCGTCTCCGCCGACGGCGCCGACGTCAAGGCCATCAAGTGCCAGGCCTACATCGACGCCGAGGGCAAGAACAAGGGCTCCAAGGAATTCACCTTCGACGACCCCGCCGAGATCGCGACCAACCCCGTCCAGGAGAAGGCCATCCTGTGTGTTGGCTCGGGAGCTGTTCCGACTGCGCAACCTACCACCTTCGCCGCAGTTACTACTTCTGCTGCGCTCGCGGCTCCTACTGGCGGCGCGTCGACCACTGGCAACAGCACCAGCGGCAAGCCCTCCTCCCCGAGCCCCTCGCCCTCCTCCACCAACGGCCCTGGTAACGAGGGCGCCGCTTCCACCCTCGGCATGAGCCTCGGAGCGCTCTCCTTCGCCGCTGTCGCCGCGTTCTTCTTGTAAACACCTCTCCACGTTAGCTTCAGCGTACGAGTTCTTGTAGCATGTGCATTGCTACGGCGTTTAATGGTCTTTTTGCTTTGTTGATGGATTCAAAACTGGGATAGAAGGACTGCGATTGGGCTTGCAAAATCATTGGTTTGGATTGGGATGCATTTTTTCACGACTACAGCGGGATACCAGACTGCATGGCCAGCGCCATTGTCACTCACTACACGATCTACTTCCGCACCGGCAACATGCCAGGTGCGGGCGTCGAGCTGATCACTCGGCATAATAATAATTCAAGATTTCAACGTTACACGTGTGTCCCATATTTTCGCCATCGCGACATTGCCGTGACATGCTTGATCTCTTCGGATCCTACTGCATCGGCAGACAACCCCTCCGAAAAGGCAAAACACTGTGAATGCGGCGCAGGCAACAAATCAATATCGAACGACGAGGCACAGAAGGCGTGGTGAGACTGCATGCACCGCTCAGCTCACCGTGTCCCACCGCGTCAGCCAGCGCCGCAGCGGCACGCACAGTCGCACAGCTCACCGCGTTTTCTCCCGATACCCACAGCATCACCCCACTCTGCAGACAAGCTCGAAGCTCGAAGCGAAGGTAGCAAGACAAGAGACAGCGTCCCGCGTACGCGCATTTGCTCGAGGAGGTTTCCTCCAATATTACAGCTCCGTGCTTCTTGGCGGGTATTGGTGTTTACAGTCCAACTGCTGTTACCACGGTGCGCCGTCACAGTATCCAACCAAGATAAACATCCAAAGCCAGTCATCTTAGTTGCTCTCACTTACGATCTGTATCTTCGTGAAGACCAAGATCAATGTCCGGTTATCCCGTTTTATCCATCTACCTGTATCTGAAAACGTCTGTTTATCCATCCTGCATGATCTTGGCTTTCTCGTTCAGCCCTAGAGAAACGATAGAAACCAGAGGGGGATAATACCGCCAATGCATACTCCATCGAAACCTAAAGTCTGACCAAATTGCGAAAATTGTTTCCGAAGATTCTGGCTTTGCACGGATGCATTAAAACGGGGTGTGGTTGAAGTATCGTCCTCTCCTCTCCATTGTTTCTTCATGATATGTCAAGTATCCTTCCGCTCGTTGTATATGCAACCCACCATTCGCTCGCGCCGGAGGGAGAAGTGGACCCTCGTAGCTCTCCACGTACACTACCTGAGTCCGCGCGCGGGGTAACTTCCCCCGCAAAGTGACTATCCGTGGTGATTCCGCCGGGAATAGCTGCATAGAGCTGCCCATGATGCATTTATCGTTGACCCTTCAATGGCATGCATTCCGTATAGTTTCCATGCCCTTTGTGCAATCCACCTTCGTTGAATCCGCAAATACATCTTCTCCACCCCAACTATGTCCTCTCCTCTCGCAGCCTCCAGACTTGCCTTGAGCTCCTCCTGCCTCGGCCTCCACCCGTCACACGCACTAGACGACAAAATCGAAGCAGCAGCGAACCATGGATTCGCCGGCATCGAGATAGTGCATGGCGACCTAGAGCGCTACAGCCACACCAATGGCATTAGCATGATCTCAGCCGCACACCGCATCCGCGAATTATGCGACACGGTCAAGCTGCACATTCTCTCCCTTTGCCCTTTCGAGAATTTCGAGGGCAATCCGTCACCACTGGACCACCGGTTGGATGTCGCAAAACAGTGGATTCAGTTAGCAAGGGCGCTGAGGGCGGAGTATGTGCAGGTTCCCGCGCAGTTCGGGCAGGATGCTTCGACAAACAACTCAGTCATTGTTCGTGAGCTTCAAGACCTCGCCGACCTGGCAGCCGCAGCGGACCCACAGATCGGCATAGCCTACGAGCCCATGGGCTGGTCCATCTTGCACAAGAGCTGGGAATCCGCGCTGGCGTTCACGAAGCTGGTAGACAGGCCCAATTTTGGTATCTGCATTGACAGCTTCCATGTCGCATCACTCCTCTGGGGTGACCCGTCCCACGCCAGTGGGAAGTACCCTGATGCCGATCGCATTCTGGCTGCGTCGCTGGCGAGATTGGTGCTCGAACTTCCGCTTGAGAAGCTGTTCTACGTACAGCTTTCCGGCGGAGAGAGATTCTTGCCTGTTTACTCGTCACGGCATCCTTGGTATCTGGAAGGTGAAGCGAAGGAGTTCACGTGGTCTAGAAACGCGAGGCCCTTTCCGTTGGAGGCGGAGCTCAGAGACTATATGCCCGTCGTTGAGATTCTTCAAGCCATCGTTCAATCGGGATATAGAGGCTGGATATCGCTCGAGACGTTTGATCGGAGGATGCGGGAGCCCGATTTCGATATAGAGACTGCTGCGGCGAGGGCAGAGACATCGGTGAAGAGGTTGCGTCAAGCAGCAGGTAATAGGGCTGCCAACCTCTGAAAGAGAGCAATTCAAGCAGTCACCCTATCAATTTCAACCTTTGCGTCGCTTGCATAGGGCAGCAACGACACTGATATCATCGAGTTTGCCTAATATCGTAAGCTTCATCATAAAACAAGATGCAGCGTGAGTGTACTCACCCCCTCCGATGGACAACCCCTCGTCAATCGCCTTCTCCATGTACGGGCTCTCCGCGAAAGGGTCTTCAGCTATCGTCCGTGCAGCATTGACCAGCTCTTGTGCAACATATCGCATCCCGTCCGCATAGCTCTGTTCGGCAGGCTCCTTGTCTGGATGCGATAAACTCTTCTCGTCTAGCCACCTGTACATGCTGTCCACCACGTTCTCCACAACCTCATGCTCCCACAGATTATCAACCACACCATCCGTCATGGCGAGAACAATGTCGTCTTCCTCAATCTCGATGCGATCCATCACAGCGTTCTGCGTGGGCGTATCCGGGCTGTTTGTCCCCAGCTGGCGCGGGCAATCAAACCAGTGCCATTGCTCGGTGGTCTTGAAGACGACTTCCCTATTTTTCGGGCGTATGACCAGGATCTGCGAGTCGCCCAGCTGTGTGATGTACAGGACGGGGCGCGCCGGATTGTGAGCATCGGAACTGAGAAGCGCAGCGCATGCGGTTGTGGTGCCGTACCAGGCGTTCGGCTCGGACGTTGCTTGCTGCGTCTGCTCGAATGCCTTCTCGAGATACGAAACGGGGTCTGGCTCGTGCTGGGGGTCATACTTTGCGTGTTCGGCTTCCAGGGCCCAGAAATGGAGGATCAGTCTCGACCAGAGTCTGCGGGAAGATCAGCTGGCAGTTCCCCCCAATGTCATTCATCTAGCTCCTTACGCTGCATGTCCCTTCTCCTTGGTCGCCCAAGCCCCCACACCATCGTTTGCCCCGATAAAATAGTCGCTGACTAGCACGGCATCGTCCCCGTTTGTGACGCCCCGGATCATTTCACCATTGACCTTGGGCCGTCTGTCCCTGCTCTTGTGGTGCGTACTTAGAGGCTCGGAAAAGCTCGTCGATGGCAGCGACAGGAACGGCGGCGGGAACGGACGCGACGGACGCTTGTGGTACAGCGCATATCCAGCTTCAAAGTAGAAGGGCGGCTTCGAGACGGGCGGGGCAGCACCTTCTGGGACCGGGGTGGTCGTTCCCACCCTCGGTGTCTGCGCAGGACGCGCATAGAAACGCGCACTCGCAGCACGGGGCGCGAGACGTGGTGTTTGCGCGGGCTGCGTTCGCCGGGCGGCAGAGGCGTGCTGGAGCAGAACGCCGAGAGAGGAGCGGCGCGGGGTCATGCCAGCGATACGCGAGCGGACGAGCATAGGCGCGGTGGCCGCGTGCGCGTATGCGGTGCGGGCTCAGATGCGCATGGGAGCGGTTTGCTTTGACCACGGGTGTTTGTTGGGGAGGCGGACATGGCTCGGAATGGCTGGCTGCGCGCTGAATAATAAGCCGGTCGTGACGTCGCAGGGTATCCACGGCGCAGAGCGGTCGTCATCCTTCGGCCGCCGACAATCACTTGGTCGCTGGTGCACGTCGTCTCGCATTGGCAATTCGAACACAAAATACAAGAGACTACAAATTCTTGAAGTAAGCCTACGTCGGGGTAATCCACACCGACGTGGTCTGCATCTGCAGGTACCGACGGCGAGGAGCCCCCACGTGTTTGCTTTTCGCTGTCTGCGGAGTACCTGCGAAGCGGATTTATGCCTCAAACACAGAGATCCATTCGGACGAGGATCATGTTGAATGGGCCTCCAAGGCCACCTGACCGCCCATGCCAATCCCTCTCGAACGCCGCAGCAATGCATGCCATCGTATGACCTTCACCAGCCTGGATATATCTTTTCCACCATGCTCAACCTCTCCTCTTCACAAAGCTCTCCAGATCCTCCTTCGTCGCCACGCCCAGCACAAACTTCCTCGACCCGTCCGTCACAACCGCAAAGTCCTGCTTCCCCGACCCATCCACTCCGCCATTGAAAAACTCCTCCAGCTCCTCCAACGGTGTCTCCAGACTGATGACCTTGTACTTTGTGCCGCGTCTTCGGAATTTCTGCATCGCCGCCTCCACCGGGTCGCTGTCCTTGACCTTGCCTTCTTTGAGGAGCTGTTGGAGGCGGGGAATGCTGATGTAGCCGAGCAGCGCGCGGTTTTCAGATGTGACGGTGAGATGCGTGTAGTCGCGTTCGAGGCCCGACATGAGAGCGTGCGAGATGGGGTCTGTCGGTCGACATGATAGCGCGGGCGGAGGCTCAAGGTCTTCTACTGTTGCCTGTGACGCGTCAGTCGCGACGTGCAAAATCAGCGCCAAAGCTACCCACTCCGCGGTATTTGTTCGCCCATAGTGACTGATAATCGTCATTCGCTGTACTTGCAGCTGCGGGAGGCGCGTCGGCAGACATGGTCACGGACGGAGAGGTGGGGTGGCGGGGTAGCTTCAACTGTTAGAAGGAATCTACCGCTCGAGAAACTTCCCCGCACTAATGGCGCACGAGCCAACGGTGAAGCCCTGGAATTCGTCACGGCGGGAATAGTGAAAAAAGAATTCAAGGATAGCAATGGTATGTGGATTGAGACTGCACCCTTCTTCTATAACAAGTATGCTGCCAAGGACCCGCGTTGTAGAATGCGAAAGCAGCCTCCCAAAGATAGACATTCCACTAGTAGCTGTACGGTCATTTAACGCTTCATGAGCGCTTGATAGTCGACCGACTGGCTTAATCCGTACAAATAACGGTGTTTGTTCTGGGAACGTAGTAGTCGAGCCTTGGACAGTTGAGTGTTTCTCCAAACAGCAGCCTGATACGAACCTAGGATTGCGCGGACCAAAAACGTATCCTACAGGTGAGGACCGTCCGATTCGATTCTTTAGCGCGGCCTCATCCCCTGGCGACGGCTGTATTGCAGGTTTGAGGCAACCAAGTTGATTTTCGTTCAACTCAATCCTCCCCCGGTGTTCCTCCGGGCGATTTGGTGACCCGACGGGTGGACCTGCTGCGCGATCTTGACCTCGAGGCTGCCTGTTTACGCTTCTTCACATCAGCTCGTGGTTCAGAGTCTTCAGAAGATGAAGAACGTCTGCGTCTGTTCGCCTTTCGCTTAGGTTCTGGGGTAACAGACCGTGAATCGGGTGATCGGGATTCAACACGACTTCGTCGACGACGCGGAGGGCTTCGGGACCGGGAACGCGACAGCCTAAGTGATGGTGAGCTAGACTTGTCCTTCGGTGTAGGAGACCTAGAGCGAGGCCTGCGCAACCTCTTGCTGTCGTTGCTCGGGGAGATTGCCCTGTCGCGACTTCTAGCTCTATACCGACGTGGGGGTGACCTCGAAGGGGAGCGGCGGGAGCGGCGAGGAGGAGACCTAGAGCGGCCGGATGCGCCTCCCCGCGATCGTCGTGGTGGGCTCCTTGAGCGGCTCGAAGAGGGAGAACGGCGACGGCGACGAACGGGTGATCGAGACCGTCTAGGCGAAGGAGATCGACGGCGTTCGCGAGACCTGTCGCGACGTCCGGTGCCACGGCCGCGACCACGACCCTCTGGCACGTATACATCTCGCTCGCGACGCGGTGGCGGAGAGCCCCTTCGTCCGCTACGTTTGTCAGTATCCGATCGACTATGCGCGGCGTTCGCAACGTACGGAGGCGGAGACCTTCCGTCGCGACGTGGACCACGATCACCGCGGCGGTCACCACGATCACCACGGTCACCACGGTCACCACGGTCACCACGATCACCACGATCACCACGGAAACCTCCACGGCCGCGACCGCGCTCAGGACGGTCACGGCCCCGATCGGAACCACGATCGAAGGTCCGGTCGGAGCCACGGTCGGATCGTTCGTTACGGCGGAATGAATCGAGCATTTGCTCTTCTTCACGGCGGTGCTGTTGAGCGGCTTTAGATGCCTGTGTAGATCGTTAGCATCGTAGAGATGACCGACGCTGGAGTTGGTGGACCTTTTCCTGCTGAAGCTCAAGCTTCTTCGCCTCCAGCATCGCCGTCGGTACGCCCAATGGGCTTTCCTGCGCACTCAACATCAGATTCCAGAGCTCTTTGCAGAACTTGGGGCCTTCAGCGTCGAGGAAGCCTTGGAGCTGGACTTGGAGCTCCTTGATCTTAGGCTGCATTCCATACGTTAGCTTAAAAATAGCTCTGTCTCGGTGTATACTGACAAATTGATCCGTTTCCAGAATGTTGTATACCATGTCTACCACAATATCATCCTCTGGGAGGAATTCGTTGATCTTGCCGGCAATCCATGTTTTGATCACATCGAGGTTGACTTTCTTGGTGTCGACACGCTTCTCGAACTCGGGCGGGAATTTGGTCGCCTTTAGGACCCTCTGGGTTGCGGCATCTAGGGGCATCGTCGCGGTGCTGCCTCCAAATGCAATATGTCGTGATGCTAGAGGGGGCTGCGCGGGGTGGTTGCGCGTCGTGGAGGAACGAAGGAGCTCCACCAGAGCTGCTGCACGCTAGTGAGTCCGATTCCCAGCCAATCAGATCGTCGCTTTCTCCGCCCAGCATGCCCCCGGTAGGTAGGGGCGCAAACAATCGAGAGTGTCGGTGCACCAAGCAAGTGAGCAAGCACGTGGGGGTATACTGATTCTATGGTCAAGCGGACCGCTCCTTCTCAGGTTTGCCTGGCTGCAAGGGCTTCTTTTGCGGGCTGTCTCGTGCACCATTCGTTGCAAATGACCACCGTGATGGGATGAGCAGGAAATCATTCTCATATGCATCTTATCTCGGAGAGTGACTAGTTCTGATACCATTATTCCAAGACTGAGACACAGCAATTTGCATATTTGTTCTTGCTGTGTTGCTTCGACGGATCGAACCGAGAGATGAGACGTGACTGCCTCACTTGAATGCCGCCTTCTAGCCCTGATGAAGCGCAACTTCTATCGGTCGACACGCTTAACGGCGCAAACATGGTGCCGGGTAAAGCTAGCAAGATCGACAACAGCCCTCCGTCCATGCTCCACCCCTCACACCAATTCTATTTCCTTCGCCCCAGCGACTGCTTGCTGTGCCGTCTTATCCCATCCTTACCATCGCATATTACTCGCATTCCCTTTCTACTTCTCACCGGCACACTGAGGTTGGCTGGGCCGCGCTCTGTCACCGTTCTTCGCGCCATCACGCCATGTCTGATGTTGAGAACCCGCCATCCCCTCCCGTCGTCGAGATAGCACAGCCAGCTGATCCAACACCCACCAATGAGGAGCCACCCGTCCCTCCACCGCCAACTCCAGCAGCGGAGGAGGCGCCGCAGCCAAGTATTTTGGTGCATCTCTATTTTGATGCAAGCTGACTGTCTTGAAGTTCTTCCAGAGGACACCATGGCCATCACGACGGAAGACGGCAAGCCTATCGAGGCCATCGTGACTGAATCAGCTGAGGAAGGAGTTGCGACCGTCGAAGCTATTCTCGAGCCCGAGCCAGAGCCCGAACCTCCTCAACCGGAAGAGGAGCCTCCGAAGGGGCCTGAACCTGAACCTGAGCCAGAGAAAGAGCCCGAACCTGAGCCTCCCGTCGAAGAGCAAGCGGAACCGGAACCGGGAACTCCTACTAAAGAGAAAGTCGAGGAAGAGCCCCAGTCTAAGCCCTCTCCTGGAAAGGAAGAGCCGCCTTTTGGGCCTCCGGTGGAGAGGATAGCTGATCCCGAACCAGAGCCCGAGCCTGAGAAGGAACCGGAGCCAAAATCCGAGCCGGAAAAGGAGCCTGAGCCTGAAGAGCCGCTTTCTGCAGAGGTTGAGGCCGAAGAAGACCCTCCCCAGGAAGAATCAGCTCCTGAGCCCGTTGAAAAGAAGGTCGAGGAAGAACCCCGGCCAGAGCTCGAACCCGCTGCCAATGTGGACCCGTCCGTCGAAGAACCTGTTGAGGAAGAACCTCAGCTCGAACGTGAGCCGGAACCAGAGGCTCTCGCCGAAAAGGAGAAGCCCGAAACACTACCACCGATCGTCGAAAGGAAGGCGGAAGAGGAATCTCAGCCCGAACCTGAGCCGGGACCTGAGCCGGATTCTCCTCTCGAGGAAAGGAAGGAAGGTTCACCCGCGGAAGAGGTGAAGGAAGAAGAGCCTGTTGTTGAAGCAGTGGAGGAACCGAAGGCTGAGGAGCCACCACCGGCCGAGGAATCAAAGGCGGAAGAGGAGAAAGAGAAGCCTGCACCAGCGCCGGAGCCTCTCAAGCGCAAAAAGCGAGATGCTGTGCGGGCCAAAGCTGTCCCCAAGTTCCCCATCAAGCTCATTGCGGGCAGGGAGATTGGAGCTGCCGCAGTTTTCCTGATGAAGGAGAAGGCCAAGGGTGTCGATATCAAGCCGCAGCTAGATGCGCTGATGAAAGGAGGTTGAGGGACCGTGGCTGATCCTAGCTCATCGTGTACGAACTTTTCTCCCCTATTCTTGCTTGTTCGCTTTTCTCCCTTGTCTTTGAGTGAAAGGTCTTGGATTGTAGCAGGTCCGCAGTATCCTTCTTTTGGCAACGCATGCCCTCGTTCTGCCATTGCGCTCGTTCCTTATTGCCTAACACCCTTCGAACAGGACAAGACCTTGCTATGTCTCCCGGTCCGCCATATCAACTGTCCTAGCCTCTTGCTACTCGTGCATGGTCCTCATCGGCTCGATCTCCACCGTCCTTCGATGTATGCAGTCCCCCAATCCATTCAATCCGCTCCACTCACGACCCTATCCCCCCAACAGCGCGCTCCACGCTCGCCCGCGCCTCGGCCAGCCCCGCAGCCAGCTCTCCCCGCCGATGCGCCTCCTTGACGGCGTAATGCAGGGCGACGAGTTCTTTGGCGCGGGCGATGTCGGTGTCTTCGTTTGCATCATTCGCGTCGGTGGAGGTGGTATTTGGGGGATGGGCGGCGGCGGTGGAAGAAGTCGGGCGCGCGGACACGAGGGCCAGGGCGGCGGCGGGGTCAGTCAGGCGGAGGGAGACGAGGTCGGAGAGGAGGTGGGCAAGTTGGGGGTCTGGCATGTTGGATTGGACGAAGGCGGAGGGGAGGGCGGTTTGCGCGGGTTTGCGGGTAGGCTTTGAGGCGTCGACTGGTGGTGGAGAATGGTGGGCTGTGTAACGGGGAACAGTTGGAGTGCGATGGGGTGGGCCGACCTCGGCACGGCTGGGGTTCCGACGCGCCAGTCTGCGAGCGGTACGTCGGGAGCGCGGCCGTCAATCATTTGTCCACGCGTACATTAACACTCGTACATATTTATTCTGCTTGGATTCCATTTGGGTCAATTGTACATATTGTAAGAGATAGAACAGGATGGCGGCGAGCATACAGTCTATCAAGGCGGGTTGTCGGAAGGTACGTTTGTTTGCTGTGCTGTCCTTGGGATAGGGATAGGTGTGACGAGGGAGAAGAGCTCGGTGCTCTGTGAGCGGTCCAGCGAGTTGTAGATTGGAAATGTCTTGTGTGTTCGCATAGGATAGGCGCGGTCGCGAAGCTCTCTCCTCGCATCTGGTGTCGTCGACTCGCTCAACGAAGAATGCTTCTTCAACTGCTAACGCCGTACAGGTCATGTGCATAGGCCGGAACTATGCGTAAGCCCTCCCTTCCAGTGTCTCTTCCCCTCTACAAAGACGTAGAAAGAGTACGAATCTAACACCCCCTCCAGCGACCACATCGCGGAGCTCAACAGCGCGCGCCCCAAACAGCCCTTCTTCTTCCTCAAGCCCCCCTCCTCCATCCTGCTCCCGGGCGCAGGCCCCGTCCTCCGCCCCCGTGGCGTGACCATGCACTACGAAGTCGAGCTCGGGCTGGTCATGGGTAAGACGGTGCGCGATCTCGATCCGGAAGATACCAAGGGGGCCATGGACGCGATTGCAGGTACGTTTTTCGATTTTCATTACCAATCGTGCTTTCTACTGTCAGATATCATGACTACGGATATCATGTCCCGATACACATTAACTTTACGAGTCCCAACTGACATTGACTGCCAGGCTACCTCCTCGCCATCGACATGACAGCTCGCAACGTGCAAGACGAAGCAAAGAAGAAGGGCCTCCCCTGGTCCATCGCCAAAGGCTTCGATACCTTCATGCCCGTGTCAAATCTCATTGCCAAGTCGCGGATCCCCAATCCGCAGAACGCGCACATATGGCTGTCTGTTAACAATGAGGTCAAGCAGTCTGACAACACGGAGCTGATGCTTTTCCGGATTCCGCGGCAGCTGAGCGACATCAGTCGTGTGATGACGCTGGAGGCGGGTGATATTATTTTGACGGGGACGCCGAAGGGGGTGGGGCCGGTCAAGACGGGGGATATTATGAGGGCGGGATTGAAGGTTGATGGGAAGGATATTGAGGAGGCGAATCTTGAGGTGCCGGTGGCTGATCGAGAGAATCTGTACGAGTTTAAAGAGACGTAGGATGTAGGGAAGCTGGTGAAGAAAATATCAAGAATGTCTGCCTGGTTCAAACTTGATGTGTGGACGTGCTTCTACGTGTTCATTCATCTGGAACAGGGGGCAGCCGACGTGGTTTCGTCTTCAACCCCTTCGTAGTTCTAGAGGTGCTGCCATAGACCGGACCCGCCGTCTTCTGTGGCTGCTGGGTCTGGTCCCATCCAAGCTCATAAAATGTGGCATTGGCTGACCTTCGACGACTCCTCCGGGCTGGCTGTTGCTGCTGTTGCTTCTCCCGTGATTTGCCTTGGTCTTTTTGGGCTGGGTTGACCTGTTGGCGTGAGGAAGACGCCACATGAGGCTCTTTGGCAGGTCTCGGTGTTGAGATTGGGGAGCCTGATCGCTTCTTGCTCATACTGGCCGGGAGTTTGACTACCTTGCTGGGTAACGGTTTTGGTGCTGGTTTGGGTCCCCGATTGGCGACGATTGGGGGCTGCATCTTGGGCTGCTTTTCTGACCTAGACTGGACCATTGTTTGGGGGGTTGATAAATTCTTCGGTAGAAATCTTGTTTGCGTTCTCGAGTGTTTCTCAGGACGTGCTTTTGACTGAGCTTTTGGCTGAGGCCTTGTGTGAGTCTCCGTGGGCTTTTTTTCCGGACCTAAGTGTGAGGGTGGCGAATTTGGATTGCTCGGAGGGACAAAGGGTATGAAGGTCGCATCCAAGTCGAGGCTCTCAATGTCCCCAGCCGGCGCACTGGTCTGCGTAGTACCTTGCGTCTCTACCTCTCGAGGTGCTTGCTGTGCCTTCGACGGAGGATTGCGTGCTGTCTGGTGCAAGACCTGTGCCCGGGAAGTAGATATGTTCGCACAGCCATTGGCAGGATGGTTCGGGGTTGTAGCTGAGTTTGTTGGCCTTGATAACATGTCAGGACTCCTCGGCACTTGTATATACGGCTGCTGGACTTCCGCAGTCCTCCCGGTCGCCGTCAACTTCGCCACTTCTGTCCGCAACGTTTGCAAGTCGCCACTGTATTTCTTTGAGAACTCTTCCTGCATGTTCCGAATCTGTGCAGCCTCCCGTGACCTCTGAAGCTCCAGCATCTCCAGTCGAGCATCAAGACTCTCCATCTCATGAACGTGCTTCCGACCCACGCTGTTCTTCAAGCCCTGAATCTCTCTCTCAGCACTCTCCACCCGCGGACCGAGCGTGGACAGGTCCACGATGCTGTCATCCAGCTCCCGATACGATGACATGAGCTTCTGCACCCTCTCCTGCGTCTTCCGAAACTCCCCCATGTCCTTGTCCATGTCGACGAGCCGCTTGTGCACGCCGCTCATAAATTCCTGCTGCTTTGCCTCGATCTGGTCGACGTCGTGCTTGATGAGGCTGAATTCTCCTGCCATGCTGGTACAAGTCGTCGCCGCTTCTTCCGCTACCTGGACACGCCTCTCTTGGTCGGTGAACTTCGCTTCGAGGGCGTTCATTCGGCGGAGGAGCGTGTCATTGTGTCCCTGTAGCTCGTGCCGCCAAAGTAGATCAGATGGGGGAACTGGCCCGGTCGGGCGTGCAGGTAAGGGCATGTCTCGACTGCCGTCTGAGCGCGATAGAGCTCACGGCTGCTCTCGGCAGATTGGGTTGTGTGCGAATTTGAGATTCAAGGTGTTGCAACTGTTGTAGGGAGAAGGCCGAACTTCAAAGCACAATGTTCCAGAGGATTTAAATCGTCAACATCGAGGTATGTGTGGGTGAGGATCTTGAAGCGGAGAAGTGCGGGGTGACAAGGTGAAAGAAGGCGCGGTTGTCGTGCTTGCCATTGGTGTAGTTCGCCCCTTCCTCCTCACCAGACGCATGGACCGAGGAGCCGCATCTCATTTCTGAAAACAATTAACAGAACGTGTTGAAGAAACACAAAGCAAACAGCGAATGAGAGTTCACGTGATTCTTATTGCTTTACCTACTACAGGCATGTGTCATATCGCTGCCCGTTTCGGTCCTTTCGGCGCATCCAGCACCTCATCCCTCTTCATGATCCTCACCTTGGTGTCCTTCTTGAGGTCGTCGACATCGGTCGTAGCCCCATTCTCTGTCTCTTTGGCCCGCTCCGCAACGCTCTTGTCGTAGCTGCTAGGGTCAATACCCAGGATGCCACCAACATTGTTGCGGTCTCCAGGCACGGAAAATTCGCGGAAAGCATACCGCCACTCGTTGAGATGACCGCGTATTGCCTTGCCGACTTTGTCCTTGCCGTTCTTGGAATGGTGGCCTGTGCCGGTAATGGCGTAGACAGGACGTGAGGACTGCTTGTGCTTTGTGAGTATGCCTTCCAGATACGAGACTGCTTCGTCTGGATGGAGACCTGTTGTTGTCAGCATTGTTTGCAACACATAGAATGAACAAGAAGAACTTACCATGAAGATCAACGTAAAGCTCACGCGCGTCCGCCCCATCATCTTTATTGCGTTCTTCATACAAAATCTGAGCGGCCTTGCGATGGGCTTCTCGCATCAGGTTGTTCTCGCTCTGGCCGCGAAGAGACAGCGCCTTCGCGGCACGGGAGTCGCTGCGATTCCAAGCTTGAGCAGCGCTCTGCAAAAACTTATTTCGTAGACTCCCATGCTTGAAAGCCTCTTGCCGAGCTTGCATATATGCCGTGTTGCACTTCTCGCCAGTCTCCAGCCAGGGAATGTGTTGCGGAGCAGCAATCGCTTGAGCAGCGGCGCTGTTCTCTCGCGAGCCAGTAAAACTTTTTGTGGGACGCAGACCTTTCCTAAGCTGCGCGGGTGCTGGCGAGGGTGACATGCGTACGACTTCTGCGAGGTTGTTCGGCCCGGTGGGCTCTTTGTTATTGTGTCCATGCCCACCACGTTTGCCATGGTGTCGTTTTCCAGCTTTGGCCGCGGCTGCAGATCCTAGGCTGGGGAATGCTTCATTGTCATCTACAGCGGGGACCAAAGGGGTGGGCGCTCGGGACTGCTGACGGCTGGTGTTCCTAGACTGCGGGCGGCTTAGGCTGCCGGGAGTAAAGGTGGGGAAAGGGCTCAAGCCCGGAGGGGGATGCTTCGGAACACCGGTGAGTCCGTACAATTGCTCGAGGGAAGCCGTGTCCATGGCCGCAAACTGAGGGGTCCAGCCAGCTGAGCTAGTGTTCTGAAGGCTTGGAAACTCGTAATCCTGCATCTGGAAGTTTGGGAGTGCTGACTGGAGTGGGGGCGTGGATGCATCTGAGATAGCTAGACGGGCCATTACTTGAGTAGGGTCGTGCGAGAACATGCATGTGCTTCCAGCAAGGCAATTGCCGTTGAGGAAGTATCTGGAAGATAGTCAACATCAATCACTAATGATAAGACTGGAACAAGGCGGTACTCACTTGCACAGTGTCTTGGTCGTATCATGGCTGAATCTACAATCGGCTCTCGCACAAGATCCCGAAGACAGGAAGTATTTGCAGATAATGTTGCTTTTCGCCTGACCAGCAGGTGTGGCGGGACGGAATGCGGGGCTCATCGACTTTCCGACCTGAAAAGTGGTCTGCTCGGGGACGGTGACGGGCACTGGCTGGCCATCGAGCGTTTGGCTACCCATGAGCGTAAGAAGAGCAGCACTCAGATCATATGCATTGGCCTCGAGGGCCTTTTCGATGTCCTCGTCGGGCCGGTCATCGCGGAGAATAGATCGCAGCATGTCATACGGACCCATATCTACAGTCTGAGGCTGAACCCACTCGGCCGCCGCGCCGTTGAGCGTGCCGTCGCCGAGTAAGGAGGAGGATTCGGTGCTCCCAGAGTCATCGTTCACAAGCCAGTCTACGGAATCGCTACCAAGGTCACCATAAAGCTCAGTGTTTGGACTCGTGCCCTCGCTGAACTGGTACGCGCTCAGGCTAGGGCTATGGGGGATGTGGGGACTCGAGAAGGCGAGACGCGGCGATGGGCGCGGAGAAGTGAAAGGAGAAGCATTGGAGGATTTGGCACGGGTGAAGGCGGGCGGCGCGATGCCGAAGCCGGGAGGAGGGTGTATCGTCCGCGGCGAGTGGCTGACGGGCGTGGGCGCGCGGTTCATCTGCCACGGGGCGGGCGAGGCGCGGCGGATGACGGTATGGCGGCTCGGGGGCGGCGAGCTCGAGGAGCTGCCTGCGTCGCGGAAGCGCCAGAGGCAGTCGAGCACGGCGTTCTCCAGGGGCTTTCCACAGAGCCCAGTCTTCTTGGCCAGCACCAGCTCCAGCTGGTCTGTCTTGTCCTCTTCGTCCAGCGCATCGTTCTGTAGAACCGGCAGCGCGGCATCGTAGACGTCGTCGGAGACCATGGTCGCGGTCACCACATGCACGCAGCGGCGGCGGTGCAGTCGTCGGTGTTGCAGGCGCGGTGGGGAGGTGTCGTTGAGCAGCGGCGCGCGGTGTCGGGGCCCAGGGAGGCGTCGGGCGGATTAAAGGTGTCTGGCTGGGCGCGGCGCGCCAGGGCAAACAAAAGCAACGACAGCACTGGAAAGAGTCTGGCAGCCGCGGGGGGCAGCAGCTCTGCCTGGCCGAGTGAGGGACGCGGGAATGATGCACTGGACGAGCTTGGCTGGCTCGTCCCGGGCGCGATGTCCTCGCTCCTCTAGCTCGAGCGTTAGCCTTACGTTGGCGGGCAGATGCTGTGGGGAACCAGGATCCTGGTGGATCGACTGCGTGTGCTTTCACCAGCACTGTTGCAGCGCAGTCGCAGGGCACGGGGTGGCGCAGATGAGTGATGGTGAGCGCAGCAGAGGGCGCGCTGACGGACACGCTGACACTTTATTGCTTCACTCGCGCCGGCAGGCCTCGCTGCCGCCTGCGGACCTCGAACGAGGCCAGGTCACGTGCAGATCGATCTCCAGTTCCCGGCGACTACCACCCAGATGGGATCGGATCCGTGTCGCAGCGTACAGGCCGCAGTTGCTCGAGGCCGCTGCTGCACTGCGGCGAAGCGGGGAGGCAACGGGCACACCGGCGCAAACATGGCGTCTACCGCACACAAACTTCCCCAAGGGACGACTGCTGGTCTGCTGTGTTAGGGCCGAGTGGTGCTAGTGTAAGCAGCACCGCCGCTGCGATGCTGGTTTCATCATCGCGCTGTGTTAGTCGCCAGTCCACGTCCCCCGAACGCCTACCGTGTCTCGCCCTCCTTCACCCCCAGACTCGGAATGTTCGCTTCCAGCGTGCCGTGAGCAACCGAGTAACCTGTATACCTCGTCCGCGCCCTGTCTCCGCATCGTCGACGGCGTTTCCGCTGCACCTCCGCTTACTTCCGCCGCCCTCCGCCATGCCCGTCGAGGAAGACTACGATGCGCGCGCCCTAGCCCTGCCTTTGGACGACGACGAGTCTCCCGAACGAAGCCCCAGCCCCATCTGGAGTCGCCGCTCACACTCGAATTCATTCCGCCAGAACAGACCGCACTCTGCAGGTCATGCGCGGCCACGGTCCCGGATACGGACGCTGGTGGACAACTACAACAAGCTCAACCACCAGTTCATGAGCCGATATGAGAAGCTGTCGCCATTCAAGAAAGTCTTGTTCTCAGTGGGGGGAATAGTCCTATTCGTCTTGTCAATATTGTTCCTCGTATACAACGAGAAGATATTCCACGCCTTCTTGCCCGCCGCGAAGAAGTGGAGAGACATCACCGCTGGCTGGCTGATACTCTGGGCCCTGATCTTCATCGTATCGTTCCCGCCATTGATCGGCTACTCCAGCCTCCTGACCATTGCCGGCTTCGTCTACGGCTTTCCAAACGGGTACGCATCCCACGTCCTCCATCCCTCTGACCCGCAGTACTAATTCCCCCAGCTGGTTCGTCGCCGCAACCGCCACCGTAGCCGGCTCCACCGCCTCATTCCTCGCCTCGCGCTCCCTCCTCAAAAACATGGTCCACCGCCTCGTCGCGCACGACAAGCGCTTCGCCGCGCTCGCCCTGACGCTCAAACACGACGGCCTCAAGCTGCTCATCATGATCCGCCTCTGCCCGCTGCCCTACTCCCTCTGCAACGGCGCTATCGCTACCTTCCCCACCGTCTCCGCTGCCTCCTACGCCCTCGCCACCGCAATCGTCTCCCCGAAGCTCCTGCTGCACATCTTTATCGGCGCGCAGCTCGCCATCATCGCCGAGAACGGCGGCAAGATGGATGCGAAGAGCAAGGCGCTGAGCTACGTGAGCATAGCGATTGGCGGCGTCGCAGGCGTCACGACAGGGTGGTTCATGTACAAGAAGACGAAGGAGCGGGCGGCGCAGTTGGAGGCTGAGGAGCGCGCGGGCGTGAGGCGCATGTCGATTGAGGAATTGGAGAACGAGTATGCGGATGATCCCGCGGCGCTGGAGGCGGCGGAGACGCTGAGGGAAGACGACGACGATATTAGTCTGCGGACGGGCTGGGGTGATGAGTACCATGATGATGTTACCGATGCGGAGGACGATGCGCTGGAGATCCCGGACGATCCTTTTGGCGCGGGGGATGCTGAGAGGGAGGACGACGGAACCAAGAAGTAGGGGCTGTAGATATGTACAATACGTGTACAATATGCTTGGGATTGGATGCGTTTTGGTTCATTTCAAGGTGGCATTCGAGCCATATGATGGGATGCATATAGACGCTTGCGGCGGCAGTCCGCTATAGATGCACAGCAATGACGCACAATGCTACGACATCAATCCAGTCTTTTTTTTTTATCTTGCAATCAGTGTTCAATCAAATCCTCATTGGTATCAGCATACAATACGCCCCTCGTCGTACCTTCCACGCGACCCTCCCAACTTTCGCGCAACTACCTCTGCCTGACCCATCTCGTCCATCTTATCGAAGGCAAGCCTAGAAGGTGCTGATCTGAACGTGTATTCCGTCGAGGCCAACACGGTGCACAGTATCCAGCGACACATTCAAGCCGCCTGCTTCATCAAGCCATGGCGCTTACACCTCATCTGCTTTCTTTGACACATGCATCTAATGGCACGCCGCCGTCTTCGCTGACGGGCCCCCGCTGAACAGCAAATACCCCACAAACGCGCCCACGGCGACCGAGAGCATGACCCACCCGTTGTACGTCATAAACAGCAGCCTCCGCCTGAGTCAGCACGGGAGCGTAAGAAGGGACGAGGGCGACTCACATGATGAAGAACGAGTAGAAGACCTGGACCGCATAGAACAGCGCCTTGACAGTCTTGGTCTGCTGTTCCGAGGCAGAAGCGGAGGTCCGGCCATGTCGTCCTGGCCACAGCAATGAGCTCGATTCAGAGGATTCGTCTGGGGCGTGCGCAGCGTCTACGGGGCGCTTCTCAGCGATGCTCCACTTCACCCGTTCGTCCCTCGACATGTTCTTCCTGCCTTCATCCACGCTTACCTCCAGCATATCTCCGCCAGTTCTTGTAGTCCGCATACACGTGCCTGATCAAAGGAGGGATGAAGAAAGTGCTGGACTCACGAGAGAGATCGTCACCGCTGCTCCTCCCCTCGCTGACCCGCTTCGTATGCGCATCGTATCTCCTGCTCGCCTCGCGTACGGCCTCGTAGCCCGCCGTCATGAGCACGATGGCGAGTAAGCTGAGAATCAGCGTGCCGGTTCCGGAAATGTGCCACGACTTGAAGACGATGCAGAGGTCGGTGGTGTCCCATGTGAAGAGCATCTGTCAACATATCCGTTAGAGGAAGGAAGGAAGGGGGAGAGAGGCAGGCCCACGTTCATGTTGCACTGCGGACCGTGGTCCATGCCGGGCATATTGTGGCCTTCGTGGCCGCCGTGGTCCATGTGGGAGTGATCCATTTTGTGTATAGTTTGTAGTGTAGAGGGTAAGATGTGATGTGAGAGAAGGAGGTCAGGCAGAGAGCAGCCGGCTCGCTAAGTCGCTATCTGGCACACGATGCGGAGGTGTTGCACGTCTCAGGCACATGGTCCGTGCTCACCGTGCTCAAGCTCGCCGCGGGGTTTCGGTCGCGTGGGCGGCGGCGGGGCGGGAGCATGCAGCGCAAGCGCCACCCAGGGTTCACTCGCGGCCGCGCTTCGGTGGTGGCCAGCTCGCGCCGTTACAAATACATATTTCGACGTCACAAAAGACCTATAGGTCGCTTCTGGGAACGTAGTTCATACAAAAGTTGGAGGAAATATGCAAGCACTGCGACCAGCGCTCCAGCTGCTCCGAGCGCCAGGCGCACACACACCGCAGGCTCCCGCAGCCACCGCACATCGCTTCTTTTCGCGCACGCGACCAGCGCGGTTATTAGGACCGCCTGTGAACATTCCAAAATGGTATTCTCCATGCGCTTTCATTAGCATTATTACTCTGCTAAACCCTCTTGCCGCAGGGTCGCCGAAAACTCGCACATGCTCCAACCGCCCGTGAACAACTACTGCGTCTACAACGACTCGGCCACCGTCATGATTGTAGGCGGTCCCAACGCGCGCGCCGACTACCACATCAACTCCACCCCGGAGTGGTTCTACCAGCATAAAGGCCGCATGCTGCTCAAAATCATCGATGAGGGCGAGTTCCGCGACGTGTACATCAACGAGGGCGATATGTTCCTGTTACCGCCGGACACGCCGCACAATCCGGTGCGGTTCGCAGATACGGTAGGCATTGTGCTGGAGCAGAAAAGGCCGAAGGATAGCATCGACAAGCTGAGGTGGTATTGTCAGCACTGCAGGGAGCAGGTGCATGAGGCGAGCTTCCACTGTTCGGATCTGGGGACGCAGATCAAGGCTGCGGTGGAGGCTTTCCAGAGGGATACGGAGGCGAGGACGTGCAAGAATTGCGGAACGTTGTGTGATACTGCGCATAAGGCGAAGGACTGATTGATAAACCGAGATATGATGTAGGTTAACAACTGTACATTAGGAATTGTGTCTAGCGGTCATAGACCCTTCCACAGCATCTTCGCAATGTGATCGGCCTTCTTTCTGCTTGGTCTGATGAGGCCGAGAAACTTGAGCTCGGCGAGGGCGCGTTGAAAGAGTGCCCTGGTGTGGTTAGGATCGTCCGACATAGTTGAGGGTTTCGTCACATACATGGTTTGCGACTGGTCGTCTTCGTCGTCCTTGCCGACAATTGCATGGAAAGCAGACCACAAATCGGTAGCGTTGATTATAGCCCCGGATTCCAGATACAACTGGTAAACGATAGCAGTCGCAGGTTGCGTGCCCGCAAGAGTATTTTCAGCGTCTTGCATGTTGCCGCAGCATTCGCAGCCTAGATAGTCGTGCGGTGTGGCAAGGGCGCGCTCAATGGCCAAGCGGGGCCTGGGCTGGAAGACCTCGGTATGCGGAGACTTTAGATCGTAGACGAGGACTTCGTAGAGGAAGAGCGTTCTCGTGTCAATAAGAGCGAAGCGGAAGTACGACTCCAGTTGTTGGCAGAATCTCGCTACGATCCCCGAGTAGGCCTTATCCTGCTCAGATAGGGCAGCTTTATGCTTGCTGAGGAGGACTTTCTGGGCTACTACGGTCGTTCTCACGCTCTCATTACGTACATCATCTTGACTTCTCAGCGGCTCTGAGCTTGCATTACCTTCAATAAGCGTCTTCAGCTCGCGCTGCAGTTGTTCCAGGTCAATGGGAATATCGATTTCTTTGGCATGTCGGCCAACGTCTTCTGTGGTAAGACCTATCAATGAATCGATAAGGCGCGCTAGCCTATCGGACGGAGTCTTTTTGATGGAGAGCATCGTCTCGCGAAGGAGTGGGGAATCTAGCAGCTCACCAGAGGCTGCTCGGGACCAGACATTGGAAAGGCGGACTTTTGGTGTGATTCCTAGCGACTCGCGTATCCGTGTCAAGACTATTGCGGCGATGCTGAGTGAAGACAGGGCATCCTGTACGGTGACGATGAGCTCTTTAATGACTTCAAACAAAAAATTATCGGAGCATAACAGCTGCCGCACGCTTCGCGTGTCGCCGACTTCGAGCTTCTCCTCAACGTATCTTGGGGTCGTCAGTCACGGTGTGGATTAGCGGCTCTGATTACTTACCTCCTGAATGATGGTAGGTTCCGGATTGCCTCGAATGCGTCGGACGAAAAGTCTTTAAACTTGGGATCGTTTTTCAAGAAGATGGTCGTAGGATTGGCGTAGAAATGTGACATGTACGCATATTTGAGACCATGAACAAAGTCTTGTATGTTCTGCACATGGTCCTTCTGCCTTTCGAGGATGCGTCGACACAGGTTGGGGCCGATATGAGGTTCAGTGTCAGGGTGGGCAACAGTCGCGCGGAATAACTTCTCAATTATATCATCTGATTGAGTGACGTCGAACTGTTGGCCATCGAGGTAGCGCAAAGACTTCCCCAATAGCCGTTCCTCAAAGCTTTCGCTTGATGTAGCAATACCGAAAAGTAAAACAAAAGGCAGACGATCAAGCCAGGAACTAAAACGGTTAAACCTTGCAGGTATCATGCTGGGTTGCTTACTAGAATAGATCGACCATCTCGATCAGTACTGCTGTATCAAAGGCCTCGCTGTCTTGGATCGCTACAACGATGCTCTGCACCATGTTTCTCGAGGTCCATTCCTGGATATGGCCAAGATCGAAGTTGAGGAGCTTCGGGCCTCGCCTTGATGAAGTCGCGAATCGGCCGATCTCGTCTTCATCATCATCATCCTCTTCGATTCGTGACGTGACCTTTTTTATTAAAATTTTCAGCAAGGTTTTGAGATTCGGGCTTTCTCCGGACGTCAAAACAACATAGGAGCTATTCGTCTCATCTCTGATTCTTCGTCCCAGTCGTTCGAAATAGGGCCCATGGGAAGCAATGCTGGGTCCAGCGACAATGAGCCCGGTTGGGATAGATATCCGCGGTGCATCTTCCGACGGTGCATTAGCCGCTACGAAGTCGATGATTTTACCTTGCGTCGCTCTATCCGCTTCCTCTAGTGTTCTCTGCAAGACGTCAGCACCATTTTGTTAGACACATGAAACGCAATGTACCTGTATATTCTTCTCTTGCTCAGCCCAAGTCTTGCTATATATCTTCAGTCGCTCTGAGAGGCCTGCATGAGGGTCTGATTCAGACGTTCGCTGACGCTTCGAAGGTCGTGACTCGTGCTCTGGAGGCGCATACATGTAGCATTTCTTTGTTTCCATTGTGTCGATTGGCTTGAGTTGATGGAACAATTGGCGTGATTGAAGATGCAGAGCTTAGGGGCCCGACGCGGAAAGTGCTCGTCGTCCGCTAGCGCCGACGCGCAAACACGTGACCCTGGAGCTTGGCTGAACCTGCATCTCAGGTATACCTTGTACCTAAATTGCACAGTGCAAATCGAAGAAGGGAAGCCAAACATTATCAACGTCAAACTGTCTCTTTGGTTTTCGATTCAACTACACGTTCGTGATAAAACCTGCCTAATGTCTCCCCTTATGTTTAATTCGAAGCTACCCAACCACAATCCTGAATTGTAGAGACTCCTCCCCCGTTTTCGCAACGATTGTGTGACGTGGGCGATTTATACCATCCATGATGATCTGTTCAATCCATTGTTTGCGCAAAATGTGCGTGCGCAGCCAAGGTCTAGAATTTTGGTCATGAAAACACCTCGCTGCCCCACTGTGCAATGCACTTCCTCAAACCATATAGTGGGATTGGCAGTATCAGTTACATGGAGCCGAGCGAGCTCTCTCGAACCATACGTGTAATTCAGGCTGCTATTGTGTGAGGTCAGTAGGCTTTTACCATACAAACTCCAATGCTAGAAATTTACGTGTTGACTTTGTACATCTAACATACCATGCTTGAGTTCGAGGAAGTGCAATTCCGGCTGCATAGCATGAGGTGTTGTATTAGTGATGCGTTTTATCTGTCCTGAGATGAAGAAGACCGGGACTATCAGTCGTGGTCCTCTTCCGTGATGCCTGGACAGCCTTCCATAGCTGCATCGGGGTACTGGTATCCGCAGTACAGGCAATATTTGTACTTCTCTCGCAGAAAAGCAAGCACTTTTATCAAGCGTTCGCCTACCGGCAAAGCTTCAAATTCTGCAAGCTCTGGGTCTTCATCTTCTAGATCGTTCTCAAGTGATGTGTAGAAAGGTGTCACGTCATGACCCTGTGCTACCTTGGAGTCGTTGTCCTCGTCCTCTTGCGCCAGCGTCGGAAGTCGAGATGCAAGACAGTGCTCCAACTCTCTTCGCTGTCGCCTATCATGTTCCTTTTCAACTCGTCGTCGTGCGCGGATGCGCCAAAGCACGTTGATATCTTTCAGAGGCTTCCCTTCTAGAGACGCCCCGTCCGCTTCTTCTGCTTCCTTGTCCGACAGACGCTCAGCGGTCCTCTGAGCGTTGTCCAGATCCCACTGCATCTTCTTCTCCCTCTGTTGCTGCTTACGGTCTTCCAGGTAGTCGCCCTCCTCTTCCTTGGACCGCTTGGCTGCCCGCGCTGCTTCATTCCACGCCTCTCTTAGCTTGCGTTTCTTCTCGGACTCGAGACCAATCCCGCTTCTGTCCTCCTTTACATTCACTTGTATGGGCACCTTTCGCGCGTCCTCGGCTTTGCCCAAAGAGTCACCCTGTTTGAAACCAAACTTTGCCATCATCTTGAAGCCCTTGTTGTTCTCTGGGAGCGCGGTAGCCAGAGCTGCTTCCCGCGCTGCCTCTGCGTCTGCCTCGCGTTCGGCCTTGGTCTTCTGGCGAGCTCTGGCCTCACCCTGGGCTTTATGTTAGCTTGTGTGCTTGTAGTATCCGCGGGTAGCGCGGGGTCGTACTTCTTTGCGCTTGCGCGCAGCGCGCTGGAGCGAGGTTTCGTGCGCAGGCTGCTTCGGCGTATCGTCGAAGATCATCTTCATATAATCCTCTTCGCTGTCGGAGTCCGCCATGGTGGTCTGTTCCAAATTCGGCGGTTCGATGTTGGTATGGTTCGCGGGCTCGTTGCTGCAAGGTACGCGGGCTAGCGCCACAAGACTTCTCCAGAGCTTGGCAGCATGACCCCAGATCTTGCATTCTCGAACCTCACAGGGGACATCCAGTCGAAAACGCTACCCGTGATATCGACCAAGGTAAAAGATACCGCACCAACAGCACACCCAGGTCGTCTACGAAAGTGACCCACCTCGGGTGGGAGGTCTTATTACTGTCGATACGTGAGAGTCAGTGGGATTGCGGCACAGTGCACAATATTCCCTCACTTGTCTATCACTTTTGCCGGAACGGCTTCAACCGCTTACGCAATTGCTGATCCTTCCAACCAATCCTTAATCGCCGAGCAACTTGGGATCGGATGGCGTCAGTGAGTGTCTTAGCCTTCACGGATCTGTCAGAAAGGCAAAGTCACGCGTCACTTTGGAATCACCTTTGTCCGTAGAAGCACCTACATCCATCTGCGCGGTGCGCTTGGTGAGTTTCGCACCGAGTTTCCGCAACAACATATCACCAACATACCTCTTCAAGTGGTTTCAAGAACCCATGAAGCGAGTCCCAAGACCTTGTCCAGTGCGTCACATGAGCATTTCTAAATACGAGGCGGCTCGCAGCAGCGTCTTCAACATGTGAACGCGCATACGGCCTCCAACGCCGACATTTATGGCTATCGATTTAGACGCCGCACATGAGGGCATCGGAAAGAGAAGGTGACAATGCTCGAAGGGGTTCTTGCGCCGGGTGGGCCGAAACAACCGGCATTCACATTGGCTGGCTTTCCCCACATTTCCGAGCGAGCTAACCTGCTAGGGAGCTGTTCGCCGGGCGTAAGATGCTCCTGATGCCAATCCGATGCTGTCGATGTCGTTCTCACTGAGATCCTTGCAAATCCCTAATTTCCATTGTCGCAGAGGCCTGCGCATATTGCGCAGTCGCAAACATGGCCGTCCACCATACGGAGAGTCCGGGTGCAGTGCAGGCGGCTCCTAGCTTGAGGCTGATAGTTTCGAGCTTGCAGTACAGAACCAAGCAATAGGATTGTGAGGTTGCTCTAAGGGTCAGCCACCGTACGAGGATGGGCACAAAGCACATGTGTTCGTGTGGTAGTCGAGCGTCTTGCCTCGGTCGCCTGCTCTACCACCTGTGGCTACAATTTCGGAGGTTCGCCGGATTGAGTTACCCTGTTCACCTCTGATTCGACGGTGCGCTGTCAATAGCTGGTCGCCACCGCTTCTCCTTTCGACAATGTGAATGATCTGCCCTTTCCTCGGTTTGCGCACGATCCCTGTCGAGGCCTTGCCGGCTTCGACGAGGATTCTCGTTCTTTGAACATTCATGTGCTTCTTCTCCGCATGCATACTCTCGTTATAAGCTTGTTTCCCCGCAAACTCTCCACATGTCCCGACCCTGAATCTGAGTAGGGTCCGTTCTGTTGTGGGCGACCGATCTTGTTTTCCTTGACATCCGACCGTGCTCAGCAGCTACTATCGAACATGGAGGACAAGGAACTTGGACCTACTCGCTCGGAGGTCACACACGAAAGTGAGGAGCATGTAGCACCCGCCGCAGCGCCCCAGAAGAAGGGAGGAGTTCTCAATACTTTATATCCCCCTGGACCAAGGCCTGGTGCCGGACCACGAGTCAAGAATCACTGCAGGAAGTTTTGGTGGTGTGGTAAGTATCTGACAGAACTCTAATCGCCACAACATTGAGACGGACTCTTGCTAACGAACGCAGACCTAATTGTCATTGCCGCCATCATCCTAGTGATCGTTCTGCCAATCATATACGTTGCGATTCCGAAAAAGGCTCAGCACGACATTAATGCTTCAACCCTAGAGGTCACTGACCAGGAGGTCACAAACACGGAGCCAGAGAAGGTCCATCTCAAGATCAAGAGCGTCGCAAGAAGCAGCAGCTCATTTCACCCTACTCTCGATGCCTTCCAAGCCGGTCTCTCGCTACCAGGAAAGGAGCCCTTCCTCTTTCTCAACGTTCCGGAGACCAAGGCTGATGCTGAGACGGAGATCGACATCGAGCAAGATGCGCCCATTGTCAACCTAGACTCGTTCAAGGAGTACACCAAGACCACCATGGCCAGCGAGACCTTCACCGTCGTCATGAGTGGCAAGACCAAGGTCCACCAGAAGGGTCTGTCGGCCATCTCAGTCGACTACACCAAGAACATCGAGATGAAGGGTAAGCCGCATCCCTTTCCCTATCGCGCGCTCCCACGCCAACTAACCACACGCAGGCCTTAACAAGCTTTCCGGTCTCCAAATCACCAACATCAAGATCCTCTTTGGCACCAAGAACAAGCTCTCCGACGGCTCCAACATGATCGGCAACGTCATCATCCCCAACCCCTCCGTCATGACCCTCGAGCTCGGCAACGTCACCATGAACCTGTCTATCGACGGCACGGGCATTGGCACCGCGCTCCTGCCCGACCTCATGCTCAAGCCCGGCGAGAACAACAGCACCATGTCGGCCATCCTCGACCAGGAGGGCCTCCCGGTCATCTCGCTTGTACAGAGCAAGTACAAGGACGGCGTTATCCCGCTGGAGATTGTGGGAAACAGCAGCATCCGCAATGGAGAGCACCTGGAGTACTTCGAGGAGGCGATCAAGAGCACGATTATCAAGGTGAACCTGGACATTGGGCCTGCGCTCAAGGACATCGGGCTGCTCAACGTCACGAGCTCGTCATAGGGTCGCGGCGGTACATGGCGCGGGTGGGCTTTATGTGTGGCCATTTGCTTCCTTTTGGCGGCTCTTGCTCTCGGAGCTGGCTGCGCAGCGTGCTTGGACGTCACGCCCCTGTGGGGTCGGGATCCAAGACACCAATGTATTTGTGCGATGGGGCTTGCGGAAACTGGGTCAACGGTCGATTCATACGGCTTTCTAATTCGTTTCAATGATGCATCCCGGCTATTGGAGCCGGTCTTTTCTTCTTCCACGTAGATGGTCTTTTTTGGTGTGTGCCATTGTGTTTGCCCTCTACGTGAGTGCCATTTGATAGATGTCCTCCCCAGCATGGCGGTGCCAGCGAACCCACTTCCCACGCCCGTCCACCACATCGTCCCAACTAAAACCTCATCTTCCGTACCCACTAACTCACTCATTCATTCACTCACATCCCCCTCCCCCACTCCCTCATCCTCAAACCTCAAACTCCTCTTCCCAAAACTCCACAACCCCCCTAGCGACCCCCTCCCCTAGCGCCTCCCTCAACACCGCCCTCGCCCTCTCATTCGTCCTCGCCCTCACCGCAAGAGCCACCACCTCCCTCAGACTCCCCGCAATGTCGCTTAGCCGAACGACTTGCTGCTCCGTCAGCGGCGTGTCGACCGTGCAGTAAGGCAGCAGATCGCGGTATGCCGATTTTGGGGGTTGGTTGTTAGCTTTGCCGTGAAGCTGTGGTGTCATGAGGGACGGCGGGAGGGTGTAGATGTGCGTGCGCGGCCGGTGGTCTTGGGGACCATCGAGCTGGGCGATAGAGGACTGGGAAGACATGGGGTACAAGTTTGAGTCAGGGGAAGGATCGATGGAAGAAGTCGGAGGCGTGTGCTTGTTGTGGCGGGTTGCCTCCGAGAGCACGTCGCCGTGCGTTGCTCCGTGGAGATGGGGTGGAAGTGCATCGGTGTTGCTAGCGGGGACTTTCAGCAGCGAGTCCTCGTGCCTCTGGGTGTGCGTGTGAGGAGGTTGGAAGGTCGCACTTAACGTAAGGCTGGCAGCTCTGCTTTGGAGGCCCGGAAGCGTCATAATGGAGTGCTTGCGCCAAAAGGGAAATAGGTGCTAGACGCCCTAGATGCACTCGACGGACTGAAATGCTTGAGGGTGACGTGATGTGTGACATGTAGGTGCTGCGCGCCGCGTGTCTTGGGGAAGGAACGAACAAGAGCGCGCCTTCCAAGATTGGTGCAGCAAAGCGGCACCGTTTCGAATGAAAGTTTCTGTGCTGATACATAGCTTGGTATACATATTCTACATGCTTTTGGTGATGATGGTAGTGAAGACATGTAAAGAAACAACTATGGTCTAGCTCGAGGGAGATGGGGTATCATGAGAGGAGTATGTACCGCCCTTTTAGACCTATCATACACCGAGGATATGTCAGGAGCACCTCGTGTTGCCCTTAAAAAAACGATGCCTAGTTTTACTGCACCATGGTAGCTGACGGAGTCGTTGCGTCGCGTATCATTTTCATAATGGAGTGGAAATAGACAGATTGAGAGAAGATGGTCTCAACTCTTCTGTTCCGTTGGTGACGCTACAATAGAAGATGTAGATGGCGGAGCGGTGATGTCCTGCGCCTCGGTTGTGCGAGGTTTGCTTTCAATCTCTTCCTCCTTCCAAAAGGACACCCGCGACAAAAGTGAGGTCGACTGGTGCCGCTCCTTGATCGTTTCCAGTTCTTGGTCTACCGCCTTGAGCTCCCTACGTAGTCCTCTCAGACTGCGTTTGATATCGTCTTCTTCTGTTCTGCTCAGGAGCTTTTCGGTCGGCTTCTGGGGTTCGCTCTTTCCTGTCAAGAACTTAGGGAGCAAGCTTGTCGAGCTCGGTTCAGAATGATATGATTTCAGCTCCGCCAATTCTTCCCTGACACTCTTGAACTCTTCCTTCAGCTCTTCTACGTCTTCGCGAATGTCGTCGCGCTGGTTCCTCGCCTTTCTTCTCTGCCTCCACTGCTCGAACACTATAACGCTGATTCCTACAGCGAATATGAAGGCCTCGGCTACAAAATTTGCGCCCATTTCGATCGCCTTCGTTTCGGAAAGGGGACGTCGTCTGGTCGCTGCTTCGATCGCTGCCTTTGCCTCTGCCTCGATCTTCTTCCTCGCGGCTTCTTTTTCCTTTTCTGTCATTGCTTCTTCCGCGACCGTCTCTGCCTCTGTTTTCACTGTTGGCGTCTGATCTAGTTTCTTCCGCGCGGCTTCGGCAGCCTTGATTTCCTTAGCTACCTGGCGGTCGATGACGGCAGGGTCTTGGAGAAGGCCGAGTCGCATCCGCATGTCGAACCTGTGGAGACGCTGTGCGAACCTCACGCAGTAGCCGCGGAATCGTTCGTGCTCGTGGGCATTGCGTTTTATTTGGGTCTTGTTACTTGCGTCAGCGGAAGCACGCTCGGAAATGGGAGACACATACAGCTATAGGCTTCGCAAGTGTTCGAACGGCAAGAGAGGCAATTTTCAGTGTGAGCGACATGATGAGGGGCTGCGACAGACGCGCGATGACTCTCTAGGATCGCAGCGGAAGGTCGAGGTTCGCGGCTTCGGTGGGATATACGTATGGCTTCTTGAGGCTTAAGGTTACACCGGCATCGGCATCGAGCATCGGTCTAGTAAGTTATTGGCGCATTGCGAGAATTGAGGTATGAGTGGTGAGGTTGCTTGGGAGAAAGCGGTTGCCTGCTGACGAGATTGCAGCTTCCGTCGCACCCTTCCGGTTTGGCTGCTGTCCAGTCGCGCCAATGTCGAGTATATATGCCCACAGCAATACAATGACAACCGACAAGATCAAATATGCTTTCGAATTGATGGTCGTCTCCCACAATGACGAGGCGCGCGCATTGAGCTGCACAAGCTTCGCAGGGATCATGGGTGCAGCTCCACTCGCGTGCACGGTTCCGTCCGAAGCTTGCCAGCTCGCCTAGCAACGACCCAAACAAAAACATTGGCGTCAATCGCTCCATCACAGCAACCACCTTCACACCCACTACCAAATGTCTGCCCCTTCCGTTCACGCGGACGCACCGCCCGCGCTGGTGAGCGATCCAGAAGGTCTGCAGTATGAAACTGGCCCTTTGCTGGGAAAAGGTGGCTTTGCTATATGCCATCCCGCGAAGCTGCTCAACCATGAGCATCTGGGCAACACTACTGTCGCTTTGAAGATTGTTAAGTCGAAGATGGAGCCTCCTAAACTGGCGCAAAAGGTTGGAGCAACGCTGGGCTGGTGCGTCCAATGCTGACAGTCTGCAGTTTGTGACAGAACTCCAAATACACTCCAAGCTAGCACATCCGAACATCGTTGAGTTTTATCGGGCCTTCTCCTTCCAGAAGAGCACATACGTCGTGCTCGAACTGTGCGAGAATGGATCCCTCGCCGACGCAATCAAGAAGCGGAAGTACTTTACCATGCCCGAGATCAGACGCTTCATGATACAAACATGCGGCGCCATCAAATACCTGCACCAACGGAACATCGTTCACCGAGATCTCAAGACGGGCAACCTCTTCCTCGACGGAGATATGAACGTCAAGGTTGGCGACTTCGGGCTTGCAGCACTCCTCGTGTCACAGAGCGACTACGGTGCCATCCGGCGAACGACCATGTGCGGGACACCCAACTATCTCGCACCTGAGGTGTTAGAAAAGACTGGAAAGGGCCACGATGAGAAGGTGGACCTCTGGGCGATAGGTATCATGATGTGAGAAACACTCGCCATCCTGCGTGAGATCCGCGCTGACCTTTTAGGTACACATTGGCCGTCGGTAGAGCACCTTTCCACTCCACGAAACGAGAGGACATCTATCGCAAGCTTAAGGCGCGGGAATATTCATGGCCAGACCTAGCGAAATGCCCAAACGAAATCACAGACGATCTTCGCGATATCGTTTCTTTATTGCTTGTTCACGAAGACGAACGACCCACGCCCGATGAGATCGTCGCCCACCCGTTCTTTACTCTAGGCCATATACCATTAACACTGGACAGCGCATGCACGTCTCGCGTCCCGAAGTGGTCAAAGGTACGACCGCCGACCGCCGCGACAATCAAGCGCGGATATACAGACGAGTGGTGGACCTTGTGCAAGTCCTCTGCTGTGGGCAAGTATGGTCCTGATGCCGGCCAAACTTTTGGAGCATACGGGGCTCGGAGGAACAAGACGGTGGCACGAGACTGCCAGAAGGAGATTGAATCTGGAAAACAGCCAAGTATACCTTTCGCAAAGGAGACGGTGTACTTGCCATTTCCTGCCCGTGTGCAATGGCCTTTCCAGAGCGCGGGTGGGCTAAGTGAGATAACGGAGGAGAAGGACTCATCTTCGGAGGGCCAAGCGTTGGTAGAGACCACGGGCAACGACCGGATGAAAGGACGGCCAGTGCGCGCCGCTAGAAGGGCAGAGGTTATGCCAACCTTGCAGGAAAACAATGATCCCGCCCAAGAAGCGAAGCCAGTACCGCGAATGGTGGAGAAGCAGCCGACACGCCTAAGGAGCGTTCGCAAGATATCGAATCCAAGGGTGACAGGAGCTGCCGCACCTGCCCCAGTGCCTTTGAAAGTCTCTAAAGAAACTCGCTCATCTCAGCGAACGAAGACAGCCAGAGACACGTCGAAAGAGGAAGAGCCACTGCAAGAACTGCCTTCGCTTCGAGTATCAAAGATCAGCTCTAGGATAGAACAGAAGCAGGAGCCAACAGCACCTAAACCGGTGGCATCACAGTCAACCAGGACACGAACAGCACCGCGGCTTCGTGCGTTGAGCACAGAAGTGCCCGCAACTGACCCTACAGCGGTATTAGCGCAGTTATACACCTTCCGAGACAACCTGGCACGAGCACTAGAGAGAAAGCCTACTTATTCCAAGCGCGACAAACAAAAGAAACTACCATTCGTGTCCAAATGGGTGGATTACTCGCGAAAGTACGGTGTTGGCTACGTTCTCGATGGTGGGAGTGTCGGTGTCTTGACAGCCGCGAATAAAGATTACCCCGTGACTGTGGGCTTTACGACAAACGGACTGCACCATCTCAAGCAGCTCTCCAAGGACCCCGACTATTTGAAGGCCATCCCCATCCAGTTCTGGGCTGCCCCAAAGAAGGACCAAGGCATTTGTCGCGTCCAAATTTCCGAGCATCGTCGCGCTGACGACATCCGATTGTACTGGCAAAAGTTTTGCAAATACATGTGTTCAGAATTAGGCGATGAGAATTGGCCCAAAAATGATGGCGAGCGGCCTAATTTTGTCAAGTTCTACCAGCGGCTTGGAAACTTCGGTATCTGGGGCTTCGACGATGGTTCTTTCCAGGCATGTTCTACTTTGATTCCTCACTAGACGCATGTACTAACTTCTTCTCCAGTTCAACTTCCCCGACCACACGAAGCTGGTGCTATCGCCGGATGCGACCTACGGCAAGCTCGTATGCCTCTCAATGGAGGGAGCAGCAGTCCTGCAGGACACCAACAAGGTTCCGTGGGACTTTGTGAAGAGCCGCGAAACGCTCCACGGTTCCCTCCAACAGCTACTGTACGGTTCAGTACGGCAGGACGACAGCTACAAGGAGCTCACAGAAGCCAACGGTCTGCGAGAAAAGCTGGAATTTATTCAAACCATTGTACAGGACTGGATTTCTGGCGGAGGTCTGGGATGCCTCGGAAAACTCCAGGACTACGAATGGAGGGGGGTGCAGCCAGCGACAGATCGTAAGAGGCACGACTGGGCCAGTGTCGGAAGGTACGGAGGAGATGTTTTCTCTTGAAGCGTTCGCTGTGCTTATTTTGACGACCGAGCGGTGGCGTTTGGGATGAGCGATATTGCTATTCTGGCATTTGCATAGGCGCGGCGTCCTGTGTGTTATTTCTGTTTGGGAATGGTCTTCGAACGCTCATTATGACGAACCTGCATGCCTGCTGAGGCACGACGGCGCATATATATGGTTTAAACCAAGTTGAATAGGGCGGTTGCCTACATTGGATTGTATGAAGTTAACGCGAGTGCCACGTAATGGGTCGTCGAGGGAGGCAAACTGATATGGAATCTAAGTGGACGGCGTTGTCAAGATTTACAGAAGCTGGCGCGATGTTACGCGTTGCCGTTAGTGGCTGAGCCGCAGCCTAGCCACCTTATGTCACAGCAAGGCGGCGGAACCCAGGGAAAGTCACCCACAACCGCCCGTACGGCGCCGTCTTCCAACAATCGCTGTCGCGCCGAAATTCGCACCCCTCACTCCGTCGCCTTTCGCTCGCTCGCTCGCTCCCTTTCCAGTTCCTGCCCGTCCTGGGTACACGCCCGCGATATCGATTGACAGCGGACCACGAGACTCAGCGCGCTATTGGGCCGCAACCATGCCTGCGGTAGGACCCTGACCCCTCATTGCGAGGACGCTGGAGGCGCTGACGGCAGGTGGACAGGCTGTGAGCAAGCGCGCCGGGCGCAAGAAGGATGCCGCCGCCGGTGGTGGGGGGCAGAAGGGCGGTTTCGCGAAGAAGGCCGTCTTCGAATCCACCAAGAAAAAGGAGGTCGGCGTATCAGATCTCACGCTGCTCAGCAAGATCTCAAACGAAGCCATCAACGACAACCTGAAGAAGCGATTCGAGAACAGGGAAATCTACGTACGTGCGGACCCCCGCAGCAGGCACCCGCAGCAGGCACCCGCCGGCGCGCATCGCCGAGCCTGCACAGGACAACCGCTGATTTAGGCGCAGACATACATTGGACATGTGCTGGTGTCAGTCAATCCGTTCCGGGACCGTACGTTTCGCCTGCAGTTGCTCGCGCGAGGGGTACTGACATTGGGACAGTGGGTATATACACGGACCAGGTCCTGGATAGCTACAAGGGCAAGAACAGACTGGAGGTAGGCTTCGCGCCCCAGCAGCCGCTGCAACCAGTTGACTGATTTCTCCAGGTTCCTCCGCACGTCTTCGCAATCGCCGAATCTTCCTACTACAACATGAAAGCGTACAAGGAGAACCAGTGCGTGATCATCTCGGGCGAGTCCGGTGCGGGCAAGACCGAAGCTGCAAAGCGAATAATGCAATACATTGCCAATGTTTCGGGCGGCAGCAATAGCGGCATTCAGGAGATCAAGGAGACGGTGCTGGCCACGAACCCTCTGCTCGAATCATTCGGAAACGCAAAGACGCTGAGGAATAACAATTCGTCGCGATTCGGAAAGTACCTTGAGATTCAGTTCAATGCGCAGGGCGAGCCAGTGGGCGCGAACATCAACAACTATCTCTTGGAGAAGTCAAGAGTAGTAGGGCAGATCACGAACGAGCGCAACTTCCACATTTTCTATCAGTTCGCAAAGGCGGCATCATCGAACCACAGAGGTAACGTTCCTCGCAACAGGTGCACGCACGAGGCTAACATGTACAGAAATCTTTGGTATCCAGCAGCCACAGCAGTACGTCTACACAAGCCGCTCGAAATGCTACGACGTTCAAGGCATCGATGACCACGCCGAGTTCAAAGATACCATGAATGCTATGAAGACTATTGGACTGTCGCAGGACGAGCAAGACAGCATATTCAGAATGCTTTCGGCTATATTATGGCTAGGAAACGTAACGTTCCGGGAAGACGACAAAGGCGACACAGTAATCGCGGACCAGTCTGTCGTGGACTTCGTCGCGTACCTGCTGGAGGTAGAATCTGCGCACGTGAACAAAGCGCTCACCACCCGCGTGATGGAGACTAGTCGAGGTGGACGCCGAGGTTCAGTGTACGACGTCCCGCTGAACCCTACACAAGCAGCATCTGTACGAGATGCGCTAGCAAAGGCCATATACTTCAATCTGTTCGATTGGATCGTCGCACGCATTAACATATCGCTACAAGCCCGGGACGCAGTTGCCTACTCGATTGGTATTCTAGACATCTACGGATTCGAGATCTTCGAGCGCAACAGTTTCGAACAGCTCTGCATCAACTATGTCAACGAAAAGCTCCAGCAGATTTTCATCCAGCTAACCCTTAAGGCGGAGCAAGAAGAGTACGAGCGAGAACAGATCAAATGGACCCCGATCAAATACTTTGATAATAAGGTTGTGTGCCAATTGATCGAAGAAAGGCGACCTCCGGGCGTCTTCGCTAACCTGAACGACGCCTGTGCAACGGCGAGCGCAGATCCCGCCGCTGCTGATCAGACTTTTGCGCAACGATTAAATTCTCTATCTTCCAACCCGAACTTCCAGCCACGGCAGGGCCAGTTCGTCATCAAGCACTACGCTGGTGACGTGTCGTACGCCATCGATGGCATGACCGACAAGAACAAAGATCAACTACTCAAGGACTTGCTGATTCTCCTCGGCAACAGCTCCAACAACTTCGTACATACGCTTTTCCCCGATCAGATCGATACTGATAATAAGAGACGTCCTCCGACAGCCGGTGATAAGATAAAGGTTTCGGCGAACGCCCTTGTTGAAACCCTCATGAAAGCGCAGCCTTCGTATATTCGTACCATCAAGCCGAACGAAAACAAGTCGCCTACCGAATTTAACGAGCCAAACGTCCTACATCAGATCAAGTATCTCGGTTTGCAGGAGAACGTCCGCATTCGACGTGCTGGATTCGCGTCGCGTCAGACTTTCGACAAGTTTGTCGAGCGATTCTTCCTTCTGTCACCGAAAACAGGGTATGCAGGAGAATACACTTGGAGTGGGTCATACGAGAGTGGTGCCAAACAGATTCTGAAAGACACGAACATTCCCGCCGAGGAGTTCCAGATGGGTGTAACCAAGGTTTTCATCAAGACCCCCGAAACACTGTTCGCACTTGAGACGATGCGAGATCGTTACTGGCACAACATGGCTATACGGATCCAGCGTGCATGGCGCAACTATCTACGCTACCGGACAGAATGCGCTATTCGAATCCAGCGGTTCTGGAGGCGCATCAACGGTGGCTTCGAATTCATTGAGCTCCGCGACCAAGGTCACAAGGTCTTGCAAGGCCGGAAAGAGCGACGAAGGTACAGCTTGGTCGGCTACCGCAGGTTCATGGGCGACTACCTTGGTATCGGAAACAAAGGTGGACCGGGTGAAGTGGTCGCAAATGCGATCGGCATCTCTAACCAAGAGGTGCCTTTCTCGTGCCGCGCTGAGCTTCTTGTATCGAAGCTTGGTCGCTCCAGTAAGCCCGAGGCGCGAACACTCATCTTGACGAAATCAAATGTCTACCTCGTTAAGCAGGTGCTTGTCAACCGACAAGTACAAATTCAGGCCGAAAGAACGATACCGGTAGGAGCCATCAAGTATATCAGCTGCACCACTCTGAAGGACGACTGGTTCTCCATCGGCGTGGGGTCACCCCAAGAGCCTGATCCTTTGGTGAACTGCATCTTCAAGACGGAATTCTTCACTCACCTAACCAACGTATTGCGCGGGTCGCTGAACATCAAAATCGGAGAGACCATCGAGTTCAACAAGAAGCCTGGGAAGCTAGCTCAGGTGAAAGCAGTCAAGGATCCTGCTGTACCGAGGGACGACCTGTATAAGAGTGGTACTATTCACACAGCCGCTGGAGAGCCACCAAACTCACAATCGAAACCAACGCCCAAAGGAAAACAGGTCGCAGCGAAACCAATCACTAAGGGAAAACTGCTACGACCCGGTGGACCCGGTGGCGGACCATCGAAACTCGCTTCCCGGCCCAAACCTACACCTGCCCCAACACCAGTCGCGGCGCCCGCAGCTGCCCAACCAAGAGCCGTGCCACAACCAGTGGCAGCACTGTCAAATGGCCACGCACGCAACACATCTACATCGTCGAATCGAGCACCTCCACCGCCGCCCCCACCCCCACCCGTTGCGCCTCCCGCACCCAAAGAGCCCACCTATAAAGCACTGTATGATTTTGCGGGCCAGTCTGCCGGAGAGCTCAGTCTCCAGGAGGGTGAAATTATCCTGGTGACCCAAAAAGAGGGTAACGGTAGGTCCTCCCTTTCTCCCCCATGCCAACCCCTAACTAACCCGAACAGGCTGGTGGCTCGCAAGCAGACTCGACAAGTCCGCCTCCGGCTGGGCACCCTCCGCCTATCTGCAAGAATACATCAGCAAGCCTGCGCCCCCGCCCGCGCCGCCCGCGCCGCCAGCCCGGCCTGCGAACGGCGTCCGCGGAAAGGGCGCACCGCCGGCTCCGCCTGCCAAACGGCCCGTCGCGAAGCGGCCGGTTGCTGGCGGCGAGGCGAGGGATAGCGGGTACTCTGGTAGCAACTCTGATGTTGGTGCGAGGGATAGTGGGGGGAGCATTGCGGGGGGTTTGGCGGAGGCGCTGAGGCAGAGGCAGGCGGCGATGCAGGGGAGGAAGGCGGCAGAGGAGGAGGATTGGTGAGGAGTGTGGTGCTGGTGGGTTGGTCTAGCATGTGTGCTGTTGTGTTTAGCTTGAATGATAGACGTTGATGCTTCAACGATGGGCTTCTGTGCTGTGCTGGGCTTGTTGAGTGAGGCGGTCGAGCGCAAGCAATGCCGATGAATATGTAGATGCTAAGTGCATTGAAGGGTGCTTGCGAGATAGTGGAGGGTCGCGGTGGGGCTGCGAGGCGGTGAGCTTCGTCGAGTACTTGTGCATGCGTTGGAAAGGGTCTGGAAACCAGTCTCGAATTGTTGGCATCATTGCGTGCGTGTTCCTCAACGACGGGAGTGGCATGCTTATCTCGACCAAAGCCAACCGTACCGCGGGACGCTGTGTTTGCGAGCGAGGTCCAGACCCTGAGGACCTTGCGGAGCAAATCTCGCGAGCAACTCATTTTGCAGGAGGGCCCGAAAGTGATTCCGAGATGGCCTACGGCTTCTACGGTCGCAGACATGCTTGGTTTGTGTAGGCTAGGAAGAGAACGACATGCATTGTATAGACATCATACCCACCCAGCTTATATTGTGGGATTCGGTAAGCATTGACAAGCAAGGTACGGTTGTGGAACGTTGTCCGTCACCACCTTCACGTATGGGGATTGACACCCAGGCGAACTCTTTGAATTGGGTGCATGCTGAGGCAGTGCGCATGTCATGTATACCATCTGACCTACCTTATCGGACTCACCATGTTTGTTTGTCGGTCAGATGTCCTCGCCTGTTGACCAATTGTATAAAATCAACGTCGCCATTCGCCTTTCGCCCCGCTCTTGTTCGATATCCCCATCCTGGCCGCCCAGTTCCATATGTAGCGCGAACCTGTGTTTTGATTCCAGCAGCCTTGATCATCTTGTCGAACGCACCAAGGCCCCTTCCTCGTTCACGGTCTGCCATATAGCCATCCAATACCCGCAAGACACAACTAGGTTCCGTCAACGCCATGCCGAAATCCACCAGTCGCCCTTCGCGATAGTTCTCCGCACGTATGTCGATAGGGTATAAGCCGTTATTATGCATTGTTTTAAGATCGCGCAACATAAGTTTGATAGATCTTTTCTTCGGATCGATGGGTATATGTGAGCTATACTGTTTCACTATGGCGCGTAGTGGAGTGATGGTATTGGTTTCAGAACGCTGGAAATCCAATGGTCCGAAGCGAGCAACAATGTCTCGCTCATGAGAGGAACTTATCTCAATGTAGCCGTAACAAGGTATGGCAATGATTCCAATGTCGATATTCTTTGCGCGGTACTTGGTGTAAATCTCCTCGATACGGCCGTACGCGCGACATTCGGCATTGAAGGGATCAAGATTGCCAACGAGATCCACGTCAGTTATCTGCTCATTTTGGGAGTCCCAAAAGCGGAATCGGCCTTCGTCTTTATCGAAAAACTTGAACTGGTGATGTTGGCAGGACGATCCGAACGATGAAGGCAGGATATGCCTCAACTCACTAGTTTTACAGCGTATGCTTCCCCATTCAAAGTAGCTTTGAATACATTTCCTTCCCCACCGCCGCTACTAGAGGGTTCATGTAGGAGTTCCTCGAATTGAAAGTCATCGGAATAGTGGAAGTAGGGACTTTTGAAGGGGCCTAGTTTTGGACCATCAATCTCAGGCAGGAATTTTGTTGGTTGAGAAACTGATTGCGGACCCCTTAATACGTTCGCGGATCTTGACTTCTTAGCTTTACGTTTCGGAGTGGGCTGAGGCATGAATACAGCAGGATGCAGAAAAGGGGGCAAACAGCAGATCTTGGATACCTGAGGCATCAGAATAAAGCTTACAAGAGCCGGAAACTGATTATCGTATATGCAAGCCGACAACTACCGATTCGCTTTTCTGTATAAAAAAGCTAGGAGCAATGATGTTTCACTGGTTGCACGCAAGATTATCGTACCCTTGTCGGCGACCCCGCTCATGTTCCCCCCGCACGCGCAGGCTAATGGGTGTGGGACAGGACTGATTGTGATTGGTATTTTTGAAAACTGATATCCGGACACCTTCTTTAACAAGAACGGTGAACTGCACGCTGGGGGCACGGCGAGTATGTGCCAATATGGGTTGCATCTCACGCTGCATGTACCGACTGGCTGTCCGACCAAGTCCAGGTCCTCTTCTCTTCGCCAGATACGACAATAGAACATCCATATGATCGCTCCTTTTCAGTCGAATTTAGAGCCCACACGAATGGGTTACGCTTGTAAACAATGGCACAAACTTTGTTGGATTACCTTCGACAACAAAATCCAACCTTGGGCCAGATCCATCACAAGTCTGGAAGTACCAACACGAAAAACTCCCAATATAAGGTGCCACAGCGTGTGGCAAGGTGGGAAGGTTTCGATTCAGGCACTTTGCAAAAAATGTACCCTATTCTTCTTAATCGGGTTCGGACCCGGGACGCTCTTGGATTTCGGCCCGTCGATTTGCAAGTAAAGGGTGAAAATGGGGGTTTCTCGGACGTCGTATACTGTTGGAATCGGGAAATAGTAGTAAGAGCCTTGGAAGAAACCAGGGAATACATTCGGCACGGCGACCTTGTTTACATGGTACGCGGTGAAAAGGCAAGACATCCCCAGGGGGCAACGAAAGGATTTCGTCCCGACTGGGCAGCGATTCTGTTGGACGCGGACGGGAAGGCAAGAGGAAGTTCGCCAACAAACTTTCTTCCTGGCGAAACGAAATACAGCGAAAAGTGGAGATCGGCATGGGTCGAGGTAGGGGACTTCAAGCATATGTTCAATTCTCAGAATGAGCTACCAGAGTGGTTCAAACCTTTAGCTCAAGTATTCACCTACTGTTACCATCTGAAAACACGGTACGCGTACATTATAACCGACGAAGAGCTTGTCCTTTTCAGAGTTGGACCAAGCGAAGATGGACCAGAACCTAGCCCAACAACGTGGCAATGCGAGGTAGAGGCGTTGAGATTCCACGGCAAGATCGAATTCGTATCCGTGCCCTGGATTAATGGACGCAGTGAAGAAGGGGTCGAGCTCGGAGGTCCAAACGAATTGTCCGTCAACACAGCTCTTTGGTGGATCCATCTGCAAGCAGCCCACAAGAACTCAATAGAATGGACCTACCCTTCTTTGGAAGAAGAAATACTCGCAATTCAGGACTCATTCCGTCTAGAGGATGATGTAATGTTCCCCCGAAATGACTCCTGCGGCGCGAGTGCAGTTTACACGCCAACTGAACGAGCGGCCAGCGATGCGAGCGACATACTACCCAGCTTCGTGGTAGGGCAGGAAACCGCCCAGTTTGCGATTCCTAGAAGCTCGGCTGCGAGTTATGGACTGAGATCGAGGAGGAGGAATGCCGGTAGAAATCAGGCCACATCTTCGTTTGGCAGCGATGCACCAAATACATCCTTCGTCTCGCATTCTTCTATAACATCAAACAAGAATAGAGTCAAAAAGCCGAAAGCAAAGATATCAAAACGGGGTCGCCCGGAGAGATCGAATTCGGGAAACAATCGCGGAAATAGCAAGAAAAGCTGAGCCGCCGTGATCCTGATATAGATTGTTCACAGGGTTTCGTTGTAGTAATTCAATCAATGTGATCACCTCTATCTTTCCTTCACCATATTAGCATAATAGACAATACGCCTCAGTAGACGTTGCACTTCTACTCTCAAAATAGTAAGCACTGGGACTACAGATCCAGCGACTTCCTATGCCATTACAACGATCCTGGAACACCAAGTGATACATTCTAGTGTAACGTAATTGCACAGCATTGCAGATTCCGACTTTGCGCATGCTTCATACTCGGATTGGTTCCCGCTAGAGTGTCTCTTACTCTTGTGTATCCTTCTACCTCCTTCCTACAGTGTGATCAAGCAGTGCCTCACTTTACAACACCATTTCGGTCAGCCTGGTATCCAATATAGCTAAAAAATCGTCAAAGAATATACGAAGCTTGTGAAAAAGAGCGTTAGAATGAATGGAATGATAATCTGCTATCGTTTAGCAACGTTATTGCGAAGTGTTTCTCTCAATAGTAGGTTGAATTAATCCAAAGACCACTTTCTCAACGCAGTGTTCCATACTAGCTAGACGAGGCCAGCGAGAACACGCAAATGCTTCCCTTCTGGAACATGACAGGCGTGTGCCCGTGGTCTCCACTGCCCTCGTTGAATGCGCCCATCATTCTACAAGTGCGCTGTTCACAGTCTTAATAGGTCCTGAGCCTATCAAGCTTGGCATCGATTCCAAGCTGTTGATTATGACCAATACCAAGAAGCTCGCGCCAGTTTTACCAAGTCATCAGGTACATGCATCTACGTGCTGTAGTGGCAAGAGCACTAGAATGCTGATTTCAAAATGTGCAACAGACTTGTCTGTGGCAAACAATAGGAGGAAACTTCAGTTTCGGGGTTTTGAGGGGAGTGCATTCGGTGTGATCCTACTGACTGCGAGGCAGTCGTTCAAAAGGTAGAAGATCATGCAGGTGCCGTAGGTATGAGAGGATGAGGCCAGGATGGTCTTCTGTTCACCATCGGGATTGAGTTGGTCCGGTCAAGAGCAGTCTATGTAAGAACCTCAGGCTTCTCCGCCAGGTTAAGATCGTTTATAATCGCACAGGGCCCAGATCTGCTGCTCAACATATCGAGTCAAGCATTCCGAGAAGATGCTTACGCTCCGTTACCTTCGTACAGAAGCTATATATCTGCATCTGACCGGTCTCGACAGATATCAGTGCCTTAGACACCGATGGTATAGTACAGGACAAGAACAAAACCTACATGCGTTGGAGCTGATCGAGATCTGGAACGTTCAGCTCTCACGAATGAACAACCAAATCCATTTCATCTATCATCTTTACCACTCCAACTACACGCATCACTTTCAACATCCTTTTCCAGGAAGTGTATCCGGCCATCTAACGGAAACAATTCGCCGACTTGACCATGACGTCCCAGCGACATCGAATGTCCACCATTCACTCAGCCTCCGCTTCGGTCCGCCGTACATCCCCTCTATTAACGACCCAAACCCTTCCTCGCCCCCAAACCCTATCGCCCAAGTCAAATAGGTTACATCGCCTTTTCCCGACCGCGCCGTCACAATTCTAACAAAATAGTCGTGTCTCGACACAGATCTCTTCTTCATCCGCAACATGAGCTCGCCTCAAATGATCACCGCGGATGCACAATGTCCAGTGCAAGAGCTACAGTTGCGTCCAGTGGGCAAGTGGATCACAACAATTCGTGAAGGGGGTGGTCCAGACTTACTTGCACACGACACAGACGACGACATCACTTTTTTGCGTATATTACCAGTGAAACAGGGACACGCCGAGGTGACCTTCGAGTTACCTCCCGAAAGGCCTATGTCACGCCTGGGAAACGACGAGGAATCGGCAAAGGACAAGCTGCACCGATCCCTGCGACCTTGGGACGTGTACAAAGTGGCGCCTCGTCACCTTCGCATAAGCTAGTGGTCATTCGGCTCCCTCGACGACGAGGCTTTGTTGAAGGGGAAGAAGATTGCGCGGTGGACGTTACCGGATGAGCTGCCCTTGGAGCGGAGGCCCGGCGATGATGAGACGACGGGTAGCGCGCAAGCTTGTCGATTTGGTTGATCCACGCGACGTTAATGGTCTCGGTTCGCGCAGCGCTGTTGAGGACGAACAAAGACCCGATATAGGGACCATGCGGGCCGAATGATAGGTTTTGGACCGAGAACGGGCTTTATGATGGTTGTTGGCGAAGAAAATGGGGAGGCTACTTTTGCAGTAGTTGAATAGATTGCATTATTGGTTAATAGATGCTGACAAGTATTTTCTCACCATTGGTCTTTCCCTTGAGTTTGTGAACTGTATCTTAGAGCGATGCATAAGGAGCTGGAGGCTTCACTTGTGTTTATTTATATAATGTACTCTAGGCCAATTCTTTCACATACGACCATAGGATCCTGAGAACTAGGCTTCCCGTCCGCTCAGCCATATATAAGCAAGATACCGGCGGATTAGTAGTCGAGTTCGTGAGAATCGGCGAATCCCCGCTGTTGTATGTTTTTGCCGAGGTTTTTTGCGCTCTATTCGGGTGTTTGTGCGTAATGTGGATCCATTCTGGGGACCTAGCAACACCGTAGGAGTAACACCTAGGCTTCATAGGCTGTCCGTTACACGTAAACACAGAATGAAACGTGACAACCTCCTTTTAGATCTTGTCTAGTTCTTAGATGGCTGTAATTTAGATGTAGAAAATCCACCGGCGCTGTACGAAGCTTAGGCATGGCAGTAGAGTAAGATAACCTCGGAAGCAGTACCTCAGAAGTAACACGCTTGGGAATGTTGCTGTTACTTTCGATGCTACATGAGTCGACGCGTGTGCGCGTAATTGCAAGGACGGTTTTAGTAGGACATACATTTGATGTCTGATTTCGGAGAAAAGGAGCCCCACCTACCACAGACACAGGAACGAAGGACCTCACTTCCTTCGCTATCAGGCCAAATCTAATGGCGCTCATGATTTTCGTATGAACGTATCGCGGATGCACGATATTGGGTCTGGACACGTGAAACGGATGACTTTCGCGGAAGTCACGCTGCGCTAACGCTACCCGCCCGTCATTCGGAGTTGAGGCCCGCAGGTCCCGACTCGAGCTCGACCCGTGCCTCCAACAGCGCATCCAACAAAAGTTTATCCGACCATTTGAGGCTTGCAAAACCGCGAGATCCTGATGCCGGCATTGCTTGCATGCATTTCGGAGCATCGAGATCCGCCAGCTCAGTGTACATTCGCTGCTACAGCTGGGATGTTCCTCTCAGCCGACATCCCTCACATCGGCGCCTACACGCCGGCGTCGTTACAAAGCTGTACATGCTACTTGTCTTGCCTCCAGGCATCGCCTCTCTAAGGCATCGAGCCTCTCGATTGCCCTGTCACAGAGTACATGATAAGGTGCCCTTCTCAAGATATCGCTGTCCTGCGCCAAACCATTATGGGGAAGCATCAGATGATAACAGCGCATATCGATCAAACGGTCTGAAAAGGCGCGTCTCGAACGAGCGCGAAAGCGGCTGAATGCTTACACTCGCGGCTCATTGCCGGCACACCGGCCTTCGACGCTCTAGGCGATCTGCAGCTCCTTACCGCGCCCTTTGGGCGCAATGGCCTTTCGAAAGGTTTCGGATGTTCGAGCCTCCCCCCACACCAGATCCCCACTTCTATTTTCTTTAGGCGGATTACAAGAGGTCGTTGTTTTTCCACCGATGGTCCTACCAGTGATGCTTAAGAGAGTCAAATTACTACTGTCATCCTACAGGCAACACTCTTCTCTGATACCGTTCGCTCGTTACGTGTCTGCCTGAAACAACCAACCTGGCCTGCGGATTCTCTTGACCGTCTAGAGAACTGTTCAATTCGTACACACTCTCACAACTTTATCATATTATCCTTCTTAGCCAGTTCACAATGAGTGCTGTCGAGCTCGAACATCCTCTTCCGATGGAGAGCGAGCGAGTCCACTACATCGACGTGAAAGAAGGCCACATTCTAGTACAGCCCGTTCCTGACGATTTGATACCTGCAGCGACGCTGGATCAACAGCTCCAGGAAGAAGCCAGAATGACCAACAGCATCGAAGTGCAACTCGAAGTGACTGACGAAAGGGCGAGGGCCCTGGCAGCATCGTTGAGTCTCGAAGAACAGGTCCGTATTACCTATTTCGTTCGGTCCGCGGAGCTTGGGCCCCACTGCATCTGCCTCCATTCACGTGCTGGGTGATCGTTTATATTGCTATATGCATCTTTATTTCCGCAGCACAAAGCGAACTTGTTGCAAGTATCAGAAGGAACGCAAGATGCATTCGCGATTTGATGGAGAGGCTTGAGAACGTCAATAATAAAATGATGTACTCATTCAACGCTTCTAGCCGATGTTTTCTATTGCTGCTCAGCTTACAAGACTAACACGTCGATCCAGGTCTCATTACTAGCTGGAGTTGACTTCTGGCGGTCAATGCCAATTCCCAGCAAAGACATTCCTTCAATCAAGACAACAGATGGCCCAAACGGCGCGAGAGGAGAGTTCTTCACCAATGGCACGCCTGTGAGCAAGACGTTCCTTACCATTCAATTTCTCCGACTGACCGTAACAGGCAGCACTTTTTCCGTGTGGAATATCCATGGCGTCAACATGGAACCTGGACTTGATCGAGGAAATAGGTCGACATTTGGGAGACGAGACAAAGGCTAGGGGTGCCAATGTTTTGCTTGCGCCCACGATATGCATGCATCGATCACCATTGGGCGGGCGCAACTTTGTAAGTGCACAAGAGTCCCGATGTGGTTCTTTCATTCTTTTGCACGTGATGTGGTCGCACAGTCAATTGTGTACTTACTGACAATCCCGGACTTTCAGGAATCATTCTCCGAAGACCCTTTCCTCACAGGTAAACTAGCGGCCTCCTACATCCGTGGATTGCAAAGCAAGAAGATTGCTGCAACAATCAAGCATTTCGTTGGCAACGAGCAAGAAACGGAGCGCAAGGCATACGATGCAGTGATTACAGAACGTCCTCTGAGAGAGATCTACCTTAAGCCATTTGAGATCGCTGTGAGAGAAGCTTCGCCGTGGGCACTGATGAGCTCGTACAACATCGTCAATGGAGTACATGCCGACGAGAATGTCCACACACTCAGAGAGATATTGCGTGGCGAGTGGGGATGGAATGGTGCTGTCATCTCCGATTGGACCGGGACATATGCTACAGCACCTTCCATAAAAGCTGGAGTAGACATTGAGATGCCGGGCCCAACCGTGTGGAGGCAAGTAGAGCAAGTAAAGAAAGCATTGGAGAACGGTGAGATCACAAGAGAAGAGATTGAGAAAGCGGCTGGAAACGTGCTCTACCTTGTGGACCGGACAAAGGGCTTAAATGATCAAACAACAGAGCCAAGAGAACAATCAATTGATAACGAGGGAACCCGAAAATTGATTCTCCAGGCGGGTATCGAAGGATTGACTTTACTAAAGAACGATGGCGGGGTGCTTCCAATCAAGGGCGCGAAAAAAATCGCTTTGATAGGACCAAATGTCAAGAGAGCTATCGCGAATGGAGGTGGCAGTGCTGGCTTGAACCCCTACTACAAAATCAGCCCTTGGGATGGTCTCCGGGACCGTTTCGATGGAGAGGTCGTCTTTGCGCAAGGATGCGATAGCTCGAAGTGGCTACCACTGGCTGCGCCGTACTGTACGATACCAGACGGGCAACAAGGTGTGCAGTTAGAGTATTACTACGGTGACAAGTTTGAAGGGGAGCCGGCAGTCATTCAGCACAAGGTGAATACCGATCTTTGGCTTTGGGATTCTGCACCAAAACCTGTTCTGCCAGCGTATTCCTTCAAGGTCAAAGCTACCTTCACGCCAAAGTCTACCGGAAACCATACTTTTAGCTTTGCATCTGTGGGACCAGGAAGGCTTTTTGTGGACGGAAATATCCTGATCGATAACTGGGATTGGAAAGAGGACGGCGAAGCTATGTTCTCCGCTTCTGAAGATAAGCTGCAATCGATACAGCTGGAGGAGGGCAAGCCATACGAATTGCTTGTCGAAAGCACCAACGAGGTGCGACCGGCAACTAAAGCATCGATCATCGGCCGCCAACACGACTATGGGGGCTGTCGCATTGGATACCAAGAAGAAGACAAGATTGACCGTCTAGAAGAAGCCACCCGGATTGCTCGCGATGCAGATGTAGCCGTGGTAGTTGTTGGCCTTGATGCCGAATGGGAATCGGAGGGTTACGATAGGGGCAGCATGGATCTTCCAAAAGACGGGTCACAAGACCGGCTGATCGAAGCTGTTCTCCAAGCCAATCCGCGTACCGTCGTAGTCAATCAATCGGGCACGCCAGTCACTATGCCATGGGCTGATCGCGCCCCAGCGATATTGCAAGCATGGTATCAAGGGCAAGAAGCGGGACACGCCCTCGCAGACGTTCTACTCGGAAATGCAAGCCCAAGCGGAAAGCTCCCTACAACCTTTCCTGTTCGTCTAGAGGACAATCCATCTTACCACAATTGGCCTGGTGAGAACTTGAAGACGGTGTATGGAGAGGGCATATACATCGGCTACAGACATTACGAGCGCTTAAAGATTGCGCCTCTCTTTCCTTTCGGCCACGGGCTCACGTACACGACCTTTACCTACGGAGCACCGACCATCAGCTCTTCCGTCCTATCAGTATCTTCTCCAGTCATGATCACCGTCCGAGTTACAAACACAGGCTCCGTTGCCGCTTCCGAAACCGTTCAAGCCTATGTCAAGGACGTGAAGTCACGGCTTCCGCGGCCAGAGAAGGAGCTTCAGGCATTCGACAAAGTTTTCTTGCAGCCTGGCGAGACAAAGGATGCCAACCTGAAGTTGGACAAGTACTCAGTGGGGTACTTTGACACTAGTCTGGAAGAGAAGGGGTTGTGGATCGCGGAGGAGGGAGCGTTTGAGGTCCTGATTGGAGCGAGTAGTGTGGATATCAGGTATGCAACTCTTGAGAGCGAGTGGAATTACACTGACCAATAATCACAGGGCGAAGGCAGAGTTCGAGGTTAAGGAGAGTTTCACGTGGGTGTTCTAGAGGCGGGTAAACGGGAAGGCGCATGGTGACAGACAACCGACCCAATTGAGAGGCCATTTGACAGCAATTGAACGGCAGTTTTGTTGGAGAAATATCATGGGTGTTCCATGTACCGTATGAGTGTGGACGATGAAGTGATGAGCTTATGCGCGTGGTGCAACGCCAGGACAGCAGTGTAGTGTGTTATGGCGAGTGGGCTATATATAGGCCGATTGTACTAAGCCTTGTCATGGCACTGTGAACAGCTGAGCAACTCAAGAGGCGATCTGACTATGGATGCGTGGACCCAGGTTTCTATGGCGGGCGAAGCGCAACACTGCGGCTAGTGTAATTGGAGGGGCTGGGCCTCAGGGACGGTAGGGCACGTGAATATCGCCCCACACTCGTTAGCGCCGGCGCCGGATCAACCCTCACGGAGCTGGGGGCGGCGCTTTTGCGATCGCTCCTACACCCTGACCTCATTGCCATCACCTCCTCTTCAAGATACCCCACGGCGCACGGCATTGGCTCGGTCGCGCGTCCTTGCTTTCCTCCCTCCACGCTCTTCTGGCGCAAGTCGCGCCTTCCGGCGGTCACAGCAGCTGTCAGCTGCTTCTCGCTCCTAATCACCAGTTGACCCTGCGCTGGCGAGCTGCCCTTTGCCGACAATCGGAACGTCAACGCGCACTTCCTACACCACACATCCTCTCGGAGCTCTGCATGAGCTGCCCTCATTGGTGATAGCCACCTTTGATCCTCCAACGCGTCTTCGCACCTCTCGACGCTGCTACGCTTAAAGCCGGCGAGCAGCTGTAACGCCGAGATGAATCCAGCGCATCGCGAAGGATGGCCCCCGACGCAATCGCAAGCGTCGGGGCCTGGCCAACAACCAACAGAGCAAGTGCAAGGTCAAACTCAAACGTCTCGGCCACTGGGCTCCTTCGGGTGCGTACTCTGCTCTCCGTCCTGCTTGCTGCCATAGGCGACTATGCATAGTGCCACGCTCCGGCTCCTTTGCAACCCTCTTGTTGGTTTGAGCTTTGCTGACCATGTGCGACATTACAGTCCCGCCAATGCGACCCAACAGCCGCAGTCCCACACGTCACCGGCCCAGGGCCCGGCGCCTGTACTCCCTCCTCCTTCTGGTATGTATCAGGTGGGTGCGCGTGTTGACATTCTAACTAACAGTCACGCCTAGGAGGACCTTTCTACCCCTCCAACGGTGCGTCACAGCATAGCCAGAGTCTCCCTAGCTTAGCAGGTCTTACGGGACAACCCCCCCAGGCGTCTCCGCACATGTCCACCCAGCGTCCGCCATCCTCTGAGGCTGCTCCTATTGCAACGAATGCTCAACCTGCCTCTCAGGGACCACCGTACTCGTTGCCTGGTCTCTCGCAGACTCTGCAACAGCAACAGCCACACGGCCCCCCGCCAGGCCAGGCGAACGCAGATCGCGAGCGAGAGCATCGCGAACGAGAGACGAGGGAGCGAGAGATGATGGAATCGCATGCCGCTCAGCAGCACGCAGCACAGCAAGAGGAACTGGTGAAGCGCGAGGCTGAACAGCGAGAACGCGAGATTCGAGAGCGACAGCAGCAGGAACAGGTGACACACGAGAACCACGCTGCGCCCATTCAGATACATCAGCCGGTGGCAGTCGCGCCTTCAACGCGGACGGTCCACGGCCCGAATGGACTCTTGGGACAATCAGGACCTTTGGGCGGACCGGCGATGACGGCACCGAATGCCCCGAACAACATCTTTGGAGGCGCAGTTGTCCAGCCTGTCCAGCAGGGCGAGACCACTCCGAGGATGCAGCACGCCGTCCAGCCTCCGCCGCAACCATCCATGCTCATGCCCTTCGCTGGGCCCCAAAGCGCCGCTGCAGCAATGGCCATGGGCCAAGGACAGCAGCCCATTCTGAATGATGCACTCAGCTATCTCGATCAAGTCAAGGTCCAATTTGCGGAACACCCTGATGTGTACAACCGGTTTCTGGACATCATGAAGGACTTCAAGAGCGGTGCGATCGACACCCCCGGTGTAATTGAGCGGGTATCGACGCTCTTTGCTGGCAACCCAAATCTTATCCAGGGCTTCAATACCTTTCTCCCCCCTGGCTACAAGATCGAATGCGGTACGAATGGCGATCCCAATGCAATTCGTGTTACCACGCCGATGGGTACAATGGTGTCCACTATGCCCGCTCCGCGGCCCCTCTCTCCACCCCGAAACGCAGCTGTGAACGGCAATGCGCCACCCACGGAGACTACTTTCTACGATGGTCAAGGGCGGTGGGCACAGAACATTAGGGACATTCGCCCTCCCCAAGCTGCAGAGGCACAGGACCCTGCTTTCTCCCCGAACGCTCGTAACCTAGGTCAAGCATTGTTTGGTCCGCAACAAGGCCAAGTTGGCCCCGCGCCTCTCTCTCCAGAGGCTACAGCTCGTCCCCACCCTGATGCTGCTGCTTCGGCTGCGACTCTCGCGCATCAACAGGAGCAACGTGGTGTATCTCAACTGCAGAACGCTGTCTCCGCTGCTGCTGGACGCTCGATCTTATCACCTGGCGGTGACATCTCAACGCCAATGGCGGGACAGGCACTGAACGGTGTTGCTCAAGGCGCTCAAGGAGGTGCTGGTGCTGAGAAGCGTGGCCCGGTTGAGTTCAATCACGCTATCAGCTACGTGAACAAGATCAAGGTGAGCTTTAGGGACTTGAATCGGTTGAATTTGCGTGATTACTAACAATATTATCAGAATCGGTTCGCGTCCCAACCAGACATTTACAAACAATTTCTCGAAATTCTCCAAACATACCAACGCGAGTCAAAGCCCATTCAGGATGTTTATGCGCAAGTCACAAACCTCTTCGGCGCTGCCCCAGATCTGCTGGAGGATTTCAAGCAATTCCTGCCCGAGTCGGCGGCTCAGCATCGAGCCCAGCAAGCCGCGCGTCACAATGAAGAAGCTGCCATGCTGAGCAATGCACGAGGAGACGCAGGGTACGGTCAAGCACCCAGCCATCAACAAACACCCCGCGCGGATACTTCACGTTTGCCACCAATGGGCAATTTTGCACCCACCCCCACAGCAAACCGGGACAACAAGAGGAAACGTGGTGAACGTCAAGGCGCAGGTGCAGCCGCAGCAACTATGCCTACTCCCATGCCACAAGACGTCCAGCAATCTAGTGTACGCAGTACTTATGGACAAGGAACTGCTAGTAAGGTATGTTTATCGTGTTTGCTACCTTTCAGTCTTTCTAAGCTCGTCCCATTGGGGTGTTGGGAAACACTGTGCCTACAGTACCCTCTTCACTCTCTCACTTGTTGGTTTGGCCTAAGCGACTCTGCTCCCATTTTATCGCCTTCTCCCTTTTCTTTCAATCCTTTCATCATCGCTTGCTGCAATGTCCACCCCAAAATCCCAATTGAAACGGGATTACCCTTCTCTTTGCGACATTACTAACTGCCAAAAGCGCGCCAAAACAGGCCATGCGAAGCAACCCATCGTCGTGGATGCAGCGCCATTGTCCCCGACACTCATTCCAGCACCGCCGGCACCAATGCCTCCAACTACGACATCGAACCCCTCTCAGGAGGATTTGGCCTTCTTCGATCGAGTCAAAAAGTTCATCGGCAACAAGAACACCATGAACGAGTTCCTGAAGCTATGTAATCTTTTCTCTCAGGATCTGATCGACAAGAGCTTGCTCCTATACCGTGCTCAGTCATTTATTGGTGGCAATCAAGAGCTTTACGCGTGGTTCAAGAGGTTCCTTGGCGAGGACGAAGAGCAATCGTCAACGCAGCCTAAGACCGTGAACTCCCGCGTGTCTCTGTCCAACTGCCGCAGCTTCGGGCCCAGCTACCGATTGTTACCCAAGCGGGAGCGCGAGCGGCTCTGCAGTGGCCGAGATGAGCTTTGCCGATCTGTCCTGAACGACGAGTGGGCCTCGCATCCGACCTGGGCATCTGAAGACTCCGGCTTCGTCGCTCATCGCAAGAATCAATTCGAGGAAGGACTCCACAGAATTGAGGAGGAGCGTCACGACTACGATACAAACATCGAAGCATGCAGTCGGACGATCCAGCAGCTTGAGCCAATCGCCGGCCAGCTTCTTACGATGAAGCCCGAAGATCGAGCCAACTTTGTCCTCCCCCCTGGTCTTGGTGGCCAGAGCGAGACCATCTACAAGAAAGTCATTATGAAGATTTACGGTCGAGAGCGAGGTGCGGAGGTCATTCGTGAGCTCTTCCAAATGCCCTGGAGTGTAGTCCCGGTCCTTCTCCATAGGCTGAAAGCGAAACTCGAGGATTGGAAGGCGGCCCAGCGCGAGTGGGAGAAGGTCTGGCGGGATCAGACGCAGAAGATTTTCTGGAAGTCGCTCGATCATCAGAGCTTGACCGTCAAAGCAAATGACAAGCGCCAGTTCCAACCGAAAACGTTGCAGAACGAGATTCAGGTCCGATACGAAGAACAAAAGCGGCTTCAGGAGATTCAAGAGATCACTCAGCCCGACTATCAGTTCAAGTTCTCGTTCCCAGACGAGGATGTGCTGTACGATGTCGCGCACCTCATCTTGACCTACGCTGAAAACCTCCCCGGCGATTACTCCAAAGTCACTCCCTTCATCAAGGAGTTTGTGCCACTGTTCTTTGGCATTGACAGTGCTAAGTTCGAACAACATGTTCAGGTATTTGCTCGGGAGTCCTCGACCAACGGATCGGGTGAGGACACGCCAAGCGCCGATGAAGACGTCTCCCAACGCGCACAGAAACACAAGAAGGGAGACTTGCGCCGCGACGTACTGGACCCCCGTGGCAAGTCCCGCAAAGACAAGGAGGGCAGCACTGCCTCTGTCAGCCGCGACAGCTCACCTGGCGCGACATCTGCGGGAGAGGAGGAGGCGGCCGTCCAGAGCTCGAACTCTGCAAGTCGCGATGAACGGCCCTCCGTAACGTGGGTTTCTCACACTACCGAGCAAGTCAGCAACCGAGACCCCGATCCAGAGGAACCTTACCGCCGCAGCGAGTACAACATGTATGCGAACGCATCCATCTACAACTTCTTCCGCATGTTCGTCTTTCTTTACGAACGACTCTACAAGCTCAAGGAACGAGAGGTCGAGGTACGCAAGATCGTCACCCGTGCTCAAATGTACAAGCCGGCCCACGAGCTCAAGATGGTGGATAAGATGCCCTCGGACTTTTTCAAAGACACTTCGGATGGCGCGAACTACTATCAGCAAGTGTTGGAAATGCTTCAGGACCAGATCAGTGGCGAGGTCGACATGGCCCAGATTGAAGAGACACTTCGCCGATACTACCTCCAAGTTGGGTGGCAGCTGTACTCCTTTGATAGGTTGCTCAATTCGCTCGCCAGGGCATGCGGCAATGTCGTCAACAACGACAGCAAAGATAAGAGTCTGGATATCTACAACCTCTTCAGGAAAGACCGGGTCAACGACACGACTACGCACCGGGCGGAGATTGCCTACAGGAAGCAGGTCGAGAAGTACATCAAGGACGCCGATACTTATCGCATCACCTTTGTAAGTTACCAGTCCGGCTCACGAAGTGTGATTTTTAATGCGCAACAGGATCCAAGCCAAATGGAGGCATACGTGCGACTCTTCAAGAAGGATGACCCGACGTTCGAATTCAACCAGCTTGACAAGATTCGCAGTTGGCGAGCTTATGTCGCATCCTACATGGCTGTCGAGCCCACGGAAACCCTTGAGTTCAACAAGCTTCGACATCCATACTTAAGTAAACGCTTGGCAAAGATCGAAGATGTGAACGAGGACGACCGCTTCGACACCTTGAAGTCAGAAGACAAAATCACCGTCTCCATCATCCCAGAGACATACACGATGAAATTCATCGCGAGCGAGCCTCTCGGAACCGGAGGCGTACAGTACTTTGTGCAGCCCGACGAGATTCGTTCCGGTGCTGGTTCCAAGGAGGACTACGAGGCCTTCGTGGAGTCACACAAGGAGCGCGCCCAGGAGTTCTTTGTGCGCAACAACGAGTGGATGAAAAACCTTGACCGCGACGAGGTGGACAAGAACAAAGCCAAGTTCAGGAAGGACTTGGACGAGCCTCAGAAGGTTGAAGACGTGGAGATGGGTGATTCCTAAACGCGCGTATAACATCATGCGCGCAATCTGTTTCATTCTTCCAGATGGAGTGGTTTTCGGAATTACGAAGTCTTATTTACGCCAATTGACTTGGTTTTCATGTCACTGTAAGCTAGGGGTTTTTGTAATGTGCGCATGGCATCTGCGAGGTTGGGGTACGGCGCGCAAAACATACCACACGGGAACGACTTGTGGGCTTGCCTGGGGTTTGGTAGTTGCTGCGCTCCTTTGATACACCCGGCTACTCTCTATATCCACTTGCAGTTTTATGTCTCTTTTCTTTGGAAAATACAATCTTGGGCTTCGCACCGTGACACCAAGTATTATCCCGCCGTGAATGCTTCGTCGTATGCTATCCGTAAAGCGTAAGAGGTAACGCTGTCGGATCTTGCGTTGTGGCACGTTGCAAAATCTTTGTCGATGATGAAAATGGTATGCACAGACCACTAAACGTGAACGCGCGAGCGCGACTGCCATTTCGTACGCGTCGCGCGTTCCACTTTAACATCTACTCCACATCCTCACCACAAGCACCACCCCACTTGCAACAGTACCAATTATGGCGGACTTTTTCAACATCAAGGCGCGACAGCAGGCCGCTGCGCAGGCCAGCTCATCCAAAGCTCCCGCGAGCAAAGCAGTGACGAACCGATTACAACCTTGGGTGGAGAAATAGTGAGGGCTGCCCAAGTTACAATCCATACAGGCTGCAATGCTAATCAGCTACCCAGCCGTCCAAAGACGCTCTCCGAAGTCACGGCCCAGGATAATACCATCCAAATCCTCTCTCGCACCCTCCAGTCCACCAACCTCCCGCACATGCTCTTCTACGGCCCTCCCGGCACGGGAAAGACGTCCACAATCCTCGCCCTCGCGAAGCAGCTCTACGGCCCCGAACTCATCAAAACGCGCGTGCTCGAGCTCAATGCCTCCGACGAGCGCGGTATCTCCATCGTTCGCGCAAAGGTGAAGGATTTCGCACGGCAGCAGCTCTCATCGGCGCCGACGCACAGCATCACGGTAGAAGACGAGAGCGTAGAAGGAGGCTTCAAGCAGGTGCGGTACCGGGACCGGTATCCGTGCCCGCCGTTCAAGATCATCGTGCTGGATGAGGCGGACAGCATGACGCAGGATGCGCAGAGCGCGCTGAGGCGGACGATGGAGACGTACAGCAAGATGACGAGATTCTGCTTGGTGTGCAACTACGTAACGAGGATCATCGATCCGCTCGCATCGCGATGCTCGAAGTTCAGGTTCAAGAGCTTGGATCAGGGGAATGCGGTGAAGCGCGTGGAGGACATTGCGAAGCTTGAAGGAGTGAATCTCGATGCGGGAGTGAGCGAGGAGCTTGTGCGTGTAGCTGAAGGCGATCTGAGAAAAGCTATCACGTTCCTGCAGTCTGCAGCGCGGCTGGTGGGCGCGGCGCAAAAAGAGGCCGCCGCGGGAGGCAAGCGAAAGGCGCACGCTGTTATGGATGATGACGACGAAATGGACATTGACTCAGCAGCTCCCTCCGCTGCTGCCGTCTCAAAAGTACACATTGCAGAGATCGCGGGCGTCATCCCCGAGACCACCCTTGAATCGCTCACATCCGCCATCTTCCCCGGCTCTCAATCACAAATACAGTATACCAAGATAGCAAAGGTGGTGGAGGATATGATAGCAGAGGGATGGAGTGCCGCACAGACAGTTGGGCAGCTGTACGAGAGGGTATTATTCGATGAGCGGGTGGGCGATCTGCAGAAGATGAGGATCACGGGTCTATTCAGCGAGGTGGACAAGAGGTTAGGGGATGGAGGAGACGAGCATCTGGCCGTGTTAGACCTGGGCCTGCGGATTAGCGGGGTGCTGTGCCAGGGCTAGGCAATCTTGAAGACGAGCGATCAGAGCATTAGGAAGGCGCGTGGCGTTTGGAGAAGATCAGAAGATATCTAATATCACGACTACGTCGAGTTTAGCAAGAGCTCTTCCTGTTGCGCCGTACCTTGCATCTGCATGTCTGGTCTTCGCACGCGGCTCAGCAGCCTGTGTCCAAGATGCTCGTGTCGATGCAGGAGGCTGTGGTCCACGTCTCAGCCAATGATGCCTCAAAGCCGCAACTTGCTTCCTCGGCTCAAGCCCTCGACGTCTGGCTCCCACGTCTACGCGAAGGCGCAGATCACGACTTGCAGGGGTACCCCGCGAAGGCCGCGACGGAGCGCTCCCGAAACGGGAGTGCCTAGGCACACGGGCAGCAACGCCATGTGAAGGGTACCGTGGGATATAAACCGGCTAGCACTGCCTCGCGCCGAATTGGATCGTGGAACATTCGCTGTCGAGTGCCGATTGTTGCGAACACACTGCATATCGTGTTCTATCGTGTCTTTTCGTATATCGTTAGTTGACGTAGGAAACAAGTTGCCGTGCCCCGCCGTTAGTCGGGACAGCTTGACACACTTCGTACCTACACGAATTTACACGTGCACATCGTGACGGAAAGGAAAGAGAAAGAGATATCCACCATGGCGGCGCCGGCGAACAAGAACATCAAAGACCTCAACGGCAAATGGATTATCGTACGTTGCGCCGCTGCCCTTCCCGATCACATCCCTCCCACCACCCCCATCCAATCCCAAGCAATATGAGGACTCTCTCCCCTGCCTTACCCTCCCCTCCCCTACACTACTAACCCCATCTCCCTCCCCAGAACAAAACCCACAGCGACTCCACCGACCCCGTCCTCGCCCTCCAAGGCATCGGCTGGATGACGCGCAAAGCCCTCGGCCTCGCCACCGTTACCCTGCACACCAAGATGTACACCAAGACGCCCGAGGACAATGCCGCCGCCGGGGACGTTATCCACATCGACATCGACCAATTCGCAACGGGCGGCGTCAAAGGCACCTCGGAACATCGTGCCCTGGACTGGAAGTACCGCCCGCACTCGGACTGGCTGTTTGGCGAGCTGCAGGGGCGCAGCAGGTTGACGACGCTGGACGCGGTAAGAAAGGAGGCGAGGGAGGAGGGCGGGACGAAGGCGAGCGATGCCGAGTATGTTACTGAGGGGTTTTTGGCGGAGACGGAGGGCGGGGAGACGATTGAGAGTTGGGTGGATAACGAGGGGAAGAAGTGGACCGGGTGGTGAGTTGCTTTGAACTCTTTTTGCAAATTTCTTGGGTTGCTAGGAATTGGGTGGGCTGACAGTGTGGACAGGCAGATCTGGGGCTTTGCGACGGTCAATGGGGAGAGGTGGCTGGTGAGGAAGTTTGCGATCAGGAGGAAGGATAAGGATGAGGTTGTGAAGGTAAGGCTGTGCTATGAGTGGGCTGGGGAGCTGGATTCATGATCTGGATGGTGGCTTGTTTGTAGATACATGAATCGGTCGATATAGCTAAGCTTATGTAGCGGTAAGAAGCATCACCGTCAACGATCTTGAGCGCTCTCCATTGATTTACTGGCCAGCGTCGGCTCTGCAATGGTCAAGCTGCTGGCCTTGCGTCCCGCCATTGCCACTCGTATAGTATCGTAGTCAAGGGGAATCGATCGCGCAGTGCACGAATGCAAATAGCTCCAGAAAAGGGGAAGGACACTGTGTACTCATCCACGAAGCTATCTCCATTACGTTTCAGCTGTGTGCGACAAAACAGGAAGTGGAGTGATACTCCCACGCAGGGTCGTAACACGAGCAATTCGGTCACGATGGCGAACGTGCTGAAGACGCAGGGTAGGTCCGTATGACCTGAGGTTCAGAATAGCGATATTGAATCTGTAATGTCCATTGCACCAATTTAGAGTCAAGGGTCTCAGTTCTTCGTCCAGACATCTCGAATTAACACTATTATTATCGATCGTCGATTAATGCGATTGAAAGGAACGTCTCATTTCCTTCGCTGCCACCACAATCGCGACCGTCCGTCCTTGCAGCCATTCAGGTACCCATTGCCTGGTACCGTCGTACCAGTTCCCAGCCCAACACCAAGCACCAACATCGTGACATGTCGTGCCCAACCCTCCGTTTAATTGCCTCATCCCCCATCTGCCCTATCGCAGGGGCAAGCTCCACTTCTACCACGAGCACGCGTAGCACGCCGTCGCACGGCCAGCAAACAGCTAGAGGCCCGTCGCAGCAGCCGCACAATGGAAACCCCGCTTGGAATAGACAATGAGCGTTTAATTTCTCAGGTGAATGGCGCCTTCTTGTGTGTTTGCTCGCTTCGACGCGGCTTTGCAAGGCAGCAGACATTGCCCCGTGCCGTGCCGTGAGTCTATATAAACAGCGTCGAGTGGCTCCACGACTGCTTCTTCACACCGCACAACACACTCTCTCTGACATACTTTTCTTTGTGCCACACTCTTTCGTTGACGGTTCGTCACTCACAATCTCTTTCTCTGTCTCTCGAAGTTACTCTGCAACACGGCGAGACGTCATCTACACTGTCACTTCCAAGCTCTTCAATCGTTGCACAATGAAGCCCGCTGCTTTCTTCGTCGTCGTTGGCCAGATGGCGCTCGCTTTCGCTGCTGTCAATGAGACTAGGTGAGATGCTTCAAGCTGGCGCATAGTGTACTTCTCGCGGCGGCGAGCTCGCCGCGAAATATGCGCCCGTCGTTCCCTCGACAACGCCTTCATCGAGCACCCCACTGACCGCCTCTCCAGCGCCACCGACGAGACCTCCGCCTGTGTCACTACCACCATCTTCACCACGAAGACAGTGACGGTCACTAAGGCCCAGGTAGGCAACCCCCTGTTCACACCACGCACCCCGCTGATCCACCCACAGGGCTCCTCCAACAGCATCCTGCTCCCCTCGTCCACCGGCCCAGCCTCCCAGCCCCCGGCCCACTCCACCTCAGCAGAGCCCGTACTCCCCACCTCTGCGCCTGTGGCCCCCAACGTGACCGCCTCGGAGCCCACCTCGGAGCCGCCCGTCGTCATCACCTCAACTTTTCTCTCGTACGTACTTACCTCTTTTCATGTTGACAGAAGAAGAGAAACAGTAGATTGACCGCATTCACAGGCCCGCCCCGGTCGCCCCGTATTCAACAACCAACGGCACCTGGTCCGTGGCTCCCTCTCACACCGCGCCGCACTCGTCTGGCACGGGCGTCGCGACCACGGGCACCGCGTCTGCTACACCGCCGCAGTTCACCGCCGGCGTGGGCAAGATGGCTTTCAGCAGGTTCGCCCTGGGCTTGGTGGTCGTTGGCGGTACGTTCCTCTCTTTGTAGAGCACCTACGGCGGAGCAAAGTTGATTACCTGCATCCTGCTAGGCACGTCTTGGCTACGGTGGCAAGTATCATGAACATGGATGGAACGGCAAGCGTTCACGGCGGTAGGATAGACGCATTGTATCCCTGTGCTGGCCCTTCGAGGGTCTCGTGATGCATTACGAAAGGAACGAACGGTGCGGAGTGTGGTTTGAATTTCCTTTCTTTCGGAGCAGGACAGATACCCTTTCACCGTGCTTGGCTCTCTTATTGGGCTACCTACCTCGAAGTAATGTCTATCTCTTACAAATCGCGTCGTTGCGAAAAGCCTGTGATATAATATCTGTGCACGTCAACCTTACGTACGTGCCTCCCGAAATCCCAAAGGAGCTAGTGCTTCTCTTCCAGCTGAAGTCCTCGAAAACACACACACACTGCCGTAAGCGCAGACCCGCATGTTGTTGAAACCGGTGCCGAATTATGCTCTCGCGCTATTATAGTTACCAATGTCTTACGACGCGGCGGCGATATCCCATCGTGCGGCTAAGCGCCACCTTCCTCCTCGGATCTGGAACCTTCTCCGCGGAAGCCCAGCGTCTCGAACATTCCAACGAGAGAATCGACGAGAATACTTGCGGCGAATAATAGGCCAAAAGCGTCGCCGTCACGAACGCTCGAGGTGATCGTGATCGGTGTTTCGAGAGACCTCATTCGCTCGGCACTGCGTCCCACTGCCTCGATCTGTAATTCCTTGTTTTAGCTTCGCCATCATCGCAGGGTCAATATACTCACAAATCCCATGCACCCCTCCTAAACCCGATCATGTGTTTTCGCTTTACACTTCCTGTACATCGATTCGCGCATCGACGTTCCTCGACTAATCGCTGATGGACTACGGGCACATCCAGGGTAGACCCTTAGCTCCACGTCCTCTCGGCCCGCCCCCACTACTCGAACCTCCACCAGACGAGAATAAGAAGAGGAAGCGCGCAGCCATTGCTTGCAAGCCATGTCGTGAACGAAAATCGGCGGTATGTTCACAATATCTCCAGCTCCTGCTATGATCTCTTGCCTGATGCGCGTCTGTTCAGTGCAATAGCGTCCGCCCTGTGTGTGCTGCCTGCGAAGCCCGCCAGACAGAATGCTACTACCTCACCAAGGACGAATCCGAGACGAGGCTGCAAGCCCTCAGACGCGAAAACAAGACGCTCAACGAGCTGATCGACCATCTTCGTACCATGCCGGATGACGAGGCCCATGCTGTCCTGCAGTTGCTGAGGAACTCGGCGAACCCGCAGTCTATCTTGAAGAACATCCGAGACGGGAACCTCTCGATGGTGCAGCCCTCGCAAAGGGAGACTGCGCTCGCCGCTTTGCCTCTCGTTCACTCGGAAACGGAGTTTAAGCTCATGGTCGACCATTCAATGGCTTATCCTGCCCTAGATCTGACGCGAAGCGCGATTCTAGCAAAAACCACTCTCCTAGAATCCACGAGGATGTTGGCACACGACCTCCCTCCCGAGCAAGCGGCGTCCGGCATCTTTGCTGCGTCCTCTGCAGGCCCATCCGAATTGGGTGATAATCCGGAAGACCTTCTCCGTGCTCAGGCTGAGCCGAATATCGAGACCGATGGAGAATTTCCGCAAAGCATAGACCCGCTCTTAGACGATTTGAGGATAAAATACTGGACCACAGTCGAGGTGACTGATGACTTCGCCGCGAGCGCAATCTCCATGTACTTGGAGAACGATCATCCTACGTTAGGCTTGTTCGATGCTCGGCTGTTTGTGAAAGATCTGATCGAGCGTAAGCACGAATGCTGTTCTTCATTTCTTGTCACCTCTCTGCTAGCATTTGCGTCTGTGCGTAGGATAACTGTAGCTGCTATAAGCGGCCTCGCTGACTAGTGCTAGCAAGCGTACTCATCGAAGGAACCCGATGCGGCCTCCAAAAGCTTCGAATTTGAGAAAGAGGCAGAAATGCTTTGGCGTGCAGAAAAGCAGGACTCCATACTGACGATTGCCGGTCTTTCGCTCCTGTTCTTGTCTCATGGCGGTCATGGCTCGGGTAGAGAATTTGAAATACTGCACGAAGCTTCCAATATGGCTAAGCGCCTGAATCTGTTTGGCGTGAAGAACGTACTCGATGATGCGCAAATCTCGTTGCTATCTCCTGTGGCTCAGCGGGCACTGGCGCATACTACCTGGGGGGTGTTCAATCTACACATGTGAGCTGTCAGCGAGCCCGTTTCAATCCTCAAGCGCCTTACTTACATGACATAGCTTACAAGCGCAGTTCTACCTCACTCTGTCAACGCAATACGAGCCAAGGGTTTCGATACCGAAGCCACCTGACGACAATGACTTGGAGGACTTCGCGAGCCTCAAGATCCTTCGCAGCCACGATGCAGGGCTTGTGTTTTACCAGTTGTGTAAGTTGTCGGTTCACGCTTCCGGGATATTTTTGGTTGTGCGAGATACAACTGGCTCCAAAACACCGCCGCCACTAGCCTTTGCCATGCAGCAGTACAATCGACTGCTTGAATTTGTAGATAGCTTGCCAAATGGCATGCGGAGAAGTGCAGGCGCGGACTACGCTCCAGTGCTTGACTTCCAGTGAGTGTTGATCGTGTAATGTTGCTGGCTCCTCCTGACACATCGTTAGCATAGTCCTCCACACCCTCATCACGGACCTTTTCCGGCCCTTCATCACTCGCGAGAGAGATGACGGCTTCCGCGAATTCTACCAGAAGCAAAGCTCGCCTGAAGCCATCTTCGCTTCGTCTGTGCACCGTAAGCTTCCTCTCCTCAATCGCAGATCCACCACTAAAGCCCCCAGAACTCAAGGGCATAATTGTCGAATACACTTCCCAACACCCCTCCGCTGCCCACCATCTTTACTGGCAGACGGCTCTCCTATACGTCTTCAACACCATTGTGAAAGACCAGTCAGACCCACAGTGGCGCTTCTATTTCTGGCTATGCATGCACTGCTACTCCAAGCTCTTCATCTGTTACGCCGCCGTCGAAGATTATGTGCAGTCGCTCCTCGCCATCGCCGTCCGCTACGGCGCCATCTCCCGCAAAGACGCAACGCGGGTGATGCAAGAAGGGTTCTACAAAGACGGCAAGGCGAAGCGGGTGCGGTCGCGGCGGGAAGGACAGCTGCAGGCGCAGCGAAGCACGTACAAGCTCGACTTGGATCTTGCGGTGCGGGACCGGGATGCGGCAGACGTCAGCGCGCTGATTGCGCGGTTCGAGGACATGGATATGTTTGAGGAGTTCACTCGCATCGATGAGTCGGAGGAGAGCGAGGGCGCGAATGATTTTCAAAAATGAAGCGTGGGCAGCCACGCCCAGTTGCTACGTGAGGCAGGGCAAGGCGAACTGATGTCATACGCCTTAGTCAGCGGATCGAATCAGAGGAATCTCGATCTGCGTGCCCATCGCAGTCTGCATCCCGCGCCCACAGCTCTATGCGGTATCATTGTCGGTACAGATCGCGATCGAGACGATCGTAGAAACTGGCACATTTGGCTGGATATTTTGCATTTTTGGATATATACGTTAGGCAGGCGGCATGCGCGGCGCCGGCCCGTAACTACACCATCTCAACGCCCTCTCGTCGCGCATCGACGGTGGTTCTGGGCCGATCCATCAGCTATCTATGTATGAATTTGGTGAGCCAGCGGGACGAAGTTCTGCGAGCTAGGATTTGTCTCTAGAATTGTCCTGCGAACCGACGCCCTCTCACAGTGTCCCGAGCTAATGTTCCCGTTGACGCATGACAGCCGAGTACCCGCAACAGGCGAAGTGTGTACACACACTGGTTCGATTCGTGAAAGTAGCGATGGAGCGCAATGAGGTGGCGAGCTTTAAAGGGAATAAATTCCTATGCCTATCTATAACAATCGCCCTATCACAAGCATGCCGATTGTGCTTCAAGGGTACCCGCCTGAATACCAATTGATTTCTTTCATACTCGAGCTCCTCGGACGTCTCCACCATCTCGATCTAGGATAATCGCAAGCCCATAGGCGCACTCATTGGTTACCGCCAACTGCTGCGCCCATCGAGACCGGGATCATAGTCCCCGTACTCATCTACGCCCCAGGTTCGCCCCCACCTCTTCCCGCCGCCTCTCTCAAATCTAACGAGCCACGGTTTCCCCCTCGCTCGACTGTTTTACTCCTCTCCCATGACCGCCTTCTCATATTTCATCTCGTCATTATCATATGCACATCCGCCCGGTACGAACCTCTTGTTTACGCGCCGCAGATACAAAAAGAAATCTTTTAGTCCCTCCAGCCTTCTCAGCGGGTGGAGCACCCTGTCGTAGACCTTGCCATCAGGAGCCACCCGCGTTAGCCAGTAGAAATGATTATTCTCTATCGAGTCCTTAATTTTGATGCCCCCTCGGAGGTCTAAGACGAGCGTGAGTTGCGGGAGAACCATGGCTTGGGCCATCATCTCAACGGTGTCGAGATAGTCAAGGTAGGCAGACTTGGATGCCGTGGTGTAATTCTTAAATTGTGGTAGGATCCACTCCAGATACCGGATATTCCTCAGAGCGTTCCGTGCGAGGGAGGAAAGGAATAGTGACAACTCTAGGCGCGGCATAGGCGTGACAATTCGCTCGGGGTCGAATTCTAATTGGTCTGGATGCCAGAGTGCGAACAAGTTGCATGGTGGAATGACAAAAAATCGGTTGCGCTGGAAGAGGACGGAAACTGCGTCCTGAGAGACTTGCTTGCTGACTAGGAGGAGGGGATGTACGCCAGTTCTTGGTTGCGCAAGGAGGCTGGACGAGTACGCAGAGTGTTTGCAGTGGAATATACACTCGCAGAAACCGGCGGGGGTCAGGTTGCAGCGGGTAAAGCGCGAGGATTTCTTGCAACAGTGGCTCGCACCGAATTTATAATCCGCCACGTATGGTTGCAGGTCAATTGCGTCCATCTCATCTCTGCTACAGTCCGGCAAATGCATGCCTGAATCGATGGTGTCTCGGTCCAGTTCATGTTCGCAGCTGCAGTAGGGGCTGGGCATTTTCCAGAGACTTGGTAGAGGTGCTTTCCATCCTATGGCACGATCATAGACTAGGTCAGAGTACTCCAATATCCTCCACCTGATCTCAATCGGCAGTTCAAGATACCTGAACGGTTTCATGGTCCGGACAGAGGATGTCAGGCACTTGGCAGTCTCCTGAGCAATCGTCTTCAGCTCCGGGATTTTGTCTTTGTTGAGCCAGAGCCCGCAATTCTTGAGCGTCGGGAGCTGATCGAGTGGCTTTAGGATAGATCTCGCGGTCTGAGCATCCTCGGCATTGACTATGAGATACAGCGTGAGATGATTGGGACGAATGTTATCAGCCAGCCGCTGTACCAGTTTCTCCCATTCTTTCATTCCATTCCATTCCTTCCATACCGAGTGTAGAGCTTTAGTGGCAGGAGCTTCTCAGTTCTCTCCCAATGGTCGCCACCAACGATAGACTCGACAGGCTCTCCATCGAGGCGTACTGTGAGTGTACCCATATGGTACAAAAGACCCTTGGGGATGTTGAACAATGGCGCAAACCCGTATGGGCTACTAAGACAGACCCGAAAATGATTCAAACTGAAGATAACCTTGAATGGTTCTGGAGCTTGTTTACTGGTCCCGTTCCAACCATTGAGCCAGGAGGTGATGAACAGGGCTCCACGGCAACTGTCTTCCACGCATTGGGGTTCGTGAGGAGTGCCACTCGCTGCCATATATTGGTCCCATTCGCAAGTCCAATATTCCGCGAGGGTGTGGTAGTCTTCGCAACGAGTGATCTCGAAATCTCCATTGTGGAAACAAGAGACGTCCTCCACAATCTCTTCGTCTGGATATGTACCTTGTGGGAACACAACTAGATCGTTGTAGTTGAGATCAACGGTGGTGCCTGACATGCCCAAGTATTCATAGATAAGGCTTCGCGCCGTTGAAGGCAAATCATAGAATCCGAGCGGCCTTACCATGGCGGCGGTTGCATGGTCGCAAAGAGTTCACAGTGTTTGTTGAGGAGCAGAAGAGAGGAAGGCAGGCACGTACGAGGTAGGTCGCACAGCTTGGCATGCACGCTAATCTACTTTAAGACAACCACTCATATCCAAACAGGACCATTCTGTCTCAAAGTGCAACGCATATCTACAATCTTCCCTTGGGCTGCGCGTCTACGTTCACAGGTAGTCATGCCACATTCTTTTCGAGCCACTCTTCCCACTGCTCCTTCGTCCAGCTACTCGAGATGTCGTTGATTACAACACCATCAAACACAGCCGTCTATGATAAGTCAGTACATGTGTTGATGAGGTTGCATATGCGGATGCAGTCGCGCAAAAACAAAAGTGATCCGACTCACCGGCGTAACATGCACCCCCACCAACCGATTCGCCTTTACCTGCACCTTCACCGCATCTGTAACCCCATTCCCACTATTCAAACTCCCATCCTCCCCCGGCTTATCCGAAATCTTCAGCATATCAAACACCTTCCCCTCATCCACACCCACCTCCCCCGCAATCTTAGCCAGCCGCTTGTACGTCTCATTACGCGTCTCATTCACCACGCTTACATCGAAGAACTCCTTCTGCTGCTCAAACAGCTTCTCCGAAAACGCGTAGAACTTTTCGGGAGACAACTTGAGCACGGCGTACCCGGCTTCGTGGGTCAGCGTGGAGGAGGGATGCCACGGCTGGATCTGCTGCCGGAAAATGGTCACCACACGGTCGCCGTACTTCTGGAGGAGCGCGTCGCGGAGGGGCGACGAGTAGACTGTTTTGAAGAGCTTCGCACTGAAGGGGCAGACATAGTCGAGGTCTGGATCGGGTGGGCGTTAGCGGAAGGGGGCCGTCGAGCGCTTGGTGAGAACTTACACAGCTCCAGGGTGTGCACGGCTTTAGGCTGGATGGAGCTGGAAGCCAACTTCTGGCCTGCGAAACGTGGTGCGAGTGCCATGGTCGTTGTGTAGTCGAGACGATATGGTAGAGGTAAGCTGAAGGGCAAGTAAGTTGTATATGTAAGTATAATTGCGCAATAAAGAGCTCCGATGGTAAGAGTGCTGACGGAACTTTAAACGTTGGAGGGGTAGCTTCGCAAGCGGGGACTAAGGGTCAATGACGGCAGCGGGGTTCACATTCACGTGCTTAAGTATGCGTGAACTGCATGGACTACTAAACGATGACGAGTGAATACCAGCAGATTCGACCTTTTATCGTTTGGCAATTCGTAGTTGACCTTTAATTGAGCATCTTGATTCATCATGAGCGATAACGACAAGTTATTAATTTTTAATATATTCCAGTAGCGGTATCAATCATCGATACCAGAATGAGTATGCTGCATACCCTTACCCTTTAGTAATGCTATCCCACACATCCTAGCGTTATACACGCACCCACAGACAAACCTCACCCCCCACCAACCACCTTTTCCAATCTCTCACAGAGCAGGACAAGAACAGCATCGATCGAACGCAAGCGAGGACGGCGAACCTAAGAAGCAGCTGCAGGAAGATACTATCCTCCCTTCAAGCTAACCCCCTTGACCCTCTTAGCTAAGTTACTTGATTCGGAGTCGGAGCCATGCGATGACCTCCGCCCGAGGACGCGTTTCGGGGGGCGCTCACCAGCTTCCTTAAGGATTGTCAATAGCGTTGCCCAGCCGCCAGAGTGCTGCAGCTGTAGCCCATCCGACAGATCGTGCCCTGAGGCTACTTTGGCCAAAAGCGCTTCTTCGTCCTAGTGGAGTCATTGTTAGCCGTCAGGATATGGCCGAAGGGGGTTGGGTTATACTTTTGCGAGGATGCCTATGCCATGGAGGAAGGTGAGAAGGTGGAAATTTGAAACGGCCTTAAGTCCACTGGTGGTGTTGAGGGCCACCCCGTTTGCTTTCGCGTTGAGGGCCTTTGATAAGGATCCAAACTCTTGAGCCTCGCCCATAGCTTCCCGGTTCTCAATAGGGAACTTGGGGCCTGTGAAGAGAGGATTGGGTTGGTTAGGGAAACCGTGTGTTAGAGTGACGAGCAGGTAGTCGACAGGGAAAGCAGGTTTCGCGTTTTCCTGCACGTTTGCTCCATATTCGTTCTTCTTTCGGTAGAATACCTCCGGGATGTATCTTGCACGATTGAGCGCATCGTTGTCGTCTTCCGACTGAACAAGCATGACTGATGGCTCTGCAGATGGCTCAATGATGTCCGCTCTGACCATCTCGACTGCTGAGTTTGATGCTTGGTATGCTGCGATACCAATCTGACCTTCCGCATCGCCGCTCACCACGCAAGTTACGAAGTTCGAGCCGAACTTGCCCGTCTCGCTCCATTTGGTAGGTCGCGGATATTTCGCCTGGTAACGTGCCGAGAAGACGATTTCAAGTGACGATAGGAAGTAGGAGTCAATATGTCGCTTGCATATCACAGTACCGTCGCCTTCCCCGGCGTCAATCAGATCAGTGAATATGACGCCCACTCTCTGCAGCCCGCATTGATGTGCCAGCTCGTCAACATCTTTCTCGTTGTCCCACTCGCCCAATGAGATTCCATCGGCTTCGTTGACTTGTGGTGGTTCGTAGATGGCCTCGACAACAGCCTTCGTTCCCAGCGGTACCTCCGGGTACTCCTCGTACCGGCCGTACAGAAAACCTAACCGCTGGCAACCAGTCGTCCTCCAGAAATTGAGCAGATCGTTCACAAGATCAAAGGATGCGAACTCGACGTGATCCACCATGCGAAATTCCTGCGGCTGGAGCGAGATAGCACTGGGCTGACACTTTGTGCAAATACCCTCGGGAAACGGCTTATGGCCCGACGGACAGTCTGGTCGAACGCGGTAATACGGCTCGGTCAGCGGAGGCATATACGATGTCCCACTCTCTGGCTTGTTCTTTCCCGCGTTGATCTTCCGGAGGTACGAATGGAACGAGAGATGCTTGATCTTCTTATCCGCTAGATACTCCAGCGCATACGGCTCCAGCGGCATGCAATAGTCGCACATGCCCTTGGGTCCATGCCGACACATCTTGTGGTCCAGTTTCCGCGCTATCTTGCCGTCGAGCTTGTCTAACCTGTCATCGAGCGGCGACTGTTTGACCACCTCCCACGGATTCTTGATCAGCTGTGTAGGCGAGCCGAGAGGCACGGAGGGCACTTCTGAGGAATCGACGGGCTTGCCGTTGAGGCGGGCGACGCCGGTGGGCGCGTCGGAGTGGCCATTCGAGACGGTCGTCTGCTCGTCAAAGTTGAGGAAGAGCTGGTCGCCATGTCTGGGAGGATGTTAGCTTTGAGGCGAAGTGCGGCAAGCTATCTCCTACTTGAGACCGACTTGGTTGAAGGTAATGCCCCTCAGCGTGCTTAGCTTGCGGGCATCGCCACCGTGCGGTTTGTTGCTGACGGTGATGCTCGAGAGGTCGACATTAGAAGGTAGCTTCTCCGCGATCTGGGGGAGGATGTCGGGAAACGCGGTCGCGGCATCGACCGTGAGCCGGAACTGGCCCTCTTTACTGACGAACCGGAGAATCATGGTGCATCTACTGCGTTGAGCGCTGAGACAGTGTAGTTGTACGTGCAGATAAGCGGCGGTGCATAGAACAGACGCAGCGACGCGTTGGCAGGTGAGAGAGAAAGGCAGCAGGCAGCTGCGGCGGCGTGTTGGTGAATGCTTGTATGCTAGGTAAAGGTGAACGGGCCGTGGAAGGCCGCCGAATGATGACGCGCGCAGCGAATTGCAGGGATGCGCTTGCTAGAGAGTTTCGGCGGGGACGGGCAAGAAAGGACAGATATTCTCCACAAAGCCGGAGTCCAACGTGTCGCGCGCGCAGCAGGCACAACCACCACGGTTTCCACTTTCTCTACCGCCGCCCGCTCATGCCACTGCCGCTCATTTGAACGCTCCCTCGTTGCGTCTCGACCTGCATCACCCCAGCCTTGAGCTACTTGATCAACACCGCGCCCGCTTGCGCCCAACGCACACCCATCCCGCCTGCGCACCACCGCAGCCATGTGGCCCTTCGACGCTGTCGACTGGGTGATGCTCAGCATCCCCCTCGCATACCTCGGAATCCTCACCGGCTCGCTCTACACCTTCAGCAGCATCTACCGCAAGCGCAAAGCTTATCACGCCGCCTCGCTCGAGCCCTGGTTCCCGCCGCACCTCCAGCGCAACGTCTACCTCTCGCTGCTCCACCAAGAAGACCCCAAGGTGCCCGACTCCATCCTCAAGGCTGCGCTCCTGCGCCGTGCCACCGAGGACATCTCCCGCATCATCCAGGTCAGGAGCCAGAAGCAGGCGCTGCAGGTGTTGCTGCAGCGGGGCAGCGTGGGCGACGACCTCTGGCAGCGGTTCCAGCGTGCTGAGAAGGAGATCGAGGAGGAGCTGAGGGATGTTGTGCAAGAGGTACGTCCCTTTTGCCCCAGTCCCGCACTCCAAAGCAGCTAATAGTTCCTAGGCAAACGCCTTCGCACCCAACTGGGGCCAGTCCATCTTCCAGTCCGCATCCGAGCTCTCGCAGAACCATATGCTCCGCGAGCGCCTCAACGAGATACTTGCCACCGCCGACTCCGAACGGCAATGGTGGGACCAGCGCCGGTCAGAGATCCAGTCCGAGCTGCTGGGCGAGCTAGATGCAGACAAGACCAAGAGCCCAACCGAGGGCAGTGTGGCAGGCAGTGTCACGGGCAGTGTTAGAGGTGCGAAAACTGCCAGTGATGACGACGCGGTGCTGGTAGAGAGCGGAGGTCCTGCGGAGAAGACAGGCAAAGGGAAGAAGAAGGGCAAGAAATGAGCTGTTGGGCTGGAAGATGTGACCAAGTGGGGCCTCTGAGGTCTGTAGGGGGAGTAGATGCTTGAGGATCGGTAGATACGAGGGTCTCGATTATTCGATTTTGCATTGCCGGCGTTGAGGTGTTGCGGCATTGGATTCGGCACGATCCAGGAGGCGCTTTAGATACTCAATCCTTGAATGATTAACTTCGTTCCACCACTCGCATAACATTGGATCCCCTTCACGAGTATATTTTCACAGCTCATCCGCTTTGGATCATTTACTTGGTCAAATTGCAATGCTATAACGCCACAAACCCACTTGGACCCAAACAGCCACTATGATACACGCTGTCGCGCTGACAATAGAAAATCTTGTCGTACACCGGATATACAATCCCCCACAATCCCCCAGTCATCTCTTCTATCTATTCATTGATGCCTTTTACTTCCTCACCGGGCCGCTGACACCAGCACCAATGACGCTAGGCAGCTCCTCGCTGCCCACCGAGTACAACAGACCTATCCCGCCAGAAATAAGGAAAGCAAAGAGAATACCGCTAGAAACGAACAGCCAGAACGGAATAGAGACATCCTTCTTCTGGCAAGCCGGTCCGCCCCAGTAAGTGGTCTTCTTGTGCGCCTCCATGCCGGTATCGCCCCTGTCCACAACGGTAGGCTTGCACATGCAGCCGTAGCAATCCGCGCGCTCTCCCTTCTTGCCCTTGTGGAGAACTCCGCAGGAGCCGTGGCCGGAGCATCCATGCGTGGCCTTTGTGCAGGCGTCTTCTGTCGCAAAGCAGCGAGGGAGAATGCCAAGAGGCGCGGTGGTGTCGTTCCCTTCGGCCATCGCAATGACCGGGAAATCCTCCATGTCACTGGGGAGCTCGGGGTTAGGTGACGTAGCAGGCTCAGCACTGGCTAGAGACATGATGGTTTCGGTGAGTTCGCGGCGAGCCTCTAGGGTGGCTCTTTGGTAGGTGCCATAGGGGTTCGTGGCACGCTTAACATTCGAAGCTGACGGCGGCATGACAACCAGTGTTACTGCAAACTGGTTTTCCTTGGGAGCGGCCATGAGCGCAGAAATCATGTCACCAAGCGCCTCAACGCTGGGCTTGGCCATCTTGTCCTTGCTCTTGAGATCGATGTGAAGAACCGTGAGGTAGTCGTTGAAGAGTTCGGGCTGTCGGAGCTCGGACAACTGGCGGTCGATGAACTGGTTTGAGTGGTATGTTGCGCCGGTGGGGTCCAACTTTTGAGGGAGCGACTGGGCTTGCAGGATCATATCTTCAATCAGGTGCTTGTTATCCGACGCGGACGGGGGGTTCGCTATCGTGAGGCTGGACGACCACATCTTGGGGTCCTTGATCATGGCTGGAACGAATGTCAGTTCTTGCAAGTATTAAGCCTACGATGTGCATACCCTCAGCATCTTCCACGCCTTCTATCCACACAAGGGCGTGCGCGTGCGCCCGGTCTGCATCGTCCCCGCCAAATAACTTCTGATGCCTGCCTCCGAAGGCATTGATCTGCTTGAGGCTCTCTTCGCTGCGCGTCTGCTCGATCGTATGGAAGCGCGACAGGCCCAGCCGCTGGGCGAGGATTAATCGAGCTGTGGTGGCATCAATGGTCGTGGCTGCCTGTGGCGAGGTTCTGGGCACAGGGTCGAATATGTAGACACTGCCTGATTGCGCAGCGAATGCGGCACAGTACAGTGAGGACGTGATGAAGCCCCAGGAAAGCTTCATGGTGGCGGGCGTGATGGAAGTGGACGTGCTGGAGCTTGCGGAGTGAGAGCCAGACGTCAGTACCTCGTAGTCGAGGAAGCTACGACCCTCGTCTGCGGGACTTGCCAAGCATTTCGTTCCGACTGTACGACATATAGACTATCTGCGCCTACAGTTACTCTGCAAACCACCACAGCTTCTCACCATCACTTCTGCACTCATCTGCACCTTTTCTATGCCCTATCACGACTAACCCCACTCCATGTTCGCTCGCGACAGCACCCCCAGCCAACTGCGGTAGTCTTGCCTGCCCGACGTCGCCCCCGCCGCCCATGTTCAAGCCGCAAGTCTTCCGGCGGAGCTTTTCACTTTTCAGGCGCGCTCCGACGCCTGCAATCGTCAAATCAGCCTCCCAAGATGGAAACGAAGCGATAAGAATACAGAGAGTCCGCATACAAAGGCGCGTCTTTACCACGTCGTGAGTAAATTCGTGAGCTTCACCTGCGTTGGTCTGACTTTACCCAGGCGTCTGGCGGGCTCCATTGTGGTTGCTGCAGGTACCTGGAAATTTCTCGACTGGTTGAACGAGGAAATAGAAGATGAAGAAGAATTGGAGGAGCATCGTCGCGCGCGACGGCCACCTATTCCCGCACAGGAAGCGAACGACAATGGCGGACGCGAAATAACCGACGAAGAGGAGGCCGAATGGGAAGAGCAGGATGACGAAGAAGAGGAGGAAGAGGACGGTCTGCTGTTCTTCCCTACAGGATTCTCCCGACCCAGACCAAGAAGCTACTACAGAGGTTCCGACCCAGAATGGCAGACATTCGTTCGACTAGCACAAGATCGGCCGCGAGTGGAAAAGATCAGAGGCGAGTTGGTTACAATGGTGCGAGATTTGGCCTCGAGAAACCCCAAGTTCACCTTTCTTCTCGGCAAGATCGACACTACCAAGGGCTCGATCTGGATCGAGGTCAAGTTTCCCGACGGGCCACCTTTGGAATACGAGCGCCCGGGCATCGTACTCACGGAAGACCTCACTTTCCGGAAAGGCGCACAATTGGTTGATCCGATACATCACAGAAAACTAACAAATGTGCTTATGCCGACAGCTGTGGCTAATTCAGTGTACGCCGATGTGAAGAGGAGGTTGTACGGTCAATGGCTGGATTTTAGAAAGTACGCAGGTTTTCAAGTAAAGCAATCGCCGGTAGAGAACATGTTCAAAGGACTGTCTCCCCCTCCCGGGACGGCAACTTCCGCAACGCAACCGCCCGTTGGTCCATCCACGCCAGGTGCGCCTGCGGCAACAGACGCTGAGAAGCAGGCCCAACCTATAGCGCCATCCACCCCCACGAATCCGGCTCTCGAGAAGCTGGGGTTAACGCTCCCGGATCCTGGACAAGCCCCAACCATGAACCTCGCCTACTTCCGCTTGATGTTGATGAAGAACCGCAAACCCATGCCCGTCGAGCCACCACGCGGGACGTTTGTCGTTACCGGCCTAGTCGAGCTCATCGGCGACAAAGCCAAGATGACCCTGGACATAACCGCATGTTACGACCCGAACATGGCGAAATACGTTATGCTGAACACGCGGATTCGTAGTATGACGAAGTACAAGCAGCAACCGAGGGGTGGTCCGTAAGCGCAGGCGAGTGTACGATTACAGATTGAGGTCTACGAATGATTGCATTAGCGGTATCTGGCGTTGGGGCCAGCATTGCGCACGAGTATCATCTCTGAGTGTAGCGTGTACAAATCGTGTATTATTTTGGCATTGGAATTGGAGTAAATGGACGGAGATACCTAGGCCCGGAACACATCAGATGCGAAATCCGCACAATTGCATGACATCAAAATTGTTTGCTTGTCGTATAATCATTCCCTATCCTTTTCTTCGCAAGCGCAGCGTGTCCGATTAACGCTACGCTTCCTCGGAAGTTAGGCCGCCACCCATAATGACCCGTCTTACATTTTGAGCCACTCATTTTACTCCGGCATCTGGATGCTGACTAAACTGCATCTGGTCCCCCGTTCCTTAAGTTGTCTCTTCCGTGCGTATCAGCAACTTATGCATACCACCCCGTCTGTATCGTTTCCTGTTCTTCGTATCTGCCAATCGCTCCTGCCGCGCCTACTCCCAAGAGACGATGTCAAATCAGTATTAGCGCTCCTTTGTAGCGTTTCAATGAACACTACCACGCAACAAGCTCCGGCAGATACCGTGGTATGCGCATCTGCGAGGTTGTCGACAGCCTGGAAAAATGCTCGTCGCCCTCTAGACCACTGTTGTTGACCGCCTTTGACCCACGTGCGCGTCCGGGCAGCCTTCTGCCCCAAGGATCTGGGTCGTCCACCCCACCGGGTCGGCCTAGGCCAGCCAGCCCTGCGCCCGCATGTACTCACACACCAATACAGACATTGCGTTCTACACTACTGTTGTACTGCTCAACATCTACATCTGATTCCACGAGCTAACAGTATCCCACAACATCGGTACACGCAGGTTTGGCCTACAGAGCATTTCGTGGCTTGTCCCCCACTTCCTAAGCGCATCGGCATGCGCCCTTTCGCATTCATAGAATGCGGAGAGCAGGGGAAAGTCAGCAAAGATGACGATTGGGTCGTACGAAGCCACTGCATGTTGGGAAAGAACAAGAAGAGCGGGACCAGGCGGCGGATTCGGAAAGAGAAAGTGCGAGCACCGAGTAAGCGCGATGCAGTCGACCGACCAAAACCTATCACGACTCTAGTCTACGAGTCCGTAGTACATACTCCAGCATATTTAGACGTAAACCCCACCATGTATCTACCATGGCCGGTTGACCGTCAATCGTGGTATTACCTGTGGCGATGTAAGCTTTCCAAACTTGATGTATCGCGTCGAGATGAGCCGTCAGGCTTTAAAACAACGAGGATGGGAAAAGGCTGACAGATCAGTGTCGCATTATCTACCGGAAATGTATCCACTGGACGGATATCTCAATGAGGACTATCCCGTCGACGAACTCTCCCCGGATGATGAAGGCGCCCTTACGACTTCATTGATGACAGCTAGCGCACATAACGACTACATCTCCTACCAACCTCCAAGCAACCACACACGACACCTTATCGCCAAAACTATTTCCTATCTCAACCGCCTTTTGAACAAAAATGACGATCGCTCAAGAAATTCAGCAATCTGCATCATGATCCATCTGGCCGGCGTAGCAATGTTCTGTGGAGAGTACAACGCAGCATCTACCCACATATCCGGGCTGTTCGAAGTCCTCCGCTTGTACAAAGCCCACCAAGCAAGCTACGGTGTCTCGCGCACCACCTCCCAGACCCGTTACGACATCCTCAAATATAAAATTGAGCGAATAGCATTCTGTCAATTCTACATCACAGGCGAGAGCGTGCCATTCTACGCCCAACCGCCCTCGTGGGAACCACTTGAGAAAGATGCCTCTTTACCCAATGGGGAAGTCCGCACGGGGTCCTCAAAACTAGACAGCGTCTTCTACGATTTCCGCGCGCTCACCCGTACCATGGGACAGACGAGTGCAAGCCAGCTGAAGTTAGAAGCACAGTACTTCCGTAATACAATGCACTCGCTGCAGGCCCGTGTGATAGCGCTGAACCCCGGCGAAGGCACCCCGTTTGCAGAGTGCCTGCGTCTCGCTGTAACAGCCGCGATCACGTCGCAGACACAGTTGCCAATGAGGCGGCTAGACCACCACCACCTGAACGACCAGTTCCGCCGCTGGATGCCACTTCTCGAGTGCCCGGATGATCAAAAGGGGAGGGACGTTGTTTTGTGGATTGTCATGGCGGCTTTCATAGTCGCGTTCCACCCGGAAGAGGAAAACGACGCGTGGGTTGGGAAGCTGTTCCGGGAGGCGGCTGGTGACGCCGAGGATTGGGAGGCGGCCAGGCTGAGAGTCATGAGCGTAACTTGGATCCCGGGGTATATCGACGCGGCTGATGAGAAGTGTTTCAATCGCTTGCGCAAGAAGTGGCCGCTGAAGGGGCCAAGGGCAGCGCGGCAGGGCCAAGTACCGGGAGACGTAGCGTTGCCGGCGCGTATTGCACGATTAGAGGAGGAAATCGAACAATTCTGATAGGGATGTATGCTATTGTCAGCTTACATACTGACTTGCCCTACAGAAGGTTTGGTGTGTCTCATATTTAGCACTCGAAGACGTGTGCAATTAATGCTCTCTAATTCTACAGTTGTTGCCATAGCGTCGATGTCTACGTTCGAGCACTGTAAGACTAGATCTTGAACGCAGGATGCTCTCGTGTCCACACGAAACTTAAACATACTGAAGGCTTAAAAATTCAAGCTCTTGTTACTGGACCTGAAGGCGACTGTGCGTACTACGAATGTCTAAACTCGTTGAACGCTATCGCGTCGCTGGTCTCCGCGGCCATCAATGCTCGCTCACTGATGTACACATCAAGCATCCAACGTAACACAGCGAATGGAATTCTTGAGAGTTACTATCTCTACCAGAAATTCTACGAGACGGCTGTATTGGGTTCTCCTGCGGCGTGCAAAAGCGCGCGAAGAGTCAAAACTTAATGGACGACGCGTGAACAGAAAGGGGTACTCCGCCAGCATTCGTCAACGAATATAATCAGCAGTACAACCAACAGTTCAAATAGTACTTCCAGCAACGCTGATTTCCGACCTACCGTACCATTCAACGTAGAATGGATAGTGGTAGAACCAGGAGGGAATGGCGCCCAGTCCCCAGCTCCTGTGAACACCAACCGCATCGGCAAACCCCACCACAGTAAGCAACAAGAACGATTGACAATCCAAAAAGTCCTTTGAACAGCGCTGGTTTCAAATCTGACTTCCATTTCCCCACACAACCAAGATCAGCCGAGCTATGGCCGACCATACGCCCCGACACCCGCCTTCTCCTATAGAACCGCCGATCGTGCAAAAAACAAAAAAGAATACATTTACTCTCCCTCGGGGAATCGAACCCCGGTCTCCCGCGCTTGTTTTCTTGCTGGTAAGAATGACAAGCGGAAATCATGACCACTAGACCAAGGAAGATGTTGAAGCTGATGATGCTTACTAACAGATGTTGAAATCGTGCTTATTGGCATTTATATAGACAAACATGTCTGGTTAAGGAAGAAGTTTAGGGAATCTGATGGCCTCGAAGATGGCCTGTTGAGAATTTGCGAGAGTGGGGCGGGTATGGATATCATCGGCGTGCGGGTAAACGCGGTTAGCGAGGCCGATGCAAGGACGTCGACCACACCCAAGCGAATGCGGGAGAACACATCAACTGCGAGCACTGGAAAGCGATCTACTCATACTCAGTAAGCATTTGTACACGTACGAGACATTTCAAATTAATGTGCTTTACGTTGAAGGTTTCATTACTCGTCGCCGCGTGCGATCATCACCCTAGGTACTATGGGGGTATGCATCCGCCCACCTCCTGTTCTTCTCAAATCATACAATCACTACAGACCCCTGCCCCCTACGCATTCATGGCAGGCTTCTCCTCAACACTCCTCCTGTGCAGGCCAACCGTCCTGTCATCATGCACACTTGCCCTCCTTAGCGTCGGATCAGCATCGTAATCCTGATCCATCGCATTCATCTCCTCCTCGGTATCATTCAAGTGGTGGAACAGTACCCAAATCAAGCATCCCGCGACGAAACTCGCGACCGCAATGCCAACGTACATCCACTGGATGGCCGGGTCGTACAGCACGGGGTTCAGTGCCTCGGAGATGGCGGAGCCGAAGGCATTCGTCAACAGGAACATGGACTGCACGAAGGACTTCATGCTCGGCGGAGCCTTGGTGTACGCATACTCGTAGCCGGTGACGGAGGCAAAGATCTCGGAGATACCGATGAGCATGTACGCGCCGGTTTGCGCGGCAATGTGGATGTTGTTACCCTGGGCCTGGCCGTTTGCGTCGAGAGATGCGTCGCAGCCTGGATGTTCGTAACAGGGGCCGGCTTTGTAGATGAAGTGCTGGAGGACCGCGGCGTACACCATGGCCATGGAGGCGATCCAGAATCCGGCGACGATGCGGTTGATGGGCGGGAAGCGGATGCCGGCGCGGCGCAAAGCGGGCATGACCAGGCGCTCCATGATGGGGAGGAAGACAATGATGGCGATGGGGTCGAAGTTCTGCATCAGGTCGTTGGGGATGCCGTGGGACGCCATCTGGCCAGCCTGCGAGACGAAGTTGTTGGAGAATTGGCCGTAGACGACCCAGTATACCGGGTAGAAGCAGAAGACCTTGCACGCGATGAGGGCGCGCTTCACCTCCTCGACAAAGTGGTCATCCCACTTGATCTTCGTCGCGATGGCGTCGTTTCCGAGGCCAGCCTGGTACGTCGGCTTCGCGGCGTTCATGTTGCGGCCCTTGATCATCATCCAGATGACGCGGAAGCAGTCCGTGACAACGGAGCCCTGCGGCGGGCGCACGACGTAGACCTTGCGTCCCAAAACGAGGGTGACCGTACCGACGAGGAACATGCACAAACATAGCAAGAACGCTGACCAGAAGCCGACGTCACGCTCCATGTAGGGTGTTGCGATGAGCGACAGGGACCCCAGGTTGATGCAGAAGTAAAAGATCATGTAGATGCGCGTAATGGTGATGGACGGATCGATAATGATGCGCTCGCCCGTCTTCTTGTCGGTCGTAACCTTCATCTGGCGGCGTTTGTACTGGTCGGCAATGAGAGGGGCAACATTGGACTTGATACCACCGGTCCCGAGTCCGATGACGATGATCGCAGTTACGAAGCCACCCAGACCGGCACCTTGGTTCAGCACACTAGGGATCGAAGTGATGGTCAAGATGAGGAGACCGGCGATGTAGACGAAGCAGAAGATGAGGATGGTGTTGTACTTTCCGAGGTATTGATCAGCGATAATGGCACCAAAGATGGGCGTCACTAGATCAGTCAGTGCAAATTCTTTCGTGTTCAAGATATTTTGAGAACTTACCATAGCACCAGAACTGGAAGAAAGTAGAAAGACCGGTTGCACCCTGGTGACCCATACCAAGCGCACCAGGTCCATCACGTCCATCGAGCGGGCGCTGGATGTAGTTTTGGAAAAGACCAGAGGCACCGTAGTATGTGAAACGCTCGCAAAGTTCGACAACCGCGACAAGGAACGCGGCTTTGGGGACCTTGTCACCCACTCTTCGAAGAGTCTTCTTCTCCTCCTCGGTGGGAAGTTCACCGCCGAAGCCATCGTCTTCGCCCGCTACTGAGGGAGTGTGTGACGAGGCCTCAAGCGCGGCGGCCTTCTCATCTGCAGTAAACGGCCTCTCCGTCAATGGCTCCCCAGCAATGTCCCGCCTCTTGTTGGATAGATCAGGCTGATCAAGGGTCTGGTGAAGGCTATTCGCTGTCAATGGACATGCTCGGCGTCGCGTACGCATAACTCACCCCGCAGCCTCAGTCTCGTATGCCGTCGCCATCTTGAATTGCGCTTCTCAAGGCGAACTCACAACACAGCAAAAAGTGAAAGAGATAGTTTCACCCCGGAATTTCCAACGGGCAAAAACAGCGCGACACCTCCTCCATATTTAACCACCCTGTCCCCACCAGAGCTACCCGCACGCTGCATCCAGCCCGCCGGGAACACAGTACCTGTCGCCTCCACGGCGATAACCATCTCCCAGCTTGGACCACAAGCAATGCCGCGCGATGTAACCTGCACCAAGCACCTCTCGGCTAACCGCTCTCAGCCGGCCTGCCGTTGTGCCGCCAATTAAGCAATCCCCTTGGCAGCTTGAATGCGCCACTTTACACACACCCTTGTCCGATCCTGGACTCTTTCCCGTCCGCGGCGTACATGAGTGGATCTCCCGGCGCGCGAGTAGACGACTCTCCTGCTGGATGGGGACGTGTTGGTGGTGATCAAGTTGGCATTACACAAAAACCTGCGCAGCCGAGGTGAGCCGGAGAGTTGCGCTCCCCTCCTCAAGCGACGCGAAGTATCGTATCTGCAGTCATTCATATCAAATATCCCAATCCCACCGCCGCACCGTGACGTCGCCACCTACCGTACACACCACCGCGCACCGGGCGATCCGGAAACAAGCGCTCGGGCCTCTCCCGCTCGAACTGCCTTCTCGAAAAATTCTCTGTCGCCGGTGCCGAACCCTCGCCGTCGCCTCCTGATAAGGCAGCGCACGCCGCACGAGAAGGAGTCCCTACGGCTGAAGGCTGGTAAGCTACCGACTAATCTCACACCCTCGATTTGCTGCACGCCCTCGGGGCTCGCCGAGCGCAGGCCTCGCCACGTGTTAGTCACCTGTTTCGACACCACGGACCCAAACTTCATCTCCGCTAGACATGTTCGAATCTGCCTGCGTGCCTCGGCTGGTATCCACACAACTGTATTTCGGAGGCACAGTCGCCATAGAGAGCGGTGATTCCATTGCAAATGGCTGCGATACCGGAGGAGCTGTGAAAATTTGCAGACAGAAGCCGTGTCCAAAGCCGCTCTCACAAACTTTTCTGCTTCTACCTACGTCCGGAAACAACACGATGCCTTCGCACACACCAATGTCCGATGCTACCCATGCCGTTGCGTGAATTTTACCACTCCCAACACCCCCGCTCCCTAAGCCGACATCCGAATGCTTGTCCAGCGCCTCCTGCATCCGCCAATCCTGGGGTGCAGACGCTATATTGATAAGCGTCTGTCCCGACATGCCAATTTTACTGCGTTGGGAAGGTGCATCCATCCCAGCGTATACACGAGTACGGGTCTTCTGCCACCCGCTGATGCCGTTGCCGCAAACGCGCTGACACGGTGGAGCTCTGTTGCTTCGCTTGCGTTAAGCATTGTTGGTGTGGGAGTATTCTTGGGTGGACGGCGCTCCGGGGTTGTTAGGAGCTGTAGCTTGTACCGCGCCTCCATAGAATCTCGAGCTGTGGTACCTAGGTATAGTATACTTATGGATTGCAGGCATAATCCTAACATGTAGCCGGGTATGACTAATGGGCCCCAGGTAAGAGAACGAGGTGTGGCAGGTGACATCCAGGGGCGGACATAATGATTACAGGTACCAAGCCCTTGAATCGATTGTCTGTATGTGTCCACCGCTTTCAAATATCAACACACCGTTCAAAGTAAGAAAATGCCGACATTGCCAGCATACATGCATACAGACGCCCCTCTAAGCGTCCGAATACCTACCACGGGTACTAACGCCATGCAATGCAAGTCCTAAAGGACTGCCCACAGTGTATCAACAAAGGAAATCGCGACTGGCACATCGTCCAGAGGAGCCTTTTGGGCCCGATATCCACCATATCATACACTTTACGAGAATAAGGAGATAATGACAACGAAGCAACGCGCTATGTCGTGACGGAACAATGACCACAATTAAGCAGCAGGCTCACAGCACTGCTTGCTGTTGCCGCATGCGTCAGAGCACTCTAACAGACACGTCTCGCCCTCACCGCACACGCTACCGGTCTTGCTACCGACCTTTGAGGCCTTGCCATGGGACGCAGCCGCTTCGTCGGCGCTGCTCTCGTCTGTGTTGCCGGCATGGTCATGGTTCTCGTCGAGGCAAAATTCCGGCTGGATAGTGGACGAGTGGATGCCGTATTCGTGGAGACATTGCCTGATTTCGCGGGCGAGAGCCATGTAGCGTGCGGATCCGTCACCCTTGAAATCAAAGGCAACTTGGACATGGAGCGAAGCAACGAGCTTGGTGTCGGAAAGTTGCCAGACGTGGACATGGTGGCATGACACAATGCCTTCAAGCTCCGTAATGTCGTCCTTGATATCGTCGATTGAAAGGCCCGCTGGTACGGCCTGGAGCAGAATACGTGCCGCAGCTTTGCACAGTGGGATGGCAGAAGCAAGGATGATGACGGTAATAACAAGAGAAATGGCGGGGTCCGAGTAGAACCTCCATGAGTAGTCCGTCAGCCAGATGATGAGAGCCGATGCAATAACACCGATGTTTCCCAGAGCATCGCCCATGACGTGCAAAAACACACCGCGCATGTTGAGATCGTGACCATGGCCGTGACCGCCCTTGCCGTCCTCCTTTGGCTTTGCATGCTTGTGATCGGTGTGAGCGTCCTTCTTGGGAGAACCGGGTTGGCCAGAAACGCCCTTGCCTTTGGGCAAAAGCGGTGACTGCTCTGTAGGTCCACCGTTTGCGACCGCGTCTTCGTTATCCGCATCTGAGCTGGAGTCTTCTTCCAAACGCGATGATTCAATGATGCTGTTACGGAAAGAGGAGGGGTAAACTGGAATGTCCTCGGGTCCAGAGTAGCCTCGAGACCGCGATCGGTGATGCTTCCTAGAGATACGCTTTCCGGATGCTGACCTGCGAGGTGTGGCATCCTTCTTGGCTGACCAGGAGATATCTGTAGGCCGTTTTCCAGGGGTATTCGGTCCATCGGTGGCGGTCGACGGCCAGTTGCCAATGCGACTTTGAGGAAGCACGTCAGCGACATTGCCTTCCTCATCGGCTACCGCATGGTCTTCAGCGTCGGTTCCGTGGGCATGACCCTCCTCTGCTGATTGGATTTCGTCACCGTGTCCATGAGAGTGTCCGCCGTGGCTGTGTCCGTGGTCGTGGAAAAGGAAGAGACCGACGATGTTCGAAGCCAGACCAAAAGATCCTACTATAAGCACAAGCTTAGGTTGGCTAACTTCTTGAGGCTCGACGAAACGCTGGATGGCATCGAGGAAAATGGTGAGGCAAAGTGCGACGAGAAAGACACCGTTCACGAGAGCACCGAGAGTTTCGGCTCGTTGCCACTGCGCGCGCTTGTTAGTCGAGCAAATGCGAACGTGGCAGAAGTAGACTCACCCCATACGTATACATATTCGAGTTCGTCTTCTGGTTGGCAACCTTGACGGCCCACAGACCGACTAGAAGTGAGATCACATCATTCAACATGTGGAAAGAATCAGCAACGAGCGCGAGCGAATGGACCGCATATCCTAAGAGTGTGAGTTCCCATATGTACCGTAGCGCGCGACTGCACTAACCGACAGATATCTCAAGCAGGAAGAAGAGAGAGTCGATGGCAAGCAGGATCAAAATCCTGGTGGTTTTGGAGAGACCCATTGCGATATCAGAGGCCGGCTCACTGGGGGACCCGGGGGATGAGGAAACAGTCTATTGCAGGCAGCACGCAGCAGCCACAGGGCGCTGGATAAGCTCGGAGGAGTGCTACAGCTGCGCGACGACGTGCGGAGGGTTGTGGCGGGGTTTATGGAGCAGACGCGCGCACGTTTGGGAGACTTCGCCCTGTGACGCTTTCAGTGAGTGCCAAGCTTCGGTCCGTGCGCACAGACCTCCACTTTTCAACTATCGGACCCCCGGTCCGCAACTCATCACTCGCCGTTGGATTAACATGTCGCCAGGAACCAGCATTTGTAATCGAGCGGCGTATATCTCTACGCTTCCGGAAATGCCTCACGCGGTCGAATCAACATAACATCTAGTAAGACCGGTCAATTCAATGAGTGCACAGCTCCATGGTTTTACATGTGACCCCGAAACTCGTTTAAACCCAGGAATGTAGTCGGCCAGGAACTTTCCCACGACAGACAGGCAGTTTCTGACCATACCGATATCACAGGGCTCATAGTGTTTGGGAGTTGCGTGCACACGAGACATAAATGACATGGATCCACGTATCGACTCCATGCGGATACCCGACAATACATCTACGTGAACTTTTCACTAAGAGTGAACGTACCATAACTGACTGTGCACGTCGCTATTCCAAACCATGCCCAAAGATCTTTGCAGGTGCCGAAAGAAGACACGGCCATCGCAAGAGCATACCAGATCGAGCTTGGGACATGTAGACCCCATACAAGTCATACCGTTGTAGTCAGTTTCGAACGTATCCACCACATGCATCAGTTCCTCCTGTGCTTCTTCTTGGACTGTACCCACGAGAAAACTCGGAGAATTGGAGCGGTCGTAGAATCGGAGACCCGCGTCACCCCTATGTTGGGCAGGATACAAGACTTTCAATGTGTCTCACAGAGCACTGCAGCGCGGAATGAGTACACTCACCGGGCATGTCGTTTGGGATAAATTATCCATACGAAATTGCACACACAAGACCGATATCCTTCGCTTCCACAGCGCAGACCCTGGCCTGCATCTCCCTCACCCGATCCCTTGATATCCAGCCATTGTACTCTCGAGAGAAACACTCGGATTCGGATTTGGATTTCCAACACAGGAGGAAACGCTTGAAATTGTCGAATGTTCCGCTTAAACGCTCAGTGGCGAGATCCTCGTCGTCAAACTCATCGTTGAGTATCTATAATCGTATGAAAGCATGCCGTTCTCGACCTTGAGGGCGTTCGCACCATGTTCGTACCATTGGCCATCGTACTTATACTCTGAAATGTCGAAGCTGTTGTTGCTGTACAGCATATGAGCGACCTCTGAAAGCACCTATCGACAAGTGCGCAGAAAGTTGCCTCTGTTGCTAGTTGGGGGCGCGCGTCTTTCTTAGGGGAATAGCCATCATCGAAGTGCACTACCAGGCAGGATCTTTCAGCTTATTGCTTGGAGAGGGAGATGTACAGCTTGGTATAGATGAGTGAGTAGATCCGGTTGCGCTGTTCGCCGGTGAGTTTCAGCAGAGGCGACTGGGTGGCATTTCGCACGGTGATGAGAAATACGTAAGTGATAGAGAACCTGACAAAGAGTCAGTGTCTGCACTTACAGATCTTGTAAGTAAGTAGGTGCCCCGTAGAGAGGCGTCGTCTCGCCGCCAGAGTCTAGGGACATTACAATTGAGCAATTGCGAGCCAGGTCCTGGTGTGAGTTTGAGTGTGAATACTAGTGCTGGAGAGAAGGCTATTGTTTATATAGGGGACAGGCGCACGCCCGAGTCACCGTCGTTACGCTTGAGTCCTGAGCAGTATACCTTTTGGTCAAACAGTGGCTGGTGTGCTGATTAGTTTGAAAGGTGGCACATTCAACAATAAATGAGAACATTCATCGCTGTCATATGTCCCACGCTTCTTCCTCTCATGGATATTCTCGCCTTCTTCTACTACTACACAAACCGCGACCCTGAACTTCCTTTTTTCGGTACTTGTACCGGACTGATTACTCGCTGCGCGTTGTACGTAGACCGGCTGCATTGGCGCTTAATATCACCCCGGAAGTTGAATATCTATGGTCGGAGTACGCGCAATAACATATCTTAGGGTGTGGTCCAAGGCGGTCGTGACTTCCTCGCGAGAGGCCATCCAGGCCTTTCCCTTGTATCAAGAGCGACGCCATGACATCATTCTCCAAAGTCATCATCGGCATTCATCTTCATCCTCACTCGCCCCCGTGATTGCGAGCTCCATTACATCCACTTAGAGAGTAGATATCGACCTGGCGGCGCTGTTCAACTGTCGGTTTACTGGCCGATTCACTTTCACCGCAGGCCTTCTAGCAAATATCGACGCTCGTCCAGATCTGTGCTTCTCTACGCCATCCATCCTGAACTTTCCTTGAGCAATGTTTCCTTTCCAGACCATGAAGTCTTTTTGCGTCGGCCCTGCAGAGAAGAATGGTCCAGCTACTCCGACATTCAATATTGGATCCACATATTCCGGCAAAGTCATCCAACATGGCCCAAAGCGCGCTCAGCCCAAGACCGCTTTCCACCTCCCCGAGGTCTGCCGATTCATCTATGAGGAGACTGCAATACTCGGGTATGCCACCAACCAGTTCGCTTTCGTTGGTGAAGTCGACCAGAAATTCGGAAAAGACGACGGTCCTGATGGTGCGCTCGAAGGATGGTGCCGCGAGCTTGTTCCAGCCCAGATCAAGGCCGTGAACAGCATCCGTCCCCACTGGCACGACCTGCAAGACTACCTCAACAAGAGTAACATGAGGACTATGAAGCAGCTCTTCCCAAAGCTTAAGCAGATTCGCGTCCCATCTCGTGCCGTCAACTGCGACGCAAAGTGGCCCTCCCGTGGCGATCCCATGAGGAAGTACTTGCGCCAGCAGACCAAGGAGCGGATGTCGGTTTTGGTGAAGCATTAAGAGGGTGAAGATGTCGAGGTTGTCTTCTCAGGTGTCTGAGTTGCATGACGGCGTTCGGGTCAAGACGTGAACTTGGACCCACGCCTCAGGGCACGAGGTGGTATTACTCCAGAAATGTCGACCTTATCGTCCGCGAGTCGCGTTGGCCGCGATCAAGATTGAGTGAGGATCTACTTAGTAAACGTATTGCAATGATTTACACTTTGACCGCCAGTTATGGTCGCACACAAAGAAGTCATAAGAGCTCTCACGAAAGCAATGATTCTGGGATCACATTGGGTCTTGACCAACTTCAGCTTTCAATTCGAAGACTCGAATGCCTAGCTATTTAATCTACTTGTCTTTCCTGTATCGTGAATTGTTCATAGTTGGATTGACGTCTAAGCTCTCTCGCTACACTCTTCCGAACTCAGGTGGAGGTTACACATGCCTTCCTGGTCACGCCGCCCCGCACCTTTGCCAGAATACCTCCAGTGGTGATAATGGTGTACCATCAGCGTCGTCACCTGTATTCAACACAACCGATCGTATCGTATTCACCGTCGGATTGAACTGCAGAACCGGCCACTCCACTCTCGCAAACACACTGTCTTCAGGAATCTGCCGGCTAGGCGGTAAAGCGAGCACGATGTCGCCATTGCATTTCTGCGCAAAGGCTTCAGATAAGTTGTCAAAATACTCGTTCCGCTCAGTCTCCCCCCACCCAACCCCAGCCATAGCATACTGCTCTTGAAATGCCCAGGACATTGGACACTGGACATTATAGTCGGGTTGACCGTCCTCGTCTTCTTGCGACGTGGCTGCCCAGCCGTCTTTGTCTAGATCAGCCAGGATGAACAACTCATTGTTGTCAGCGTATTGCTGTGCTGCAGCTAATGTGCCGCCGGTGTAGAACATGCAGCTGCTGGATGGCACGTCTTCGAGATGGGGTCGGAGGTCTGACGCGCCTGGTACTGGTGGTTTGTCGAGTCGCTTCGCGAGTGCCTCAGTGGTGGATACGACATCGAGAGGCCATGATGACGCAAGAGGAAAAAGTAAGAGTGCGAATGCTGAGACGATAAATTGAATCATCATTACGAAGTGAGAAAGGAAGAGAAATTGATTCGGCCTCTCGTGAGGGCAACTGTGCGATACTTAGTTCTGCTGCGTCCTACTGAGACTTGTATTTGCACTACGACATCGCCAATCTTCGCATACTAAGATTACGATGACCTCCTGGTCTAAGGATAGCTTCCGTTTCGTTGCGGCTCGCATAGCCTCCTTACCTTCATTCCTCAGCATACTAAAGTATCGTATTCGCGAGACTAAGACAGACGGACCCTTGGCATGCTCGTGTGAGGCGAGTGAATAAGCAAACATTGTTTCAGCCTTACTGCTCAAGCGCTAAATCTACTCCGCGTTTTGGGGGCGAAGTGACTAGCTGGTGGCTCATCTTCACAAGTGCAGATGGCCCCACAAGTATTTGATTGATATGCCTCTCATCGTAAAGCCTCAATAATAGCAAGGAATTACAAACTTCAAGAGGGGAGAACTGGATCAATCACTGGATCCCGCAACTTCGCCATTAGCGCCTTCGACGAGGTCGCATTCAACAAGTTTTCCTCGCAAATCGTTTGCTATTCAATTTTCTGCGCTTTCTATCCTGCTTCAGATTTCTTTTCAAGATGCCCCACAGCGCCCAACGTTCTATATTTTACTTGGGTGTTTTGGCACAACTCATCAGCCGTGCGACAGCAGCGGATTGTTCGCAGCAACGAAAAGAAGGCGATCCTACCAGCGCCGAGATCGCAGATGCATTGACAAAGAACAACGCGTTATCAAACATATGCTCAGGAAACTTCTCACCGCAAAGTACAACAGATAATACATGGAACTACTGGTGAGAAGTCTTGCTTCAAGGCACTTATGCAGAACTGACCATGATCATAGGTACATGAACTACATCGTCCACCGAGACGACAGCAATAAACCTCTTGAGAACTGTAACGATGCGTTCCAGAACATCATCGACCAGTGCATTTACGGTGGAAATTACTGGGGCGGAGAGTGGTCGTTGAATGGCTTCAAATATTCGATCACGAACTCTATATACGACCAAACGCCGAATAACCCACTGGCACCGGGCGATGCGGGTGGCCCGTCAGCAACATCATCATCTTCTGAAGCTGCGGCTCCTCCGGCAGGCGCTACAGTTGTTACCGAGACAGTGGACGGGAACACTGTACCCGTGACAGTAAGTTGACCTTGCCAAAAGATGTTGAATGGGATGGCTGACTTCAAAAGTTCGTTCCAACAACGTTCTCAGATTACGCTACACTTACCAGCACCACAACAATAACTACAACGACTAGTGACTACTCTGGTAATGTTGTGGTTATTCCTTGGATTGTGGGACCTGGAGGTATTGCTTTCGGTAAGACCGTCACTGCCACCGTTTACACTTCTAGGACAGTATAAGCCTGACTTTTGACAGTGCCTGTTGGAGGCGTTCCCTTGCCTCCAGGCATCACGCCTCCCCCAGTCGCACCCACCGACCCAAATAACCCCGCAGATACCGAAGACACCCCCACAACAAACGACCAGCCATCCTCCTCTTCTTCAGCATGCACAAGGAGCCTCTCTTTCGCCGCCGCAGCTGGCACACCCCGCGAGGGTCTCCAGATCCCAATCTGGGTGCAAACAGGCCGCACACCCACATCGTCATCTTCCTCTTCCTCATCCAAGAAACCTAACATTCAGACCGTCACGGTTGACTGCAACGTCTGTACGTTGATTGAGGGGAGTTTGCATCCGGTGTGTACGCCGATACCGGGATGTACGTTAACGCCATCAACGTCAGCATCATCGGATCCGCCAGCACAGACACCGTACCCGGCTTGTCCTGGAGTGGACCTTGGGGGGTTTAGTTGTGGGGGCCAGTGTAGGGGTTGGGTGCCTTGTCCGGATTGGTGCATCGATAATTGCGCGGACTGCTTCAATGCTCATAATGTGTGTTGAAGGAGCCGACAGTATGTTGTATTCTGTTCCAGTGACCCGCCTAGAGATACATCCCATGACGTTGGAAACATGAAGATTTTGTTACGATCTGAGGCGACCCATCTTCTAATATCTTGGCGGCGACCACCATTCATCCATGCTCAGTGCTGTGAAGTTGCTGAACGACACGAATCTTGAAGATCAATCATCCTCTGACGAGTTGTGTTCAGCATCTTAATGCTTTGCATGCCTGAGAATATTGTAGGCAAATAAGGCAGAAATTTTGGGCTCTTAGCCGTATTTGACGTTGGTCACGATCCATTCAGGTGTGCACACCATATAGTGCATGGCAATCTTCCGATCCAGCGTAAGGATGCCACAAAGCTTTTCGACTACGCTATGTCTTTCTTTCTCGACGCTGCAAAGAGAACGTAGATTATACACGACAGATTGAAGGTGGAGTTCTGCGCTGGCGACGTTGCACACGTCCTCGAAGGGATCAAATGTGGCATAATACAGGATCGCGACCCAGTGTCTCCAAAACATTTGACCGAATGCATGGCAGTAACGTCCTGTCATTAGATGCACGCTTTTACGATCTGCTTCAAGCTGACTTGTGTTCAGTGACTATATTGATGGCAGTCTCCTCCACTACATCTTTACTCTCCCGGTGCTCAAGCGCAAACCATCTTCGTTAGCAGCCTCAAATGTACTACAGAACCCTCCAGCATTTCGGGTCGTTGAATCATTCGACAATGAATACGCGCTGCTCCCTGATTCCACTGCAGTTCGCCAGGTATTCGATGCAAGAGCGACAGATCTCGAGCGTGTAAAAGACACTTTGGTCGAATGGCGCACGCGCTCCGAGGAAGATCTACATTCTCTCAAATTTGGTTACGTTAAGAGTTCTGGATTTGCAGAAACTTGCAACTAGGGAAGTCAGCACGCAAATCTCAAAGGAAGAGACTCTATTACTAATCTACGCGATCATTTCACGACTGAAAAATGGCTATATGCCGTTTTATGAAGCTGTGCTATCTATTAGTAAGGCCACATTAACAGCATCATCTGCTTGTAATATACCTATGAAATCTTACCAAGTTTTTCCGCCTCCTTCTGACCATTCACGGCAGCAGACACCCTGCACACTGGCTTGTGATGTGCTGTTTAACATTCTGAACAACGAAGTTGAAACTACATCTCGTCCGCCACGAAGCTACCCCTATGCTACCAAAGAATTCATGAAGGACTTTAGGAATGCACGCATCGATCCGTAAAAATTTCTCGCCGAGATGTTCACACTCGCGACCATGTGCCTGCCCGATCTCTCTTTCGGCCTGACGCGTCCCTCAGACCTGCCAGCATCCTCGAAAATACGCCGATATACTGTTCGGTTCGCCGAAATCAACTGGAAAGGTCTGAAAAACCTGTCAGTATTCACTATATTTTTGGCCAACGCAGAGCATTTCGCTGCCCCCGGCCAAACTGTCTCACGATTCCACCGACACCTTCCACGCTGTGCTTCTGGCCGACTTAAGGCGAGACCCCGGGGTTGGAGCCGAGCGTTTTCAGAAGCATCGTGCCCTAGTGAGCACGTGAGCTTGTGAGCCGAAAGAGCAGCGCGGTACGTTCTGGGTGGGTGAAGACGTTGTACACGAATGGACAGAGGGTGATTGGAAGGTGACTATCTTGAGACATGATATCTGGCTGCTTTTCACGTCTTCCAAGCATCTGATGGGTGTTTTAGAAAAGGAGATGCTTTGAAACAAGTAGGGTTGAATCGAGTCTGTCACACAGATTTCTGCGCGCACCCAACTCTTTTCTACGAATGGAAGCCCAGTTGTATCGGATCATTCATTTCATCCCTAAGCATTATCCAGAAAATCTCCGTCTCTCTGCAAAGGCCAGTTTTCGAAGTCAGATCCTTCATCGCCTCACACAAATGACAAGACCAAGTAGGCGCATCAACGCGCGACGAATCATACAGCCATTATCGCTACGACATGGGACAGTTTCGTCATTCCTAATCCTGCGGACTACGTTCCCCGCGAGCAAGACAAATACATCATCCCGGAAGAACGGCGCAGATCCCAACAATGAGTAGGAGCACCCCCACATGGCCGGGCTCATCCGAAGCGGAAACAGTTCCCGGAGCTTATTCTATGTTGATCTGCACAGCTAGCAGGCATGCAGCAGAGACACTAGAATGATTCCTGCTTTCAATTACTGAAGGAGGCTGTGTGTTCAGCTGCTAGGCCAGAGGGCCTTCGAGAGTGGAAATGTCTCGTCGAACCAAAGTTACGTTTTGTCCAAGTATAGTTTAAGAAGCTCTGCAGAAACCTGCAATCCACACCCCAGTAAAGTGTCGGACAGCGAGAGGCTCCAATTGAGCGTATCCAGGGTGACCGACACTGTTGACTAAACTAAGAGAGTAACTTCCAAAAGTGCGCACCTCCACCAACGGTTTCACGACACGTCACCGCATCTCGCGGACCGTGTGTTCTGCGACTTCCGTCGGTGAACCTGAAAAGAGCGGGAGCACTGATTCAGTCCAAAATAACGCCTAGACTCTCCCTGGCAGCACGTTCGTTCCCCAGATTCACCGCAACCATGGAATCCTGCGGGGCGATCAGCGCTAAGGAAGTCAAGCTACAGCATCCTCGTCAATCGATGAGCTTGATATTCCCTGTAGCCAACCAGTGTTTCCCCGATAGAGACTATTGTCTTCTGTAATGAGCTTAGCAGAGCTTGATTGAGGAGCTAGCGTAGGTCTGACGGAGAGGGTCCGAAGCGCTAGGCGTTCGGGACTTTTCTACGGCTATGGTTACGGAAGTGGCTTGAGGCCCTGCCTCCGCTGCTGAGCTTTCTAGAAGTCTGCCGAATGGGGCATTGGAGTCGAGGGTCTTGAAGTGGCTTCGTGGTTCAAGCTTCGCGCTCGTGACTCTACCCGCCTAATTGTTACTGAAGCATCAATGGTTAGCAGCAAGGTGCTCCGCATGATACTGCGATTTCACGAACGCAGCCAGAGCACACGAACCGCACTAGCTAGGGAGACTGCTGCCGACGATATGGGGTAAGTTCGTCCAGGCGCCAGGGCCTCAATGCTTACTATCAGGTCTAACAGATGACGCAGGGGGCTGAACCCTTAATGTACAGTTTTGAGCCGCTGAGTAAGAATAACATCAGTGGCACATCTAGCTTGCATGCATCAACAAGCGTCGCCAGGGGAAATGTGTCCGAGATCGTTGCCATGGGCACCAGCATCACCATTCCCTGTGAGATTGACGAGTCACAGCGCGCGTCGCACGTCATATTAGCCACGCGGGAATGCCCGCTCGTATAGAATCCGACCAGCCGATTCTGTTGAAGGAACTACATCCTCTTCTACTATCACTTCACGGTTAGTGTCACTCCTCAGAGACTGCGCGGACACAGTTCTCGAACAGTAGGCTGCATCTCAACGCAGTCGAGACTTCGCAGACTCAGCGCCGCCAGGAAAACGATATGCAAGTGAGATTGAACCTCACGGACAAGACTGTGGGGAAGTCACTCGATGGCGTCAGTGACAACTATAATCGCAGCTTCTGACAGCTGCGGAGTAGTATGAAGCTCCTCACGTCGAAGTATAAAGATAGGTGGAAATGCCTCAACAGTCTCGTCGTCACATCACAGACAAACATCAACAACAATTTTACAACTCCACTTCACCAGCTTAACTTCAGCTTTGAGAGAGCTAGATACGACACTGTGAGCTTCATACATCAACTTCTTGTCGTAATCCACAACCCCAACCACCAATCCTCATCAACAATACCCACAATGCCTTCCACCTCCAAAATGATGCTCACCCTCGCCCTCCTCACGGTCGCCTACGCTCTCCCTACACCCCAACTCGCAGGCGAAGGTGCAGCTGCCAATTCCCTCCTCTCATCCACCGACAACGGTGTCGGCTACGGCATCGAAAACGCCGAGGA